AAAAAAGTATGATAGCGACAAAGCGGGGGAGCGTGAACTGCTAGGAAGGGACTGTGTGTCTGTATGTCCGTATCTTTGTCCGTCTCTGTGTGCATCATCATCAATTGAACGACTGGTTCCTTGATCAAACGACCAAACAAGAAATAAAAACATATCAGCCTTTGCCACCATACCACAATCCCCTAAAACCAGTCCCGGCGCTCCAGCCGTGGCATGGAGGCGTTTGTCCGTCATGAGAAAAAAGCTCGAGTCCTCCATGTGGAATCAACCAAAGCAACGGAAAAGAAGAAAAAAGGAGACTGAGAGCAAGAGAAGAAGCGAAGAAAAGTAAGATGCCCCTGCACTCCCGCGCGCACCCGCGCGCAGGTTAAGAAACCTCATCATACATGCGTGTCCATCGTGCCTGCGGATGTGGATTCATCATGTGAAAACTACTCGCCGTCCTGTACTGCCCTCAACACCGGATATAGGCTACGCTCCTCTTCCGACATCGACGGTCCAGAGTGATGATGCTCGTGCTCCTCCACCTTGGTCGCGTCGACCTCAAACTCGCCGTGCTCGAGCCGTTCCTTGATGAAGGCGCGTAGCTCCTCGATCATGCGCATGTTCTGCACCCACGCCTCATTGTCACGGTCCGTGACCTGTTCCGCCGAGGCTTCCGATTGATCGCCTGGCGAGCGCAGCGAGGGATCGAGCGGCGTTGGCGATGCCAGAGCGAGCCGGTTGACGTCCTTGGGCAGACCATCGCGATCGGCGGAACCGCGGCGCGAGGCGCCGGGCGTCGTGTTGTCCTCGGAGATGTCCATGGCGTTTTCGTCGGACGAGGGTCGGGCCTTTTGCAGCTGGTTGCCGGACCACCTGCGACGACCGTCCGAGTCGAAGGGAGCGAGGTTGGGCGCGCTGCTGGTGGCGGTGTAGTTGCCCGTTGAGTCCGACATGGCACTGACGGAGGGTAGCGTGGGATACATGCTGATGTTTGGCCGGGTAACGGGAGAGATGGTATTGGAGGAATTGACCGATCCGGGTGACTGGCCAGCCGTGTACGACATGACGCTGGAGGCAGGGGTGAGGGCGGGCGTCTCGTTTTGCGGAGCCGGGGGCGGCGCCAGGGCCGTCGCGTGCGAGGTTTGGGGCTGCGTCGTGTGGGCGCCGGGAGGAGAATTGCTGGAACGGTAGTTGAGACCCGAGTGGATGTAATGAGCGCCCGGTTGACCCGCTCCGGCGGCCGCGACCTGCTGGGGGTTCTCGTAGATGGTCGTCTGCAGCGTCTCGAGGGCCTTGTCAATGTCCATGAGATCGGTCTTGGTCCTCAAGCTAGACATGGGCATGGGCAGGGAGTAGTGGTGCTGCGGAGAGGGGCCCTGGCCGGTGGGAGAGACCATGGCGGGCGCGGACTGGTACTCGCCGCCATAGCCGGAGAGCAGGGGAAGCTGGCCTTGGATGCTGACTAGGCGCTGGCCCACGTCGTAGTAGGAGGTAGGGTCGATGGCGCGGCGCTTGACATCGTAGAAGAACTCGTTGAGCGTCTGGTGGATGAGGGCCTTGGTTGCTTCGCGCGAGGCGTAATCGCTGTGCATGGGGTTGGGGTTGTTGACCTGGTAGTAGACGGGGCCGTAGGCCGAGCTGGAGGGAGCGCTGCTGGCAAATGAGCCGGCGTGGGCGCCCGAGTAAGGCTGGCCGTAACCCGAGTTGGGAGCCATGCCATCCTGGTAGAAGCCGCTCGCAGCTCCGGCAAGAGCCTGCAGGTCAGCAACATCTGCAGGCAAAAATTAGATTTCTCTCGCGACAATAGCGTAGCTGACGGAGATGGAAGGACTCACGTTTTCCGGCTTGGCCGGCATACCCGCCTCCGGAGGAACCGTGCGTGGCGCGGTTGGGCTCGGGAGAGCGCAGCAGGACGGAGTCGTCGGCATGAGTCTTCACGTGCTTTTTCAGATCCTGCGGTCGCTTGAATGCTTTGGTGCAGATCTCGCACTTGTGCGGCTTGAGCGGCATATGCACACGAATGTGCGAAGTGATGTGGTCGCGCTTGACCGTCTGGGTGCGACAGCTGCCCCACTGGCACTGCAGGCAGAGGTTGTTGGTGCTCTTGCGGCCGACATGGCGCTCGCACACATGATCCTGGCGGTCGACGGTCAGCAGGGCGCTTGGGCGCGCAATAACGATAACAAAAAAAAAAAAAAAAAAAACATTAACATACATAGAGGGCCTGGGGCGTTGGGCAGTGCTCGCCGCAATTCTGCCACTGACAGGTGAGCGAGTCGCCGGGAGTGGTGGCAGAGGGCTGAGGAGCAGGCTGGACGGGCGTCTGCTGCTGAGGTTGTTGGTGATGTTGCTGGGGCGTCGTGGCCGCTTGGGGCGGGGCGGGCTGGGCCGAAGAGTCGTTGGAGTCAGTGACGGCCGACATGGCCAAGAGGAGCGGTGCAGTCAGTGGTGGTTTGGGGTTGTCTTGGCTTGGCGGAAGGACGAGCCAGCGACGGCGAGCAGCAGCAGCAGGCGACGAAGCGGTGTGAGAGTGTGTGTGATGGAAAGAGAGAGAAAGACAACACAGGCAGCAGCTGGATTGAGCAAAATTGGAGAGTTGAAGAGGAGGGATGAGGGGGGGCTTTTGACAGATTTCTTGGGTCAGGCGGGGAGGAGACTTGGTCCGCTGGGTTGGGGAATCTCGGCGCGCTGGCAAAGAGCTGACGGGGCAGAAGCAGGCTAATTATCCACGACCGCACAGCCCCCCCTCGGCCGCTGCCATGTTCGCTTCGCGTTACCGGCCCCTCCAATCCCATGCGCCGTAAAGCGCCATGCGTCTTGGCATTCTTGCAACCTGCCTAGCGTCGTCCTCCGCCCACGCGATGCTTGGCCCGAAAGGCTCGGCTGAGGTTATCCGGCGCAAAGGCGGAGCTTCGACCAACCCCCAGCGCAATTACTTGGCTGTGGAAGCGGAACCCAACTGCTCCCAGCTGACACTTCTTCTTACATCTAGTCGATCTCTCTGTCTCGAACGAACTCTCTATCCATCTCTCTCACGCCTGTCCACACGCCACGCCCTTGCGCGCCTCCCGTCTTCCCGTCTTCCCGTCTTCACCGATACTCCTCCCAAGTGGAATGAACTCTCTCTTCATCTCCGCCTGCGAGGGGCTTCCTCCAGGAGCATTGCTGCCTATCACCCACAATACTACCTATGACGCCCCGCGTAACCGCTGACTGTCGCCTCTTCCTCTGCAACCACCACCCTCTGCCAGGAGCCTTGCGCCCTTGCGACTCGCCCTCCCGATTCTAGACTGGTGTCGATATTGCAACAAAGTGAAGTTGGGTGCTTGCCAAGATATTCTTCAGGGTCGTCGATCCAAGGTCTCGCCAAGCCCTACCAAAGACACTCGCCCTTGCAGCACTCCCCCGCGACAAAACATGAGCCTCACAACAGAAAACGGTTGCGGGTCTGCTTCCGGCCGCCGTCCCATGGCACGGGGTCCGTGAAATGAGCTCCCTCCCATGCGTCTCTTCACAGCAAACCTGGAGCAAGGGCGCGCGCCTCATGATGAAGTGTTGTCATCCCACAAGGCATTGGGTCGAGGAAAGCGGAATGTCGCCTCTTCACGCCCTCTCCCGGGTTGACGCCGTAGATCCTTCGCGCCAGATCCATCGCCTGGCTCATTGCGCGCGCTCCCTTGCCGGCGAGTCGTGCCACCGGCCCTTGACGAATCCGTGGTTCCCACACATCATCGTCGCCGGGACAGGCAAGCCGCTGTCTCATTCCTGCCCAGGAGATCGCCGTGAAGAAAGTCAGGGCCGTCTTACGGACCCCTGTCGCCGCGCCGCCTGTACTACCACACCTCGACTTTGCGTGGACTTCATCTGTCTGTCGTGTGATGGCGCAACGGTGGCCGTTGTGTGTTGTGAGCCGCCTGCGGAGAACGCAGATGTGGGCCGACGCAAACGCCAATACTGCCAGATCTCTTTATCCTCTGGGCTGGGAATTGATGCCAACATCCTACCCTCTCCCTCTTTTCCCCCCTCTCTGCCCGCTGCCAGCATTCAGCAATCCCATAAACAGCGTACACGCATTCATCCCGTCCACATTGTACAAATTATCACTGTTCACACTACTGCCATCACATTCCAATGGCACGTCACGTCACTCCCACTACAAACAACAGTCTGTCTCTCACATGCAACGGTTCCGGTCGGAAGTCAACCACGGCACACCGGACGGAAGAGGCGGCACGCAGACGGGAGACAGCGGCCGTCTGACACGGGCTCGCGGCCGAACGGCAGAGAACATGTGGGGTGACTCGGTATCTGGAGTCTTGGCATTGTTGGCGCAGTGCGGGGGGCGGGGATGCCTTCGGTGCATAATCGTCCGCGGCGAGCATCGCGATACGATGTTGAAGTGAGAACAACTTGCCATGGCATGGTGCCTTCACATTACGCGTTGGACTCTTGCGACAGTCAGCATTATGCTGCCGCCTTTCCGTTTCCGCATTTCCCCTCTTTCCCTCTCATTCACATTCCTAACCCCCAGCCTGCAAGAACTCCTCATACCCATCCGACAACTGCATTGCGCAGTCACTTGACCCAACGAAAACAAGCGGCCGTATCTAGAACAACAAAACCGATCAGGAGAACGCAATAGCTATAGGTAGGTCAAGTCAGGCCAGCGGTCGGCGGCAAGGGTACGAATACGGCGTTTAAACCGCTCCCTATCAGGCGCAGCCCCCACGGCAGTTTCAGACCAGAGGTGTAGCCACTCATACATAGGAACACAGCCTCAGCCATGGTGCACTATTGCACACCACAGCGCAATAAACAGAGCAATCAAACCTAGTCCCAAACCACACAGAAGCCATAAAAACCCTCAATCTCAATCTCAATACAATAACCCCAATACGAACGCCGCTACTCCGCCCCTTCCGCCCACCTTGGCACCACTACGCCCGCAACCTCTCACTCACCCTCTTCCCTTCCCTTCCCTTCCCTTCCTTCCCCCATAACCAATCACACTTACTCCCCCTTACTCCCCCTCCCCCCTCCCTCACCTCCTCCCAAACCCAAACCCAAAACCCAATCGCAAAAGCCCAAACCCACGACGCAAGCAGCACGCCCGCGTCGCCCTCGTGCGTGCGCACTGGAACCCCCCTATTCTCGTCTCCGCGGGGCCGCCCCACCGCGCCACGCCGCGCCAAGACGCGCCAAGCCCCCGCCCCTGGCCTGGCCGCGCAAGTGCGCTTGTGCGCTTTTGTGCGCTTTTGCGCGATGGGGGAGGCGAGGACGGGGTTGGTTGGGTTTGGTTTGTGCTTGGTGCTGGGAGGGGGGCGTAGGGTTGTGAGGAGAGGTGGTGGTGGCGTTGGGGGTGTGAGGTTGCGTGCTGCGTGGCGGGGCGGAGGGACTTGGCGGGCTGAGGTACCCGTACGGTGGTGCTGGTGCTGGTGGTTGTGTGCGGGGTATGGGGTTGTTGTCATGTGAGATTGAGGGGTGGGTGTTTGGTGGATTGGTGTAAGGGGTTATACCTAGAGAGGTGAGATTATGGGGATGGTTGATATACCTAGGTGGATGAGGTAGGTCTGGAATTTTGCTTGGGGTTGGGGGTTAGGGATATAGGGATGGAGTGGTGGGTTATATTGAAGAGGGAGGTTAGGGTGTTGTTTGTATCTTTCATGCCTTTCGACTATATCGATGCCTTGTCATCGTCATTGCTGTCGATTAACGTCACGCTTCGTTCACTGTCATCTAGTTCTATCCCAAGGCCCCTTAAGGGTGAGGCAGGAACGAAGGAGGCGAGAACAGTGAAATAGCGAGCAAGTGGGAAGAGCCATATGAGGCACTATTCTAACCCAGGACCAGGTAGGCAAGCCCTCTGTCTCTCCATCCAAAGATACCAGGTCCAAGCCAAGCACATTCAGAAACACAGGGACAACAAGCTCGTGATGCCGTCACATACAGACACCACCACCACCACCACCACCACCACCACCACCGCCACCAAGGCTCGCACAGCATCACACAAGCACCAAAGCCACTCTCGGCACATCACGTTCAAATATATACAAGCATTGCAACAAACATCAAGAAGCGAGCGCTCGCGCTCGCGCTGGAGTAGTACGTACCTAGTAACTAGTTACCCAGTTCCCGCCCTCGACCTCTGCGCCGGAAAATACCCATCCGTCATGTCTGTCATAGCAAGACCGCTGCCTGTCTCCACTGCGCCAGCTCCGGCTGGCCTTAGCCGACAGTAGTAGTAGTAGCAGCTAGCAGTCCAATTGACCGACTTGTTTAAACCCATGGTATCATTTCAAAGGCCCAATCCATCGAATATTAGCGTTCTTTCTTCTCCCCCTTCCCTTCCTTCAATTTCATTACCCAAAGTTGTCTATAATAGTCTAAACTAGAAAAGTATGCCGAACCCATCTAGTTTAGTTGTCCGTCGGGAACCTGTCGAACCACATGAAGGTCTTGAGGCCCTTGACGACGTCGTCCGCCTTGGCAGCGCTGTACACGCCCGCCGCACTGCTCGAGACACCTACAGCGCTGAGTGCGCTGCCAGCATTGCCCAGCGCACCAACGGTCTTGCCGTAGCGGAACGCATCGAGCAGGATCTGGCCGGGGCGGCCGGCGGGGTAGAGCGACGAGGCGGTGGCGTTGCTGCCGAAGAGCTTCTGAGCGCCCTCACCGACCAGGACGGCGTCAAAGTCCGTCGCGTCGGCAGCCGAGTAGGTCGAGTCGATGCCGTCGGCGAGGTGCTCACCAACGACCTTGACGTCGACGTTGTGGTCCGCCAGCGCGGTCTTGATGTCCGAGACCGAGGCGCTGCTCGCACTCTGGACGGAGGACAGAATACCGACGCGCAGGCCGTCCAACTTCTTCAGCTCGGAGAAGGGGCGCGTCGTGGCCGTCGTGTTGTCGTGGTAGTAAGTGTCGTCGGCCTCGGGGGCGGTCATGCCGAGCGCGGTGGCGACGCGCGACGCAACATCGTGCGAGATGCGGTTCAGCTGGATCAGGACGTTTTGCTTGACGACATCGGACGTGAGCTTGGAGGTCTCGAAGCGGATGGCGTTGATCAGGAACTGCTGCTCGGCCTTGTTCAGCGAGTTGTAGAACAGACGCGGCTGGCTCCAGACATCCTTGAAGGTGGAGGCGACGTTACGCGCAAGCTTGCCAGAGAAGGAGCGCGTGGGCGCCGAGAAGAAGCCCCGACCCTCGTCGCGAGTGGCCTGCTTGGGGAAGCCATCGTTGTTGGTGTTGGGCGTGTAGGGCGACTTGTTAAGCGGGATGAACATCTGGCCTGCGCCATCGCGGTTGTTGTTGTGGAAGGGAACGCGCGGCTGGTTGATGGGCAGCTGCTCAAAGTTAGGGCCGCCGTGACGGTTGAGCTGCGTGTCGAGGTAAGAGAAGATGCGGCCCTGCAGCAGGGGGTCATCGGAGAAATCGACACCGCGAACAATGTGACCGGGTTGGAACTGATTGAGCCGTCAGCATCTTGCGTGGTTAATTTTAGATTTTTTGTCAGCTTACCATGACCTGCTCAGTCTCGGCAAAGTAGTTGCGGGGGTTGCGGTTCAGGGTAATCTTGCCGAGCGGGGTAAAGGGAACGATCTCCTCGGGGACGATCTTGGTAGGATCGAGCAAGTCAAATCCGTAGCGCAAGACGTCGTCCTCCTCCATGATTTGGACACCAAACTGCATCTCATGTCAGCAACCGCGCGTCGTTCATTCCGAACCTTGCTCAGCTTACCTCCCACTCGGGGTAACGGCCGGCCTCAATGGCCTCGAACATGTCCTGGCGGTGAATGTCGGCGTTCTTGCCAGCAACCACCTGCGCCTCCTCCCACGTAAGACCAGCACGGCCTTGCAAAGACTTCCAGTGGAACTTGACCAGCTTGGCCTTACCCTCGTCGGTGACGAGACGGAAGGTGTGGATACCGAAGCCATCAGTGTGGCGGAAGGACCGGATCAGGCCCCATTGGGACATGGCCCAGAACAGAGTGTGCATGGAGCTAGGCTGCTGGCTGAAGAAGTCCCAAGCGTTGTCATGGGCAGTGGCAGCTTGAGGGATTTCGTTGTCGGAGCGAGGCTTGACGGCGTGGATGAGGTCCGGGAAGAGAATGGCATCCTGAATGAAGAAGACGGGCATGTTGTTGCCAACAATGTCTGCCAGTGTTGTCAGCACAGCCTTTCCCAAACGTTGCGCCGCTGCCACTTACCAAAGTTGCCCTCATCAGTGTAGAACCTGAGCGCAAAACCGTGGACATCGCGAGCAGTATCCGCAGAACCCCTGCTGCCCGCCACAGTGGACATGCGGACATACATCGGGGTCTCCTTTCCAGCAGAAGACAGGAAAGACGCGCCGGTGATGTTGGACCAATCCGCGTACGAAGTGAAAACACCGTGAGCACCGAAGCCACGGGCGTGAACGGCGCGCTCCGGAACGCGCTCATGGTCGAAGTGCTGGATCTTCTGGCGGAAGATGAAGTCTTCGAGAAGCGTGGGACCGCGCTCGCCGACGCTCAGGGAGTTTTGGTCCTCAATGGGGCCGCCGACGTCGCTGGTCAAGTATTTGCCGGTGTCGTTGACTTCGAACTTGGCCATGAACTCGTCAGTGCTCGTGGCCTTACCGGAAGCGTCATCGGCGCGGGCGTGGTGAGGGTTAGGCGCATCGCGCTTGTTGAGCTCGCCCGACATGTACGGGCAGCCCACACCTAGGGCGGAGGCGGAGCCAATGAAGGCGGCGGCAATTCCAAGCTTCTTGAACTGCATGTTGGGATGATGGGGGGAAGGCACCAGCTGGTCGATCAGTGACGGGGAGTGGCTGGGACTTTTATATCAAAGAAAGGTGCTCCAAAACGCCAAGACCTATCGATTAGAATGACCTGCGATGTCATTGAGCCCGCCACCCCGGGGGCTTGGCTCGCGCAGCCTATCAATCTCAGGCCATGCAGGACGATCCTGCCCTGTGCTATGGCTGAAATGATTAGAAGTGGACCGGGGAGGTACGAGGCGACATGGGAGGTGGCCACGCAGACGCGTATGTCGTGGCACGCGCCCGCAGGAAAACGGTTGACGGAAGAGCAAACAACTTCAATGGAGCCAAGAAACACCGCCGCGGGCCCCCTGGCGGGTCCTCCGCTTCGTGATGCTGATCCATGCAGGCAGGGATTTTCCTCCGAACCCCAGCAAACAGTTGCGGCTGTATGCCTGCAAAGAGGCGGCGAACCCGCCCATGTTGGTTGCCGAATATCAGCGGCCCGTGTCTTCCAGAATGGAAGTCCCATGGCGGCCCAAACGGAGGGAGAGGTCAGAGCCAGGGCCGTGGACACACTCGAAACAGGACCGTCGGAAGTAAGATTTCTTAAGAGAGATCATACTTCGGGGGCGGGGACGCAGCGAAACAATCTACTAGGTACGGTGGTGCTATATGACGCATTAAGACGGGTAGGTATGGCAAATGGAGCTTCAACTTTTCCATTTGCTAAACCCGGTTCTTCAGCATGGCAAAAAATTATGAAAAAAAAATTGTCACCGACCGCGCCAGGGGCATGGCGGGCGGGAGAAAGACCAAAAAGCCAAAAAGGCGCAGCGCCACACCCGAGGGTCGAGTGATGTACAGGAGAGAGAGTGCTTATGGAAGAGAGGTGAGCCAGACCGCAGAGCTGACCAATGCCTGGTGTCGGACTGGACGGGGCCCGGGCGAGCGGGGTGACGGGCTGTGACCAGCGGGCAGATCAACGAACCGGGACGCAGCCGAAGCTCGGCGGGCGCTTCTGAGATGGCGGCGAGTATCGCGAAGTGGGCGGGTGGACAGGCTGCCCTGCGGCTCTTGGCGGCGCCAACGTCATACCTCATCGGTAGCGAATCACGGGACCGCGTCTGCTGCTTACACGGTGCGCGTCGTCTAGAACACCATCCTCGCGCCTCACCGCTCCAAGAAGCGATCGTCACCCACGCAATTACTCCTGTCGCACTGCATGTCAGGCCCGCCTCGGCACTGCTCATGCGAAACACTGCTCGAGTTCATCGCTGGCCCTGTAAAACATCTCCGCCCTGTCTATCATTTCCCTCCTGCTGCAGCTGCTCCACAACAACACATAGGAGCAAGAGCTGCAGTCCCTTGTTGTTCACTCGTCTCCGCGGACCTGGATCATCCCCAAGGCTGCATCGAGGCTTCTTCAGCCTAGCTATGTCGTGCCGCTGCGCCCGCCCGTGAGGATCACCGATTCACAGCGTATATGCCGCCACCGAGATCAATGGAACAGGGTAAACCCACGCGATGTGCACAGGCTCGTGGCGCCTTCCCGATTAGCACCACGTCCTCCCACCACAGGGAACCGCTGCCACACGGCGTCGGCCACGCTTCCGCCTGCTTGCAACAAGACTGGCAAGGGGCATAAAATCGCCCTTACCGTAATGCAGGCCATCCCATGAACAACGCTTCTCTCGCCGTGTCCGTTAATCGAGGCATTAAACACAAGCACATCAACTACCAACGCATCACGGTGTTGACCGTTGCCCACTCCAAAGGGGCAGGAGGGACAGCATCGCCATCGGTGAGACCCTGGCGCCAGCCACTCGGGATCCAGTCCCGCACGAGCAAGCAAACACATGGCTGTGTGGGTCGGCTCCAACACTCAAGCTTCCCCTCCCTCCCTGTGGTAAATTCCGAGATCCATTACCTAGCGACGAACAACTCGGCGAAACGGTGTCACTGCCCGGTGAGAAGAAGCGGATCCACCAACCCATGCAGCAGCTCCGTAGTCCCCTGAGACGGACTTGTTCTTCCTTGCCGCACTCCCGATGTGATTGGCATCTCACTCTTTGACACATGATCTGTGAAACGCGGTAACAGATGTTTCTATAGCACAGGTTAATAGTTTCGTAAAACAACCGCGGTTTAACGGTGAGATACTGCATTCGGATCATCTCCGCCCCACAAAGACACCAGCCCCAAGCTCTACTTAGCGATACAAAGCTAGGTTGAACGGTTGTATCACTAGTGGCACATTGTCCATCGCTCACATTACACACGCAACCGTTCTAGAATTGGACCACAACGCATGCCAATCGTTTTCCGCAGCAGGTGGCAGCAGCCAGTAAGGCTACCACGTGTGGAGTGAGACATTTGCCAGCCCGACCCGCCACTGCAAACTCTCATCTTTGATTCGGACAAAACTCGCCATCTTCCACCATCGCCACGTTTCTACGGGGAACATCCTGCTGAAGTTGACAAATGGTAAGACTATTCTCACTCTTACAACCATCCGCTGCAGGCCAACGTGTGTGTTCCACAAGAGCTGACGGTAGGTTGCAACAGTAGGTAAGCATAAGCACCAGTCCAACATCACCATCAAATCCCCCTCAACAATAAGCAGCAACAGAACTGTCAGATACTAGGTAGGTCTGATGCACTTATTTTATTACTAGCACCAGAACCAAGCTGAAAATATACCTCAACAATCCTGCAAAGCGTCATCATTTGGAGCCCCTGGCTATCGGCGTATTCGTACTTGTGTCTATGAGCATTTCCTTACGACACTCCGACACAGTGGTCCATCGTCCGATACGACTGTACGAACTAGAATGTGGTCACAGGTGAATCGGCCAAGCATGAAGCAACAACTAGTCATCTGAGGCCCATGGCTCTAGGCCCTTTACTACGTTCTACACAAGACAATGCCACACTGGACACTGGACCAACAACCTCATGGGTGTTTTGGGAAGAGAAGGAAGAAGTCATCGTTGTCCCCCCCGAAGGGTCCGATAACTTACCTCTACTGCATCATTCTTAAGCGACTGGTCCTGCCTGCCAGGCATGAGAAGAGGTTTTAGCGTTGCTGCCTGAAGGCGCAAGACGCTGCATAGCCCACGACATTGCTGCGGTTGTGCTATGCGATGGTAGTGATGGTGATTACCGTGTGCTCGCAAAGCCGCTGGCACTGCCATTACCAAGAATAAATTATTTGTGAGTTTGAGGGCAAGGCTATTGAAAGGCCATAAGCAGGAGACGTGTCTGAATTGTCCATCATCCTTCCTTTGGTAGTACTCCCTAGCTTGTTTGGGGTCCAGCAGAACATTTTCATTTTCATCGGCACCCTTCTCCTGTCATCCCAATTTGAAAAAAGAGGCCGTTTAGGGGATGCAGTCAGTGCTGGGGCTGATGGAATACTTTGTAATTTCGGTTCAGTGAGATGTCTAGCTCGGGCGCAGGCTTCCACTCCATCATTCAGTTTGGACGCAGACACAGGTCTCTATCAATATCCGCGCGCGACCTACTGTAGCAACATTCTGATGATAGTAGGGCGTTGGTTTGTTTCTCGGCGGTAGCTCCATCAGCTCTCGAGCACAAAGACTTCGAGTTTCGGCTGCGAAAGTGCTGGACAATAAAAAGATTTAAGCACAGTTTGGGAGGCAGTACGATGATCCAGGGTCAACGTCACTGTGCGCAGAGCAGAAATTGTGTGCGCGTTGTTTGCGTTGTTCGCGTTGTTCGTGCAGAAGACCGGAGAGAGTTGAGCTGCCCGAGCTTGGGGGAGCTCCAGACCCTGGTCGCCTGGTGTGTCATGCCTCCCTATCTCCGATAGGCCGAGTCAGGCGGGCATCCCCCAGCCTCAGCATCACGCCTTCATCCACCACTCTATCAGGGCCCACCTTTAGCAGCAGGTGACCTTTCGACTGTCTCTCAAGCTCCAGCGCCTCCATCTTCATCACCTCTTTCACTCCTCTCTTGGTCGCAAGAGCTTTCGTTGCTGGAAACAAGCTCCATCTCCCGCGCAGAGCTCCCAGCAGCTCTAACCGCTCATCATGGATTCCAGAGCTCTTGTGCCGTTCCTAGTCGGCATGATGCTGTTAACAGGTGTTTGCAACACTCTGCTCACCAAATACCAGGTATCTACTTTCATCCAGTTCCGCGCCTCTGTACCAGCAGCTAACTTGCTCTTGTTAGGACAATCAATGCGTGCGCGACTGCGACACCAACCACCCCAGATATTTCGAGCAACCCGTCATCCAAACAGCCCAGATGTTCATCGGTGAGATGGGCAGCTGGCTCGTCGTCGCCATTTTCGCACTCTACAACCACTTCGCGAAGAAGCCCTCGGCGGAGGCGGGCGGATACGAGCCTGTGTCTGCCGAGAACGAGGCTCCTCCCACAGCTGCTGACATCGAGGCCCCAGCAGAGGCAGACACTCCGGACACTGCCAGTACCGACCCGTCGATCGCGAATCCGCTGAAGCCAGCGCACGCTGGCCACGAAGAGGGCCGGATACCACTGACCGGCTGGAAGGTGCTGTATCTGGCTCTGCCGGCATGCTGTGACATCGCGGGGACAACTTTGATGAACGTGGGTTTGCTGTTCGTTGCGGCTAGCATATACCAGATGACGCGCGGCGCCCTCGTGCTCTTTGTTGGCATGTTCAGCGTCTTGTTCCTCAAGCGCCACCTCCGGCTGTACAAGTGGCTCGCGCTTTTTGTAGTCGTCACCGGTGTGGCTGTTGTCGGGTTGGCCGGCGCCATCGCTAAGGATGAGAAAGCCGTACACCGTGACGATGGTGCTCAGGGAGCGGAACAGGTGCCATTGCAAGGCGCTGGCATGCTCATGCGGAGCGCGGCAAACGAGGTTGCGGCCATGGCGACGCCGCTGGCAGTTCGTACTATCATCGGTGTGCTCCTGATTGCGGGTGCGCAGATCTTTACGGCGACACAGTTCGTGCTCGAAGAAAACATCATGGAGAAGTATGAGTTGGAGCCGCTCAAAGTTGTTGGTTGGGAAGGCATCTTTGGGTTTCTGGTCACAGTCATCGGCATGGTCATCTTGCACTTTGCAGTGGGTCGCACAGCTGCGGGGCAGGGCGGATACTTTGATGCTAGAGAGGGCCTGCGTGAAATCACTCACTACCGCGCCATCGCTGTGAGCAGTATCTTCATCATGATCAGCATCGGGTAAGCCATCAAACTTCCACCTAGAATCCAGTGCAAGTTTCCCTGCTAACGTCTCTCCAGCGGCTTTAACTTCTTCGGCCTTTCCGTGACACGCACCGTGTCGGCGACGTCGCGCGCAACTATCGACACGTGCCGCACACTCTTCATCTGGATCGTCTCGCTGGGTCTGGGCTGGGAGACGTTCAAGTGGCTGCAGGTCCTTGGTTTCGCGCTTTTGGTCTACGGCACGTTCCTCTTCAATGACATCGTCAGGCCGCCATTCGTGGCGTACATAGAGAAGCGCCGTAGAGCGAGAGCGGGCCTGGACGAGCTGTTGCCCGAGGGCCCAATCGAACATCTTTGAGCGGGTGTTACGAGAAAGAGGTTCGTTTCGTTTCCTTGTCCGGCTTTGGGCCTTAGCATTTCGTTTCTCGTGTTTTTGTACTTTCATTTTCGCATAATCTATTGGGTGTTGGTTAAGCTTGTTGGAGTCTATCTGTGTACACTGTCTTCTATAGCATTGGGGAAGACGTTTCGCTACTTATAGGTCGGTTCATATCGGTAATAGGGGTATACAGCTGCATTTTGACAACAATAAATCATCCTACCCTTGACGCTTTTTTCTCGGAGAGCTTACGTGGAACATGAGCAATTCATACTACGGTCGGAGGGGAAGATATTGTTACAATCCACATCCTCACGAACGACAAAATTAACTAGGTACATTTATAAGCTCTGGGTCTACGCAAGAAGTATCCATAAAGAACGGTCTCATCTGCTTAAAGAAGCATGTAGGCAGGACTGTGGTATCTACAATATCTAAATTCAAAGCGACTTGACATGCTTTAGCTTCTGCGGAATACCATTTAATGTGAGGATGAATAACAACAATTCCCTTCCCGACCGTAGTACAGCGATTTTGGGGGAAGTCAGGCCTGCGCAACATGACAACACGTGCGCTTATCAATGCAGGTTGCCTCGCGGCTACATCTTCTCCAGCCTCGCGCGCAGATGATAACGATTACGCCTGCTCAGGTACCTATGTGGTTAAAACCACAGGAAACATCATCTCTCTTAAGCAGGAACTCACGAACAGTATGGGCGATGGAAATGTTGCCGACCACCAGTTCTTTCTCCGTCCCAGTGACGGCAGATTGGTGCCTTTGGTGGTACAGAGTTTCGAACATCCTGCGCATCAGCCACGGGCCAAAGGCTTGGAATGGATCCGTATAGGAAGGCCTCAGTTCAAGACGTCTTCCCTCGAAGCTTTATCGTACTGGATCTTGTCGCCAATACTGATTGAGGGGAGCCAAGACCGAAATTCCAATGCGCGTTCTAGGTTGCTGGTGCTCTTCAGATGGACCATTGCAGCCCCGGTCCTGCTTCTAATGGTATGCGAATGCTTTCCTGTATAAATTAGAAAATGATTGCTGATATTTTGCAGAGATTGTCCTGTTTTGTTACTATCTTTACCACTACGTCAGGTGCGAACCGTTCTGCTCAATACGACTCTATTCCCTATAAATACATGGACAATATCTCGGGAGATGAAATCAATTCTTTGCAAGATGTGGGAGCATCTGGACATATCCAAACACCAACGGATTTACAACACATCTCACGCGGTCATCAGCAGCCAATCACCCCATCCCAAACCAGCGATTCGTCAAGGCTTGTCCGTCCAAAATATCTCTGTTTCTCCGAAGAATACGGAGATGCCGGAACCGAGTTTTATTTTTGTGTCTTATACGAGGAAGCAATTTTGCATTGCCACAGAGATCAGCAATGCCCTCCTAGTACTCCGTTCTGTTCTCTCGTAACAGAATTGCGCAACCAATACAAGCGCAATTCGTCGGGATTGAAAGGTATTTAGGATTGGATTGCACATTAAGCTTGTTTCTGATCGCTTCCCACGTACTGCTCTTCCCGTAGATTTTGCCTTTCTCACATTTCTCATTGGTTGCTCTGGAAAACACATGCCGAACCGTTTCCCCAAAGCATTTGCAATTCGCCACTATGACTGGCTCTGATCATCATCATGAGTCTCCCTCTGGCTGTCAAATCACTTGCAATATGTTAATATTGTTTGCCTCAAACTTGGCACCACTTGTTTCGAAGCTACAATCAAGAGCATATGACAGGGTAACACTAACACGCTTTAGACCAGAAGATGAAGAAGGTATAAGTGAGCCTCAATTTCCTCGCTCGCATCGAATAGTGGCAGGTTTCGTGGCAACATCATCCTTCACTCCTCAAGACTATCGTAACACAAGAAACACACCCCTGTAACAATAGTGCGTTGGCGGTCTATCGCATGGGGACCATTGTGTTTCATAATGAGGCTCTGCTCCCTCTGTTGGTAGATTTATTATCTTTACCCATGTCCGCTTTACCCCGCAGTGCACTCAGCCGTACGAAAACCCTGCCAAATTATGCAGAGCCTCTCCTCTGCGTGAGCTGATGACCTGGCTTAAATTAATTGGGTGTCGCGTGAAAGCCTTGTGCGTAAGCGCCGTAACCAGACTGTAGGGCAATCGTTTGCCTTTATGCACAACGCAAGGTTTGTGTCTCCCGGAGTGAGGAGAAGTCGTCCTTCAAAATACCTTGGAATCAGCCTTAAGAAGGCCCTACTATTTTCATATGCCCTGTTACTCAGTCTTCAGCTACTTTATTGCTGTGCCATCTTGTTGCGTAAATGCCATTTTCTGTCCCGAAAGAAAAACAGGAAGTGCTGTTTTCCATGGAGAAGCCTTGGGTTCAAGACTCTTGTAGTGGTTATCGCCTTGACCAAGCCAAACTTGAGCAATACCTCAAGCAGAAATTTGGGAATTACAAATTCTTCGTCGAGGTAAGGACACAGTGAAAAGCAAAAGCACATTGCCTCGCTAGGCGAACTGACTTCCGAACCGCAGTTTAAAAATGACGAGTTTTCATTCTATGTCCCGGAACAGCTGACTACTGTAAGCCTTGTATGGCTGTGAGTGTCAGGTCTGACGCAGACACAGGCTCAAAGAGACGAGATCGATCTACTTCGTTGGTAGTGTCCTTAGCGTGGGGATGTAAGGAGCTGCAAGGCTTTTCTTTAGTTGGGATTGGCTCTCTGTTGCCTGGAACAGTGTGGTTCTGAAACCTGGCAGGTCATGGGTGGAATGGTACTTGCTGCTGCAGGGTATCACACGTTAGCCCTAAGGGGCTGTGCTGTGCGGACTTATAAAACCTTGAACATATCTTTCCACTGCTAGCATGATTCCAAGAGAAAACTCATTATTTACTCAAAAACAAAAAGAAAATACTTCAGTACTACAGTCCACATATTAAAATGGAACGTCTTCAGGAGTCGGTAAAGCGACATTCGCGATATCCAACGAACAACATCGTACATGGGATGTATGCACACAGCCTGAACTCTTACGTTGAACGCCTCAACGAACATGAAGACCGTATCTTTTGTCCTCGCCAAAAGGCAGCAGTTGATATTTGGGAATGCAAAGGCCAAGGACAAGGTAGGTTCTGGTTTCATACCAGTTTTTAATAGTCTTGTATTGTTCACTCAGACATATACAGAATTCCTCCATACTCTTGTGCGCGATCTTCCACAGCTTGAAAAACATATTTGCACTTGGGGACCTGATCCCAGATCCAGATTTGTGTAAGTGACCCTAGGTCAACTGTCTCTTTCCAGATTAACAGGTTAGATTCTTGAGCGCTCCAAACTCACGGGATAGTCTCAACATTACCCGCGAAATGCTTTCCCTTCTGTTCACCTATCATCAAGTAATGCCAGGGTTTCTCGATTTTATACTCACATTTGGGAAACGCCATCATGCTCAGACGTTCCCCTTCAGCGGGTTTCGGTATCACAAACGCCTAAGTCAGACGGTGAAAGGAACCGATATTGACGTTCTGTGTCGTTCTGGCCAAGATCTCCGCCTGTGCTACAACCTAAGATCAGTAGAACCTTCCAAACGACAGCAAAACTGGCCATGGTCCATTCGCCAGAGTGCTGTTTATCATTTCTTTGATACAACAACTGCTCGGGCAAATTGGATAGTTGTGAAAGCGGACAAGCTGATGAAAGAACGAATAATTTCAGCAGCCCAGCCTTTCGGGACTTCCGGGATATCTTCTTTCGATACCAACAGTCGAGCTTTTGCAGCCACCCTCGAAACCCACCTACTTTTCCTAGACTGGTCCGGCGAGAACTGGCGGTGGTACATTGACTCCCTTGAGAATGAAGCACAGAAAAGCACTCGAAGAACTTTGACAATAGAAGTGGAAAAGGCGCCACCTCCGATGTCAGCCAATCCTATCAGTTCTATCTCTCGGGCTACGACATTTGCAACTCTGTCAGAACAGCCCAGCATAATTGGTGGCAAAACTGACATGGATGAAGGCAGACCACGGACACCGCCTGGATTACGAAGAGCCTGTACAGATCCGTCTTCATTTAGGATACAGCATCAGGGTGGTACCGATGCTGCATCTTATGATTGCCAGCCGGCCAGCCCAGCACGTAGCAACGCCGATTTCTCCTTCAGCGACCTACAGCGGATACACTTTCTTGAGGAAAAGGCCAACGAAACAGTCCTGGTAATTGAGTCAAATCTCAACGTATTCTACGAGCTGGTACAGTTCTACCAGTCCATTGTCGATTCCGAAGAATTTCCAGGAGAACTGAGGTTATGCTGCAAGGACGATATGGAGCGTTTTATATCCAAAGCCAAAAATATCGAAAATGACTTGCGCATGCAACAATCTAGAGCAAAGTCTTTGCTCCGCATGCTGGCAGACAGAAAAAGTCTTTTATATGGCATTATAGAGTATCGAAGCATGGAGGCTAGTCGATCACTCGCTGAGAAGACCCAGCTGTCTGCAGACAATATGGAGATCATGACGCGAGATATGCATGATATTGCGCAAAAGACTAAGCAAGAGACGGTATCTATGAGAATAATCACATTGGTTACGCTGTTCTATCTCCCTGGAACGTTCATCTCGGTAAGCCTACGAACTTCTGCTTTTATGCTCTTACTGATAACCCATTCACAGACCATAATGAGTACCGACATTGTCCGATTTGGCTCTGAAAATCCTGCATCGCCTAAGAAAAAGGTATCCGTAGAAGCGATCAAGTTGTATATGGCCGTTACTTTACCACTGATGGTCATGACGTTTGGCGCATGGTATGGCGTATATTTGTGGGTCAATAAAAGAGAAAAGCGTCACAACAAAGACCTGGAGAAGGGATTTGGTTGCTTTCCGGAGAATTGGGAACCAGCGCACATCTCCAATCCCGTTGCTGCAAAAAGATTCTTTCACGGTATGCTGCGATGCAAGAGTCCGCGCAAACAATTCTGATTCTGAAGGGTTGTGTTATTAGATACTGGATCGAAATATCAGTTATTTGAGAACAATATTGAGCTTGGGTCTTTCCGTGTTAACCTACCTGGAGACCACAAGAGAACGAACGCTTGCGCTGGGCTTGAAATCATTGCCTAACAAATCGGTCTAGATCGACGGCCGCTTTTTTGACCTCGCAGTGAGAGGTGTTACTCTAAGCGTTCTTGAAGTTATTCAGAGTAATTACGCTACAATGCTTTCAAATATAATGTGAACGTACATAAGAGGTGTATAAATGCCCAATAGAAGTACACTTCCCGCTACGGCACATACAGCTCTTCTTAGTAAGTGCTTGTCCTCACCAAGGTTAAGTCAGTGAAGCTTATACACCTAACGTGCCACCAATCCTATGAATGGTGTAAGTAATCAATATTCCGTAAACACCAACAATTTAGAATTTATCTCTGACCTCTGCTACTCATAGCCACCCCAAAGTAAGATCACAGGATTAAAAACGGGCCATTTAGGGAGCCTTGTCGCTCGAGGCTGCCTTGTCGCTTTAAAATTGCCTTGCTGCTGTGTGGCTGTGGCTCGTGACCAGCCAATTTTATCCATGTAACCAGGCATCAGTGTCAGCCGCTCAGCGATAAGTATCGCATCGCTCGCACCTAAGCGCCAGGCTGCTCGCCCCACACACCAGAAGCAACCCCGCAAGGCGAGCGTGCACAACATACAGGCCTTCATTTGTCACCTCGTTTCTGCGTATTCGGCATCGCTTTAGCTTTCCCCTATGTCGAATTCTCATATGCTCAATATCGATAAGCTCTTCAAATGGAAGCAAGGCGCCCAGGAATCAAGCGCATTTCCCCAGGTCATCAATCCGGAGAAGCAACCATGTTTCATACCCTTGCGGCAAGTCACAGAATATCTCAAAGACACCAGGCGCCTTCGTGATATACTTAGTGAACTGTTCCTTGGCCTAGATCTTCCTGTCTCCACGGAAACTATTCAAAAGTACTATCCAAGGATCTTCCTTATCCTGGTGCTCATCGAAAGAGGTCAATATATTGAGCGATTCGTCGAACATGAAGAGCTGAGGGACGAAAAGCTGCCTTTTCATACCAAGCCTGAGAATTTTCCGGAAATCCCGGACCTTTATCAGCAATTCTACAATCAGCAATGGGAATTTTGTCCCTATACTTTTGTCCATCAGGCAAATGAAAAAATCCCAGCCCATCGCATTTTACCATTTACACAGTATGAGCGATGTGGGAATGGAGGGAATGCAAGCATCCACAGAGTGTTTCTACTGCCGGACTACAACAAATTACGCCCTGTAGAAACGACCGGAAAAGTAAGTATGCCCATACATCCAGTTGTATACGGCATCAGTTATTAACCAGAGACAGAATTCCAACTTATCTTCCCAGGAGTTGAACACATTTGTTGTCAAAACTTACCGCTCAAGAGATGCTGAAAAGTACTATGATGCTGAAAAAAGGGCTTTTTTGAAATTCCGACGTTCCGAAAATTTGATAAAGTTCTACGGAAGTTTTATCTACAATGACACGTACAATCTCATTCTGGAAAACGCTAACGGTGGGTCGCTGGAGGACTATTTTCAGAAAGTTACCCCACCTTCTACGGAAGAGGACATACTAGCTTTTTGGAAACGCCTACTTGGCCCCGTCACAGCTTTGCTCGAAGTACATAATGGAGGCTCTGGAGATGATGCTGCAAAGGCCCCTGTCTTTCAAGGGTAGGTACAACTGTCAGCTATTCATGAGCAGGTACATATCTAACTTGGTACTTTGTAGATGGCATCAAGATGTCAAACCCACCAACATTCTTGTTGTTAACTTCAAAGACGAAACCCCGTATTCATGTCAGTTCAAGTTGGGTGATCTCGGCTTGAGTCACTTCATGAAGACTTCATCTCGGAACGAGACATATGGTTCAGATACCAGTGGTACACGCACATACGGTAAGCCTAGGAGTCATAAGAGCTCGAGGTATCTATAACAATCGTACTGAACGAACACACAGGAGCTCCAGAATGCTGTCGTCCAGATGACGATATTAGAAACATACCCTTGCAAATCAAGCAAAGCGTTGACATCTGGTCCATTGGATGTGTTTACTGTGAGGCTGTTGTTTGGGTGATGTTGGGCAGAGGTGGCCTAGAAGGGTATCGCCAGCGCCGCCAAAAAGAAACCGACTCTAGAGGATGTGGGGACAGGGGTTGTTTCCACGATGGCACGGGGACACTCACATGTGCTCTGGATTACCCCAATACGATTCTGGAGAAAAAACAGAAAAGAGAATGCGACACTGTGACCGAACATATATTCGAAGTGGTACGAAAGGCGCTGAGATCGGACTCAGAAGCACGACCGACTGCGAAGATATTGCGGACAGACATTCTGGACATTCTTACTCTACAACAAAAGCGAACAGCAGCTTCACGGAGAAACACAGCACCGGTCATCCTACAGAATGGTATTCAAGTAAATGGTCCAGAATTACCCCCTCTAACACCGCCGGGTGCACCTGGTTGGAGGCCTCGAAGACAAGGTCCTGAACTTCCTGGACCTTCTAGTGCCAGTGGGCGGAATATCTCCACCAGAAGGAACGCGCATACTAGATCCTCCGGTCCTTCATGTGACGTATCGTGTGATACAGATGGCAGGCGTGGATTTGGAGGCATGGATACCAGCCCCGTCAACAGCCCCACAAACATGAGTACGGATAGCCTCACATCGCCCCGGCCGTTGCCCGACAGGCCGACAGGCACCCAAGCAACTGGGGGCTTACTTCGTTGGTCTATGATATCTACGAGTACCGTAGGCCTCCCCAGGAACGAAAATCTGCCATTCCTTGGCGTCAGTCAAGCACTTCATTGGAAAGCTGATGCGAAAAATTCCGATCCGAAAATTGTCAACTGGATTTCTGCGGTTCTCCATATGAAAAGAAGTAGCGTTCGGCCAAGGCTACAAGACGAGTGGCTTCTCACGAATTTGAAGGAACGCGATCTTGTAAGCAACCACAAGAAGGCTAAGGAATGCTTTAACATAGACCCAAAATATTAACATGTAGTGCAGATTTTCCTTATTGATGATACAAACTCTATGAAAAATCACTGGGGAAATGTCGACATGATTTTCGGTTTGTTAGCATATATGGTGAAAGATGTAGATCCCGATGGCATCGAATTGTTTTTTTCGAGCGCCGAAAAGGGATTCAAAGGCAAAAACACCAGCGAACTGTCGAAGATGTTGAAAAAGCGACATGACAAGCATTCCACTGACACTTCGGGCATAAGGGAGCGCCTCAATGAGCTTTTTAAAAGGTACCTGGATGATTACGACAATGGCAACCGCCCTCAGACCGGCTTGTTTCCTAGAAAACCGGCATCGTTCAAGGAAAAAGGACGAATGACCATATACGTTTTCACTGACGGGGAGTGGTACCAAGACCCTCGAGTTGACGTTGAAAACCTGATCATGTCCTTTATCAAAGACCTCCGAAAAAGGAATATCAAACGAAAAAGGGTTGGCATTCAGTTTATCACATTTGACGTCGCAAAGGGCAGCGAAAAAGACAAATTCTTTGAAAAGTTGGATTGGGGCCTATCGCCAAACCGAAGGTGTCTACTCCTGCAATTTAACGTCTAGCCATGAGCAAGCCTGCTAACACCACGTAGTTACGATATTGTTGATGCCGAGCCATTCGAGAAGAATGTGTGGAAGATGCTTCTTGGCTCCATCAACAAGCTTTTCGATGATGATGATGATGGGTCGTTGTCTACATATCAACAACAGCTCAGTCTAGCCTCTCCGCATGACGTCCCGGAATAATTCGGTTACCTTTGTTCCACACAGATCAGAGGACACACCAGAGTAATTTTGTTTTCCTATTAGGTACTTTTGCAAGTCATGAGTTGGCTGTTACAGATTTTGGTGGTTCCAGGCAGTGTTCATAGTTAAGTATCATATATTTCCTTAAATGGAGCCTTACGGCATGCTCAAAGCTTTTATTTTCTTTAAAATTGTCCTAATGACCTTCCTTCCGTTTATTTTTCTCCAATATCGGCGACAACAATCGCTGGAACAAAGCTTGTTTTGTTCCTTTGGATTAGCTTCGGTCAGTATAGAGAGGTCCTTTAGATCAGGGTTTAAAGTCGTCCAGCCCATTTTCAGTCTGGTACCGTCCGGAGACGTGCATGGGCGGGCTCCGTCATGACCGTCTGATTAATAATCTAAAGAGATACAGCACTGTCCTGACGGGGCATGTTTACCGTCGGACGGTAACCCTAATTTCCAACCTGAAACGGTAAATAGGGGTTAAGCGAAACGCGGTACACCTACCAAGAAGCGTAAATAGGTAACGATTCGCTATTAATCTATGCCAATCTTCTCTTTTTATAGTAATACTCTCACCATACCGTCAGGCTGTCGCCTAGACGGCGTTCTTCCGTCTATACAGCCCGCTAGACGAGAAGGACTGCGGACTGTAGTGGGCTACCAAGACAAGGCTCCGTCCGGGCGAGACTGGACGACTTTAAACCCTGCTTTAGATGGCAAAATTGATACCCATGGCGCCAGAACCCGATTTGCACTTCTCTCCATCATTTCTACTAATACATAAAGGACAAAATAAATATTAAGATCGAAAACAAAACAGCAAGGGGAAAAATGGGATTTTGGTAAAAAGTCAGGACTCAAGTCCCCATAAACCCATCACCACATTACGATGAGCTTTCCCAGCTTTACACTGTGAGTCTGTGACAAGCTTTTGATAGCCGAATAACCTTAGAACGGAACACCGAAGATCTTACAAAGTTGCTGGCCTAGAATTCGGACTTAAGTTCTTAACCACTGTGTTTTGGGACTTAAGTTTGAACCACTAGACCAGGGGCTTTTTGATGTTGAAGGGGATGTGGTTGTGGGGATTCATGTATGTAGGGGAGGGACATACGTCAGGGGTATAAGGTCTTTCACTGACGATCTGTGAGTTGGTTCTTTCCGTTTTAAAGATGCCGTTTAGATCATAACACGGCAATTGGTCGAGTATTGAGATTCTTTTATCCCTACCAACAACTACATCACCACTTTGCACTTCCCACTCTTTCTCCATGCGATGCATCAGACGCCCACAGCACACAACAACCTCATCTACAAATCACCAATCAAGGCCTCAACGCTCCCACTCACGCTCTTCACAAGCACTGTACTCTTACCATCACCCTTAACAGCCTCAATCCATTTCCCAATCGGCCCTTTACTCCCCTCTCCCACGACTCTCACATCTTTTCCCTTCACACTGACGCTGCTGGTCACGCTCTCCGCCTTGATGCTCCCTTCCCACTCTTGCGGGTACTTGACGTGCAAGCTGCCAGTCATGCCGGAGTGCTCGCTCTTCAGCCTATTGATCTGCTTTCCGGACTTTTTATAGGGAGCCAAAAGCTCAATTCGAGCGGTCCCAGTGTGGCAGTTCGTTCGCAGTTCCGAGGCATGGTCATCTGCGGCGTACGGCAAGATACCGGCAGTGATGCTGCCCGAGTTCGTGGTTAAGACTGTGCTCGTGCCGTGCACATAAGCACCTTTGATGCTGCCTGCATCTGTATGGACTGCTGTGCGGTACTCTCGTGCGGGCAGGTTTGCAATCGGGAACGTCACGTCAACGCTGCCTACGTTGCTTCGGGCTGAGAACTCTGCCGGCTCAGGCTTTTCCTCGTCTGCGGATTTGGGGTCGACTGATATAGTGATGCTGCCGGAGTGTGTGGTGATTGCGAGCAGGTCAAAGAGTGGGTAGGATCCACTGACGGAACCAGATGTCAGATCGATATGGGTGCGACGACTGGATAGGGAAGCGGAGCTACAAGAGTGTAAATTGCCGGCGCGAAGGTCGATGGAAGTTTCGTTGGATGCAGTGGTGGCAAGGTCTGAGTGTATGCGAAGGCTGAGATGTTTTGCGACGATGCCAAGAGTGTCTAGTGTAGTCCCAGGCTTTATGTATACGAATCCGTTAATCCAGGTACAAGGCCTGTAGTAAACGGGTCTGGGGTAGTTGCTTGAATGGTAGGATTTGATTTTAACCTCAGTGTCTGATTTTTCAGCATATATGTGCTCGTTTTCATAGCGCTCGCTGGTCGAGAAAGTCAAGTTGACGTTGATCTTGGCCTTTTGGTCTGGTGGTGCAGGAACCAGATTGATCTCTCCTACGACCGTATGCGACGGACCATTTGTGTCGACCGATTCATACAGTCGGAAAGTCTCTGGATCCTCGAAATCGAAGACTGCGTTTTCGGTATGAAAGACAGGGTTCGCACGACAATAGCCAGGTATATTAGGCACATCCATAGATGGTGGCTCGTGGCTAGGGGAGCCAGGGTTCTATAGGACATCAGCAGACAATTTCCTTGATTACTGTAAGATTAGGTTACCCTCTGGGCACCGTTTCCTTTAATTGCCATGAATATTAACCACACTACGATAGCATGACCTGCCAAGGCCAACAATAACCTTCCGCGTGAGCAATGGCGCGAAGATTGACGGTGGACGATACCCGCGTTACGGTCCGGATGCAAGTCGTCCATGCCTTCATGAGCTCCAGGGCCATCGTAGACATAGACGATCGAAGGAAGTCCGAGAGGGGCACCAGCCTGATAAGGGCCAGCCGTCGAATCCCAGTAGGGCGGTGGCGGATGCTCGGCACCAAGCAAAGGAGTGGTCTCGTGCTGTGCTTTGTCTGTGGAAACGGATGGAGTTGATGGCGAGTGCTTGTCGTCATGCTGGTTCTTAGGGGTCATGGTTGCAGAGGCGCAGTGTGAGTAACGGTCTGACTGGAAGCGCGCGCGGTGTCGTGCGATATTTAGAGCTGCTTGCTGCAGCTGCGCCGCCCTGGCGTCATCATCAGGCAGCCGTCTTTGCGTCGCGCCTGAGTGGATGAGAGAGAAGGTCAACCCCGCATCTCGGAAGCGCGTATGCGCTCAAGAAGACGACCGCGGAAAAACTACATGGCGACGTGGCGTCGGCTCCAAGCGCTTTATTTACTATTGGCTGTAGGGTATATTGACCAGAAGCATTACATTCAGTTTACCGTCGTTAGGCCGTCCATGAACATCAACACGGAAAGCAGACAGCCTAGCCCATCATCGCACACGCCGAGACTCCAACACCCGCTCTATGAACAATTGCCTACATGTACATCAAGCCACAGAAGATTTGCTCGACCCCAAACTCCCTGACCGACTTTTCCACTCCGGCCCAGGCTGGACCCCAAACAGGGCCTCGGCCCAACTGCGTGGCGTGGGCGGAGGCGTCGTGGCTCTTGGGTTGGTCCTCGCATTTGCTGTCCAGATCTTGAGCTTTTCCAGGTGCCCGTAATCCGGTAGTTGCGTGGCTTTCAGGAAATCGTCGTAGCGTATCCAGAATAGAGGGTCGAGCCTGAGGAACTTGGCCTTGGCTTCGCGGGTTTCTGCGGCGTATTTGTCAGGGTCGTAGCCCTTCTCGCCTTGTCGTTGGAACAACGGATCCTCCGCCAGTTGCGAGATGTCGTATGTCTCGAGGAAGGCTTGGAGGTGGTCCTGGGTAACGGATATGTGCTCCCAAAGGGGGAACTCGTGACAGTCGAGTTCAGTGAGGCCGAGGATGCCGACAGCTTGGAAGCTCATCATCCAGAGCTCGTCACGCCGTGATGCGTCGCAGGTCGGATCGAGATCTGACAGCTTGACGACATGAACCGGAAGGAAGTTGTAGCCAATGCCGCCTTCACCGTTGCCCAAGTCGAACTGCAGAGGCCGGTTCTTGCCATGCTGGCATGCTCGCTTCAAGGCCCGTGGAAGCTTGTCGAGGCGCTCTTGATGCTCACGCGCAGCCTTTTCAGCGGCAGCAGCAAGGCGTTCCTTTTCCGCTTCATCCCGTGCTTTTTCCGCAGCCAACCGTTCAGCCTCGATTCTTCTTGCCTCCTTGATCTGTTCCGACGTCTTATCCTTGACAGGAGGAGTCGGTTCAGGCTCAGGTTCTGGTTCTGTGGCTTTTGGCGGAGCGGAGCGCGGTTCGCATTTTTCTTGCTCTGGGGAGGATGGAGCAGGCGAACTCCGGATCGTTTTCGACGCATGGTTGTTTTTCCTCCGCACGATACGACCTGGGCCCCGAACATCATCATCATCCTCGTCCGACGCGTCAGGAGACGTGCTTTCTCTTGATTGACGGTTCAATTCTCTCCTTGACATCAGACGTTTCTTGGGTTTGGACATTGCTTCTGAATGAGCAGTTTTGCTGGAAGACTTTTCGGCTAGTCGTCCTCGTGCTTCTCGCTCGTGTGTTCTTCTGGTGCTTTCCTGTTCGATGGCCCTTTTGCGCGGGCTTTTCTGAACCGACCGTTGTAACTCCGGACTCCGAATGCGCCTAGACTGTTTTGACTTCATCTTTTCGTCATACTTTTCCCTCAAGAGCGCGTAAATTTCCTCACCGTTTGGCGCATCTTGTTCCTCGGCAAATTCAAAGTAGGTAAGTCCCTCCCTGTTTCGTCGCGTTGGGTCGAAATTGTCTTGGGCCAAGAGCAACTTGATCACATCCACGTGTCCCTTCTTGATGGCGACCAGCATTGGCGTCTCGTTATGCTTGGCTGGGTCACGATGGTCGGCCGACAATCCCGACGCGAGCAGAAAACTGAGGATCTCGTCATGCCCACCCCGGGCAGCTGCAACTGCACAAGAAATGTTGGGAAGAATACCAAATGATAGCAACTCGTCCACCGCGCGCTTGTCGCCTGCTTCGGATTTAATGCGGAGGACCTCTGTGTTGTACTCATTCGGAAGAAGCGTCGGACCGGATACTTCTTCGACACTCCTCGGGGTCCTACCGTCAGTATCTTCATCGGACCCCTCTTTCCTTCGTTCTTCCATCGCTTTTTCCAACTCTTCTTTAATCTCGTCCGCTTCATCGGCGGTCGGATCCAAAAGAGTCAATGCGTTCTTGAAATGCTTGTTCTCGTACATGGGGTCCACCCGGGCTTTCCACAAGAGAAGCTTGACGACTTCCACGTGGCCATTCTGTGTTGCGTCGATGAGGGGTGTGTCGCAATCCAGCTTGTCATGGACATCTGTTTGACAGCCCTTGCCAATGAGGAACTCCACAATGTCTTCGTGACCATTCAACGAAGCTTTTTGAAGTGGAGTAACCCCGGCATTGTCCGGCGCATCCAGTTCATCCGGCGAATGGGCATAGGCAGCTTTGACGGCATCAAAATCACCTTTCTCACATGCCCGTAACAGGCGCGTTGCGCCAAATGCATCCCTTTTCATTGGAGGTGGTGCTCGAACGGGTGAAGTCATTGACCGGTGTGCAGTTCTCCTTGGGCGGGTAAGCGGCGGGATATTCGAATGCGGGTGAGGCGACGAGTTTTCTTCTTCTTCAGTGTCACTTGACCTCCATTCCTTGTCTTGTCTCGTATGCTCGCGCCTCCTGCGGCCTGTTGCGCTGTGCACAAGCGATTGAGTTGAGGCTGACCTCTTGTGCAGCTTGACGCCGGCCCCAAGCGGAGAAGTGGGCGGATGCCTCGAGTTTTTGATGAGTCCTTCAGTCTTGTACCTCTGGCGAGGCGGTTCCGAATCGTGGTTGTCCCTCAGCTTACGCTTCCGCGTATCGGCGATCGAGGAGCTCCTTGCGCGGTGGTCATGGCCTACTGGAGGGGAATGAGAATAATGACGTGAGCTGGATCCGCGTGGTCCTTGACGGGATTGGTCCTGATCACTGGAAGAAAACGCAGAGGAACCTTTTCGGCCAGCGGGTCTATGGCCATGAGAATGCATGTTATCGGTTCCATTGACATTGGCCTCACGGATTCCGTTGGGATGGCCAGGAGCGGCCGAGCCTCCACGTGCGCTGGCCTGTTTTCCGGAGCCTACGGTAACGACGCTTCGCGCAGACGGGATGTCACGCATTCCTTCCTCGCCATCGCTACGTTCGTGCTTGATCACCTTCTTTGGCCTCGCGGAGTCTTCTTTTTCGGTTCCGGAAAGGACCAAGGTTTCGGCCTCGGATTCATCCTGCTCAACGTGCGCGTCCGGCCCAATGTCCCCATTTCGTACGACGATGATCTGGCTGTCCTTGTCGGTAAGGGGAGGGGACGAGGGAGGAGCTGGGGATCTGACTCGACCGAAGGAAGGCTGCAAAGGCTGCGGCTCTCCGTTGCCAGAAGGATTCGGCGGCAAATGGTCAGCGACAGCAGCGCTACTGCTCATCACGGACTCTTATATCGCGCGTGGAGCCTGCCTCATGCTGGAGGGGGGTGGGACGATGGCCGCTGAGGAGGAGAAGCGCCAGGTGCTCAGCAGACCGGTGCGCGTCGAAGGGGGCGGCAAGAGTGGCGTGTGCTTTTTGAAATGGCAGAAGCAGGGCAAGAGGCGGTGAGGGATGGGATGCAGGCGCGTTGTGTCGTGAGGTCGTCGAGTCGTGAAGGCTGGGGCGAGAGGGTGGTGTGTACGGGGGAGGGAGCAGCGCGACCGAGGAGGAGGAGTTGTTGGAACTTGGCGGCCACTGGAACCGATTGAGTTGGCCCGCCTTATGTAACACGCTTGTGCAAGCGATGATGGCCGGGTCCAATTAATCGTGGCCGCCGCTCGCGACACGGACAGGGGCCTTTGACGGCTGCAGCAGCGGCCATGGCGAGGCAGGCGGGTCCTTAAGGGGCTCCGCACTGAGGGCCGTCAGTCGTCTTGAACAGACGTCCTGTCGCTGCCATGGCTCCGTGTCAAACTGTCAGAGAGTCGGCCAGCCGTCGGACTAGCGCACTTTTCAGCTGGGCCGTGTGCAAGATCACGGGCGCGACACAGGCTGAAACCCACGGCTCCCCTTCTTTAGACGCTCCACACTCCTCCCTTTCCAGTGGAGTTTTTCTGCCCGCCACGTCCGCTCTCCTGCAGCGAATGAGGCATTAAACCCCGTGTGCAAAAACCAAGGCGGCACTTTCGGCAATGGACGACTGCCTCGCTCCCATCCTCGCCCTCCGCCTACTCTTCTTGGCGACCGCATCAATTGTATCATGCCTTCTCTCTCTCTGCTGGGCTGCTCGGCCTGTGATTGCTGACATCGCACTAACCGCCAAAAGGTCCTGCTAGTGTACGCCATCCCACCCTTTCGTACACGCTTTCTGGCCTACGGCTCGCGCGCCCCGACCGGTCAGAGCACCCCAGCGTCACGCTCAAACAACGTGTTCGCCCGTCTGCTCGACCATCTCGCGACTTATCGCGTCCCGCACGCCTGGTTCACGCACTTCTACGTCCTTTCTGTCTTCTGTTCCCTCTTCTGGCTGTGCCAGTATGCGCTTGGCGGCAGCCTGCTGGGATCCCTCGCGAGCAAGGCGACACAAACGGGCACAGCCTCCATGTCCACCGGCCGGCTTCAGGTAGCTTGGGCTCTTATGTTGGTACAAGGCTTACGACGCTTGTACGAGTCCATCGCCCTGTCCAAGCCTTCTACCTCCAAAATGTGGATTACTCACTGGCTCCTTGGCCTCCTCTTTTACGGCGGCATGTCGGCTGCAGTTTGGATAGAAGGATCACCGGCGCTGCACGTCGCCCCAGGAGCGACATCGCAGCTGCCGTCAGACGTTAAAACACTCCTGGGAATAGGTCTCTTCGGTTGGGCTTCTGCGAAACAGCACGAAAGCCATGTTCACCTTGCCTCACTGCGCAAGTATACGTTGCCCACCCAAAGCTCTTTCAGGCATATTGTCTGCCCTCACTACACGTTTGAATGCCTCATCTACCTGGCACTGTCGTTCGTTGCTGCGCCCGAAGGCCAGTGGCTGAACAAGACGGTCTTGTGCGCACTGATTTTCGTCGCCGTGAACCTGGGAGTGACGGCCGACGGGACGAAGGAGTGGTATGCCGCTAAGTTTGGCGAGGACGGGGTCAAGGAGCGCGCGAGGATGGTGCCGTTCATCTGGTGAGGAGTAGCAGGGGGCAAGGGGCTAGCGCGCGGCTGGAGAGGGTTGTTGATATTGATTGCAAAAAAGTAGCGTGAGGCAGGGATTGTTGGGGGGTCGGGAACGGCACGGTTGGCTGGGGGCACGACAGAAAACAGCGTGTGGGAGGTTGCTTGCACGCGCAAATTTAAGCGTTGATCAAGACATGTTGTGCTCGGCGGTGCATGCCTTGTGTTCTATTGTGTGTGGAATGGGATGGGAAGGCCTCTCCAATTGCCGCGTTGATTGCATCATGCGCGTGGGCCCAAGCTTTCCAAGCAAAGCATCTCGGGTCCAGGTGGACGGAAAACGAAGGGTTGGGGGACAGAATCGTCCGAGCAACGGACGGCACAGTGGCCGCTCTGCTGCCCTCGACCTGCGCGTACCAGCAGCAACGCGTGCTCGCGGTCAATGGCCTCTCGTTGTTAGACAGTCCCCAGATTTCTCCGCGCTCCACAACCGCATCATCCATCGTCCGCCGATCGGCGGCGGGGGAAAACAATCAGGTGGCAGGTGCGCAAGAAAAACAAGCGCCGCTCTTCCTAAACACTGTCTCGACACACAATGGCCGAAGACGCGTATTGCACGGTGAGTCCCTTGGCCCATATGCCGCCGGCTACCAGAGCTAACTAGCACGTCGCAGCTCGTTATGAGCGATTCCTACCTGCCCGGTACGCTGTATACCTGCCCACACTCACCAAACCCACCGCGCTGATGCCCAGATACAGGTGCCTCCGTACTCGCCCATTCTCTACGAGATGCCGGTACGACGAAAAAGCTCGCCGCTCTCATCACCCTCGACACGCTGTCTGCCGACACCATCACAGAGCTCAAGGTTCGCCATGCCACCAATGCACCTGGATACGCTGCTAAGCAAAGTCAACAGGAACTCTACGACCACCTGATACCTGTCCAGCGCATTGGGAACCCGCACCCTGGTAACCTATATCTCATGGACCGAGGCGATCTCGCATACACCTTCACAAAGATAGCTCTCTGGAAACAGATACAATTCCGCAAAATCGTATATATCGATGCAGATGTTGTCGCCCTTCGGGCACCAGACGAGCTTTTCGCCATCGAAGCCCCCTTTGCTGCTGCTCCGGATGTGGGTTGGCCAGATGCTTTCAACAGTGGCGTGATGGTTCTCAGTCCAAACATGGGGGACTTTTGGGCACTCCAGACTCTAGCGTCGAGCGGCGATAGCTTTGATGGAGCAGACCAGGGTCTACTCAACCAGTACTACGAGCACAGGAATTGGCACAGGATCAGCTTTGCATACAACTGCACGCCCAATGCACAGTATCAGTGGGAGCCAGCGTACAAGTACTACAAAAGCAACATCAGCATGGTGCATTTCATTGGCCGGAACAAGCCGTGGAGCAGAGACAACAGGCCTAGCGGTGGTGCAGGAGTCTACAACGAGTTGCTGGCGAAATGGTGGGCCGTCTATGATAGGCACCTCAAGGCCAAGGTAAGGCAGTGCTACGGAGCTCTAGTTGCATCGCTTACTTAATTCCTTTAGGCACAGCAGTACGACTCACAGAGCATCATGCAAGCCCCGAACCAGATACAGCAACACGTGGAAAGTAAGCCTGGGAGGGCTAGCCATGGCACGGGAATACCGCACATGACAACATCCACAACAACTGAAACCCCTTTGACCGATCCAGCCGAGCCTGCACAGAACACTGGCCAAGACATTGCTAAGACGGCGCCAATGACGCCCACAAGGAAGTTCTCTGCCCCACAAATGGAATGGGACGCTACGCGGTGAGAACCTTGTCCGGCTGCATAGACGTGCAGGACATTGATGCTAACCCCGCATAGATCTGCACCTCCATCGGAGTCCCGCCCCGAAGCTTCCAACTTCCCCTCAGAGACATATACCTTCAGTGAGTCCAAGGAGCTTTTCCAAGCTCCTGTTGTCTACCCCGAACCACCCAAAGACATGTGGTACGAAGTGCCGAAAACAAAACCCAAAGTATCCGAAGAGCCTAAACCCATATTCCCATGGGAGACGGAGCGCCCCAAGGCTAGGCCCACACGTGTGTTCGCGGAAGATGCACCGCAGCCAAAACTCGAGCCACAGATTACCCCAGAACCTCTTGCAGTTTCCCAGAAAGAAGAACCGATCTCTCAAGCTTCCACTGCAACTACACCGCCAGAGGATCCCTGGCAATCCTTCGGTCAAAGCAAAAATGCATGGGACAGCGTTCCGGGCATTGAACGCTACGTCCGCGCCGTGCTTGGTGCGCAAACGAAGAAGGCTAGGCCGAGTAGCCTGTCTCTCGAAAGCATCTCGCAATCTTCTGATATTTTGTCGCCCACCGGCGAAGGCGACAAGGGCAAGGAACGTCACGAGAGCTTAATCTTGACAGACTTTCCTACTGCCGTCGAACGACCTAGCCTTCCGGTAACACCGGCCCCGATTCGCCGGCCTACATTTTGGGGAGAAGAGAAGAGTGAGAAGAGCCAGCTTCCGTCCGCCGAGGGCGTGCCGGATCAGGCCGAATGGGTATGTCCCCACTGTGGTTATTCTTCCAACGACGTTGAGTGTTTCCGCCGCGAACGTCGTCGTTCACCATCTCCACTGCAGTCAGAGGTTTCGCGCCTCTCGGCTGCCAGCACTGCCGCGGACAGTGGTTTTCCCTTTACCTATCCCGTTTCTGCTGTACAGAAAGCAGAGCTTCCTATGCATATCACTCCTGTAGCTTAGCTAGATTGCACCTTAGCGATGATGGGGCCTCGTGAGGAGGCCGTCGTCAGTGCTTCCACCCGAGTTCGATCGTCCGTGTGAATTACCTAGCAATGTAAAGCAAGACGCATAGCTAACATTTTTTTTCTTTTTCTTTCAAGGATCCTGCGGAAAAACTCGACGAGCTGCGCCGCAGTTCGCTCCTGGAGATTGAGCATCTCAAGAAAGCCTCGGCAGAAGCGGCCAAACCCACGCCAACCCGCAAGTTACCAGAGCATTCGTATCCTCGCGAGCGGCGTCGCAGCCACGAGGCCGTGCACCACAACCTGCCCCCGAGCGGCGAATCGAGCCCGCTCCGCTTACCGAGAAACACCCCACAGGCTGAGGGCACGGCCGCTGAACCCAGCAGCGCTGCAGGCGCAGGGGTCCAGCAGGGCGTTGAAACAGAGCAAAGCGCGGCCACAGAGGCGCCAAGCGCGGAGACGAGTGAGGGTAAGCCCGCATTCGCAGAGCCTGATTTTAAAGGCGACAAACCCACAGCTGCTCCGGAAGGCTTTGACGCGAGCGCCGAGACGGCGGCAGCGGCGCATGACGATGTACTAAGCCCTACGGAACGGTAGTTGAGGAGAAGGGAGAAGGGATTTGCTTTCTTGGTATCTTTAGGCATCATTGACGAGGTCACGAGTTTTTCCTGTGTTTCTACCCATGGTTTTCTCGGTATTTTTTTCAGCTTGTAATCGCTTCCTAGTTTTTCACCATAGCCTGCGTGGTATCAAATAGTTAGTGTTGTTAGTACATACATATCTACGTATTCGCAGCAGTCCTCTCTTTTTTTTTCTTTTTCTTTTGCAAATGGCACTAACCTAGGCATGGCATGGCGCATGGTGGGTGCCGGGTAGGGCTCGAGCGAAACGCATGGGCGCGCACAAGCAGGGATTCCCCCCCACACGGCCCGTGCTGCAACATCATGGCCGTTTCCATCGGTTGCTTCCTTCACGTGCAATGCGTTAATTGCTCGCATGCCGCCTGCCATGCGCCAGCACAGCCGTGACGGGTGTTTGACGATGTGTCGCTCATGCTTCGCTCCGCCCTAATTCGTTTGCAACCGTCGTCATCGGCTTTTTAACTAGGTTCAGCCTCCCGCCGCCCTAAGTTGACCACTATCCACCACCACCACAACCACCCTCCATCGCATCTTCAGCCATGGCTCCCATCAAAACAATCGCGTGGCGAAGCTTCATGTACGCCTATGGCCTACTTGCCGGCCTGCTGTGGATCCTCAAAGCCGTTTTGAACGGCTCTGCCCTCCAGCGACCAAGCAAGAAAGCCAAGCACGAGCTTGCTGCCGGTTCGTCCTGCTCATCATGGCCCCGCGCTCCTGTTGACATGTCGTCGTAGCTCGAGACAAGCTCTGGAACCTCTCCCTCGAGCCGCTGCCCGGCTTCAAGCACGCTTTCTTCACCACCGATGCCGGCGTTTCGCTGCATTATGTCGTCTCCTCGAGGCCCGTCTCTTCCAGCCCCAATCTCGTCATCCTCCTCCACGGCTTCCCGGACAGCTGGGCATTGTGGCGAGATTTCTTGCAGGAAGAGAGGCTGGAGGACGACACTGTGTATGTGGCCATGGATCTCCCGGGCTACGGCGGAAGTGACAATCTGGAAGAGTACAATGCGTATAACGTGCTTGAGGCCGTTGCATCCTTTGTCTTGGGTATGCGGGATGAGCATACATCAGCCGATGGCGTGGACTCGCTAGAGAGAGGACAAGTGCTGCTCGTCTCTCATGATTGGGGAGCAGCGGTAGCATGCCGTCTTGCGGCAGAGGCACCGCAACTAGCGGACCACTTCATCGTCACTAGTGTGGTGCATGTAAGCAGCAATAGCCTCTTTAAGCTTTACAGCATACGACTAACACCAACCAGCCGAGTCTCGTATACGCAAACATCCAATCTCGCATCTCGTCTGCGAGGCAGATGCTCTGCACCTTCTCGCATCACCCACTCTCATCCCGTCCTCGCATTCTCCGCAATGCCATCACCACCCTTTCCCCACTTGCCACTCAACTACTCAAATCTCATTACATATTCGTCTTCCTCCTGCCACCGGCCCTCCTTCGTATCATCAGTACTCTCGTTGGCAGCTGGTTCCTGCAAGCCGTCCACCGCTCCGCGTCAGCTAACGTTGACGTCGTGGAGGCTATAGCCAGTAGCGTCGGCCCCGCTCCAGAGCAATGCACCGAAGCACCCAGCACGGCTGCCGATCCCCCACCTGGAAAGGGTGGGTTGACATATCCAGCCGCCGTTCGTCAGCGGGCTCGCGCCTCTGACGCCGGGCTCTCCCAAAAGATCCGCTACTATCGGGAAGGCCTCACGTTCGGCGAATGGCGGAAGAGTCTTCAAACGATTCTGGCGCTGTCAGCACTCGAGCCCTCGGCTCCAATGCTTCAGCCGCGCAAAGACTCGGCCGCCTCGACCGGCAGCGGAAAGTCCACAGGCGGCACCAATGGCCCCGCATCGGGCTCTCTGCACCACCGGCGCCGCTCCAGCACCCCTGGTGCGCGTCCACGCAGCAACAGCCTCGCGGTCGGCGGCACGGTCTTCGACCCGAACCCGCATGGTGCGTTCAAGGCGCCTGCGACGCTGGTGGTCGGCATGCGCGACCTGGCGTTCGAATGGCGACTTGCGCTCGAAGGCATTGCGGAGTATTTGGGCAAGGGTGGCGCGGTGGTGAGTCTGGAGGGGTTGGGACATTGGTTCGTGAGGGACGAGGAGGGACTGCGCGTGCTGGGTCGTATTGTGCGTAACGCGCTGGGCGAGATGGACGGTGTGGATGGGGCGTCGGCGGCCGTGGTGAACGGAAAGGGCGCTTTTGGTGTGGGTGCCACGCCGGCAGTGGCTGGGGGGTTGAGAAACGTGCCCGGTGTGAAGGTCTTGTGGGAGGGGTAGGAGAGGGTGAGAACGGTTGGTACCAGATTGGGAGGAGTTGACCCGAGAAGGTAAGGAAGGACAGACTAGATTGTGGGGGGAATTGACACGGACGGATGACTTTGCACGGCCTACCTAGGTATTGTTATGGGGGGCGTCGGTGCTGCATTATTCATATTCACGGCTGCTTGTACGAATGCTTCTTTGTGTTGTTGTGGACTTGCTCGCTCGCTCGCATGCTTGCTTGATGCTGCTAAAATGGTTATGTGGATGTGTGTCTGCGGTATTTGATAGGTAGGCCGGTATGTGATATTTGTTATTCGTTTGCTTGGTCTTTTGATTAGTGGTGCTAGGTTCAGGCTGAGCATTTTGTTTGAAAAGTGTATTACGATAGCTACCGTGTTGGAAAATATGTTAAGTAACTCGCCACGAAACTAGGCAACTTAAAGTACTTTCGCAGCTTTAGTATTCGTATGGGATATTCTCGTGCTTTTCCGTGTCTATACTTTCGCCCCTTTTAAATAGTTCTGTATTCATGACCGAGCGAATTATTATAGGCACTCAAAATTATAGAAGTAGTACTTATGAGATATAACAGTGATGTTGATGGGAGTCTAGAGACCAGTGCTATGCCACAAGCCATGATCATCCTCCATACTCCAAGCTAAATACACAACGTTGCCTACAAACCAAAAACCAAAACCATCGAACCTATACCCTTCATCCAGTGCCAACTATATAGCGACCGACGGATAGTCTCTCCGCCAAATTGGCAGCGACATAACCAAAGGAATATGCGCGACAATAACCTAGCTATAAAAAATCTTAAACGCCGGGTCCAGATCACAAAAAATCACGGGTATGGAGCAAAGCAGGAGCAAGAAGAGGACGACAAACGAGGCGGCAACGTGAAAGTCCTCCATGCTGCAAAGCGCAAATCCCACACAGTCGCTCTGTCGCCGGAATTGCGCGCCGACTGCTCTTTCCGCCTCGTCGAGCGTCCGGCTTGGATACTGGCTGGGATACGCCTGCGGCCCGGGCACGTATGGCGCTTGCACAGGCGCGGCTGTGTATGCGTTATCGCCGTCGACGGAGGCGGTGCTCGCGGGCGTGAGCAGCGACGTCGCCTCTGTTGCGTCGGCGGGTTCGTGGGGAGGTGCGCGCTGCCGCCGCTAGGGGAGGGGGGGAGAGCTCAACCGTGCGGTGGTCCATGAGCTGGGTGACGGAGGACGCGCGATGCTTGTGTGTGCGCCTGAGGATTCGGTGCCGTATGTGCATTGTGGAGTGGGTTCGAGAGGAGTGTTTGGATTCACCATGCTTGGATGTGTATTCGTTCCGCTTTCTGAGCTAGCGGAAGTGGATATTCGCAAGGAGGGGAGGCTGATGCTAGGCTGTGAAATGTTGTTGGGCAGTCAAGGAGATGTATCGGGTTTGGGAATTAAATAGTGCCAGCTGCGAAGTGGGTGGGATTACCTTTGGGTGTGCTGCTTCGCTCCCATGGTTCACAGTGGGTTTCCTGACGCCTCCACCAAACAGCAGCCGCAGCAGTCCCTTTATGGGCGAAATGTTTTGTTGTAGTAGTTTGGTTGCGTTTCATCACTACTTGAGCCAGTCTCTGTCCAGTCGACGTTTGACCTTTACTGTAGGGTCGAGGATGTTACCACCGCACGTTGAGAGTGAACATTATTAGATCAACCAGATCTCGGACCTGGCCATTGAGTTTACCTTGAACTTACACAGTGTGCTCCCTCACTTCCTTCTATCTTCAATTTAGTCATACAAACCTAGGATATGCGAGCATTCCTCCGGGGAGGAGGAACAAGTAGACACGCATGCATGATCAACCCAGTACTTCAAACCTCCGAGTCCAGAATCAAGGTCCGGTAACTGTTACCTTAGACGCCACAGGAGCACATAAAAAAATATGGAGCAGGACATCACAAAAGGGAAGAGACGTGGTCGAGATAATGAGCCAGCTAGACGGATGTGGCGGAACTAGAAGCTTTAGCTAGTCCCTCGTGCGCTCAAGCCAAAGAACCTCGTAACCGCGTAGCCCTACCTATTCAGCGCCACTGATGGCGCAATAGTAAGCGTTGAACAGCGTACATCCCCGTAGCTAAGCCATGTCCGTGGGATGCCTCTCGTCATCGCACTAGCCTCACATGGTCAGGTACGAGCGCCACAAATCACACATGGATGAGGGAAGTAAGAGTATTACGTGACATTCGTATCTTTTTTACCGCCCGAAAGGCGACCAGTAAGATTGCCCTGAAGCACACATGGCTCAACGCCTGCCACACGCCACCCGTGTATACCGATATGCTTTGAAAGGAGGAAAAAAAAGTAGAAGTGAAAATGAAACACGAAAGGTGACCAAGTGCAAGGTACAACGAAGGGTACTAAGAGTGGGTCTTTTCGAAGACGACAAGAAGTGGCTGTGCTTGCTTTGGCAACGCTAGCCAATCTCTGAGCCTCCACAAATCCTTCGGGTTATTTAATCCAGAGAAGTGATCTTTATGGACGTTACACGCTGTAACCGATCGTGTCTCTGTTGTCGTCAAGAACCCTGCCGTACCTGCAACACCAGTCAGTCAGTAAACATGCCATTTACAAAAGCAAGGGTTCGGGAAAACGCACTCTAACAACAGCCTGAAGAACCAGGCCTCAAAGTCCTCCTTTCGCAGCGCCTTCTTTGCCCATTGGCGACCGCTGTCGGCCATATCCCTCGCCATCCGCTTGCCCACTTCTTCGCCCGAAAAGAACCTCATGACCTCAAGCCACTCGTCGCCCTTTAGACTAAGCGGAACGTAATGTTTCCATGGCTGAATCCAATCTGTGTGCCACTCGCGGAAGACAGCAATCTTGTGCACGGCGCTGTGGCTCTCGAGGAAAGCGTAAAAGCGACCAGAGAAGGCATTACCGTCCATGTCCAATAGATGCCTGGCAGTCCACGCCTCCTGAAAGTCGGCCGCATCGACCACGCGGAAGAACTGCCGCTGTGCGTCGCAATCGCCCGGGTCGCACTGCCCGACACCGCTGAAGAGCACATCCACCAGCTCCGCATAGTCTCGGCGCCAGACGGGTTTCGCAGTCCACGTGCCTGGCGAGCCCGACGCTTCTGGTGAGCTCCGTTGAACCATGATGAGCGCCTTTCCGGGTTCGTTAAGCCGCTGCACTACATGCTGTCGGTGCTGTCGGCGCCAGCCACCGTTGCGGCTGAAGCCGCCTGTCGTCGAGCCGCGCCAGTAGAGAGCGTCGGCCTTGTTTTCCCACACCGGATCACGGGCGCCTTCGTAAGTCACTTTACCGTACCAGTACCAGGGACTGGGATAGAGGATGTCTTGGTAGCTGCTGATTTTGCTTTGCGAAAAGATGGGGAAAAGCTCCTGCACAAGATTGAAGGCATTTGGCCGGTCGAAAAACCCAAAGCTAGAGGATAAGGAAGGCGAATTGCAGATATCGGAGAAGGCCGATTGGTTATAGACGAAGCCAAGTTCAGTGAGGGCGTATGCGGTCTGATTGTCCGGCTGGTTCTCGTCGAGGCTACGGGCTGGGCTGTCCGGAGAACAAGACATGCGCGAATGGGTCCAAGTTGCTTGATGGGCGAAGTGGTTAAACCGGGTGAACGGGGCTTCGTCAAGCCGCTTGCCATTGTTCAAGTCCTTTGGTCGCGGTGAAAAAGCGTTCTTGGGCTTCTGATTAGCGGCTGCCATAGGCATACGTTCATCCTTTGCCTTTTTGACGAGGCGCGACAATTCATCGTGTGGAACAACAACCCGAGGTTCATCGTGGATGTTGAATGCAATGTCCATATCCGGCAGGTAGGCGAGGAAGTTCTGGATCATGCCCAGCGTTGCCTCCCTTTGCCAATCTTGACCTCCTTCAATATGTGTCGCTTGCCCGTCCCGTATCAACAGCCCAATCAGAGCATTGTCAGGGTGACCGAGAGCTTCCCTCACGCGCGCACGAATCATGGCTGGCTCGAGCGCCCAGAACGGCAACAGAGAGTGATAAATAGTGTCGTATCCGTCGTCAATGAGTGGAACGCCCTTTCTCTTCGCAAACTCGAACCAACGGTCAAAGTTTGGCGGAGGCGGGATTCCATATCGGCGACGGTATTCGGCGACGGCTTCGTTTAAAGTCTGCGACTGTCTCGCCTGCGTCTGTTGGAAGTTGTTCTCTGCGTCCTCAACCAATTGCTCCACGGGATGTTTGTCTGTCGGGGGTAGCGAAAGAGGCTTGAGAGGTGCGGGGGGCTCGTCGGGTCGAATAAGCGACTCGGGAAGGTCGTATGGACGGAGGGCGGAGCTGCGAGATTGGCGGAGGTAGCTTATCGTTAACCAAGCGAGTGAAGCTACTGTGAACAGTGTGAGAATCTGTCTGACGAACATCTTGTTACGGCCTGGAATCAGGTCGGTAAACAAGACAGCGCCGGCACCACTGTAGATTAAGGCGAACCAAGAAACCTGGAAAGCTGGTGCGACATAGAAGCGAGCCGCAAGTAGGCCTGCAACGAACGTGTAGCCAGCGGAGATGGCACCGATCTGGCGGATCTGTCAAGGTGGGTATTAGCACATGGAGGAGGCAAAGGGCGTGCTCGCGCATGGCGAGTGCCACTTGCAGCCACAGCTCGCCGGTTTGGGACATTTGAGGAATCCGCTAACAACCGACGCGCAAGCAGCAGCCCGTCGGGCGCCCGATCCGAAAAGGGGAGCGTCATCCGGCAAGGCGATAAGATGCAGCTTTCCAGACCATCATCCCTGTATGTACTTACCAGTGCTATGAGCGCCAGGTTCTGTAGAGCTGCCGCAACGGCCATGCGCACGCCCTGCTGCATCGTCCAAAACCACCCCCAAATGCCCATTGACTCGACCCCTCCTGGTCTGTAGTATACCATGTCCAGCCTGAACGATCCGTCAAAGAGGAATGCGAATGCGAAGCACGCCGCCGCCGCAACGGCCGAGGCGTCCTTCAGGGACACCAGCCATGCATCCGTGTTGACAACAGTCATTGCACGCGGGCGCGTAGCTGGCCTAGCATCTGGACTTCCTCCATTGCCCAAGCCCTGCTTGCGGTCTCGTGTGGCTGTGGTGGCCGTCTCCAAGAGCACAAGAGCAATGCTCGTGAGCAGTACGCTGCAAAGGCCCAGCGCTGCGACGGGGCTTGAGACCACAACCGCACTCAGCCCGCCCGCTGCCGATACTGTAAGAATCGCCAACAAGCTCTGAGGGATATGAATACGCGAGTCCTCGGAGCTTTGTGATCCATCGTGTAGCGCGAAAGGTGCGGTCTTGGTGATGATTTCGGAGGCGCGAATCGTGAATATCGTCGCAGGTAACAACGCCTGTCAGGCCGGGTCAGGACATGCTCCGAGAAACAGCGCCGCATGCGGAGGGAGCCAACCTTAGTCCACCATATTCCCTCTGGGTCCCGGGCGGCTTGCTCGCAGACCTGCGCCAACGAGAGCAAGGCCCCAGCAGTCCAGCTGTACTTCCGCCTTATAGCATTCTCCGAATTGTCCCGGATGCCAGTGCGAAGGCTGGCATAAATCCACAGAAAGGCCCAGGCGGTCGATGTGACGAGGAGCGAGTGACTGATGGAGCAGTAGCTGGCAGAGACGGCGGAGGCAGCGATTAGGGCGACAGTAAGCCAGACGGAGGACCGCGCGGAGATGGAACCCAGCTGCGCTACTTGCGGTGGCAGCGCCAGTTGCATTTGGTGCGAAGTGATGTCGGGAAACGGCCAGCTACGGGCCTCTTCATGTCTTGTCGGCGACGCGTCTGTATTGCGAATCACAATCAAGGCTGGAGGCGCCGGGTGGCCATTGCCTTGGCGGTGCGAGGGGTGATGGCTGGACGTAAGCTAGATCCAGCCCGCTCCCGCCTGCAAATGCGCTCCTTTTCTCGCCATTCAAGATGCCAAGCAGCCATCGTCACCAATTGCTCGTGCCGTGTTGTCCGTCATCCTGTGGGCCTCGACGTGAATTTAGGCTTTCTCTCGGGAGCGGACCGCTCAGCCTCATGGGTCGTTTCTGGCTGCCACAGGCCGCCAAGTGCTCGTCTCGGCATAAGCATTGACACATGTGACGGGCTTTTGTGGCTCTGAAAATCTGGGGCGCGTGGCACCTACTGTAAGCCTCGCTGTCCTGGCCTTGCGTAGGTTGATGGCGAAGCCGGGTGAATATGAGCAGCGAGTAGACGGACACACAAAGAGACAATGGTATATACTACCAGAAATTCGCAAAAAATAGGGCTTGGTTGTCCACACAAGAGATGTCAATCTTTTCTCATATTCGCCCTCATCCGGGCCTGCCCTTGTCGTACTCGTATTTGCGTCTGAGCTTCTCTCCGCAAACAACCTCGGGGCTGGGAAAGATCTCCGGCACCGCGCCTCTTTCTACACGGTATTGCCATTGTAGTATCACCAACATCGCTACCTACCCTTGGCAATGACATATCGCAACTGTTTGTAACTCTTGATGCCCGTAAGCGCTAGTGGTGACAATGATCCTAGGCTGTCTATCTCCCGTAGCTCTCTATAAACTCTCGGTCGTTTACCTGACCGCTCATCGTCTAAATGTTATTGTCTTCAGACACTGCTGCCACAAGGAAGTCGGCTCATGCCACCCAAAGTTACAAAAGGCACTCGGTGACTTCTGAGCATGCTTCATACATGCCTGGTCACTTTTGTATTATACTTTGGACAGTGTCGGTTGTACAGGTTGTCACCTCACAAGTACGAAAAGGCCTTGACCGATTCTTTCGGAAAACTATCAATTTGTTAAAGACTAATGTAGAGATGAGATGCCTGCTATTAATATCCCGATAATTACTGTACCTGATGCTGAACGGAAACCCAACCGTAAACTCCCCATTACCCGTTATCAGATGGTAGTCATGCTTCGGCTAAACATCAAACAAAGAGAAAGGTTGTACTTCGCGGGATTGCATTAAATCCTAGCACCGACGATGGAGAAGAAGTTCGATTGTGAGACATGGCTGGCTTTACCAGTCCTCTCATCGAAGATTTGACAGCCAAAGTGCTCCGCATGGGGAGGAGTATAAACTACGGATTCTGTCAGTGTCTGAGTTTCAAAACTGAAAGCAACCCTTACGATGTAGCGAGACTGCAATGTTTTCTGGATCCGAGTTGGAAATTCGGTGAAGACCCAGCTGGTCCGACATGTAGGTGACTTGGTTCTCATGGTACACTGTCTCCTTCTTGATCATCGGAGGTGCTGGCTTCCCTTGCGCGGCAAGTGCCTGATCAGGCCACTCGTACAGGGTTTCTCTCAAAGAACCTTTCAGAACTTTCATCACGCAGTGGGCGTTGGCGTGGCTAGATGGTCTATTAGTGGCGCTGTCGTGAGGTGATTGCGTGCTCAAGGGGGTGCCAACTCATGGATCATCGAACCCTTGCCAGGAGTCCAAACCAGTATGAGCCTACGGGGTCGTTAGTCGCGACCGGCAACCCTGAGATGCAAAAGAGGCAGCAAAGCGTACAGGTTTGATTTGCCATTTCCTTTGTCTACAAGATTCCTAGTGTAGTTTCTGCTCTTGTCGCCCAAGGCGTACCTCTCCCACTCGGCAGATTTGGAGACATAGTTCTTCATGATTTCTTTCAACTGCTCTGGGTCTACGTCGTCCGAGTCTATGCCGGAGGAGGGCCCAAGGACCCTGCTGAGCTCCTGGACAAGACAGTGGAAAGCATCCGTGTCGGCTGCTGGTTTGGAAGCTACCGGCTTTGGGGCCGGGACGGCAGTCTGGGCAGCAATCGCCATGGCTGAACGAGGAGAGATGGGACAGCGGACGGAAAAGGACCAGGCGAATAGAGGAGGGAAGGGTCTGGAGAGTACTGGGACTCTCTCCTGAGTTGCGGGCTAGTTATGCAGTGATATCCGCGGGGGATCCCCCCTCCGGAGCTCCAAGCGACGGGCACGAGACAACTGATACGTGCCTCCGATGACGAAGTCGCAAGTGCGTACACGTCCGTATCAAGGCAAGCCAGGAACGGGAATGCAGTTACACAGTCACAGCAGGAGCCTTTTCTGAGGTCATGCGGCAGCGTCGGGAGTTGAGGCGTGCTAGAGCCTAGAGTTTCCGGGCCACGCTTCTGCAGCCGGCCCACGGCCAAAGCCGAGCCCTGACCCCACTAAACTTCTGATTGGACGTCATTCTTGTCCACGTCCCTCGTCAATTATTTGCACGCGCAGTCTTTGACACTCTTTGCTGCGCAGCCCTAGACGCGTCTATCCGCGACAGCAAACAGCACTCCGGCAACATGTCGACCACCGTGGACAAGGCAAGCGCGGAAACGGCCCCTCACGTCGGCTGCAGCTAACATGCGCATGTACAGATCAAGGAGATCGAGGCCGAGGTGGGTGCCAGTCCAATCGTTCGTTGACAGCGCAGTCGCTGATACCGCTCCTAGATGGCCAAGACTCAAAAAAACAAAGCGACGTCGTTCCACTTGGGTACGGCTCGGCTGGCGGTAGACAAACTCGGACGTGCAGACGGCTGATTGGGCCAACAGGTCAGCTCAAGGCGAAGCTTGCGAAGCTCAAGAGAGAGCTTCTCACTCCCAGCTCCAGCGGTGGGGGTGGTGGTGGTAAGACGGCCTATGAGCCTGGGAAGCGTCAACGATCGAGGGGCTTACATGAATCACAGTCGGTTTCGATGTCGCCAGGACTGGTGTGGCCAGTGTGTGAGTATTGCCAGCCAGCCTACACAACATGATGGCGAAAGACTGACGGTACGGGCAGTGGTTTCATTGGCTTCCCGTCCGTTGGCAAGTCTACACTCATGAGTAGACTGACAGGGCAGCACTCTGAGGCTGCAGCCTACGAGTTCACAACGGTTTGGCGAATCCTTTCCCATGCCTCCGAGATAAGCAATGAACTGACGCCCAAGAACAGCTTACCACGGTTCCTGGCCAAGTCATGTACAACGGTGCGAAGATCCAGATTCTCGATTTGCCCGGTATCATTCAGGGTGCGAAGGACGGTAAGGGTAGAGGTCGTCAGGTCATTGCAGTCGCAAAGACTTGCAACCTTATCTTCATCGTCCTGGACGTCAACAAGCCTCTCACAGACAAGCGTGTCATCGAGAACGAACTTGAGGGATTCGGTATCCGGATCAACAAAAGCCCACCCAACATTGTCTTCAAGAAGAAGGACAAGGGTGGCATCAACATTACCAATACCGTGCCCTTGACCCACATTGATCACGATGTAAGGCCGGCCGTTGCCGCTGCATGCGAAACGGAAGCGCTAACCAGCCGCTGCATAGGAGATCAAGGCGGTCATGAACGAATACAAGATTTCCTCGGCGGATATTGCCATCCGCTGCGACGCCACGATCGATGACCTGATCGATATCCTGGAGGCGAAGAGCCGAAGCTACATTCCGGTCATTTACGCGCTGAACAAGATCGATGCAATCACAATCGAGGAGCTGGATCTGCTCTACCGCATCCCTAATGCATGCCCCATCAGTTCGGAGCACGGGTGGAACGTCGACGAGCTGCTGGAGCAGATGTGGGAGAAGCTGAACCTGCGCAGAGTTTACACGAAGCCCAAGGGCAAGATGCCCGACTACACGCAGCCAGTGGTGCTCCGCGCCTCGGCGTGTACCGTAGAGGATTTCGTAAGTCCATCCTACTTTGTTTGGGGGCCTCCCCACCGTTCTGACTCGCCAAGTGTAACTCCATCCACAAAACCATCGTCGAGCAGTTCAAGCACGCGATTGTGTACGGCAAGTCGGTGAAGCACCAGCCACAGCGCGTCGGGCTCGCGCATGAACTGGCAGATGAAGACATCAGTAGGACCCTCGGCCCCAGGTTTAGGCAGGGCGCGCAGCTGATTTCCATGACTAGTCACCATCATCAAGCGCTGATCGGGTGGGCCATATCAAATACTTGGGCCCGGCAGTCTGGGTGTGGCGCCGAAATTTCGGAGCAGATCAATTTGGACGATTGTCGCGTCCGAGCCCAAAAGGTATGGGAAATGCACGGCGCCCAGGCGTCAATCGGGGAAAGCGGTGTTGGGAGTGGAGTTGCAGGAGCTTACCGAAGGCCCTGTCGGGCTTTTTTATTGATCGACGGCAACGGCTTTTGCGAGGACGTCGACGCCTGACCAGGCCGGACCGCACTGGCCGCCGCGGAAGCAGCGCATTGGCAACACGCACAGGACAGTGCTCTGGAAGCCATGGAGTTATTGCTGTTATTGGACGGGGATTATGCGGCCTGGCTGGCCGTCCATTTGGCGGGTATGGAGGGTCGAAATAACACGAAGATGATCTTCCTGGTTTTGCGGCTTTTTCTTTTTCTCGGCCAGTGATTCGTGGACGTGGAAGAATTGCAGGGGGGGCGCTGAATGCCACGGCCCTCGGCCTCGACGATTCAACAGGCCGCGGCCTCGTCCGGGCGCCAAAACTGACGTTGACTCCGCTTCTTGCTGACACCCGGGCCAGCGCGGCGCACGGCCACCGCTATCATCATGGCTTGATGTGCGACGGCCTGGATTGAGCGCGCCGCCCGCGCAGCGATCTTCGATTCGTGCAGCCAGCCCAGGACATCATCACCAGGCACCGCGCCTCCCTGCTCTCTGACGAAAGGCCGCGCCTCGCTCCCTGGGCGGGCTGGAGTAACACGCCACGCAGCAGGCACAGATCTGGCTGATTAGCCGGCATGTACAGGTACAGCAGGCCAAGTAGCTTAGTAGACGTTCGCCTCGCTTTCCCACTGGCCGCCATGCTGCTATGCCCGATCCACACGCCCCAACTCGCTAATAGCAAGAGTATCGTCTCGCAAGCCCCCCAGCGCGCCGGCAACCCAGCCCTTCCCCGTTTAAACCATTCCCCATATGCCGTCCAGAGCCCAAGCTCGAAACAAAAACAGGGGCCGTTTGTGCATCTCGTCCCGCTTCTGCACCCGCATCGCACCGCACCGCAACGCGCCGGGCCTTACCCTTACTACTACTACTACCACCACCTCGACTCTCTTGCTTGCTCACCGGCTGCACATGTGAGCGCCGTGTTTCATCCTCTTACGCGTCGTTTCCTTGCACCGTGGTGCCGTCGTGTTTCGCTTCGTCAGGAACCATCATCTTTTTTTTCTCCATGCATGCATGCACGCTGCCGCTTCTGTAGCCAGGAACAACAATTGCTCGGACGCAAATGATATTTGACTCCTGATACGGCACCCCGACGAAAAGCACGGTTCGCAGACAAAAAAACATTCAATCAGATGGAAATGGAGCACGAGCAGCACCACGCCCCGGATGCCGGATACCACGACACCACCGGGCAATGGGTCGAGCAGAGCAACGCCTATCCCCACTCGCAGCATCAGTCTCCCGTCAACGAGTACAATGGCTTTGCCTTCACCCCGCTGCCAATGGAGCCCATGTACTCTCATGGCATGCCGCCCCCGCGGACCACTCACCAGCAACTTCAACCTCTGATCATGCCTCAGTGGCCGAGCATGTTGACTGGCCAGTCCAACTATGCTCAGCCCATCTATCCTTCCCCGCCCATACCTCAGCACGCTGCGGCCCCGACGCCAGTGCCCGCGCCATCCACCCGCTCCTCCTCCACGCCCCGGAAGACCCTGACCGACAACGACCGGCGGCGCATGTGTCTCTACCATGAGGAGAATCCGACCGTCAAACAGACAGAAATTGGAGGTGAGCGCGACCAGGGCCGTGTTCAGAAGCGTGCGTGCGGCTAACGGTGTTTTTTTCGAACAGCCATGTTCGGTGTGGAACGAAGGTAAACGCCCGCAAAAGAATCCCGGGTTGCGATGCATGCTGACAGCAAGTAGTACCGTGTCCAAGGTTCTGCGACAAAAGGAAAAATACCTCTACCAAGATGACGGGAGCCGCTCGCCCATCAAGAGGTCGAAGGGCAAATTCCCGGACATTGAACGAGCACTGGCCAACTGGGCCCGAAACCACCAGAAGCAGGGTCTGCCTCTGTCCGACGAGCTTATCAGGGAGAAGGCGAGATTCTTTGCCGCTTCAGTGGGCAACTCTGATAGCCACTTGAAGGCCAACAGCACCATTTGGCTCGAGAAGTTCAAGCAAAAGAACAACCTTTTGGGCGCAAAGTCGAGAAAGAGCTCCGTAGCCGAGGGTTCCGAAGCCTCCAACCCGCCTTCGAACGCGCACACGCCGAATTGCATCTCTCCCACGTCGCCCAACGGAATCACGTCGCCGTCGCCCATCACCCTCAGTTCGGTGAAGAGCGAGGAGAATCTCAAGACGGAAAGCCCCGAGAGCTATGGCGACCTGTCCAACGGTCACCGCCCACTCCACTCGCAGAGCAACACGTCGCTGTCGAGCGTCTTCACCGACGCCGCAGGGTCGACATTTTCGGCCGGTCCCACGAGCCCCACCTCGCCCTTCTTCACGCCCGACTCGGCGTGCGGGCCCAGCCCATTCATGCCCTCGCAGCAGGTGCGGGTCCCACCGGGCAGCAGCAACAACAACAACAACAACAACAACTCGCAGCGACCGCGCAGCCAGACGTTCCCGATAGCGCTGGGGATAGATCCGTACGGGTCGCCGCCGCCGTCGTCGGAGGCGGAGACGCCGCGCTACCTGAACTCGACGACGCTCGAATCGCCCATCTCGGACCCGCCTCTAAGCGGCGGGATGGAGGACGTGCGTAGCGCGCAGCAGACCAAGTCGATGCAGCCACCGCCGCTACCTGCACTTGTGCCGGTGAGCAGTGCGCAGCAGCAGCAGCAGCAGCAGCAGCAGATCAGCCCGATCAGCCCGAGCAACAGCAGCAGTCCGTTCGCGCCGAGCCACGACGACGCACGGCGCGCCCTCGAGCTGGTCATGAGCTTCTTTCAGCAGCAGCCGAGCGGATTCGTCGAGCCCCAAGAATACGTGACGATTGGGCGGTTGATGGAGAAGCTGAAACTACAGCGCGGCAGTAGCGGGGAACAGCTGCCGGGCGGGCTGCACCGGATCCCAGAACAGGAATTTGGGCGCAAGTGAAAGCAGGCGCCAGCTAATTGTCGGCTGCCATGCAACACATGTCCCCCATTTTCTTGACAATTCCCTTTTCTATTAGTCTCACCACCACTGCTTCTTTCTTGACCTTCTTTCTCTTGGCTGTTCGACTATCATCTATTTTCTTTCTCGTTGAACTTTGGCGTACTTGTGGAAATACCACCTCTTTCCAGGCGTTGTTTTCTGACACACACACCATACCACATACATGGCAGAAGACTGGCGCGGCGATGGGAGACGGAAAAGGTGAACAAAGGATATACAGGACAACAAGGCGGGGCGGGGCTCTCGGCACGTATACAACACTCAGGCACATACTTACAGCGTGTGGGATAAATGGACGGATGGATGGATGGATGGATGGATGGAAGCATAACCATCACCACCAGCGGCAGCAGGCAGGCAGGCATCCATGGCTGCTAGATCCACACACGCACACCGCAATTTGTCGGACCGCCTAACAAGCCGATAGTTTCGGGTACATACGGGTGCTAAATTTTCGGACTTCTATCACAGCTCCTTCTCTTATTTCTATTGTCTCGTTATTCCTCTGCTTCTCCCACCACAGCAGTCCCTTGCGGGCCTTCTTCTATTTTGTTGATCTCTTCATTGTCTCCCGTTATATATCTCAGCCCTTGCTTTTGAATCCAGGAACAGGAAGGAAGGACGGGACGTTGATATCCCTGTTCGAGTACGCTGCTTGTTGGTTTTTACTTATTTACTTTTCTTCTACTCCGTATATCTCTCCCACGCGGCCGACCGAAGCATACTCATACTCGGCGTCTCCTTGGTTTAGCTAGCTGCTATCTACGCACCCAGCACCACAGCACACCACCATTCGAACTTTCATTGCTTTTTCCCCACCACGTCTTTTTCGCTTTTTCCTTGCAAACAAACACCTTCATCCTCGCCGCACGCAAGAACGAGTACCTAGTTGATCAGCACGGCGCGTGCGCTTGCGCCATTGTCGGACGGTCGGTTGTCGTCGTCATTTAAAGGGGACCTGTCACATACAGATTGGAACGCGGAGGGCAACACCAGCAGCAGCTACGCAAACGGCAAAAGCAAAAAAACGACCGACACAAAAAAAGAAAACAAAAAAAAGGTATACACAAAAAAAGAATCGTTCCGCTCGCGCGGGCCCGCATCTTTTCTCCTCCTCCAACCATCCCATCCGCTTTTTTCCTCCCGCTTGTCTTGGCTAGGCGGTTGGTCGTCTTGGGCGGGTGTTGCTGTCGTCATGGTTGCTGCGCTTTTCTTTCTTTCTCTGGCCTGGTCTGGTCTGTCATTTTGTGTGCGTGAGAGACGTCGGTCGATAGCGTGCGTAGTGCGGTGTGGTGTGGTGTGGTGTGCGCACTGTAGCATACGACGTAGCATAGTATACCTAGCATACCTAGCATAGCATAGCGTGCGTACGCAGCAACTACCTAGACTACGCCTCTCTGTCCATGCCATCCTATCCATTCATTCGTCCCCTTTCCTTCCTTCCGCCCACTCGCTCAGCTCGCCTCGTTCGCGCTCGTCCAAACGCCAAAACGCTGCGTGCCACACGGTGCGACCACACGGCCCGTCATCTGCGTCACCCACCCGCTCTCGCCCGCTGCTGCCCGCTGCCCGCCGCCGTGCCCGTGGCTACCCGTTGCGAACCGGTGGGTTCGGGGCGTGGTGTTTGTGTCGCACTCGCGGTCGTGTGGGTGTGGGTGTGGGTGCTGGTAGAGGTAGCGGTACTTGGGGGTGTGTATGTTTGTGGTTGTGCTGTAGAGAGGCAGTTACTGTTGTTGCTGCTGCTGTGCTTGCTTGCGTGTTTGCGTGTTCTGCTGTATATTTATCTATACCGTGACTATTTCTCCTCTCTCTCTCTCTGCATTACTATTAAGACTTCTCCCCGCTCTGCTACGCCAACCTCTCGTCCAGCAGCTCGCCCGCCCCCTTCTCCACGAGCTCAGGCATCAGGCGCGCAACCACCAGCTCCACAATGCCGAATACAAGGTGTTTGTTCAGGTACGCGTCGCCAAAGACGTCCAGCAGCGCCTCGACATCAGCCTGCATGGCTTCGGCGTCGGCACCTCCACCGTTACTAGCAGCAGTACCGACGTCCCACCCGCCCAGCCTCCCCCGTCCAAACACAAGGCGCCGCACGACGGGCGGCAGCGCAGCCAGCAGGGCTTTGGCGGCGCGGGCGCGCGTAGCCGCTGCTTCTGTTTTGGTGGGCGGCGGGGGTCGCGGGGCGCCTGGGGCGTTGTTGGGGAAGAGGGAGGCGCGCAGGGCACGCAGGGCTGGGGGGAGGTGGGCGGGGTCGAGGAGGCGGGCGCGGAGGTGGTGCGAGAGGAGCCTGGAGGGGGATGTTAATGGTGATTGGTGGTGGGGATGAATGGATGGGTGGTATGATTGGCATGCGCGACGATAAGGAAGGCGCAAGGGGGGATGAGTGTAGACGAGGAAGGTGCAGGACATAGACAAGGAAGGTGCAGGACATAGACAAGGAAGGTGCAGGTCAAGTGACCGACAACGCATGCGGAGCTAGCGAGAGAGGGAGCGTCCGAACTTACTTGTCCAATGGCCCGTTTGTGTCACCCACCCGCCCCGGCCCGCGCATCACGGCCCATTGCGCCAGCCCCAGCATCCCCGCCGTCCACGGCATGCGCCCGTCCATCTCCAACACGACCCCCGCCAGCGTCCATGCCCTCATGCTTACCACCGGCACCGGCTGAGATGCCCACTCGCCTCGCCCGCCCAGCCCCGGTGCCGCCAGTCCCGCCAGCACCACGCTGCGCAATATACTAAACGCCACAAACAGAATCTGGCACACGCTCCAGAAGCCCGCGCTCCAGAAGACCCAGCTGCGCCAAGCCTCGGGTTGTTGCTTCTCGCTCCTTGCACTTAGCAGCCCAAACTGCTCCAGCCGACTCGTCGCTTTCTCCTTGTCCAATTCTTCTTCTCCCTTCTCTTTCCTCTGCTGCAGTGCCTCGGCCACCTTTTCAACCGCCTCCCACAGGAACCAGGGCTCGGCCATTTTGGAGCCGACGGCCCCGCCGATGATCATCTCGGCCACGATCTCGCCGACGAGGGCGCGCAGGCACGCGTTGTCCAGGTCCTCGGTGGGCAGCAGCACGGCCAGCACGCCCTGCACGAGCAGCTGGCGCCACGCGGCCTCGTGTTCCTGCTGGGCCAGCAGCTGGTCGGGCGACGCAGGCACGGGGTCCAGGGCCGGATGCGGATGCAGCGTGTGGTAGATATGGCGCGGGTCGGGGGCGAGGGCGTCGGCGTGCGAGCAGCGGTGGGCGAGGCGGTGGGCGTCAAAGTGCTGCTCGAGCAGGGCGGGCAGCTCGTCGAGCAGCAGGGCCTCGAGGTCGACGTTGCGCACGCGCTGCTCGAGGGCGCGCGTGCAGTGGGCTATGATCTGGAGCACGCTGTCGACAAAGGCGTGGTCGGGCGTGATCTTGGCGTACCACGCGTAGACAAAGTCCTTGATGATGACGGCGATGATGGCGTACAGCTGCAGGTCGACGTCGTTGGAGCTGGTCAGCGGCGGCAGCAGCTCGTCCAGCGCCGGGCGCCGCCCCTTGTCGTCCGACGGCACATGGTGGGCGCAGAGGACGCGGCGCACAAAGGCCGTCGTGGCCTTGTCCGAGAGGGCGTCGACGGGCTCGGTGGGAGTTCTGGCGGGTTTAGGGCGGGCATTGGTCGTGGAGCGCTGCGGCATGGCGTCACATTGCTCTTTTGTCTAGGATTTGGTATTTACAGTAGTAGGACTGGTCGTAGGTTGTCTGTTCCTTCCACACCACATGATCGGCGCCCCATCGGCCCGTCTCCAAGCTATCACCACCACCGACAGCCATCATCACCACCACCACTAACCACCAACAATGGCTCCCGACAATGCCGCCTCGCTCAATCAAATCGACGGTACTTCTCCTCCTCCTCTCTGCCCTCCCGACTTGCGCGCTAACCCCACGCCCTGCACTGCAGAGCAGCTCAAGATCGTCGTGCAAAACCTGTTCAACCTCGTCGTCGACGTGCACGACCACCAAGGCAGCGCCACCGAGGAAGCCATGAAGGCCGAAGCCACGTCGCTGCTCGCCAACCTGCTGGCCCTGTCGCGCCGCGCCCGCGCCCTCAGCCTCAGCATCCCGCCCGAAATCATCACGTACGTCGAGAACGGGCGCAACCCGGACATTTACACGCGCGAGTTTGCCGAGCTGGTGCAGAAGAACAACCAGAAGCTGAAGGCCAAGGCCGAGGCCTTTGCGCAGTTCCGCGACATCTTGGCGGGGAAGATTGGCGTCGCCTTTCCCGACATGCGCGACGACGTTGCGCGCGTCGTGAGGAACACGGGCGGAGACGCGGATGCGGCGCTGCGGACGTAGGCACCTGCGTTCGTCGAGAGGGCGGGCGGGCACGCTCGCGCCCCTTCCAGCGCCTTCTCGCCTCTTGTCTTCTCCCTCTCCCTCTCTCTCGCTCTCTCCCGTTGTAAGCGCCGCAGCGGGTCCTCAGGCGGCCTGGTTCATCTCGCGCTTTCTCCACAACGCTCTCCACCCCACGCCAATCCCGACATAATCCCGCGCTGCTATTAGTCTTTTTTTCTGTGTTCGCGCCGAAGCGCCTTCACGCCCTTTATAGCCCCCCTCCCCACTCCCCGAACATGCCGCCTCGGCCCCCCGAGAAGCCGCCGCTCTCTAGACTCTCGGCCGTCGCCGCCCGGATCGGCACGCGCGTCGATGGCGCGTTCGATGCGATTATAGGGCACGGGTGTGCCACGCACGCACGCGGCACGGCGGGATGAGCGCTGCGCCTGCCTGGACCCTGCCTGGCCCTGCCGTGGTAGGAGCAGCTCACTCGCATGGATCGTCAGGGCCTTGCTCCACCTTGCCTTGCTTGCTCTCTCTCTCTCTCTCCACTCCACTCCACTCTAGGCCGTCGACCATTTCTTCACAATTCACCTCTGACCCGTGATCCCTGATCCTTGGAACATGGAACATGGAACATAGAACATGGAGCATGGAGCATGCATGGAGCATCCCTTCCCTTGTTCGTTCCCGTCGGCTTCGTTTCTTCTCGCCCCGTCTGGCCCGCTCGCCTCAAGGCCTCATCTCGCCTCGTGGGGCCTCGGATCCCGGGAAGGATGCTTGCACACTGCCTTGCCTTGCTTTGTGCTTTGTGCTGGCTGGCCAGACTCGCTCGACTCTCGACACGGCACGGCATCGCACACATATGCGAAGTACGAGCCGCCGCCGCCGCCGCCGCCGATCCTGCCACTGCCGCTGCCGCTGGCGGAGCCCCGGCTGCGCGTCCCGCGAGATGAGAGGATGTGCTATGGGGGGAGGGGAGGGGGGTGTTGTGTTGTGGTGGACACGCTGGCGCCGTTATGCTGGCTATGCCGTGCCCATGACGCGCGTGCGTGGTGGACCGACAGGGTTAACTAGGTCCTGTTTGTGTGTATGTATGGGCAGGGAGGGAGAAGTGAAGAGGAGGGGGAGGGGGAGAGGAGGCAGGGAGAGGGGAGTGTGGCTTGCTTGCTTGCTTGTTCGCTTGCTTGTTTGATTGCTTGCGTACGGGGTCAGCGAGCGAGCGGACGGACGGATGGATGGATGGACGGGTGGACAGGGAGGGATAGGGACAGGGAGAGCGTGAGGTGAAGGTGAGGCGCGCGGCTGCTGCTGCTGCTCTCCCTGTTCAGGGGGATTGTTGGTTGTGCACTGTTGACGGAAGGAGAGAGGAGAGGAAGGAGTGGCGGTGCTACTGATGCTGCTACTACCGCTGCTGCTGCTTGGGGTGGTCCTACCCTACCCTAGAGTACCTACCTGCCTGCCTGCCTGGGGCAGATGTGTGTGCGGGCGGGCTGTGTGTCTGTGTGGGAAAGAGCATGAAAGAGCATGAGCATGAGTATAAGAATGAGAGGAAGGCTGTTGTTGAGGTTATATATATATATATATATGCTTCTTGACGATGGAAGGGAGGGAGAAGTGATAGAAACACCTCCAGCCCGTATATAGAAGTAGGAGGAGGAGGAGGAGGAGGTAGTATAGAGAAAGTATAGCGTCCTTTGTAAATCACTGTGCTGCACTGTTCTACACTACGCTGCACTACACTGCATGTAATATACGACGCCGCACGCAGCAACCAGCCTACCACACACTCTTCAGTGACGTATTCCCTTTTCCGGCTGTCTACAACCCCGTCGCATTCTACTCTCTTCTAGACACACGCCACCCGGGCACCTTGGCAACTCAGATAGAAAAAAACCCATTCGGAGGCACAATGCCGCATTACCCGGTGGAGTTTACCTCACAGCCAATACTATTCGCCATAGTCGTGTCATGTCATGTCATGTCACCTCTCTGATTGGAGTTGGGAGCTTGGCGTGTGAAGATGGTGGTGTTTGTATATGGGTATGGGTTTTGCGTATGCACACGTCCGTCTATATCGGGCGTCTCTGCAAGTGTTTCTTTTTCCTTTTTTCCTGTCTAGTCGTACGCGCGCGCGTGTGTGTGTTTCTGGTTTATTTTGATGTTTTGGTAGCCTTCAAGCGTGGTGAGCTATTCGATACCTCCCCGATGGAGGAGTATGCTACACCCATTTTATGCCCTCCCCTCTCTTGCCCCTCTTCCCTACCACCCCCCTCCCCCTCCTAATGCCGCCAAATCCGCACAGCCTTATCCTTCCCCCCGCTCGCCACGCCCTTCCCATCGGGGCTCCAATCCACAGCATAAACCTCGTCCAGATGGCCCGGCAAATCATTCGCGATCCTCCCCGTCCGCACATCCCAAGCCTTGAGCGTGGTATCCTTGGACGCCGACACCAGCAGCCGCGAGTCCGGGCTAAAGCAGCACTGGTAGACGGGGGCGACGTGGCCGCGCAGCGTGCTGATGAACGCGCCCGTGCTCGCGTTCCACAGCTTGACGTGGTTGTCGAAGGCCGCGCTCGCAATGTACAGCCCGTCCGGGGAGAAGGTGACGTGGTTGACCTGTTTCTGGTGGCCGAGCAGGCGCGCCAGCGGCTTGGTCTGGGTTGAGGGCTCCCAGAGGTACATGGTGAAGTCGTCGGAGGCGGAGACGAGGCGCTCGACGAGGGCGCCGTTGACGGAGGCGGCCTTTTCGAAGCGCGAGCGGGCGCGGGCGACCTTTTCTTCGTCCGTCACCGGCGGCTTCTCTTGGTGGTGCTCGTGGAAGGCGGTGCGCAGGACAAAGTCGGTCGACAGGGCCAGGTGGTTGACCCAGTGGGCGTGGGCGCTCAGCGTGTGCCGCAGGGTGCCGTCGCGAGCGTTCCACACCTTGACCGTCTTGTCGTGCGAGGCCGTGTACAGCAGCCCCGTGCCGCCCCATTTGACGCAGCTGACGGTGCCCTTGTGCCCGCTGAGCACAATGTCCGCCTTCCGCCCTACCGCGTCCCACACGCGCACCGTCGCGTCCTTGCTCGACGACGCCAGCCGCGGCCGCCCCGGTTCTTGTAAATGGTACGGCTCCCACGCCACGCTGGTGATCCACTTGGTGTGCCCCTTCAGCGGCCCGCCCAGCGCCGCCCCCGTCTTCGGATCCCACAGCCGCACCGTGTTGTCCATGCTGCCGGTAGCAATGAGGTCGCCCGCGGGGCTCCAGCTCACCACCAGCACCCAGCTCGTATGGCCCTTGAGCGTATGCGCCGGGGTATTCGTATCGCAGTCCCAGACGCGGGCGGTGCCATCGCCACTGCCACTGACCATGCGGCTCGAATTCGCCGGGCTAAACTGCGTCGCCAGAATCGGCTGCCCATGGCCCGCAATGGCCGCGCTGCACCGCGACACGGCGCGCACGCGGAACACGGCCTGCGGCGCATACTGCAGCGTGATCTCCGTCTCGGTCGTCGCCTTCCCGCTCTTGACCAGCGCGCTCCACAGGTCCGCCCCGTCGCCCAGCGCTTCGCCCCGCTCGCCCGCCGCCCCCGCGTGGAAGAAGCGGTACGGGATCCGGTCGCCCGCCTCGTCGTGTCCTTGCAGCGCGTTCAGCAGCGTCTCTAGGTTCTTGACTTGGGCTTGTGCGAGCGGCACCGATACTACCGGCAGGTCGCCGCTCTCGCCCGTCGCTTGGTCCACGAATTTGACTCGCACGCTGCCCTCTGGTATCTCGGGCACTGCTTGCTGCTCGCGGGCAAAGGCCGCCGCGGCCGTCTTTTGCCGTTTGCTGGGCGGTGGTGGTACGGTCGCCATGGTGAGGAGGTTTGGGAGTCGGGGCCCGAGAGGTGTGGTCGAGGTTGTTGCAAAGTTTCCTCGGGCTGGAGGTCTTTGGATTGGCGTCGCCAAAAAAGTTCAGCCCTACCCGCTTGGACCACCGGCATTTGGCCGCTTTCCTCCGACGCCTCACACAACCTATCCGCGCGCCTAGTCTTTTGTGCAAATAGGCAGCCTAGGAATAAACGACCCTCTCCATTCGCACTGCACCGTAGCAGCAGCGGCAGCTAGACTACCCTACCAGCCCCCATTCGCCAGCCAGTCCCTTTCCTGTCCTTCCCATCCGTTCCTTTCCTTTCTTCCCGTCCTTGTATTCCTGTTTCCCTAACCCTTTCCATTCCTGTTCCCACCCACCATGTCTTACTCCTCATAACGCGCTCTACTGCCTGCCGTGTGCATGTGTGCGTATGTGCGTGTGTAGTGCCGCCCCTGTCTGTCTGCATGTCTGCGTTCCAATCCCCATCCCATCCCATCCATCCAAGCATCGCCCAATTAGTAGACGCAAACCCGAAACGCAAAAAAGAACGTCGAAGCATAATGGAAGATGATGAGGACGGAGGGAATGCAACCGAGTGCTGCCTGTCAGGCTGCCAAGCAGGCCCACGGCATCCCTCATCCTCGGTGCATCCATCTTCCCGCAACTTTAGCGCCAGCCCAGATGATTGATGCTGATGATGACGATGACGATGACGGTAACGGCTCCGACTCCAACTCCAACTCCGACGACGGCGACGACAATGACGATGATGCAAACCAGAATGAGAGAAACAACAACAACAACAAAAACTGCAGATCCAGAACCCTGCGACTGCGAGCCAGAGAGATGATATGACGCCGTGCACCGCGGGAGGGAGCCCAAGAATCAACTAAGGGGAACGCCGGTCCATGATGCAAAATCTTTAAGTAGTTGGTCGATTCGCTCGTTGGTGGCGACGAGCGTGGTAGTAGAGTGACGTGTGAGTGAGGGGGCAGGCACTGCCGGCTGTACTGTGTGCGTGCCTGCCTGCGTGGCTGCGGAAGTATGTATACGTCCGTGAGTCGCTGCTCGCGCGCGCTACCGGAAGCTCCACACGGGGAAGCTGCCGCCGCCGACCGGATTTAGCCGTAGGTGCTGGTACGGGCTGCTCTGCGGGTCGTAGTACAGACCCTCGACGGCACCGTCGCTGCGCCGCAGGCACACGTAGTAGAAGCCGCTGATGGTCAGGCCGCAGCCGTCCTCTGTTGTTTCATGGTCTTCGTCCATGCTGTCGCTGCCGCTGCCGCCGCCAACTGCGCCACCCCCTTCGTCGCTGTCGGGACTCAGAAACGGGTTAGTACCGGGGCGGCGGCGTGCTCCTACTGACTTGACGAAGCAGCGTTCTTTCCATCGCATCAATATCCATTCTTGCGCTAGCTTCGTAACGTATTCATGGCTGACGAGGCTGTGCACGAGCTCCTGGTCGCGGAGGTGGGCGAATGGCGGCAATTTGCGCCAGTACGTGGCATCTGTCGAAGGAGAGGACTTGAAGGATTCGGTTAGAAGCGTGTGGGTATGCAGATCCAGTATTTCGCCCTCGAGGTAGGTTGTTATGCTAGAGGTTCGAGGAGGAGGACGGGACGAGTTTGTCGGATCTGGAGATGATGCTGACGTGCTGGCAGGTTCGGCGGGGTTTAAGATGTTGTTAGGGAAGGAAGTAGGCGGGTGCGACGGCACGTTGTAAGCTTCCATGGTCGCGGACAGTGTCATGTTCTCCCAGTCGACAGCATGGATGGTAACTTTGACGGGCCAACGATCCTGCTGCTGCGTCTGATGGGAAGGAGCATCGGGCGTGCGGCGGGGATGTGGCGGAGTAGGACTGTGGGCCATCCAAGGCCGTGACGGGTCGAACGTAGTAGATGTCATGGGAGTTTCATTATTGCGGAAGCGGTATAGGGTTGTGGACGTGGCGGTAGGGATGGAAGAGGGCGCATTTGATGTCACGGTCGTAGCATGCTGAGAGCCGGAGAAGACAGCTCCCGGTGCGAGCCAGGACGTCTCTGCGGGCCGAGGTAGGGTGCTGACGTCCAGAATAAAGTCATTGTGGTTATCGTTGCCAAAAAACTCTTTGTTGACGAATCCGGCATCCACGGCGTAGTATAAGCTGTCGTCGTAGGAATCAGAGGAGCGAATCTTCGAGAGGTATTTGATCGTCTGCTCAAGCCATGGCGACGATTGGGAGGTGTTGCTGCCGGAAGGATTCTCCAGGAAATTTCGCCGGTACGAGTAGATTGCTCGGGCGTCCGCGTCCTGGCGCTCGGTTGAGCGCTCTGGGGGATGCCAGGGAAAGCGACTGCCCGGAGCGTTTGGAAAACCCGTGGGAGCGACAAATGGGTTCTGCGGCCGATCTGAACTCCTCGAAGCGGCCTCTCGCTCAGCGACATAACGCTGCATGTTTTCCCGCGCTCTTGCATTCGTCCTCATGTACCTGCGTGACTGGGTGGAGCGTAATGACGACTCCGACGGCTGAGCTTCCGTGTTCGAGTTATATCGCGATAGATTGGACCTGCTCCTCGCCTCCCTTAGCGCCTCGAGTTGCGACCTTCCTACTATTGTCAAGATATCTGGGTGTGTGTTGGGTTGCTGCTGACGCAGCTCTCGGAGCAGCCGTGTCTCCTCGTCCTCGCCATCGCGCTCGTCGGGTGGCGACCAGTCATACAGAGTGTTCCGGGTCGGGATCCTGTCGCCGTAGGCAGCGTCTTCCATGCGGCTGAGGCGATTGAGCACACGGCTCAGGCGCAGCTGGCGCTCGCGATCCTCGTTCTGTAGCTCTGCGGTCCGCTGCCTCAGGCGTTCGCGGGCACTGCGCACCTCCTCGTACAACTCGTCCTCGGCGGCGGCGTTCTGCTGGCGCCATTCCTCCTGCGGGTCGACGGGCCGGCGCAGGAAGCTCACGTTGTCCTCGTCGACGGCGTCCTCGGCCTGGGTGGTGAGGGTGGCGGCCAGATTGATGACCTGGGGTGACACGGGGCTTTCGAGTTGACGCAAGGCGGACAGGTACGAGGGAGGGGTCGAGGGCCGCGGTTGGGGAGGCTGCGAGGGACGTCAGAGAGGCGAGGCAAGGTTTAGGTCGGGGCGCGGCTTTGAGCGGACGTACCGTGGGCTGCGGACTGGCCCGCGAGGAGGGTGGCGGCATGGCGATGCTATGCGAAGGTGCAATGATGGAGATCAGTCGTGCTTAGGAGATCAAGAGGCATCGCGGGTCAGGTCGCATGCTGGTCCTCGAAACGGGACAAAACCAAGTCAAACGGCAAACGGCAGGGACGACACAAAGGCGGCAGTCGCGAAAACACCGTCCGCTGGGGCTGATGGCCGATGTCACGATGCGGGGTCGACTTTGGATGGTTCCAAACAAAGCATTCACTACGTTCACTTCCACTCGCCGCGACTGACGTTATCGCATCCGGCCGCCCGTTGCCCAAAGCGCTACCACATTGGTTTTATTAACTTTAGCGTGTATAGGAAGTCCTGCTCCCGCCCCAGCATCCGTTTCCCCCCTCATTCAATGAAAAAGGCCTCTCCAGACTAGCTGGAGGATAGGAGATGACCCTATCAAGCCCGCGCGCAGCCCGGATGGGCCGTTGGATCGCCGTCTTCCGCACGCGGCAAGACGCATTCCGCAAAGACGCCCCTCGCAGAGAGGCGCCCCCGGCCATCCAACGCCCCTACATCGCCTACTGCGCGCGTGGCTGAACACTATACAAGCATCCCAGATGCGTACAATGCTCGTGTGTCGCCGCCTGCCCACTGCGTTCCCGCTGGCACTCAATGCCAGTCTGGGCAAGCAGGACGCCCGCTGCGTCGAGGGATGGCATGCCAGTCGCGCTCGAGGCCGCGGCCGTCCCAAATAAAAAAAAACGACGTAAAGAACAATGGGTTAACCGAGTGTGCCCGCCCGATGTAGCCGTGAGGCTGTTACCCGTCTTTAAAATGCAACGACATGCAAACCTCCCAGAGATGCAAAAAAAAGGAAACAAGGAAAGCAAAATGCCAGGCTCGGCCGGCGCGTGTACAGAAAAGCAAAAACCAAAATCAAAAACTCGCTCGCTAAAATGACAAACACGCAGTGGATATCAAGGAGACGAAAGGAAATGTGTCCGAAAGGATCCGCTAGCAATCAAAAACGCCGTCCCATGCCGAGTGGGTCATGACGTGACAAGTAGACATCAAGTCATGCAGTGTCGCATCTCATCTCGTGAGTAATCGTAAGGCTACCCGGATAAGCCCCGAGGCGCGTGTGGGTGGGGAAGGCAGCTTCGTGGAGGAGCGACTGGCCAGATCACCTGCTTCTCGAGCTGTCGTGTGTCAGAGCGTGAGGTTGTTGAGCGTTTTTACATGGCGGTGGCAGCGGCGGCATACGAGGGTGCCCAGTCGTTGTAACCCCATCCAAACGCTCCAGCACCGAAACCAGAGTACGAGGGAGCCGGTCCACATTGGTTGATCAGGGTGCTCGGGAACAACGACGGCACCGGGGCCTGGATTTGCGGAGGGCTGTAGTAGGGGCCCGACGTGCACATTGGCTGGCTGAAGGAGGGCGTCGGAGAGGGAAGCTGGAAGTCGTTCATACCCGCGCTCCAGTACGTCGATTGGTTGTCGGCGCAGGTGGTAATCGGCGGGCTAGGAGTCGACGGTACAACCCTCCAAGAATCAACCGGGGCAGGGTGCACCGGCGGCCCCTGCTGAGGCGAGTGCCACCAGTTGCCAACGCCTTGAGAGGTCGGGAGCATCGGGGCAGGGCGAACGATGTCGACGATCCTGGGAGGAGGAGGAAGAAGTGGATGGAACAGACCCATGATGGCGCCCTTGACCTCCTCTCCTCTGCCTTCCAAAAGCTCGCCAGCACCATCTTCTTCGAGGCCTTCCAAAGCGCGAACGCCAGTCCTAAACACGTACTTGTTGACGGCTTGGACAAACTCGTCCTGCAGCTTCTTCAACTGGGCGTCCTTTTCAGCCCAAGACCACGTGTTGGCAGCCACGTCGACCGAGTAAATATCCTTGTGGTACTCGATCAGTGCTTCAATAGTCTCTGGGGTGAGCTTGAATGCGACCTCATGCTGCGACACCATGTCAACATGTACCACGTAAGCCTCGATCTGGATTAGCTGGTAGTTGAACATGGCCTCAACCAGCGGGTCGGGATCCCTCCGGAGCTCCGAATCAGGAGCCTTCGGGAGCATGAGGGAGCACAGAGACCAGATAGCCGCGGAGCCGGACAGCGTCTCGGTGAGACAACGATAATGTTGTGGCACGCTGTTGAGCGGACGCTTTATGCGGTTTATGCGCTTCAGCGTCTGGGTTAACCACGGTTCAACCTTGGAGCTGAGGACGATGGTCGGCGCAGAGCGGGGCGCAAAGGCCTGGGCAGAGGCGGGTAGTAATGATATGGGCATGGCGGGCTGTCGTGATGAGTAATGCTCGGCGAGATAGGACGCTTGAGAGTAGAGAAGAGTCGGACAAGAAAAAGAAAAAAGAAAAAGAAGAAGGTTGTTGCTTTCGGCGGTCCCAACGAGGGAAATGGTTTGCGCGCCCAGGGTTGGAGAGAGAGAGAAGGATAATGACGAATGAGAGGGGGAGGAAAGGGGGGTGCGGGAGGGTGAAGGGTAAGGAAGCCTGGCAGTGGGGTGGGCATTTGCTTTAAGTCCCGGGTGGATCTGGTGGAGTGGCCGACGGTGGTGGCCATCGCTTCTGGCTGGGGCTGGGTGCGTGCAGCGCTGACCCTTTCGGCAAGGCTTGCATTGCGCCAGGCTTGTTCAATCGTGCAGCTGCCCTGGAGGCCTATGCAGGACTAGCAGCATCCGAGCTGGACCGCGCTGGACATGCATACGCGTTTTCCGGCGACTGCGCGTCTGTGTCGGTTCGCATGCAAGAAATTACGACATGCTGCTGCTGCTGCTGCTGCTGCTGCTGCTCGTTGCTCGTGGCGGCGAAACTCTGAATGCCCACTGCCCACACAGCCCACAGCCCACAACCCACAACCTAGTCCAGGCCCTTTCGACGGCCGGAGACATGGCCAGGATCACGCTTGGCTCCTGCCCCACCGCCAACGAGTTTATAATTGCGAATCTTCTGGGCCGAGTGCGGGAACCGCGGGCCCGCGAGGCGCAACTGTTCTGTCTCTGATGACGCCCGGAGCCGGAATACGGCAGCCAATGCACACCTATGGGTGCTTGCTACACGCCCAAGGGGGGTGGCCGAGATCACTGGCGCATCCAAGGCCTCCGACCTTCTCAAAAGTGCTTCCAGAAGTCTTCCATGTCGCCGGAAGCTGATCGCACACCCAGACGGGCGTGACTTCCTGATCGGGTAAGCAGAAAGCCTAGCTCGGCGTGTATGTTCGGCTTGTCTCTCTCTCGTCTTGCCGTAAGCGTGTGGTGGGAGGCTGTCAGCATGTTGTGCAAAAGCTGGATAACAGGTTGTCGTTCGCTGAGGCTAAAAAGTGGTCGTTCGACACTCGGCCAATCAGAGGGCACAGACTGGGATGCGCTCTGGCATTCAACGGCCTCAGACCCCGGCAATCCATGACATGTGATGGCAGCATCTCATCTCAAAAATACAAGTACTACAGCACGGCGCCTGCTGAGGCATCGCATGACTGAGCCTGTGCAGACTTGTCCTCGTTCATGCCGGTGGCACCCTCGGACATCAGCGAGAGCGCGGGCTCGGGCATCAAAGACATGAGGCTGTGCTCAGCGTTGCAGTGGCGCGTAGATCTCGGCGTCGCCATTTTTTGCCCTGCGAGATGTGCACACCTATTGTACTCTCTCCCTCCAATCCCTCGCGGCCGGCCGAGACGGCAGCCAGAGGGCCGTGATGCTCGGTGACAGATCGATCACTCCCGATCGCTGCCCGCGCCGCCAAGGAGTATGGTGGCGGTGATGGGCGAGCATGACGCGCGCCTCGAGCAGCGGTTGCAGACCCCAGATTTACCTATCGACGACCCATAGTCGTGGTATTATCGATAGCTATCCATCCATCCACGGTGTTTCGTGCGACACCGTTTCACCATCTGCAGCAGTTCAAGCAGGCTGGGATCGACGGCAGCCATATGCATCCACTGCGCCTCACATCGTCATGCCAATGAATCTTCGTTGCCCGCGTGTGCCCCTCCGTGTGCTCAGATCCCCTTGCATGGCGTTAAACCTTCAGCTGAGCAGGGTACAGCGGAACTGGAGTCGCTGAGGATCAACCGCCGTGCCGAAGGCCGAGGCTACCCAGTACCCACACCTTCACAGCCTCACTTGGTCTTTTTGACAACACCGTACCGCCACTTCTCAACTCTCGTCATCGACTTTTCTTGACAAGTGACGCTCGCCTGTGTGGCTGAGGCCGACGACGTTTCAAGATCGGCACGTTGGAGTCATTGCTGCAGGCGCAATGCCTTCACCGCCGCCAGCACACGTGTCTGACTCACCGTGGAGGGAGGCGTTGAGAAGGTACGAGAGTTGACACGAGCAAGGAAGGGAAAAAAAAAAAAAATCTTGTATACACACACATGGCGAAAACCCTTTTCCCTCTTGATGCCCGATCGGATCCCGCACTTCTCTCGTAATGCCGCCGCCGATTACTTCGCTTGTTGGTGGCGCAAGGATCGCAGAAGCCACTCGCGGCCTGGATGAGGCGAACCTCGGACATGCCGACCTGACTTCATCTCTCTGAAAATCAAACACCGACTGCTTTGGAGAGATGGAGATATGGATGGCCAGCCCCGCTATGAGTGCGCTGGCAGGTGGCGAGGATCGTCGTTGTCCGGCGGCAACAGTAGCATGCGCGCATGCGGTGAGTTTTGGGCAAAGACCTGATCGTTTGGCAGTCATCCCATCGTTGTCCTTTGCCTCATCTCTCTTCAACCTCGGCGCGGCCTTTGGGTGCGTTGTCGATGGCGCGCGCGGCTGCGGGTAAGCTGGAGGGCATCGTACTGTACCTACAGTACAGTCAACGTGTCCTAATGAGCAGGAGCACTCCGGAGCTCAGGTGAGACTTCTCCTTACAACGCGGAACCGCCGGGAAGCCATCTCCTGTCCATCAAATGGATATAGTCTAGGCGTTATGGGTGGTGCTCGCTTTTTTAAATCTCCTTGCCAGTCATTCTCTGTTTTTCGTCAATTTCACCCCTATCTATACAGTTATCCTGTTGCCTGGGGGCGTTATGCTTTCATTTCACTGCATGTATACACCGAAAAGACGTTGGCAATTGCTCCCTTTGTAGACATGGACAAGTCCAGCTCATAGTCTGCTTAAGCCAACTCCCCTGGCATAGCTGTCATCTGATGTATTTACGAACCATCAGAGGCCATACTAACCTGTTCGATTCCCGTCACTAACTAGTTTACAGAGCCCATATCGGCTATTGTGGTGTCTCCTGACTGCCATTGATTGGGATATGCAGACCAGAGAACCGAGAACCGAGATATCGTGAACAGAGTTCTATGGGATTTGCGCCAATGTCTTTATCAGTTCACTTTCCTAATTCGGCCAGAGGCGAGGTCTCGTGAACAGCTACGCCATTTCGCTTCAGCGAGAGACTTGCGAGGTTTGCATGATGCTTTTTCTTCAAATTGCAGCACTAAAACTATATCACGAACCAAAGCAGTAAGTGAAATTCATCTTCTATCATGTGGTCTACGTAGTATGATGGTTATGCTTTCCTCTCAAGGCGTCTGCAGCGGCATGGTCCAGACCGAGTCTATTTCCTTCTTTCGTTATTCTCGTTCTCGGGGTGTGATGGTAGAAGGGAGCGAGCCCGAAGAACAAAAGCAGTCACCCCAAACCTTACACATCCTTCGGCACAAAAAGCCACAAATCGGAGCATGTCGAACCCGCATAACAACCTAGGCATCCTTTCTCTAATCTTGCCATCTGGAGATTGCTCCGCGCACTCGTCCGTCCCCCTCCCCCAGCATCACACCACCCCCCTCCCCTCCACGGATCTCCCACCTACCTACACACCAAGACACCCGGGCATCTCCATTTCGGGAGGGGGGCCTCTAATCGGCGCGTCAATCTCGCAACGACAACCGCACGCAGACGCCACATCCGCACCGCCCTGGCCGCGTCCCCTACCCTACGGCGGCCGCCCCGCCTTCCCGAAACAAGCGAGGCCGCGCCTCCATGGCGCCGCCGCGATTGGGCGCCCTGGTCCTGCATGCACTGCACGCAACTGGCCCGCCGAGACGAGACGAGCTACGGCCCCCATTGCGCATTGCGCCGGCGCATTATTGCGGCATTGCCATTGCGACACTGCCCGCCTCCCACCATCACCACCCCTGGTACAACACCTAACGCCCTCGCGTATCGTCCGCCCCCGCCGCGAGCCAAATATCGGCAGGGCTGCCGGGGCCTATTGAAACGGCACGCCAGGGATGCGGGCGGCGAGGCGCTGGTTGCTGCGCGGAGCGAGATGTGCGCGCGTCCGCCCCTGGTCGCCTGCGTCTGCCCGCGGTCCAGGACCAGGGAAACTGAGGGAGCGAGCGAGCGAGCGAGGCGCGAGGCGCGAGGGGCTGCCGAAGACAGACTTGGTCGCAGGACAGGCAAGCAAGCAGAAACGGCACGGCCTACCTAGGTACGCACCGTTTTTCAGCACGGCGCCAGATGCTGGGCCGGCGTGCAGAAGGAACGCAAGCACGCCGTTGAGCGGGAGCGAGCGAGGCGGTGAAGGCGCGTCCCAAGTCGTCGCCGTTGTCGTCGGGATGGCCCGCCTGCATGTGCTGCATATCGTCAGGCGGGCGTGCGTGCGGCGGCGGAGCGAGAGAGACGTCAGCGCGCGTGTCTGTCGTCGTATCGGGCACCAGAGCAGCAGAAGCGGCGTCGGGGAAGCGGCCCCCGCACACACCCCCAGCCGAGCCGCGATTGCGAAAGAGAGAGACCCGTGACAGACGGCTGACGCGCGCGATATGCGCACCACAGCTGCAAGCCACGCGCGCCTCGTCCACTGCATGCACCGGTCAGGAAGCAAGGGGTCCTTCGTCGTCGTGGGTGCGTGTCCGGCCTGTCTGTCTATCTGTCGCGCACCAGCAGCACCAGCAAGCACGTACCCCATCTGCGATGCGATGCGATGCGAGGGCGGCGGCATGGTGGCCCACGCGCGGTCGAAGTCGCGACGCTGCGACGCCGACGGGATATCCTTGCGCTGCGCTGCATGCAGGGCACACCTCCCTACACGAGGACCGCGGCGCCGGGGCAGGAGAGGGTGATCACCTAGCCCGGCGGGGCAATCAGTCCAACGGCCAACCGCCCCTGCCTGCCTGGGCGCCCGCTCGTAGGTAGGTAACTGAGGTTAGGTAGGCCGCGGTTTGCCGGCCTTGGATCTCTTCCCTTCCCGCCATTTATGGGTTACGGTACCCAGGTGACTGACCGGTCGTTGCGCAACTGCATACCTACTCCAACCAGCTAATCGTACACACACGCGCACCTCCACGCCCCGCCATCTCGCATCTCGCACCTGGCACCCGCGCACCCAGCCCCAAGTGCCGAAGTGCGCAAGCAAGCAAGCAAGCAAGCTTACACACACCACACCCACCGTCACAGCCCAGCCCCGCCAGCCCTGCTGGGCACGCTCACGCTCGTGCTCGCGCTTACGCCCGGGGCCCGGGGCTGTCGGCGCGCGTGTGATAACTAGCGGATTTACGTTTTAAACTTTTAGCTTTTTGCTTTTGGCTTTTTGGCTCTTTGCTGCGACGCGGGCTTGTCCTTGTCTGTGGTCCTTGTCGACGGCTGGGTCTGGATCTGCTTGGGAGGTCGAGGTTCTGGTGCTTGTGACCTTGTCGTTTGTGTGTGTTTGTGTGTGTTTGATGCTGCTGGTGTTCGGCTGGGCTGGGCTGGGCTGGGCTGTGCTGTGCTTTTTTGTGGTTGGTTGGCTGGCTGGTTGGTTGATTGGGTGGTGGTTGGTGGGGAGGGAGTGTGAGGCTGTTGTGAAGCTGTTGTGGTTGCGGGTGTGCTGGGCCGGCGGCTCTAAAGATGGTGTAAGTTGTGTTGTGCGGCAGGGCGAGTGGCAGATGTACTGGTACCTGTGTTGGTTGTCTGCTTGACGAAATGCGCGTGTCTTACAGTACCTACCTACCTACCTATCACTGTACAGCTACAGCCAGCGACGACGCCGAAGCCTACTCCTCAATCTCAAGGCACACACAGCCTAAACTCCAGCCACACCAGTGAGCTAAAAAGCAAAGCACCAGCCGCAAAAACCAGCAATCCATACATAGATAGGTAGAAACATGTTTACAGGGTTCTATTACTTCCGTCCCTGTTGCCGTGTGTGTAGCTATTTACGTGCATAGCCCCTTACCAGTACCTTAGTCCCCCACAGCTGTCCCGAAACTGCAAAGACTGAAAAGATCACCGCAACCCGTAGACGCTGCATGCTCGAACGCGCAGGAAGTATCAAAAGCCAGAAAGAGCGAGAGAAGGATATATACCGCCTTGATACAAAGGAAAGGAGGGAAGGGAGGGCTTTGAACCAAGCCCCCTTCCTAGAAGTCCCGGTGGGCTTATGCCGGATAAGCGCCATATTGCTTCTTCGTCTTTGTCGTTGCCGTGCTGCTTTTTGTGGGCGTGCGTCACCGTGATTCTGCACGCTCAGCCAGAGCCGCTCTTCCTGCTCTTCCGGCTGCTAGCATTACTCAGGCTCCGCTCGCGCCCCAGCTCGTCGCTCACCTGGCGCAGCGCATGCTGGCCCACGTCCGTCTTCCCGACCTTCTGCACCAGGAGCGTGTTCTCGTGCTGCAGTTCGCGAATCTGCTCCTTCAGCAGCCGGTTCTCATGCTCCATCATGTCGGCTTTCTCCTTCCACTCGTCGCGCTCGCGCACCAGTCGCGTCTTGTCGTTCTTCTCGGCATCCTTCTGCCGCTTCTGCTCGAGCTTTTGAGCCTCCTTCTCGCGCTTCGCTTGCAGCTTGGCCATTTCCTTCTCGTACTTTTCCTCGGCTTTGCGCTTCTCGCGCTCTTCTTTCTCCGTTAGCTGCTGCGATCGCGATTGTTCCTTCTCCCTGGACTTGCGTAACTTTTCGTCAAGCGCAAGGCGCTTCGCCTCGAGCTTCTGCATCTCCTTTTCGTATCGTGATTGGTTGTTTTGGTTCGATTTAGATGACGTACTAACCAGACTCTCGCTCGAGGGAACCTTGTGGTGAGCAACAGCTGCCGCATTCGCGTTGGCGCCATCAGCGGCAGTGGTGTATTGCTCTGCTGAAGCGAAGCTGTCGATGCTCGAAGTCTCACTTGCACTGTCGGACTGAGGCGAAGGTGTTGTCGACTGTGATGACTGCTGGAGGTAGTGCTGGACCGAGTTCGGCGCGTAGGCAGCAATTCCACTCGCTATCGTAGACATCATTCCAGCGCCTGGATCTTGGCTGGGCTGCTGAGGCTCGTAGGCTTCTGTCAACGAATGATCATCTGAGAGGCTCCTGCCTAGGCCCTTCTCTTCTCCAGGTAGCTTGGTGACCTGGTTCTGCTGTTCCTTGTCCACATCTGGATCTGGAATATCGTCCAGGGCGCATGCCCAGTTAAGGAACTTGACTGTGTCACCGGCAATACTGCCAGGCGTGCCACGGTCCACCAAGAAGCGTGGGATGCCACCACCTGGGTCACTCCGCGTAATCATTATCCATTCAACCGGATTTGTCTCTGGATCGTCGTCGCTAGCTTCCTCTTTGCGTCCTATATCTTCGCCATTTGCTGAACTCGACGGCGTTAGAGGAATTTCGCGGATCATCTCCACGGATTCATAGTGGCCCAGCACGAGCCCATCTCGCGGCGGCGCATCGGGATGCTGACAAGGAATGGAGACGACGATGTAATGCCGTGGCACTCGGTCAGCGGACTTGTGTTCGACCTGAGGGATGGATTTCTTGGTCAAGGCATTGTCCGATGTCAAAAGCAGGGTGATGAATTCGCGTGGTGCTGTGGGGCCGGGGAACTGCGCGGCAAGCTGGAGCACTGTAAGAACTGTCAGTGTTACGTCCAAGTTGCAATATGCTGAAGAGGTTCGAAAGAGTCCTGCTGCTTTGTCATGGGCCACTGACCTTCCATCTTGCCAACTCCCTCTACCACGCTTTCCTCAAGTCTCCTGTCTCCTCCAATACCTCTGATTGCTCCCTCGCCCGGCCCGCCCTGGGTGGCCAGACTCTCGGCAAACTCGCGCTGCATAGCTTTCTTCCACTTTGCAAAACCCATGCCTTCGTGGACGCTCCGACGAGCAAACCATGCTCCGTGCCTATCAGCGCCTGCCATCTTCCACACCGATATGCCCATCTGGTTCTCCTTTGCACCTAGCTTCACCGGCTTCCCCCACGCCTTGTGGAGCTCCTCAAATGAAGGGTCCAAGGGTGGCCCGCGAGCTTCGGCGGCCGTTATTTCAGAGGCATTGTGTGCACCGTTGACGTCCTTGCGGGTTCGTGTCGCGGCTTGGAAATCGGTGCCGCCTGGCGGCTGTGGGACCGAGTTGACAATCAGCTCAGCCTTTCCGAACGTTTCGTGCAAGAAGCCCTCGAGTTGGTCAAGGGGGACGTCTGAGAAGTCCTTCGGTCGTAGGCACTCGAGTGCCTCATGGAGCGGATCCGGCATGGTTGCGGCAGTTGGGAGAGGCAAGACACGGACGGTACAAGAGGGTGAGGAGCCTCCAAGTATGACGATGTAACGTTGCTATTGAAATCTACTCGGAAGAGCCAGCTTCCGTGAGCTCCGGGTGGTGCAAGTCGGTCGTCGAAGAGGATGGAAACGTCAGCTGTCTTCCGGTCCCAATCAAGTTTCCTAAGGTGCAATGCAGCGGCAGTCGGCGGGAAGGGCTGAGAGGTACAATGTCTTGGCCCTGAAGATGCAGGGGCAGTATGACGCTTTTGTAAGCGTCGGATTGTAGTGGTGTCGCACTGCCTGTGCCAGGTTGTCTTTCGTCATGGGTGCCCTAGGCTCGCGGCGGGACGTCACTGCGAGCCAAGCTTTCTCCACAAAGCCCTGCCTGGCCCGCCGCCCACTTGTTTGCCGCGAACACCTTAAACTTCGGCTTGTCGGTTCGTCGATGCCGAGCATGCGCAAATGACGAATTTCCTCCCTCATTAACCTGTTCATCAGGTTTCTTCGATGCTGCTTCACGTCCGGTTGCCCCTTCGCTTTGCGCCAAGGCAAATCAAGCTGAAGAGTGTCACTTGTACTTTGGTATTTTGGCGAACCGCGTCAATTAGCTCCCGTCTCACTTTGCTTGCCCTACTCGTAGAAGTAGGTTCTGTATAGCCGTGTTCGTTTTCGTAAAGCCCTCGTGTACCTAGGAGTATCACACCTTCAACATATGCCCCTGGGTATCCCTGGGAACGGCTTCGCAGCCCCGGGGTCGGATCGACTTGGCAGCTTACTCTCCGGATATGGAGGTACTCGTGTCTGCATGGGGCAATTTTCGGAAGCGCCAAAATCCATCCGGACCCAGGTTACACATGGTCTCCCGTCGGTACATGTACAAATCATTTCACATCACAGTTGGCAGATTCATCGTTATCGCTGTGTTAAGCTGTTCATTGCAGCACTACATCCAAGACTACAGTTTGGCCGTTGGTGCGCGTCCCTTGTCGTGACCCGCGGGCTCGTTCTCGTTCTCGCTCTTATTCCCACCCTTCTTCACCTGGCTGACCTTTTCCTCCACCATTCCTCTCAAGCCTCGTCCCCCTTTCAATTGCTTTTGTTCGTGTGAGCCACCAGATGAGCTCGGTGGTGTTCTCGTCTTTGAGCTCGAACCGCCTTGGTCCGGAGAGGCTCTAGAATTGCTCTCGTTGTTGCTGCCGCGTGAGCCAAGGTCTTGGTCCGTGGGATGCGAGTCGGCTGCTTCAGCTTTAAGAGACACTGGATCTCCGAGTTGTGATGGGTTGCTACCCTTGCCATGTAGCTTCTCGGCCGCGAGTTGGCGAAGCGGCTTCTCGGTCTGATGCTTCGAGGATGATGATTGCGGAGCCATTATGGGTTATAGAAGTGAACTCGTTGGGTTCTAGAAGAAGGTGCTTTATCGGTTGTGAAGGTGAGGTGGGACAGGAGAAGGGATATGTCTACGGCTCGTCTGTGAACCTGGACTAGATCTCGCGACGGCTGTCAACTTATACAGAGGGCATGACGAGGGAATGATGACGTGCTACACATCTAAAGCGTAGCCACACACGTGAAAGGCTAAGGCTGGAATAAGCCGATATTGTATGAGTTACGAGTACAACGGCACACGATACAGGCAGCAAGACAGTATGACAGACGGTGATGAAGGACATGGTAATTATTGACAATTAAGAAACAAGGTCAAAGGTGGTTGTTACATTTGTGAGTGGCACACTAGGAAATAGTCCGACGCATGGTTTATAAGACAATTCTTCGAGGTGTAAAAGCATAGCTTCAATGTTCTTGGCACCCAGTATCGCTGAGCAACAAAACAACTGATGCAAATTGTGAAGTTTTCGAACCGTCAAGCTCACTTACTCTCCCTCACCTTGCCCTCCGGGTCTCCATAGGTAGAAAGCCCGAAAACGGACTAGCGCCCGGCTGATAGCGCGTTAGTTTCGCATACCCGCGGCACGCGTCTCCCTCTTCTCTACCTACACCTACTTTTCGGGCCTTCGGTAACACCACCAACCTTCGCCAAAGCTTAACCACCGACTTCCAGTGAGAATTGGGCCTGAGGCATCTATCCGGGATCTGCGCTTGTGCTACTATTCCTCTGCGTCCCGAGCGGAAGCATAACCACCTCCCACTTCTTACGTCACTGTGCGATTGGTTTCCGCCACAAGCTTCACTTGCACTTTGAAGTATTTTTTTGCATGGCTCGGATGGATCCTAAGGACCTTGACAAACAGCGCACTTGAAAGATCAAGTCGACAAAAATGGAGAACCGGACTGCCATTACGGCTGCAGAATACGCTGAATTGCGCGACCGCGCGAAGAGCGTCAAGCCAAACGATTTTCTGAAGCCAACCAGATTCTGGGTCGCCGTTTTGATCCACGGCAAGGATGCAACGACGGTGTCAGAACAGGCAGATTTCCTATGGATCAAGGCTAATGGCGTAAGTCCTGATTGCAAAGAACCAACTCGATTTTGCCATACTGACATCGCACCAGAAAACGAAGGTGAAAGCCGTGTACGCGGAATATGTCAAGAGACACTCAATCGACGTGGAACTTTACCTCGGACCAGACCAAGTGCAAGAAGACTCGAAGCTGATGGACCTAAACAAATTGTAAGTATCTATCTATCGATCACTTGGCGTTAGTCGCACGTATACTTACCATTTAAAGTGACGACAACACCACTATTTTCATTTCGGCGCCGAAGTCACCTTCTAGTTCAGCCCCGGAATCTGCTTCCTCTGCCACTGCTGCCGCTGCTGCTGAAAAGTCCGTGTTGAATCCAACCGGAACGGCCGATACTCAGTCCTTAGCATCTGCGCCCAAGCAGCTGCCTCAACCCCTCAATCAGTCCGTGACGCCTACGCCAATCCAACACCACCAGCCTCCTGCATCCCTCAGTCCGTCTGTAGCATCTGCATCTGTAGCATCTACGCCGGTCCAACCCAGACAGCCGCTTCCATCAGTCGTTCATTCCATCGAATCCGCATCCATCCCACCGAGGCAGCCATTACAGCCCGCCACCTCTAGCACCACAACACCTAATGTGCATCCTTACAATTTCCATCACCTGCCTATATCGCCCCGTGGGATCACCTCCCCAATGCCGCGGGCTTCACCGGTGCAGCCGACACGCGAGCTCCCCAGGCCTGCGCCGCTTCAAACATCGCGCCCCTTGCCACCACACTCTCCATATGGGGTATCTTCGCCCAGCACCTACAGGCCGTCTGCACAGGCGCCATCCATGTCCCCTAGACCTACGTACCCGAACCATCCTGGATCTCCCTCTGGGTATCCGACGGCATATGGAGCTCCAATGATGTATCAAGGGCCATACAACAATGATCCTCGAATCATGCAAGGGTACGAATATGGGATGCATAGACAACATCCATGGATGAACTCACCCTCGCATATCGAGAATAGAGCTGTTCCCGCCCCTACGCCGTATTCGTCTTTCCAGCCTACTCCTCCGACAGGTCGCCCTTTGCATAGCCCTCGTACACTAGGCTCCTCTGCAACCCTGGTTGGGAGCCCGTCTACAAGCACGTTCGTAAATACAGCGAGAATGATGCATGAGACTCCGGGGCGCAACCTGTTACCAGGTTCAAATACTGTGGACGCGGATACAAAAAGCTTGCTATCACAACCCGGGATTTCTCATTCTCCTGCAGACATCAATGGTACTGCTTTGAGAGAAAGCAGTAGGGCATCGACGACACTTTCCAACGAACCAAATGCCAAACCTTCCAACCCCTATCTTCAAAAGTTGCTCTCGGAGACATCGCCTGAGAAACTTGAGGAAGGGGTTGAAAAAGCACTTGACATCATGAAAGACGTTCGAAAGCCCTTGGATGAACGTAAAGATAATGCCGATGCCAAGCAGTGGCTGGAAAGTCTGGAAATTTTGAGCAAACAATTCACGCGTAATCGGACTGTCATAGGTGTAGTCGGAAACACAGGTGCGGGCAAGAGCAGCGTAATCAATGCGTTGCTGGATGAAGAGCGTTTGGTGCCGACCAACTGCATGCGTGCTTGCACTGCTGTTGTTACTGAACTCTCCTGGAACGACAGCGACAGGACCAAGTACCGCTCTGACATCGAGTTCATCAAACCGGAAGATTGGCGGAAGGAGCTCGATATTCTTTTCAAGGACTTACTAGACCAGTCTGGCAACGTGTCGAAAGACTGCTCGAATCCCGACACCGATGCAGGCATAGCTTGGGCGAAAATCAAATCTGTCTACCCGCAGAAGACCAAAGAGATGCTTGCCGAAGGCGGCCCCGACATGCTCCTTCGCGACGCCGAGGTCAAAAAGGTACTGGGGACTACGAAGCACATCAACGAGGATGATTCCAAACAATTCTACAAGCGCCTTCAGTTTTTTGTTGACAGCCAAGAAAAAGTGACCGGACCAGACGGTAGACGGAAGGAGAAGATCCGTATGGAGTATTGGCCATTGATTAAAGTGGTCAAGATTTACACCAGGGCGGAGGCTTTATCGACAGGCGCTGTGATGGTCGATCTTCCTGGTGTTCAAGATTCCAATGCTGCCCGCGCAGCAGTCGCGGCTGGATACATGAAGCAATGTACGGGCCTGTGGATTTTGGCCCCTATTACGCGCGCCGTCGACGACAAAGCTGCCAAGACTTTGTTGGGTGACACTTTTAAACGTCAACTCAAACTCGATGGAACATATGGTAATGTTACTTTCATCTGCTCTAAAACTGATGAAATCTCTCTCCAAGAAGCTGTCGCTGGTCTCGGGCTTGGCGATGAGATGGAACAGTCATGGGCAGAGCTGGATAGCATGGCAGCCCAACTCAAAGACCTCGAGGGTAAGCTGGATGAAGCCAAGACATCAAAAGATGTGTACAAGGAAGTCGTCGACGAGTGCGATGACGAAATTGAGGCTTGGGAAGATCTTGAAGAAAAGGTGGAAGAAGGCAAAACTGTCTTCGCCCCTAACCCTAACTTTAAGCAGTCCAAAAAGAGAAAACGGGACTCTCCGGCGAAGAAGCCCCGAAAGAAGAAGCGCCGCGTGGGCGATACTGACGATGACCCAATTGAGGTTGAGGATGAGTGTACTGACGAGTCTGACCATGATTCTTCTGACAAGTCCTTCAAGGATGGCGATAGCGATTCCGGTGAGCAAGAAGAACAGCGCCAGCCTTTGACAGAGGAAGATGTTGCCTCAAAACTTCGGGAACTCAAGTCCAGGAAAAAAGAAGCCAGACGATCGAGAGTTGACATTGATCAGAAGATATCAGAGATTCAAGATGAGCAGAAAGATTTACGCAAAAAACACTCTAAGCTCAGGGCCGAAATCAGTGCCAAATGTATTTCGGGGAGGAACAACTACTCAAGGCATTCCATCCAACATGATTTTGCCGCCGGTATCAAGGAACTCGACCAAGAAAACGCTCAGGACGAAGATGAGGAAAACTTCGATCCAGACACAGATATCCGTGACTACGCAGAAGTAGCTCGTTCGCTCCCAGTCTTCTGCGTGTCTAGTAGGGCATACCAGAAGCTTTGCGGTAGACTTAAGAGAGACGACCCTGTCCATGGCTTCAATGATATTTCCGAAACCGAGATGCCACAGCTCCAGGCACACTGCAAAAAGCTCACGGAGGCAGGAAGATCGGCCGCGAGTCGCAGGTTCCTGAACAATTTGAGCCAGACACTGACTTCATTGAGCCTATGGGCATCGAAGGAGGGACGCGGCGCTCCGATGACGGCCGGACAGCATCGAAAAGAAGTTGCTTTCCTTGAATTTAAGCTCGCCGAGCTAGAGCGTGGTCTCAACGAAGCCGTGGACAAATGCCTTTCTGAGATGATTAGCACACTCACGACCAACATCTACCAGAAGTGGGATAATGGCATACGGAAGGCCATCGATGACGCATTGCCAACTGCAGACGGATGGGGTGCTCACAGGTCTATTGGTGGCCTTCTTTGGCCTACCTACAAAGCCATAGTGAGGAGAGACGGTGCCTGGACCGGCCGAGCCGGCCCACGCGATTTCAACGAGGAACTCATGGCCCCGGTTATCAAAAGCATCGCTTCGAACTGGGAGAAATGTTTCCAGCGCCAACTGCCCGTACAGGTGGCTAGTTTCACTGACAAGGTCACCAAGTTACTCAAGAACTTCCATAAAGATGTGCAGCGTCGGGCCCATGACAACGGTGTTAGCATTGCGCGCCTGAGTGGCCTCAGTCAACAGCTCCAGAACTATGAGCCTTTCCTGAAAGAGCAGATCAAGGTCATAACCGATCAAATGAATGACATACAGCGGGAGGCCAACAGAGAGTTTACGCCAGCCATTGCAGCTGCCATGCGGCATGCATACTCACTTTGTGCGAACGAGTCCGGCACAGGATCCTACGTCAGGATGAAGAGTCACATGCACACACAGGTGGATAGGGAGCGGCGCACGATGTTCCAGGTCGCCTGCAACACCGTCAAGGCACAGCTTACTCTAATGTGTGACAAGGTTAAAAGCGAGCTAGCTATCCGCGCCAAAGGCGTCTACCAGACCGCACGTCGCGACTATGCCACTCTTCTCGGTAATTTGGGATCCGTCGATAAAGTCGAACCACCTGAGGATCATGAGCTCAAGAGCAAGGTTCACGAAGTTGTGGAAGGAGCAGAGGAAGTGTTCCGCCGCCTCGTCGAGGGTGAGGATAACGAAGAGGCTGCAGAAAAGGGCGAGGAAGAGGGCGAGAACGAGGACGAGAAAGAGGACGAGAAAGACAAGCAGAACCAAGACGAGGAAGAGCACAGTGAGCGTCTTCACCAGGAGACTGAAGCAGGTCCTGATGCTATGGACGTGAGCAAGTCGTTGGATACGAGTGAGGCGCCTGATACGACAGTGGGTGCCGTGGCTCAAGATCGCGCGCCGCTTCTGGGTGACCTTGTCGCGTATCTAGACGACAACAAGGAAAACATTTCTGAGACAACAGACAAAACCGGCTCATTGAAGCAAGAGGACGTGGAAAATGAAGATACCGCTTTCAACACTATCTAGAATACGATACCCCGACCGAAACTCTCCATTCGTCTTCACTACAGGCAGTTCACTCACGCGCAATAACGGCCTATTCACTAGTCTTTCCAACGTCCGGATTCAAGTGACGTCACCTTCGAAATGGCCTCAAGAACTCGACCATCTACCTACTTACTTTAACTCACTCATGTTTTAAGTCAAGCATCTCGGTCCAGACACCTCTTACGCACCCGCTTGGCACTACACGGGCTGCCAAGCAATTTGCAACCCACAGCACAGCTTGACGCACTCTACGCTGTCTCCTCCACTCAATGCTATTATAGACAACGGCTCACTGTCCATGCCATGCATGATACACGCTCTTGCTCTCCTGTCGTCACAGCTGCTCTTTCTCTTTTCTGTCATCCACCACCAAACGGAGTTTTTCTGGGCCGGGGACGGCGCTTCACTTCAAAACTACCTCGTTGTGCTGGATGTTAGGGACGCAAGGACACGGAAGGCGCGTCCAAGGCACTCTATCTACGTCTCACACGCCATGGCTGCACATGAACATGCTTAGGGGAGATGGAAGGCGAGGAAAAAAGGGACATAGTCATGTTGCGTAGCTTGCGGTGGGAGTTTGCTTTTGCGTGGTGAAATGGGGGTGCTTCTTTACTTTCCTTTTCTGTTTTGATTTTTGCCTCTTGCTTTTGGCTTCACACTCCTGGCAGTTCTAGATTTTCCCGTGGCTTCTAGCTTCTGGATTCTGGATTCTGGCTTCTGGTTTCTGGCTTCTGATTTCTGGCTTTTGGCTTCTGGCGTTGGTTGGTGGTGGAGCTATGGTCGGGTGGAGTATTGTTTTTTATCAATTTGCTTTAGCTAAATGCATGCGTGCTTACAGTTCTGCGGTGCGGAGTATGGCTCTGGGTGTGTGAGTGCCTGCCTGGCTGCCTGCTATTCGTGATATGAGCTCGAGTGCGATGCCCACTCATGCTTAGATACTACTCTGTGGGATTCGGACAGGCCGAAACGATCTTTACCCTGCTATAACGCTTTAGAAGGGTCAAAGTTATTTCCACCAGGCTGTAGAGGCCCTGTTCAAATGGGCCTAGAATAATCTTTATCCGGCTCGGCTGTATGGAGTGATGTTTTAATTCAGTAGCTCTTATAATCTTTTTTCTAAGGAGATTTCGGCCGTAGCTTGAGAAGCAGAGCAGACTAACGATCCATGCGTAAGAGACTCCAGTCGTGGGGACTGTTCCACTCCAAGTGAGCGCAGAGAAGTAAGTATTGCATGCACAAAACCCATGCGCGCAGTTAGCTTCGCGACACCCAATCCCATGCGCACAGAGAAAGTAAATCCGGGCTAAGAAAAGGCGCCTTCAGGTCTCCCACAGCCCATCCCTTAACTTAACCGCCCAGCGACCCTCCCTTCCCACCACTCCCACCAACCAGCTTCCACGCCTCCTCCTCACCTTTCTTCAAGCCCTCGCCCACCTTCGCCGCCGCGGCCCTCATGCTCCCCCACAAGCCGCCCTCCTCCTGCTGCTGCTGGGCCGCCGCTTCCATCCGCGCACGCTGCTCCGCCGTCCCATCCGCCGCATACGGATTCTGCACGTAGCCAGGCGGGTGCTCCAAGCTCCGACGCTGCTCGCGCGTGGCAGTCGCACCCGTTTCTGCCGGCGAGGGCGCCGCACCGCCAGGTGCCGGGCCCAAGTTTATGGTCGTTGGGCCGGCAGGGTACGCGGCGGCCGATGCGGTTGTGGACGACGTGGGCGCAGCGTTGGCCTGGGGTGCCGGGATCGAAAACTGTGGCGGTGGGTGCGCAGCGTGCGTCGGTGCTGGCGCCGTGGCGGTTGCGGTGGCGATGCTGGGCGCTTGGCCGGGCTGGGGCGCGGGCGGAACCCCTGCTGAGGTGGCTGTGGCGGTGGTGGTGCTCGGTGGAGGTGGGATGGGGACGGCGCCGGGTTGCGGCGCTGCAGGCTGTGATCCCACGCCTTGCGTCGTCGTTGCGGGCACGGAGGCGGGGACGATACGTGTGGGTGGTGGGTGCTGCTGTCCTTGTTGATCATTGAGGTTGGAGTCGGTTTGTGGGGTGACGCCGTCGGCGGTGGCGGCCGCGGTGTTGGGATTTATGGGGGCGTTGGAGTAGATTGGAATGGGCGGCATGGCGAAAAGTGTGTGATGATGAATGTTTAGGGCCAAGAGAAGCAGGGAAGAGTATGTAGATATAGGATGGGTGGTTGTGATGAGAAAGGTAGGTGTGTGGGTGGTCGTCCTTGCATATGCGGAAAGTGAGCTTATTTCCTCTTTCAGCGATGACGCTTATCACGTGCCTCTGTCGTCAGCCGCGTAATCAGATTCGTTGGCTGACCGGCTAGGAAAATTCTGGAATGCAAGCTGTCCACCCGGCATCCAGGGGCTGCACATGGCATGGGCTTGTACATCACGGCATTTGACAGCAAACAAAGGCCTCAGCTTTTTGTCCTATCAACAGACGCAATGAGCAGAATCAAAAGCAAGTCATGTCGAATGGAACCGCAGTGTACAACGAAAAAGATTTGACCGGCAGTAAAGTACAAGATGCATTGAAGCAGGGATATCAGAAGCCGATCCCAGCTTTGTGCTTTCGTAACCAGAACAATCTCGAGTGTGATCTTGCTCTATCTTCCACCATTCCACTTCATCCTCATCCACTGATCGTCCCCTCCCCTTTTGTTGGTATTCTCGATATCCTTGATTTAAGGATATGGCGTTTAACCCGAACCGCCCTTGAAGGCCTTGCCGAAGAGCAGGAGCTGGACCTGGTCGTAGATGGACAGGACACCAGCACCGGCAACACCACGGAGAATGTTGGCACCGGCACCCTTGAAGAGGGACGAGACACCCTCCTTGGCGATGATCTGGCGGGCAGCATCGGCGGAGGACTTGTACTTGACGGCCTGTTCATTTGTTAGTTTTAAGTCCATGGTAGAGTAAGAATACAGTTGATACATACCTCACCGGAGGTCATCATCATACGACGACGGATGGTGTCAAGAGGGTAGGAAGCGATACCGGCACCAGTGGTGACAGTCCAGCCGAGCAGGAAGGAAGCAAGGAAGTTACCCTCAAGAGGACCGACAAGGATGACGGGCTTGATGGAGTCGTACATGCCGAAGTACAGACCGCGGTAGACGACGATACCAAGGACGGAGGGACCGAAACCACGGTAGAGACCGGCAATACCATCAGAGGCGAGAGTCTTCTTGTAGACATCGACGAGACCGTTGAACTGGCGCTCACCAGTGCCCTTGGCGGACTTGGCGTCGTTGGCGAGACGGGTACGGGCGTAGTCGAGGGAGTAGACGAAGAGGAGGGAAGTGGCACCGGCAGCACCACCGGAGGCAAGGTTACCCATCATCCACTTGGCGTAACCATCACGCTCCTTCTTGAAGGCGAACATGGACTTGTAGGTGTCACGGAAGGCGAAGTTGAGCGCCTGGGTGGGGAAGTAACGAATGACGTTGGCGGTGTTACCACGCCAGAGAGAGACGACACCCTCAGCAGCAGTGGTACGACGGAAGCAGTCCATGATACCACTGTACTTGCGGTCGAGACGACCGGCGCGAAGCATCTCATCCTGTGGTCATTGTCAGCATGTGTTAGGATGTACTGGCGCGAGGCTCTCGCAGTGCGTAGAGGGGTAACAATAGCCCACGTCCAACACGATAGGGGTAAGACATACCTGGTTCTGGATGAGGAGCTTGACACGCTCGATGGGAGCGGCGGCGGTCTTCGAGACGGCGGCAGAAATACCACCCACTGTTGATAGCAGTCAGCATCTTGTATCGGGTCGCAGTCGTCGCAAGCCAATGTTGGGATCCATCACCGATGCCAATGGCATCAAATGATGGTCGCATGATGGCGCTATAGGTTGGTTGGTCGGTACGTACTCAAGAAGTCGACCACGAAGCCCTGCATTTCATTGTTAGCCAACTGTGTTCCGGTATCATCTCCGCAAGAATTTTTAGACAGGTTGTCAACAGCCGGCCATCGGAACCATCGGCGGGTGAGCGCTGCGATGAGCTCCGGATGGCTCGGCGATGATCAACCATGTCGACCAAGACGCGGGTCGATGCGAGGGAGGTGGAAGCTTACGGGCATGCCCAGCACGCTCTGTTATCTCATCGTTAGCCGGATTGCGCTTTGTGGTAGTGAGGCATGAGGAGAGCTTACCTTCTTGCTCTGAACAACTTCACCGTCCTTGCCCATTGTGCCGGTGACTTCAAGAAATCAGCGGTAAAGGATGAGGGGAGAGTATGGTTTGATGGAGTCGGATCGAGGGTGTGAGGGTTTTTGTAAGAGAAAAAGGGTGGCCGGCGCTCGGGGCAATTTTCCCGCGCTAGGAAGAAGCTACCTCCGGCCCCCGGAGTTTCTCGGGAAGCCTTCGCTGCACAAGAGAATCTTTTCCGTTGGACCATTGGCCATTGCTATTCGCCGGCGGGGCCTTTGCCGTCTGTTACAGGCGCCCCGTATCGCACTGTCATCTCTGTGTTTCACCTCGCCGCCTCCTCAGCTTCCCAAACCGCCCTCAGGCTCTGAGATAAGCTAGCGCCGCATACGTCCCCATACTTCTTCTTTCCCACGCTCATCTTCTGCTCGGCCCTTGACACTGTCCTCTCGCCCTCAGAGGCCGTTTGGTTCTGCTGCTGCCGATTGCTATCGCCCTGGTGGAGCAGCGCCACGTCGTGGGTGGAGAGCCCAAGGTGCCTGAGCCGACGCTGCTTCCCGACTGCCATTGGCCGCGGAATTCGCAGCCACAGGGGGGAAAAACTAGACAGCCGCAGTCTTTGGAAACGCCACGACGAAAAGACGTCATTGGTGCTCGAGCACGCTTCGAGACTCTCTTCGCGCGGTAAAATCCTGGAGATCCAGTTTTAGTCACGTGCTGGCGCTCAGGTTCCGTCAGGGCTGTCCACCACGGTCCAGGTCGCTAGACGGCGATCTGGGGTTGAAACTAGGCCACTGCCGAATATCAGGAGATGGTGCTTCCCCAGCCTGGGGTTAAGGTTTGCTCGCGAATCTCATCTCGCAGGTCAGTCGTACGACATGGTCCTACCCAATTTATAGATTTCCAAGTCCACCTTGTTTGTATGCACGTGCCTCAAGGCCAAATTTGTTCATTCTTCTCCTGCCGCCGACCATACGGTATTCATGATGCTACAAGGAAAGGATAGTGGTGTGATAAGTTTCGACGTAAGCAAAATATTTCCGTGTCGTACACCTTTGCTTCACTGTATCAACCACCATTTCTACGCTCATCCTACTGTACAATTTGAACGGCTTCGGTGACAGACGTATTCTCGCTGTTAATTCTCGGGTACCATGCTTTACACGGGATCTTTCTCACCGGACCGGCTCTTTTCCTTGGACAATGTCGGCCAGTAGCACCATATTCCCCATGCTAGGCAAGTCATGGAAGTCACTGGTATCGTGACCACCCAGTACAGCCAAAAATCGTCAGACATTATCAGTCGGGACTGTGCTGTGTTCGATAGGGCGAAAAAGTTCATACCGAAGAGCGACTGTGAAGAGTGTGAGCCAAGCACTGATTCGCAACATCCCGACATTAGCGCCTACCGAGACAAAGGTTCCGGGAAGGAAAATTGCCGAGACCACTGCGATGATCCGCATGGCCGAACTATCGCTCTTTGCATCTTCCGCAAGTGCAACAGCACTCTGACTGTCTCGCTGAGATACGAGATTGAAAGCCTGGTCTTATCAGCTCGGTGCTCTACCCACTAAGCTGCCACTTACAAGGCTGATTTCGTTCTTCAGTCTCTCTTCAATGGTCTTGGAGCGTGCACGGATGGCACGAAGCTTCTTCAACACCAATCCGAGCTTCACGTGCGTTTTCTTGAAAACCATTGCCTTACCGTGATCCACACCTGTAGGCATACAACAGTCTCGTTGGAGATGACTGTGCTGCTCGATCATACTCTCCAAACTGTCTACTGCCACATCCAAGGTTTCGTTCGAATGGATTGCGTGCCTTTCAATATCGTGGAGGGAATGAAAGTCGCTTTCGACGTATTGCGGTGTGAGCCGCTCCTGTTTGTGTCAACATCCCGGAGACGTACCCACTGAGACATAAAAGAGGTGCGGAGCACTCACCAGTTCAACATGCCGAACCACATTTCGGAGAGCCTGCACCGACGCATCGTACTCCTTTGCAATCTCATACGCCATTACTACGTACCAGGTGAAAGGATCAGTTTTGTTTTTATCCCAAGCGCGTGCCAGTGTCTTCAACTGATTTTGCATCTTCTCAGGTGCGTTCACGCAGATGACAAGATTGACTCCTTCCGAGAGGCTCCAATAGATTGAAGCGCTGAACTGGAGCCATAAATAGGGATGTTTCCTTGAACCAGCAGTCCCGCAGATATGCTTGACTTTGAAGCAGGCGCCTGAAATATGCCCAGTGAGTTCATCGTCCTTCTGGTCATCGTACGTGGAGCAACAGCCAAAGAAACCATTGGAATCGAAGTTGGTGAACTGTGGATATTTTGTCTCCGACAAGATGTACATCGAGTCATCTATAGTAAGTGTTTCGTTGTCTTTCGTGCGGTTCGTAAAGCTTATTAAATTAGTGTATGACCGTAAGATATGCTACTCATGTTGCGCGAATTGATAATCACAGAAATGAAAAACAGAGTGAGAAAACAGGTGCTAGTACATATTGTTGAGTTGTCCAATTTTGCGCGAAAGAGTATAAATTGGCTTACATCAAACGGGGCTTTTTCTCCGTTGGTGCCTCAAGCTCTTTCCGGAGGGTACTTCTCGTTGAACTGATCGAAGCATCATCTAGTGAGATCAGTATTTACCGTGCCCGGTAATATTGGGAAAGGGAATTCCATATTTACTTGAACTAACTACATCGACACCGATCTTTCCAAGCTGATTTGCCATGTCGTCGGATAATATCATCACCTATTACTTGGATATGGAAGCAAAGTGACGCTTTAAAGATCATTTGGGGTTTGTGGGAGTTCCGTCTTCAATATCGCTACTTCCTAGGCTGAGTATGCGGCGAGCTTGTTGAGTTCAGCAGAGCGTAGGCTGTCGGCAAGGCTGACGAGGAGCATGAGTGACTCAGACTGTGGCACAAACATCTCATCCCTGGCATCAATCATTCGCCAAAATCACTGCCTCGGTTACTTTTGTACGCGGGAGAAAACGGCTTCTGCGGTTGCTTCTAGTTCATTTTGGGAGTCTTATGCTTCTGCCTGGACACTTAAGCGACAATAGACATGGATAGTTGGATGCGTCAGTATCGGTACTACCGAGATTACGAAAACGCTTAATGGCCTGCATTTATCGAATTCAGCCTCGAGGATGACAAAGGTCAGGATTGCTCAAGAACTTGCCTGACAAGGCTGAAATCCACCAGGCAGCAGTACCCCATCCTTTTAACAGCTCCAGCGCTTCTACGGTCTTTCATATTGTGCTACATTTCTCATTCCCTTGCTCCTGGAAACCTACCTCCTAGTACAGTTCAGACTGGTTACTACGGCTCGGATGGTCACCAGCTTCCGAGTGTTAAGGTTGGGTAGCGTTGACTGTTCAAACGTCAAGCGAGTGAAGCCGTGTTAAGTGCAAAGTCAGAGGTATACAAGTCCACCCACCCACCCTTCACTCTCCTCGACCTTTCTCCCACCACAACAACTCTGCGCTGCCAATCTTTTTTCCAATAGGTGCTCCACCACCAATCATCATTTCATCTTTTCCACCGCACGTCACGCTTCTCCGCCAACGCCCAAGCTTTCAGAACACGCACGCATAACTCTACTGCAACCTACTGCAACCAGGCAGAGGTGGGGCTACTGCTCCAGACAGGAGGGGCACTAGTGCGGAAGCCGTACCGTCCTCGCGACGGCGTCGTAGACCGTGCCGTTCCAGCGGGCCAGCTCCCTACCCTACCGCCGCGGGCTTGTAGGCAGGGCTGGGGTTCGGTCAGGAGCGAGCGGAACTCCTCCTCGGCGGTTGCGGCGACTCACCCTTTCCTTGCTATCTTTGCTATGGGGAAAAGGGGGAGATGCGGTGGAGGCATCCTGTGCATTGTGCTATCGGCTGTCCGTGGCCGACGGCTGCGGCGTTGCTTGCTGTGGCGGCGTGGTGCCTGAGCCAAGGCTGCTCTTCTTCGGATAGAAGCCTGGGTGGACGGAATTCGCCACGTCGTCAGCATGCTGACGCATGACGGGCTTTCTTAAATTCGTTTGTGTTCCATGTGATTGTGCTTTTGATTTGCTGACGCTGAGTGTGTGTATGTAGGTAGCTAGCTACTTAAGAGTGCGTTCGCTGACTAGCTCAAACGTTGTATCAAGATTTGACTGTAATACTCCGGAAACTGGATGTCAACTCTTCATCGATTCACCTGGAATATTATGCGGTCCCTGAGTATACCGTAGGATGGATCGTGCCTCTTCCATTTGAAGCTACTGTGGCAAGAGCTATGCTTGATACTTAGAATGATGAACCAGACGGTTTCAAACAGAACCACCGTGACGATAACGTATACACCTGAGGCTCTATGTCTGGTCATAAAAATTACTATTGCATCGTTGGCAATGGACGTACCTGGCCTTGTATCTGCAGCGACCACAGCTCAGTAAATGCTCTTTTCTCTTCCGTCCATTCGAATCGGACCACTTGTGGGCATCGGAGTATCCTAGGTCTATGCAAAAGAAGTGTAAGTGTAGTAGCCCACTGGGCTGCTACGCGGGGCACGAGTGGGCAATGGAAATACTGCTCCGGGTAGGAGTAAAACTCGACATAATTGACGTCTACAAGCTAACACCGCTGCGCGAGGCCGCTTATAGCGGGCATAAGAGAGTAGTGAGGCGGCTGCTCAAAGCGGGAGCATACACTGAGCTCATGGACAATAATGATTGTACACCGGCCATGTTGGCTTATTGGAAGGGGCACATAGGAATCACCAGAATGACCCTACTTTGCACGCAGGGCGCAGGAGCGTCTCATCAGTGGAGTGGACAGGACGCAGGTCAAGAGAACCCCACCGACGACCAACTGTAGCTATTTCTGTCATAACGTGTTCCGTTTTTACACTTGGGAAAGTCGAAATACTTTTTTTCCTCAATTATTGTTCAGAAAAATGGGGGGAGATTGTTACAAATATTGCTTTTCTCAAATGGGGTTTGAAGCAGCAAAAGGTATGAGAAAACCAATAATCACGGATGACGAAACTCTTGGATAGCAAAACTGTGAGAAGAAGGGTTTGTTTGACCATGGGCTGCGCAAATATCATCCTTTGCTATGTATACCTCTACAAGATGACCATCGTGTTGGTCTGAACGATTTTGGAAAGCAAAAAAGCAAAAGCAAAAAGAATTGGCTGCCCTGGGAATCGAACCCAGAATAAGACGGCCACAACGTCTCGTGATACCTATATCAAGATTAGTATTGAGTTGATTGGATGGAGCAAATGAGAGTAACTAACCATTTCACCAGGCAACCGTGATAGCAACCATCACGTGATTGTTGAGAAGTTATTTTGCAAACGTACAATATATACAGAGTAAACGAGCCAGAATTAGTTCGATCGCTACGTTAACTCCTTTCGCCTTTGAGCGGCTAAACAAGATGTTATGAGGCAAATATTCCTCAACTTCGTTCTTGATAAACTGCATTCAAAGGCAAGTCAAACAGCAAACAAGCTGAGCAGTGCTACGCAGCATTGCGGGTCGCAAGCCAGCGCAACTCACGCACAGAAGACCCCGCGCGGAAAACACCCGCACGGCGGTCCGGGGGTGCGGGCAGCGTTATTAAATATTTCTCGCGGCGGTATGGCGAAACTGCACACTACGGTTCCCGGCTCCGAGGAGCGGTGGGTGAAGAATGAGGAGCAGAGGTCATGGGAAGCATAGTATCACAGCATCTTGGAGCTTGGGCAGTTGAGTGATAAAGATATAGTTGGTGGTGGCGGTTGCAGGAGCAGTTGATGTGAGCATACGCTCTTGTGGAAAAAGCAGGGCTGCTTAGATTCTGGATGCAGGCGAGGGATTTGTGGGAATCATGAGTTTTAAGGCTGATGCTGAAGAGGTTGGTTTTCATTTTTCTGCCGGCGCTGGCCAACATATACCGACGGGCGTTGGTCCAACACAGGTCACCATCTCCGGCTATCCTGCTCCCTAGATTCTTGAAACTCTTACGAAGAGCGTGGAGAAGAACGTCCCTACCGCTCTGCGCCCAAAAGTTTTTGTCCAAAGCCACCTCTGGGGAGACTTGAGCTCGCCATTAGCCACTACTAACGCAGGACGTTTCAGGCGAGTCCTCGCCGCAGACTGTCTCTGGATGCCCCATGAGCATCACAACCTTGCCAAGTCCATGTTCCATTTCTTGTCTCCAGACCCCATAGCAAGGGTGTTCGTCTTCGCGGGGTTCCATACTGGTAGGGCCAACATGGCGCCTTTTTTCAAGATTGCGCAATCGATGGAATTTATGAGATGGATGCTGATGGAAGGATACGAGACTCGGCGGTCGAGGGGGATGGCAGAAGGGAAGACCACGACGAGAGGAAGAAGCGGCTCGTTGTTGCATGGCTGAAGTGGAAGGCATGATGAAGTGTCCTGCCCTGGAGGCCAAACGACCCTCTTATCCAGAGATTGTCTTAGGTTCCTCAAGGCGCCGTCTTTCTTCTAAAGACCAAAGAACAGACTTGCTGTCCGGTCTTGCCGCCAAACGTGAAGCTGGGATACTTGATAGCATCCTCATACTCCAATTCTCCTCCATCAACCACGAACCACTCCTTGAGTTCCTCGGCTGTCCAGTTGCAACTCGTAATCAGCAAAATGCCGCCCTTCTTGATCAGCTTCTCCGCCTGCTCCCTATAGCCCTCGCAGATACGCCTGCCCTGCGCATCCATCTCGCCGCTTAAGCTGATGGCATCAAAGGTGCCCTTATCCAGCACGACATCGAAGCCTGCACCGAGCCACTCGCCTGGTGTGCCCGCCAGGATATCGAATTCCTCGAACTGCACAGCGCGCAGTTCCTCGTTCTCGGCGCGGCGCGTCTCGCCGATGCGCCGCGCCAGCTCCACGCTCTTGCGACTGTAATCCACACCCACCATGCGGCCCTCCCAATCATCGTCGCGTAGCGCAAACAGCAAGTGTCCGTTGCCTGTGCCCAGGTCGAGGAAGCTCGTCGTCTCTCCCTCCTCTTCTTCTTTGTGCAGGCGCCCTTCGTCGGCCAGATCCTCTAGATACTGCAGCATGCGCTCTTCGGCTCCGGCGTCCGAGAACCAAATTGTGCCTTCGTCTTCGGCGGATTGCGCATGGTTTGCCAGCTCGACCGTGTACGCGTCGTCCCAGTATTCGCGGGTGCCGAGCGCGCTGGGATCGAGATGCGTGGGCTTCGTAGCGTGGCTGTCGTCGGTGGCGGACATGGTTCGTACGTGCGCGAGTGCATGCGAAGAGGAGAATTGGTGGCGGGAGCAAGGCGGGGGAGGGGGAGGGTTTCGTGGGGTCGCGTTGCTGGCGTAGATATTTTTCGTTGGCGCTACAGAGTGCGGCGTCATTCCGCGCGGAGCTTCTGCTTCTGCTTCTGCACCGCCGCACCCAGCAGCGCGGACGATTGACGCTGTCATCCCTGTGCTATATTGACAAAGTAATGCCTTACGTACCGAAGGACCATCCAGACGTTCCAACAGCAGCCCATAACCTCATCTTGCATCCATTGGCCCCAGAACTAGCCATCTCGGAGCCGCGAACCTACTCCGTACATAGCTCCATAGCTACCTAGACCTCCATCCCACCCCGCCTGTTCTCCGCCATTCATGATCACCGTCACCACTATTGCTTAAATACCAACACTGCCAGTGGTTTAACACTCCCGCAATGCCTCGCCGCTTCTGGATCCTCGACATACACTACGGTGCTTCTGGCGCCCGCTGTCTCGAGAAGAGCGCCACTGACCCGGCAAAGTTCACCAGATAGGGCATCGCGGTGCATTACCAAGTGCGCTCACGCCCCAATCACCACACCAACTTTGCGCCCAGCTAACACCGCTACTCACGCAGCATATCCACTCCCTCTCTATCCCCCTCCTCGCCGGCGTCGTCGCGCCCCAGAGCAAACCTGCCATGCCGTTCTCCATGCGCCAGCACGTTCCTTCTAGACGGCAGAATCTACACAGTACTCGTACATACTGGTACCTGCTCGAAGAGTGGTGAGATGAGAGTGGGGTAAACGCAGGTGGGCTGGCGGTCCGCGGGTGTACTTCGGTAGACGAGTTGGATCTCTGACGTGCGACCGTCACCCCGTCGAGATCGCAAATCGCGACACCTAAAAGTCGCCCACTGCCGCGCTCTCCGCAACGCCCTCTCGCAAGCGCTGAGCATGTGAATGAAACGGCGCCATGGAGGGCCTCGACGCAACTGAACGTTACGAAAAGACCCTCGATGGTAAGGCGGGCCGGCTGTCTTTCTGCCACTAGGATGATGTTGCTAATCTGAACCACGCTGCAAGGTCCGACGCCTTCTCTTCTAACTATCGTCCTTGATACCAACCCGCATGCCTGGGCTTACCTTGCCAATACGCTCCCGCTCTCCAAAGCGATCGCGAACCTTTTGGTCTTTGTAAACGCACATCTAGCCATAAACTCAGCGAACCAGGTTGCGGTAATAGCAAGCCACTCGCACCAAGCAACATGGCTGTACCCTACACCACGCCCCTCCGGAAAGCGGGCAAAGACAAATGGGCATGCAGACGGTGATGTCGATATGACAGACGGGTCCAACGCGTCCGGCACGTCCATTGACGACGCGAATAAATACCGACCCTTCCGGACAGTTGAGACCGAGATCATGACAAACCTCCGCGCCCTCATGTCAAAGACCAGCGAGTCGCACTTGCAATCAACGACGACAACACTCATCGCCGGCGCCCTCACGACAGCATTGGCATACATTGCCAAAGCGACGCTAAAATCCGCGCCCACGAGCACCGACGCTCACGTTATCGCCGTACCCACAACAGCCACAGAATCGCAGCACACGCGCACGATGCTGACGTCGCGTATCCTCGTGCTCAGCGTCTCCGGAGACCTCGCCTCCCAATACATCCCCGTCATGAATGCCATCTTCGCCGCACAGCGGCAGCACATACCAGTGGACATTCTCAAGCTCGCCGGCGACACCATCTTCCTGCAACAGGCCTGCGACGCCACAGGCGGCATCTACCTGGAGCCGTCGGCGCCCCAGGGCCTGCTGCAATACCTCATGATGGCCTTCCTGCCCGACAACACGGCGCGGCAGCACCTCGTGCTCCCCAGCGCCGGCGAGGTCGACTTCCGCGCCGCATGCTTCTGCCACAGAAAGGTCGTCGACGTGGGCTACGTATGCTCCGTCTGTCTCAGCAGTAAGTCCAACCTCACAACCCGCCCCCCCCTCTCCCCAATTGTTTACACATGCGAACAAAGCGCTAACGAGACCCCCCTGCGTGCACCAGTCTTCTGCGAGCCGCTTGCCGACCAGACGTGCTTGACCTGCGGCACCAAGCTCGCCGTCTCGAGCACCATCGGCAAGGTTCCCGCGCTCATTCCTCGCAAGCGTAAGAAGAGGAAGAGGGTCGCTGGCGATGCGACACCTTCGGCCACGCCGGCCGGCGGGGGCACGCCGATTGGCGTGCATGGTGGGACGCCTGCACCATGAGGAGAGTGATTGGATTACTCCTGCGCTTGGAAAGGGGCCTGCCTGGCGTCTCGAAGTTTGTCGGGATGTCAAAGTGAGAAAGGGCATGGAGGAAGAATGGGCATGGGTTGGTTGATGATTGTTGGATGGAATCGAGGTTCAAGTGAGCGGAGACGTGTAAGAGGAAAGGTGGAGAAGACACACAAGCGCGTGCTAGCTAGTGCGTCACGATAGCAGGAACTGCGCGTGGCGGATGCGCCAGCGCGGGAACGGCGCGCGAAGGAAGCGCTACTGTACGGATAAACGAACGGCATGTGGGCCTGCTGCCGCTGCAAGAGACGCGGCAACGGCCCCACCACTCACACACACCCTCACGACGCCGCTCAGCGGCTCAACCCAAGCAAAGTCCGTAGACGAATGTTCTCGATGAGATGGATAGATGTGTACTGCACTGCCCCGCTGTGCCCGAAACCCCCCATGGTCCGGAAGGGAGCCCAAAAAACCCCATATGTATGCGCTATCTACACAGAACCGCAGAACGCCGTTATGGAAAGAAACCCCACAGAGAAAAGAAACGAAAGAAAAAGGAAAAGAAGAAGCGCTAATAAGGGGAGAAGGGGAAACGAGAACCCGGCAGTAAAAGGGCTAGTAGACTGAAGCGCGCGTAGGGGATAATAGCAGCAGGCTCCGCTTGCAACTGTTGAATAAAATGTAGTTTAAATAAAAAAAGAAAAGGCACAGGACCTGTCGACCTTGTGTGTGACTCCAAAAAGAACCCTAACCGGCCGTAATTGGGGTATTCATTACAAAGGAAATGACGCGCGATCTGGAGAGACCTTCAGGGGCACATAGGTAGTGCCTTCAGCCGCTCCATCTAAGAAGAAAGGTCGGGGACGCAAAAAAAGGATTTTTTGGGTCGCCTATGCATGCGCCGTCCTTAGGCCGGGTGGAATGGTGAGTCGTGAGCAAACAAGCCATACCCGGGGTAATAAGTATAACCGCCAGCGCTGCGGCGGGGCCAGCCCAACGAGGAGCCGTCGGTGGATAACGACGACGACGAGGGAGACGGCTCCAGTCGCTGCGAGGGTGTTGTTGTTGGTGTTGTTGTTGGTCCGTAGCTCCCGACGTGCACGCCAAGGATGCCTTGTCCATAATTGGGGCTCGCCGTCGTGGGGGACCGGACTGCTGCTGCATGGCCGTCGGCGGGGTAGAAGGTGCGGGGATCCACGCGCAGCGAGTTGACGACCTGGTCCATCTCGCATGCCATCATCGAAAAGGTAGCTTCAACGGATCGCTCTCCCAGGTCCGTGCGGGTGAGGACAGAACCTAATGCGGCAGTGCGGTTTAGCCCAGTACTTCGCTGCCCTCGCCAAAGTCCTCGTCCATTTCCTCACCGATGGCGGTAGCTCCCATCATGGCCGTCACTGTGACTGAGTTGGTAACGTTGACTATCGTGTCAACGTCATCACCGTCGTCGTACATGGTCCCATCCGTCTCATAGGTAGGGTTGGTCTCCTCCTGGTTGAGATGGTCCCGAAGCCGTGTCACGCCGTTTCCGGAGAAAACACAGAAGACGTCACGCTGGTGGTCATTGAATTCTTGCACAATATCAGAATCTTTCACAGCAATGTGAAACGATAGGTGGAGACTTACCGGGAGGTGCCTCGCGGCAGAAGACGAGCAAGTCCTCGCGCAAGAATGCTTGAACGCCCGTCAAACTAAGATGCGTCAAGCGCGGGCAGTTATTGAGCAGTGCATGGATACCCTGTAACTTGTGTAATTAGCAGTTTGAAGAGTGTAAACCACGCACGGGCTGTGAATCATACATTGAGCGTCAGGAGGGTACAGTAACTGAGGTGAACCCTCTCGAGCGAGCTCGGGGTAATGGCGCCGTTTGAGCCAGCCTGCTTCTGCCGTGCGAGCGCGGCAATGCTGCGATCAGTGATATTGCCGCACTTGACGAGGCCTATGCGCTTCAGCTTGGACAGTGTCGCAAGCTGCTCAACGGACCGGTCGGTCAGGTTCTGGCAGCAGGCGAGATCGATGTAGCGGATGCGGTTGCACATCTTGACTAATTGCAAAACCCCTGAGTCGGTGATGCGCGAGCAGTGACCAAGGTGGATGTAGTGTAGGTTCTTGCCGAGCTTGGTGATGGCCATGACGGCGCGGTCGGTGATCTGACGGCACTTGGCCAGGACGAGATTGCGCAGGCGCGGTGCAGCCGCAATGATCTTCTGAACACCGACATCGTTGAGCTCCCCACAGTCCGTGAGGTCCAAGATGCGAAGACTGTCGTATATGGCATCCTGGGGGAGGTCGAGGAATGCGTGGTCCGTGATGCGAGAGCAGTGCGCGAGGCGGAGCTCCCGGAGGTGGCGTCCCTCGCTGATGAGGGCAGTAACTGAAGCATCCTCCAGGTTTCTGCAGTTGTGGAGATCAATCTCCAGGATGTAGCGACAGCTGTTGGCAAACGCCATGATCGACTTGTCGGTCAGCTGGGAGCAGTTGTTGAACTTGAGCCTCTTGACATTTCTGCAGCGCTTCGCGACAGCCTCCAGAGACTCGTCGTTGATCTTTTTGCAGTCCGTGATGTTCAGGCCTTGGAGTTTCAAGCAGTTGTTCGCAAGGGCCTGCATGGTGCGGTCGGTGACGTTTTCCAGGCCGGTGACGTCCAGGGCCAGAAGAGCACGGTTGCCCTCAAGCATGCCGACCAGGCTGAGGTCGGTGAGCTTGTTGCAGTTTGTCAAGGTTAGGCGTTCAATCCGCTTGCAGCCAGAAAAGGGCTGCAAGGTGCCATCGCTGACTTCGTTGCCCAGGGTCGAGAGGTTCAACCTCTTGACTAGCGTTTCGTAGTCAAAGTAGCTGTCGACCCTGCGGAGCGACTGTGCCACTATGTGGACGCTCGACCATTTGTTTGTCTGCGGCCTGTGCCACAGAAGTCCCACACTATTCCGCGCCCAGTCCTTTGACACCAGCATGCAATTTTTGAGATCTCCGGGTGAGGCCAGCTTCGCAAAGATGGAAATCATGAGCTCGGCGGGGAGGCGACAGATGGGCGACACACGGCATCGTTCCTCGATCTCGCGGGCATAGGCATCGCTGAGTTCCTCCGAGGTAGATGGTTCGATGGACGACTGCGAGTCGTTGGCCTGCATCATGAAAGAATCATTGTCGTCGTCGGCGCCTCTCTCTGGCGAGGTGGAGGCGGATGAGTCGGAGCTGGAGCGACCGCCTGGCAGGCGCTCTTCTCTCCGTGAACGGGACATGGTGGCTGAGGAAGGTGGAGTTTGGGGGGAAGGACTCGGGAGCGGAGGGAGGTGGCTCGGGGGCGGGCACCGGCGGGCGGCGTCCAAGGCTGGGCTTTTTGAAATTGCGCGCGCAGGAGCCGGCGTGCGGTGTGAGACGAGGAATCGGCGGTTGTCGTGGGAGAGTTGGGCGCGAGGTAGCGATGCCGAGGCGATGGCGGGGGGATGGGCGCCAGACCCTGGATCGGGCGGCGGAAGGAGCGGCTGGAGCGCGGGCGATGCGCAGCGAACGGCGAGGCCAGAGGTATGTCGGAAGGGTAGAGTAGCGAGGGTGAGAAGGGCAAAGTTGGTTTGAAGGTTCGATAGGTACGAGTAGTAGTGTGAGGTGCTAGGGGAGGGGGGGGCACTGGGGTGGTGGGATTAGGCGCGGCGGCGGGTCGTGACGCGGGCTGGCAACTCGAGTCAAGAGAACTGGCCCAAGCGGCCGGTGAAGGAATGGTGATGGAAATTGGTGTTGTTTTACCACAGTTTTGCAGAGGAGAGAGTAGGTAGATACAGAGGCAGCAAGGTACGATAGGTGACGACGCAGACGACGACGCCGACGACGACGACGACGACGACGCAGCCCTGCCCGCCCTGCCACGCTTGCATAGGTCATGCTCCGCGGGCGCCGTCATTCGCCCACACAGTTGTTATGTAGTTAGGTACTTTCGCGGCGGCGGTTGATGCCGACCTTATACTCGTACGAGGACAGTCGAAGGCCGTTTGCAGCAGCCCTTGACAGGGTCTTGTGTGGGGGAGTGCAGAGCGAAGGCTTCGAAAAGGCGACCCCTAATGGCTTGATTGGCGCTGCCTGCGGTAGATCTGCCGAACGCGATTCAGAGATTCGGATGTGCCCTCGAACCTCCATCCCAACGCCAGCACCTTACCTCCGACCGTTACTCTCCTTGGCCGCCACCTCATACCCACACACATGTCGACTCCCTAAGCCCGACTGCTGCCTCTCTCTTGCCGCCGGGCAAGTTTCGCAATGACGTCCCCATACCACCCCTCCGCCCATCTCCACCACCCTGGAGCCTACGGCGTCCCCCACCACAATGCTCCCCCCGGCACCTTCGCTCCCGGCACAAAGGTCCAGGTCGGCAACCACCGCGCCGTCGTCGAGAAATACCTGTCCGAGGGCGGCTTCGCTCATGTCTACGTGGTCAAAGTCCCCAGCAAGTCGGGCGACCGCCTTGACACGGCCGTGCTCAAGCGCGTTGCTGTCCCGGACAAGGAGGCCCTGGCGAACATGCGCACCGAGGTCGAGACGATGAAGAAGCTCAAGGGGCACCGCAAGATTGTCACGTACATCGACTCGCATGCCTCGCAGCTGAAAGGAGGCGGCTATGAGGTCTTCCTGCTTATGGAGTTCTGCTCCGGCGGCGGCCTGATTGACTTCATGAACACCCGCCTGCAGCACCGCCTGACCGAGCCCGAAATCCTCAAGATCTTCTCCGACGTCGCCGAGGGTGTTGCCTGCATGCACTACCTCAAGCCTCCGCTCCTCCACCGAGACCTCAAGGTCGAGAACGTCCTGATAGCCACCGCGGGCACCTCCAAGGTCTACAAGCTGTGCGATTTCGGCTCCTCCGCGCCGCCGCGCCCGGCTGCTACGACGGCCGCCGAGGGCAGGTTGATCGAGGACGACATCCAGAGACACACCACAATGCAGTACCGCAGTCCGGAGATGATCGACGTCTACAGAAAACAACCGATTGACGAGAAGAGCGATATTTGGGCGCTGGGCGTCTTGTTGTACAAGCTCTGTTATTATACCACGCCATTCGAGGAGCAAGGACAGATGGCCATTCTGAACGCAACCTACAAGTTCCCGCACTATCCTCCTTTCTCCGACCGATCGAAGAAATTAATAGGTACGTGCTCGCACGGAGCTGCTACACTCCCAAAGGCTAACCCCAATTCAGCATGGATGCTCAGAGAGAACCCTCAGCAGCGGCCGAACATCTACCAGGTCGTGCGGGAAGTCTGCTCCATGCGCAACACGGAATGCCCCATCACAGACGTAAGAACGCAGGCTTCCGTTAAATCCAATGTACTAATGCCACGTAGATATACGCGAACAGGTCTCATTCGGAGGTGCGCAACGCCCAGCAATTGCCGTCGCCCGATCCTCAGGTCGCATCTCCACCTCTGATTGGCATCCACAAAGCGGCGCCAGTCCAGCAGGTCCAAGTCATCCCCGAAGTCACGCCAATGAGGCGTGGCAGGCCCACAGCGCCGTCGCAACAACCTCCCGCGGCGAAGGCCAGTCCGTCCCCAATGCGGGCATTGAACGACCCTTTCGCCGCGTTGGATTCGACATCGGCACCTGTGAGAGCTGCAGCGGCCGACGAATTGGCGTCCAAATTCCCTTCGCTGGACGAGTTCTCTATCCTCCACGACCGCGGAAAGGGATTCCAGTTCTCCCAGCAGCCCTCACCTGTGGAGGCGAGGCACCCCGAACCGGCCAACAAGCGTGTCACGGAAGCGTTGGCTGATCAGGTGTTTGGTGGTGTTCGTGCTCCGGCCGCAAGTCAACCGCCAGCGCCTTCGAGTGCATCTTCTGGTCTGTCAAGATCGTCTTCGTTGAAAAAGACGCAGTCTCAACCTCAGCCTCAGCCGCGCAGAGAAGAGCCAAACCCGTTGCAGTCGCGTATTTACCAGCCGCAACCTCAGCGTTCTCAGATGGTCTCCACGGGTACTAATACCTCACCACCGCCTTCCCCAACCAAATATCCAGACATTAGCCAACGTCCGATCTATCGTTTCCCGCCTCCCGGCTCTCAGCCTAGCCATCAACGTGGCATCAGCCAAACAAGGACGTCAGATAACCCTAGAACGACCGCGCAGCCTAATGTCTCTGCGCCGCAACGACCATCTTACATCGACATGCACCGCTCGAAATCCAGCACCACGACTTTGACGTTACCGCAATCTCCGGCCTCGTCACGACCGTCTCTGGAGGGCTCGCGGCCGTCTGTGATGGACATCACTGACCCCATCAACCGCTCCAAGTCCGCAAACTCCCGGGCAAGGCCGTCTAGCGTGCACGTCGAATCCAATCTCGAGTACCTGCGTGACCGGGAAAACTCGCGCAACCGCGTCTCCGCCATCATCCAGGATGAAAGCGAGCTGAACCGCGTCCGATCGCCCTCTATTCTCGACCAGGACAACGAGCAAGAGAAGAACATCACCTCCAACGTCGACTTCCTGCGCTCCATGGAGGCCGAGTCAGACGCGGCCAAAAAGAAGGTACACCGCCGCAGCGGCAGCCATATCAGCAATCACTCCAAGCGGTCCAGCTTCCCGTCCCTCGCCGGCACCAAGAACATCCTCGCCGGCCGGTTCGGCGATGCATTCCGCCGCTTTGAGGGCGGCGGCGGCAACGCGCCGGAAATGCAGCGCTCGACCAGCCCGGTCCAGTACGACCGCGTGGACAGCGAATCGGGTGGCCTGGCCCCCATTGCTGGCTCGGACGTCATGGGCGAGCGCTCCGAGGACGAGTCGGCCATCGACGAGACGCAGGACCTGCCCGCCGAGGTGCGGCGCGAGCTTGAGCGGCGGCGCCTCTCGCAGGAGGAAAAGCGCGTCGCCGAGGCCGCGGCCGAGTACCGCAAGCGCGTGGCTGCGGGAGGCGCCGGCGCCAGCGGCGGGCCCTCGCATGCCTCGTCGATCCAGAACCGCGTCAAGACGCTGCTGGAGGACAGCCAGCAGAACAGCACCCCGCCCAAGCGCACTGCCGAGGGCTACGGCCGCTTCACGGCATCCGCTGGCGCCGACAGCAATAACACCGGCGGCAGCAGTAATCAGGCGGCGCGCCCGCCCGCCCCCGCCATCGCCAAGAAGCCGACAGGCATGTCGGCCGCATCAGCCTCGCCCGTCATCGGCGCGCAACAGCAGCAGTCGGAGCTCGTGTACGGCCGCTCGCGACCCTCACAACAACAACAACAACAACAACAACAACAACAACAACAACAACAACAACAGCAGCAGCAGCAGCAGCAGCAGCAATCGCCCGCCGCAGGCGGCACGTCGTCGACGACCGCGTCTCCCGCGCCCCCGCAAGGCGCGCTCCCGACCGGCTCCTCGGCCGCATCGAAGCCGCCGCCCGCCGCGCCGCCGAAGCCCAAAGCCCTGCGCACGGGCGGCCAGTTCGGCGCAGGCGGGGAGATGATACCGCCGCCGAGCCCGCGCAAGCAGCGACAGCAAGCAACTGGCGACATTTCAGGCGGCGCGGCGGGCCTAGGCCTCGGCCTACAGAGCGTTGGCGACAGCGCCGAGGACTGGGAGGCCAGCTTCAGCAAGCGCTATCCCAGCCTCAGCGGCCTGGAGCTCGTCGAGACGGAGGTGCCTGACGTGCAGGTGGGGCGACAGGGCGTGCGGGGCCGGTAGGTCCCCCGGTTGGCTTAGATCCGGGATGGATAGATTAGGTCCGGTCCGGTCCGGTCCGGTCCGAGCCCCGCGCGCGCGTGTGTGTGGATACGATACGATACCTAGAAGTTGTAGAGAGTGTAGGAGGGAGGCTCTGGCAGAGTTGGTGCTTGCGGGCGCGAGTTAAAGAGTTGGTGCTGATAGACGGGGTTGGTGTAAAGTGGATGGAAGCCCGGGGCGGCAGGGCGGGGAGTAAGGCCGGAATACTTTTTTTTTTTTCCCCTCTGTTTCTTTTGAACATTATTTATTATTGTTTTCATTACCATCGTTGTCGGCTTGCGTCTGCTATTTTTCCCTGTTTAGTTTTTTGGATTAGCGGGAGCGTTGTTGCATGCATGCGTGTATGGGAGCGCACGCTGGTGGGGCGGAGGTGGTGGTATGTACGCCGCGGCGTGGGTTACATCTCTCTGTTGTGTGTTTGCGTGGGTGGGCGGCTGTGTCTGTTTGCCTGGGCGTATATCAATAGTAGCGTGCGGGAGCGGCGGTACCTAGTGATGGTGGTGGCGGCGGCTTTTTCGTCATTTGTATGAGCGACCGAGCAAGGCAAGGAAGCGAGCGAATAAGTGTGTGAGGGAGACTTAGTGGAGGAGGGGGGCTGGGGAATGAATAGACAGACACTCTCGTCGATGCATACCAACCATATCGTACCTCATACCTGGCAGCCGGTAGCTTGAAGTTGAACTGTGCTTTTTTAAGCGCGGGTGTAACTGTACAGCCGCTCGGTTCCTTGTGGATTATTTCTTATAGTACAAATGTGCGCGAATATGTGTGTGTTTGGTGTTTGCTAGTGTTTCTGTGAACGTGTTTGTGTCTGTGCTTGAGTCTGTGTTTGAATCGATGCGGGAAGGATAATGAATTGTAGGAAAAGACAGGGGTGGAGAAAATGGAGCACGGGAGGTAGAAAAACAACACATCCACTGACAAAGTTATTGGTGATGGAGACAGCGGGCACGCAAACACTGTGTGTTTCCTGTCACCCTTGTGTTTGTTTGCTGTCCAAATACCTGTCTGCGGGTCGAACACAATAACAAGAACAAGAACGAGTGAGTGTAACGGTATGAGATCGAAGAAAGAAAAAAAGAATGAGGGGAGAGAAGGGAATTGAAGCTGTTCCACAACTTGGAACCCATTGAAGGGCCTTTCTCGTGACGCCGTCTGTTCGCCTAGCCGTGTGTCTGTATCTCTGCCAGAAAGACCTCTATGCTCCCCGTCCGCCGAACAATTCCTATGTCTTTCTCAATTTCCTCTTGGTCCGCCCTGCCATGTTGTTTGGGAATGCCGAACTGATTACATTAAAGGAATGATGAATAAGTTTGAAGCATACTCTAAAACGAGTGAAGAAAAACAAAAACAAAAGTGTAAAAAATAAACGAAAGACGTGGAGAAGAAGGAACTAAGTTGTGTCACACTAGAAAAGTGGAGGCGCTGCATAAGGATACAGCAGCACCATATAGGTTTCTAGTGGCTTTGGAAGAGCTGATAAGTATTAAAAGCATGACAAGTCAATAAAGATCATTAACGAATGGAAAAGTGGTTTGATAAGCACTCAGTCAAGCGCATCATTTTCGCCCCTCACCTTTCGTCGAATGGTAAGTATCGCCTTTTGCGGGGGTGCACAAAAGTCACTCATGTACACATTCGACGGACGTTTCTGGAGTGGCTGGATGTCGTATTTGAGGGTGATGTGCGCGAGGATTAATTTCAGGACCTGGGCAGCGAAGAAGCGGCCAGGGCTGTCCATGAAAAGAAAAGCGTTAGCAAGCGAGACCAACGGAATGAAAAAGAAAATGAAGCAGACAGCAAGGGCGAACAAGAGAGGACTGCAACTTACCATGAATGTCTACCGTGTCCAAATGGCACAAAAGCATCACTAGTCGTGCTCAGGCTCAGACGCTTCTCCTGCAGTAGTTCCCACAGCTCCGCCTGTCCACCTGCGCCGCGCATCCTTAATGCTTCTAGCATGTCAGCACGCGCGTCACTGAAGCGGAAAGCATCATAGGTGGTGGGAGAGGGGTAGAAGCGATCGTCATGGTGGATGGCCGCGACGGGGATGCTGAGCCACGCTCCGCAAGGGAGGTACGCCCCGTCGGGCAACGTGAGTCCACCGGGAGCTGTAACTTGTCGCTTGGCGCCGCGCGCCGCGAAGCCAGAATATCGGAGTGACTCGCGGATGGCCGAATCAGCACGCGTGAGTTGCCGGATAGCGAGATGCGTCCATTGCCCTGAAGTCGAGACGAGAACTTTACTAGCCTGCTCACGGATTCCATTGAGATAGTCTAGCGAAGGATCGGAAGCTACGAGGTCAATTACAGTGTTCGTTATGGCAGAGGCACTAGTATGGATGGCGGTGGTTTCCATGAGAAGGATGCGCGTGGCAATAAGTGTGGCATCGGCTTCAGCGGGTGAGTCGTGCAAGAAGGCGGCTTGGGTCATCCATTGTATGAAGTCGGAAGGTACGTCTTGCTTAATATCTGGATAGTCACGCTGTCGCTGGAGAGCTGCGAGACGCTGTTCGATGACCGGAACGAGAAAATCCTTGCACTTCTTGAGGAAGTACTTGCTTGGCAACCCAAGCGCCGGAGCCAACACTGGTTTGAGGATATCCGGAAGCAGTGCCTTGATAGCGGCGGCGGAAAGAACAAACACCTGTGAGAAGTTTGTGACTGCCTTCACGTACTTTTCGTCTGGACCAATGGCGTCGCCCAAGAAGATAGAGTTGGAGATTTTGATGATGATTTCAGAGAGCGTCTTGTGGGCGTTAACTTCCCTCCACTCTGACTCTTCGCCCCAGATTCGGTCAATGTTGGTCATCACGGCGTCGACAATGGCGGGAGTCAGTTGACCAAGATGGCGAGTGAGGTCCTTGCGGATCACCTCCTCATGAAAAGGATGCTCGTAGATTTGGGCCGGTGCTAGCCATTCTAGCTCGAGAAGAGACACCTGAGCTGGCTTGGTGCTCAGGATGCCTTCCGGCTGCTTCACGAGCCATGAGATGTGAGACTGGGCCAGAATGGCTTCAGGACGGAAAGTGAGGTTCGGGATTATAAAAGTCCTTTCCTGAGTGCTCCACTGTGACGAAGTTTAGAGGGGGGCATGGTGGGTGGTGATGTATACAGACCTTGGCGTAGCCGGCCTTGAGCAGATCCCAGCTGCTCGTCGCCTCGCGCAAGTGCGCACGGGATTTTGCAAACCACTCATCCTCGTTGAGGCCAATCCACGGGAGATGGTCGAGAAGGTGCTTGGAGGCCGTCAGGCGGCGATGGAGGTAGTACAGCAGGGCGAGGAGGATGGCGAGCAGCGTGGTGGTAGACAGGGTGGCCATGGCGGCCGGTGGCTAGCGTGGGCAGGGAAGGAGCGAATCTAGGAGTACCTGGCAAGGAGAACGGCGACTAGCATCAAGGAAATGGCGAAAAGGGAAGGGGAAAAAAGAAAAGCTTAATCCCAGCAAGGTAGACCGCCGCTGGAGCAGACGGAGCGGGTAGTGCGTCCATCCGGCGGCCTCTTTCACAACTTTGGCCATTTCTGTCGTCGGCTGGGCGCCAAAAGGTGGTCATTCCAGACAAACTTTGCCCCGTCTGGAAAGCGCAGGGCAGCCCTATGGAGCAATCCAGACTGGTTGTGTCCGCCGCCTCGGAGCCATGTCCGGGGGAGCATTCTTTTCGGACGGTAGACAAGCGTGAGCACGTGGCTCTCAGGGCTGATGCCTGCCTGCACGTGTTTGCATTCGTCACAGCATACTCGTACGCTACTCCTAGTTGGAAACGAACGTCTTGCTTTAAGTATAAAAATGTGTGAAAGAGTGTAAGAAAGGAAGCCTCATCCCCAACACCTCCATCAGCGCAATCGAAATCTACCAATCACTAATCAACTTAACCTCCTAGCCCCCGACATCCACTCTCCACCTCCCCGCAACATCCCCTCCCCGATGTCAATTTAGATAATAAAAAATAAGACCGCTCCCTACGCGCACCTGGTCCCTGCTTGGCGAGCCTATAAAGGAACGTTTCCGCAGAGTATGTTCTGTTGTTTAAGGTAAAATATCGATAGTCCCATCTTCATACATCTTCATTTTCGGAAACTATCATCGTGTTAGCAAAGGACAGCAGCCAGGGGGGCGCTTCGGAGCATGCGGGGACATACTCTATCCATATCGTGGGTCATGGCAAAGTAACAACCATCCCCACGTGAGCATTCATCGTGGGGGCAATTATGTCCATAGTAGCAGGTGACGTCGCGGCAATCATTGAGGAGCGGGCACGCAATGTTGCGCGCCTTGTGCTGCAACGCGAGCCTATCAACAGGACTCAGCTTCTCGCCATGGCCGTACGGGCACTCCTGCGACGTGCAGGCGCCACGCAGGTGGTATTCGTTGCACATCTTTTGCTTCTGGATGCGTAGGTGAAAGCGTTCAAGCGCACTGCGCTCGACCTTGGGTAATTTCTCGTCGATGCGCTGGTCGTACAGATTCAGCAACACGTAGCGACGCTGCACTGGTTTGACGGGCGCAATGCTGATACTTTTGCTCGTCATACCCGTCTTACCGACCGCCGCCCATGACTGGCTGGTAGATGTGGACGTGGCCGGAGTTACGGTTCTAGGGGGAGCAGATGCTGGTGGGAGCGGTTGCTGCTGAGGTGAGATAATGCTTTGCACGGGAGATGACATAGTCTGGTGCGGGGAGTTGGTCTTGATAGGAATAACCTGCGGTGCCATGACCGGACGCTCTGGGAGCTCGTCTAGGCGGAAGACAGACTCGAAGCGTGCGTTTTTGAACTTTAAGCCGGTAAAGGCAGGCTGGGCAGGTGTAGTCTCCAGCAAAGAAATCCGATTGGCAGCCACCGGGTCATTCTTGTAAGGGCTGCTTAAGATTAGCCCCCAATCTGCAGTCTGGAGAGCATGAAGTATGTGTACTCAAGTGCAACGAGGTATCCATTATCGTGGCAGCCACCGAATATAATGTGCTTGCACTGGATGTTTGAGATGAAAAGACGCAGCATTTCTGTAGTGTGTCCATTAGCAAGGCGACCTCATTCGCAGAAGTCGCAGCAATCTCTAGCTTGACCCCCGCTGCAGGTGTAGTCACGAGGTAATAGAAAGCTTGCAAATATGAGATATAACGAAAAGTCTGGACTGTCATGGTCCTGGCATGAAATGGACCTACCTTTAATCTTGTGATCGGCTCTCTCTTTGCCGCTGCCGACATCGATGAAATTGAACAAAGATTGATTCAGACTAAAAGCCCGGGAGAAGGTATGCAGCTCTTGCGGCGACCGAAGGATACCTACGGAAGCTAACTTCCTGCCTAAGCCCTCGAGGTTGGCGTAGATATGCACGATGATGTTCCATGAGCCAGCCTGGCCCTCATAAACGTCGAGTATATGGTTTTTTATTTCAACCATCAGCTTGCTCGCCGCCTCCGAGCCGCCGTCTGCACCGGCCTTCAAGAAGGCATCCTGAAATATAGCTCCGTCGCCGTCGATAAGGACTAAGACGAAGGGATTGTGATCGGCCTGTTGGCGCATGACGGCCTGCGCCCGGGTGGATTCGTTGAACTGTGATTGCCAGTATCTACGTGCCTGCACTTCGTTGTCCAAATCGCTGCATTTCTCATTGAAGGCCAACTTAAGCTGTTCATACTGGCGAACAATTTCCTAAGCCCAGGTTAGCCTCCCTTGCAGCGGCGGGCCTGGCGGGGAGGGGCGTTACCTGTAAGAGGGCGTCTCGTTCCTGGTCGGACCTTCGAAACGACTCTAGCTTTTGATCTAGAGAGGGTAGAGTTTCGTAGCCGCCGTTCATTTTATCTCGACCGTCATGTAGGGATGGGGGAGTGGTAACGGAAAACATTGGGAAGCTTGTGCTGCCGTGCGCGTGGAGGTGAAAGGGAGAGGAGCGGGTCAGCTGTGCGAAATGAGATTTGGCTTTATTTTGAGAGCCCAGCAACCCTGCGAGTTGAGACAGGCCCCGGAAACGCGACACGCGAGCAGGAGGCGCGCGCTCTCTCGGTAAAGTGATGCCGCGTGTGCCGTCGGGGCAGTAACGAGTCGTGGATTTGCAGCGGGTCCCAGGGACGGACGGGGAGGAGGGTTGGTTGACAGACGTTGGACGGACTGCTAACTGCCTTGGTGCGGGGAGGTCCTCCTGCCAGCTACCCATTTCGAGCTCACGGCGGCTGCGTGTGAGCTCCAATCATTTGCACTCAACCCTCTCCGCTCCCATGAATCGCTCCGTGCTTTCAATTGTACGTGGTAGGTACCCTCTCACCTCGTACGCTTCTCCGCCTCTGCCTTCCATTTTCACCCCGTCTACTGACGTCACGCATACATCCCGACTGCGAGCGGGGCTATTTCAGCACCTCACGCCTCTTCCCTCTTCCCTACCCTCTAAAGCTATTCCCTCTCACCACCCCTCCAAAGCTGTTTCCAAGCCCCCGGCTCTCCAATTCCTCAAGAACCACTCCACCATGGCTGCCCCCGAGCCCAAGCGCCAGCGCACTCACCCCAACTACGAACTCCTCTATCACCCCACCATTCCCGGCCGCGGCGAGTACGTTAGGCTCGTCTTCGAGGCCGCAGGCGTCCCGTACAGTGACCCCGCGAACGAAGACCAGAACAATGGCTACCCCAAGGTACAAGCCATCTGTGACGCCAACAGCACTGGCGACGAGGAAGGCAACCCGCCCGCCTTTGCCCCGCCTGCCCTGCGTGTCCCTGGTGCCGGCAAGGACGGCAAATCCCTGCTCATCTGCCAGACGCCAAACATTGTCGAATACATCGCACCCAAGGTCGGCCTAGCGCCTGCAGACGAGGTTGACAGGCTGCATGCCAATCAGCTGATGCTGACGGCCTTAGACATGAGCAACGAAGCCCACGATACGCACCACCCTGTCGCCGTCATGCTGTATTATGAAGACCAGAAGGAGGAGAGCTCAAGAAAGGCCAAAGACTTCCGCGAGTCAAGGATTCCCAAATTCTTTAGTTATTTCGAGAGGGTCCTGAAGGGCAATAAGCAGCTCGGCAAGGGCAAGTATTTGATTGGTGACAAGCTGTCTTACGCAGATACGACATGGTGGCAGGTTGTCGACGGGTAGGTTATTTGATACCTATATTGGTTGGGTTAGTATGAGACTGACGCCCCACTACAGGCTGCACTTTGCCTTCCCGAAGGAGATGGAGGCCAGAAAGAAGGAATTCCCGCTCCTTTTTGCGACTTTCTATCCTAGCTTCAAGGAAGAGAAGGGCATCAAAGAGTATCTGGCCAGCGAAAGGCGCCTGAAGTATTCCATGGGGTTGTACCGTCATTATCCAGAGCTGGACCGGCAGTAAACGTGCTATTTATAACGTCCGTCACTGTTAACCGAGGTTCTCCATCTAGCGAGATAGGGAACGATACAAGCAGTCCCTACGGACTATTCCTTGTCTTGCTACAGGCCTAAATTCTGGAGATGAGTAAGAAGACCTTAGAGCACACACATGCTACAAACACCTTAACTAGGTTTCTTCTTCCACCCCGTACAAGCATCATCATCTCGCAAGACGCTGAATCTCGCTTCGGGGTGACAGACGTTACACTTAACTCAAGATTAGCTTTTGAGAAACAAAATTGAACTATACACAGTTCTGCATCATTTGTATGCACCACAACAGATCATTAGGACAGCTTTTGATGTAGGACCACCTGACGTGAAAAGTTTGACCATTGGTATTCTAGCACGACTCACGCGACGTGCTGTGTGCATTGCACTCCCGAACTATCCGAACCAGTCCCAAATCCTGCAGAAAGGCCCTTTTTTGAGGCTTCGTCATACATGAAGCATGCTGAAACCGTAACTCCTCTCAATATCCACATCTAGTAGTCAGCACCGTGCTGGGGGAACTCGAAGTTGACACCCTTGCCAGTCAGGCGCTTGTAGACCTCGGAGTAGGTGTCGAGGCGGTAGTCGACACCGCCACGCTCCTTCTCGTCGAGGATGATCTTGAGGACCTTGGAGCCGTCCTCCCTGGTGCGGACGCGCTTGCCGACAATCTCGACGGGGTAGACGAGGTCGTGGAGGATGGCGTCGTGGACAGCAGTCAGAGTCCGGCTGCGAGGGCGCTTCTGGGTCTGAGCGTTGCGGGAGCGGTTGGAGCGCTTAGGGCGGGGGAGAATGCGGCGGGAAGCAACGAGCAGGACGTGGCGGTCAGAGAACTTCTTCTCGAGCTCACGGGTCAGGCTGCGCATTGAATTAGTTCCGTCCCTGCCACATGAAAGTCTGTACACATACCGCTGCTGGACCTTGTGCCAGCCAGTGAGAAGGGGAACAGGGACGAAGATGACAATCGCCTTCCTGCCGTGGCCAACCTCAATCTATAAGAGTCCTGGTGTCAGCGTGCTGTTGCTGCCCAGTGCCCACCGCCTCTTCGAGAATCTTGTCCGGCCATTTGTGGTTCCGCGAACAGAGAATATCCGGTGTTGTGTCGCAAGGCTGATTCCGGCAATGGAGCCGGGGTTGATGCTCATCTTACCTCGCGAGCGGACACGAACTGGAGAGGGCGCAGGGACGCCTTCATGTCCGGGATGTTGGACTCGAGGTCGTAGAGAGCATTGGCGATGCTCGACTCGATCTCGGAGGGGTTCTGCCTCGAGGGGCTGTTGGGCGCGATCTTGTTAAGGGCGGCCGACGACATGGTTGCGGATTGCTCGACTGGAGGAGTGGTCGAAGGGGTCTTGGTCGGGTTTCGCGTCGCGGTTGAAGTTCTTCGAAATGTTGGCTCGAAAATGAATATCGTTTGCTTGTGCCCGTAAGCGAATGCACTAGCCCGCTTTCGGCCAGCCCATCTTCTCAACTTCACCACCGCCGTGCAAACACATCACAGTCCTTCGGTGCGGGTCACACGTCGCACAGTCGGTACAACAACAGCGCGACTCATATTGTTTTTCATCCTCACCGTGAGTGGTGCTCCATAAACGTGAACGCGTGTCAAGTCACTCTGAATCTAAATATTACCCAATCACAAGAACATGTAGCTATCGCAGTACATTCAAAACACTCCCTGCAGATTATTCATTTGGTGGATCGAAAGGCTGCGATAGTGGTTGGACATGTTGCTCACAAAGGGTATGTGAGTTATAACAACCTGCTCTTCTACCGTTGTATATACGCTTCACAGTAATGAGCATCTCACCTACAGTACCCACTACCCACGGGTCCATACTATCGAATTCTGTTTTACTGGAAATGACAGATTAAACATTACTACGCATTCTTCTGAAAGAACCCGGTGTCCTCCGCATCCCTTGGTCGCATCTATATCTCGTTTCTCAATTCCGCATGCATCTCATGGGATCACTGGCCTTGTCTTTTTTCCACACGATACCTTTGTTCTCTTGTTCGCTTGTCTCCAACTACATTCTGCCATTATGGCACTCAATGGCTGCTTCATTAGCCCCATTGAGTCATACCGTATGACGCATCCAGTCCAGCTAACACTTCTGTTGCCAAGTTGGTCGCTTTTCTCTTTTACGCCTCACTCGCTCTTAACTTCCCTTTCAACTTAGTGTCGGTTCCGGCTAGTGCTGAACCTGACACGGACGGTGAGCGTCGGTACTCAGTCTCGACAGACACCAGTATGGTCCCTTGGAGACGACACTTCCACCCGTTCGCACTAATCCGATTCGGAGAACTCCTCCTTGTAACCAGGAGTCAGCCCAGATTCTTTTGCTGCCAAGTCCGCTTCCTTTTTTGCTGCCAATTCGGCCGCTTGCCTCTTCTTCTGCCAATTTCCGTTCCGCTTCTTTCTCATTGAACCGTCTCAATCTCTCCTTAGCCTCTTTTCTTAATCGTGCTCCGCGTTCTCCGCCCAGTTGAACACTCGAATATACAGAAACAGTAGAAGAGTCATTCTGATAGGGCTGTAAAGCAACAGGGAATGGTATGACGCCCTTGAATCTCGGCAGATTCTTAATGTCGACGTAGGGAGGCGACGGAATATCGGTATCGTTGATTTCCGCAGGTTTGAGCCCGTTGTCTGGGTTGTCGATGTGATCTTTAAGTCGTCTTCGGAGACTGAACAAAGATGGTCTGTCGTTGGGATCGAAGTTCAAACATTCGCGAATAAGGTCTCGCATGAGCTGTCTGGGTTGGCTCTCATATCCGTTAAGGAGTCTATTGACATCCCAGTACTCTAGTGACTGAAGTTCGATACTCGTGGGCCCAGAGGGAAACATTGTTTGCTCGTGGCCCTCCAAGTTTCTGAGATAGTACGACATTATTTGCCCAATAGCAAAGACGTTAGTTCGATCTGAGAAACGGTGGGCTTTGTCATTCGGCTTCATAGGGCAATAGACCCTCTGCTCCTGTACGACACGGAAACTTTTAATTAACGTTGACCTATATAACTAAAAAGGGTAAAACACTTACTGGGGGAGCGACCCTCCTATTACCATGGCCTATATATTCTCTTGGGTTGTGCGGTTCGTCCTCATGGTTCTCGAAAGCTAATCCCCAGTCTCCGATCATTATTGACGGATACTAATTTACCCGTCAGCAGGAGGATATGTTATCAAGGGAGCAATCGTACTTACCATGAACCAGTCTCTGTCTTCTTTTCTCGGCCTCGGGTTTCCCAAGAAAATGTTCGCTGCGTGAATGTCGCGATGAACGATTGATGTCCAGCCATCGACATAACCATCAAGGCTTCCTTCGTGTACCGCCAGAAACCCCTCCACTAAGGAAAGGAAAAGGTAATAGCAGAATGAGTCTGGGGGATCTATCTCATGGTCGAAGAGAATATCTCAACTGACGGAGTGTAGCGTGGGCAGCATACTCGATGTACAACCGATACCGGCGCTGACCTTCCATAAGCCGCTTCCGCCTTCTTTCTGTCATCTCAACAGCATAATGCATCCGAAAAACGTTGTCGATCGATGTATTCTTTTCTTCCTCGAATGGTCCCCACCCGTCGTCGCTGTCTTCTGGTGCCTTCATGTACGAGGTATCTGGCCATCGAGTTTCTCTCTCTGTGTGTCGCCTCGTTGAACGCTGCCTCTCTGCATCTTCTGCCCTCATGCTTACAGCTGCTGTTGTCGCTGCTGCTACTCCCGCTGCTGCTGCTGCCGTGGTCTCTTCTTCCCAATACTCTTTCATCTCCTGCCGATCTTTTTTCTTCCTACCATCCCACTTCTTAGCTGGGTTGGCAGGGATCAGCCACGGAAAATCATCTCCATGACGCTCGCTATTAGCTCCGTAAAGTCTCTTGTCATCCTCGCTGACCTCATAGAACCATATGACAGAGAGGGTGTTGAGTGCATCAACTGTTCATGTCAGAAAAGGAGCGCCATCAATTCATACCTCGACTTACTTTCAGTCCATCCCGGCCGCTGGCCTTCAACGTATGACACGTGAATCTTAATGAATCGATCCTTGTAGGCTTTCGAAACTGCCTGCACCATGGTGGAAATGGGGTTGGGGTCACGAACAGTATCTAGGAACGAATGATATGAGCATTCAAATCTCAGGAAGGACTGCGCTGAGGACATTAAATTTCGACGAAAGAACTGAGTTCTCAAAGAAAGAAGAGCAAGCTGAAATCTCGCTTTGTCTAGGAACGTTTTCGGCCTATCCTGAAGCAATCACCATTTCTTTGTCTATTATACATGCAGTAAACCAACGCATAACGAAAACAAAAGAAAAAAGGACATGCAGCATCGTCGTGTTTATGTTCTTGCCTGCTCTTTCACGCTGCGGTGTGTGAAGATTTAGTTTGACCAGCGTGATTTCACCGAATTTCCATCGTTGTGGGTGCTGCCTTCGCGTGGTCGTTTTGTTGAAGAACGTCCTTTGCTGTACCCGCTTACGGGTACATGATTAACTGGCGTCCCTTGTGGCAGTTCACGAGGGTTCTCAATGTTCTTTTTTCCTAGCTCTTTCTTGTGCAGCATTTCCACATCCTTCACTGTCTCCAATTTTATGTGACTGTCAGTGAGGTGGATGCCTTGGTTGGATCCCGGTTCCTCGATGGCGGCTAGGATTTGTCGTCGCAGTGTGAACAGCGATGGTCGTTCGTTAGGATCGAAGTGAAGGCATGGAAGCAATATATTGCGCATTTGACGATGGCGACCTGCAGTGTACTTCTCATCTGTGAGGATGCTGCTGATATCCCACCCAAATTGGTCAGCTAGCTTCGCTTTCTCAGGTGTTTTGCCTGTTCTGCTGCCTTTTGCGTAGAAATATGGGCCGCCATATTTTTGCCCGACCAACAAATCAAAAATCGTTGCGCCGATAGCGTACACATTGGTCCTGTCACTAAGACGAGGCGCATCGGCAAGCGAAGGGCGCATTTTTCTTTGCTCCTGTTGTGTTGTTGAGTTAGCTCTTTTCATCAAAAAGGTATATAAATACGCCGGAAGACCATACAGGAGCCATATACACATCTGTACCATATCCGGTGTGAAACAGAGAATTGTTCGGGTCGTCTTCGTAATTCTCGAACGTTATACCAAAGTCACCTAGCTGAGGTGTTGGGTACGCCTACAAGTTGTTAGCGAAATGTTTGGTTCTGGATTTGGATGCCTTACCGATTTCCGGTCGAGGTTGTTGATGCCGAGAAAGACATTTTGAGGTTTCAAGTCACGATGGACGAGGCTAACCCAGTCTTTTACCGGCTCCTCTAGCGATCCTTGATGCATGATCAAGCACGCTTCAACCAGTGCCAGGAATACGTAGTAACAGAAATCAAGCGATGTGCGCTTTTTTTTATGCTTGATGATGTAATTAGAAAGGTCGCCATATGGTACGAAATCGAGGTACAGGCGGTATCGAAACTGCAAGGCGCTGACACGATAGCCACGTATTTTCAAGATATAAGGGTTGACTGGCGTAACCATTTTGAGCTGCTCCATGACAGATATTTCGATTGGCAGTCTGTTCCGCCATCGTGCTGGATCGCGCCATATTGCCGCATTCTCGAGTTGGTCGTCATCTTTGATGGCTACTTTCTGTTTTGGAAAGCTCTTAGCAACAGCCTGGCTTTAAGCATATCGAGTCCAAGAATGAACACCGGGGACTTACATCAATTACTCTCGAAGTTTCTCTATGAATCTTCACCCAAAGTGCAACTTTTCCAAAACCACCCGCTCCTAGAGCCTGTGCAGGGAGCCAGTACCCATTATTCTCATCTAGAATACCTGTGCCTTCTGCGCCATGTCTCCCAGTCAAAAGGCTTTCCCATTGGCGGCGTTCTACCTCGTACGCATTTTGTGTATGATACTCCAATACCGGTCTCTGCGGCTCGTCACCAAGGTTCTGGTCTGGATCCGCAAGCATTTTCATGAAGCGAAAATCAGGCTTGCGGAAATCTTGCAGCCTACTGCTTTCTTCGTGAGGTTGAGGGAGCTGGGTGGAGTGACCATCGTGCGCAATTGTTTCCGTATTCTGGTTTTCTCGTACATTTGATCCTCTTACTTCGTGAGGTCGAGGGGGCTGAGTGGGGTGACCGTCGTGCGGACCTGTTCCCATATTCTGTTTTCCTTGTGTATTCGATACTCTTTCTGACTCCGGAACTGGAGCTTGACACGTGTTTCCTCGATCAACAACCCGTTCAGCCGCAGGTTTCTGTTTTCCCATCTTCTCCCTTTTCCATTTTGCGGCTTCGTTTGCTTTGCAGAACGCGGGTATATTGACGTCTTCGGCAGGGATCTCGCTGTCCCAGCGGAAAATTTCCGAAGCGCCTTTCCCATGTTCCTTCCCATACTTCTCCTTACTGCCAGAGTCCACTGTAGTCCACCAAATGAGCTTCAGGCAGTTGACAATTTGGTCTGAATTAAATTTCCCGGTCAGCTTCAGGTAACACGCTTTGATCAGATCAAGAGACAATTACCTTGGTCCCAACTTGGCCTAGCATTTTGAATGTGATCAAAGTGTGCTTCTCGGAAATACCTCATGTTTTCCCCTGGAAGGGGTACCTTTTTGGCACCCGGGGCTGCCATTTTTTTCTGAGTGGACACTGGTTGAAGTCACAGTGATGACTATCGGTAATTGTGAATCTGTAGTGACAAGAACTTGTTAGGATCTCACGAATCACAGATGAAGGATCTAAATTCTCTAGAGGCTGGAAGGAGCTTATAAGGATTATTCGTTCTTCTGCTGTCTTTGTTGTATCGACGCTTTAGGCACAATGAAGCAACACGAGAGAATAGCCAGCGCTTGCTTTCAGGGAAGATGTCTTTGCTTAGCCTTGCATATGCTTGTGATTTGGGTATTGCAAAGGGCCCCGGATAATTGGCCCACCCCTTCTAGCCCCACATAACAGCATACCTGCAAAAATGTAGAACATACTCTCACCTCTTAACTGTGTGTTAAGTTATAAAGCAATGTTGATTGACCAGGCCTCGGAGGGATGATCTGCTCCAGAAAAGATATAATGAAGAACAAAATAACTTTCGGAAGCTGGGAACACCCGAATGGTACATACAACCGGGGTAGTTGGCCAGAAGGCTCCATTAAGTGATTCCGAAAAGCCAGGGGTTTGTCCGCCTGACTCTTGTGACGATTTCTTTATGCCAGCAATTGTACAACCGTACTGACCGTCCACGCCGCCGCTAATCCGGTCAGCGCTTTCAAGATGATGTCTGTCGAGCTGATAGCGTCATTGTATCCTTCCACGAATGGGACTTTTGCTTTGTTGTGCCAAAAGTTGCTGACATGTGCGCGCGTGAAGAGCGTGTTGGCAACATTGCCGGCGTTCAAGAGGAACAGAACTCGAGACGACCAGGTGCCCCGACTGTTGGCATACAGGAGAAGTGAGCTCGAGATTAAAGAGGTGATTATCTACTATGAGTCAGCCATAGCGTTTCTAGGACATTTCACGCGCTTCGGCGGAGCTTGTAGCGAGCCCACCGGGTTTGGATGGTGCTAGGTAAACAAAGACTCTGGAGCACTGACCGTAAGAACTGCACTTCCCTGGGTGGTTCTTGTCTTGTGCAGCTGCTCCTCGGCCGTGCTCGACCACTCGGCTGCCTTTTCCGTCTTTTTCTCGTACTTCTGTAGGTTGGTGACGGAGATGTATGAGAAGTAGAGCGCGTACGCGCTGCCAGCCGCTTGGGCAACATGCAGCGGCGCCAAGAGTATACCAAAGACCATGTTGTAGGCTATGCAAAAAGTCTTGATGGTTAGATGGGTCTTTGAAGGAGGATGATGGATGGATGGAAATGCCGGAGGTTTGATCAGCACCTCGCGATGACGTCGGAATTGGCTGGAGTGGACAGGGAAGCCCTGGCACGTGTAGGGCTGAGGATTTGCACAGGGTCGTTGGCCGTTGCAACGACTTCACGCCAGCGCTTGCACAGTACATTTTGTCAACATTGGTCTCTATCCAGGTCCATGGGCTACCTATAGCATAGCTGTCGTCTGAATGCATCCGACGGTCGACTCAATCATCGCAAGCAACCAAGGTTTGGTTTGTCACCGCGAAAGGCCCGCCCGATCATCCCACCGCACCTGTTTCGTGATTTGTGCTACCTACAACACCACTTCTAGAACCGGACTATCAGACCATCTCTCACCATGTAGCAAATCTGTCGCTCGATGAAATAGCGAGCATATCCCACTCAAATGCAACCCATCACAACTCCTCACCCGCTCAGCTTGTCAAGTGTCAAGTGACCTTACTAATCCGCCATCATCCATCGCCATCGCCAATGCTGCGAGCTTGTAGTTGGACGCACTCCAAGGCCAAAACACAGAGTATCTCGCGATGGCGCAACCTCACGGGGTCGGTTCAAGGTCCTCAATCAAAAACATTCTCGTCATTGGCGTATGTTCTGCTCGCTATGCTCCACCATCCCTAAGCATGCCACTGACCCGGCTCTAGAACCAAATCATCTCCGCAACCGTCCTTCAAGCCCTCTCCCAAAAACCGGCCTTCGCCCTTACGGTCCTAACATACCCTTCGCAAGCGCCGCTCCTCTCACGCGCCCACAATCATGATACCCCGCGTTTTCAGAACATCGCCCACCGAACTAGCGATTTCACTGCACCTTCCTTAAGGAGCGCCTTCGCCGGCCAGGACCTCATCATCAGCACTGTCAATGGCGGCGACTACAGCCTACAAACTCGTATCATCAATGCCGTTGTCGCAGCGGGCGTAACGAGGTTTATCGCAAGCGAGTTCGGTCACGATAGCCTGAACGAAAAGGTCCAGGAGCAGTTACCCCCGAGCGAAGAGCGGGCGCGTGTGATAAGATACCTGAGAGGAATGCAGAACGAAGGCGTGGTAGAGGAGGCCGCTGAGCCGGAAGAGGATATGTACATCAAGAGGGAGGCAGCACCGGGCTTTGAGAACCCATTCGAATGGGCTGGTGTTGCTGTAGGATGTATCTTGGATGCTAAAATTATCAGTGGAGAGCTGGGGGTTGATATGAAGTGGCGAAGCGCCACGGTCCATGGGAAAGGGACAGAGCAATTTGCTGCGACGAGCCTAGAAAGAGTTGGTCAGGTGGTTGCAAAGGTCGTGGAGCATTGGGAGCAGGTAAAGAATCGGTATCTTTACGCTGCGGGCTGCATCACGACGGCAAACCAGGTCATTGAGGTCTTGCGGAAGGACACTGACCAGGATTGGGAAGTGGGTTATAACGACACGGCTGAATGCGTTGACGAGGCTACGAAACGGATGGAAAAGGGATTTCCTGATGCTGGAATGTTCCTAATGGAACGGAGCATTCTGTACGATGAGGCCTTGGGAGCAGTGGAACCCTTTAAGATGGATAGTGCCAATACCTTACTTGGCTTGGAGGAAGAGAAACCGGAAGCCATTATCGGCGCTGCGATACATGGTTTTGCGCATCAAGGAGCAGCGGAATGCGGATGCAGCTAAGTAACACAATCGGTGCTAGGTTGGATGTGGTTGGTTGTTATTCGAGGTAATGATCTACTCGGCAACTTCTCTTTAACATTTCCTCAATTCATTCCATTTGACCGTATCTCTATTAGCACAATTTGAAACAGAACGTTTTTTCCTAGCTCTTCTGCTATACACTCCTCACTGGCGAACAATTATTTCAAGATTCTTCCCAATTTCCGTTGTTTGTTCCTCCACTCATCCTCCAACATCGAGAACGATATCATATCGTGCCATTCACCATTGTACCAAATAGCTTCCCGTTTCCGACCTTCCAGCACGAAACCAAGTCGTTCGTACAAACGCGTCGCACCCTCGTTGTATGACAAACTTTCAATCGCAATGCGATGCAAGCCCGCGATCTGAAACCCCCAGTTGAGGACCCATTCGATTGCCTCGCTGCCATAGCCCTGACGCTGGTGTGGGGCAACGATGTCCACACTGATGTAGCTGTTGCGATGATGTTCCCTCCCAGGGCGCGGACTCGTCAAATAGATGATACCGATCGGGACGGGTGCCGCCGGTGGGACTGATGGAGGAGGCGCGAGGCAGACGATGACGCCCAACAGTAAGTTCTCCAAATGCGCCCGGAAGCTTTCGCTGGCTTTTCTGCTTTCTGGCCGGAGCAGAGACGTGGTCGAGCCGACGTAGGCCTGGGCATCGGATTGGACTGAGTGCACGAAGGCGTCGTCTTCTGGCGTGTCCTCTAAGGCATGATAGATCAGCCGAGCGGAGCGGAATGGGTCCTCCATGATGGTCTTTCGAGGGCTTAAACTAGTGTAAAGAAAGGGAAGTGCTGCCTCTTCGACTGCGCCGCGTTAAGATCAGGACTTCAGCCCCCACTTCAGCGTGAAACCGGCTCCGACGGCTTTTGAGACTAAAAAGGAAGGTCCTAACTGTTGAAACTATGAAACAGAATTATTGATTGGATGTTCTTCTAATTATGTGCCGAGCAGGCACCTAGATATATCCGTAGATGTCTGCAGGTGAACAAAGACGTGAGTGTTTACTAGCTATTTGAATGTATCGCATGCTCCAGCAACAACGTCAGTCACTATCAAGTGGGATTCACTGCCTAACAGGATAACTAACTGCACTAACACGAAGTAGAAAAAGAAACCTAGTGAAGATATTTATATTATATATGGGCTCTAAGACCTTTTTGCTTATATTCATGAATCAGGCTTACTTCTTAAGAAGTATTCTATAGGGGCTGTTTACATCCTTCTCTATCTCACTAGATGGTGAATTCTGCTTGACGGTGACAGGCTTCATACGAAGGTGGGAAAGATAAGGGTAATTTATACGTTTACACGTGGAGTAAACAAAATAGCTTAAATGCGGTTACGTATCACTTACATACCATTAAATGATAGACTTTTTGCCTCACATGGCGGATATAGGCTTCGAATCACCAGAAACGTCAAGTTATTCATTCAAATGATTGATTGCCACCGTACATACTAGTAGAGCTTGGCATGTCCCATGCGCACATGACCTGTATATAACAATAGAAGAAATTTCTATTAGGTCTACGACCTCTTTGCATCCCATCTCTTATGTTTTGCCAAACAGACGTATTGTGAAGCATTTCTTAGACACATGTGTAACCCAGTCCCTTCTAATTCGAGTCCGTTGCAGTACTTCCTATTGGGGCCCAAACGAGAAACCTTCACACGCATGTCCTCGGCCAGATAAAGTGGTGCCGCGTGGAAGTGACTAAAATCCAAATCTATAATGTAATCTTCCTCAAGGAGGTGTGATTCAAACCAAGCTCTGATGTAGACATTGATCAGGTTCGAAAGTTCCCCTAACATGTTGAATGTTGGAATTAAGTGACCATCCTCAAAAAATCCAAAAGAAAGCCTCACAGAGGTGAGCGTTGACTTGTTCTGGTATAGGAAATCATGAAGTTCATCACCGGCGACGTGGAAAAACTCAAGTGATAGTGATTTAGTGCGACAAAGCTCGTCTCGGTGAGAAGACTGTGGAGCACAGATCCTGATGGGTGATGAATATACAACTCCTCTAGACAGGGGACTGCAGAAAGGAGTCGGATTTTCCATGGCGCCGATTTCTGGGCATTAAGTGACAGGTAGCGTAGGCTTCCAAATGTTTCTTCGAACTGGCCAGGCTGAAATTGAGGAACGCCAAATAGGTTTTCATCCCTTGGGATTCCAGTAAAGTGGAAATAACGAATAGATATTTTGCTATTCATCAGCGCTGTAATGGTTGTAGCGGCAGCGATTTGGTCGCTATCTGAACGTCCAAGTAGAAAAGGTGAAAATAGTGATTCTATATCAGAGTCTACGAGAGGCTCCACAAACCAGTTGACCATTCTGTTGAAAGGTTCGTAACTGACTAACTTATTCCAGCTCCGGTACAGCGCCGTATGCGTTTCTGTTCTACGCATATGCAGATCAATTGCATCCAATCTGGAGAAATTGTTGAAGGCAGTGGTGAGCCTAGCAGTTTCAAGGTCACCAGACCTCAATGAATTCTGCTTTTCGAGGCAAATCAAGAAGGTGTCTTTGAATTTCTTAATAGCCTTATTTGCTCCATCGTCGGGGTCGAGCTTTGCAATATCTTCTGTCCATTCATGCTCCTCGAAAGCATCTTCGACAGTGATTTGAGAAAGGTATGCATAGCCGATGACCAATTTTTGCATGTGTCGCGATAGTTCCAGATGCTCCGATATTTTTGACACCGTTTGAATGCTATTCGTTCCAAGGCATATGGTTCTGGCAGTGAAGAAAGTCCGGCCGAAAAAGGGCAAACTCTTCGCGTTGATTTCTTTGCAGGTAAGACGGAAAGTATATAAGTCCTCATTGTCCAGGAAGATGACGATGTTTTCAATCATTTCGGGAGGCAGGCCAACAAGATTTGGCGGCATCTTTGCAGCCACATATGTGGTAGTGACCTCGTGCACTAACGAGGTGCAGTGTTGTGAAGACATAGTGCTTGTCTAGAGAGTCGTGCGGGTATTCTGACGTGGTATGGCTGGAGAGTAGGGCAAACTGATACCCTTGGCAGGTCGCTGAGTTCACGGGATTGATCCAAATAGTGTGTGCGTGTAGAGAAAGGAAACCTCAATACTGACGAAGTTTGTAGTGGCGAGGTCGTAGTCGCTTGCCTTTAGCGAGTGGTATCGAAAGGCAGGTGTTGTCCGCGCCGGGTCAAATGAAGCGCACGAGGTAGTTATAGAAGAAGGTCGGACAGGGTGGGAGTAGCAGGTTTATATAAGAGATTCAACCAGGACCAAGATTCTGACAGCAAGCGGTGACCAAAAGAGTGACCGTCCACCGTCTAAACCAAGAGTCGCAGGCCGTAACGGGCGAGCGATTTTACACCGCTACCTGGTTCTGTTCGTACCTACCTTGGGTCCAACCGTGGAAATCGTCAAGGACGGTCTTCACATCCGTTACCAGCAAGTGCAAACACAAAGTCGTGTTCTCAATATACAGTCCTCTGCGATGTAATACCTTAACGTCTTTCTGTTTGGTTACTGAAGGGCCTTACGAGCTAGCCAGTATGGCCCTCTTGGCAGCAGGCGTGCTGCAGAATGGGAACCAACCCATTCCAATACTTGCGCAACAACCCGCTCCAACTTCGAGTGGTGATCCCAGAACGCCACCAATGCAAACACTCAACCCAAAAACGCCTCGCTTTGCCCAGACGCATCCTTACTTGTACATTTTTAACTAGCTGGCCAGCGCCTCAGCTCTTTTCCAAGAATTCCTTGGCTTCGTTGACCTTGGTCGCAAGGTACGGGCTTCCGCCACGATCGGGATGGTTCAGCAGCATGAGCTGCCTGTGCTTCTTGCGGATAAGCTCCTTGCTGAGGCCTCTCTCCCTGTAGCGCATAGAACAGTCAGAACCCAATCAAGATACAAGGCTCAAGGTGGTGGCGGCGGCGACTTACGGAAGCTCAAGGATCAGAGCAGCTTCGCGGCGGTTCATGCGGGCCTCGAAACCACCCTTGTAGAATGCGCGGCCAAGGGCGTTAGTGCCACCGCGGTACCTGCGCAGCGCGACAAGACCGGCGCGGCCCTGGGAGTTGTCAGTCAAACCCAAAGTGATACCATACTGCAGGACCGGGCCCAACGCACGAAGAAGGCCGCTGCCGCAACACCGAAACCAATAGCAACAGCCGACGCCATTGTTCGAAGGATGTGAGAGGGATGGACTTTGGGGGGACGCAAGGGTATTCGTGGGGATGATGTCGTAGTCAACGCGCAAGAAAATGGCGACAGAAGGCGATGGGCATCCGGAGCGGGTCCGAGCGTCCATGGCAGCGCCAAGACATCTCACCGCCCGGGAAGGCATCCGCTGATTCGGAGCCGGCAATCTCGAACTTTTTGTAAAGAGAGGCGACCTCAACACCGACAATCCCCACCCTCAAGGCGCCCCCGGAAAGCAGTCACGATGCGTATCGAGACCGTTAGTACTGCCGCTACGATCCCATTGCACGAGCATTACTAACTTTTCTTCCAGTGCTACTTCTGCTCCCAGCCCTGCTATCCCAGCAAGGGCATCACCTTCGTCAGAAACGACGCCCGCGTCTTCCGTTTCTGCCGCTCAAAATGCCACAAGAACTTCAAGATGAAGCGTAACCCGCGCAAGGTAAGCTTTATCCCCTGCTCCGGCGCCCTCAGACCCATCTCCACGCATACAACAACTTTGCATGCACCCGAGGCCCCACTCTCCCCCTCAAACCCAACCCAGTGCTAACACGACACCCCACAGCTCGCGTGGACCAAGTCCTTCCGCAAGGCGCACGGCAAGGAGATGGTCGTCGACAGCACGCTGTCCTTCGCCGCGCGGCGCAACGTCCCGGTGCGCTACAACCGCGACCTCGTGGCCACGACGCTCAAGGCCATGTCGCGTGTGTCCGAGATCCGTTCGCGTCGCGAGCGCGCCTTCTACAAGGACCGCATGCGGGGCAACCGTGCCCGCCAGCTCGAGGCCGACCGCAAGCTCGTCGCCGAGAACCAGCACCTGCTGCCTCCCGAGGAGCGCGACGTCGTGCCCGAGGCCGTTCGCGAGAAGCTCGAGAGGATGGACGTCGAGCAGGAGGACGAGGAGACCCAGGGCATGCGTGTCAAGGTCCCCAAGGCCAAGAGGAAGCAGAGACTGGTTGTCGGCAAGGGTGTCGAGGACATGGATGTCGACGAGTAAAATATTTCATGGCTGGGAGGCACCGTTGCTTTGGGTGGCAGCTCCGACGGGGCAAGATGATGGCGAGGGCATTATCAGGCGCAAGGAGTCTGCAGGGCGTTTTGGGCGTGTTAAAAGACGTCGTGAGGCGGCTCATTAGCTTTTGATATGGGTCAATTTGGCTTCATGGTTAAGATATCAAAGGAATGGCAAAATACTGTCTTGTGGGCAACATCATAGTCCGAGCATTGATCTGAAGGCTATACCAATTAACAAACCCAACGGTGAAAATGGTCCAGGCAACGACGGCTTCGTCCATCATTGTACATTGATGAATGAACAAGTTCTCAAGCAATCAAGCTTCCGCACATGTGTACTCAATTTTTCTACTGTATACACAACACCTTTGTGATAAGCAAGGACTTTTGGGAAGAGTGGGTTTGCTGGGCTTAGACTTCACGCGGCTATCTCAGGTTAGTTCACATCATCAAACTCGTCAGATTTGATGCTCCAGAAGTCATTCGCAGAACGCTCAAACATGCACATGAATTTCCGTTTAATAGAAGATTTTGGTAACCGCAGGGGATACGCATGCCATCATGCACGGGTGGAGACGCAGCCAGACGACACCTCCCGAAGACACTACCGATCGGTCCCATTCGCACGTCTATTCGTCTGCCCCTTCTTCCGATGCTGTGCCATAAGCCATTGCTTGATTAGGTAGTCGGTCCTCCCGCAATACACAACAAACGCGGGAGGAACCCTCTGGTGTGTCTGTATCCAGGCTACGAAGTGAACCTCGCCAGTCATTTCTATCGTTGACCACACCAATTTAAGGCTCGGTGTTCATGGCATCCGTGAAGCTGTTCGCAGCCGTCGTAGCGAAATACCGGACATCGACGTCATCATCCTGCTGCAGCTTCTCCAAGTTGGGCAGGATCTGGTTCTGGATCAAGTCGTTACCGCGCTGCGCACCCTGCGTGGGCGTTTCACCGGCCTTCTCAAGCTCGACGATGGTGCCGGTCTCGGGCAGACGCTTCAGGACGCTGATCAGAACTTCGTATGACTTGGCGACGTTGAAACGAATGTTGGGAATGCGGTCCTCGACGAGCTTCTCCATCATAGGCAGGATAGACGCTTCGATGACGTTAAGGCTCAGGGCAGGAGCAAGGGTCTAGTCAACAGTCAGTAGTGAACAAGCCAAAAGATAAAAATGTCTTACGGAAATGGCGAAGCAGGTAGTCATGCGGTAGAGGTAGTTGGGGTGAGCACCCATAGCCATGACCTTGGGCACGATGGCGTCGTTGGCCCAATCAACACCGAAGACCTCAGTGAGCTTCTTCAGGTTTTGCGTCGAAGCCTCACGAATAGAGAAGACGGTGTCGCCGAGCCAGCTCATGCACAGGCTGCTAAGCTTCTCATCGAAAAACTTGACGCCCAGTTGGCTGGCAAGGAGAGGAACGTATTCAATAATGGCAAGACGCACACGCCATTGCTTGTCCTCAGCAAGCTGGACAATAGCGGGAAGGAGGGACTGGGACAGAAGCTCAATGCCGATGACTACGCCGGGGGTTAGCGTGAGCGCGGGGCAACGCATGGATCAGTAAGTGCATACCGTCGTTAACCTGCTCCAGCTTAGAAATGATGTTCAGACGGACATCAGGGAATTCATCCTTGAGCATCTGAAGGAACATAGGGAGGAGGTGGGTGATAGTCCTATAAAGGTCAGCTAAAGCTCTAATCCAATCATGACTCAGTACGTACTCGTCCTTGCCAAGGATCGGCGCCAGACCACTGATCTGGCTGCCAAGAGCAGCGCGAACGTGCTGGGAAGAGTCCGAGACCAGTTCTTCAATGTTAGGCATTATCTCCTGAATAAGAGTCTCCTTAGGCAGAAGCTTGCAGAATCCTAAACCGAGTCAGTAACAAAACGAGCTTCTGCGATTACTTCAAGCATACCGGGAATCTGTCCCGCAATGGCACTGCGGACCTCCGCTTCGGTATCCTTGACAAGCTTGACAAAGGCGGGAACGAGATCCCTGCTGATCAACTCTTCCTCGACGGCCTTGGCAATCTACACAAGGAATTAGCTCCAGGGTTTTTAAATTCCCATCAGGAAAGGCTTGCCTTCTCGAAGCGGTCAGCGACCATGTAGCGCACTCTCCAGCTCTTGTCCTCGAACAGATGCCTCAACGCCGCGAGAAGAACACCGTGACTGGTTTGCTCCTCCTTGGGAACAACCTCCGCGATAGCAATGAGAATGTCCACAGTGAGCAGCCTGACGCTGTCTTGGTCATCGTTTGTCAGGCGCTGGAACAACGGAATCATATCCTCAATGACGGTCTGAGGAGGCATGCCGCTCTTAACGAACTTTGCCAGGTTGTTTGCCGCCTGTCTCCGGACCATGGGCGTGTCATCGTGAACGAGTTTGCCGAAGTGCTGTCTCAGGGACTCCTGGGCCTGAGCAGAGGCCCTAGAGTACGGGCTGACGTAGAGGCCGGTGGCAGAGATTTTGGAGGTAAACCAGTCGGCGGTGGAGAGGCGGATTGTCAGCGGAACAAAGTATTCTTCAACCTGCTGAGGGCTGAGCTCCTCGCAGACCTTGTTCAGGGATTCCACAGCCTGGGCCAGGTCAGCGCATACGACAACATCAATTGCCTATCGCTCGCCACGCGACGCACCTTCTCCCGGACCAGAGGCTCCTCGATGCCCGCCAGGTTCTCCAGAGGAGAGATCAGCACGTGGCCGAACTCCGGGCCGCCGACATATTCCACGAAGTTGCCAAGCTCTTCGCTCAGAGCAGTGAGGACCTCATCCTCATCCTCAACGCTTTCTGAAAGGCAGGTGATGGTTGTTTAGCATGTGATGTTTTCCTGTGCAACAATTGATCGCGCGACGACATACCGTCCAGGAAGGGGATGAGTTCGTCCCTCGTGCGCTCTGCTCCAAGGGCCAGAGCAATGGTGGAGAGACGGCGGATCGCGTTCAGCCGTAGGAGGACGTCATCGTGCTACGATTTGTTGTCAGTGGTGCCCGACAAACGGTCGTGCGGCAGCGCCCCTCGTACCTTCAACTCGTCAATCAGCACGGCGATGGGGTAGAGCTCGTCGTTCTGGTTGGGGCCCTCCATTGTAGATTAGAGCGCAGGGCGAGTTGTCGGATAGAAAGGAGCGTGTATCTCGGTCGGAGCCGTGACGTCTGAGGTTGTGTGATGGGGTATGAGCGAGGTCGGGGGTTGTTGGGCGGAGGCTGGCGTGGTCGCGCTTTGACCGAGCAGCAAAGCGGAGAGAGGAGGATGAGAAGGTGTCGAACAGCGGGCGCGCGGGTTGGGGTGGGTGGGTGGTGGTGCTTTGATGCTGCGTGCGGGAGGGTGTTTAAGGCGTACAGCCTGGTTCTGTCGAAAGCCGAAGTTCCAGAGGTCTGAGGGGCAGCGATGAACTCTGAGTCGTACCTCAGCAGCACGCCAGCTCGAAATTTCTCCACAACACCACCACCACCTCGCCCGCTCTCGCTCTTGCCCTGCGCCGTGCCTGCGCCTAACTACTGAGCCTGCCTCTCCATTGCATCGCTCCGCCAGCTGCCCAACCTAGTCTATCCGTCGCTGCTCAGCTGCCGCTGCCGCAAAACCCCACCACCAAACCGGCAGACACCACCGCCCCCGCGCGCGCAACCCACTCAACATGCCTACCATTTCCGTGGACAAGGCCGAGCTGTTCAAAGCTTTGGGCAGAGAGTTAGTCCCGCCTAGCACCCAACGCGACGGCAATGCGCGCAGCAAGAGCACGGAATGACTCGGCGATTCGACCATGGCCACCAGACTTGGTGCGAGAAGGCGCAGCGGAAATACATGAGCAATCAGCTCTGATATGCGCTGGGGCCCATCAGCCCTTGTGTTGGGTATAGCATACGCCCCCACCGCGTGGATGCACAATTGCTACACGTCGAGTGGCCATGGTTGAATCCCAGACAGTCCAGTGCGGCGCACTGCTTTGCGCAACGTGGACCATGCAATTCTTGACATGGACGAAGGCTGAGATGCTGCAGGTACACCACCGAGGAGTTCGATGAGCTATGCTTCGAGTTCGGTATGTGGCATTTAGGACACTCCCAAATAATAGGCACGAATGCTGACGGGCAGCAGGCATTGAGCTCGATGAGGATGTAAGAAGCTCCAGGCAAAGCCCACTGCCCGGAGGCTAATCTTTCCAGACCACCAACTCGAAGCGCCCCATCGTTGATGGCGTCGAGGAGCCTCCCCAGCTGAAGATTGAGATACCCGCCAACAGATATGACATGCTTTGCTTCGAGGGCATTGCCCTCAACCTGAACATCTTCCTCGGCAGGGCTACCTTGCCCAACTTCAGACTATCGGCTCCTGCGGGCGGCGAGCTCCAGGTTATGAACGTTGACAAGGAGGTCAGATGCCCACACGCCTGCGTCATTGCGGCATAACACTGACAGTGGGGCAGACTTCGAGGATAAGGCCGCTTGTCTCTTGCGCCATCCTGCGCAACGTCAAGTTCACCAAATCGCGCTATGAGTCTTTCATTTCCCTGCAGGACAAGCTCCATCAGAACCTTGCTAGGCAACGTACCCTGGTGTCCATCGGTACCCACGACCTGGACACGATCAAGGGCCCCTTCAGCTACGAGGCCCACGCGCCCGAGGACATCAAGTTCGCCCCTCTGAACCAGGAGAAAGAGATGACGGCCAAGGAGATGATGGAGTTCTATGACAAGGACAAGCATCTCGGCCGCTACCTGCACATCATCCGTGACTCCCCCGTCTACCCCGTCATTTACGATGCCAACCGCACCGTTCTCTCGCTCCCGCCTATTATCAACGGCAACCACTCTAAGATCTCTCTGGACACCACCAATGTCCTCATTGAGATCACCGCCCTTGACAAGACCAAGGTGGAAATCGTGAACCACATCATCTGCGCTATGTTCAGCATGTACTGCGATGAGCCCTTCACCGTCGAGCCTGTCAAGGTTGTATCAGACCACAACAATGAGACGCGCGAATCGCCCGATTTGACGCCTCGTGAGATGCAGGCCGAGGTCGAATACCTGAACCAGGTTTGCGGCCTGGACCTCTCCCCCGAGGAGATTTGCAAGCTGTTGCAGCGCATGTCTTTGGATGCGAAGCCGTCCAAGTCCGACAGCAAGTTCCTTGACGTTTCTGTCCCCGTCACTCGCGCCGATGTCCTGCACCAGTGCGACGTCATGGAAGATTTGGCCATTGGTTACGGCTTCAACAAGTTGCCCCGCGAGTACCCCAACCGCAGCTCGGCCGTCGGTGCGCCGCTCAAGATCAACAAGCTTGCTGATATTGTGCGTATGGAGTCCGCCATGGCAGGTTGGTCGGAAGTGATGCCGTTGATCCTGTGCTCGCACGATGAGAACTTCGCATGGCTGAACCGCAAAGATGACGGCACCACGGCAGTGCGTCTGCAGAACCCCAAGACCCTTGAGTACCAGATTGTGCGCACGTCGTTGCTGCCCGGTCTTCTCAAGACGATCCGCGAGAACAAGCATCACGCCGTGCCCATCAAGATCTTCGAGGTCAGCGACGTCGCTTTCAAGGACCTGAACCAGGAGCGTAAGAGCAGGAACGAGCGCCACTTCGCTGCGGCTTGGTACGGCAAGACCAGCGGTTTCGAGGTCGTCCACGGCCTGCTTGACCGCATCATGCTGATGCTGAGGGCGGCTTTCATCACGAGGGAGGATGCGCTCAAGAACGACAAGCTCGGTGGTTACTGGATCGAGGAGGTCAACGGTAAATCTTTCTATCCCAGTTGTGTTTGGTGAATGTTGATATTACTGCGAATATTGATACTGACGAACCCACCTACCAGACCCTACCTTCTTCGCCGGTCACGCCGCCTCCATCAACCTTCGCCTTGACGGCAAGACCCAAGTCGTCGGTGTCTTTGGTATCCTGCACCCGACTGTGCTTAAGAACTACGAACTTCCGTACGCTTCCCCCACTCAACCCCCTTTCATGTTCTACGTAGCGCCTGCTAACACCCACGCCAACAGGTTCCCCACGACGGCTCTGGAGCTCAACCTCGAGGCCTTCCTGTAAGCGCACGGCAGTTGCCGTCAGTGATATAGCACAGAGACGAGAGCACATGGCACGAATGCATTATGTAGAGCCCCGGCCACCACCGCGTGAACGCACGTAGCATCATCACCCAAAATAGACGAAGCAAAAGTACGACTTTTTATCTGACCCTTGCTCACCGACACTAATGCGTCCTGCTCGTCTCGTCTGCTTAATCGTTCATTACATATTGCGTTTTGGTTATTTATCATCAAGTCTCAGCAAGCAAGCGAAGCCGGCGCCGGACACGTTGCGATAGCGATGGAGAAGCCGCAGAAGCCTCTGCTCGCGCTGCGTCGATCATTCCAATATCCAGCAGAGACTGCGGACCCGTCTCCACCCCTCCTGAGGTCGACCGCGAAGAGAACGACGCGTCTGTTGTTTTTTCCTCCTTAGATCCTTTTGCACCGATGCCGAAACCCATCCTAGACGACCGACCACCCACCCAGTCAATCCTCCCATGCAAGAAGCCAAGACGTAGACCACCAGCCCAGAAAACTCCAACGCCAAGCAAATTACCTCCCTCACGTACAGCCGCCTTGACCCGCGCAGTAGGGATGTCACTTCCGCAGCAGCAGTGCTCATGCCTCCGCCCCATCCACCCAACCACCACCCATCATCAACCGATCAGCCCAAAACCTCGACCCAGCCCTCCAGGTCCTCAGTGTTCGCGCCGCCGCTCTCACCACCCTCGCCGCTCTCGCGCTCCAGCTTCGCCTTCTCGGCGCGTTCCTTGCGCCAGCGCACGAGGGCGCGTTCGCGGATCTCGCGCTCCTCGGCCTCCAGCTCGCCCATGCGCTGCCGTGTCTGCGCGACCTCGAACTGTACGTCGTAGGACGAGATCTTGAGCCACTGAGCATGGCGCTGACAGCGCTTCTTGGGGCAGAGGTCCGGGGGCGCGAGCAGGGCCCGCAGCAAGTCGGTGGGGCTGTCGGCGGTGGGCGTGGTGTCCTCGTCGGGCGAGCCGTTGCGCACCATGTCGACTTCTTCCTCTTCGGCTTCGTCCATCTTGACGTCCCCGTCGAGGTCGGCTTCGCTGGAGCCGTTGTTGTTGCTCCCGTTTAGAGTTGGCTCCAGGGAGTCTTGCTTCAGTGCTGCTTGGCCCTGTGGACTGCTGCGCCAGAGCTGGAACTCACCTTCGCTCCATGCTAGCCGTGCATCGTACCCACATATGTCCTTGGGCTTGACGCCCTCCTTTTCCGCAAACTTGGTCGCCTGGTCCCGCGTCATTTCCACAAACCGCCCTCTGTCCTTCAACAGACCTAGGCGCGCTTTCAGCGCCGCTGTCTCGGCTTGTATGTCGCTTACTCGTTGCGCGTCGGGCGCCGGGAGCGGTACTTCCGATTCGTCGACCGAGGACGTCGAATTGCGGTGCGGGAAGCGAGTTTGCGTTGGCGATGCTGTGGCAGGTGGTGATAGCATGCTGTTTCCGAGGCCTTTGTAGTGATCGACGTCGCGCGCAGCGATCGTTAGGCCCTTGAGCTCCCGAGCCGATACGACACCACCACGGGGACCGGCAGCAACGTCGTCTTCCTCGTCTTCGCCCTCGTTGTAATTGGGATCCGTCTGGTTTGTTCTCCTGCGATCCCTCCTATTCCTGCCACCGGTCTTTGTAGATTGGCTCCCACCCCGCAGGTTACCGACCATCTCCGTGAAGAACTTCACGCCACACTCCTCTGAGCAGTATTTGCTCTGATTGTCGCGGCGCGCAGGCTTACGACAGCCCTCGCGACGGCACATGCGCTTCCACGTGGTGTGACCCTCGCCCGCTTCGGTACACTTAGGACAGTAATATTTCTCGATCAGGTCGCCGTCGATCTCGTCGACGTTGACGCAAGTCCCATGGTACCAATCCTGACAGCTACCGTCGCAGGCGATCATCCACGTGTGGTTGTCTCCCTTACGGCAGATACAGTATATGCCGTCATCCGACCCAGACTCTACGTCGTCGTCGTCATCTTCCATTGTATGCGCCGCAGGAGACGAAGCGGCATGTGGCGCCGGTGAGCTGCCGAGGACAGGGGTTCCGGACTGAGATTTCTTGGTCCTCGAGGCAGGCGTTCTCGAGGCTACCGAAGGTGAGGGGGAGGGTCGGCCAGCGCTGCCGCCAGCTGCGTCACCGCCATCAGTCTTGCGTTTCTTGCCCGGAGCTTTCTTGCCCCCTCCGCGCTTCACGACGCTGTTGACAGGTTTGCGCTTCTTCGCGGCCGAGGGCGAGGTAACGGTGGCGTCCATGGGTGCGGCGGGTGCTGCTGCTGCGGTGGATGAAGAGACTTCTCGAGCGGCCGCGCGCAGACCGTGCTCGTTCTTCAGGTCGGCCACGGCCTTGAGGGTTTCCCGGTCCAAGACGCTGCCTTGCTCGGTCTGACTCGCGGCGTGTGCGGGTGTGGCTTCCCGAGATGGAGCCGATGGCTCGAGCTTGATTTGCGGAGGTGGTGATGCGAGCAATGATGTCGAGGTTGTGTCTACGATGGGAGCTTGGGGAGAGGGCGCGCGGATTTGGCTGGTCGTCGGTTCGTCGCGCACATAGTCCGGCTCACGGTTTTGCGCAATCGTGTTAGGCGACAGCTGACTAGTGCGCCGCGGCGAATCACTTGGAGACGTCCCAAGGATATGCGACGCGTCGTGCCCGTAGGGCGCTGGAGAGACGTGTTGTGCTTGCGATTGCTCGCCGCTTAGCCTTCTGTCGCCCACCACATCAAACGACTGTATGGGAGGAAGCACATTCGGGTTGGAACACATGGAGAAAAGTGACTGTCTTCGTTGTTCCTCGGGCGATTTAGAGCCATGATGGTATTGTTCCAATGAAGGCGACCACTGGTGCGGCGCGTGGTCGACAGACGGCGGTTCTACTGGCCCTCCGACTGAGCCATAGCTACTCGTCCGGCGCACTTGCGGATACGGTGCCGATGAAGCATACTGGTCATGCGGCGAAAAGGGCGAGCCGTGTCCGAATACAAAGCTGCCTCTGGGCGAGGGACCGCCGTTAGCTAGTGCAGCAAGAGCGTCGGCAGCTTCATACAATGTCGTCGCGGCATAAGCGCCCGTCGAATCCTTACGGTCCGTGTTTTCAGGCGCCGAGTTCGAATCTGGAGGCGAGATGGCTTGCGTCTGGGCAGGTTGCGCTTGTGGAGATGTAGGAACAGAAGAAGATGCCGGGTTGAGAAGATCGGAAAGCTTGAAAGACATTGTTGTTTGTCGCAGTGGCTCGCCGGAGCGCACTATTATGCTTCAAACGAGACTTGAGAATACAACGACCCGCGAACTAACGGGGTACAAGATTCATGGTGGTGCAGGGCAAGGGGCGGCGAAGCGGCTGGGGAAGTAAGAGTGCGGGATGCGCGATGGGGCGCCTGGGGAACCGCGTCGTTGCGCGAGCGGAGAACAGCGCGGATGAAGTCATTATTGTTCCGGCTTTCCAGCGTCCACTGCAGCCGTCCACATCACTACTCCTCGAGTGTCTCCCAATGCGCCCCTCCCCAGCTCCAGAGATATCTATCTTGCCCGGTAAACAGTGTATTTCTCTTCCCAAGAAGCACTCATCCGTCCTGTCAGCTCCATCCGCCACACGATAACAGCGAACATCATTTCAACTACTCTGTCCAGATCCAGCACTAACTACCGCCATCCCCGCTTCTGTTGAGGATGGTGGGCACGGAATCTTCCTAGGTCATATCCGCAGCAGGAGAAAGTAAGCGCATCGTCCGGTTATGAAAGTGACAGCTCGATATGCACGATATGATTCGGGACGCTAAGAGGCTTGACGTCCCATCCACGTTAGCGCGGTAAATCAGTGAGCATACAGCTCGAGATGACTCCATTCTATCCGCCCAACGTTGAGCGCAAAGGACACATCGAGATAGGCTCCTGCTTGCCATCTCTTCACAGCAAAAAACGACACATGTGGCCCAATACAAACGTAATGGAATGCAGTGCGCATCAATCTCCATTCTCCCTTGGGAGGACCTTCATACATACACCACCTTATGCTTATGCCCTGTCTTCCTACACTGCTGTCCGACTAGACGAGTAAAAGGTTGCCTGCCTCACTTGCTCCTCCCATTCCTGTTCCGGCTATTCTACCCTCGTCTCGACCGTTCCAATCGGCCTCTCAACCAATTCCAAGCAGCCGTCTACAACGCTCTTCCTCGCGCCCTCGCTGCTCACGTTCTTGCCTCCAAGATACAGGAGCCACAGCATCCGGCTCACTCTCTCATCCTGGACATGGCCGAGACGCTCAAGGGGGCCCTTTCCTTCTTTGCCGCCCTGGAATAGCATCTCAACGGCGCCCTGGGAGTCTCTCCTCAGCAGCAGAATGGATCCCTTTGGCGCCTTGCCGCGGGAGTTGAACAGGCCCTTGAAGTCCCTCATCGCCTCGCCGAATGCCTCGTCAGAAAAGTCGGTGCCTTCCGACTTAATCGCGGAGGCTTCTTGCACGCGCTTGGTAATGCCGCGCACTAATCCATCACGCAGATGAGGAAAGTTGGTCTCGCGCGTAGGAACAATGCGGATGGCCATGTTGGCGCGCAGCTTGTCGTCCTTGAGAAGTGATTCCCAGATGGCGTTGGATTCCTCTGGCGACATCAAGCTGGAGCGGAGCTGATCCTTTTCGCCCGTGATGAGTGTTGAAGCAGTGGGATTGACGCGCTTGATCAGTGCGGCCTGCAGGCGCGGCAGCGCAGAGCTCTCAACATAAATTCCAACAACGTAGACCTGAATGGAGAGGAAAGAAACGGTGCGAATGCCGAGGCCGAGCAAGGTGTAGTCGGTCGTCTCGGTCGCCTTGATCTCGCCCTCGTCGCCGCTGGCGCTGGGCAGCTTAATTGTCTTTGGGAAAACAGGCACGCTGCTCGTGCCCGTCTCCACAAGCTCTATATCCGCCTTTCCGTTCTTGCCTTCCGCCAGCAGCTTCTCGCCGCCGGGCGCAAGCACGACATTCCGCCCCTGGAACTCATCCGTGACCGTTTGTGGTGAATCCGTCTTCTCTGCGGTCTGCTTCTTCAGCTCGTCAAGATCGAGGTTGTACACAATCATCAGCGGCACGGCCATGCAGACCACCGCTCCAATCGCCGCGAAGTTGCGCCGCCGGGTGTAGTAGGCACGACGGGCAGCTTCAGCGCGATGCAGAGCAACGGGATCCAGCGGGTTTTCTGGCGTGGCATCGAGGGTCGAGGCATCCTCGCTGGCGCTGTAGCGTGACGCATACCGTATGCTGCTGCGGGGGGCAGTGCGGAGGAACGTGGAGGTGGGCCGGGGAACGGGGCGGCGAGCGGCGGCATTGAGGCAACGGGCGGGCTGCAGACGGCTGAGGAGCCGCGCGGATGAGCGAGTAGCCATGGTGGAGACGGATGTCGGAGTTGTTGTCGTTGCGGGTTGTGGTTGTAAGCACAAAAGCTGGTCCAATGGAAGCTTGATGATCTGCGTTGTTCGATGATGCTCACCCAGAGATTTTGCGGAGCCAAAGCGCGGTCGAATTACTCATGGCCAGTCGCGCCTGGCGTGCAGCTTCAATTTATTTATTATTTAGTGAAAGAATGGTATGCCTTTCATGTAGCTGCCCAGAAAGCCTTTATAGCTGTTTGGATCAATCTCTATCTGCACAACATTCAGCGTTCACTGTAGGTCTAAAGGTGGCCACGACTAAATCGACGGGCGCGAGCCGAGGCGCGCGCCGAAACGCGTCCACTCTTCCCCGCGGCGGACCCTTCGACCTCAACATCAACGTCACACAACATGCCCATTGTGCGAAAACGTCGCGCTGTAGGTCGCTAGAGCCCAATTTCACGTTCGCATCACTGACCTCTTCTCTCTAGCCCGCCGCGGACGACGTCTCTGAAGACGAAGCACCCACGCAGCGCCGTCGGATATCGCCAGAGTCTGATGACGATGATATCGCCGAAGACTTTGAGGATGCGACACAAGGCGGCGCCGGCCAGCTCAACCAGATGGCAAAGAAGCTGGTACGGCTAGCGCTGGCTTGCGAATACTCTCGGCAGCCGATCAGAAGGGCAGACATCAGCACAAAAGGTGCGTGAACCAGCTTGCTTATTTACGCGATTGAGGACAATACGAGGCTATTGGCGCGTTATTGACTTCCAAACCATAGTGCTCGGCACCCAAGGCAGGCAGTTCAAAAACGTCTTCACGGAGGCGCAAATGCAGCTGCGCGCCGTCTTCGGGATGGAGATGACGGAGCTGCCCATGAAGGAAAAGGTGACGCTGGCGCAGCGGCGCGCGGCGCAGAAGGCGGAAAGGACCAGCACGACAACCAACAGCTGGGTGCTCACCACGACGTTGCCAGACAAGTACCGCCAACCCACCATCATCCCGCCGGCCAAAGTGCCCACGCACAGCCAGGAAGCCGCCTACACCGGACTGTACACCTTTATGATCACGGCGATATTACTCAACGGCGGCACAATCCAAGAAGCGAAGCTGGATCGCTACCTCAAGCGCACCAACACGGACCAGACGACCCCGGCGGGACAGACGGACAAGGTTCTCGCGCGCCTGTGCAAGGAGAACTATCTCATCAGAGTCAAGGACAATTCCAGCGGCGAAGAAGTTATCGAATACGCCGTGGGGCCGCGCGGCAAGGTCGAAGTCGGTGAAGAGGGCGCCGCCGGCCTCGTCCGCAAGGTGTATGGCGAAAACGCGCCGGAGGACCTAGAGCAGCGGCTGGAGAGGAGCTTGGGGCTCGCGCAGAGCCGAGAGCGCGCGCAGGCGGCCGTGGTAGCGAACGGAGCTGCGGCGGGGAGAGGGAGAGGGCGGCCCAGGAGGCAGGAGACGCAGGAGGAGGAACAGCAGCAACAGGAGCAGCAGGGCGAGGACAGCAGCGACGAGGAATGAGTGAGTGCTTTTTTGCTCTCCGACGAGACACAAGTCCCATCTGGGCGCGGCGCAGGGCGTTTGGGAGACGGGGTGGGTAGGACGACACGGTCTCGGCGGCGCGGTATATCCATGGCACCTATCGACTATAAACGCTAACCTTAGTTACTACTACAACGGAGCACACGAATATTGATTGCACATCCATCCACATGCATACCTATAGAATCCACCACTAACCCGTACGCACGCACGCACGCAAGCACGCACGCAACGCAGACGCAAGCCCTCATTGGGAAGGCACGTCACGTCAGTCAGCGCATAAGCAGCAGCAGCTAGGAGGCTTAACTGCCGCGCAAATACTCCGTATATCCGGGCAGAACTATTGAAACGATCGTCCTCTTCATCCCCATCCCATCCCTTCCCAGCACCACACAACCAGCGAAACACTCACCCACACACAGCCTCCCCCATCTCATCTCCATCTCCATCCCTCCCTCCCGTCCCGTCACGCACGTCTGACACACGCAACCCCCCGCCCCGTCACACACAAACCAAAACAGACAGACAGCACGCAACACCTGCATAAGCGCCATCCCTCCCGCCTGCATGCACGCATATACGCACATATGCACGACGCAGGGGAAATGACGACTGATCGCGAATCCACCAAACACAAGCACGCACAGCACAGCCCTACGCCCCCTCCCCCGGCACAAACACAAACACCCTCCCCTCCAACCACCCAGCTCAGCTCAGCGCAGCAAACCTCAAACCCGCCCCGTTTCAAGCGCCGGCTGGCAGCTGGATGCCGTGACTAGGCCAAACAAAGACAAGGCGTTCGAGCGCTCGTGCGTGGTTTGCCGCCGCCGTTTCAGCCAGCCGGTGCGGGAGCGAAAGGGAAGGGAAGGGAAGGGAAGGGAGCGGAAGGGCCGGCTACCTAGTCGGCTTTGTTTGAGCGTCTGCCGGCTGGGCGTGTGGGAGTGCCGGAGTGCCAGGGAGTGGAGGGATGCCGGCTGGCTGGGGGCCTGACCTGAAGGCTGTTTGGTGGCGCCACGGGCGGGCGGCGTCTTGGGGGCGGCGGCCGTGGTCGAGACTTCGGTCGTCGGAGGGGTGGTGGTCGCGGTGACGGTCGTGGTGACTCGCGGCCGCTGTCCTGTCTTTCTCTGGAAGGTTTCACAGGCTTCCGTCGATCGTTGGTAGGTTTCATGAGAGCACAAGATCAAGTGTCACTTCGCTTCATCAATCTGAACCATCTGCAAAAAAATGTTTGTAGAAAAATGTTTCCTCTCCTAATGTACACGTCACCTTCTGGTATCAAAACAAATAGTAAAAAGGAAAAAAAGGTTAGAGGTTGTAAAAAAGGCAAAGACAGCCAAGTGATCCATTCCGCTATCCACACATCCCCATTCGCGCAACTCTTCGCTCGCGAGAGATGCCAGACGACCTGTCGCCAGGGCGCTCCGGCCACCCAGCCGCAGCGGAAGTTGTAACCGATATTGCCAAACAAAAAGATTAGAACTGCACAACACAAAACGGACCAAAGATGCCCCAGCCCTATATCACCAGAAGGAAGGAATGCCCTGCGCGCCTCGCGTTTTCATGCAAAAATAGCCATAGCCTCCAGCCCCCGCATCCGTGGATACGGTGGGCTATGAGACGTTAATTGAAAAAGATGACTTTAGATTTACAGGAAGAAGGCGGCGAAGGCACCGAAGCCAGCGACGGCACCGGCGGCGTTCACAGCGTTGGCAGCGCCAGTGAAGGCAGGCGAAGGAGTGGCAGCAGGAGTGCCAGCGGGGGTGCCAACGGGAGTGGTGGGGACGATGGGCGCGCTGCGCTAGTGTTAGCTGCAAGAGTTCTCTTCTCTCTCTTGCGGGGAGGGAGAGGAGCATAAAACTTACCCAGGGGTGCCAGCAACGGGGGCGGAGGCGTAGGGGCCACCGGTGGGGTAGGGGACATTGCCAGTGCCGGCGGCAGGGGGAGCACCTGGAGTAATGTAAATCGTGCTGGTGCTATAAATAGGAGAGCATTCAGAAGAGGACGCACCAGCAGCGGGCACGCTAGTGAAGCCCTGGACGCCAGAGTTGGGGCCCTGGGGCTGGGGAGCGACGGGGGTACCCTCAGCGGGGACACCGGCGGTGGCAGTGACGGGGCAGACCGTGGTGGAGATGGCAACGGTCTGGGTCTCAACACCGTTGACGCCGGAGGTGACGTGGGTGGAGTAGACGGTCGAGGTGCTGTAGACGGGGGTACCGACGACGGCGGGAGCGCTGGGGGCAGGGCCGGAGGGAGCCGGGCCGTTGCCGGGGGTGCCAGCAGCAGGAGCCGAGGGGGCGGGGGCGGAGGTCTCGCCCTGGACGCCAGAGGTAGGCTGGGCGGGAGTGCCCTCAGCGGGGACCGAGGTCACGGCGGCGGGGGAGCTCTCAGCGGGAGTGGTGACGGCGACGGGAGGGGCCGTGGCGGACTGGGAGCGGGCCGGGCAGTTGGTGACCTCGGGGCCGCAAGAGGTGATGGTAACCTCCTCGGTCTGGTAGACGGTCTGGTCGGGGTTGGGGACGGCCAGGGCGGCGCCGAAGAGAGCAGCGACAGCGAAGTAACGCATGTTGACAGAGGGTATATGTGGGTTGGGTTTGGAAAGGGTTGGAGGTTCGTTTGGTGAAGAGAGTGTGGATTCCTCGAAAGAATGGACGACCGAAGTCAAGTTGTAGTAGTGTCGGATAGACTGTAAAGCTTGAGCGTGGTGAGAGAAGGAAGGAGGGAGATGGTAGAAGTGAGCGAGGGCTTGTATATGAATGGGAGATTAATCGAGGCGAGAGAGCGGCGGCGCTAGGCGGGCGGCCAGAAGCAGATCAGCAAACCTGGGCCCTTCCCCTGGCGCCATGCCGGCACAGGCAGGAGGGCCGGTGGGCGGTGGGCTTGCGCGCATTGCGTTTGTGGTTGGTGCTTTCCACCATCGTGGGCGGTGGCACCTACCCGACCTGCTTGTGCAGCAAGAAGCAGCAGCCAGCCACCCAGCGCCCAGCCCAGCGCCAAACTTCATCTCGCCTGTCCTCCAGGCCGCGCAACCCAACCCTACCGTGCCTACCCCGACAAAAACCCCCGTACCTCCCCCGTGTCCCTGCGGCCGTCGGCCCCCGCCCGGCAGCCGGATACGAGGCCGCGATAGTCAGGGGCTCTGCGTCTTCTTGGCGCGCGTTGCTTCTTCGTTCGGACGCCCGACGCCGCTGCTTCCACTTTCCGCCGCCGCCGACACCGCCCATTCGCGCGCCATTCACATTCACGACCAACCGCATGATTCCTTCTTTACGCTTATTTCCCTCCGCAGTCCGTCCTGCCCTCTCACGCCAACGCGCCTTGTTTCACCAGTCAACCCGGGCCCACGGTGGCACCGTGGATCTTCATATAAACTGGGGCTGCAGCACGCGTGCGCAGGGCTCACCAGACTCAGTTGCCAGCACTTTCGCCCGTCCACTTGCTCCCCGTCACATCGTCATTGTCCTTGCCCGCCGTGTCTTGCCTGACGGGTCTATCTCCTATCTCCTGCGCCTGCGCGCATTTCCCACCTCGAGAGCGCGTCGTCAGCGGCCCTGCTGCCATCTGCTACGCCCTCCGTCTGCTCAGTGCTGCCAGCCACAGCCAGGGAACCGCCAAATTGTCTCAACCTCTAGATCTCTCTCTTCCTTGTCTCGCACTCTGTTTCTATTTTGCGAGCCTTCATTTCGTCCATGGCGCCGCGAAAGGGGAGCGCCACACTGGGCGCGCCCACTCTCCGTACCGCGCTTTCTGAAAGGCGGGGATAGCGTCGGCCTTGGAGAACGCCATATCGATACGCAAGATCGCTATCGTGAGGCTTGCCCTCTGCTTGTGACAGTCCCTCGCTCGTCGTACGTGTACTGCAGACCCGGCTGACATGTGCTTGGCCTCGCCGCTTAACGCCTGGATTATGCCTGTTTCGGCCTCCTCTCGCTTTCCCACTCGAGATTGCCCTCTGTCCTGGCACTCTGGACGGGCGACGCTGCTCATACTCTTCTTCCCGTCTCTAGAGACATATCTAGCAATCATGTCCGGCCTGATCTAGGCGTCTCATCAAAGCTCTGGTGGCGATTTACCTACTATGGCTATGGACGGACAATGAACAACACCCAGGAGCAGCCTTGCAGACGATCACACACCCGTCATGATTATCCTTTTATTCTTGGAAGATTTGACATTCTAATGGCTTACCTAACTCTCGGTGCTCCCTGGTCCACATGAACTATGTGATACTTTGCTGCTTCAACCCCATGTCTGCCAAGTTCTTGGGGTATTCGCAAACTCACCGGTAAGGGAAATTGTCCAAGCAGCATCCCCTCATGTCTTTCGTCTCAAGTTTTCCGATGTAGGAGATGCCATATCTCGGAGCCGGACATGACGTGCGCCACTGCTCTTCTGGCATTTGGACACCATCTGCTTCGTAACTCAATCATTCATTCAATGACTCAAATGTCTTTGTTGACCTGTCTCGCTGACAAGAGTCGTTTGCCGATATCCGACCCGATGCTTCTGCATAGCAAGAGCACCTAGTGTGCAAAACCGCCTATAGCTATCAACGGTTTAGTCATTTCTGAAGCGTAACTTGTTCCTTAATAACGGCTGCTAAGGTAACACTATTCTGTTTGGACGTTTGGAAGAAACTTCGTCTCGCACCAAATGAGCCAGCCACGAAACAGGAGCACTGTCATAGGCTTGGGACCTCTGACCAAAGTCAAACAACAAGCCTCGACTACCGAAACGTACCCGCAGCCAGAAACCAAACGTGCGCCTCCACTACCGACGCACTACTATCGGCAGCGCACCGAGCTCTTTGCCCAAGCACCCAAGACCGACGGTTTGCGGCACACACACACGGTCTGACGGCACGTCGGCAGCCGGGCAGCGCGGCAGGACGGACGGCGCTCGCAAAAACTCCGGCAACCCGAGTTCCATGCACTTGCCCGCAAGAGCAATCCTACGCCGATCCGCTACAATTCCATTTCAAATCCTCCAAATAAAAACGACGCGCGACGGGTTAATTCCTGATACGACGGCGAGCAAGCAAGTGCAATAGATCCTTCGTTGTTGATGAATTTATTCCCGGTATAGTAGGAGAGCCAGCGTCGCAGCCGAAATGACACAGGTGTGCGCGACGGAGGGCGTTTGGAGGCTCCAAGCCTCGCCAAGGGGTTCTAGACCGGGGCACTTGACCGACGGCATCATCGATACGATCGCGTCACTGACTGGTTGCGCAGCTCGGCACGACCGCTACTGCTGGGGTGTGTCTTGTTGAAGAAATGCTTCCGAGTTGCGTTCTCGGCGCTCACGTTGTTTCTATGTTTGTCACCGTTTGCGCTGCCGCTGGATGCTTCGGGTCTTGAATGAACGCAGTCTTCAAAGGCTTGCAGCACAGGCTCGTTCACTCCTGCTACTTACTTTTAGTTTACTTCTACACAGACATTTCAACCGCCTGACCGCAGGAGCGGCATTGCATCCTCCTCATCCCGCATGCTCAGGAGACGGTCTCCTGCTGCTCCTCGAAAACGCCATGTAACCTTTCCTGCTAGAAAGGAGACATTCCACGCCGACTCTCACGCTACGAGCCACACTTTGCGGGTCTGATCTCGCCCGTCTATTTCTGGGTTATGGCTGGGTTGAAGTACTCCGTATGGCTAGCTTGTTGGCACTTCTTTAATTCGCTGCGCGGATTTTACATCGATGTTGGAGCTTGCGAAGCCCATCTAGCAGCATATCGGGATGACCTGCAGTACCAAGATTTTACCAACAATAGCTGCTTGTTTTTTGAGTAAATAAATGCGGCAGCTTGGAGATTCTGACATTATGGTAGGCGACGAATATAGGTTTATACATCAATAGGTAGTAGCAACGAACACGGTTATGAAAGCCAAACTACCAGCCTATGTGTCAGCCCAGTGTCTAACACCCATCAACTCAACCAACACTATGGCAAGTCAGTTGTCGGTTGTGTGTGGTGGAAACATGATGAATGATCGACGCGGACAGGTTCCGATGCCAAGCCAAGAACGGCCTGCTCCGCCGCGGAGCGAGCGGGCGGAGAGCGTGTAGCTGGCGGTCACCGCACCACGACATCAGACATCACCACCACCAACCACGTCGGCACTTGCAGAGATACCCCGCCGGCCCCTCCCGTCTGATTGCACGTCGCCTCCACAACTGCCACGCCACTGCACATATACCAATCACCGCCATCCATATCCTTTGACGACATCGTAACCGGCGCAAACACATTTCCAGGCTTCCAGCAACAACCAAACCTTTGTCTTGCACAACTCCGGCATAGATTTGCATTTTATTCACGCACGATGGCGGACATTCTGGATTCCGAGGCCGGCTCGGAGCGTTTCGCCAGCTACGAGGCGGAGCTCAAGCTCGTGCAGGCGGACCTCACCCAGAAGCTGGACCAAATCCCCGAGCTGTCCGGCGAGCCCAGAAAAGCGGCGATAAGCCAAGCGGAGCGCGCACTGGAGGAGGCGAGAGAGCTCGTAAGTGCACAGACCCAGGCAGCCATATCAGAAGAAAACGAAGAGGAAGCCAGGCAGCAGACAGCAGGAAGCAACCCCAGAGCAGACCAAAAGACTAACACCACGTCCTCATCAGATCGACCAAATGCGGATCGAAAAGCCCAACATCCCAGGGCCCGCCAAGAACAAAATCAACCAGCGGTTCCGGAACGTGCAGCACGACATCGACGAGCTGGGGCGCAAGCTAACAGCGCAGTCGACGGACCGGCGCGCGCTCTTCGGGAAGCGGTACCGCGACGACCCGGCGACGGCGGACGACCAGCAGGAGCAGCGGCAGCAGCTGCTGTCGGGCACGGGCCGGCTCGAGCGCAGCAGTGGCCGCTTGCGCGAGAGCCAGCGCATCGCGCTCGAGACGGAGGATATTGGGCGCAGCACGCTGGGCGACTTGGCTACCCAGCGCGAGCAGATTGTCAATACCCAGCAGAACCTGCATGCCAGTGAGGGGTATACCGATCGCAGTATTAAGACGTTGCGCGGCATGGCGCGTAGGTACTGTTTCCCTACTACCACCACCATCACCACTGTTGTCGATCTGGCTGAGGCTCTTCTCCCTGTGCGGGCTTGGCTGGTGTGCTTCTTGTTGAGATTGTTGCTGACTGGGTGCGCGCAGAATGGCTACGAATCGCATAATCACGATAGCGATTATCACGGTGCTGGTGCTGCTTATCGTCGCGGTCATAGTGAGCAAGTTCAGGTGAAGGCGTGTCGCTGCCAGCTAGCTACCTAGCTCAGATAAGCAAGCAAGCGAGCAAGCAAGCCTGAAGAGCTTTATGACTTTCCATGGACGCGGCGTTTGCGGGTTTACGTATGTTTCTGTACAGTTGGTTCGCGTCTACATTTTTCTTTCCTAGTAACCATTACGCTGCTTTGGTTTTCATGCTCTATACGCCTTCTCTCTGTCTCTATCTCTCTCTTTCTTTCTCTCTTTGTCTGCTGGCCAGACACCCTGCTCCAGCTTTCTTTGGCTTGCCCGCTTGCTTGTCGTTTAAGACGGGCTTGCGTCTTGCGACTAGATGGACGTTTTGGGACGGGGTTTTTGCGTATAGGAACGACGGACCCGAACACAACACAACACGCCCATTGCTGGAGCCACTATGCGGAACAGATATGTACGTGGCCGCGCCGCGACGAGCACAGCAGGACCTCGAAGCCGCATGCAACACTGGCATCGGAAATGGAACATGCAAGCATAGGAGGCATCTGCGACAGCCTTGCTGTGCCTGGCGGAATGCGGGGCACTCATCGTAATGGGGACTATGGGTCGAGATATACGATGGCTTTACACTGGGAAGACATACATAATTAGAGTGTCGGTTGCACGACTTCACGCAGCGCATGCTTCGGTTAGACTCGTGATGTTGTGGTTTGAATTTTCTGCTTTATGGAGTACGGTGGAAGGTTCTCACGACCTGCCTTTGTGATAGCAAAGGTTAGCTGCATATCTCGTCCTTTGGCATATTTGTTTCGTGCGACGGATGTCTGAGGGCTTGCCTCGGGCATGAGCTGCGGTAGCAGATACGGTCCAGGTCAATGAGTCCAATATTTAGCTGCATTTGCTGTCCTTGGACATCATACGAGACATTCCAGAGGCAATGCCTCGAGCACAAGCTGCGGTACAAGCATGTTAGTATCACAAAAGCATCAAGCAGGTTCACGCACGCGCCGACAGCTCCTCTACCAACCAGCGGGCGCCTGCGATCGTCAGAGCTCCGAAGCCGCCGAAGCAGCATCAAGGAAAAGAACATCCTCGAGAGCGTCCCTCGGACCGCGGGAACCCACTTACTGACAGGGCGTCCTCAAACTGGTTTGTTCAGGAATGGTCGTATTCTCATTCTATGATCGTAACGAAGCCATTCCTCAGCCACCACGCTGCAAGAGTCAAACGCGGCTAAGCGGACCCTATACCCGTGCCATGCCCATAGTGGTATCGATTTTGAAGTTCCATTTTTCAGATTCCCAACACCGGAGCGGTCTTTGTGGATTTTGTTGTCATCGTCTAAGCGGTGAGCTGGACAACACCACCGGCCTCCTTGATCTTGCGCTCGGCCTCCTTGGAGACGTAGCGGGCGCGGACGATGATGGGCACCTCGGGGATGCGGCCCTTGCCAAGAACCTTGGAGTAGCCGAGGGTGGTGAGGTCGAGGACGGGAGCCTTGTCCGCGGACTTGGCGGCAAGGTACTGCTCGCGCTGCTCGGAGGGGACGAGGGACCAGAGCTTGTCGAGGTTGACGACGGGCTTCCACTGTAGCGGTTGTGAATAACGAGCCCTCCGAGGGTGTGGTTTTAGGGTCGGGGTGGACTTACGAACTGCTGCTGGGTCTTGTGGAAGTACCTCATACCAACCTTACCGAAGTAACCGGGGTGGTACTTGTCGACGTTGGTGCGGTGGTGGTGCTGACCACCGGCCATCTGTATACTCCGTTAGCAAGCTGCTCCGGTCCACAGTGCGCCTGGGGAATTCTTACACCACGACCACCCGGGTGCTTCCTGTGCTTTCCGATACGACCGTGACCGGCGGAGACATGGCCTGCGTTGCTGCGATCAGTTTCCTGGTCGCTGTTTCCAATGGAGCCGTGGTGGCTTACCGCGGTGCTTCCTCGTGTTGCTGAGTCTGGTAGGCATGGTGACTGCTGTTAGTTGTCGAGGTTGTCCTGAGAATCCCTAGGCCTGGCCGCGAAAGTTGTCGTTCAGATTTCTCGCTAAGCGAATGTGCGCGCGCGCATTATGTCAGCGTGGCATGACTCAAACTCCAATCTTGTATCTCCGAGGTTAGCAACCGCATGACTCGCATACAGCTTTTGTTGCTGGAATCTGGGGTACTTTTCACATGTGTTTATACAGATAGTCTGACTTGGCAATCGGACGGGTCGGCATTAGTCTGCTCCTTTTCTAAAGAAGCGTGCAGGTTATATCACCTCTTTTCATGATCATGTATGGTAGTAACGGTGTAAGTTTTTTCTGCTCATTTAGACTGAAATCTTTTGACCCGCCATGGGTTTGTATATGTGTATTGTGAATGTTGAACATTTGCCCTTGGCGTGTTAGCTACTACAGTACCTGATCTCTGGTGAACCTTACGGCCTCAATCCGCGAATCGCCTCCCGCTGCTATGAAATTAGTTCTTCCCTCACCCTATCCCTCATTCGTCTCCGCTCTTATATAGGCAGTTTTCTCTACTTCTTCGCACAAATTCGTAACTTCCCTTTGCTAGCCTTTCCACTACCATCTGTATCAAGCAAACTCATTACAACCCCGCGGCATAGCGCTCCTTGCTCCTCGAAATGCCGCACTCGGCCGCTGATAGAATATCGGAGGGCTGAGGTTTGTTTTGCTCGGCCTAGGCGGGCATCCGCGATAGTGGCGGGCCTGTTAACGGCGTTCTAGCGCCGCTGAAATGGGAGGAGGGCTGGGAAGAGGGGGAAGCAGCGAATAAATATTTGTGAGACTGAAGTGGGACCGCGGCACACACACGGAGAGTGGGAGGACGTTATAATCTGTGTTGAGCTACGGCGAGAGAGTCTACGCGCGTTGCAACAGGCACCGAGCTTCCAGCATTAAAGCTCAATGCGTAGTGCTTTGTCCGTTTGACATTGCGTCTGTGATATCGGGGAGAGGCGCTCGGATGGGGATATCATGTCATTAGATATTTATGTAGTTTTGGTACGTCAGTTGCCTATGCTAGGTAAGGTACTTAAGCACGACGCGACTAAGCGCGTCATGGTCTATAGTTCATGGCCCAAAATAAGGGTCAATCAATTGCAGTAGCTACTGCAGTCCATAATCACTTGTCTCAGAAGCCCAGCTTGATGTCATGCAGATTCGAGGGAGGAGAGCATCATGGAGTCTCAAGCACTTTTCATTTGCTTGCTGGGGAAATATCTTTTCTTGAACGTTCGATCCATTCACCCTCTCAGTCCGTAAGTCGAAGAAAGCTCTAATTTTTTTGAGCTTACACGTAACAAGCAAATTGACTCCGTGACCAAAAACGTCGTGAATATGATGCAAAACAAGCCCGACCACCGGCATCTACTGACCACCCGGTCCTCCTACAGGAGCGCTTACTCCTGCTGGAAAGCCTCCGCGGGGGTCTCCTCACCCTGCTGCTCGGCCTGCTCGGCCAGCCTCTGCTGCTCAGCGGCCTGCTGGGCGGCGAGAGCCTTGGCGCCGTAGTCCTGGGACATGGGCTGGACGATGGGCTGCTCCTCCTTGGGCTCGATGATGGTGACGGAGTCAGGAAGGGACTTCTGGGGGCCGGCCTTGCCCTCAGGGTCAGAGCCGCGCATGATCTTGACCTTAATACCAAGGACACCCTGGCGGAGGAGAACGTGGCGGGTGGCGGTGTCGATGAAGTCCTTGGCGGGCTGACCGGAGTGGATCATGAAACCGTCCTTTAAACGTGTCAGTTGAGGATTCAAAGCGCCAAATGGAAGATTTATCAACGTACGGTGAACTTCATGGACTTGGCACGAGCGGCCCTCAGCTTGCCGGAGACGACAACCTCGCAACCCTTGGCGCCGGACTCCATGATGAAGCGCAGGACACCGTAGCATGCCCTCCTGACGGCAAGACCGTTGAGGAGCTTGTAGCGGAGGGACTCGCACTGAGCGACGGCGGACAGACCACGGTTGGAAACCTTGGCGGCGTAGAGCGAGACAGAGTTCTCGGGGAACTTGAAGCGCTTCTGGATGAGCGAGGTGAGCTCGCGGATGCGGCGGCCCTGCTCGCCCAGAACCTCCTGGGTGTGGGTGGCCCTGATGATGATGTCGGTAACGGTGGGCGTGACGCGGACCTCGACACCGGAGTAACCCTCCTCAGCGAGCTCACGCTGGAAGAACTCGTTCAGCTCGGCGTAGAACACACCATCTGCAGCGCGTGTCAGCCCTTTACTGCCCCTCTTCGAATAAATTGCGATGGCGTGGATTTTCGAGCGCCGCCGTTCCCCCTCTTCAGCGCACGTCCTTGATTGACCGGCGACGCCCGAAAATGCCCAATTGCCAAGAATGCGACGCGATGTGATCGAAGGGGTGGACCGTACCAGCTACGAACTTTCTCCTCTTGGAGCTGTATTTCGTTAGCGAGTCGTCACGGCGGGTGGGGTGTCTCGCGAGGCTTACATAGCGGCACCGTGAGTAGCAGCCATTTTAATGGTCGAGGACTGAGTATGATTCTACGGCGTCGGGTAGAATCAAGAGGGGTGGGTGTCGGCGTTGTCGTCGTGTGGTGGTCGTCGGCGTCGAGATCAATTTTGGGTGGAGATGCGGCGGCTTTCGTGTGCGCCAGACGAAGCCGGGGTTTAGCCGAGGGCGCACGTTGTTTGCCGTGTTTGCAGCCGCGTCACCCTTCCTATTGCGTCCTAGGAAGGATACGGCAATCCGTATCACACGTCAAGCCCCCCGGCGAAGATTGCCCGCGCGATGCTGTCATTCCGTCCACCCACCACACGCTTGCCGGGGCCTGAAGTTTGCCGCGCCCCCAGGATCTTGTGGAATTCGCTTTTCTCTTGAATTCGGGGCCACCTCTAACCTTCGCTATCGCACGCGCGACGCCCTCAACCCGTTCTCCCACCATCGTGGATGTCGCGGGGTTGCGGCTGTAGCGCGCATCGTCACCACCATGGACAGCAGAATTCGAGTGTCCAGGGTATGCGCCCAAGCCAACTCGAGTCTCGCAGATGTCGTTGACAGTCGCGCAGGTGGAAGATGTCAAGCTGTATAGAACTGGACGCAGCGTCGACGGCACGCTTCACCTCCAACTCCACCACCTTGTCTTCAAATACCATGACACCCCGCAGCCTACCGACAAGCCGGCGCGACCTCGTGAGATGTGGATTGCCTATCCGATGATATCGCGATGCAATTACAGGCCGGCACCGCCCGTAAGCCATACCCCGCCCGAGATCCGGATCCAGTGTCGCGACTTCACTTTCATCTCTCTGCATTTCCGCAGAGAGAACGAGGGCCGGGACGTTTACGACACTATACGCTGCTTGACCTGCAAGCTGGGGAGCATAGAGAATCTATATGCGTTCACCTATCGATCTCCGGAACCGGAGCGGGCAGTCTCTGGCTGGCAGCTGTACGACCCGAGACGGGAATTCAAGCGCATGGGCATTAGCGCAAAGGACCCCGATAAAGGTTGGAGGCTATCGGATATCAACCATGACTACCAGGTATGGTTTTCGTTGATAATCAGGCACTGGGCGTTGCGCTGACATGTGGCGACCAGTATTGTGCGACGTATCCCGCCGTGATGGCGGTGCCGTCCGTCATCTCAGACATGACGCTGAAATATGCGCGAGACTTCCGCTCACGTCACAGGATACCTGCGCTGGTTTACCTACATCCTATCAACAATTGCTCGATAACCAGGAGCTCCCAGCCACTCCCTGGCATTCAGCGAAAGCGAAACCCGCAAGATGAAAAGCTCATCGCTGCGATCTTTGCGACATCGAAACCAAACGGCGAGATCGACATAACAGATTCAAACCAGCCATCTCCATCTGATACGCCGGTTCCCAGCACAACTCCGAACAGAAGTTCAGACAACCTTCCCGCGACAAGCGGCGATTCTTCGTTCGTTGTTGAAGGCATGGCTACCGAAGATCAGATTGTGGAAAGAGCTGCTAGTTCGCCCGATCAAGCAGAGCAAAGAAAGTACGGTGCGCAACAGGTCAACCTCATTGTAGATGCCCGGCCGTTTATCAATTCTGCCGCGAACTCGGTCATCGGCAAAGGTTCGGAAGACATGGCTCATTACAGGAACGCGACCAAGGTATTCCTCGGAATCGCTAACATCCATGTTATGCGAAAATCTCTGCAAAGGGTGGTGGATGCATTGAAGAATACGGACACCACGCCATTGCCACCAGTGCAGCGTGAACTCATAAACAGTGGGTGGTTGAGTCACATCAACGGCATCTTAGATGGAGCGAGGACCATAGCGTACCACATCGCTGTAAACCACTCACATGTTCTCATTCACTGCTCTGATGGATGGGACCGGACAAGCCAGCTGAGTGCGCTCGCTCAGATATGCCTTGATCCTTACTACCGCACACTGGAGGGTTATATGGTTCTCATTGAAAAGGACTGGCTTTCGTTTGGGCATCAATTCCGCCTGCGCTCTGGTCATTTGAACAGCGAAAGGTGGTTTGAGGTTGAGAACGAACGCATAGGGGGCAATGATCCAAACGCCCCTCCAGGCGGTAGTAACGCATTCGAGAATGCATTGCTCAGTGCCAAAGGCTTTTTTGGAAACCGGAAGACTGAGAGTAGAGAATCGCTTGTCGACTCGGACAATGAAGTGAAGTCTGATTCTCCTGCGGGGAGCTCTAGGACGAACACCACAAGACATACGGTCGAAAAGGCTCATACCACAAAAACAGACGAAGTCAGTCCCGTCTTCCACCAGTTCCTGGACGCTACGTATCAACTTCTGCAACAAAACCCAACGAGGTTCGAGTTCAACGAACGGTTCTTGCGGCGTCTGTTATACCATCTCTACTCCTGCCAATACGGCACTTTCCTCTTCGACAACGAGAAGGAGCGCGTAGAGAGTAAAGCCTATGAACGGACGCAAAGCGTTTGGGACTTTTTTATTGCGCGGAAGAAGATGTTCATGAACGAAAAGTATGACGCCACCGTAGATGACAGAATCCAAGGGAAAGAACGCATCCTCTTCCCTAAAGTCAAACCTGGATCGGTAAGGTGGTGGGCCGAGGCGTTCGGACGCAAAGACGAGGAAATGAACGTTCCAGGGACAGGTGCCTCCGTGTCCTACTCTCAACGAGAACCCGGAGCGCCAGCCTTGAATGGTATCGAAACCGCTAACCCCAACACGGGAAGTGTGACTGCAAGACAGTTCAAGCCAAACGAAAGCTCTATGAGCGGAGACCATAATTTGACTGTGGGCTTTGCAAGCATGTCCACTGGCAGACGAAGTCCCAGTCCCAGCAGACCGCAGGACCCACACGCAATGCAGGAAATGATGGAGGTGGAGATGCAGTAGTTTGAGGTTTACAATTATTCATATCTTCGTTATCCGAGCGAGGCGTTTGGCATGGTTAGTAAGAGCATGCTTGGAGCCTGTGGTTTGGCTTGTGGGTTGCTTGGTCCGAGATGGTGACAGAGGGTTGCGGCTCGCCGAGAATGCTTCCATATGGGCAACGGGAAGTATGTTATCGCCCTACGAAAGTCCGCGTAACTTCATGATCGACGATGCCATCACCCTAGCGTCTTAAAATGCTCATGTGAATTGCCCGAGGCTGAGGAAACGACGATCCCTGTACACAGCCGCAGCAACATGCTTTTCGGAAGCACGTCAACGTCACTTCGTCCCGATCAACGTTTAACGGCCGGGACCAGAGACGGATGTGACGGAAACAGGTTCAGTTTCCCCTCATGCGAAGATAAACTTCGTTTCGTACATATATATAAACTCAACCTTTGATTTTGCTATCCTCGCCTGCCCGCCCACCGCTTGATCAATACTTATTATTGAGATATCAGCCTTACAGCGCAGCTCTCCTCAGACTTAACACTTGTGCTTTTTGAATATCAGATTGCTATCTTTAACTCATCTACCTAAGCTTATCTTACAGGATGATGGACAAATACCTCAACAAAGCCAAGTCCAAGCTCAACAAGTTGGTGGACGAGCTGAAAGACAACAGTGCCAACAGCCATGGCTTTCCGGTGCATGCCCCAGGCCACAACAAGCATCAGCATCAGCACGAGCATCAGCACGAGCATCAACATGAGCATCAGCACAAGCAGACACCCATAACGTCGCACGAAGATCAGCCGTCTGCAGTGCAACCACCAACCCCGCTTGACGTTCTTCGCTACCGGTACCACCACGGTTGCAACCTCGGGGCCGTCTACGTGCTGGAAAAATGGCTCTTCCCCTCCATGTTCCCGGAGGGCTGCCCGGATAATAAGAGCAGCGAGCTGGCGGCCGTCAAGGCCAGTGTTCAGGCGATTGGTATCGAGGAGACGCAGAGGAAGTTTGAGGTGCATTGGGCAAATGCATTGACGGACAAGGATCTGGATTGGTTGGCCGAGGTTGCACATTGTAAGTCTAATAATTACGGTTATTCAGTCAGCACCCTGTGAACTATCAAAACACCACTCGCTCTGGTCCCAACACATAGCACAGACCTATCAACCTCACAATTCTCATACCCAGCCCTCCACACCACCTCTCCCACTAACACCATCCAGGCACAACGATCCGCCTCCCGATCGGTTATTTCACGCTGGGCGAGCAGTTCAGCGAAAACACGCCCTTCGAGCCCTACGCCAGCGTGTACCAGAACTGCTGGGCGTCAGTGAAGCAGCTGACGCAGCGGGCGCGGGCGCGGGGCATCGGTACCCTCGTCGACTTTCACGGCCTCCCCGGCGGGGCCAACAAGTGCGACCACAGCGGCACCAACTCCGGCGAGGCCGAGCACTGGTGCTCGACGCACTGCCGCAACCTCAGCCAGCGGTGTCTCGAGTTCATCGCGCGCGAGATCAGCGACTCTTGCCACGGCAGCAAGGGCGACTGCGACGGCGAGGGAGAGGGCGCCCAGTTGGGCTTCGGTGATGGCGTTGCTGGCCTCCAGGTCTGCAATGAGGCCGAGTGGGAGGCGCAGGGCCTCTACGAGTGGTACGAGGCTGTCGTCGCCGCCATCCATGCCATAGACAACAGCATCCCCGTCTACGTCTCCGACGCCTGGAACCTCGAGAAGTGCGCGGCGTGGTGTGCGCGCCGGAACAGCGTGTTCGTCAGCACGGCGCCCGCGCCTGTCGTCGTCGATACGCATCTGTACTGGGCGTTTTCGGAGCAGGACAAGCAGAAGAGCCCGCGGGGGATTGCGGCCGAGGCGCGAGGGAAACTGGGCCAGCTCGACGCCCATGAGGGCAATGTGCTGAAGAAGGGCGCGGTCGCCGCCATTGTCGGAGAGTACAGCTGCGTTTTGACCGATGATAGTTGGGCCAGGAAAGGCGATGAAGAGCGCGATGACCTTGTGCGCTTGTTTGGCCAGGCACAGTGTGAGCGATACCAAAAGCGCGCGTTGGGCAGCTTCTTCTGGACGTACAAGATGGTAAGTTTGTCAGCGAGCTAACCACCACCTATACTCTACCCCATCCCATCCTTTCCTTCCTACACATATACCTCGCCGACCCAATCACTCCGCTAACACGCCCACGCAGAACTGGATGCCCGGCGGCGAATGGGGCTTCAAGTCCTGCACCACGCGCGCTGCGATAACCTGCCCATGGCCCTCAACCCTCAGCGCCTCAGACGTGCAAGCGCGGCTCGCACAAGCGCAAGACGCGCGCTCCGCACGCCTGCAAGCCGCCTCAAGCGCGCACCGCTCCTTCTGGGACGCGCAGCAGCAGGCAACGCCATTCGAGCACTGGCGCTACGACGCGGGCTGGGAGCTGGGGTACGCGGACGCGGGCGCGTTCTTCGGGATGCGCGGAAGCGGGGCGCTCGGAGCAGTGGAGGCCATAGGCGGCGCCGCGGCGGTCGGGGGCGATAAGATCGGGAGCGTGGAGCTGTGGGTGCGGCGCCGGGTGCTGGAGAGCGGCATGGGCGGGGCTTGTGTGTGGGAGTTTGAGCAGGGGTTGCGCAAGGGGGTGGCTGATTTCTGGGACGCGGCGGGCGGGCTGTGACGGTGACGGGTGAGCGTGCGGGAGCATGGTCGTGGTCGTGGCGTCAGTATTGGTTGGGCAAATTAAGAGCTGATCATGGCTGCTGGGCGTGCTAGCTTTCCTTTGCTCTTTCGCTGTGTCTGTGTGCTTGCCTACCCAAGGCACGTTCATTGTGCGAGCTCGAGAGATGAGCGCTTGGTTAATGAGTGGCGCTGGGATTATTGAGATGCGCGGTTTGTGAGTGCCGATTTGCATGCGTGGTGATGAGACGAATGTCTTTTTTATATCTGCGTATTACACACTATGAGGTGAGGCCGTGCAGGAAATAGAAAATATATGAAGACAAGCCTTGACGGTGCCATGGAAGCATCTGCCAAGTGTTGAGGCCGAGCAAGCCAGAATGCCATTTCGACTGCGCCAATGATGAATGTATCGTCCACATTGCCATCAGACGACCTTTAGACGAAAGCGACGAGCACTGAGCGCTGCTCACCCTACTTTTATATGCGGTTGCTAGCGTCGAGCTAAGAAATAGGTAATACGCATTTTTGGAACGCATTCTGATGGGTTTCTTATTCTAAACTTACCGTTCCATTACCGTTTTTTTGGCTGCCTATGGGACTCACATTCACACGAGGAATTAGCGGGTGTGCTTGAATCCACTTTTTTAATGGAGCACACTGTACTCGTACTCTAGAGAATGGCCAGGGCAATCTAGAACGGTTGAAATAAAGTAGGTACCTTAATTGCGGCAACACGGTGGTTAGTCCAAATGAGGCATGTGACATGAAAAGAGCCTCAGCCGTAGAAGTATGGGCACGTGAACGCAATGCAATCCCTTGCTTGGGGAATGAATCTAGGTCTTTCACCGCCAATGAGTAGCGGCGGAGATCAAGACCACGTTTGGATGCTCAGCTCGCCCTGGAATTCCAGCCAGGGAACAGCTCTCGTGATGGCGGGTGACAGGAGGTGAGGAGACGCTGATGTAACTCGACGGAGTAACGAGACGCTAAGAAATTCCGAAGGGAATCCGTGACTTGATGATGTCGTCCTTTTGCAACCTCGGTTCCGGAATTTGCCTCAGCCGGCTGCATTAGGCAGTGTTCTGGAAAAGAAATCCTTGGCAGGAACGGGGGATCCGATCCGTCTCTTCCCGTCCGTCCATGCTGGCACAGGCGGAGCGGCATCGCCGGCAACCGGACTGCCCGCCGGCAAACTCTGATCCCAAACCTGGCCATCGTGGTGGAGGAGGTGGTGGTGGTGGTTGGTGGGACAGTGGCGAGAAAGTTTGCTGCGACGAAATCAGACGGTCTTGGGTCGGACGACTCGGGATTTCTCCAGTTCCTCCCCGCCTTCCATCCTTCCGCACGCGCGCGCCCCGACAGGGGTTCCGGAGCAGCGAGTGAACTTTGGTACCGTGGTTGGAGGATGCTTAGTCTATCTTACGTAGATGCACCTTGACCTTTTTTCCACCCTCTCCATTCAGGGCAGGCTTTGATTCATCCAATCAGGTTGCTAGTGTCCGACGCTCACACCTTCTCGACCTACTTACTCTACTCCTACTCGTACGAGTACTCGCGTGCCGCCATGGAACAGTGAGATCGAAGGTGAGAAGTACTCTAGAGCTCTCTACGCGTGCGCCGAATGCCACGCCCCGCTCACATGTCTAGCGCGCGAAGCCAATGCCGCAGAAAAATGCCAGCCGCATGGTGGCTCCGAGATAAACAAAGGCTACGTTGCCCCAGTCTATTGCATTCCAGCTCTTGACGTCCCAATAGACGGCGGGGCCCAAGGCGGAAACGGAGTACAGGTGGCCGAGGTCGGCTAGCAGCAGCCCGAAGAGGAGGGTCCTCCAGACGCGCAGACTGGCGGTGGCGCGCAGGACCAGGGCCTCGTTGATGGCAAACAGCAGATAGAGGTTGGCCAGCTGGCTGAGGGCGATTTGCGTGGCCGTGGGCAGGGCAGCAGCTGAAGCGGGAGCTGAGGCGCGGTGCGTCAGCTGCAGGTATGTCGAGGGCAGAAAGTGGGCGTAGTAGGCGCCGACGAGGGCGCTGACGGGCTCAATGTAGAGGAAGAAGGCGCGGTAGGGCGCGGGTATGGGGACAGTTGGAGCCATGGCAGTCGGACCGCGGAGGGAAGGCCTGGCTGGAGTGGCGAGAGCAGGGCTGCTACAGTAGTAAAAAATAAAAAAGGCCGGGCCTGGTTGCGGATAGGGGCCCTAAGGTCCGCCCGTCGCAGATTGCTGGCCTGGGCTGACCAAGCGATCTACGAACCATCTTCCATCGCAGCCCGCCCTTGGTCATAAAGACATCTCTTCCCTCGCGCAGCTCGTGGGTCCACGCTCGTTTCTGTCGCCCGCCCGCCCGCTCCACCCGCTGTCGTCGACCGGGTCCGCTCCGCTGCTGTTTCTATTCCGTCATACTCCGTCGTCCCGTCGCTCCCTTCGCATCTACCAAGTTCCTTTCCAGCTGCTGCTTGCCGCGCGTGCACCATGGTCCAGCGCCGCCGCTCCACCCTTTCCTTCCGACCAAAGACATCGCACGCCGCTCTCGAAAGCCACGACGCGACCGCCCCCACGCTGCCCCGTCCGCCCAAGCGCACCCAGAGCCAGGTCTTCGGCTCCCTCGACTCCGACGCCGACGTGGGCTCATGGCGCAGCAGCCACCATGCCACTGCTGAGAAAGAGGCCAAGCTCTCCCACGATCCCCAGACCCACAGCCGTCGCGCCTCAACTCTGCAGAATCTGGAGCTCGCCATCCAGTCGGTCAAGGAATTGGTGAGGAGCGCCTCGTCGCGCTCGTCGATGCCGCCTGCCAACACCATGCCCTCGCAGGCCCGCCGCGCAGAGACCATGTCGCCGTCGCTACCCCACGAACTCGATCTGGCCGAATCCTCGGCTTCGCACGCCGCCTCGTCCAGCTCGTCGCAGCAGGTCAAACAACCCGGCACTCTTAGGCGATGGGCCAGCGCTCGCAGGTCCAAGCCAAAGTTCAGACGGCCCGCTGTTTCGGGGCCCGCGAACGATCGCTGGAATCCCGTGCCGCCGCCTGGTCTCGCGTTCCCCCCGTACATCAACTATGAAGGCGGCCAGGCCGCTCGCGACTCTGCTTCTCAGTTCAACTCTGCCCTGAACGGCACCGGTGTCTATCTCTCGAGGAGCTTGTCGAAGATGTCGAATGCCGGCATCTCCGAGACAGACAGCGTCATTGGTGACGACCAAGGTCCCCTCCTGTCACCGCAGCCAATCAGGAAAGGTCAGTACATAACCGAACTCCGAACCCATGTTTTACATCGTCGAGCTGACGAAATGGCGCCAGACTTTGTGTCCATCCTTCCGCGTGAGCTGACAGAGCACGTGTTTTCCTTCCTCGATGCCGCGTCCCTTGCTAGCTGCGAGCGCGTGAGCAAGCCTTGGCATGCCACGGCTTCGTCCCGACACGTCTGGCGTGAGATCTTCAACCGGAGATTTGAGCAAAGAATCCATGTGGACCCGCCACCGCTTCAGATGGGCGGCGTCGGTGCCGGCCTGATTACTCCTGGCCAGGACTGGAAGAGCATGTACCGCATTCGCAAGACGATTGAGCGACGCTGGCTTTCGTCGCATCCCGCGGCCATTTACTTCAACGGTCACACTGACAGCGTGTACTGTTGTCAGTTTGACGAGGAGAAGATCATCACGGGGTCGCGTGATCGCACGATCCGAGTGTGGGACCTTAAAACATACCGGTGTCTCAAGGTCATCGGCGGCCCGCAGGCGCGGCCCGTCGCTAACACACCTGCTCCTTTGGAGACAAAGAGGCAATATACTCAGAGCAACATTCCTTCTCTCAACGGCACCCCAGAGGGCAATGCCATCTACCATGAACCCGCCTACTACCATTCCGCCAGTATTCTTTGCCTGCAGTTTGATGATGAAATTATGGTCACCGGGTCCTCGGACAGCACTTGCATCGTCTGGAACGTCAAGACCTGGGAACCCCTGTGGCACCTCCACGCGCATCAGGCCGGTGTGCTCGACGTGTGCTTTGACAACCGCTACATCATCTCGTGCAGCAAGGACAACTCGATTTGCATCTGGTCGCGGCACACGGGTGAGCTGCTCAAGCAACTGCGCGGGCACACTGGCCCGGTGAACGCCATCCAGATGCGGGGCAACCTGCTGGTGTCGGCTAGCGGCGACGGCACGGCCATGATCTGGGATCTGGAGAAGCGGCTGTTCGTGCGCGAGCTCCGCAGCGGGGACCGCGGTCTCGCAGCTGTGGAGTTCAGCGACGATGCCAAGTACGTGCTGGCCGGAGGTAACGACCAGACGGTCTACAAGTTCGACATCAGCACGGGCAACGTTGTCAAGAAGTTCACAGGGCACAACGGGCTGGTGCGGTCGCTGTTCCTGGACACGCCGAACAAGCGCGTCGTGTCAGGGTCATATGACCAGAGCATCCGCATATATCACTACGACACTGCTGAAGAGATCTCCGTCTACGATAACTGGACCACAAGCTGGATCCTCAGCGCTAAGAGCGACTATCGCCGTGTCGTGGCGACGAGCCAGGACGGCAGGGCGCTGCTGCTGGATTTCGGCTATGGCATCGAAGGCGTTGAGATCCTCGCAGGCACGCCCATTGCACGCTCAAGGTGATGATGCATGCATGCAGAATGTGGCGACCATTTGTGATTTTCTGTTCTTTTTATTTTTTCACTTTGTCCGCTTTTACCCTTGCGACTTTCATGGTGATGTACACAACGCCAGGAAGAGTCTAGGGTCTTCCATCGCTGGTGTTTTCATTTTCGTCGTTCTTCGTTCTTCGTTCTTCATTCTTCTACCACGAGCACGGAGTCATCTGCGGATTTTTCTTCGACTTCTGCCATCTTTTCTTCATACATCCCGCATATCCCACTCTTCCGTTCTCCTACACCCCCGTTTTCTCTCCGTTTTCTTTGACCGGCGATTACATTGTTCCCTGTAGCCGGGTCGTGCGCGCGCAAAAAGTCTTCTTTGTCAGCAGGTAGTTGGGGCGGGGTTTCTCACAGCGGTCTAATTTGGTCAGGGGACATTTTTTTTGGTGGACAGCCATATATTTGTTATTTTTTCAGAGACTATTCTCTGGTGCAGCGCACCTAGATAGCCTATTATTATTCTCAATCTCAATTTCTTCGCATTGTTCATATCTAGCTTTAGTTTTTTTTTTCCTGTCCTTTTTTCTTATCTGCTATGTCTCTCTCGTTTCTCGGCTCTCTTATATCATCTTCCATCGTCGTTGATCATCCGTTTGTGTTGTTTTCTTTATCTTTTCTCTTGATATATCATTACCACCTACCTACACTTGTTCTCGAGTAATGGGAGGCACACCCATCATATCACATATGCACATCTACAGATACACACTTGTGCGCAACACGCTTCTCGAGACGGTTGTGTGCGCTTGCTTTTGCTCTCTCTCATACCTGGACTAGCACGCGCAGGACAGACGGGCACCATAACGGGCGAGGGACCAACGGAAGGGAACGGGGCGGTTCAACGAGGACATTGCCTTCGCCACGGACGGACATGACAGACAGACACCACATTCTACACAGATATACCCGCGAGACTGATACATAGAGTCTTCCTCTTTTTTGCCGTTTTCTTTTTTCTGTTTTTTAGCTTTTTCATTTGTGGTTGTTCCTTTCTTTCGTTCGTATTTTCGTTCTTGTCTCTTCTTCTCTCTTCTTCTTCTTCTTCTTCTTATTTTACTTTTCTCGTCTCTGTGCTATGCTAGTCTATGCACTACGTAGGATAGGTTAAGTATCGGATTTACGGCCCGGTGGCGCTGGTGCTGGCTGCTTCTTACGTATGTATGTGTCTAAGTACAGGTATCGTATGTAGCGCCTGCACGCAAATAATACCCGTTTTCATTCAACCAGTTAATAGTGCACTCACTCACTCGCTCACTCTCATGCTTTCCGTGCCGTCTAGGCAGTAAATCGTGATTCCATCGTATTCGTAACGAGGTAAGCAAGCAGTACGTACAAACATCATATCACCTAAACCCCCCAGCAGCGGCAGCAGCCTCGACGAGCCTCGCTTCTCGAGCTAGCTGGTCGGCTGGCTTGTCTCCTTTCCCTCCCCCACCATACAGCCGTCCCCTTCCTCGCCCTGACCTCCTCGCGTCCAGCTATCTAGCTATCTAGCTACCTAGCAAGCTCACTTCCGCAAACCCAACATACACACACCCCGCGCTCCACAGTCGGCCCAGCAGCCGCGCGTTTTTAGTTAGGCAGGCGTCGCCCTGCCCCGCCCCGCTCCTCACGTAGCGCGTGCTTACGTATGTAGACCGCGATGCCAGGCCCAGGTCCGGGGCGCCCGTTTGCAACAACAACAACAGCAGCAGCAGCAGCAGCAGCAGCAGCAGCAGCAGCAGCAGCAGCAGCTAGTAAGCAGTCGTACTGCGCGAGCAGCGGACGCATGCCAAAGAGAGATAGATAGGCAGAGACAGCTTCGCGGGCGGTCGGTCGATCGGACGGACGGGTATATCAGCCACTCACTGCCTCCCTACCTCCCTACCTACCTCCTCCCCATAACAGCCACCACAGCACAGTACAGCCCAGCACAGCACAGCCCACGCCCCTCACGCTCAACCCAGCTTCGGCAACGTCCCGATCCTGCCAGCACCAAGGACGCACCAGAAGGCCTCCTCGCGGGTAACGCGGCCGTCTCTATTCTCCTTGCCGGCGGCGCCGGCGCCCCCCGCGCCACCGCCAGCAGCGCGGTCGCGCTCGCCGCGATCGCGCACCTCCTCGGCCGCGGCGTCCGTCTCGTACTCGATGCGCACGAAGACGGGGATCTCGAGGATGTCTTCGTCGGCGTCGAGGCCGCCGTCGAGCTCGGCGTCCTCGGCGCGGTCGGGCACGACTTCGAGCACGACGCTCGTCCAGTTGCGGCCCCGCTCCCACACTTTGCCGGCTTCGGCTTGCGTGCTGGGGTTTATGGCGCCGAGGTCGACGCTGGATGCGGGTTGCGCCCGCCGTTGCGCCGTCGTCGTGCTCCCCGTTAGCGCTTCGTCCCAGACGTCCGTGTTGGCGCCGACTTCGAACTCCGGGCACAGCACTGTGACTTTGCTGGCGATGCGGCCGGGCGTGAGGGCCGGGGTCGCGAGGTGCACTTTGATGGGGTCGAAGAGCGGGTTCCGGATGGTGAGTAAGAACGGAATGGCCATGAAGGGCTGCAGCTTGTTGTAGTCGAAGGGCAGCTGGGCCGAGGGCAGCGGCGAGCCGGGCACGGGGTTCGAGACAATGGGGAGGGCGCGCAGCGTGATGTGGGGGATGTTGTTGAGCGCGAGCAGCTTGATCTTGTAGCGCGACGACGAGACCTTTGTCTCGGGCCGCGCGAGAATGTGGCGGCAGGTGCGGCACCGCTTGGCCCGCTTCGTGCGCAGCAGTGTCGGCACCGGCCGCAGCTCCGACGTGAAGCGTGCGTCGTCGTGCTGTTGCGTTTGGCGCTGCTCGAAGCTCACTGTCCCCTCCCACCCGCCTGCTCGCATCCGCATGATGGCGTCTTCCTCGTCCGTCGGGTCGTACACTTTTACGCCCTCGTCGCTGCCGTACGCTTCCCGCATGGCCGTGGGCTTGTCTTTCTTGGCCTTCTTGCCGCCCGTGCTGCTGTACAGGCTCATGATGCGGGACAGGGCGGTGGGGTTGCCGTAGCCGTAGCCGTAGTCGCCGCCACCGTACGGCCCCGTGTTAGTGTCCGACTGCAGCTGGGACTTGTAGTAGGCATTGATGTTGGAGAAGCGCATGTCGTGATCCAATGGCTGGTCGTCATCGGCGTCGTCCTCCGAGTCGAGCTTCTTGCCGTTCTCCTCGGCGTCCTTGCGCTTGTCGCGCGCCTTTTCCCGCTCCTTTAGCGTCGACACGGCCTTGCCGCCGTTCTGCAGGCGCGCCAGCTGGGCCGAGATGTTGTTGGGCTTCTCGAACTCGACGCCCGTCTCCAGCGTGCTCCACTGGCAGTAAGGGCAGGAGAGGTAAAAGGGGCCGGGGGGCTGGACGGCCTCGCCATCCTCGCCCAGGCGCAGGTGCTTCTCGTTGTCCGAGTCGAGCGAGTTGACGACCATGGGCGAGGTGCAGACGGGGCAGTTGTAGCAGCTGCGCATGCAGCGGTTGCCATCGCTGCGGATGTTGCTGCTGGGCACCTCGAACAGACAGCTGGGGCAGAACCAGGTGATGACTTCCTCGCTCACGCAGCGCGGACAGCGGATCTGGTGGCAGTCCTCGCAGTACAGCAGGTGCTCCAGCGGGTACAGCGAGTAGTCGGCGCGCGGCGAACGCGGGTCAAAGGTGCGCTCTTCCTCCTCGCCGCGGCTGGAGTACTGCGACGCGCGCTTCTCGCGCAGCGTGCTGGCGGCCGGGCTGGACGTGTCGACGCAGGGACACGAGTAAAAGGTGTAGGGGAATGGCGTGGTCATGGTGTAGGCCTGCACAGGCAGGGCGGGCAGCGGCTTTTCCGCCATATTGGGATACTCGGGAGACTAGTCTGCGGCTGGTCTGGTGTGGCGCGGTTGCGGAAATCGAAGGGACAAGGAATCTGGGGTTTGGACAAGGCCCAATCGAACCTCGCGGATGATCTGCACTGCCAACAGAGCTTGGACTCTGGCACGTCATGAGTCGCGCGAAAATCATCCATTGACTTCCAATTCTACTACATACCTTCTTGTACTTCAATTCTCCTTTCTTGTCGGTCTGTCCGCCCGCCGCCATGAAGTCCTTCTCCTCCTCCTCCCTGCGCAGCTTGCCCGCCACCCTGCGCCCCGCAACACGCACCACCGCCGTCCCCCGCCGCAGCTACGCCCTTCAAGCTCCCGGCGCGCCCTCCTTCGACGTCTTCAACCGCCGCACCAAGCTGCTGCAGCGTGAGCGCGCCGCCTCCAATGCCCAACAGAGCAGGGAAGTCGACTACCTGCGGGACGAAGTCGCCTTCCGCCTCTGCGAGCGACTGCTGGTACACCACCCATACCTACCCACCAACACCATGCTCACGCCGCCCCGCAGGACATCAACCGCCGCTTCGACAAGGTGCTCGACCTAGGCGCCAACGCCTGCAACATCGGGCGGATCCTTACGCAGCCCGACCCGGACAAAGACTCGATGAAGCCCGTGTCGGAGCCACTCTCGACCCGCATCGGCGAGCTCATAGCAGCCGACTCGTCGCCAGGGATGCTGTACCGGGACGCGTCGGCGCCGTTCAACGACTCGCTCTCGATAACGCGCCAAGTGCTGGCGGACGAGGAGTCGCTGCCGTGGGAAGCGGGCAGCTTCGACGCGGTGCTCAGCTCGCTGTCGCTGCACTGGATCAACGACCTGCCCAGCGTGCTGCGCCAGATCAACCACGTCCTCAAGCCCGACGCGCCCTTCCTGGGCGTCATGCTCGGCGGCGACAGCCTGTACGAGCTGCGTACGGCGCTGCAGCTCGCCGAGCTCGACCGCCGTGGCGGCGTGTCTACGCGCACGTCGCCGCTCGCTGACGTCCGTGATATGGGCGGCTTGCTGCAGGGCGCCGGCTTTAAGTTGCTGACGGTCGATGTTGACGACATCGTCGTCGACTACCCCTCGATCTTCGCGCTGATGACGGATCTGCAGGCCATGGGCGAGAGCAATGCCGTGCTCGGCCGCGAAATGGGCCCCATAAGGAGGGATGTCTTGCTTGCGGCTGAAGGCATCTACAGGGCGCTGCATGCCGAAGAGGGCCAGGAAGGTATCCCCGCCACTTTCAGGCTCATCTACATGATTGGCTGGAAGGAGGGCCCAAACCAGGGCCAGCCTCTGCCGCGTGGAAGCGGCATGGTCAGCATCAAGGAGATGTTGGAGCAGAAGGGCGGCGAGAAGAAATAGACGCCTGTCCATGCAGGCGGGTCGTCTATCGATTTCTCGCCGTCGAAACATGTCGGGGGCGGATGAGAGGGGTGGGAGGGGAGAGGAGCGTGCAAGCGCGCACGTTCCCTGCAGACTGGCCTCCTGGCTGTACCCAGCAGTCTTGCGAGCGCTAGGTAAACGTCTGCACACCATCGCGACCACCACCACCGCAGCCTCGCCAGGGATGGACGACGATAGGTGAAAAAGGCGCAACACGCCCCCACCAAAAAACACCATCCCCAAGTCTCAACTACGCAGCCACATCACCTTGCCCGCTGCCGTCCATCCAAATAGGTACACATACACGTACTGTACAGCGCAGCCAAGGCAACCAAGTTAGTATAGCTAGCGTGGTGGGACAGATCTCCACTGCACATACGCAAACGCGAAAGGGTACAGCATTGTAGATACCTAGATAGGCGATAATAGCGTTATACGTGTACTTAGCACTCCACTCCGTATACGCGTTCTGCTGCTGTGTAGTGTGGAGTTTGTAATGTGACAGTGTGTTCGTTTTCGTCTTGCTTCGCGCACGCACTTACGCTTCACTTGCTTGCGCTGTGCTGCTTTCGTTTTCGCTTTCTTTGCCTGTCTGTCTGTCTGTCTGTTTCTTTCTTTCTTTGTCTCGCATGCGCGGTTTCGGTGTGCGTGGCTAGCTTGGCTTGCTTTGGCTTGTCTTGCTTTGTTGTGCTTTGTTGTGAGCGAGTGTGTGGGTGAGGCTTGCTATGTGGTTTGCGCTAGAGTCTGAGGCGGGAGTGCTTGTGGCGCTGGTGCTGGTGCTGGTGCTAGTGTTGGTGTTGAGGTGTGCGATGGGGAGACTGACGACGTACGCGCGTGGCTGGCGCATGGTGGAGCGGAGTGGAGTGAGTGGGCTAATCAGCGAGGAAGGAGTGCGTATAGGTAGCGCAGGGCTGGGTGCGCTGCGCTGCGATGGGCGGCTTGGGCGAGATGAGGTGTTGGTTGTGAGGTATGTTGCGACAGGTTGCGCGCGCGGGTGGAGGAGATAGCCCATGAAACACCGCCGAGCACCAGCACTGGTAGGCAAGTATAGTGACCTGAGGTCGAGGGAAGCGGAGCTGCGACGAGGCGGAGTGTACTAAGCAGTGAGTGGGTGGATGGGGTGCGCGGGTTGTGGGCGAGGGGTGGTTGGTTGTGGAGTGCGGTCATGTGGGGGTGGGAAGGTGAGGTGAAGGGTTGGTTTGGTGATAGGTGGGTGAGGACGGTGAGGATGTTGGGCGGCGTGGGTTGGTGGATGGTGGTGAAGGGAGTGATGGGAGGAGGCGGAGGTGGGAGGCGGGAGGGTGGATGAGGCAACGGCGCAGCGACGACGATAACAACACCAAACCGCAGGACGCGATAGGAGGATCGCGGAAACCGAAAGTACGTAAAGGGTAAGAAGAGGGGGAACGTCGGTCGCGAGTGGAAGGGTGAGGCAGGCAGCGCGGCAGCGGGCGAACGCCACAAGAACCCCAGCACCAAAAAACATTACTATATATATGTGGGATACAATATCCAAAGCATATCGAGCGATGCCTGCAAGGGCGGGCCGCCACTGCACCTGAAGAATTGGGCTCCCGAATGGCGCAGTTGGAATTGCCAAACTTGCGGATGCTACTAGAATGAATAGGGACCTCCCCTCCTCGCCGCTTGTAAGCTACCCGACCTAATCAGTCCGATAAAAAGGACGTTAGCGACGGCCTGCGGTAGTTCGAACACCATTCAGCGAAGCTCGATATCTTTTTGCTTTTTTATTTTTGGTTTTCTATGTTATTTTTTTTGGTGTTTATCTCTCACCTCCACCACCTCTCTCTCTCCTCTGCATCGATGGTCCACATGTCACCGTGATGTCTTGTGCCTGTGCCGGTTAGTTCACCTGGTCTTTGAGAGCGTTTTTTGCTTGCTTATGATTGTATACCTTCCTACGCTCGCTGCTATGATGGTGTGGCTATCGCCATGGTCGCCGGTGCTGTCGTGAAGGTGTGTATAAATTCTCTCACTCGTCCCCAAACAGCCGCCCTCAAGCAACCACCTTCTATCTACCTCTCAATCAGCTTTAAACCTCTCTTTGTATACCTCTCTCACCTTCCCTTCGCGGCTCTACGCCGCATGCTCACTCACTCAATCACTCACTGCCACCCATCATCCCCACGCACTTCCGCCACTCCACCGCGCAACAAACCCCGCATATCCAAGACCAACCCAACCCCCACAGCAAAGTCAGCACCACACAGACATGCAGCTACCATTCACACAAACCCGATACCAACCTCCCACTTCTCAACGCCACAACTCACACCCACCTACCACCATTACCACCACCACCACCACCACCGCAACCAGCTCTCCCACCCCCAGACCTCATCTCAACACCACACCAAGTGACCAAAAATCCATCTTCCCCGTACCCTCGCACACCAACCCCCAACCCCCACGCACACACACACACACCCACGTCACCAACACCTCAAGCGCCTCAGACACTCAACGTCGCCACCAGCAGAAACCTACATACCTTCTAGCGCGCGCTACGTACGCATAAGTGAGCGCCAAACGGCCAAAGATAGCCGAATATCTTGCCAACGTGTTGGGTGCGGTTGCCGACGTTCGATGTTGCGGAGGGAGTGGGGTTCCGTATGCGGTTAGCGCGGAAGGGATGCGTGGCGGATGTTGGACGTTGGACGTCTGGGGCGGTGGGACCGGGGGACGTGTTGGCTTGGGTGGGTGGGTGTTTGATGTTTGATGAGGGATGGTGGTGGTTAGGGGGGGTTTTGTGTGGGTGTGGAAGGTAGGTGGATGTGGATTGTGGATGGGGGTATGCTGGGTTGTGGGTGTTTGTGTGTGTGTTGTGAATAGGTTGTTTCTAACGCTTCACGGTGACAGACGTTGAACATTGGTAAGCCAGGAACATATGCGAGCGGTTTTGCTGTGTACGCATCTGCAGACGAGGCGTGGTTACGCAGTGCTGCTGCCATTGCTTTCAGACTGATAGACACCGCAGTAGACAGGTAAGTCTCACACCCAAACACGCACGACACGAAGAGACAGGAGAAACGGGTTAAAGAGCAATAGCCATCAATTCATTGCTTCGTTGAGCGAGCGGAAATGCGCGACATGGAAAGCCTCTCCCTGCTAAGGGTTGGCCACCGGCGCTGTGTGCTAACCAAAAGGGACACGCCAGTCAATACGGACCGAAATCCCGGACTCCTGGAGGCAGGAGTGCTATCGACGGTAACAGAGCACCGTCTACAGCAGAAGCGCACGCCTAAGCGCAGCAAGCAGCCCTGGCACCCAGACGGCGGAAGCCGCCATGGGCAGCGACGTCCTTCTGCAGCTGGGCCATGAGCTTCTGGTCGGCAACCGGGTCGACAGCATCAGCATCAAGCTGCCAGCCCAAGAACTCATTCGTGTAGTTCGGGACGAACGACGGATCCAAGACGCCCAAGCGCTTGCCGTACGCCGTGACCTTGCTCCAGTCCCTCCCAACATTCTGCAAGTCGCGGCTAAAGAAGGCAAACGAGCGCTGGAAGACCTTGGCGTTGACAGGCGAGGCCGCCATCGCCGGCTTGAAGGCGACGTATTCGGCCCACGCGGCCTCGGGGCTCGCAAGCACAAAGTCCGTGGCCCGCTTGACGGCGCGCAGGAACGCGCGCACCTTTTCTGGGTTTGCGGCGATGAAGCCCTCGTTCCCGATGTACAGGATGCTGCAGAAGCAGCAGCACCCCAGCTCGGCTAGCTCGTCGATGCGCAGCATTTGCGCGTCGGACCGCGGCCGGCCTTGCGAGGCGAGCCACTCTTCGAGCTCGACCATTTGCACGTTTTCGAGCCCGATGCCCGCGTCAATCGTCCCGTCGATGATGGCTTTGCTGACGTTCATGCCGCACCGCACTGCCGTGTAGTCGGCGGGCGTCATGCCGTAGTGCGAGGTCAGCTCGTCGATTTGGATCTGTGCGGCATGGGTCAGCTTTGTGTCTTCATGAACTGCTGCTGCTGCTGCTGCTGTTGCTGCGAACGCACCTTGCCAAACTCGCCGACGTAGCCGATCCGCTTGCCCTTCAGCGAGCGGAAGTCGGGCGTGATGCCGCTGCTCTTGAGGTACACGACGCCGGTGAAGGGCTCATCGAGCAGCGAGCCGATAGACTTGACAGGGAAGTCGCGCGCCTTGGCCTGCGGGGAAGAACAGGGTCAGCCATTGTGTGGGGAAAGGGCCAAAAAAGCACGGGAATGGGGACGACGACGCACGGCGAGCGTGTGGATCATGGCTTTGAGGCCGAGGTCGGCCTTGCCGGTGCCGATGATCTCAGTGACATCCTATACGTGGTATAACCAGCGTGAGCTTTTTTTCTGTTTTTGCGGGGACGCGGTGCTGCTGTCGGAGATTGCGACGTACGCTGGGGTCGTTGGGCTCGAGCAGGGCGACCTTGATGCCTTCGTCGGCAAAGTAGCCTTTGGCTTGGGCCAGGTAGATCGGGGCATGGTACGGCGTGGCGTGCCTGTCCAAACGTCAGTCACACGTGCACCAGACCGCGCACCGGGCACAGTAGTATAAGAAAAAAGTCTATTACCAGTTAGTGAGGAAGGTGATCTTGTCAGTGGCCATTGTGACGGAAGATCAGGTACGCTGCAAGAGTCAATACAAACTAGGCTCGCCGGGAGAGGGGCAAGAGAAGCATAGTCCTTTCGCTGGTATTATCCAGATCAAGTTCACCGGTATTTCTCAGAACGAACTGCATCGTGGGTGCTGCTGCCCTCTCGGGGGGAAATGAAAGGCAGCAGGCCACAGCGCAGTCGAACACCCGGCATGCTTTCTTGTGGAAGTTACCTTGATCGGCGGATAGCTCCATGGCGAGAGGGCTCATAGCTCCTATCACGGAGTCGTACCGAGCAAATTGTCTTGCTGGAAAATCGTTCGAGAATCGAATTGGAGGAGAGACAAGTTGACTGACTGCAGAGAACAGACACAGGCACAGTTGTAGAGGTCAGAAGAAGAAGAAAAAGAAACCAGACAGCCCGTCAGCCTTTTGTACCGTTGAAGTCGTCAGGCCCGATGGAGGGGTAATAGTGGGGTGGGCAGCTCGCTGCACCACTGAGCTCAATTCGCGCAGCCAGCAGCCCACCACCTCCTCCTCCATCGACCACGCCCACGCCTCTGACTGGCTGCACACAAAGCGCGCAGCAGGATTCCCCGCCTGCGTGCCAGACGTCATTTCTCAGACTCTCACTCCGCGCGTCGTGAGAGACAGAACCCATCAGATAGATGAAGCGAGCGAGAACCAGCGGCGCGGGCCCCGCCAAGCTGCCGGCGCGTCCTTGTCAAGTTGTCGTTGGCCTAATCCCCAGATAGATGGAAGCAGAGCTTCCGTCACACCCGCCTTGCGCCTTGCCTTGCACCTTGCAGCAGCTCGTCGGTCGGTCCGTCGTCCGTCAGGGCGCACCGCATCGTGCGAACAGTCCGAACAGTCCGAACACACACACGGACTCCTACAGCGACGACAGCAAGCAAGCAAGCAGCAGTGGTGGAACCCATCCCCCCAAGCCCTGAAACGCCTAGCCAGCATTCAGCAACCCACGACCGCGATCAGCGCTGCAGCATCCCACGCCGAGATAACCACACACACCTACCTACCCAAACCTTGCGCCACCAAAAAGCACCAGCACACCCCCACAACTCGCACCAACCAAAAGAAGGAAAAAACACCACCAGCGAGTGCCTTTGTTTTATCCATCTCCTGCTAGCAACACCCTGCTAGCTAGGTGAGATAAGAAGAAGATAAAATAAAATAAAAATAATAATAAAAATAATAATAATAATAATAATAACCAAAACAAGAAGAACAAGACAAAAACATTTTTCGTCCAGCAGAGCAATATTGCGATCGCCCACCCACCCCCCAAGGCCCCAAGCCCAAGCATGTCGATCCCGCCTCCCCCGTCCAGGTTCAGACCACCACCCGGCCTCGTATCGCGAGATTCTCGAGAGACTCAGGGGTGGGTGGTTCGTGGGCGTGCCGTGTGCGCGCGCTGCTGTGCTGCGTGCCTGACTGAACTGCCTGACTCTCGGACTGACTCTCTGTTTGACTCTGTGACTGACTGACTCTCTAATTGACTCTCTGTGTCCTACTGACTCTCGCCAGGCACACTGCTGCTGCAGGTGCCAGCTGCTAGAGTAGAGGATAGCGGAATCGATGTGCGTCCGCATGGGCGCGGACGGAAGAATGGACGGATGTATGCACGGCACTGCGATACACCGATACACCGATACACACATCTGCAAAAGCATCGTCTGTGGTCATGACATGGTTGAATGAGAGGTTCGATTCCGATTCCGACAATCTCGTCTCAGCCTAACATTTTCTCTGCGTTCTACTACCACTACTACCAGCACTACAACAGCCACCAAAAAAACCGTCTCGCAGCCTTGTGGGGGGTGGGGGTCTCGTCAAACAATAAAAACCGCCTCGCTAAGGGGTATAGGTAATACTAGGGCTGTCATTAAAGAAAACAGGGTGCTCTTTTCGTCAACGGCCGCAATATGCCAAAAAAGATCAACGTCAAAATAAACCAAACTGTGCGGGAAATAAACAGCGTCAAAAACAGTGTGTGTACATGTAAATTCGTGCCGGATTCCATGCCGCTCCCTCGTTCGTTCGTTCGTCGTCGGGGGTGTGGGTGGGGGAGACGCTGCTGCAGACGCAAGGTCCGATGCGCATGGACCAGTGGGTGGGAAGGGGGAAATGGGAAATAGAGCTTGGCAAGGGCGTTGCCAAGGAGAAGGTGAAGTCATGGGGAGAAGGCGAGGAGAGAAGCCCTCGTTCTCGTGCCAATTGAACATCTTTCTGCTGAGCTGTGGTAGCTGTCGCTTACAGGAGCGAGAAGCCGATGACGAAGCTCATGAGGATGGCGCTGCTGCTGACAATCCAGGCCTTGTCCATGCCCAGGCCGGCGGCGGAGCTGTTGCTCTGCTTGAAGCTGCCGTCTGAAGAGGCGGCGCCAGAGGCAGACGAAGCACCAGAGCCAGACATGACACCGTCGGTGTTGATGCCGCTCGACTTGGTGGCAGTGGCAGAGCTGCTGTTCTTGGTCGTCGTGTGGTTCAGGATGTCGATGCTCTGGTAAGAGCCCGTGAGGTCCGTGTAGTTGTAGTTCATGGCCGGGTTGAAGTTCTGGATCTTGACGCTCTGGACGTACATCTTGAAGGGGCCCTCTTCGAAGTTGGTCTTGCCACCGGCCCATTCGACGGTCCACTTGTTGTCGCTGGCACCGCCGGCCCAGCTGCCAAGGTTCAGGCGGCAGGGGGTCTGCGGGAAGTTCTTGCCGTCGACAGCATCCTCGTACTTGAGCGTGCGGATGTCCTCGCCGTCAATGGACCAGACAACGGCCTCCTTGGTCCAGTTGATGCCGTACGTGTGCCAGGTGTCGACGGGGGTGTCGACAGCGACGTACGTGGCGCGGTCGTACGTAGTAGTGTTACCCTTGCCAAAGTAGTTGGTCTCAACGGAAGTGTTGTTTCCTCCGAGCCATTCCTGGTTGCGTCGTCAGCTCGGCGTCCCCACAACCCCGCGAAAGGCTGGTGCTTTGGGGATGACGCGTCCTTACCCAATCGATCTCATCAAGGTCGTCCGACTCGAGCACGACGGAACTGATGATGCCGGTGCCGTTGGCGGGCCTCATCTTGACCTCGACGTAGCCGAACAAGAAGTAAAAGTCGGTGTGGATGGTGGGGGCATCCGTCTTGGATTCGATGCTGAAGGTGGCGCCGTCGTCGCCATACTCAATGAAGGTATAGTCGGCGGCAACCCAGCTGGTGTTCTCGCCCTTGGTGAAGTCGACCTCGTAGGTAGAGTTGGGCAGACCAACATCGACGGGGCAGACTGGGGGCGGAGGATGTTAGCACGTGCGGGCCTGGGGAGAGGGCGGAAAAAGTGAGACAGCAGCATACCCTTCTTGGTGGGATCGCAGTCGGTGTAGGTCTGAGCAGAAACGAGCGGCGTGGCCGCGAGAAGGGCGGCGGCAGCAGCAGCGAACTTGGAGAACATGTTGACTGGGGAGAGAAAAAAGTTTGGCTGGACTCGCGGGGGTTGGACTGAGAAGGAGAGGAGAGAGCGAGTTGTTAACGAGAGCGTCCCTGGAGAGAAGAGGCCGACAGACGAACGATCGAAGGATATAAGAATAGTCGGACTGGAGAGGCCAGCGGCGGACGGGGCAGCTGAGACTGGTCCGTCCACGCCGCCAGCCGTGAGCCGGCCCTATGTGCAGATCTATCAGAGAATGCGGTCATTTCTGGCGCGCAGCCGGGGCGGATATGCAGGGACGAAAAGGCTTGGTTGCGCCCCCTCTAGCCAGTCGGGGCGTCGAGTATGCTCGTCGAAATATCGGAGTCGTCACAGATCAACCTCGTGTCTTTGGCGTTTGGGGCAGCCGGAGGTCAGGCCGGGGACGGCGGGGCTGCTCGGCACCGCGCCTGCCGGCTTGTGGCAAGTTTATTGTCGCTTCCCGTCTCTCATTTCTCTGTCGATCGACTCGTATCTCGGGCTCATGTTCGGCTCGAGGTTGGGTCGCTATTGCTGCAGCCGAGCAGTGCGGCGTGCTGAGCAGTGTGTGTGTGGAGTACGGGTGGTCGTGGTCGGTGGAAGCTTTTCGTGCCTGGTGCACGACTCAGCCATCAGGAGTCGATCTCGCGAGTTTTGGTACAACTAACATCTTCGAGGACACTCGGCCGGAGCGCTATTCTTTTGCTGCCCTCGTATACGACCAGCCCACAACCCCCTTTCTCTCTCTCTTGTTTGTATTGTAGAGCACTGCCTCAACCGCCCTTTGCCTTTTGTCCTCGTCGTATCGCACTGCCGCCCGCTTGCCGCCCGCTTGCCGCCCGCCCGTCCGTTTCCCGTCACGCCTGTAGCCCGTTTCCCACAAAAACTCGGGCGTCAGCCCATCTGGACAGGGCGCCGTTGGCCATGGCTCAAGCACTTATCTTTTCCTTCCGTCATGAAGCACATCCCGCATTCCGCCTAGAGGTGGCTAGTGGTAACTTGCCGGGGATAATCAGGGGCGCTGGCACGTGAGACGGTGTGCACAATGTCGGTGGCAGCCCGTGTCCCCGTCGCCGCTGCGGCGCCGAGGGCCCCTGCAAACAGGCGAGCCCGTTGAGGATCTCTATCGCTAATGCAGGGCTGGCGCACAACTATAGGCCCGCCAAGCCCGCAGCCGTAGTATAGACCCGCCCTGCAAGGCTGAGACGCGGCAGGGAATGGCGCTGTAACGTAAAAAGACCCTCGATTAACTCCGGTATTTATGCAACTTTGACGCCTGGGTAATGCTGGGGATATCATGCAACAATCCAATCCTGGTGACACGGCTCGACGTTCTGCATGAAGAGTTGAATCCTCTCCATCACCCACCCCGACGTCCCGTCCAACCCACCTTCTTCAACCTCCCCGCCCAGCTTGATGACCGCTCCCGTCTGGCACCGGCCCTCGGTGTAGAGCCACTGCACGCACTCCAGCCGGTACTCGCACGCGGCCCGGCACCCGTCCGACGTGTATTCCAAAGGCGTCTCCTCAAAGTCGTCGGACAAGTTGTCCCACATGGTCCTCTCCTGCTGGATGTACGGCCACACAAATTGCGCGAAGATGTCGCGGTGCCGGATGGCTGGTAGCTTGTTCTGTACGGTTGTTAGCTCGAACACTGCAACTCGACGTTGAAACGCGCAAAACTCACCACAGAGCTCAGCCACTCCTGCTCAAATTCCCACACAGCCTTGATCCACTCGGGTGGCATGTGATGCCACGAAACGACAGGGTAACACCAGTGGTGCTCGGTGTAGTCAAGGGAGTAGGGCGTCTCGCCCTGCAGCGTCGGCCACGCCGGCGTTAAGTAGATGCCGACCGTCTCAAAGGCCTCGCCCAGCACCAAGTCGCCCACCCACGTGTTGGCAGTCAGCTGATCAAACGAATCGAGGTTCTGCGCGCGCTTCTCTACGAGCATACTGAGAGCTGGGTTCGAGACGACGAAGCCGGTGCCGCCGTGTCCGAACTGGTGCTCGCCCACCCAGCTCTGCCCGCCAATGTAGTAGGGCTTCGACGGGTCGAAGCGCTGCAGCCACTCGAGCAAGTTGGACCAGACGATGGCCGTGTCGGCCTCGATGAAGACGAACCACTTGGCCTCGGGGCGCGTTTTCAGCGCCTTTTCCATGAGCGGCAGGAACTTCCACCGGTCGAGGTTCCACGCCGCCTGGCTGCTCCCTTGCACCAACTCCGACACATTGCGCCCTGCAGCACGGTATTCGCGCAGCTGGTGGTAGAACTGAAAGTCCGGGTTCGTCTGCTTGATTTGCTCGCTTACTTGGTCCAACGTGTCATGTACGTGCACGCCAGCGACCTCCTCTTCCAAATCCGAGAAGACGGCGAAGTGCGGCACGCAGCGGAACGTTGTTTCCAAATGCACCGGCAGCTTCTGTTGCACCTCGCTCGCGCCGGTTTTCATGATAACCAGCACATCTTCGGCACCGGGGATCTGCGGGCAAACGGGCTCACGCGGGGGCTGGGACTGCTGGGGCTGTTGGGGCTGTTGGGTCTGTTGGCTCGGTGCTGGGGGCTGTTGGGTCTGCGCGGAAGATTGCTGCTCGGTTTGCACCGCCGGCTGCTCAGATTCCACCGACTGCTCGGTCTTGGCAGGCTGGGCGGGCTTCTCGGGCTGCGCAGGCCGCTCGTTCTGTTGTACCGGCTCCTTTTCGTTCTGCTGCTGCTGCTGCTGCTGCCGCTGCGTGGACTTTTCTTCGTCGTGCTGCGCGGGCTGCGGCTGCTTCTGCTCCTGCTGGTGCGCTGGCGGGTTCTGCTTGTCGGGCCCGTCAAAGGTTATGACGGTGTCGCCCGGCTGCGGCTCCAGGAGGTGGTCGGGCGCGGGCGCGGGCACGGGGTGATTCGGCTCGCGATCGAGGCTGGCATAGCGGGTGTGGCCGAGACGCTGGAGGAAGAAGAAGCAGAGCAGCAGCGAGGCGGCGGCAATGAGGAACAGCGGCGAGCGGCTGCGCGGACTGGACGGTACCATAGTCTAATGGGGGCGGCGAGGATGAGGCATCTGGAAGACGGGCGCGAGAGAGGCAGCGGGATTGCATAATAAGTAAAAAGGCTAGGGATCTGCGGTGCAGCTGGGTCCAACTCGAGGGGTGTGTGTGGCATTTCATTATCTCACGTACGTAGACGTGAGAAGATCGGCCGGGCGTGGGACAGAGGGCGATGCAATCACACGTGCAATCGTCTCAGCTTTGCCCGGGCGCACCCAATCAGGCGTCGGCTCGTATTGGCAGAGGGGGGATGCCTGCGTCTGTCGAAACGCAGCGCGACGTCAGGCTGCGATCTTCACCACCACCTGTGACATGGAGATTGATGGGAAATGTTGTTATTGTTGCCCGGCATTCTGTCATCCCCCCGCCTTTTCCCTCATGCTGGGCTAATAAGACGAGCCAGCGGGAGTGCCCGTCGAGCCTCGCGTCATCCCCTCACTCTCCCCTGCAGCGGGACGACGGTGCGGCCATCAACACCAGACATTCCCTATACAACCATGTCCACACCTACCTAGACATACATCCCTTCCATCCATCCTCCCTCGCACCACACACACACACACACACACCCAGCCAACCAGGCATGAATGGCTGTGAGACCCTCCCCCCCTCTTATACCACCACCGTATATATAGCTCCGTATCATGACACGCGCCCTACCCGCGCAACCATCCCTTCATCTACCCTTGTACGAAGCGGCCTGGTCCGCGCTGCCAGTACACGGACAAGATGCACCCAAGATACATCTACAATATGCAGCAAGGGCGATCTTTCTATTACCATGGCTTCGTTTTACGCCCGTATCCTGCCCGCCGGGTCTTGGTCCGCCCGCTCGCTCTCCACTCCGCATGGTCTTCTCTCACATGCTCGACGCGGCAGAGAGCGAGCGTGCGGAAGTTCCATGTTCCGCCTGCCGAGTAGGTAGTCGTGATACCTAAGGTAGTTTCCCGTCAACTGTCAATTTTGACTTTCAACGCCAAAAATAGGCGCGCATATACGAGCGTGTTGGCTGTCAATGTCAAACAACGCCCTCGTCTGACGCAGGATTCTTTTCTCGACCAGCAGTGCCATCCTCGAGGATTCAACGCGACCCCAGCAAACCTTGAACTGCCGTTCCTTGGGTCGACGTCGACGTTTGCTTTTCCGCTGCGGCGGTGAGAGAATCCCGCGGACGCCACAAACGCTCCGCTCGCAGGCGGTCCCGCGCGCGCCCTTGCGACGGAAAAAAAGAAGAAGTGGAAGAAGACGAGGAAAAAAAAGAAAACAGTTCGGACGAACGTCCCTATTCCCGAGCCCTCCCATGCTCCTCGTCCCACCAGCCCACCAGCCCACCACCCGCTTCGGCGCGCCCCGCGCCCCGCGCCCCCCGCTACAGCCCATATCGCCGCCCGCCGCCAAGCTCGCGCCCTCGGTGCGAGACCGCGAGTCCGCTCCCTCGCGCGGGCCCCGCCATTCAATAAGGTATCTGGGTATATCGCGCTCTCTGATCCCTCTCGGCACCCGCGGCCTCCCAGCGTCATGCTCACGCTCACACCACGCACACCGGAGCTCGCGTGCCCGGCTGCACCGCTGCTCTGTTCGCCGCCATATTTGCCCCGTTGCCTACAATAGTTATCCGCCCCGCCTTGCCTCGCCCCGCCACTCGCTCCCCGCCCCAACAAGCCCTCATGCTCCGGCTCAACGAACAAACATCGTACTCCGTACAGTTCCTAGTATCCGTACCCGGCAGCCCTATCTGTCTACCCATACCCTTTCCTACAATCCGACATACAGACAACAATCCATATGCCCTCCCTCACCCTCACCTTCCCATCAGCACACCCAAGTACACCCCAACCACAACGAGCAACCCTCTCCAAAAACGCAAGCGAATCCATAACCGCACGCCCACGCACCAACCAAGCACACAATCCGGACGCCGGAGCCACAGCACCCAAGCACAGCACGCAGCACATTCACCGGCGGCGTCGTGCTTGTGTATTTTGCACATCCCTCACTGTTCACAGACACAACACCGCCAAAACGAACGCAGCCCGCGTCGCGCGGCCCCCGCGCGCCTCACCGGCCGGCGCGTCTTCGGCTCGCACACAGACGGCGCGGGGAGCGGGCCGTGCCTATGACTCGTGTGGATGCGGCACCGGCGGTCGGAGCGCGTGCAAGCTGCCTCTCTGCCTCTGCGTTTGGTGCGTGCGTTGCGTTGCGTTGCGTTGTACGGGTGCTGGGAGCGTTAAATCCGATGAGCGTAGTTGCGAGGCTGCCGGTGTCTGCTGTAGGCGAGCGTGGTGGGTGTGCGTGCAGTAGGGGTATTTTCGGGTGGGTTGGGCGGCCTGGCGGGGCGGAGCGGAGGTACGTAGTACCTACGGAGTAGGGAGAGAGTGGATGGATGGATGGTTGGTTGCTCGCTCGTCGCAAGGCCTGCTGCTTGCTTGCTTGCTGGTCTGCCACGCAGCCACGCAGCCTCCCTACGCGTACCCGTCCTCCACCCCGGCCACCTCCCACCGCGTACCTGCAGTACAAACCCTGCATGCCACGTTCTTCCGGCCTCCCCTGCCGGCACACTGACACGCTCACCACATGGCAAGGCCATCCCGCCAACGGCCCAACTCTTGCCATGCTCGCACGCACTGTGCCGTCCGCTGCTTGCACGCTCGTTGCTGTGACGTGACTTGCAAGGCAGTACTGTGGGTAGCCGCGCTTCGTGCTCCGATAGGCGGTTAAACGTAGCCAGCAAGCAAGCAACAGCGAAAGAGAGGCTTGGACTCAGCAGAGAAGGCTGGGGGAAGACTGTAGTGTCGCCATCACCCCAGGCCCCCTTCCGCAGAATACTACCTAGGTAGGTATGGGTAAGCAGTATGTACGGTACTGTAGAATACCTATACGGCCTTTCCTGTTCGTCTTCCTAGGTCTCTCTTACACGTATATATTGTACCGGTAGTCAACTACTAGGCACGGAGATAGCGGCACACCACCACCACACCAACCCGAATCCTCCAATAGCGCTGGCGGCACCTCCGCCATAGCTTTAACTGTGTACTAGCAGTACGCCAGCCAGCACACAAGACCTAGCGCGCGCACCCTGCACCTTCCACATCTGCATCCACATCCACACCTATCCATATCCCACCACCGCCTAGCATACACTACCTAGCTGCCTAGCATAGCACGTCCTACAATATCCTATCCACACCCCCTCCACCCACTCCACCCACTGCACTCCACACGCATAACTCTGTCCCCAGTACGTACAATAGTAGCAATCCCATGGAAACGCCCCATCCTTCCTCAAGCTTCGTTCCTCCTTCTCTTCTCCTTCCATGCACACAATACCACATACACAAACATATCGTATGCATATGCACGCATCACGGCTCCACAACACTCCACTCCACACCGCACCACCACGCACCACCGCCCACAACCCACAACCCACACTCCTCCATACGCCATACGCCACTATACGCCATCCATCGCTTCCACTAGACTGAAATACTACGGTAGACATATTAGCAACTGCCGAGCTCCCAACTCGGCACTTACGCACTCGCTCTCGGCACTTACTAGTACTACTAGGTAGCCTGTAGGTACATGCCAGGCTCGCATACATACATATTGGGCGTACGCATATGCATACAGGTACGAGTATGCTCGCTCGCTACAGTATAGCAACGTTAACGTCACTGCCCATGCAAATGCCCATGTCCATGCCAAGTTGCCAACGCCCTCTCCACATAAGTAGGTAGCCCACAGCCCACAGCCCACGAGCCACGGGCTACGACGGCGCGAGACACTGCATGCAGACGTGGATACCCTACACACGTACCCACGCTTCTAGAAGCGAGCATCCAGAAGCGAGGCGCAAGAAGGGAGGGACCATGCCTCCCGCTCCTATCCGTGGCATACCATGTCATACCATGCCATGCGTGCCATGCCACGGGACGCAGGACTTAGTATCTCCTCGGCACGCCCGTCATCCCCGGAAGCTGCCCTGCTCTGCTCTGTCTTCGGCGTTGGCGCTGACTTCGGCGCTGACATAGGACTCGGAGTCGGCATCGGAGTCGGCATCGGAGTCGGCATCGGCGTTAGCGTGCTGCGTCGGTGATATGTATGTATGCATGTACCTATGTAGTAGCAGAGAGCGCCAAGAAGCAGCTCCGCAGCTCAGAAGCTCAGTCTGGAATCCGTCTAAACCGGCAGCCAGCCTGAATGCCTGAATGCCTGAATGCGGGGAAAGGAGGGGAAGCGATGTGATGTGATGTGAAGTACCTAATGCGATGTGAAGTGATGTGATGTGAGGAAGAAGAAGAACCTGTATGAGCATAAGCAGAAGAGAGGGGGAGAGCGTGTCAGGAACCGAGCATGAGATGAGATGGGATGGGTGGGCATCACCAGGTCACCCCAGCTGACCTCTCAGCCAACCAGCTAACCGGCCAACCGGCTGAGAGTGAGGCACAGTTCTTAGGTACAGGAAGTAGGTACCTTAGGCAGTCACGAGCACAGCGCATCACACCACCGCCGCCACAGCAACACGCACTAGACCACACAAGCACAGAGCAAGCAGCAGTACAAGCGAGAAAATGCATGAGAGAGAGAGAGAGAGAGAGAGAGAGAGAGAGAGAGAGAGAGAGCAAAAAAAGCTCAAGACGACACAGCCGACGCATATCCCAGCGCCCACCCATCGCCTGAAGCTGATTGATTAATTGATTCGCCATCCTCCCTGCGCTCCGCAGCAGCCGCCCCTCATGGCAACCGCCCATCACGTCCTCCGTCTATCGAGTATATCGTCCAAGTCTATCAATATGCTGAGGCTCCCAGTCACGCCATCGTGCCGGGAACCGTACTATTTGGACAAGGGCCATGTTGAAAGACAGCAGTAGCAGTAGCAGCTACGGTAGCCGTTACCCCCCTTGTGTAAAGGTCTGTAAGCAAGCGAGCAAGCAGGCTACCTACCCGTACCGCTGCGCTGTTGCCTGCTGTCGCCCGTCCGTCTGCGATGCGAATGGTATACGCAACCGACTAAAAGTTGAAAAAGAAAAAGAAAGATGCAACGAAACCATCAGGAGAGAAAAAAGAAAACGAGTTTGCCGTCGAGCGCGCAGGACGACAAAACAACAAAAAGGATATCTCGTAGTAGCCATGACATCCTTGTCCTGTTCATAATGCGTCCCAATAATCCGCACAAGATGCTTTCCGTAATCCCCAACGAGGTTACCCAAGCAACCTCAATATGCGATGATACCTTCCTTTCGTTAAATAAAATAGAACCCCGGAAAGAAAAGCACAGTAATGTCTAAACAATCATAGCGGAAAACGACGATAATAGTAGCGACTCTCTCCAGTCGTCGGAGTAAGACTGCCGTGGCAGTGAGAGTGGGGTAGTAGTAAAGGTGCCGCCAAATGACAAATAGGGGAGGCGGCTAAAAAAAAAGACAACGGTAGCCTGCTTCTCGACCCGTAACGCCAAAAAATTCAGATTAAGCGGAGAGATATAGTGCCCGCATGCATGCCAATAGAGAAAAGAAGACAATCAAGTAAAGTCGACCGGGCAATCCAGTCGAAAGCCGAGCGTAGGTATGTCGTGTTACCGGTATTTTTTTGCGTAGTTTGCGTGTCAAGGCCGAAAAAAGTTGATGCTGAGGAAGAAGCAACCGAATTTCGAGGCAAACGGAGATGCCTTACATGGAGCCCAGCTTCAAGAGCGCTTCGATGGCCTCTCTTTCCTGGCGATCCTGTTCATGCACGGCGCCCATGCCTCCAAAGCTGCCATAGGACATGCCATTGCCATATCCCAGAGGAGAACCGACGGAGATGAATGGCTGCCGGCCATGATAGCTCGTTGCAGACTTGGTGGGCATCCCGGGCCTGTTCACCATCCTGTCCTGAGCAGGGGTGTAGGAGTAGTTGCGGGGTAAGGACTTCATCCTTGCTGTGCTGTTGATGCTTAGCCTGTTGTAGTCGCGCATGACGCCACCACTTCCCAGGCCACCCATGCTGCCTTTGCGCAGCGACTCTGCACCAATACCAGCCCAATCTTCCTCGTCCGTCGCGTCATCTTCATCGTCAAGTTCAACGTCGTCATCATCGTATGCATCCGGCGGAGCAGGAGAGTCGTAAGCAACGTCATCATTATCGCCGTCAAGGGACATCTTGTCCGCCTCGTGCTCCGCCATGTGCATGTCCATGTCATAGTCGCGCTCCGCGTGGCTGGAACTGAGGGGCGAGCTTGCGGCCCAGGAGCCAGTGTACATGCCGTCGCGGTGGGAGCGTGCCATGGCCCCCACTCGCGGGATCTGCAAGCCGCCATGGTGAGACATGGCGTAAGACTCGGGCACGCTCGCAGGTGGCGAAAAGGCCGCCTGACGCATAACCTCTCCGTGCACCGGAATGCTACCCGGAGCGGCGCCGTTGGCACCTGCCATCCGTTCCGGCCTCGGTTGTCCGACCACATACGCATCCCAGCGTCCCCAACCGACCTTTTCGAATGCCACGTCGCCATCCACTAGCTGCGCACTGCTACCGACGCTGCGACTCTCGAGCGCGGCAACGACGAGCCTCCGCGCCTTGGCCTGCGGAATGCGGCTGAAGCCCGGAACGGACTGAGCCAGATTCATGAGGACATGACGGATGGCGACGGGCCCGTTGTGAAGGAGGATTTCCGGCAGGTGGTTTTTGGCGAGCAAAGAGGGAGTAATGGTGTCGGTGGCCTCAAGGCCGGAGAGAGCGGCAGTCGAGAGAGGCGCCGGGGCGGAGGTGGGGGCGGCATCGAGCAAATCAACATCCGAGTCGCTGTTCTGCGCTCGGTGGTTCTTGGGGTTGAGCGAGGAGTGGCGCAACTTGTGCTGCGGGGGGAGAGTCGGAGAGATGGAGTTGGGGGGCGTGGGCAGCATGGCGGCGCGGATGTTGCAAGGGACAGGTTGGAAGGTGGGAATGTCGACAGAGGCCGAAGGATGGTTGGCAAAGGCCGTGGCAAAGGGGGAGGCGGGCTTGGATGGAGCGGTGGAAGCCATGATGATGGTCGTTGCTTCTATGTATGACAACATGAGTCAGCTGCGCGTTCCAGCAAGCGGCGACAAGGAGGTGCGCCTTCTTTGTCGGCCGCGCACCGCCAGACGGAGGGGGAAACTAACGGGACAAACAGGGTGCGACGATGCAAGAGTGCGCGCAGTCGAGCGGGCGGGACCGGTGGAAGATGGCGTCCGGATGCGGAGTCGCGTCGGGAGTGGTGGTGGTAGTGGTGGTGCTGGCAGCTGGCAGGGGCGGTGCAACGGGCGGCTGAACGCGGTAGTAAGCCGGACGGAGGGAGATGTCAGTCTGACACGGGAGTCTTTCTTTCTTTGAAGTCGTTGTCTTGAGTGTGTTTGTGTGTGTGTGCGCGCGTCCTCGTCTAGACCCGGGGCGGTCTTTGATAATGGGGGGGAGGGAGAGAGCATATCTTGGCCGTAGCACCGTCAGCCAGCGCCAGGATTGGAAGAAGCACTGGTCGCAACTGCCACCCTTGATTGGTGCGACGGGTAGCCGTCAACGAGAGGCCTCAACACCGCCGCCCTCTTGCGTCACGCGCTTGCTTGCGGAGCGGCCACCGGTCCCCACCAGTCGCATCCGACTGCGACCTAAGGCGCCCTAACACCTCCATCATCGCCGCCCGCTCCCCGCACGTGTGTGGCCCGCCAGCGCACCCGGCGCGAACGCCCGCCAAGATTTCACGCACAATGCCAACCGACGAGTGCGAAATCCTCCACGTGCGGCCATCTCACGCCTGTTGCCCGAGGACATACTTTCGCATCGCCTGGTTGTCTGCTGCGTTAGCGCCTGTCCCCCTGCATCCTTGACGCTGTCGGGTCAACTTACGCTCTTGAGGGCGTCGATCTGCTGTTGTGTGCGGACAAAGACCTCGCGGTACTGCTCGAGGCTCTGCTGCACCACGTCGTTGCGCGTCGTCGTGCCCGCGCAGATGGCCCGCATCTCCTGCTCCATCTGTTATCTATTAGCCCCGCTCTGCGCCAATATTCCTTGGTCCACCATTCCATCGCCTTCTTCGTGGCTGCCCGACGGCGGCTTTGCGCGGCGCGCACAATCGCCTGGCGCATGTCGGAAATTCGAGAACAGGAGACATCAATCGAGATACGCACCTGCTTGCGTAGAAACGGCTTGCTTAGGCTTGTTTCGAATCCCACGTTGTCGTAGCCCTCTACAAGCGCCACGCCCAGCGTCGATGGGATGAATTCCTGTACGCCACTCCAACCACTGCCGTTAGCTGCATTGCTTCCACCCCTCCCACCACCGCGACCCCTGCCTCTGCCCCCTCCTCGGCCGCCGCGACCGCCGCGACCTGTTGCAGTATTCCCTTCTTCGTTTGCGGAAGCAGCACCGCGCCCACCGCCTCTTATCTGAGTCATGACATATTTGCGCTCCTTGATCTTTGCAATATGCTCTGCCATCGTGGCATCGGTTCCGATGCCGTTGGCGTCCATCAGCGCGATGAGCTCCGGTTCTGTCAGATAGCCCGGCGGTGTTGTCTTACCCTCACCCATGTTGGCCTCTGTTGGTTCAAATTCCTCGCCGACGGTGAATTGAGGTAGTTGTTGGCTGCTTTCCCACTTATCGTAAGGGTATACGTCCAGGTAATTACGCTCGAGTACCGTTAAGCCGTGCGCGCGGAATGTCTCGCTGCCGTACTGGATCTCCACGTCCGTGGCTTCGCCGAGGGCATCTTCGGAACAGCATGCGAGGAAGCGTCGCACAACGAATTCGTACACGCGTCGTTGGTTGTCGTTTTCAAGCGCGCCTTTCGCTATGTAGTTGACCGGATGGATAGGCGGATGCGCCTTGTCGTTATGACGTCCGTTCCGAGGTTGGCGGAAACCGCCGGCCATGAGTCCTTGCGCATAATTGCCCCAGGCTGAGTCTTGCTGTTGCTTCTCGATGATCTTCCTGAGGTCCATTCCTCTGTCAAATTGATCCGTCTCTGTGCGCGGGTAGCTGATCCAACCCTTCGTGTAGAGTTGCTCGGCAACATTCATAACAGTCTGACTGTCCATGCGGAGAAACCTACTACCCAACTTCTGCAGTTCGACAGTGGTTAGAGGAAGCGGTCTCCATTTGCTCGTCGGTTTCTTCTGCATCTTAGTGACTTTTGCCTTGCGTGCCGTTAAACATCGCTCAAAAATTATCGTGACGGCCATGCGGTCAAAAAGATGAACTCTTGCCCAACTAAATGGGATTCTGATGTCATCCTTGACATGTGTAACCTTGATGTTCCAAAAGGCTTCCGGGACGAAGTTCTTGACGCGAAAATACCGGTCCACGACGAATCCTAGCGTAGGGAATTGACATGAGCCATAGCTGATGACGCCTTCGTGCACATGCGCTATCAAGTTCTGAAGCGATAGTGTTTGTAGTCTTGTAAACGCCGCACCGATACGAAGGTCCAGTTCGATGCGCGCAGCAACCGCATTCGCCTGTTTCTCGTCCAATTCAATAGGGTTCCGCGCAGCGTTGATAATATGGGCTCTTTCAACGTTGCTAAACCTGGCGCGCTTGACTTCCAGCCGGCTGTTTGCCTTGCGCGCGATATCGCGGATCTCGGTGCCAATGTGCTCACCTTCGCGGTCGCAGTCGGTCCAGATGAAGAGCGTATTGCAATACTTGGCTTGCTGCAGGATGTTGTTGGCAATTAACTTCTTGTCCTGAAGGATGCTTTTTACAACGGGAGCGTCAAAGAGCTGTGCAGGACGGCATGAGCTCCAGGAGCGGTGGCTTTCGGTGAATTCCTGCTCGGTGATGTGACCAGCAACTGATGTGAAGACGACCTGAGAATTGCCCCATCGGCCACCAAAGTTGTACGAGAACTCATAGTTGTGGGTGTACTGGGCCCCTCGGACGGGTCTCTGGAGAAGGTGGCGGTCAGTAGAGCTGAAAACAGAAACAGCAGGTATACACTCACAGATGGCGGCTTGTCCTGGCCTGAAAGGTGCTGCGAGACGGCTTTGGCTATCGACGGCTTCTCCGCGACGCACAGAATCCTTCCCATGATGCTTTACGTGGGTCCATAGGCAAAAAAATTTTCTGGGCACGAGACACGAGAATGACGACGTGAGCAAGGTCGCAAGACGTTTGTCGAATGAAATGAAGCTCTGACGAGCCGAGCCGTCTGCCAACCAGATCCCTGCTGCCGATCGTCAACCCGCGATGGGTGGTGACGTTACCGCGTTACCGCGTCCCTGAGCAACGCGCGACCGCCTTTCATCCCACGTCGATCCCCCTCGCACCTCAACCACAACCACGACGCCGCCCAGCATGCTCGTGCCGGTCCAAGACATGGCCCTGCCGGCGATTAAGACGCTGCAGGACTGCGCCGACTGGTCGCAGACCGTCCAGCCCTTCATCCCCCAGCTCAAGGAGCTCCCGCAGCAGGTCTGGCTGCACATGTCCAGCGTCGAAGAGCTCAAGGCCCTCTATGTTTCCACAAACCCCCTCGTCACCGCCTTTGCCTTCTCGCTGGCACTGGCTCCTATTTTCCTGCTCGTCTCCGAACTCAATAAGAACTACTCCCAAGTGGACCGCATGTGGAGCTTGCTGCCGACGATCTACAATGCCCATTACGCCGCGTGGGCGCACATGACTGGCCTGCCGACCCAGAAGGTCGACAACGTGCTCGCCTTTAGCGTCGTTTGGAGTGTAAGAACTACTTCGTGCCATGGCGAGCGGTGTGCTAATTTGCGCAGTTGCGTTTGACATTCAACTATTGGCGCAAGGGTGGCTACTCTGTGGGCTCTGAAGACTATCGCTGGGCCATCATCAAATCCAAAGTCAACCCGGCTTTGTTTTTCCTCTTCAATGTCACCTTCATCTCCACCATCCAGAGCGTACTGCTCTGGGCAGTCGCGACTCCGACCTACATTCTCCTTCTCACCTCCCGCCTGACAGGACAGGGCATGAGCACAGTCGACACCATCTTCGCACGCGTCTTGATGGCCATGGTCGTCTTGGAGTACTTTGCCGATCAGCAGCAGTGGGGTGAGCAATCAATCTTACATTCAAAAACCGGGCCTACACCGAACCAATCAGCTAACCGCGTTGCCCAGACTATCAATCCACCAAGCAGCGCTACTTGCAAACCGCGCAGGTCCCGCACAAGTCAAAGTACACGCGCGATGAGCTCGACCGCGGCTTCACGACGCGCGGCCTGTGGGCATGGTCGCGTCACCCCAACTTCGCCGCTGAGCAGGCCATCTGGGTGATCCTGTACCAATGGGGCTGCCTCAGCTCGTACACACCACTCAACTGGACTTCTATGGGCGCTCTTAACTACCTATTCTTGTTCCAGGGCAGCACGTGGCTTACCGAACTGCTTACCGCCGGCAAGTACCCTGAGTACAAGGAGTACCAGCAGAGGGTGGGTAAGTTCTTCCCGAGCTTGCTGGGTGAAAGGTGGGTGGAGGCGAAGGCGCCGGTGCCGGCGCGGCCCCAAAAGAGTGCTGGACCCAAGGGCAGCGCGAAGAAGTCGAAATAGGGTGGCCGTGGGGTTTGTTGATAGATGACGCGGGGGCAAAGGAAGTTGTGAAGGGAAGATTGAAGGAGTGAGCTAGAAATACTTGCTTCGGAGATCGGAAGGCATGATTAAGAGTATATATGGTTAGGCAATTTCTAGCAGTATAGCACAGTTTAAATTGCATTGAGCTCACTATTGCAATCACTGGCTATTTTACCCATGGCACTCTTTCCATTATTCGAAACCTGGATACTGCCAAAATCCCTTGATCGGTGAGGGTATCCTCATTCCTCTCCTACCAGCCATGCAACCTCAGCAGAGTCCTCCAGACAGTTTCGTCAATTACCAAAGACCCTCAATTTCCTAATGTGTCTTCCGAATTTCTTCCGCTATGGCAGCACCCAAGACCACCATCTTCTATCTCCATACTCATGCTCCCTTAGCCGCGCCACGCTTTGTTTACGCACTCGCAGTCTTTGCAGGGGCCGTACTCGTCCTTGTTCACGAGCGAGAAGTCACAACCGCCATCCGGGCATTGTCCACACGCGCACGTCGGCTATAGGAGAATGGGTTAGCATGATAGCGTTTATAAGGTTGTGGAGATTGGGGTGAACGTACGGCTGGGCGGGTGTATGGAAACTCAGGTTGGGCGTCGAGCTGGGTGTCGGACTGGTGTTGGGTCTTCTGCCGCTTCAGCAGCTTCAGTGGCTTCAGCAACTTCCGCCACTTCTGTTGCTTCTGTTCTTGCTGCTGTTCTTGCTGCTGTTCATACAACTTCATCAAGCGCTGAAAATCCAGCCGATGGTGCTTCTCCTCTCGCAACTCCTTGATGTGGATCGCAAGCTCGTGGGCGATGTATCTGACAATCTCGCCTCTGTCGTCCTTGTCTCCCAGTTGTAGCTCGTGCTGGATCTGCGCGTCGAGACGTGAGGTTGGGACTTCAGAAGGCGGGGTTTGCTCAATACTGTAAGGTGGATTGGTTAGGTGAGGGCTTCAGACTTCGGTGGACGGTCGTGAGCAGACACGTACATCTTGTTGATGTGGTCGTTCAGAGGGGGCAGAACGGCGAGCACCTCAAGGCTGATAAGGCTGATGTCTACTGGCATTGTAAGTCTGTTGGTTGAAACGCACATTGAGATATGAATTGTTGGTGCGGAAATTGGTGGAAGGTGGAAGGTGGAAGGTGGAAGTTGAAATGTTGACGGAAGGTGGAAGGTTTATGAAGGAGGAAGGAGGAGGGTGAACTATTTATTTTCAAAACTTCACACGCTTAGTGACTGACTGGAGCTGCTGGTCGCGACATGCTTTCATTTGCTTGAAGGGAGTGCATGCTCGGAACATGCCTAGGCGCTCTACAATTTGTGAGTAGAGGAATCAGTCACTGAACAACACAGCCAGACATGGTTAGTACATAGACCGAGGAGCCTTGTTATGCAATAAATAAGCTTTCGCTAAATGCTGTGATAAGTTAATACCACCCTGACACTGAGCTGTCTAGTCTTGTATCTCATTGCGCTTATTCATCACGTGCCCAATATCATCCGCGACATTATCCATACCTCAAGCAAGTATTTCTTGGCCAATCTCGTAACCATGTAAACAGATAATGACCGTATTAAGTAGTTGAGGAGTAAAGCACCTCTGAAGAGAGGATTGATGATAGGCGCATTACCTTCGCCTTCTATAGCTTCCATTCATGTCCCATCATAGTTTAGTGCCAACTATCGATTTTCATATGAAACAAGCCAAAATGCTCTGGTTGAAAGTAAATTAAGAACTAGAAATCAAACAAAAGTCAACTCGAGAAATTGATTGATTCTTCGGCTAGGATAATAAAAAGGCAACCATCTCGGTATACGCTCTTCACCAATCACCTAGCAATCAAGCAACCAAATACGCACAAGACAACCGACAAGAACCTACAATACATTTAGCATGCATCCTTTCACGAGCGGCAAGATAATGCACGGAAAGGCGAAACCCACCAATCCATCCCCTCCGACGCAGATCAACTACCATTCAGAAAGGCCTCGAAATCAAACTCCTCTAATTCAGCTTCTCCAGCAATTACACTAAAATCCAAATCCCCATCAAATGGATCCTGATCACGCGAGCCAGCCTGGGCGTACATACATCAATCAGCCTCTGGGTAAAACGCCCCTACATCTCTAGCCAAATATCTAGATGTACACACCTGCTCCGAACCAGATCCAGACGCGATTGGCGCCCATTCAGCGGCTTCTCGCTCTTGCATTATCTCTATCATCTCGACAAGCTTCGGGTTCAAGTCTGGTTGTTTGGGTGCTGCTGCTGCCGGGGGCTTCGACGACGACGAAAAAGAAGAAGAAGACGTCTTGGCCGGAGGCCCCACGTAGATGCCCATCTTGTCGTGTGTACCTCGAGGCCAATAACTAAGTGCAGAGACAACGTGTGCGAGAGGAGAAGTGTGAAGCAAAGTTGATTGAGTTATCAAGCTACTAGAGGCGACGTGCGAAGAAGGGCGCGTCGGTGCTGACTAAGCTAAGCTAGCTACAAGAGGCAGGCACTACTCCGTAAGCCGCATGAAGAGCTGCAGTCATGGCTTACGTCACGTGATTGGTACCAACTACATGGATCCCTCGAGTGTGTGGATGCTGTGGCTCCGGATAGTTTGTCCATCCGTTTGCTCATTTCTGACTTCCCATACTTTACCTTCGTACTCTAGTATCTTTTCATCTTAGGTTAGGGCTACTTGCGTACAACCACCAATACCGAAGGAGTACGTCTACAACGTCATTAGTAGAGAAAACCACATAGCAACGTCAGATACGACATATTTGGATGCTACCGGAAGACTTCATTAGGCGCTAAACAAATTTGTGCAGAAAAATGCTATACTAAATATATATCACCCAACTCTCCACGTAAACACAACGACGGCAGCGTAAGTAAACATACCCACCATGCCAGGCACAACCCATCACGCAGGACTACGCCAGCCTCCCCGCGCCCTCCAACGCGCCCCTACAATCCCCACAATACTTCCCCCACCACTCGCGCACGGCCTCAAACGCCTCGTTGCCGCCCTCTTCCTCCTCAGCTTCTGCGATCTTCTTCCCCGCAGCAATGTCGTCCTGCCGTCTGCGGACCAGGTCGCCCACGCGCCGACACCGTACATTCTCGTCCAGGAGCCAGTTCTCCCACTCGGCCTGCAGCACCTCGCGCTCGACGCGGTTGACCAACCGCATCGCCACCAGCAGGTCATGCCTGTACGCGCCGAGGTTCTGGCGCGTGCGCTGCAGCCTCGTCGACGTGCTGCGCGTGCTGGGCGTAAGAGCGGCGCTGAAGGAGCCCATAGCCGGGAGGTTGTCGGGGTCGTTGTGGAGGAGGTTGATGAAGGTTTGGTGGCTGTGAGAAAGAAAAAGAAAGAGGATTAGTTGCGATTCCCATGACACTTGAAGACTGAAGTAGCTGTTTCTGACTTACCAGCTGTTAGCCTCGCCATCAATACCTCCCGTACCAACCCCCCACTCCACCTGTGCCGTGTTGTTTGCGAACATCTCATCAATGTCCCGCAGATACACTGCCTTCCCCATAACAATGTCGGGCTTCACGCCCAGTCGTGCCATGAATTTGCCCGCACTGCGCTCCTGCCACCAACTCCAACTGTCGCGATAACTCCACAACAGGTTCATACCACCGCTAAACAGCAACAGCGCCAGCAGCATGCTATGTGCCGTGCACACCTTGGCGACGGCCGCCACCACGTTGCTAATCCATGCGATGATCGTCGACACCCAGTCCGCAGCCACCAGCAGCGCTGCATCGAACAGCATCATTGGGACCGTGCGTCGCCGCAGCTTGAATTGCCGCTCCTTGGCTGGCGGCGGCATGTCGTCCGCCACAACTTGCGCGGCTTGCGTCGAGTGCCCAATGTACCCGAAGATCTGTACGGCCTTTCTCGTCTTGCTCTTGGACCCGAGCTTGTTGACCTGGTCCGCGATGACGTCGGTCAGATCCTGGCTCTCCAAGTCGAGGTCCTCGAGGGCTTGGTGCTCGAGAATGTGCTTGATGAGCATAGGGCTGCGCTCCCAGTCCACCTTCGTGTATATGCCGAGCTTGCAACGGCTCTTGGCAACGTGCGTGATGACAATTTTCGCCACCAACACAAAGTTGTTGCTGCATGGCAGGTACCACGGCGTTTTCTTGTCCGTGACAACGTAGCAGAGATGGTCATTGAGGACTTCTATGACCTGGTAATCGCTGACGACGTGACCGGATTCTTGGTTGGTGTGGTACTCGAACTCCCTCTTGTACAACGCGCCCTCCTGGGACTGGTTCCAGGGACCTTGGGTGATCTGCTGAGCCCACCGTTCCCTGTACAGTATCTGGAAGACCGCACTCCTGTCACCAAACATGACATGGAAGAGGGCCTTGGCACTAATGTCGAATTCGCGCTCGATGGCCAGACGTGCCATGCCCTGCGGCCGGTAGACGACAGGTTGGAACGGCAGCTTGAACCGCGTAGGGTTGCGGCGAAGACCCATGCTCGACGAGTCCGCAAAGAGGTTGCCGTCAATGCGCAGGGTGGCTTTGAGGTTAGAACCAGCACGTGGGCGGGTAGCCTCAATGGGCGTATCGATATTCGAGAGGTTGTCCCAGTTGTCCATTTCAGGATCCGTAAAGTCGTCATCTTCCAACCTAGTGAGTATTCTGATGACTGATTCAAGGCCCTTGGGATCGTCGGAATTGCAATTGCGGACCAAAAAGTTGAGGCGCTTCTGCAGCAATTTCAGCGGCTCAAGGAATACCTTGACAGTCACACGCGTGGAGTCATCGTATTTTCTGACGCCATCCTTAAAGTGAATGAAGAGGAAGTCGCAGTCGCGGCCCGGGGCTGCAGTGATCTCTTCAATGTTGTCCAAACTGATACCCGTGATTAGCACCAGTCCAAGGTGGTTGCTGTAGAAATAAACGTCCGTAGTTGTGACGTAGACGCGGCCTGGGAACTCTTGCTGATCGTTAGGGTTCCATGTCGCTCTGAAAACCAACACGACCTTCTCCTCGCGCGGGACGCTGGGGAACAGAATTCTGAACTGTGCATCCTGGGCTTTAAGAGCCAGGGGGTAATAGCTAGGATACTCCTTCGGCGATAAGGGTACGTGCGGTCGAAGTTCGAGCTTGGCGGGATCCGTGTTCAAGCTGAGGGTCTTCCGGTGTCCCTTTTTAATCTCATCCGAGATCATTGTCTCTGCTTCTGTTGATTCGCCCTTCAAAGCTGCAGGGGGAACTTCGCTGATGATATCAGTACCTGCGATCGACTTGATGACGGGACTAGGCGGCTGAGATATCGCTTTGGCTGCATGGTGCTTAACTTCTCCTCTTTCCATACGATTCACAAAACCCCAGTGAGTAGAGCCCCACAAATTAGCCAATATTCCAGAGGGCATACCCCCATCCGAGCGGCCAATTCCGACGCCTCTCTCACCACTGATGATGATAGCGGCTTTGCTCAGATTAGTAGGGGCGGGCGAGTTGGCAAGGGTTGACGGCGCCAGAGTACTAGCGGTAAGCACGGGAACGCGGGTATCCGGGGAAGCGGAGCTGGGTTGGGCGGCTGGCGGGGCGGCTGAGAGAAAGTTGTGAATATTGTGACTTGACGCAATAAGGCTAGCAATACCGCCAGATGATGGAGTTAATGTTGGCATACCAGCAAGTTGATTTCCAGCAGGCGATTTTCTGTGGAGGTCCAATTTTTGGATGATTCGTGCGGCGTGATCGCGGCTGCTTTCACCGTCTCGTTCGCCAGAGGTAAGGCGGCGGCCGCTGGTGTTCTCGGAACTACTCCTGGAGGCTTGGGCATCGCGGTCGGGTACAGGCAAAGTCTCTGCGTGCTTGAGGTTAGGAAGTTCATCGCTGCCATGGGCAACGTGGCCATCCGTGGTCCTGGCGGCAAATTCGGGGGCTACGGGAGGGCTGATGGCGAAAGCGGCGTCGGCGTTGTTGCTGCTGGATGTGTCTGTACTCGCTGGGTCCTCTAGGGCCTTGCGCTTAGCAACATCAAACGTGGCAATCCATTCAGTCAGCTCTGCCTGGGTCTCGGCTTGCAAAACGACGGATTTATCCTTGGTCTTCACCTCGAAACAGAAACGGCGTTCTTCCTGGAACGCAGGGCGTACTCCGCAAAGCAAAAGCCCAATCTTTTCGGATTCTTCAACAGCCCCAGTGCGGGCACCGTGAATCAACCAACCGAAAATACCATTCTTGACAAAGAACCATCTCCGCACCCAAAGAGCGCGGGCGGGCTTACCGGTGATGGTCCGCTCAAAAAGCCATCCCTGTTTTTCGGATTTTTCCGATCCAGGGGGCTTGGGGGGAGGCTGCGCATTCGTCGAAGAGTGGGAACCGAGGTACGGCACGGTCGATATCGAGTAATCCTCCAGCTCGCGCGAGGGTCTGATGCTATGCTCGGCGTTGTCTTCAAGCTGCTTTCTAGCAAGGTGGAGCTCGCGCTTGAAAACTCTTTCACCGTTCTCCATTTCGCGGCTCCAGCCCCTGATACGTTCCATCTCATGACTGTGCTTGCCGAAAATTTGATCCGAACCTTCTCTTACAGACTTCATCTCCCGCCATCTCTCGGTAAATATCTTTACCAGCAGCTTGTCCAATGTGGTCCTGATTTGGGGGGTCATGACGCAGAAGTCCATGGACGCGCGGAGATAGGCCTTTCTAGCTTCGTGGACCTGGAATGCCTCTTCGCGGAGGGACGAGGCCTCCTCGGTCTTCTTGCGACCAGCATACCGAGCGATGAGGCCGTCGAATTCCTTCTGCGAAGCGGCCATGTTCCTCCTGGCATCCTTTAAACCGCGCAAGTCGGCGGACAAAAAGGTCTTGATCGGTTCAATGATGGTCGCGTCGACTCTCTTCATGCCCTTGAGCGTCGCCATCCAAAACTCTCTCGCGCCCTGGTTGTAACGCTTCATGGCTTCCATGGTGTAGTCATGGTCGAGAATGGCCTCCGAGACCTGTTGCGGCGGCGCAGATTGGGCGAGGAATGCGTAGACGGCGGTTTCGAGGCTGTTCACCTCCCTGACGAGCTTGCTCGCAGCGCCGACATAGTTGTCCAGCCATCGCTCGATAAGGTCGAGCTGCTCCCCGAAATGGACGGCGGTGGCGCGGAAGGTGGGACTGTCGAGGGCGGCCTCTTTCAAGACGACGGGACTGGGCGCAAGGGATCAGCAGGGCGCGCGCTCGGGGGTGTCGAGAGGGCATACATCAAGCTCAGCGGCTTCTCCACCGGCGTGAGGGCCGGGGGTATTGCTGATTGCTCGGGTTCGGCCATGGCGAGGGTTGCGGTTGGCTATATGGATGTGACAACGAGCAGGCCGTCGAACATGACTTGCGACTGGGACAGGCCGGCGTTGGGGTGGAAGTGGTGCAGATGCAACGGGGGGTTGGTTGAGCTGCCCGCGGTGATCGCACACTGTCTCGCCGACGGGACCAAGGACATCATGGCGGCGGCCAAACGTCGGAGCGCGTAAAGGGATTCAATCTGCGTATGCGGAGCTCGGTCATTGGATGCGCATTCCTCTCCCGACTACTACGTACAATTACGCCTATAGATCCCGGTCAAGATTATCATTGCGGCTTAAGCCGTCCGCTGATTCGCGCCCAGGCGATGCGGCAACCATCTCCTTCGGGTTTAGGTAACGCCTGGCCCGAGCATTCGGAATGCGCAGGCCCGCCGGAACTTTTTTATCGCCCGTTTTCTCGACCTCGAACTCTTGACACCACCCAGCCATGGCCAGATCAAAGTCCGCCGTCGAAGATGGCCGCCCAGCCAAGAGGGCCAAGACCCTCATGGACGACAGCGACGCCTCCAGCGACGAGGGTGAGCATATGACCCTCAAGGTCAACGAGGAATTCGCCCGCCGTTTCGAGCACAACAAGAAGCGCGAGGAGAAGCAGAGGTGTAAGTCCCGCGCCCGTGGCTCCACGCCAGTCGCAAGCCCTAACTGCCCGCAGTGGAGGAAAAGTACGGCAAGAACACCAAGACCAAGGCCCGCGCCGATGATGACGCCTCCGGCTCCGACGAAGACTCCTCCTCTGATGAGTCCGAAGACGACGCAGGCATCCTCGCCACGGTCGATCTGGATGCTGAAATCTCCGCCACTCTCAACGCCATCCGCACCAAGGACCCCGCCCTCTACGACGCAAACCACAAGTTCTACTCCGAGTTCGACCCGGAGAAGCTGCAGAATGACGACAAGAAGGAGAAGCCCATGTACCTGCGCGACTATCACCGCAAGAACCTGCTCGAGGGAAAGATGGGCCGCGAGGAGGAGGAAGAGGACGAGAACGCTCCGCCCAAGACGTATGTGCAGGAGCAGGAGGCGCTGAAAAAGAACCTTGTCAAGTCCATGCACGAGGCCAAGGAAGAAGGTTCGGACGAGGAGGGTTCTGACGAGGACGACTTCCTGGTCAAGAAGCCGGAGCAAAAGTACAACAAGGTCGCGGAGGAGCCGAAGAAGCCCAAAGTCGAACTCGACATTGAGAACGCGGACAAGGACCCTGAGAACTTCTTGTCCAATTTCCTGGCAGCGCGCGCCTGGGCTACCGACAAGCCTGCCTTTGCGCCTCTCGAGTCCGACGACGATGAGGATGACATGCGCGCCGAGGAATTCGAGCACGCGTACAACATGCGATTCGAAGACCCCTCAACTGCCAACGAGAAGCTGATGACGCACGCGCGTGACGCCGCCGCCAAATACTCGGTGCGCCGAGAGGAGGTCAGCGGACGCAAGAAGCAAAGAGAAAAGGAGCGGTCAAAGAAGGATGCCGAAAAGGCGCAGCGCGACGAGGAGAAGGCACGGTTGCGGAAGCTGAAGATCGACGAGATGGAGGAGAAGGTGGCCAAGATCAAGGAGGCCGCCGGTATCACGGGTCGGGACTTCAACATGGATGAGTGGGCAGGCGTCTTGGAAGAGGACTGGGACGACAACGACTGGGACAAGGAGATGCAGAAGCGCTTCGGCGAGGATTACTACGCCGAGAACGACATGGAAGCAGCCTCGTCGGACGAGGAAGCGGGCAAGAAGAAAAAGAAGCCCAAGAAGCCCAAGTGGGACGACGACATCGACATCAAAGACCTGGTGCCCGACTTCGAAGACGAAGAAGCCAAGCCTAGCGTCGCTCTCAGCGACGACGACGACGGCGAAGAAGAAGACGGCGGCGTGGAGCTGCCCGATGCGGAGGCAGACTCTGACGACGACGAGGGCAGCTCAAGCAAGAAGAAGAAGAGCACAAAGAAAGCGCGCAAAGAAGCAACCATCGACGCGAAGCGCAACGCGCGGCGCGAACGACGCCTGATCGAGACGCTAGTGGACCAGAACCTGGAAGTGGCAATGGCAGAAAAGGAGGCCGCCAAAGCGCCGGCCCGGTTCCGCTACCGCGAGACGTCGCCGACGACGTTCGGGCTGACGGCGCGCGACATCCTGCTTGCGGACGACGCGGCACTGAACCAGTTCGCCGGGCTTAAGAAGATGGCTGCGTGGCGCGACCCTGAGAAGAAGCGCAAGGACAAGAAGAATCTGGGTAAGAAGGCGCGCTTGCGCAGTTGGCGTAAGGAGACGTTTGGCGATGAGGAGGGGCCCAAGGGCGGCTTTGCCGATTACGTCCTGGGCAAGTATGGCGAGAAGGGGGTGCCGGTGGACGGGGGACGGGATGCGCAGATGAAGGATGTTTCTGCTGCGGCGGTGGGCGAAGGCGGCGTGGATATCAGAGAGGGCGGCAAGAAGAAGAAGCGCAGTAAGAAGAGGAAGGCCGCAGCCGTCGAGGAAGAGTAAGACAGTCAGTCAATAAAGTAAGAGTACCTAAGGCAGGGCAATCCCGCTTCGGGCTGCTGGTAGCAATTTCTCACCAAACGATGCTTGCATGGATGGATGGATGAATCTCTCTCTCGGACCATAAACGCTCTTCAGTATTTATACCTCAACACGCTCCCACCACGTCCCTATCCCCCTTCACCCTCAACAGCAACCACAAGACCCTACCTACCTACTCACAGCACAGCCCAGCTACCTACATAGGCGCAACCCACCACACGCCCGCCGGCAGCCGATTAAGGCCACACAGCGCCCTCGCGCGGCGGTGCTCCTGCTCCATCTCACCGGCGCCGGCGCCGGCTTCCAGCGCCCCCGCCGCAGCGTCGACGACGCGCAAGTTCCAGCGCACGCGCGTGCGCTCCAGCATCCATGGCCTGCCGTTTACTCCATCTCCCGTTGCACTGTCCTCCCCTTCTCCCCACGCGACGCCCACCCCCCGCAGCCCTAAGGCGCTGAATTCAAGCACTTCACACTCTCCTTCGCCCTCACCTTCGACTGAGGCTTCGCCTTCAGCTGAAGCAAAGAACGCGAGACAAGCGGCAAAGTGCGCGCGCGCGAGGCGGAGCGTGCGTGCCGACGGGGCGGGGAGCGCGGCCAGCGCGGTGCCGAGCAGGAAGTGGTGGAGGGGGAGGGGCGACGTGGGTGTTGATGAGGTGGTTGTGGTGGTGACGGGCGCGTGCATAAAGTCCGACCAGCGCGTAATCCTGCTGTCCGCCTCCGCCTCCGCTACACCCACTTCTCCCCCTGCGGCTTGGGCCGTGGTATGCGTACCAGCCCGCGCACCAGCAGAAGCAGGACTCTGGACCGCCAGCGCCCGCGCAAAGGCCTCGCACGCTAGCCCCGGCTCGTCGAGATGCAAGCGCAGGATGCCAAGGTTGGCCCACAGCTGCGCGGCGTGCGTGGCTGGGAAGGAGGGGAGGTGCTGTATGAGGCGCAGGAGGCGCTGCAGCTGCACTAGCGCGGAGGTGTAGCTTAGCGTTGCGAAGAGGAGGGTGCTGTGTTGCCAAAGGGGGAGGGGTGAGGGGTGTGCGTGTGGTTGTTGTTGTGGTGGTGGTGGTTGAGGGGGTGCGCGTGGCATTGTGGTGTGTGGTTTGTGAGGTGTGTGCTTTGATTGATGTTCTTGTAGGGGATGCGGGATTGGGTTGGGTAAGCGTGTTGGTGGGAGAAGGGAGTGGGTTGCTGATGCTGGTGGGGGTTTTGTAAGGGGTTTGGTGCTGTGGGAGGTGCCATGTGAGCTCTCGATGGTGTTGTGCTCTCTTTCTTTCCTTTGACGTGCCCGCACGCTTCCTCCGGCTCTCTTCGGCATGCCCTTTCGACGTGACTCCCAGCGCGTCCCGTACCCGCGTCCAGCCGCGGAGGTTCAATCGAACACCTGGCCCTCTCACCACAGCAAAGAAACAAAGTTTCTCCCCCAAATTACGCTCACCACCGCGCATCCTTGCTCTTCATCATCAAACCCCGGCATTCCTCCTTACGACGACGATCATCTCATAAGGCACCAACCCCGCCCCCTCGATGACATGGACAGACCAGTGCTTCCGCCCCGCCAACACGGCCTCATAATCGGGCCAGTCGGCCCTCGGCCCCAGCCAGACGACGACGCGCACGGGGTCGGCCGGGCGGGCAGCAAAGACGTCAAAGTAGCGGCGCACGAGGGCGGGCTCACGGGGATAGACAAAGAGCCAGGCAGGGGCGTGTTGGGCCAGGGGGCAGAGGTCCCAAGTGCCGTGGACAGGCCAGGCGCACTCGTCAGGCAGGTAGCGGTTGAGGGCAGCAGCGTCGGAGAGGTTGGCGTTGGCGACGTCGGCGCCATGGACGGGCCGGCCCAGGCGCGCGGCCAGGTGCGCCTCCAACAGGCCGCTGCCGCTGCCGACCGAGAGCACTGCGCCTGTTTTCGGAAGGTGCTGCGCCAGGGCGTGCAGCAGCGGTGCCGAGAGGCTGAGGCAGCAATCGGCGTGGTGCGTGGGGGCGGGGAGGAGGGGTGGGAGTGGAAGGACCATGGCGGACGTGCTTGGCGCTTTGGTCGTGGCCGCTGCTTCCATGGGGCGGGAAGCTAGCTGGTACTGTACCTACGCACGAAGCCGGAGACGCCGGGCGGGGAGTGGGGGACTAGGAGAATGCGATGATGCGAAACAGGAAAATAGAGAAAAGCAAGAGCGAAAAAAAAAGAGGATCACGTGCACGTGCCTCAGGAGACAAGGCAACATTCAGTTTAGTTAATCTGTATGAAGCAACAGCTGGGCCAAGCTTAAGGCTAAAAATGGTTCAGCGTGAGGTGGCACGGCGTTTGAAGAAGCAGCATCCACATCATCATCATCATCAGCACCATCAGCAGCATCATCATAGGTCGCGGTCAGCAGGCGGCCAGGAAGTCGGTGAGGAGGATGGGCACGTCCACCTCAACGGTCACATCATCATCCTCATCCTCATCCCCATCCTTGGTATCCTCCTCCTAACAGCAACAACAAAAAAGTAACAGGGCTGAGCCGTTTTTAAAATGAATAGGTAATGAATGAGGTGAGGAGCGGAGCTTGGGGGATGCCAGCAAACAAACAAACACGCGCGAAGGATCGCGTTCCCGGGCGGCGAAAAAGCACGCGCTCAACGGGCGTGGTGGACGACTTTGTCTGGCGGACATTTGCTATTTTTGGCACGGGCTGTGCACTGGATCGCCTCCGCCGTGGCTTGCTGCCCCCTCTCCCCGCCGCCGCCGCCGCCGCCGCCGCCGCCCGCGGCTCTTTGGCCCTCTGGCCATACTAGGTGCTTGCTTGCTTGTTGTTGCTGCTGCTGCTGGCTGCTTGCTGCCGTGCGCGGTGCGCTGTGCGCTGAAAATAGGCCCGCGCTCCTTCCTGACCCTCAGCCTTACTTGCAATCCTTCCACAAGAGGTTTAATCTACGCTCGACTACTTATGCGGGCACACGCCACCATGCCCTGTACAACTCGCCTCCGGTTGATCCTGACCCCGGTGTCTTCGCATTTCAGCCTTAATTTTTTTCGCCCGCCTGGATCGCCGCCGGGCATCTCAACATGCAACCCTGCGCCGGTCTTAGCTCCACCTCCCTCGCCGACCCCGACTATATCAGTTATACCGCCCTGCTGCTTCTGCAGTCATCAGTTCTCCTGGCTAAAGTCGGCACCACGGCCGGAATGGACTCTCGCCAGAATTGCCAGCCCGCCCACCACCGCATATGCCGCAACATTCGTGCCGTCGTCGAGTCCCATTCGACCTCATCGGCCTTCCCCGACCCCGCCAAGACAAGCAACAAGAAGAAGCACCACGGCGGGAATCTGAAGAATCTGCTGCGGAGGAAGGACGGCGGTAGCAGCACCAGCACCAACACCAGCACCGCCTGCTCCTCGACCACAACCCTCCACTCGCCCTACATGCACCCGGAGCCCTCGCGCTCCGCGCCGCCAATGCAAGCCGTCTGCTCCGGCCGTCTCCCAAGCAACCATCCCTTTTCCGAAGAAGCCTACGCCGTGCGGCATCCGTCACCACAGCTGGTGCCACCGCCATTCGGGCGGCCTCTTGGCCCCCAGCCCGCCGACGCGTCGTCGGCGTGCACGCCCGCAAGCAGCACACCGCTCAACAGCAGCAGCGGCAGCAACGGCCCACGGGCAGCAGCGCGGCAATCGTTCAGCGGCCACGACGCGCCCCCGTACGAGGACGACGCTCTTGCCATTGCTGCTGCTCCGGTGGTTGTCGCTGCTCCTTCTCCTCTCCATCGCCGCCAGAGCGAGACTTTTGACGACGCGTCCGAGCTGCAGGAGTTCGCCGAAGCGACGTCCGGCTTCGACCCCTTCAGCCCCGTGCGCCAGCGCCCCATCTCAGAGTACTACGCGCCGCGGCTATCAGCGTACGCGCGCTCGCAAACCCTGCCTTCACAATCACTGCCCTCGCAGCCATGGTCGCAGCCTTGGTCACAGCCTTGGTCGCAATCAACACAAGCCCTGTCGACACAACCGCCCTACCAGCCATCCTCGCAGCGCTCCTCGTCCTCGCAGGACCTGCTCTTCCACGCCCCCCCCGCCGCCGCCGATGACGACGACCAGCTCGCCGCCGACGACGACGACGACTACGGCCCCCCGCCCCAGGACGAACTCCCGGATTACGCGCAGAGCCAGTGGGAGGTGCATAGTCGGCGAAGGCGGGAAGCGGCGCGTCGGGCGGCGGAGCTGGAAAGGCAGTGGTTGGAGGCGAGGCGGGCGCGTGGCTCTTGACAGCGAGTACGCTGGCGTCTTGGCTTGTCACTCTTACCTGCTACTACTACTACTACTACTACTCCTTCTACTGCTGCTGTCGCTGCTACTGCTGTCGCAGCAACAGCCACCACAACAACACCTTTCCTTTGTCACGTAATAGCCACCACCCCCGGGCTAACGCCTTTTGACGCGCCTTTAGCGATTTGATACCCTCGTTTAGACTTGCTTGCTTGTTTCCTTATTGTCATTGCTAGTGCTGTTTTTAGTTTATTGTGTTTTGGGGTTTGGGCAAGCGTTTTCTTTTGTTTACTGTTTACTGATATCATCGTCTCCATCATCGTCATTGTCATCAGCGGACGGGAATGGGGGAAAAAGGAGGAGGAAGGGAAGAAGGTGCTTTGTAGGTGTATGTTTCTTTTTGTTTAACCCTTCTTGCACATATGTTGATAGGTAGCAAAATTTCGGGTTCGGTACGGTACGGATGGATGGGGTTGGGTGGGGAGAGGGGGGGGAATGAACATCTTGTCTTTGCTGTTGCGGTTGCTTGCTTGGTAATGTAAATTTGAATGGAATTATATGCAAATATCTACGAGCTAAGAGGCCAGAATGGATGAACATCGCCATGGCTTTCTTTGCTAGGTGCCGTACCGTACTGTACAGCACTGTACGCAAATAAACAAACAACAACTGAAGACATTGGAACGAACGGATAAGGTACTGTAAGCAGCCAGCTCCCATAGCCAACCTAGGTAGGTCATGTCCGCACCAACACCATGACATCAGCCCCGTCCGAAGCGGCAGCCAGCTCTGCGGGTTGCGCGTTTAACGCTCACGCCCACAACGGCTCTCGCGCTCGCATCTGACTGGACGACGTTACGAACCTAAAATCCTTCCGCGAAAACGAACGCACCTCCACCGTCAGGGCCGTTATTATTTCCGATTTCCGCTTCCCACGCCGACCGCGGGAGTTATTTTTAGCACTGCTTGCCAGCGTGCGAGCCAATAAGCTCACACTAGACCCGTACGTAGGCCACGAGAAGGAGCGTGATGCGTTTTGGCTTGGCTTGGCTTGTGGGGTGCTGCACGTGCGTGCGGGACTTTGATCTGGCGTGCTGTTTGTTTTTGCTGTACGCTTAGGTAGGTAGGTACCTAGTAGCGCTGTAGTGGTGAGCGTGAGCGTGCGTCGGTGGGCGAGCATATTGTATGAGCAGGTAGGTATCTAGGGACGTATGAAGAAAGTATGAAGGAGGTGCGTACCTAGGTCCTGTACGTGGGTAGCCTGCCTAACCTACCTACCTACCCACCCCTCCCCCCCTCCTCTTCTCTCCTCTCCTCTCCTCCTCTTCCCCACCCCTTCCTACCATAGCCGCCCCCGCCTTCCCCGCCGCTGCTACCTACCGTCAACGAATGCAACGCAACGCAACGCAACGCAACGCAACGGAAGCGAACGGACAGGGCCACAGCAGCGGCCGCCGATCCAGGGCGCGTGCGTGCTGCTCTGTGCTCAGTGATCGCTTGCTCTGGGGCGGAATTGGGCGGATCGGGGATCGGCGGGGAGGGAAGGGGCGTGCGTGCGTAGCGGGATGGCCGATGGGGTGCTCGGGGATGGACGTGTAGGTAGGTAGGTAGGTATGTACCTAGGTACGTACCTAGGCCGGTTGGACGGCCCCAGGGGGCGCGTTGCGTGGGGCTGGGGCTCTTGCTGGGTGGGTGCTGCTCTCACCTGGTACAGGGTAGGTAGTGAGCCGGCGGGATTAGGTGCCTCTCTCGTTGCGTCTCTCTGAAACCACCTAACAATGACGATGGCCATGGCGATGCCGACGTCCCAAAGGAGGGGTGGGGGCAGGAAAGACGACAGAACCGGGCGTGGCTGCAGAGATTACATTTTCCGAGAACGGCAACGAGAGCGTCGCCGGCGCGCACATGCATGCATCGCGGCCAACAGACCTGCCTGCTGAACTTGAAACCCACCAACGTGCGCCATGTTTCCACTTTCCCGCGCATATCCACCTACATAGGTACCTTACCGTGGGTGGGGTGGACCAATTGGATTGGATGGCTGGCACGTCACCAACACTCACTGCTGCTTCTCGTGGCCTCTGATTAGGTGCTTGTCACTTACCTTTGCCTGTGTTTGGTGCGTTGCGTGCGTTGCGTGCGTTGCGTGCGTTGGTTTTCCAAATTTAGATGGCCTCCTCTATCCACTGACTGGGTTGACTGACTGACCTACCGTCTGTCACTTACTCACTAACCCACTCACTCGTCCACACACTGCAAACGCCGGCGCTTGCAGCAGTGGTGGTGGGGGCCTGCGGGCTCTCTCCCGTCTGCCTCTCCCTCCCTCCCCCTCTTCTTCCTCTTCTCTTCCCTGTCGTACATGATCATACGCGACGGACACGCCTTCAGCGGCGTCCGCTCCCCCGGCTCCAACAACCGACACATGCGCCTCACGCTCGTCCAAATCCTAATCTCCGCCTTAGCCAGGGGGACGACTCTGCCACGGGCCTCGTCAATAGCAACAACACCAACAGTAGCAACACCACCAACAGCAGCAGCCGGAGGAGCAGCCAGCGCCAGCGCCGCCCACGTCTCCTTCCGGAACCACGCCGCAACCCAGCGCATGGGCACCACAGCGCGGACATAGCCGCCGCGGGCCCTGCTGTCGGCGCGCGTGATCCACGCGTTGCCCAGCAGCGTCGGTGTTGGCGCCAACCGCTTTCCGGCCGGGAAGATGCGCGCCCCAAACACCCACGCCTCCCACGACTCGCCCCACTCGGCCGCGCGGTCGCTAGCCCGGAACAGCGGCTCCAAGCTGTCGCCCCGCAGCATGATGCCGAACGCGTGCGTCGCCTCGTGCGCCAGCGTCGTGCCGAGCACAAAGGCGAAGCGCAGCCGCGCTGCCAGCGACGCGGTGCTGTGGCCGCTGCACGGGCCTGAGACGTAGGCCCGCCATTGCGAGTTGAGGCGCATCAGGACGGTGGTGTCTTGTGCCGCGGTGCGGAAGAGGGGGTGGTGCCGCGATGTGGGGTGGGTGGCGTTTTCAGCGACGATGGGGGTGGTGCTCGCGAGGGAGAAGCCTTCGTTAGAGTTCCATTTGAAGGTGACGAACGAGGCGAGGTCTTCGAGCGCGGCGCTGACGGCGTGCAGGTCCTGCTGTGAGTACGGGCCCATTTGGTCTTCGAGGCAGGGCTCCTGGCCCGGGCGCTCGACTGTCTTACCGTAGGCTGCGTGGGCGTACCATTGCAGCAGGGCCTCTTCTGTGAGGAAGAGCGAGGCGAGCCGCAGCGCCAGTGTTAGCGCCTCGTACTCTTTGATGGTGGTGTCGGTGAACCGCTCGTAGGCGAAGAGAGGGTGGATCGCGTTGTCTAAGTCCGGTAGGCAATGAACGCTCAACATACTTGCTAATGATGGGTCGTCGTCCATTGCCTGTTGGATGAGCATGCCTATGTCAGCTTCGGGGACCACGGTCCTTACCATTATGATTACGAGATTAGGTATGACTGCACAGCAGTTTTAGAAAAAATAACAGGAGAAAAGAGAGAAGATGCGATGGTGCCAGACCAATGCAGACGGTACCAGACCGGTGGAGTGCAATGAATGAAAGGCACGTGTGCGGTGCCAGACCAGAAGCTCGTGGTAAGTGAGGCGGGGGCCGGCACAGCGTGGCTAGATATATATGGAGGAAGCAGCTACAATGTTACCGCTTCTGAAAGAAAGAGACAAGGCATTGTGCCCGAAATAGATCGAACAAGAGCTTTGGCAAAGGTACAATGAACGTCCGTCTCGTCTTTGTTCTTCTCAGGAGACGGTTGTTGCCAAGAGCTCATGATGCCGTATCCGGACGAGAGATATTGTTCCGCTTGCAGCGGTGTTTGAAGAACAATGCAGGCCGATACAAAAGCAACGCTCATCCAGCGACGGCAATGTTGTCTGAGACACAGACATCGTCTTCAACAGGAAGACCGCACGCTCCGGCCTCATCATACTCCGCGCGCACCTCGCCACGACCCGCCAACAACCTACACAAAGCGGTTGACGTCCACGTCTCGACCACATCCACCACCATGCACGCCAACCACAGCACCGCCAGAGCGCCCACCAACAGCTCCCACACCGCCGCGGCAAAACAGCCCGTCGACGCGGCGACGAAGTGGAAATGCTGCCAGTGCGGGGCCGTGAACCCGGACACTTGGCACACGGTCTGCAGCGGCTGCGCGCACGACGGGGAAGCGTGCTTTGGGTGCACGGCGCTGTAGACAAAGAAAAACCGATGGCGTTAGGAAGTCGTTGTACAGTACAGGGGCATAAAAAGCAATGAGATATTGATTGAGTCGGGTGGTTTGGAAAAAGAAACTTTTTTTTTTTTTTTTAGAAAATGGCGGAGGAAACAGAAATGAATCATATTCATTTGTGATTTGTGATAATGTCCGGTCGGCGAGTTCGTAAGTAGCGTGCCTGACGGATAGGGATGGAGATGCGAGTAGGTTAGGGCTGCAGGGTTGGCCCGATGTTGGTCAGCCGGGCAGGTGTTGTGAGGCTTGATGCGCATGATATTACTGTGCTTCCGCTTCGTGATGCCCAAGGTTCTGACATGGTGAGCCCGTGCTCTGTCAGGCGGGCCAGCGCTGGGCGATGTGTGTCACTTAATCTCCTGCTGTGATACAAACTACACGGGAGGCCGGGAGGCCGAATGTGGGAGGGTGACGAGAGCCTCAAATTTTGGAAATTTGATGGCGGGGCGATTGGAGCCCAAAGGCCGATGGTGTTGTTTGTTGGTCTCCGGGTAGCGTCGCAATGTCGGTGGACATTTAGCCGAGGGTGGCCATTCCATGAGTGCTCCAACGTCATCCGTCACTTCTCTTGGCTACACCCTGTTACTGCACCACAATGAGACCTGCCGGAGACGCCAGGTATGTGCGAGTGAGCGCCAATGCTTTCGAATACTGCTAACAGAACATCCGAGGCAGAGCTTCCTGGAACCTGCTCGAACAAGCAAACAGCCTCGCCGACCTGAGGACCGCGATCGGTCTGGAAGGAGAACCGTCTGCGCTCGCGAGCGGACAGCGGTCGGCATGCTGGAAGGTATATAAAGCGATTGTCTGGTACAGGGCAGCATGTTGAAATATTCCAGGCATTCCTCCTCTTTGAGAGCACGAACCGTGCGGAATGGCCTCCCATTCTGGCGGATTCGCGCTCCGCCTACAACTCCCTGCGAGGGCATTTTCTGCGCGCCATTGACAATCCCGACGAGGTGGAATCGGCGCTGGACCCACTCAGCGAGAATGAAGAAGTACGTGCGCTCCGCCAGGCGACACGGCCCGCTTCCGAAGCGGCAGCATACATGTGGATTCTGACCTCTGACTAAGTCTTGAAAGTCCCCATGGGTTGCTCTCCGCAAAGACGAAGCGCTGCGCGCCGAAATATTCCAGGATATCGAGCGCTGCATGCCGGACAACACGTACTTCCGCCAGCCCGACACGCAGAAGACCATGCTGGACATTCTGTTCATCTTCTGTAAGCTCAATCCCGACATAGGATACCGGCAGGGCATGCATGAGCTGCTGGCTCCGATCCTTTGGGTCGTGGAGCGAGATGCGATTAAGACCAGCGGTGACTACGGCGAGGACCTCATGCTGGCTTTGTGCGACGCGAGATTTATCGAGCACGACGCTTTCACGTTGTATGGCCTTGTCATGCAGAGCGCGAAGACGTTCTACGAGCCATCGAGGACAAGCAACTCGGCCGACTCCCCGATGTTGGTTCGAAGCCGGCACATTTTCGAAGACTTGCTTCCGTTGGCTGATCCGCAGCTGGCTGCGCATTTAACGGAAATTGAAGTGGCTCCGCAGATGTTCCTGATGTGAGACACTCTTCCCTCTGCGATGATTGAGTGCTAAATGTAGAAGGCGTTGGATGAGGCTGTTGTTTGGCCGTGAGTTTGCTTTCGACGATATGCTTCCGATGTGGGACCTCATCTTCGCCGCCGATCCAACGTTGCATCTGGTGGATTTTGTAAGTATAGCCATGCTTTTGCGCATACGGTGGCAGCGTAAGTTTTTTTCCGTATCGATGCGCTTAAACGCCCACTGAGCCTGATGCAGTACTCGAATCGGATTCAAACGGCGCTATTACTATTCTGCTGCGCTATCCACAGCCAGCTCCGGAACACCCGCCTCGGACCTTCGTCCAAGATGCTGTACAACTGAAGCACGATTTAAGTCCGGAAGCAGGAGCTCGTATGGTGTCCAAGTATAGTGGCCGAACACCTGTTATACCTTCTCAACAGAGACCGCAGACACCACTCCTCGACAAACCTGGCATCCCTCAACGACAGAAATCCCCTTTCGGTACTATCCGTGGACTTCAGGATGCTGCGCGAGACATCCAGGCTCGTGGTGAGAGATGGGGTCTTAATCAGGTCGTGCGGGAAGCCGTAGGCGATTTCAAGAAGACTATGAGAGATATCCAGAAAGATATCCAGGCGGCTCAAACTGCCACTGCGGGTAGAACAGTGACCCCAGGGGCGCCTAGAAAGGGCATCGAGTCACTCTTGATAGAGAAGGTCACGGCCCTGGAAGACCGCAACAAGGCGCTAGCAAAGATGCTCGAGGGAGCCGTAGCCGACTTGTGGGACTGCCAAAAGGCAGCCGTTGAAAATAAAGAGGCAGACAAGGCAACCGTCGACAATCTCAGCATGGCGATTGCGAGAGTTCAGTTCGTCCAGGTGTATTTGGAAGATGCAAGCATTCCTTTGCCGGTGGAGGAGCAAAAGCCAAAGGACAAAGAAGTGGACGCTTCCGACAAAGCCGCAAGCCCCCGCCCTTCGACAGATACCACGAAGCCCTCGCCACTCGGCTCCAACAGCCCTGGACCCGCGAGCTCGGCTCCGCCACCACCCACATCAACGGGAGGCAAAACGGACGAAAGCGCCGAAAGTACTGCTGCTTCTTCAACCATAACTTCACCACCTCGGCCTGCAAGCAAAGCCAACAGCAGCACCACTCCCACCACCCCCAAGAACCCCATCACAGCCGCCACAACCGTCGACCCTGCCGCCAGCACTCACCGCAACCGGCCTTCCTTGGCACAATCCTCGTTCTCATGGATGCTAGGCCAAGAGGAGACGGCCGAGCCAGCCTCCAGCTTTGCCGCCGCATCAAACTACAACTCGTGGAAACCGGTGGATCGGCGACGCAAGGGGACAGCGGGGCGGAGCGGCAACGGTAGTAGCAGTGGTAGTGGTGGTGCTGGTGGGGCGGGGGGTGCGGGTAAGAGTAACGGGGATGGTGATGGCAGGGGAGGGAGCAAGTCCTTCTTGTTTGGGGACGAGGACGACGGGCTTACGGGGCCGGGGGGCGTGGGTGGTAGTATGAAGAGTGTTTTTGGGAAGGGGAGGGGGAACAGTGCAGGCGCTGCTGATAGGGCGGAGACGCCAAGCGAGGTTTATGATTTGGGCGAGTTGGAGGGCGCGGGTGGTGTGGGGGTTAGTGGGAGGAGGGTTAGTGGGTGTGGGAGTGGTGCTGGTACTGATAGTGGTGCTAAGGAGGAGAAGGAGGAGGAGGGAGTTGAGGGTAAGGGCGAGAGCGGGAGTGCGTAGGCAGGGCTGATGTTGTGAATGTTGCAGGAGGGCGGGCATGGTTTGATGTTTTATCACTGTCTTTTTTGTTCTTCTTCGCAGTCGGTCGCTTTTGTGCTGTTTCGCGTTATGGTACCGCTTGTAGAACAGATGATAGAAATATACCTATCAGTGTAGTGTGGGTGTATGCATTGGGATTGTCGAGTGGCGAGTGAGTGTGTACCCATGGATATTAACACTGTATAACATCCAGTGTTACCTGGCCTGCTGACGCAGTCAGTGAGTGTTAAGAGCCTAGTACTGGCCACATATACAGTATTTTAGTTGATGAATAGTAACAGGGAACCTTCCAGTAGCGTTAGCCAGTAAGTATGCGTGAAAGTTGGATATAAACACACTCGGTGACCGGTTTTCAAAATATAAACCCGCCCTCCAGCAGCACAACCTTCTGCAAACCTTCATCTCCCAACGCCGGCTCCTCGCAGACATCGCTCCACAACGCACACGCGTCAACGTCTCTTCAAGAAAAAATCTACGTGCAGTTCCACAATGTCCGGTTTCCAGCTCCACAGCGGCGGCCAGGACGGTACCACCACCGCTCCCGCTCCAGCCTTCCCCGATACATACATCACGTACATGTACGCCTCCGCACCCCTACCCCACATCCATTCCACACCCACACACACACATAGACAGCAACCAACTAACCACCCCAGCATCCAAAGCGCGCCAATCTCCGAAACCCCCCCACAGAGCCTCGAAGCCCAGCTCCAATTCGAGCAGCAAACAGCCACGGAGTACGTAGGCCAGCTTAGCACGGCCGTCGCCGACCGCCTGCGCTCGCACATCCTGCTGCTCGAATCTAGGCTCGCGCTGCAGCGGCACCAGCAGGCGCAGCTGTTGCTGCAAGAGCAGAGGTTGCTGCGCGAGAGGCACGCGACTAGGCTGCCGTTTAGGGAGAGGGGGTTTGAGGCTCTGGCAAGGACGTTGGAACATGATGATGATGATGATGAGGAGGATGAGAAGGAGGAGCAGCAGTTGGGGCTCGAACAGATGAGTCTCGCGCTCCGCCCGCGCCAGAGTTATGCTCTGCCTGCTGCATCTGCCCCAGCCGTACCGGTACGTGCTCCTGACTTAGCCCTGACCGAGACGTAACAACGGCACGGCTACACTGACGCCCTGATGCAGATCCAGACCCCGACCCCCCAGATCCAGACCCCGAAATGCGCATGCGGCATCTGTCCGCTCGGCGGCTGCGACTTCTCGCTCGCAACCGAGAATGGGACCTGCATGGCCTGCAGATGCGGATTCAAGCCGCGTGAGCGCTGCCCTTGCGGTGGGTGCTGGAAGGGCGAGTGCGAGTTTGAGGACACGCTGGAGGGGCAGTGTGAGTGCTGCAGTTGCACGGCTCGTGGGGGGAGGGTTTCGCGGAAGTGAGGGTGTGGTGGTGGGAGAGGTCGTTGCCTGGGCGTATCTAGGTATGGTTTGGGCGGGCGAGGTTGGGCGTAATGGTACGGGTTGCGGGAAGGATAATGGCGCGGAGACGAAGGATCGGCTATGCTGAGTGGGTGTTGGAAGTTGGAACTTGAAAGGTGCGGTGAGACAAAGCTGCGCGTTGCGGAATGGAAAGTAGGGCCGAGAATCAGCTATGCCAAATAAAGGTAAACTTGATAATTGCGGCGGCATAAGGATGCGAATTGCAAAAAGAGTCAGTTGCAAGTCCAAGTAGTGATTGGCTAGAAGCAGCATGCGTGGAACCGCGTGTGCATTATTTTCCTACCCCCTTATTATTGTAGTAGTGAAAGTTAGAACCAGTTACAGCAGGAGACTGCCCCGTAGAAAACACATTGCCAAGTTGTTGGCCAGCATAGGTAGTTTTGGCCGAACGTGGAACCGTGGATTATGATACCGTTCCTTGAATTGTTTTTATTGTCGAATTCGCAAATCTCGCTGTGGTCTCTATTTAAGCTCAAACAATTTTGTACATACAGCCCAGCGAGCCGTGAGACCTTCGCGCGCGCTCTTGCCCCGTTTCCATCATTGGAATCGACCAAGGCCTCCCAGAACCCGTTCAGGGGCTCCTCAGATGTCAGTAAGTTTGCGCTGGCTCTGCTGCTGGCCGTTTGGGGGCTGGCATGCACTGATGTTTGATTGTAGACCCAGTTCAGTGGCGCTCGTTACCCCGACCTGATGATATATCTCTTTGTCAAGGCCGGTTGGTGACTGCCATCAGTGGAGCTCGCTGCTGGCGGTTTGTATAATAATGGATCATCTTTCTGTCTATCATATTTGATAGCAAGAACGTGTTGGGCATAGCGGCTTCGTGATCGGCCAATACATTGCTTTTCTGTCGACCAGACCGCCATGTGAATTGGTGGAATGTCCAGAAAATGTGAAGAAGGCGCTGGCTTGGTTCACTGCCTCGTCATGGCTGTTATATGTAATATATAGTACAAAGAACAGAACACTATATTCATTAGTACCCAAAGGATTACCACGATAGAGCTAGAGTATATCAAGATCGACAGCAAGATTAGCGGACTAGATAGAAAATACTCACCGTCACAGTAAGGCTTAGAGTCAAAACAGCCTCTCACGAGCGAACCGTCAATATCTAGCAACGGCAAGGCTTTCATTGGCTCCATGCTAGCCTACACAGACATTATTTAAAACAAAGGCACCCGAATACAGTCCTATATATTCATATCATCGCGCCACGATTGTCAGCCCTCACCAATGGTCAAATAGCCGTCACGAGCACACAGAGGATCAATCTTATCACAAATTTATAAGCAGAATAAAGCAGCGCATCCGCACCCTCTGCTTCCAAGCACAGCAAGTCAATTCCACCAAACCCAACAACATCTTTCCCCAGGCTAGAAGCAAGCACCCTTATTTCCGAGAACTAACGACCGGGGACAGAGACGCAGGGGCTGGCGAACTACCTGGCCGCTGTGAGCAAGCCAGTTTCTTCTTCGCAATGTTGTACCAGACTAAGAAGCCATATTAATATCAACATCGGTGTTCTACTCACCGCAAGTCCAATACGGTGATAATCCACGCCAACACGACACTACAACACTACCCAACATCATCGCAAAGCGATACCACTCCCCACCAATGCATCTAACCACTGGTTCCGCTACAGCCCACCACGAGCACCCAAACACACGTACAGTACTCCTAGCCGAATAATGTGGCTCAAAGCCAGGTATCTTCTGGTGAACCAACAGAATGATTTTTCGCTACAGTTGCTACTGCGCTTCAAACCAGCTCAACGAGTAACGAGGATCACTCTGCTTTTATTTTGTTCTCGCCTTCACCCGTTTAGCTCGTTGCTCTTCCTCCCCGGCACACTCACAAAAAGGCCTACGCCGCTCCGATCAACATCCAAGCCCGACCGCTCAAACGCTTCTGCACCGAGAGACAGAAAGCGTGACACGCGCTCAGTTGCGGTAAAGCAGTACGAAGACGAGGTTTTACAGCAAGCAGGCCACGAGGATGGTAGACCTTGGCTACGTATGGTCTCGTCGGCGAAAGTGCTCGACAGACCTCAAGACAAAGGATTGAGAAAGTACAAATTGTAAGCTATCCGTTCTCCTGAACGTTGCGCACAGTTTCCATCCTTGTTGGTTCAATCTACCTTTTGAATCAACTGGGAGATGGTGAACTCGAGCGCTGCGTCGAATCGATCATCCAAAAACAATATGACGTAACAGGTGGAGGAGGACGGGAGGACGTCGAGGCCTGGTTTCAGGCCGTCGCGTCAATCAGGCCCGAACACTTTGCACGCGCTTCCTGGCGCGCTTCGCTGACTCGTGCGCTTTACTAGGCAAATTGCGTCTAGCTCCTAGGTCCAACTGTCACGAGCGCGACGCATCAGAACCACGAGAATCAACACCGCGCGCCGACGTGCCTTCCAGCTATCATTGCAGCAAAACCCCTTGCCTCCCTCTCAAGGTTCGCGATTCCTGTGCTTGTCAAAAACTTTACCGCCACCGCTCGTTCATCAATTGAACCATCCCGCCGCGCCGCGCCAGCTGCACGAACGCGACGTGCATCATGTCGACACCCTCCGCAAACAGGCGGGTTTACATGGACTCCCCGCTTGCCAGCGGAGCTCCCACGAGCCCCTCCAAGTCTTCTGGAAGACGCGCGCTTGGAGAGATTACTCCGAACGCGAAGATATCACAGATCAAGTCGAGCATCGCGCCCGGGAAATCGACGACGCCATTGAACCTTAGCCCGCTCAAGCAAACCTACACGGCGCCTTCCATTGCAGACGAGGATGTTATCACAAGCGCGCAGCAGCCATTGACACAGTCTGTGGGCCGGAAAAGATCAATACACGAGATTGACGGCGCAGGCGCGCGCGAGAACGCGAGTGGAGCAGCGCAAAGCAAGCGTCGCGCGGGGTACCTGGAGGCACAACCAACTGGCATGCTTCGCCATGACATGACTCCGAGCCTTGTATGAAGCCATCGAAGCATGGGGGAGCTGCAACCGCTAATAATCGCGTCGCAGGCCGCGCAGACTGGCGACCTAGCCAACAGGGACGAGGAAGGCTCCTCTACTGATGAAGACACCATCGATGAGCCGCCAACGACCCAGCAGACCACCGGGACCAGAGCGTCCTTCTCCTCGCTCATCGACTACAATCCCGTCTCTTCTCAGCAAGCTTCGTCGTCTCCGCCTCTGCCGGCCACCACTATCAAGACAAACCCCGTCAAGACAGTACGTGAACCACTGGACGAGAGGGAATCTATAATCCGGTCTGTTAAGGCACGAAAGCAGCAAGCCGAAACGCTTCGTCTCCGCCTGCGCGTTGCGCTATACAAGGTCAAGACGAACCAGACCAGCGTGCCCATGTCGCGTCTGGAGATCCCGGAGCAATACCAACGGAAGACCACCACGCCGACCACGCAGCCCAGCGCGCCCGCACAACCGCTCCCCTCAATCACCGTCTCACCCACCAAAGTCTCCGATGGCTCGAAGCTCCTGCCGGCTCCTCTGCTACGCCCAACCCCATACTCGGCCCGCCATATCACGGAGCCTTACATGCCGTCATCGCCGCCGACCTCTGTAGGCATCGAGAGCAATGCCACGCCTAGGGCGGTGCAGAACCCGCACGACTTCGAGACGCCGGTCAACAGGCGCGGGTTTGGGCAGCTGAGCAGTCCGCCGGGCAGTGAGGAGCAGGGAGGCCGCCAGAGGGCACACACGGATTCGGATAGCTTAACGAGCAGCGTGGTCAAAGGGCGGGCAGCGAGCGGGCTGTTGGAGCTTATGCGGTCGGCGTAAGACACGGCTTTGTGCGCTACCTAAGTTCTGTGCTCGAGAGCGCGCAGGTACGGAGTAGGACGACGAGGGGAAGCATGTCTCGCGGAAGGCGGGGAAGCGTTCAACAAAGGGACGAAGGTGCATTTGGGGGCGTTTAGGGGCGCATATTCTTTCCGACATGTAGCAAGTGCATTTGCAGAGGACAAGGTCAGCGCAAGACAGCGGGGGGGCCCAAAAAACGGTGCTGTTTGTTTTAGTTACCTACTCGCAAAGGCAGGCGAGCGAATGGGCAGCCCGCGACAGCACGCATTACCTTATTGCGCGCGCCGCCCCGCCGCGTCTTACTCCCTGTGTTTACTCTACTTCAACCATCGCGGCTTCCGTGGGGCAAATCGCATCATGGACGAGGCGTGCAAGGTGAAAGCTCAGGCCTTGGGCCGATGCTACCCGCGCATACGCCACGACTAGAGGCCAAGCTCCCAGGCTACTCCGTACCAGTGAGCGGGTGGGATCCACCTCCAGTCCACCTCTAACCTCACGTCTCGCGAGCTTGCGCGCGAACTCGCTTGCAAATAATGCCATGGATGCCACCACGGCCGCTCTATCGAGGGAGCGAGCGAGCCAGTCGGCCAGCCAGCCAGTCACCTCCTTCGCAAAACACTCCGCCCGCGCGCCCGCGCACACCCACGCCTACGCCCACGTCGATGCCCATGCGCGCAAACGCCCCCGCGAACGCGTCCGTCCGCCCAGACGAGGGGGATGGCCTTAGCTAATCGGGCCGCAGGGCAGGCAGGCAGGCAGCGTGCTCGCTCGTCCGCGAGAGCGCAGTCTTGCAGTGGTAGGTAGGGTAGGGCAGAAACTTGGCTGTCTGTCTGTTTGGCACAGCACCGAGCACACACACACACGCACAAACGCGGCATCGGCCTCTAAATCTCAGGACCCCCACGTGCCTGCTAGTTTGCGGTCCCGCGCTGCGGCGCTGCCGTCGCTCGGGTAGCTGTGAGGTAAGAATTACGAAATCCTGTGCGCGCGCTTCCGCGGCGTCGGGTCCGCGCTGGGGGCTGGCGAAGCACGCGAAGTGAAAGGTCGAACGTCGTTGCCCACGCCCGAGGGTTTTGGTTACGTGACTGTTTGTGCTTTGTGTGCTGCTTCTGCTGCTGCCGGCCCGGTGGGGGAAGCGGAGATTGGCGCTGGCGCTGTGGCTGTTGTGCTTGCTAGGTAGGTACTCGTGGGTATGGGTGTGCTGTGCTGGGTTGGGGGAAGTTTTGGTGGGATGGGATTGGTGTAGGTTGGGTTGGGTGGGAGGTTGCGTTGCAGGTTGCTGCGGGATGGGCGGATGTGGCGGATGGTGGATGTGAAAGGCGCTGCTGCTTTTTCTCAAGACGCGTGTCCGGTGAGATGGAAGAGACATACTACCCACTACGTACAGTACATGGTCGGCCGGGTACGGATACCTAGGGATGTTGCTTTCCCGGGCCGGCTTCCAGAGCATCCATGCCCGCCGTGCGGGGCGGGCCGGCGGTTGCGGTAGGTTGCGGTGTGCGGATGATGCGATAGGCCGGGTTGATGGTGCGTGGTATACACGTATGGCACGATGCGATGCGACGACGAGCAATTTACCTACCTAGGTACCTACATAGTGGCACGGGTAGCTGCTGGGTAGAGAGACGTCGGAGATGCACATCGTCTTATCACGTCTGTCTCATTCGCCCGGCCGGAAAGCGTTAGCGAGAGGCAAGAGAGGCTTCTGGCACACACCTCATCGACCCCACGCCAATCCGAGCCGCCGGATCGGCCAGGCACGGCAGCAGCGCGCAGATCGATTCGCCGCCGGCCTTCGTGCCATGACAAGATTCACATGTCCCCGAGCGACGCCGGCTGAGCGCATCATCGCGAAGAGAGAGAGAGACGTCGTTTGTTCGTGGGGGCGGCCAAAAAAACTGCTCTCGCTAGGTATTATTCCCCACGATAAGGATGCCCACCGACGAGGGTAAAGATCCATTTCGAGGCCGCGCTGCGCCTCAGTCCGACCCCCGAGATAACAAACCCAAACGGCGCAAGCCACCCTCGGGGCTGAGCGATGTCCCGGACCTGGGGATCCCGCGCGTTTGTTTTCGGCCCATTGGACATCCCACGCTGACTTGGCCATGGACACCTCGAAGGGCCTTATCGTTTCCACTTTCATCCCTCTACTGCCAGCCAATGCCGACCCCTAGCCCCAAGGCCCGGCCATGGTCCTCACCTCTGCTAGCCTGGTCAGAAGGTTTGTTGGCAGCCAGCTGGCTGCCCCAAGTATCCGTCCGTCGGTTTGTTTCAGGACGTCTGAGCTGAACCGCACCCACTGTTATGACTGACGGCTGCCTTCCTGATCGAACCAGGAACCTTGTTGTTTGCACGTTTCTTCTTATCTGGTGTGCAACCTTCCTCCCCTTGCCTGGGCTTTCTTCCCTTATTAAACTCCGTCAGCCGTGATATCCCTGGCCTTTGCTGATCTCTCTCTTCGTCTCACCCAGAATATCTCTTGTCTCAAGCGTCCCGGCGTCAATGTCAACAACAGCTTAGACGTTGGGTTGTCTTTTGCAAATCCGCATTTCCCCCTCGGCGGCCCTTCAATGCAATCATTTGCTCCGCACCAGCACATTTCGTTCGGGACTCTTGTCTCTCCTTCGCTAGATGTTCAATAACACGACGCAACGGCTGGTGAATCTGCCGCGCCCTTTGCCCAAGCCCGAGGCAGACTTACCGCGTGGGGAGTGCCGCTTCATCCAGCGCGAACGCGACGCGCAGACCGGCTCACGGCAGAGATGCGTTTGTCAGGGCTTCAGCCTCGACAAGCAGCAGGTGGTTGGCACGGGATGTGAGTGCGGCCATCCGGCATGGGTCCACGTCCAGCAGCCCATGGCCGCCGTCACATATGAAGAGCATGTTGCTTTGGCAGAAGAGATGCGGCGGTTCAAGCAAGAGCAGGATACGAGGCTCAAGAGCTTGCAGCTGGAACTGGTCAAGACGCAGCACGAGCTGCTCGCGCAGCGGGCACTTTATTCCGAGCGGGAGCGATTGTTCAAGGCCATCGAGGCGCGCATGTACCAGAACATGAAGGCCATGAAGATGCAGTTGGACGACAAGATGGACGGCATGATTGACCAGCAACACGCCTTTCAGAAGAAGCTCATCGACGTCGAGGATGCCACGATGGAGCACGAGATCCATTTCGAAAAGCTCGGGATTCCGGACAAAGAGCCCCCGAGCACGCTCTCCGCGGTTGCGGCGGCTCCGGCCGTTGTGTCAGCAGCTCGGTCAGCAACGGACGGCCATGTCATGCATATAGCGGCAGCAAACACGCGGGTTCGCAGCCCGGAAAAGCGCCCCCAGCCCTGGGGCGCGCGCGTCATCATGGTGCCGCACCGGATGCAACGCTTCGCGTTTGAGAGCAGCAGCAAAGCGTCCAAGCGATGCCAGTCGCGCAATCTCCACCAGGACGTCAGCTTCCCAAACACGGACAACGCGACCTTTATCGTGCACATCGACAATGCCTTCAACCACGCCCTCAAAGGCCGCCCCTGGATCCCGCTCGTGGCCACTCGTCCCCCGGACGACCCCCTCGCCCGCTTGGCCCTCAGGCCCCTGCCTGCTGACCTCGCCTCCCCTGCCCTCTGGGACCTCGCCTTCCTTCGCCGCCACTGCTTCGCGCTCGACGAGGCCCTCGGCGCCGAGGTGCTGTACATAGCGCTGCGCGACGCGGACCTGAGCTGGGACGAGATGCGCGCGCTCCCACCTTCATTAAACACAACAGCAGCAGACGAAGAGAGCGCATGGGCTCACGACGTCGAGCTCGACGCGCCGATGCTGCTGCCACCGCTGCACCAGCACCAACACCCCCGCCTCGAAGCCGACCTCATGGACGCCGCCGCGCCTCCGCCTTACGTGCACGCGTTTGCGCAGCAGCAGCGCCAGAGCAATAGCGGCGGCGGCGGCGGCGGTAATAGTGGTGCAGCCAAGCTCGCCATGGCCGACAGACTGCACACGCCCCTGGGCGTGCTCGCGGCATCCGCAGCCATCCTCGCGCCGCTGGCCAAGGTGCCCCCTCCAACACCTTCTCCCGTGGCGCCCCTCACACCAGCGCTCACGGTCTCGTCGCTGCGCAGGAGCAGCAGCAGCGTCGTGGGCGCCGGTGCTGGGCCTGTCCCTCCTCCCATTTCCATCTCTCCCGCCCCTGCACCCGCCGTCGCACCCTTATCCCTCGCGTTCACGACCGTGACCTCCTCTTCCTCCTGCTCCGACGGAGACTGCGACGGAAACGGCGACAACACCAACGACAACGACTCGGAGCACAGCCACAGAGACAAGATCCGCAAGCGCTCGCCGCCATCACTCCCACCGCCTACGGAACACCAACAAGCGGCGCGACGGCCTTCGCCCCCGTTGCGGAAACGCACCGAGCCGGTCTATTGCTCTGGCAGAAGCAAGCGCAAGATGCCGGTCCGTGGCAAACAGCGCGAGGCGCTGCAGATGCCGCGGTTTTTGCTGCCGGGGCTGTTGGGCGGGGGTGCGGGTGGGAGGTAGGTGGTGGTGTGTGGGATGTGGTGTTGAGGGAAGAGTGTTGAGGGAAGGGTTGGGGTTCTTGGGCTTGGTTGGTTTGATGGTGTTGGCGTACTGCAAGGGGGGGGTGGGGGCGCTGAGGGCGTGTTTTTTTCTGTGGCGTTGGGGTTTGGCTGTATGTGTACCGTGCCGTGCCGTAGGTACCTATCTACTTAATGCTTATTGCTTGTTATGGAAGGCTGTGGTTGTGGCTATGTGTTGCTGTTGCTGTTGCTGGTTTGTACTATTACATCCATCCATCCATCCATCCCATCCATCCCGCCCAGAAAAAACGACTCAACTCCCTCTACCTATCTATCCATCTACCTAATCCAACACAACACAGCTTATCCACATTTATTCCCACACACACACACACACACACACACACACACACACACACACACATGCACACCCCCCAAAGCAGACGCCAGATCGGGCCCAAGATCGGACGTCTGGGCTGCTGGTGTGGGTGCTGCGCTAGATGGGTGGTTGGCGTGTTGGCGTGCTGGTGGGCGGGTGTACGTGCGGGAGGGCTTGGGCTTGGGCGTGGTAGGAGGGATGTGGGAGGGTGTGTGCGTGTGCGGTGTGTGTGGTGGGTGTGGGGAGGGGGGATCTCGATCGCGTTGATCTGATTCGGGATAGGGTGGCTGCGTTGGTTGCTAGGGATGGGGGTTTTACGTATTGCGTATTGCGTGGGTGGTTGTGGTGGTGGCTGCGTTGTTGGCGGATCGGAAGTGCTGCGTGCGTGATGCGTGCGTGCGTGTGGGTGAGGATTGAGAGAGAACTGCCTTAGGTACTTTCCCATTCGAGCAAGCGGACGTCCTTCGTCTAGTACTGTGCTGCTGTCGATCTATCTATAGGTAGGTATCTATCTATTTATCTATCATATCTCGCCGTCTCCACTCCACAGCCCGAGAGCCCGTCCAGCGATCGTCTCTACCGTGCTATCGCTACTTCGGTCTTCGTATCACGGCTATCTCCCCGCCTCGCTACTTCTCTCCACCTCCCCCTCCGTCTCCACCGCCACTGTCACAGCCGGCCGCCGCGCCCCGCGCCACAGTACGGATTACGGAGTACGCTTATCACAGCCCACGACGAACAAACAACCCACGCGCCCACCATGCCGTACAACACCACACCACCACACGCACGCGCCAGAACAGCACCAGCACCGCGCACACACGTCCACGCTTTGCATAACTAACCAGCTAGGTAGTCAAGCTACGCAAGCGTGCGCGCGCGCATACACGTCCGACCGTGCGTGCATGCATGCTTGCATATATACGCCTGCATACCGATGACGCATTCCCTCGCCTCGCTGCTAGTGATCTACGCGCCTCCCGCCCGCGCTGGCTGGCGAGCTAGCTGGGGCGCGGGCGTGCCTATGGCGATAAGCGTGCGGGCGTGATATCCTAGAGGAGAGGGCGGAAGAGAGTTGATCGGTTCGGCGAGGTTTCAGTGCTGGCTGATAGGATGGATCTGATGACTGTGTGGGTGGGTTGTGGAGGACTAGGACTGGGTGCTGTTGTGTGACGTCCGGCTGTGCGTGTGTGCATGGGCAACGGGCGAGGGGCGTGGGAGGAGGTGTGGTGGCTACCCCGACCACGCGCTCATGGCTGCAGAGGCAAGTAAGATAAGTGTTGCAGCGGAGTCAGCATTTCCCTTTGTCATGTTTGCTTTGGCCATGGTCGCTGCGGCCGCCTACTACCTACCTAGTGCTTGCAGGCTGGTTGGCGTGCGGCTGCTTCGCCAAAAAGAGAGGTTGGTGCGCCTCCGTGCTACAAGGTAGGTAGGCTGGCGTTGAAGCGACTGGCTGGAGTTTGCCTTGGAACCTGTTCGAGTTGCCTCGTTCGCGTGTATTTCTTCCGTCTACATTTCTGTCTGTTTATCTGTCTCTGTCTCCGGTCTCTTTATCACCATCTCTTTCGTTGTGTCTCCCTCTTCCTCTGATACCAGCAGCGCAATGTCTGCCTCCCCGCCCCCAACAGACGACAAACCCGCCCTGCACAACACGCTCACCTCCCCCCCTCCATCCCTCAAAGACAAAGACAAAGAGAACCTCTCCACCACCATCCCGCTCTCACCCACCCCCACAAGCGCCTCCCTCACAGCAGGCACCGTCAGCGACCCCACAGCCCCGCACCCCAACGAGACGCGCCTCGCCCTCAAGTTCGACACGCGGCTGCTGCCCCTCCTCGCGCTCATGTACCTCTGCAACGCGCTGGACAAGGGCAACCTGGGCAACGCCAAAACCGCCGGCCTCGAAAACGACCTCCACCTCAAACCCGGCCAGTACAACACGCTGCTCTCCGTCTTCTTCGTCCCGTACGTCGTCTTTGCGCCGCCCATCGCGTTCGTGGGCAAGCGCCTGGGCCCCGCCGTCGTGCTGCCCGTGCTCATGGCCTGTTTTGGCAGTATGACGCTTGTGGGGGCCGCAGTGAAGGGGTTTGGGGGGCTGATGGCCGTGCGCTGGTTTCTGGGTGAGTGTGTGTGTGGATGCATGGGATGGGATGGGATGGGATGGGATGCGGCTGATGGCGTACAGGCATGGCTGAGAGCGCTTTCTTCCCCCTCGTCATCTACTACCTCACGACGTTCTATCGCAGGGCCGAGCTAGCGCGCCGCCTGGCCCTCTTCTACGCCGCCTCGAACATCGCCAACGCCTTCTCCGGCCTGCTGGCCTTTGGCGTCTTCCGTGCGTAGCACTGCCGCCTTTGCACATGGATACACACACATGGGGCTAACACGCCGCCGCGGCAGAAATCAACTCAAGCCTGCAGCGCTGGCGCTACCTCTTCATAATCGAAGGCGCAGCCACCGTCCTCTTCTCCCTCCTCGCCTTCCTCTACCTCCCGCGCACAGCACGCAGCGCGCGCTTCCTTTCGCCGGGCGAGCGCGCCCTCGCGCACCGGCGCATCCAGCAAGACTCGTCGGCGATCGTGAACGAGCCGTTCGACCTGCGCTCCGCGCTGCGCATCTTCGCGCACCCAACCACCTACGCCTTCCTCGTGCTCGAGCTCTGCGTCGGCGTCCCCCTGCAATCCGTCGCCCTCTTCCTCCCCCAGATAATCGCCCGCCTCTCCCCCGCCTCCGCCGTGCACACGAACCTCCTGACCGTGGCGCCCAACGCCGTCGGCGCGCTCGTGCTGCTCCTCCTCGCCTTCGCGAGCGACCTCGCCCGCTGCCGCGCCCCGTTCATCGCGCTCGGCTTCAGTCTCACCTGCGCGGGCTTCGCGGCGTACGCGGCCATGGACGCGACCGCCCACCCGCGCGCCGCCTACTTCGCCTGCTTCCTCATGACGTGGGGCACGGCCGCCCCGTCCGTGCTGCTCTCGACGTGGTACAGCAACAACGTCGCGCACGAGGGGCGGCGCGTCGCGCTGACGAGCGTGGGCGTGCCGCTCGCGAACCTGATGGGCCTGGTCAGCTCGAATGTTTTCCGCGAGAGGGACGCGCCGGGCTATCTGCCCGCGCTGGCGACGACGGCGGGGTTTGGCGCGCTGGGCGCGCTGGTGGCGCTGGGGTTGGGCGCGTTTATGCGCTGGGATAATGGGAGGAGGGATCGGCGGGAGGGCGTGAGGAGGAGGGTGAGGGATGTGTCGACGGAGCGGCTGAGGGACGGGCCGTGGGGGAGTGAGTTTCGGTGGTTTTTGTAGGGGACGGTGCTCCTTGGGTCCTTCCCTTGCGGCCTCCTTCCCCTCTGTCGAAGAGAAGAATAAAGAAATGAAAATAAAAATAAAAATAAAAGGAATCCACCACCAATCACCAAGACTCAGCTCGCACCGCGCCAACACGGCACGTCCAGTCTCGTACCGCACAGTACAGCACCTGCTCTCGAACCCAGACGGAGGGATCTAGAGGTCACTATTATCACCGTCACCCACGCAGAAGAGAGGAGAGGAAAGAGACGAGAGAGGGATGTCGAAGGTATATATACCTTGTCCAGTTCTATTTGTTAGAATTATCCGTCTACGTAGGAGTACTTACTGTGTGTAACTGCTCAGTGCATGATGTGGTGTGGCGAGGGAATGGGGACTGGATACAGGTAGTATATGTATGGCTGAGCAAACGAACGTACCTACCTACCTACCTCCCCCTCCACACCTATCTACACCCCTCCTTCTCCCCCCAACCCCACAAACGCCCAATACCTGCGACACCACGCCCTCACCGCGTCAACAAACCTCTCCAACTCCGCCCGCTCCGTCCCCAGCACCAACGCCAGCATCCCGCGCCGCGACACCCAAAACCCCTGCTCCAGCATCTCGAGCCAAAACAGCTCTTTCAAATCCTCTCGTTCCACTACCTCGTCTTTGCGCACCAAGTCCCTCGCACCAGCATCGCTCACATGCAGCGCGACCACGCTCCCGCACCCCGTCCACGTCGCCCTCGTGCCCTCCGTCGCCGTCCGCAGCTGCGCTAGCACCTCCTCCCCAAGCCGGCTGTGCGCCGCGCACGCCGCGGGCGTGTATACTGCGCTTAGCCCCGCATGCCCCGCCGCCAGCGCGAGCGTGTTGTTGTTGAAGGTGCCGGAGTGGGCGAGCGCCCCGGGCGCGCGCGGATCGAACACGCCCATGACGTCCGCCCGCCCGCCGAAGGCCCCGAACGCCAGGCCCCCGCCGAGATACTTCCCGAGCACGACGAGGTCGGGCGCCAGCCCCAGCGCCTCCCGCAAGCCCCCCGGCGCAAACCGCGACGTCATCACCTCGTCGAGCACGAGCAGCGCGCCGGCCGCGCGGGCTGCGCTTTGCAGCGCGTGCAGGAAATCGCGGCGACCGGGAATGCACCCGCCCGCGCCTTGCATGGGCTCGACGAGCACGGCCGCCAGCTCGGCGCCGTGGGATGCGATGGCCGCACACGCTGCCTCGGTGTCGTTATACGGCGCGACTATAAAGTCGTCTCTATCCACCGTATTCGCCGCCGGCGTGCCATCCGCAAAACTCAGCACGCCCCCATGATACGCCCCCTTGAACACGACGACGCGGCGGCGACGCGTAAACGCGCGCGCAGCACCCAGCGCATGCAGATTCGCCTCGGTGCCCGAATTGCAAAACCGCACGCGCTGCAGCGCGAAGCGCTCGCACAGCAGAGCGGCATAGCGCGCCTCTTGCGCCGTCGTCCCGCCCAGCGTCACGCCCACGTCGTCGAGCGTGCTGTGCACGGCTGCGCGCAGCACGGGGTGCGTGTGCCCGTAGAGGCCGGCTGTCAGCTCGCCGACCAGGTCCGTGTACGTGTGGTTGTCGACGTCTGTGACGGACGCGGAGTGCCCTGAGGACAGGCAGAGTGGGAATGGTGACGTGTGTAAGAGTGTGCGCGTGTTGCCGCCGGGGAGGCTGGCCGTGGCTATGGTGTGTTGGCGCTGTGAGAGCGGGTTGCGCGCGATGTAGCGGGCGCGCGCGGCGGCGAGGGCGGTCGGCACGTCCGGGTGGGGGGTTTTGTCGTCTGTGGTGGAGGAGGCGGCGTGTTCAGCTGCCGTGGAGTCTGGGGCCGTGGTGAATGCCATTGTTGTGGTGGATGAAGGATGGAGAGGGCATGCTGTCTGCGGCGGACGAGTGCAGTGCCTAAGTACCCAAAATTTGTAGGAATGAGGAGGAGTGCTTCGGTTGGGATATGTTGGGCCTATCGACGACGTTGTTGACGTCTGTCCGCGTCGGCCGATTCCGGCCCCCCCGCGGTCCCCGCGTCTCACCCCACACCTGCATCGCGCGGGGCACGCCAATCGACGACCATTCACCAACCATCTCCATCGCCGCACAACTCTTCATTGTCAAACACTGCCGAATAAGAATTGTCTTCTCTGTACAAACACAGCTCAGATGGACACGCGTCCACTCGCTCCAAACGCCCGCTAACCCAGAAATAAACTAACGCAAAAGGTCACCCTACCTACACAGTAGCATGCAGCGGCCGCGGCCTGAATTTGGTGTTAAAATCCAGCTGCCTGATAAACCACGCATTATGCGTGCGCCACGGCCTCTCCGGGTTCTCCAGTTCGATCTGCAGCACACACGATTCGTCAGCATCAACTCAACAACTCCTCCAACAAGATAGAGCAAAACTTACCTCGAACCTCCGCAAAAAGCTCGGCACCAGCTTGTAGATCTCCAACAAGCTAATGTTCTTGCCAATGCACGTCCTGGCCCCAGCACCAAACTGAAACATCGTAGCCTTCATCTCCTTCAACTGCGCCGGGCCGGCCTCCAGCCACCGCTCCGGCCTAAACACATCGACGTCCTGCCCGAACACCTCGGGCCGCCGGTGCAGCGCCCACGCGCTACAGCCCACGATGGTGCCGCCGGGGACAAAACGGCCGCATATCTCGATGCCCTGGCGGGGGACGACGCGCTCGAGGATCAATCCCGCAGCGGGGTGCATGCGGAAGCTCTCCTGCACGACGGCATCCAGATACGGGAGCTTCTGCGCCTCGGTCCAGGACACGGACCCATTGGCCCGGTCCTGGATCGTGCCGTTGCGGACTGCTTCGTCCAGCTCGGCGAGCAGCTTGGCGTGGCAGCGCGGGTTCTGCAGCAGGAAGTAAAAGACCGAGCTCAGGCTGATGGCCGTAGTTTCTGAGCCCGCGAAGACCATGCTCACACACGACGTCAATACTTGCGTGTCCGTCATGAATTCCGGGTGGTCGTGCTGCGCTTGCGTGAACTTGCTCAGCAGGTCGATGCCCTGTGACGTGGGCGAGGCCGAGAGGCCGACTTCCTTGATCTTGTCCATCTCGGCGGAGCGCTCGGCAGACCGTGACTGTGCGAACGCGGTGGCGGGGAAGACGGTGTTGAGGAAGCCCCAGCTCTGGAGGCGGAGCTTGAGGGGGTTTTTCTCGAGGAAGAGGTCAATAATGGGGATTTGGCCGACCTGGGGCATCGAATCAGTACGCAACACAACTACACTTTGCTACGAACAGAGTAGGTATGGCTTACCGGTGCGGCATAGCTCAAGAACCGCGACAGGAACCCGACAATGCCGTCGACGTCTTCGTTCTTCTCCACAAACCCTAGCCGCTTGCTCCACGTCAAGTCGCCAATGACATCGAACGCGAAGAACTGCAGCCACTGGTTAAAGTTGCACGTCTTCCCCGTCGAGGCGAATAGCTCCTGCGTGCGCTCCAGAAACACATCTGTCGTCGAGTCCACCAGCGGCTCATACGACACCAGCGAGCTCATCGCAAACGCGCCGTTCACGCACCGCCGGTACTTGGCATGGTAGTTTTCATCCACAGACGAGAACAGCGACGGCAGCCGCCGCCCCTTGGCCACTGCTTGCTGGATGGGGTAGAAATCGGACTAAAAACCACGGCACCACTGTCAGTTCAATGGTCAAAGAGTGGACTGCGTAGTGTAGTGTCTCCAAAGGCAGCACACGAACGCACCTTGGTCATGCCCTTATTGAGGCCATAGATCGTCTTGATCGCCTTTGGGTCCGAAAACGAGAGCACATTCGGCCCCAGGCGCACGACGTCGCCATACTTGCGATGCAGCGCAATATGCGTCTTCTCTGGCGCGCGACCCAGGACATCGAAGAAGCGCCAGAGATCTGAGTACGCCGCCGCCCAGTGTCCAGGGTACTGGTTCAAGCCGCGGTTGTACTTGTTGCGCAGGAGGCGCAGCACCACCAGCACAGCCAGCACAGCGGGCCAGTAGCGCGCGAGAAGGGGGAGAACGAGCTCGTTGAGCAACATGGTGGGAAAGGGTGGCTTCGTTGTTGCAGACGACTGGGGCCAGAGCGATGGAGGTACTATTTATCTCGCGCCCGGCTGTGTTGTGCCCCAACACCCGAGGCTCCCAGCTCGATGTGATGCGTGCTTGCCGTTGCCGCCTGTGCGGCACACGAGCTTAAGCTCTCCAGGCACGGCTGCCCGCAGCTGCCGTGTGCGCGCCATGGCCAACCATTCGTGCCAGTGCGGTTGGCGGACCACTGGCAGTGGTCTAGCCGGCCCTGATGCGTGCTGCTACTGACGCGGCAGCGGTTGATAGAGGCACGCATGACGGGCTACGATCAGAGATGATCAGAGATGCATGCTCGGCAGTTGAGGCTCGGAGACGTTGCGGGCGATGACGAGCGCCTTTGTGGGGTAGTTCTCTTGCCCCATGCGGTCAAGCGCCTTGTCCGTACCCCGTCTTACCCCACACGCGGGCCCCGCGCGATCTGAGTCGTTGCCGTCAGGCCGTCGGCCCCTGTCGTGTCCGCCAATTGTAATAGCACTAACGTGCGTTTTTCGCTTTCGGCCGCTTTGCTTCGTTGGTTTTTTTGTTACTGCGCTCGCCCTGTTGCAGATAGATGCCAGCGTGTGCGGAATGCGCTACGGTGAGTGAAAGGGAAGAGGGATGGGTAGGCGAGCGCGTTCGCCGAGCTCAAGTGCCGTGTGCCGTGTGCGCCGGTCTTGTTGCGTGTGTGCGGTGTGCGTCGGCAGTTGGGGGTCGGCTTTGGGAGGTATCGCGTACGGTGACTTAGCGGTGCCAGGATAGTGCTGCTGCGCTGCGCTGCTTATCTCGAAGACTGCGACGACGATGATGATGACAGAGAGCGAGCGTGCGCTGCTGGGTGGTGGTTTCGGATCGCTGTTTTTGCGAGGGTGAGTAGGCACACGGCGAGATAGAAACGGTAACTGCTCGGCGGTTAGTGCCTTCCATATCGGTCGTCCCTCCCTTTCTTCCTTCCTTCCTTCGTTCCTTTCTTCCTTCCTTCTTTGCCGTTGCTAAAACAATCAAGACACCACAGCTTAAGCAGCCATACACCCGTTCGCCTCTTGCACGCCCCGAGAAACAAAGCTAAGAACGAACATCACCATGACCTGCACGCAGGTGTCTCCGGCTGAGCCTCACCGCACCAGAGCGTGTTCCGCGTGATCGGTCGCTCGGTGCAGGAGGGCTGACCGGTCGGTCGGTCAGGGGGGCCGGGCGTGCGGTGCGATCGATGGAGGTGGTTGACTGGTCCCTTTTGGTGTGGATTATATGGTAAGTGGTTTGTTTTGGGGGCGGTGTGGCTGTAAAGATTAAAGAGATGGAACGTAGAGGGAACGAGATGTTGCTTTGATGAAGGGCATGACAATTTACTGCATTGTTTTGTCTGTCAGTGTTGCACCATGAGAAACCTCTGGCTTTCTACTACCTCTTAGGCCCAGCAAACTACTCGGTCTACTCCTAACACCGCCTTGGCTTGCAGCGAGTACGACAGTTAGCTGGCCAGTTCTCCAGAAGTTTGCTCTCGCATTCATGAGCCCCTTCTCAGCATACACGGAGAGTGGGTAAACTTTCTCTAACCTAAAGGTCCTTAAGTTAAACTAGCTTAAACTTAGTTTCTGGTTCTCCTAGATAAGAAACGCCTATTTCGCCGATAGCTTCTACCCGCGTTACGTCCGTAAGGGTAGATATAACTCCTTTAGACTTAATATCCTACCTCTTCTATCGAGAGCACAAGCACCTAAACGTACCCGGACGGTCACGTTTCAAACCCAGCTATGGCCGATTGCTCCACCTGGTGATGGTCATCACCGGCTGTTTGTTATGAAGCTGAGTATCGTTAGGTTGGGGCGATGAACGTTGGTGTTTGAAATATTGGCGCGTAGGTGATAGGTAAGTAGAAAATAAAAATGCTGAGTAAGTTGCGGTTTGTGAGGCCACGGAGATATGGGAAGTTGCTTTTTTCTTGCTTGGGACGCGGTTGTTTTATATCTCGATGGGTGTTGCAGGCGATCCAGAACTTAAGACCGCATATATTAACTGCATCATCTTCATGTAAACTTCATCGGCCACACCTATCTTCAAGGATTGGGGCTTGAAGTTACTTTTAGTTTTTCCTCTTCTGCTTGTTGCTCTCCCGCGGCCATTTAGCTTTGATTTGAATAGCCACGGCACGAATGACCGTAACTTTTATAGTCCTTATTTTCCCCTTACTGGAAATAAGTCAGTGTAAGTCAGTTTCACCGTTAAAATCATTAAAGATGCATCACTTGTTATCACTAGGTAAAGATCATCGCAAATTTTTTTGTATTTTTCTATATTTTCTCCTTTTTTTTTTTTTTTTGTGTTTTCTCGGTCTTTTATATCAACCTTCGCAGTGGCTAGTCTTCAACTATATTGCTCGGTTGGCGACTCTTAAATCCGGTGTCGTCAAGAAGCTTGTCATTCCATGAAATACTCAGGTAAAAGAATCATCGAATATCAAAAAAGTCAAAGTCGCAAACCTCCCCAACCGAATCACTCAAAATTCAATCAGTCTCATACTCTAGTGGCTGGTGAAAACAACAGGAGTACTGCTCAATCTCGAAGGTCATGAGAGTCTGCAGAGGGCAGGGGTAGAAGGACCACCTAATGCGCCTCAGCCGAGTCCTCCTCACAGGCCTTCGCCTTCGCCTTCGCGAGACGAGATGCCTCAATCCGCGCCTGGTGCTTCCCAGCCTTGATACGACGGTTTTCCTCACGCTGCGCGGCCCGCACCTGCTCCTTCTCGGCCTTCCTGCGTTGAGACGCCTCTATGTTCACCTGAATGCGCGCCTGCTTCTCAACCATCTCCTGCACACCCTTGGCGATAACGGCTGCGAATGCTTCCTTGTTCTCATCATCACCGTTGAGGTATGTGTGAACTTCCTCCAGGAGCAAGTCCTTGGAATTCCAGGCGGAGGCAATCGAGGTGAGAGCTGTGACAAATGGGCCGTCAGGTGGGTAGACCGTCACCATGTCTTTGACCAATTGCGCCGTCAAACTCTTTGCGCCATTTCTGGGCCAGATGGACCATTGTGCGGGCGCAATATAAACGCTACCGATCTCCAGGAAATTTGCCACACGGAGCGCCCTCATAGTCTGATAGGTCGTCGGGCAGGGCGGCATGCCGTACGCCTTTGGTACCTTGCAGGCGCCAACTAGCCAATTGACAAAATAGAGGACGGCAGAATCAGTGTGCTCCGAGGGAAGCTCCACAGTGACTGGCCCACTCTTGGTAAGGTCCTTGTAGGTAGAGACTGCCAAAAGTAGGCGCTTCGGTATGGTGATCGGCGGAAGGTCAGGCGAAGCCTCGAACGTTATGGTGACGTTGGGGCCAGGGCCCTCGAGAAGGTCGAGGCGGGATTCTTGTGTCCGCTGGAGGAAGGTGTACGGACTGAAATCCTCGTCCGATATGTCCGACATGTTGTCCGACATGATTGTGAACGCAATGCTTGTGTGGGTTACTGAGAACGAGTGGGTGTGATAGTTGAAGAAGGTAGATCGAGTGATCTGATGCTGTAGAATATGGTTATGAATATGAGTGTCATAATGTAGGTATTTGTATATGTGAAGGCGGGTGGCTAGTTCTAAGACATGTTTAATTGTTTTCGAACAATGTGATAGTAAAGAGGGGGAGGAAGCCAAGGAGACTGATAACATTAGGGGCAACATTGTATGTTAAAGGCATTTCTTCTAGATGTTTCTATCTTTTTCGATATTCATTAACTGGTTGTGTGATCCATATGCATATACTCTCAAATTCAATCACCTACGACCTACGTCATGATATAGGCTTTCTTCCGATTTAAACTTACCGTCAGTGTCGCACTATCCGACCGCATTTTATCATAGCCCGACGGTATTAAGCAGTGACTAAATATTTTGGCAAGGTAACTCAATCGACATCAATCCAAAATGTACTCATGTGTAGCTGTAGCAACACGAACAAAAAGAAAAAATACAACGCCGTTAGTTATAAATTAGGTCCCAAGCAAGCTTCTATCAGAAATTTCAAACATAAGAATCAACTCGTGGTACAGAAGGAGTACTGTTTTAATGAGTTACGCCAAGTGATACTGAATTTCGGAGAAGGAAACTGGTTACATTTGACATAGAGGTAATCAGAAATGCCGTCAAGCTTAGGTAAAGCCACCACGGCAAATTCACCGGTTGCTTCGTAGTATTTGGGTAAACCCATCACCTGAGTTTATCAGCGCGATTGTCGAGACACTGTCAGTGATTCAGTGGTCTTGGTTCTCTTTCAGTTCTTAGTATTGACGTGCTCCAGAACACTTGCATAATCTTGAAGTTGCTTTGTTTATAGCTAGCTGTAGACAAACAAGCGCCTACAACGTGGCGCTCCATAAGCGGTGGAAGTTTCTATCGTAGCAACCAGAACTGAAAGCAGTCCAAGCCGCATGCAAAGAAGCAAACAAGCAAATACGTGGCTAGCAAATCACTCAGTGGTCTATAAAAGACCGCAGGGTACAGCACCATCATCGCGCAAGTATACGCTTGTCACTTACGCTCAATAACCGGCTGTCTCCAGGAAACACCGTATATACTTGCACCATTTCAAGACCCATACTCGAAACATGATCTTCGAAGGCGAATACCTACCTTCTAGAATGCTAGCAAACTTAGCAGGTGGTCTTCTACACATCGGTGATGCTGAGCATTCTAGAATGGCAACAGTACACTCAAGGACTTCTTGAGAGCGCGTCCGCTTACCTTGATTCGCACCCCTCCCAACACCAAAGTAACCAAACTAAAGGACAAGTTGTGGCTGCGGCTACGAAGGCCAAGCTTTGGGCTTGCATCGACTCTCTGGACGACAAGAAGATCGAAGGCGGCAATTACATACGCGGCTCTCGTAAGAGCAGCACGGTAGACATTCCAGCTATGGACTACCACCTAGATAAGGAGCATACTATCTAGAGGTCCGTCGACGATGGAGAATTCAAGGCTGGTGTTACCTACTACTAGTTCTCGCTCCAAGCAAAGAAGGGAAGGACCGGCAAGGGTAGCAAGCGCAGTAAGGCTACCGATAAGAAAAGCCATAGTAACGCTAAGGACATTCGAAGCAGTGGTACTGGTAGCACCTACGCCGCCATCTTCGTGTCCAGCGCCCTCGAGAACAAGCCACCGTCCCGCCAAGTTGTTTTATGACATTGATCCTTGTTAAAAGCTTGCTTCCCACATTGTTCCTTAACATGTATTCTCGCTTCGTGGCACCACATGCATATATAAACGCACTGATTTCTCCCTCTGCTGCCCTTTCCTTCTCCTCCAACAACTTTCAGTACGAAGACACCGCGACCGCCAGCTTCTGAACACTCAAACACCGACGTCGGATCGACTTAAACGTACAAAAAAACTTCACACAATCGACTTACAATGGCCGGAAACTCTTCCTCGAACATGACCGCTGGCAAGGCCAACACTGGTCTCACTTTCAACTTCTTCAATATGACTCGTCGGGAGCTTGCGGAGTTGTTCAGTGGCAATACGGTCACACTGGTTGTCGACACCAGCGGAACACAGCGCTGTCTCACAGTACACGCCAAGATGCTCGAGGCCCTCACCGTGAAGACCCACGTTGTCACTGACAACAAGCTCGTCTTCAGGGATGTCGCCTCAGCTGCTGTTAAGGTGTTGGTTGACTGGATGGTCACTATCTGCAAGACTGGAAACATCTTCAAAGTTCCTGTGCAGAACACGTTCGGAAAGAACGTGATGCTGATGAAGGCTGCCCTGGAGCTCGGCATCGCCGATGCCGAAAACACCATCTGGCAACACCTCAAGTCGGACGTCTGTCGCCTCGAATTCGAGGCTGAACATCTTGCGGTCATGAACACCGCCTTCGACAGGAACTCACGTATCGTCAACCATGTCGCTGCTAACCTTGAGTGGATGCAGCACACTTACGGCCTTGCGGATAGCGCTAATGCCTACCTCCTGTCCCACCCGGGCTTCGCCGCCCTAGTCAACGAGAAGCGCTATGAGCGTATACAAAAGCAAAAGGCGAAGCGCGCTGCGGCTAAGGCTGTGAATACACAGGTTCCAACTGCTCGCTATGGATACCGTTGAGTCGATAGTGTTCAACGACGAGATCGGTAGACTGCCGAGGAATCCCTGGAGCTGATTTCTGTTCTTTCTTGCTGGAGGGTTGGTATACTACTGCTCTTGAGTGAATCCTGCGGTTGATTCTTGGTTATCCTTTGGTAGGTGGGGGTTTGTTTGGACTGCGACTTTCCTTTCCTTCCCCTTTTCGGCATAAAAAAAAAAAAAAAATAATAATAATAATAATAATAAAATAAAAATTGAGAAATTGACTTTTGTACTACAACTTGACTTGACTTGATCCCTCATGACCCCAGCCCCATACATACACATGCAGTGAAGCACCACCTGGACGAGACCTTCATAAAGCCATGCATCACAGCAGGGCGAGCATCAACACCGCACGCACACTCACGCCCAACAACCCACCCAGACCAAAAACATCATAAATATAACTATAAACCTCCCTCCCAACACCAAAGCAACCAATCAAACCAGTCATGATCCATGACCCATCGCAATCATAAATGCCAATTGCCAACAACTAAACCCCACATGATCGGTACGATACGGTACGTCAAACTAATCCACCCGTTCGCAGCTCGCTGGGTATTACGCTTCTGCCACACAACCTGACTTGTCGACTTGCTTGGTAACAAAGGAAGAAAGAAGTTAAGAGCAAAAGATAAAGGAATCAGAATAAAGAACAAGGGCCAACGAAACAAAGCCACCGCTCAAGAGCGGAGGCGGATAGCCAGCAACCTAGCCAGCAACCTAGCTCACTGCCTGCAGTAGCTAAACTACGTAGCCAACCCCCAGCCCAGCCTAGCCTAGACAGTGCGTACCGGATATAGCACAATGTAGACAAGAAGAGCCTAAAAACTTAGAAAGTGTAAAAACAGACTCATAAAGAAAAGAGAATAAGAAGAGGAAGAATGACAACGCGATGCCATTACCATTACTCCCATTCCCAGACCCAACCCCACCACCACAGCATTAACGCCACCTCCGCAGTCCAATCTCAAGCAGCAGCAATCGCAAAAACACCACCAACAAGAGCACGAACAAAAGCAATAGCAATAGCAAAATAGCGCTAACAAAACAACCCAAACAAGCCAGCATAAAGTCATCAGGACAGCCCCCAACTCCAACTCCAACTCCAACTCCTTCCTCGCGAGTCCCGCCTTCGACTTCGATGTCGATGTCGAGGTCTTGATCTTGATCTTGGTCTTCTGTCGTAATCCTTTCCCAGTCCATCCTATCCTTAATCCAAATTCCTGTTCCCACTCCAATCCCTGTTCCTATTCCTGTTCTTGTCCCATTCCCAATCCCCTATCCCAATTCTGTCCCCGTGACTCTAGCACCTATCCCTACCTCCTTTCCTTTCCTCTCCGCACCGCTCCATACCGCTCCACTCCACTCCACTCCAGTCCAGTCCTCGCGTATAGAGTCGAATAGAGCCGAACAACAGGCGCAAGCACAAGCGCAAGCGCAAGCATAAGCATAAGAATAGAGTCTTGCCTATCCAGCCTGCCTAGCCTGACAGGTTGACCTCGGTACACACCAACCCCAACCCCCAACCCGCAACGCAGACCCTCGCAGACCCTTCCGTCGTCCCCATCGTCGTCCTCATCGTCATTTCCGTCGTGACGCATGACATGACATGACATGACATGGCATGGCGTGTACTGTAGCCGCTAGCTATGCAGCAGCAGTGAAAAAGTGAGTCGGGTAGAGATGGACCAACCCTGCAGCGCAGGAAAGAAACACCAATAATCCCCAAAAGAAAAGGAAAGAAAGAAGTAAGAAGAAAGAAGAAAGAAGACCCTCTCCTCTCCCCCACAAACCCCACCCCCACAGTCCCCAAGCTCATTTAACACTCAGTCCCGCCCCCCTCTGCAACCCCGGATGCACATGCCCATGGCCATGATGACCCGGCACCGCCCCCCGTGGAACCTCAACCCGCACATAAGCCGCCCCACCGCCATCACGAAGCCCGCCCTTGCCCGCTCCCGCACCCGCCCCGGCCCCTGCCGTCGGTGGAGGCGCCCACCTGACATCCTCCGGCCCCACTCTACGCGCGTACGCGACGTCGTCGCGGCCGAAACTGCCGCCGCTGCCTCTGCTGAGCAGCTCGGGGCGCGAGAGCGGCGGCTCCGTCCGCTTCAAAGGCGTGCTAAGCGGCTCGCCCGCGTGCTTTGGGATCGGGATCGGGATCGCGCGGTCGTATGTGTCGGTGTAGTCGTAGTCGAGGTAGTCGAAGTCTCTGTCCCTGTCGCGGGCGGAGTGGCGGGCGCGGCCGCGGTCCCGATCCCGGTCACGCGATGGCGAGCGCGCTGCTGTTGCTGTTCTGCGCGTGCTGGAGGAGCCGCGCGGCGTGTATGTGTATGTACGGGTTGTAGGCGGGGGTCTGCGGTCGCGGGGGCGGGAGTCGCGGTCACGGTCTCGGTCACGGTCACGGTCGTCGCGGACGGGGTCGCGGTCGCGAGCGCGGTGGTCTGGGTCTGAGCGCTTGTGGCGGACTGGGCTGGTGGTTGTGCTGCGTTTTGGTGCCGTGGTGGTGCCGGTGGATGCCTTGGGCGGCGGCTCGTGGACGACGGTGCGGTAGCCGTCCTCGACGCTGATGGGGATGGGTACGGGGTGCAGCTTGACGCCTCCGCCTTCGGCCGGCGCTGTCGTGTAGCGGTATGCTTTGGTTGAGAGGGGGTGGTTTTCGCAGTCACGGTCGCGGTCGCGTCCGCGTTCGCGTTCACGCTGCTCGCGGTCAGATGTTGTGGGCGTGTTGGGCGAAGATGATGAGTAGCCCGAGTCGTGCAATTCTGTACGGATCTTGGCAGCGCCGCGGACTCTCGAGGAGGAGGGGCTCTGCTTCGAGTAAGTACCCGTGATGGGCATGGTCTCAGCGCGGCGGATGCCAATGGGTGGCGGCGGAGGGTCGTCACGCGTTGCGTAGGAAGAGTCCATGGTCGCGGAGCGCTCGGGAGGCATGCGCGAAGACACCCTCGGGGCGGCGGGCGAGGATTCGAATTTCTCGAGCGACGGGCGCTGGCGCGTCCGCGTATCTTCAGGGATCTCGGGCATGGAGCCTTTGCGATCACGGCGCGGGCCCGAGCCGTGGCGCACGCTTTCGAAGATGCGGGCACTGGGCCGATCCGAGGTACGGCGAACAATGGTGGGCCGGTCGGAGCTCTTGCGGCGGACTTGCTCATAGTTGGAGCTGGAGCGTGTGGCCGAGGGTCTACCGTCTCTGTCCCTGCTACCATCGACCCGTGACATGTACTCCATCGCGTCCTTTTCCTTTCCTCTGTACGAACTGCCGCCTCGATCGTAGGGATCCTCCCTCTGCCCCTTTGATGCCCGCCGCGCAGCCTCTTCGACGTCTCTCCGCCGTGCCTCCCTCCTCTCCTCTTCAGCCCGCTCGCGCAATCTCTCCGCATTCTTTTGCATCTCCACATTCTTACGTCGCTCCTCTTCCTCATACATTGCCTCCTCGTTCTTCCGGCGCCGATGCTCCTCGTACCGGCGGTACTCGTCCGAATCGTCGGTATCGCCGTACGAACTCTTTTCCCTGCGTCCCCTCGTCCTGTCCTGATCCCTCGTCTTCGCAGCCCGAACCCGCTCGCTCTCCGGCGAGACTCTCACCCGCTCACGGACTGAGGATCGCCGAGGCGATGTGCGCCTACCATCACCAGCAAACGCATACTTTGAGCTCCTCCGCGCGCGATCGTAGTAATCATCATCGTCGTCGTCATCATAGTCAGCACGCGCGCGCGCGCGGGGCGGCTCGTCGTAAGCGCGGCTGCGCGAGTAAGCGGGCGAGCGGACCTCATAAGTAGCGTCCCGACGGACCTCGACCTTGGGGCTGCCGCGACTCTGACGTTCCAGGTTCTCCCTCTTCAACTCCGCCAGTCGTACCTGCGCGTTGTACCGCTCACGCTTGTCATCGTCGCCGAGGATCTCGTATGCCTGCTGGACCTTGTGGAACTCGACGGCGGCGTCGGCCTTTTGCGCGGGGTCGGCGACCTTGTCGGGATGACATTTCAGGGCGAGTTTGCGGTATGCTGTCTTGATCTCGGTGGGCGTGGCGGCCTTGGAGACGCCTAAGGCGGCGTATGGATCCGGTGGTAGAGGTGACGCCATGGTTTAAATGGCGGAATGGAGATGATGAGGAAGAGGAGGAGGTAGATGGTGGTGGTGCAATGGAAAGGTGGAATGGCTAGCTGCTCGTCGTCATGGCATGCAGAGTGAGTGCAGCGGCGGGGAGGCTGGCGAGCGCAGGCCAGTATGTAGTATGCACTGTGGAGAAAGCGTTGACTGGAGGATGGTCTAAGCCTGCTGATTGTCCCCCACGATCGCCTCGGCCCTTGAACGTGGCAAAGCGAGAAGCGAGAGATTATTTGTTTGCGACGCCTCGCAGGGCGGCGTAAGCGACAGAAAAAGGGAGAAGGTTGAGAAGGGGCGAGTGGTGAGGCTGCGAGGCTGAGCGGCGCTGTTATGCATGCGCGCCAGGAGCGGTGAAAGTGCCGATTGCCTCTCGAGGACGGATGGAATGCTTATTGATGGTCCTTTTTTTTTTCGCTCAGCACATCCATCACACACCCTCCCATCGCTCTCCCAAATCAAACCCGCGCGCGCGCCCGCAGCGGATGTCGCGGCCACCAGCCCCATCACAGCGCCTAGCAAACACCCGTCCAATCGCACCGACTGCCCGCCTAAAACTGGAATCGCTGACAGCCATGTCCTGTCGCACACATGCCCGCTGATCAAGGGGACCGGCCGTGGTGTGACGGATGTCTGTGCCCCATGCGCCGCCGCTGCCCTCCGATCCCTCCCAGGGTTGCCGCATCTCACTTGGAAGCTGGAAGCCTCTCGCCCTTCTTCCTCCGCCGCCCCCCAGCCCCGCCAGCCCTCAGCCTCGTGTCGTTGCGTCCTGATCGCCCAGGAGTGCCACCCGCGCCTTGCCCGAAATATCCCTCATGCGTCGACAAGTCCCCATTTGTCCCGGCCCGCTGACTGCCTTCCAGGATCAGGGATCACCTGATGAAGTGGTCCGCTCCAGTGCGGGGCAAGCGGCCATACACGCCCTAGGGGTCTCCGTCGTCCTGCGCCAATCGTCCCTTGCCCTGCCTCGCAAGCTAGCCCTTTCTGCTCCACGTGGAGTCCCGCTGGCTCCGTCACGTACGTGTACCCCCATGATTGCTGCCGCGACCCCTCCGTACCGTTTCGCCGTGAGGCTTGACGCACCATGATGGCGTCGATGAGCTCACGCTGCGTGAACGCCTTTTCAGTCCCGCCGCCCTGGCCCTGTGTTTGGCCAAGACGGGAGGTCGATGTCAACTACGATCGGCTTGTTAGTACGCTTCGGATCGCCGTAGTTGTAGCTTTGTGCCTTGATTGCTGCGTTGATCACGCACGTCTCCCGTTTGCCCAGTCTACCTGATACCGCCGCCAATCTGTAGCTGTCTAGGCGAGAGATGAGCTCCCCACTGTCATACTGGCCCAATGCATTCATCGGCGACTGCGTCACGTTCTGTGAGATGATAGCATCCACCGCCTGGCTGGGCTGCGGTTGCAGACACGGCGAGCAATAGAGCGCACGAGAGGTTGGAATGACATCAACAGGAGAAGACGGCAGCGGGCGGGCGGCTGCGGAGCACGAGACGTGGTTCTCCGCGACGTGCGTGCCATGAGCGTAGCAGGTGTCTATCGGATTCCCGCCTTTGGCACTGAGGTCCACGAGCGACTGCTTGTTGGTGCCAGCGCCGGGGTCTCGCCATATATCAGTGCTGGCCTCCAGCTGCTTCACCATTGGCAGATCGAGCTTCCATCTGACACGATGCACGCCTCTGCCCTCGTGTCTATGACCGCAGACGTGCAGGCTCGGCCGAACGCGCCACAACGCTTCGCGGAGCGCCTTGCACCCGTCTGGCCCGCCTTTCGAAGACGTATCACAATGGTGTTGCGGAGGCGCATGCGTCACGAGAATATCCGTGTCGAGCGGGATCGTATCCCAAATTTTCTGCCCGTCCTCGCGCTCGTACTGGAAAGCCCACGTGCTGTCGCAGTAGGGCGAGTAGGGGCTCCCGAAGACAGTGAATCGCGTTTGCGGTCCGTCTGGCTTTGTCAGTTGTACCGTGGTCGACTCGTTCTGGAGGTAGGTGATGCTCGGCGAACTTTTTAGAAGCCTGATGCATTCTTTGGGGTTCTGAGGATTTTGATTATGAAAGTATAAGCCATGCTGGTCGTAGAAAGACTCATCGAGCGTGATGTCGTGATTACCTGATGTCTGTCAGCTATGCGTGTGCGACAGAACGATTTGACGCTTTGAAATACCAGCAACCACGATTTTCGCCTCAAACGGAGCTTTTTCCAGCCAACTGATCGTCTTGCGGAGCTCCGAGAAGCTTCCTTGGTTCGTCAGGTCTCCGGCGTGGATAAGAACGTCTCCTGCGGGCAGCTTCGGTGTCTGGTTGTGCGTATCAGAGATGCAGACGATGCGCGTCTTGCGCAGTATCGGTTCAGCGCTCATGCTGTATTCTGGAATCCTCTCGAATGCTCTACCTAAATGATGTTCTTCGGGCCGCGCTACATGAGGTTTTTATGGTTGAGATGGACTGGAACCTAATGACTCATGGTTTGGAGAAGCGACAATGGAGATCTGTGACGATGAGTGCACGCTCCACATACCTCTGTGAAGTCATCCATCCCCACAGTCATCCAGATGGAAGTTATTGTCCCCATCCATAAAAAGCGCATCACGAATATGAACGCGGTGCCTGAGGACACCAACCTACTTTCCACCCGAGCTGTTCGTCCGACGCCCAACCGATGACGATAGCTTCGGCAGATGGAATCCGGGTGCCCCAGTTCGAGTTTACCCGTCACGACGGCCACTGGGTCTGGAGAGCTTCCCCGCGAGCGCAAAGATCAAGCAGCGATCCCGGAGCCTTCCCCGCGACGGTGGTGACAGCACAGAAATCTGGGTCTTCGGGCTTCGGTCAAGATACGGTTCATCTCCGTCCGATGCCGCCCAGGGCCGTGATGGACTACTTCAGACGCCGATAGCCGACCTCATGCGACATGTCTGTCTGCGAAAATCCCCCGCGCTGACGCCTTGATCTGTTGTTTTGCTGGGACGTTGCGTTATGGCTGTCATCAAGAGCATCGAGTATTTTCGGGTCGTGCCCCGCTGGCTGTTCGTCAAGATCTGCGATGATGCGGGGAACTACGGCTGGGGCGAGGCCACGCTGGAGGGCCATACGGAGGCCGTCGAGGGCACGTTGAACGAGTTCCGCACCCGTTTTATAGGCCAGGAAGCGGATGACATTGAGCACATATGGCAGCTGGCTTGGCGTCTTAGTATGAACTTCCTTGTGACGGTCAGAGCACGTGCTAACCCACCGGTCAGGCTTCTACAGAGGCGGTCCCGTCTTCATGAGCGCTCTTGCGGGCATCGACATCGCCCTCTGGGACATGAAAGCCCGCAAGCTCAATGTCCCCATCTACCAGCTACTCGGCGGCAAGGTCCGAAACAAGGTCTCCGTCTACGCCTGGATTGGCGGCAACAGGCCAGCAGACGTAGAAACGGCAGCCAAGGCGCGTCTGGCGCAAGGCTTTAAGGCCGTGAAGATGAACGCCACAGAGGACATGGGCTGGTTGGACGCACCCCGCGTTCTAGAATCAGCAGTCGAGCGTCTCAAGAAAGTCAAGGCACTGGGCATGGACGCAGCCATGGACTTCCACGGCCGCGTACATAAGCCAATGGCGAAGCAGCTCGCAAAGGCACTGGAGCCTTACCGCCCCCTGTTCATCGAAGAGCCGCTCCTATCGGAGCATCCCGAAGGCATCAAGCAGATCTCGGAGCTGACAACATGCCCAATCGCGCTCGGGGAGCGGCTGTACAGCCGTTGGGACGTCAAGCGTTTCCTGCAAGGTGAGTCCGCACGTGTCCCGCCCTGCACAGCGGCCTGATCCTGACCCTCATGCCCCTCCCCGTCTGCAGACGCTTCCGTCGACGTCCTGCAGCCCGACGTCTCCCACTGCGGCGGTATCTCTGAGATCAGGCGCATCGCTGCCATGGCCGAATCGTACGACGGTGTGTCCTCCCCCTCCTCTCTGCCCTAAATACTGCCCCGCTGACGTCGTCCCACAGTCGCTATTGCTCCCCACTGTCCGCTCGGCCCTATCGCGCTTGCGGCTTGTTTGCAGGTCGGTATCGCGACCCCTAACCATGTCATCCAGGAAATGTCGCAGGGTATTCACTATAATACGGAAGCGGGCGACTTTGATATCCACAGCTATGTGACGGACGCAAGTGTCTTTACGGTAAAGGACGGATATGTCGATGCGTTGACTGGGCCCGGCTTGGGAATCGAGGTTAATGAGGACTTGGTCAGGAAGGTTTCCATGACGTCGACGCCGTGGCCGAATGGCGAGTTTTATGGCCCCGATGGCGGTATTCGTGAGTGGTAGACGATTGCAAGGGTGTCGCTTTCTTGCTTCGAGCCTTGCAAGGCTGAATTAAGTCGGTGTTGGCCCCGGCTATTCACCATTCCCTTTGGCTATTTTGACCATACCTTTCTGCCTACCAACTTTGGCAGCATTAGGCAGAAAAGAAGAAGAGGATTGGATACACTGCGGCGATAATCAGAAAACAGTAACATAAGCGTTTAACCCAGCTCTACACCCGTTGTTCACCAATATTGCTAGGCCTGCTATTACACTGCTAATTGCTGCGCGTTTAGCCTCTACTGCTCTTGTTTTTGGGTAGAAGACACAGGTGCAGCCAGGGTGCAGCATCGTCCAGCCTCGTCCGGACGGAGCCATAGCTTGGCAGTAGGCTACAGTCTACAGTTCTTACCGTCCCGTCCGCTAAATAGGCTAGAGACCGTCGTCTAACGACAGCCCGGCTGAAAGGACAGTTCTAGGAGGAAAGGGGTACAAATAAAGATTAAAGGTAGGGGTACCCCACGGGCATGTACCAGGGCACGTACCAAGACCGCCGCACCAGGCCTAATTAGGTATAAAATCTCTACAACACCATAACTATTATCCCTCTTTCTACAGGTTCAGCCTATTACCGTCCGACGAAGCCTAGTACCGTCAAGACGGAGTTTCTTCTCTTCTTGTTACTAATCAGACGGGGCCGGACGGGACGGTGGGAACGGCCTAGCCCGACGGGACGGACCACCGATGGGCTGGGCGGTGCTGCACCTTGGGTACAGCAGTATAGTATTCAGGTAAGCAATTTAAGCGGCAGTTAGAAGATGTTCTAAGACACAGAATAACTCTGGATAGGTATCACGTGGGGTGGTTAAAACAGCAGGGAGAGTCAAACGAAGTGGTCGAATTAACTGGGGCCAAGAATGGAACGGGATTATTGGAGATCGAATCTGTCACATTCTCGCTTCGAGTCTCGCAAGGCTGAATCAATTAACTTTGTCAGAAACGTCTAGTCTTTGTTGTCGAGGCAAGTATTCCTGTGTCAGCCTAACCGCGGCATATGCAGCCGCGTCACCCCGCACAGCCAGGCTTTTTCCGTAAAGCGTGACCGCCAGTTCAGCCTTGAGTGTTCAGAAGGCAACAGCTAAAGACACATCTCACGAAATCTCCATCAAAATCTAAGCACATTCAGTTTCGTCCACCGTTTGAGTCATCTTCCCAATCCGCACATATGGCATCGTTGAAACGAAAGCGCTCAACCGAATGTATAGTCGAGGACCTTGTTGCTCAGGACGTTACGTACGGAGCCAACAGGCGCTGGCATTCAGCCCCTTCATCAGACAAGGCCGAAGCTATTGACTCTCCACCACCCACCACCCAGTCTGTGGAACCAACTGTTGTTTCTAGCCAGTCCGAAGAACAGACACTCCATGCCGAAGCTTTCGACCCTCGGTCACCTACCACAAAGCCTGTTGAATCAACCAGTATTCCTCACCGGTTCGAGGAACAAACCCCTAACGTCGAAAATACACCCGAAGTTTCAGCCTACACCGAACATTCTCTCGGTACCAAGCTCTGCGAATATTGCAAGGTCCTTCAGTTCGATGACTTGGCTGCCGGTGGCCAAGTTGGCGTCTTGCAGGATGGCACTAAAGTGCTGTCTTTGCCGTCTTCGCCGAAGGGCTCAAACGATTCCCAATCATTGGAGCTAAAATGCGGCCGAAAAGATGAACTTCCGGAAATGCCTGCCTTGCAAGCTTCTGCTGCTGCTGGTTGCGGATTTTGCGCTCTTCTGAGGTCTTCAATCTCGGCGGAATACGACATATACAAAGATTTGGGAAGATTTCCCCTAGTCATCAAATATTTTCAATATAGATGGTATAAAAGCAAATGGTCCCATAGAGGGATCCTTGAAGGCCTTATTATTGCGGACCTACACGTCTGTATCGAGTTCGATGCCTATGGAAATTCAGAAAGGATATTCACTTTTTCTATTGAGGCTGAAGCTGGTAATACATATGATGCCCTTCCCCAAAGCGTCGAAATCAACTCTAACTCATACCTTAGGGGCATCTGCTACGTGGCTGGGTATATCACTAAGACTGCTTCCAAAAAATTCTCTCGACTCCATTCCACTGATGAAACGCTGGATCAAAGACTGTTCAGATTCTTGTCACCCCGAAAGAACACCGTCTTCAATGCCCACAAGGTTAATAGACGTGGGTGACGAAACAAATGCGGATGAGCCTCGTCTTGTCCTAACCGTGGAGATGAACACTCATTTGTGCGAATTTATTCCGGAGAGGTACGCCACTTTGACCCATTGTTGGGGAGACCCGTCGCGGCCGCCTCTCAAGACGGACAAAGCCTCTTTACAAGAAAGGCTCAAAGAAATCCCTCTCAACTCCATGCCGGCAAACTTTCGTGATGCCGTCTCGGTCACTAGGGCTCTCGGGCTTCGCTACCTGTGGATCGATTCGCTATGTATCATCCAAGACGATAAACACGACTGGCAAAGAGAATCAGCAAGCATGGCCAGCATTTACCGATGCGCTTACATCACTCTCTGCGCTTTGCAAGGAAACTCATCTTTCTCTGGTTTTCTTGACAAACGCTTTCTAACTCCATCTGTTGAGATTGCATACAGGTCTTCTTTATGCTGTGAAATATCCGGTACATACTTCATTAGAGAAAACAGCAACAGAAAAAACAGCTTCCATACAGGTTTCAAACCATTGACTTCTTCCTCATGGATGCACCGTGGGTGGACACTACAGGAAACGGTGCTTTCCCAAAGGAAATTGCTCTTCACGGATAGTATGGTCTTCTTTATTTGTGGCAAAAGGTGTCGACAGGAAAACGGTGACGATACATTTAGCCCTCTACGCCTTCACTGGCCAGAGGCAAGTGTTACAAAATCGGGGACACAATATGAGGTAGAGGAGTGGAAGGATTCCTGGAATCGTATTGTTGAAAAGTACTCCGGTCGAATATTCACATTTCCAGAGGACAAATTACCAGCATTATCAGCATTGGCAGAAGATATAGCTTTTGCTACTAGAGATCAATATTTGGCCAGACTATGGGAGTCAGACATACACCAAGGGCTTCTGTGGTTAGATATCCCACCTCATATCTCTCTTGGCGATGACGCATGCATGAAAGCATGCCGGACGCGGCCTTTTACGGCGCCGTCTTGGAGTTGGGCATGTCAAGATCTGGAAGTTTACTGGGACATGGTATACCAGAAATTTCTCGTTCCACAATGTGACATTCTCGAGGCCAAGACAACTGTTGACGGATTAAACAAGTACGGCCGTGTTATTTCAGGGCATTTAACAATATCTGCAAAGACCAGTCGACTGTTAGTCGACTTTTGTGGTAAGGGTCGCCTCCCAGACCAGCAATATATTATCCAGCCCTGCGGCGAATATATGTATCCTGCGTATTTTCGCCTGGATTGGAACCTCCAAACGACCATAGAGACACAAGATGTCGAGGATATCATGAGACCGAACGGCCCGCTTAAGGATTCGTTGGTCATGTTAGTGGCAATACTGAAAACCGATGATGACGACATTCGAGGGTTCGGACTTCTTCTCCTTCCCACCGGCAAACCATCCGAATTCCGACGTGCCGGTAGGTTTGAAATCTCCATTCCAGACATCGATGGTAAATACTTTGAAGGCTGGGAGACCCGAACACTCCGGATCATCTGAAATCCTATTCCAGAGATGGAGTCTTTACTTTCAAAATCCTCTTCAATCCCCATTTCCACTCAAGGGAACACTCCATCGCCAACAATTACTACTTGAAGAGACACTCATGGCCTGGATTTCCGAGAACATGCTACTTTGACTCTTCGAGTACTGTATGGAAGTCGCCAGGCCCATCTCTTCGACAGTTTCTTCCCAACAGGAGCCATATCATGTCTACCACCCCAGGAGAACATCATAACGCAATCACCGGCAACCGACGAGGAAATGGACAGCATGAAGCAGACATTTCAGCCTGTGTCAACTTCTGAGACAGATTTTACCAATCTATCTTCATTATTCATTTCACAGGACTTTACTTTCTTCACTGTTATCTTTTAGTTCGCATATTTCTTTTCTTCATTGGGTTTCTTGGAGCTGGTACCGTGTTCATTAGGCGTAAAGCTGGATTTTCTCTTTTAGCATTTCATCTTGTTATCTTCGAGGTTGAGACGTTCAGTGTCCGGTCCATTCTATCAGTTAAGGCGTAACGTCCGTCACCGTCAACCGAGATTCACCGTGAAGCGAGATGGTAATACTTATACCGAGTAGAAGAAGATACCTAGCTAAGATACGTAGAGTTTATATATACTTTAAGGCCTTTTTATCTATACCTAGGATTCGGGCTAGGAGCTGGGCAAAAAGGACTCTGTAGGGACTGCTTGTATCTTCCCCTGTCTTGCTATACGGTGGATCTCGGTTCACGATAACGGACATCAATCCGGAGCGGTATTTCCACTTTGTATATCACCTGAGTTTTGCTCTGGAGACCTAAACTAGGGGTAAATACAAAATATGTGGCAATGTCGCTTCAAATACCAAGATTGAACACCCCTTATATTGTGAGTATCAAATCGCTGTCTTTCAACTTTATATCAATATCCTAGTAGCACACGCGCCGCTTAGCCACCGGCAACCCGACTTCTGCTTCCCTGCAAAACCTGCGAAAACTAGAGATCACACTTGACACCAACCGTAAACAGTAGAGGCGAAGACTTCAGTGCTTTCTGCTGTAGCATTCTGTTGTAAATAACTTAATTCGCTTTCAAGATTGGATGTGGCCAAAAATGATAACCGCCATCTCTGCCCTGGCTTGATGATCACTACTAACAGTGACACATTATGTCCTTCACTATGTTTTCGCGATGATGTTTATCAACAACATGTAATGTTCGAGCACTGTATTCCAAAAGGCAGATGCGATCTTCTTGCTCGGAACTAGTGCGCCTTCGTTTTTGCAGTGTTGTGCGTAGACCATAAGACCCATCTATGTATTTCGTTGATCCATTCAGCCAGAGCCTTGACATCTTTGGTACAAGCTCCTGCTTCGAGGCCTGTGTTGCTCTAATGGCCTCCTCTTTTATACAGTCTTGAACGTCAGGCGTTCACTTCTGTCTCAAATTGTCTTAACTGGTGAGAATGCAAGCCTGTCTATTGGGATAAATACTACGAATGAGTTAGAGCCAGAAGTAAAGCAGCATTACATTCCGATTACAGCAGCAACAAAAGTAAAGTCGCCACTTACGAAAAATGGAATAAGAGAAGAAAAAGGCGAAACATGTCGTCAAACCAGACAAAACATCACAGGCAATAAGTAGAATGCCTGAAGCGGTCCTTTATCACTGTTAACTAGTGCAATATAAACTCAACCCACCAACTCTTATTTGTACTGTACAATGTACAGTTTCGAGACCAGCAGACCCTCAAAGCCGAACACTGACAATAACTCACTGAAGCACAAGGACTTGCACCGCGGGTCCAGCAAAGTAGAGCGGGTGAACATCACCCCGCCGCAGAGCTTTTCTGACGAAGCCCCTGACACGCTGACCAACGTGCCTGTCGAGGGAAGGATGCATCAGCGGTGTCCAACATCAGACATATACTATCAAACATCAACAACAACAATAAATGGTAACACTCGCCAACATACCCAAACCAATTTCCCACACAATAACGATCTCCTCCGTCATCTTCATTGTGTACTGTCAGAGTCTTCAGCTTCGCCTTCGTTTCAGTGCGTTCGGTCTCGATATTCCCTTTGGTCGAAGCGGCTCGGAGTTGCTTCACCGTCTTGTCTGCCTGCTCGATGTCCTCGACCTGCGCTTCAAGGGCCACAATTAAGCGTCTTCCGCAGAGTTTTGTGCGGTCGTACTCAGTCTTGTCCAGCACGGTAGCGTTAATTGACGCTACACTTCTCTCTCGTATCATTCACTGGATGTCATAGCAGTCTTTCCATCCTATTTCAGTTCATCTCGTTTGGAGAATTTGTACTAAAATTAAGAGAACGCTGATAGATAAGTAAGATACGTGCCTATCAAGGCGAAGACCTCAACACGCCCCCTTCCCTTTCTTCTCTGACTCCCTCTTCGTTCCCTCCTATGTACCCATCCCAACAGCATCCCCACCCCGCACCAAAACTCCCCAACCACAACGCACCCAACGCACCTAACCCATCACCAATCACCTCAACACGCACTGCACAGACACCAGCAGCTAGATTAACAACTAACCATCGAAAAGCCTATCTCGATTAAATTCGCTGCCTTCCTACATAACAAAGCCAATCTGCACGCCGACAAACAAACTACCTACCTACAGAGCCAATCCAAGTCAAGACAACCCAAGACAAGCCGTAGAGCCGTCCAATCTACCGTGGATACCTAGGTATCAAATAGGTAGGTAGACTTACATAGAGTTAGCAGTAAGTACCTAGGCACACACGCGCGCGCCCCACCTACAACCCAGCTCCCCGCAATCAGTTAATCAATCAGCTAATCAATCTGCCCCCTCATCATCATCACTAAGCAGAAGGCGCATGCACCAAGCATGAAAACGCAGACGCAGCAAGACCAAGACTCAGCAAGCAAGACAGCCCAACAGCCAAACAGCCATACAGACATACAGCCATACAGCCATACAGACATACAGACATACAGCCATACAGCCATACAGACATACAGCCATACAGCCATACAGCCATACAGACATACAGCCATACAGACAAAGAGTTAGAACCCGAAAGACAGAGTCGTCAGAGAGAAAGAGTTAGTCCAGACAGAGACCGCGCGCGTCCCCTACCTACGTAACTAACTAGCTACTTAAAACTAGAAAGAAGCCCCTCCTACATTTGGTCCCTCCTGGATCAAGTTATTCGTGTGTGAGACTGAACTGTGTGTTTGAGTGTGTCATTTCCCCTCAGTCTCTCTCCATCTCCCCACCCACCCCCCAAATGATCAAGGTGTGTGTGAAGTAGAAGAAAAAAGCTTGCTGCTGCCACCATATCAAAAATCGAAAACGCGCTTCCTCTCAACATATCCTCCCGTGTCCGCAAAATTTGGTGGGTTGTGAAGAAAATGTGTGGATTGTATGAGGATAGCTAAAAAGTCGCGCATTTTTATTTTTGGTTGCCCAATGTCTGTCCTTGCGGCTGGCTGGCTAGCGGGGCACGCTGAGTGTGCGTCTAAGCGCCCAGGCTGGGGAAAGCAGACTGGTCGTTGAGGTTGACGGCAGTGCCCTTGGCGCCACCACGGGGCGCGCCGCGCTGGCCACCACGGCCGGCACCACCACGGCCCTCGCCGCGACCACGGCCACCACGGCCGCCACGGCCGCCGCGGAAACCGGAGCGCTCCTCGCCGCGGCCGTAGATGTCGCCGAGGTCGATGGTCTGCTTCTCCTTGGGGCCGCGCTCCCTCTTCTGCTTGCCGCCACCGCCGACAAAGTACTGCTCATCCTCCGGCTTGGCAATAGCCTTACCCTCGGGGAACTTCTTGTCGCCGCCCTCGTTGGGCTTGCGGACCTCGGGGGTGCTGCCCAGCTGGGCCTTCTTCTCGGCCAGCTCAGCAAGGTACGCGTCGTAGGACTTGCTCTTGTCCTCGGGCTCGGCAGGCTCGCCGTTGGCCGCGTCGGCCTCGAAGCCCTCCTTCTCCTCCTGCTTGGCAATGGCCTCGCCAGCCATCTCGTCGGCAAGCTCCTCGCCGCCGGTCTCGCCACCCCAGCCGTGGGCAGCCTGCTTGGGGTGGTCACTGCGTATGATGATGTCAGCGGATGAGACAAAGGCGGGGTAATCGAGCTTTCTCAACTTACGAGACACCGGTGCGGCTGTGACGGTCGTCACGACCACCGCGGCCACCACGGCCGCCGAAACCACGGCCGCCACGGGAGCCACGGCCACGGTTGCCGGATTCCTCAGAACCTGAAACAGTCAAGTCAATGCGACGACTCGAATACGAAGCTTCAATGCGTCGACTTACCCCTCAGGTGGTTGGGGTGACGGTCGCTGCGGAGACCATCGTCAGCGGGCTTGCTGCGGTTGTTGTAGCTACCAGCGTCGCGGTCGCGGAAAGCTAGTCTTGGCGTTAGTCTCAACGGTTTTGCGGGGTGAAGAGAGCTTCGAGTCAATCGCATCAATGTCGAAAATGGACGACATTGGCGCAAAGAGCTGCGATGGCGGGAGAGGAATTGATCTTACCGCCCTCGTTGCCAGAGAACTGGTTGCGGCCACCGCGGCCAGCGGGGCGGGGAGTGTCCTTGACGGGGCCCTCGGCACCAGCGTTGCGCTTGCCAGCGCGCTGGTTGGGCTTGTCAATGGCCTTGGTAGGCTGCTCGGGCGTCCTCCTTTCGGGGTCGAGCTCGGGGTCGTTGCCTGCGCGAAAAAAGTGAGACTTGAGCGGGTAGCGTGGGAAGCAGCTTCAGCGGGGTCATTTACCCAGGAGCTCGTAGAGGTTCTGCAAGCTCTGATGATTAGCGCAACGGGCGATGGAAAAGCGAGGCGGACGATGCAGCTCGCTGATGAAGTCACAGACGGACTGACCTTGGAAGCGATGCTGCCGGACATGGTGACGATGGGGTAAAGCGCCTTTCGCGCTTGTGCCTCCTAGGAACGCACTCTGTAGCTTTGGAGAAAGGGGAGACGAGAGTCGATCCTCAGAATGCGGGACCAATACTCTCGGGATGCTGTCGCGCTCGAAGTGTGTTGTTGCGCGGTTGTCGTCGAGCCGGGACGTGTGGTTGGCTTGGTCGCTGACGAAATTATCTCATTGTGGTCGAGCCAAGCTAAGCGAGCGCGATCGCCTTGAAGCCAACGGACGTCACGAGAGAAGTGCTCTGGATGCACGCGGCCATCCGAGGGCCAAATTAACTAGAGTATCTACTATGCCGATCCACGGCATCAAAGTCATGTACGAAAGGCGAGCGCAGGTCCTTGTCAAAAAGCTACCTCGCACCCACACACGCCCGCTCGCTGCTCATTCTTATTTTTGTTTTCCATCTCGACGTCCCCCGCACCGCGCCTCGCAAGCGCGAGGCCACGGCTTTCCGGGGCGTCCTGTAGTAGGTCAGAGGTAGCTCTCTCTGCCTGGCGTCCCGCTAAGCTCAAAAAGACGCCTCGCTATACACATTTTGGAACTTTTTCCCTGGCCCTTCTCAAGTTTCCCCCCAACGCCCGCTAAATGTTACATTCGACTGGAAACGTGACTCGTCAAATCGTCCCCCTTCCTAAGTAGCTCCCCTTCTCCGCATCATCCCCCGTTCTCAACTCAACTCGCCTGGTACGAGAACTGCGTCGGGAAGTGCATGCTGGCTGACAGGCCAAACGGATCTGCATCGAGAATCGGGTCGTAAGGGTCGAAGCCGTGGTTCAGGTTGCCGTACATGGCGTTGTTGCCATGGGCGTCTGCTGGCTGCAGCGCGGCGGGCGAGGTGTACTGCGAATCCCCGTTCTGATACTGCTGGGGCACCAATTGCCCCGAGCCCTGGGCCTGCAGGTGCGGGGCCGTCTGAGGTTGTATGTGCGGCGGAAAGGATTGCGAATAAGGGCCGGTGCCGGCGGAGCGTTCGCTGGGGTCTTGGTCGTCGATCATGTCGGCTTGCGCATCGTACTCCTGTTCTGTACTCACGGATTAAATCTAGGACGAACAAAGCTCTATGCATAAGAGCACGCAAAATGGGACGGGACAACTTGCCGAGCTGATCCATGTGGCTTTGGAACGGCGACGGGTAGTACGAGGACGGTCCTCCACCATTCGCAGTGCCCGTCAAACCGTTCCCTGCTGCACTTGATGCCGATGCGCCTGACATGCCGCCGGTCGAGGGGTACTGCGCGCTGAGCGAGTGTCGGTGCCCCGGGAGGGGATTATACTGCGATCTAGGCGGCGGGGGCTGCGGTCGCAGCGGGGGCTGCTGTTGAGACTGAGACACAGGACCAATGTTTGGGGAAATTGTGGGGATGAAGTTTGGGGACTTGGTCGCCGTGGTCGAGGGCGACGATATGTGGGAAGCTGGGGTAGGCTGTGAATGTGGTGAATGGTTTGGAACAGCACCATCGGGCTGAGCAAGCGGCGAGCCAAGCACACCTTCAACCTTTTGCGGGAAGCCTTGGTAAGAGCGCCTTGCTTGCTGATGTCGGTTCATGATCGCACGCTGCATCGGCGGCGGTTGAGGCGCGGATCCAGGAGGCGGCACGCGGGCCGGGCCAAGGTGCGGACTGCCAGTCTTCGCACGAAGCTCCGCCTGCACATCAATACCTGGGGACGCGTCAGAGCGGTCTGGGGTTGTGGCTGCGGGACGGGCGCCGAAGCGTACCTTTCTCCAGCAGGATCCGCTCCAGCAACGAGTTCTTGTAGCGCAGCATCAAACATTCATCGGCAGCACTGCGATGGTTCTGCTGCAGGGTTTGCAGCGTCTCCTCGTGGTGCTTGATTGTACTCTCCAATTGCTTGATATACTCGGTGCGGCGCTCGCGGAAGGCGGCCTGGGCCTGCCGGTTCCGCTGCTTGCGCTCCTCAGAGGTGGCATAGATCTTGCGACGCTTGGTTAGTGGAGGGCGAGACATGGCGCGGACGGTGCAATTCTAGCAAGAGGCGGCAGGACTGCTCACAGGTTTACGCCCACCCTTGCGCTTCTGCTGCTGCTGGGGGTGTTCCTGCGCGGTATAAGACTCGGCCTCAGGCTCGGGCGTGGTCGCAATGGAGCTGGCGGAACCGTCCCTCGACGGCTCCTCCGACTTGCCTACTGCGGCAGCCATGTCTTTTGTCGCGGTGGTGTTATCGCCCATCTGCAGGTACCCCTCAGTGACCCCTCCAGTGACAGGTGCGGGTGGACGCGGATTACGTGCGATAAGCGCGCGAACTGGGCCGTTTCGGGCGATCCGGGGCGCTTGACGTGTGCGCGTGTGTCGGGGCGGTAGATAATGTTGATAATGGAAAGATAAAGTCGCGTTGGCGATGGATGGACGGGCAGGTTGGTGTGAGGTAAGACGTTGGGTAATGGAAACGAAAGAGCAGCGGACGGGGGGGAAGGGATTGCGACTTTCTTAGCGGCCAAGGCCCGTCATCGGAGCTGCTGGCCGGGCAGACTTTTTCCTTCTGGTGGCGCCGGTCTGGGGGACGCAGAGTGCGCCCGGCTGGCCCGACCTCTGCGAGCATTCCTGCTGCCTCGAACTCTCAAGACTACTGCGTCTCTCGTTCGGGACCGCGTTGCTGCTCACGGTATGGCGCCAGACGTGCGCAAGCCCTTTCTCCGCGGCTCTCTTTCCACTCGACAGCTGACGTGAGGGGGAGAAGGAGGGGCGACGCACCACGAGCTCCAGCTGCACACCCGCCAACGCCCTTTGTCATCAAAGACATGGCAAGCATGCTATACAAGATTTCCTGTGCCCGCATCTCCATCGAGACGACGAGTGCGGGGCTGCTTTTCTCCTCCCCCCCCCCTCCCAGGCCCCCTCGGCTTCTCGTTAGCCGATGCTCCCCCTTCTGGCCCCTCCCCCTCAAGGCCGCCCGTGACGCCAGCCCAGCTCCGCTCATTCCTCCTCGCGGCTCGAGGCTGCACGTCGGAGCGGCCGTCGTGGTCACCTGTCGTCGACCGCTGCATCCAGCCCAGCCCGCTTGCAGCCCTTTTTCGTCTCCCTCGTTAGGATGCTCCCTTTCGATGGAACCTCGCTATACTGGCATGCCGATGATGTGCAGTGCGTGCGGGACGAAATGCGGGCAGGCGCACGGATGAGATTTGTCCCAAGATTCGCCCATCTCAACCCATCTTTGACAGACACGGCTGCCTGCACTGCGTTGTGGGACATGGCGCTGGGGTTGGTGCAGTATGTAGGTAGTGAAGAGCTCTTTTCTTCTGCCAGTAGGTAGTGCATCTCCAATTTTTCGCAGTCTGTAATTTCAATCGTACGCGACTTGCGACTTTTCCATCGTATCTTGTCCTTGTATGGAAAGTGTGCGCGCATGTAGAAGACGGCAGGCACGATGCCCCACGAACCTCACTTCCATCTCTGCGCAGCCCGACGCACAGCGTGGCGGCAACATCAATTGCACACAACCTTTCACCGAATGCCTCCAATCGTCGACAGACCTATAGAGCATCCCTTTTAGGCGCACCTTAGGGCACTCTATGAATCCAGTACATATGCCCCCACGGCCTATCCTGGCAGCGTCTGACCGTGCATGTACCTAGTTGAGATCGCATCCTGTCCTTCCAGGCGTCGACTACGACCTTCCCACGCAGCACCTGCATCAACCTCATGGTACAGCATGTTTGCCATCCCACGTTGCGCAGCCACTAAATGTGGCAGAATACGTTCAGCTCCCTCCAGAGACCGCCCCTCCACCGCTCAGGCTCCGTTCATCGCTCGGCCTCATACAGAAGACGGGGTTTTCAATTGGAAAGGCACCGCCGGATACTCAAGAGACCCTTGGGATCCAAAACATCGAGGGACAAATGGGCGAGGCTCCTCCATGGTCCACATCGGGCGTTCCCCCCTGGTCTACGGCGACGCGTCCTCTTTCTGACATTCGCGAACTCACTGAGCCGAGTCTTCTTGAAATCACGAATCGTAAGCCATTACCCGATCCTTCTGACGCTGGACACCGTCGCAAATGCTCCCTTTCCCGGAAGGCGTCTTTGCTTTCTCGAAAAGGCTCTTTAACAAGGAAAGAATCGCTATCTCGGAAGACTTCTTTGAAATGTGCTCCTTCACCGGCTCCAGAGGAGCAATTCGACCTGCGTCGGGGCCGCTCTTCCCCAGCCAAATCGCCTGGCACTGATCGTTCGAGCATTTACAGCGTACCGAGCGGAAGTGTCCCGGCACGATCGTCATCGCAGCATGCGGAAAATAGAGGCATATCATTACCACCCAGAGGACCATCATGGCCGCCACCACCGCCGCGGGGCCTTGGATATACCATACCTAACAGGGGCGAATCCAGGTCGCCCGTGCGAGAGGTTGCTGTGAGGCTTGATCCTGTCACTTCAGACTCTGTACGACGGGTGCCTTCACGGACATTTACGAGGGAGCTCTCGATGGAGATGTTGGAGTTCCCTTCTCATCGACATCCGCGGGTTTCTGCTGAAGCACACCTAACGGCGCCGTTGTATGTTGGTGGAGGTAGCCTTGAAGGCCATGTGCGGATTGTCATTGATGATGCCGAACGTACAAGGCACAAACGAGCATTGGCCATTGCAAGGATATCCGTGGACCTACTCGGTATCGAAGAGATGTACAACGGGAAAAGAGATGTTTTCTTGAACCTGGCGACGGAACTTATCGATTCGGAGAACCCGCCTCCACACAACATGGTCGAGTCTGCAAAGCAAATATCTGCTCTTGACGCCTTTTGGCTATTGCATCCCTCGGTCACACTCATGCCTTTCTGCCTCAGTCTACCGCTCGACGTAGGACCACCTCCATTCAAATCCAAATTAGCACAAATCCGCTATGTTCTTTGCGTAACGCTACTCATTCGGGACAAGGGTGTGCAGTATCTGGTTAGATCATCACAAGAGGTTTCAGTGTTGTCTGTCTATGACCGTAAGCTGACTTCACATTTCGTCTGAATTGTTTACTAAGCTTTTCGTAGCGGAGAAAGCTCTCACGTCATTGCCTAGCCCTCTAACAGCTTCTGACGAGTTTGTGAAACAAAGGGATTCAGGAATTGAGGTCGTCAAAGTCACGGCAGGCCTGCATCGCCAAGTTTGGGTGAGCGGTACCAGCATCTTTGTGGACGTTCACATTGCGAACAACAGCCGGAAAACGATACGCAAGATGGAGCTGCAACTCGAGCGGGACATACTTTGCTACAAGCATGTATGTCATCCGTTAGCGTCTGCTAGTGTCCCATCTTGCTGATCGGATTCCCAGACTGCTGCGGCAACCCTTGAAAAATCAGCCAGTCAAGCACGCATATTTGACAGCAACGAACGCACTATACTGACCAAGACCTGGCTTAAGCCGGGAAACGGTGGCTGGACTGGGATTCCCGCTCGTTCTACCGAGACGCGTACCTGCGACTTGGAGCTTCCAAGAGGGCACGCGACAGTAAAATGCGGTACATTTAGGACGGCTTACCTTTAAACTTGCAGTGCGCTGACTACCTGCAGGGAAATTTTTCGAAGTCCGCTATTTTCTCAACATTATAGTGAGCAGCAGTCACACGTACGCTAAGCCCGCCCCGTTATCTGACCTCCAGCTCACGTTACCATTAGCAAACTCGTCTCTGTGCAGCTACCAATTGTGTTGATACACATGGTGAGCTTGGCACCCCACTGGCGCCATATGATCCCATTCTGACACATCGCCCAGAATTCTCTCGACGTAGTCCCCAACTCTGTGGCCCAAGTGGCCGCTGCTATTGAAGAAAAGCGCCACCATCCTGATTCCCGCTCCCGTAACCTCACACGGCGTCCATCAACATCTGTCCAGGGCCGCGCCTTTGCTGCGCCTCGCCTACAATCCCTCGACCGCAAGCGTGCTGAGGTCCAAGAGCTCGAACAGATCGGTCACATTCTCGACCACTCGCCCCGTAAATATGTCATCGCACGACGCCGCGCCGACAGCAGTGATGCCGCGGCCTTGGAGCGAGGCACAGCCGCACCTGCTGAACATGTGATCCGACGCGTGCGGAGCAGCATCGCCAACAAAAACATGCGCAGCAATGACGGCGGACTCGTGGGCTTCTGCTACGAGTACGATGCGGGCTATTGTACACCGCCGCCGAACCGCAGCGGCCGCGTCATGGAGACGGACAGCCTTGAAAGTGTGCGCCATTGCTTGCGCCATGTTCGTTCTAACGAAACAAATCGCTCTCATCGCACTGACGGCACGCTCCGTACCGCGCGCAGCGCCTCACGCCACCGTCGCGGCGGGCCCAATAATAGCAGTGGTGCTTCGCACACGGTGATTGGCGGAGGGGTTGGAAGCAACACCAACAATGGCAGCGGCGGGCTTCACCTCCCAATACCTCCTCCCCCGCCGACATTGGGCTTCCGCGAAGCAGAGGTGCGAGTCGGCGAATCCCCAATGCTCTTAGTACCTCCCACGAGCGTCAGCAACACGGCAGGCAACGGTGCTCGGACGGCGCCGACGGCGACGGAGTTCCAGTTTTCGAGCACGAGCGCGGCGGGATTCAAGGCGCGCTTGGACGCGGCCCGCGAGCGCCAGTTCCAGTTCCGACAGCTAAAGAAGCGGGGGGCCGGAGGGGGCGCGGGGAGAGATCGCGAGAGCAGCAGTGGTGGTGGCGGTGGGACGTCGACTTGGCGGGGGTTTGACTGGTTGGTTGGGGATCGGGCGGCGGAGAGAGATCGGCAGAGAGAGAAGGATAAGGATAGGAAGAGGGGCGTGGAGGGGTGGTTTTAGTGATTGTGGGAGTGTGAGTGTGTCAGTGTGCGGGTTTCTGTGAGTTTTTGGGGGTGCCGGGTTTTGAGCACTGATGGTTGCTGTTTGTTGGTGGCACCGGGCAACGGACTTTTTTCTTTTTTGGCTTTTCTTTTGGGCACGGGTTCATGCGGAATAGCGCGCTGGCTTTGGGTATGCATGATGCATTATATATATCATTGGTCGAGATAGGCATATTACATTGCATGGCATGGCTTGTATGCTTGGTATTGGATTGTGTATCCGAGAATCACTCTCCCTTTGCTTCAATGACGACAAAGTATCGTTCCTCTCAACCTGCTCAACCCGGTCAATTATATCTATCCGGACTAGCATAGGGAACATGATAAGTGCTCCTATAAATAGACGGAAGCCCGGCGGTGCTAACTATTTCTCTCTACCAGCCCTCACAGTCTTTACTGAGGCAAACAGACTCAAAAACAACTTGCACTGTCCTGCATGCGGGGACATCGGTAGTCGTTGGTTCAAGAAATTGCGTTGTTGTGGTAATTGCATTACTGAACGCACGAGCGTGTGGGCCTATTCTTCTTTGATGATGATGATGATGATGCTAGACGTCAACTTCGAGTGTGACTGTACGACACTCTTTACCAGGAGTGGTGGTGTTTGGCATCTTTGATATTGTTGATAGCGGAGCGTGGTGGTGCCATTGAAGCCTTTTGGTTGTGCTTTGGTGTGGTGAATTGAGAGAGTTGTTGTGTGCCCAGAGCGAGCGTTTGGTGTTTTTATAGCTCATTTACGGTCTGTGGCTGAGCAAAGATGCTGGGAGTGCTTTTGGGCAGTGCTTGTTTGTTGAAATATCCCTTCTTCAGCGCGCCTATCGGCTAGTCTTTCTGAATCGACTTCAGTGTATAACGCATTCAAGCTACCTGGGCAACGCCTGTAAGGTCATCCACGATGTCAGGATTTCAATATTAATGCCGATAACACTGAATAGTGCCGCGGCCAGTCAGAGAGACCCTAGTCTTGAAGATTGCTTAGATAAAACTGAGGCCATGTACAGTAAAAGCGAACATACTTGCAGTAAGTTCTTCCGCGGTAGGCGTGTGAAATTTCCGTGTGTTCTCACATGAGCAGCGACCAGTGGTCACAGGACATATATAATGCCACTGATACCGAGCCTTCGTCATTCACTGCTGGCATGGACTACATCCTGCCTACCATGTGGATGTGACTACGAAGATGCATTCTTTGAGCAATGGGCCATCGGCATTGCCCGGCTGCCGGTGGAACTGTGCTCGGGTTAACTTTGAAAGTGGAAAGATCGTAAGTGACCATTAACAGCTTTGCAGTGAACACCATCATTTTCCTAGAATGTCGAAGCTCATCATCTCTAAATATTGTTTGTAAGCCTGACTGGTTGAGCTCTCTTACCTAGAAGTGCATTCGGTGGCTTCTACAGACTCCAGCTGCTCTCAATACTATAAGACTCTCCCGCTGCGTAGGTGACTGTTACTTGTTCAGATTTATATTGATCCTGATAGTTGCTGTGCTTTTTCTGCTAACTCCTATTTAATGACTATGGGCTTTCTAGTACGCGGGATACTTTGAGCTCTGTAAAAGTTTAGTCTAATACTAAATTCTGCGAATTTCTCTTCTTTGTGACTCAGTGACTTCAAAGTTGGTGGTAGTGAGAGCTGTGGTGGTAGTAATGCTTAGGTAAAATCGTATATTTGTGTAAGCTTTTCGAATAGGGGCTTGAGTATCTAAGAAATAGGAGATTGCTTATCCTTTACCAGTGAACTTACCTTCTTCAAGCAGAATCCTGTCCATAGTAGCATCCGTTCACGTCGTGCATAACCTTTCGCGAATTGGCGCCCTAGTCCGCATCTTCCGGTCCACTGGCTCGAGTGCCAGGCTGTAGCTACTGACCATCTATGTAATTGATGTTTGTCTGGCGGTTTTAAAAAAGCCTTTGCTATCTGCTGAGTTAATGCAACATGCAAAGCCATACTCGACTAACGGGGGGAAAAGGACCATTACCAAAGAAGATACATCTTGGCGGATTTGTTCTACGAGTTGTTATTGCAGTGCTTGTGCGTAGAAACACAGACGTACACTCTATAGCCTGATACTGCATCCTGATGATACTGCTGTTACTCAGGACACTGCGTTGTTAATGATTAGCACTGTGCGCTAATGACTGCATCAAAAACTAAGAAATCCACAATTTGGTTCCATGCAGAATAACCCAGGACCCCTTGTTTACGGTCATGGTAACATCGTCGTCGGATTTCCCGATTGTCTCTCTCTGTCCGTTCGGACTGTACTTTAGGGCAACATAGGTTCTGTACGGAGTAATGTGGCTATGTGTTTTATAGACAGTTGATGAGACGAGAACGGATCCTCCTTGTAGTTTTTTAGTTATGCTAGGATTTTCCCGTTGATGCCGATTCGAGTCAGGCTGCTTCTAATGTGTATAGTAAGATTTTATTCAGCCTTGCCATAAGAGGTTGACATCGGAGTAGGGATGACGGTAGTTGTTTCTAAGAGTAGATAGTATTTTGGCAATAAGCTGGCTTTTAAAGGAGTATCCCTTACTGTCATAGGGGCCGTATACCTATCTAAACAAACCACACACCGGTACTCTGAAACCGTACTACCTCGCGCCACCGAAGAATATCAAGGAGCGTGAGCGTATCTTGCTTCTATGACCGTTAATCTATCTCAACCATGGACCCATACTAAGGCCATTTGGTGGTTACACTTTAAAGCCCTTGCCCGCCTATTCCTCGCTATTGCAAAGTAACGTCGGTCACCGAGAACCGAGATCCCCCGTCTAGCGAGACAGGGGATAATACAAGCAGTCCCTACAGTGTACTCCTTGTCTAGCTTATATTCCGAGTCTTGGGTATGGATGTAAAGGTCTTAAAGCACACACAGACTCTATACATCGTAGCTGGGTCTCTTCTTCTCCTCTGTACAAGTATCACCATCTCGCTTCCCGGTGAATCTCGTTTCACGGTGACGGACGTTACAGTCTTCTCATACCTTAAGTATCGCCGAATCATCGCAGAAGCCGCTCGTCGCCTATAGAACCTATCCACCACATCAGCCACTCCACAGTAAGCCTTCGCCCGTGCACAAGTAAAACCAAGCCATCACTGTCCCAACACTCTTTAAATACCTCCTCCAAGCCTTCCTCCGACTCCTAGACAAGTCTGTTTACGTCTCAGTATCACAACCAAGGAAACCCCTCCAAGGATAAGTACCGCATCTCGACCGGCGTGTTATACGGGTCGGAAGTCGGTGACCCCTGCAAAACACCACGCTTGTGAGCTACAACCCTCACAATTCTTAAACACACTCGTTGTTTTCCTTCATGGATGCGGAACGGTCGCTCATATAGTAGGACGAGATGCTATTGACGGGAGTAGCAATAAGGAATCTCTTGTAGTGCACTACGACATCGCCGTGATGGCGGGGCGTTCGCGGCTTCTCTCACACGGGGCGCTCGCTGCCTCTCTCGCACCGAGCCGTTCGGTTTGCTCAGCGAGAATTTGCGCGCGCTGTGGACGCCGTGAGGCACAGCCTACAGCTCGATTCGCCTACCAGTACAGCAGCGAAACCCGCAATGCGGTCGCGCAACAAGGCTGACGCTGAGGCGAAGGCCGCATTCGAGACTGAGGCTGCGAATGATGCTGAGATCAGGGCTGCGCTTGAAGTGAAGCGTATGCTGCGCATACCAGGGCTCGCTTGCAACATGGCGCGGTTTGGCGCTGAATTGCCGGCTTTGAACGCTTGGTCTGCGGCTCGTTGGGCGGCGAGGCGTGCTGGCCGGGCTGTTACGACGGGTGACGATGCTGTCGCTGAACTCGGAGCTCTGATTGCGAAGACTGACGCTGACGTTCAGTCTACGCCTAAGGCTCAGGCTGCGACGGATACCTAGGCCGCGGTTGATGCCCAGGCTTCGACTGTGTCTTAGGCAGCGATTGCCGCTTAGGCTGCAGATGACGGTCTTTGGTTCCTTGACAAAATCGTCGAAATGTGATGGAGTAATTGGCAGTCAGGAAACGACTGATCAAAACCAATGATTTCCATTGATCGACGGTGCGGTGCGATAGGCGTGCGATTGTAGCGATAGCAGAATACTGCTAAATATAAACCATTGAACTTACTTTTTTCCTCCTCGTGATGTGACTGTGCCAAGGTTCCCGTAGAAGTATGCTGTGCTGTGCTTTGCTGTCAAACGCGCCATACCCGGCTAGGCGTTAGTTTTGGGGTGTTTGTTAGCTTTGAAATGTTTTTTGAGCGACAGTTTGATGAGAATGTGATGAGATATTGATTAAAAAGGACTGTGGACTGGAGTGTCGTTATCTCGGACGATGGGGATGCGAGCCCTTACACAGCAGGGTTGTAAGACAGGCGGTGGATGGTGCGATGGAGCTTATACACGAGACGTTAGAGGCGTCACGAGACTGTACTACATAGTGGAGTCGCTGCCAGCTGTCGCGCAAAGAAAATGGAGGCGGTTGCGTAGGATCGCCGGGGGATCGGGCGCGGTCGTCGTGGAGACAGACTCACACCAGAGCCATCGCGCTGGAATTCGAAGAAGATTCGAAGAAGGCTCAGAAGAAGAAGAAGCACAAAACTTTTGGACGTCGCGCCGCCGCTCTGCCGTTCTTCCTCTCTCTCTCTCATCCTACTGGACGCTCAGCCGGGCCTACGAGCGCCACGTGCTTGCATCACGACCGCGACCGTTTGCGCTAAGATGCAGCGCGCGCAACAGTTGCAGCTGCCCGTCGTCCAGAGCAGCCGTCCAACCTCAGCAATCCGCTCCTACAGCTCCCCCTCCCTCCGCCTCCATCCTCCTCGAGCCAGGCCACGGACTTCTGCTTCTACTGCTGCTGCTGCTGCGCCGCCCATGGCTCGTTGGCTTGGGAACCCGTTTGCCTTCACCCCGCTTCCGGTGACGATCATCACAAGCGCCGTTTACATCGCCCTTGCTGCAGCTCTGCTTGTTGTTCATCTCGTTGTCCCCTCTGCCCCTGATAACCACAATCCCGTCGCTGGCGTAAATCTCACAGAGGCCTGGCGCGACCTGCAGTTCATCTCCAATGGCTTTCATCCCTACAACTCACGCCGCAACGACGAGGTCCGCGACTGGCTCCTGCGCCGCATCGAAGCCATCCTGGACCGCAATCGAGTGCGCTATGGCACTGAGAGCTCCGGCACTGCAGACGAGGCCCCTGTCGTGATCTACAATGACATGGTCTCCAACGTCACCTTCTCCGGCGGCTCCACCACCAGTATCTACTTCGAGGGCACCAATATCATGGTTTACATCCGTGGATCTGACGATGTCTCCGATGTCTATTCCTCCAGCACCGGTGGCGTACTCGTAAATGCCCATTACGACAGCGTGTCCACTGGCTATGGAGCCACGGACGACGGCGTCGGAGTAATCACCATCCTGCAGCTGATTTCCCACTTCACCACGCCTGGGCACCGGCCTAGACGGGGAATTGTGGCGCTCCTCAACAACGGAGAAGAGGACTGGCTCAACGGTGCCAAAGCTTTTACCCAGCACCCTCTCTCTGGCTTCCCCCACACCTTCCTCAACCTCGAGGGTGCTGGCGCGGGCGGCCGAGCCACGCTTTTCCGGAGCACCGATACTGAAGTTACCAGGTTCTACAAGAAGAGCAATCACCCGTTCGGGACGGCCATCAGCGCTGATGGCTTCAAGCGGGGCGTCATTCGTAGTGGAACGGACTATTCCGTCTTCACCGAGGACCTGGCCTTGCGTGGCTTGGACGTGGCGTTTATGGAGCCCAGAGCCCAGTACCATACTGTCGAAGATGGCGCTAGAGATACTTCTCTCGATTCTCTTTGGCATATGCTTTCTGGAGCGTTGGACACCATGAAGGGACTCACGTCCTACACTGGGTCTGAATTTGAAGGCGGTGATCACAACACTGGCGAGGGGACGACTGCTGTATACTTTGATCTCTTTGGCAGTGCCCTTGCTGTTTTCCGACTGCACACGCTGTTTGCGTTGTCAGTCGCCCTTCTTGTGGCCAGCCCTGTCATACTGATAGCGCTCAACGTCGCTCTGGTAAAGGCGGACAAGTGGTATCTTTTCGCCAGGAAGAAGTACCTTCATTCTCCTGATGATGATGAAGCAGTGCAGCTCTACGGTTGGCGCGGTTTTTTCCGTGTCCCTATCGCCTTTGTGGTGGCGACTGGTGCTGTGATCGGTTTGGCTTTCCTTGTAGCAAAGGTCAACCCTAACATTGTCTACAGCAGCGAGTATGCTGTGTGGAGGTACGTCTGCCTTTATTTTCTTTCTCCGATTTCTAACCAAAGCGGGCAATCGATCCCGCTATGCTCTCAGCTGACACTTTACCCAGCATGATGCTCACCGCTTGGATTACTATTGCTTGGTTCTTCCTTCGTGGGGGGAATGCGATGCGTCCCTCAGCCTTATCCCGCGCTCACGGCTTCCTCTGGATGTACATCGGTGCCTATATCCTCCTTGTCGGTGGCACGATCGCAGAACGCCACTTCCAAATTGCGGGCACCTATTTCCTTGTTATCTACTTCGCTGCCATCTTTGTCGCCCTCTTGATCTCTTACGTTGAGCTGTTCGCTCTGCCCAAGAAGCAGGTATTTGTCCAGCAGTTCATCGACTCGCAGTACTCAGGCACTCGCACGCCTGCCAGTCTCCGCCGGTCAATGACGCCAACATCCAGCCGTCCTCTGACGGCAGTTACGGGAGTGAACTTGTCCTCCGAGCCTCTGCCCAAGCTGCGCGACGAAATCCGTGCCAATGACGATGACTCGGTTACCGAGACTACCTCACTCCTTCGTAGCGACCGACCCACGACATTTGCTCGCTATGGCAGTCGCCGCACCTCAATGGATGCTCATTCTGCTCTTTCGGTAGGCGGCCGCAATGCCTCCGGCCCTCCTGCTCCTCCCCGGCCTTATGACAAAGAACAGCCCTGGTCTGGCTATTTGCCGAGTTGGACATGGCTGCTTCAATTCCTTCTGGTCGCTCCGATTAACATAATTCTGATCGGTCAGATCGGGCTCATAATTACCAGCGCCTTGCACCAGACGCTAGCGGACGGCAGCTCCGCTATCCTCGTTTACATAATGATAGCAGTCTTCACGGTGCTGCTGCTCCTGCCCATGGTTCCATTTTTGCACCGCTTTTCCCTACAGATTCCCACTTTCTTGTTTATGATTTGTGTTGGCACGCTTATTTATAATCTTGTCGCCTTCCCTTTCTCTCCGAACAACAAACTCAAGGTGTACTTCATCCAGCGCGTAGACCTGGACACGGGGCTTAATGAGGTCAGCCTGACCGGCTTGGACGGCTATGTCCAGAACATTGTCTCGCAGCTGCCGTCAGCTGCAAACCAGGAGATCAAATGCGGCGAGCCCGATATGGCTTCCAGAGCCGGGTTGACCAAATGCGCATGGCGGGGACTTGCGCCAGCAGTTGTCCCGCGCGATGATTCCGCGCTCCCGCCGGACGAGCGCGGCTACCTGGACAGCTGGATTACGCTCAACGCAACGAGAAACGACACGCATGCAAGAGCAACGTTTGAGATATCCGGGCGCGACACGCGCAGCTGCCGTCTCTTCTTCGACGCGCCGATCAAGGACTTTAGCGTGCGCGGCGCGTCGACGTCGCGGCAATTCCCGCACGTCGGCGAGGACGGAACGACGGAAATCAGGCTGTGGAGCAGGGATTGGGAGAGGCCGTGGGAGGTGGAGGTGAAGTGGGAGGGCGACGGGGGCATGGATGGCAGAGCCGTATGCATCTGGAGCGACGCCAACGACAAGGGGCGGATCCCTGCGCTGGACGAGGTGCGGATGGAGATGGGTGATTGGGCAATTGTAAGCAAGCTGAGCGACGGGCTGGTGGAGGGCGTCAGGGCGTTTGCAGTGTAGCGATGAGTTGTTCACGAATGCGATTGGCCGGTGCGACGGTAGGGCTGGTCACGTGCGGGAGTTGTTTACTTTGCGGCCCGCCAAGTGCGTCAGTCTCCCCACACTCTCAACCCGCCTCGCGACCACGGCGCGACCATCGTGAGACTGGCCACCTTCATATAGCCCCCGTGCCCCCTCTCTCTTTCTCTCTATCTTGCACGCCATGGTTCACACTCGCCGCTCCTCCCGCCTGCAGGCCACGCCGCAGGTCAGTCGCCGCACGCGCATTCCTGCTACATATCCTTCATTCCACTGACTGTGTTGACAGCGCGACGATGCCTCGCACACTCCCGAGCCGTCCACCCCGAAGCCCGTAGCTGCTACGCCCTGCCTGCCCACCCTCGGTGAGTCCGAAGAGCCAGCCGACCAACCCGCCCCCGCCGCAACGCCGCAAGCTTCCAATCGAGCCGTAACCTTCCTCCAGTCCTTCATGGCGCGCACTCCCAAGAACCAGACCCTGCTCAAGCCCAGCGGCGAAGAGATGCACCCGGAACACCACCACCTGAGCACCGCCAAGCCCTTGGACGAGGCGCGCTGGCTGGGCTTCCTCAACATGGGCGCCCGCACCGAGCCGGCCAAGAAGGGCGCTAGCAAGATCCCCATCACTCAAGCCACCCCGACCAAGGCCCAAGAGTCGACGCCGAGCCTGAAGGAGTTCTCCACGCCCGAGTTCAAGTTCCGCTTCCGCCGCCAGTCGTTGGAGCTCAGCCCCGAGGCGCAGAAGCTGATGGAGGAGAGCAGGCAAGAGGCGATCAAGATCCGCGCTCAGATGAATGCGAATCCAGAGGAATCTGGCGTTGAAACGAATGAAGACATTCAGCGCAGAATTGCGAAGCCAAAGGGCAAATCGACCAGGTTCAGCGACGTGCACATGGCGCAGTTCAAGAAGATGGACTCGATCGCCAACCATCCGTCGGCCTTCCGCGCCGACCCCAACAGAATTAAGGCTGGAAACCCCGCTCTCAAGCGTTCGCCGTCCAAGGCCGAATTGGACAAGGGCGACAACTCGCCGGCGAAGCTTCCGCGCTCTAGGTCGACGGTCTCTCTGAACAAACCGCAAGAAGACAAGGAGTCTGGTCCCGCGAAGCGTGTCAAACGCGCCGAAGGAGAAGACGCATCTGCAGCACGCCCCAAGGAGGGTCAGGCCCAAGATGGCAATCCGGCTGCACCCAAGAGCGGTATTCCGCGTTTCGCGTCAAAGTCCAATCTGATGACACCTACAAAGGCCACCATTGCCCGCTCCCAGAGCGTGAAGAGCTTCAAAAAGACCACCATGATCCCGATGCTGTCCCGGTCGCCGTCCGTTCATAACCTCGGCACTCCTTCCAAGCCCAAGGCCCAATCTGCAGTCAAGGGCGGTCTCCTCAAGCCGAACCAGACGCTTTCCCGCCTCCCGTCTGTCAAGTCCATTCTCCGCAGTCCCACCCGCCACTACTCCAATGACCCGGCCAAGATTGCTGCGGGCACCCACGTCACGACGCCTCCCGACTTTGCGCAAGAGATGCCTGATATCCCTGCGACTGAGCCGGTGCAAAAGAAGGTCAACTTCTCGGACAGCACTAATACTAGAATGGACATTGACATGAACGACGCATCCGAGAAGGAAGACGAGGTTGAGGAGCCTTCTGAGGCCGCAGAGCCTGTAGCGCCCGAAGCACCGGCCGAGAAGCCCGCAGACATCACGTACCCCCAGCTTCCATCCTTCGGATCTCCCTCCCGCACGGCGACCACGGCCGGCGCTCCCGGCCCTGGCGACTTCACCTTCCGCTCGAACCGGTCTATCTCTTTTGGCGCCGGCCTCAAGGGTGTCAAGGGCCCCACGATCCGCAAAGTACGCAGCAGTGACGCAGGCGCCACGCTTCCTAAGCCTTTCGACAGCAGCGACAACGCCGTGACGCCGTCGCCCAAGAAGCGCAAGCAGGTCAACATCCCGGCCGGCATCGCCGAGAACGAGAAAGAGAACGACGACACTGCTGCCTCGGAGGAAGAAGCTGCCCGTCCCGCCAAGCGCGTGAAGCCCTCTTCTGCGCCGATTGCGCCGCCGAAGACACCCGCGAAGCCGGCTGCGAGGAAGAGAACGGCTGCGCCTTCGACGGCGAAGCCGGCGGACAAGCGTGGGCGCGCGGCGCTGAGCCAGGCGAGGCTGAACTTGCTGGCGCAGCCGAAGCGCAGGGCTTAGGCTCGTGCGACTGTGCGCGAAAACTCTCGAAGCATTCATAGGCGTTTTTGGTGTCGATTTGTCTGTCTGGCTTTGGAGAGTACCCTACCTAGCGACATTGAGCACAGCGACCGCGGAACGACGGACGACCATGATACGACAGTTAGCGAGCGATCGAGCAAACGTTCCGGCACCACATTGTCCTCTTTCTCTTTTTTTCTTCTCTTTTTCTTCACTCTTGGCTTTTACAACTCTCGCTGTTTACACCCCAATATTTTTCCTCTTAGCCGGATGAGCAGCAGCTGCTTTTTTCTCGCAACCGGCACCCTGCTGTCCATCACCCACACGCAAACGCAGCCGCGCTTTCCATTTCGGGCTATAATTTCATACGTTACATTACGCCCCGCTCCGCGGCCCCGCCCAAGGCCTTGGCTGAAGGGACGCGGATGCGTGGCACCGAGACGAGGCATTGTCGTTTCGTGGCGAGGCAAGCCGTTTCGCGACGAGGCGTTTCGTGGACCCTGCCACCTACCTACCTACCTACCTAGGTCTGGGCCCAGGGCACCCCAGGCCCCTCTCCGACCGATAGCCGAGATTTCTTTTTTTGGGTTTTTTGGGTGCCCGTTGCCCGTGTGGTTTCCGTTTCCGCTGCTGGATCATGGCGGCAGGCGGATATCTAATGGCGGCTTGGCGGCGGCCACCGACCGGATCGGCCTCGTGCGCTCGCTTGCGCGTCGACTTGTTGGCCGCGTTTTTTGCACGCGTGGCCCCCAGCCGGCCGGGTAACGGGTTGCGCATGCATGCGCCACTGAGGTCCTTACTGCCCGCGCACATCGTCTTGCCGTTTTGCATGGCGTAGCCGGCCGGGTTTGTCGACTTCAGGGGGCTTGACTGGACTGGACTGATTGCTGTGACTGATACGGTCGGTCTGCTCTGCTCTTTCTTGGCTCTTGGGTGCGTGGGTGCTGTGGTACTTACCTACCTAGTGCTGGGGGTGGAGAGTGCAGTGGAGAACGCAGTGTCTGGTTGCTGCTGCCTTTTTGCTGCTGCCGGCGCAGGCGCATATGTATGCTGCTGCTTGCTTTTCTCTTTCCCTTTCTCTTTCCTTTCTTTCCATTCCCTTGCGTTTTCCTTGCGTTTGCATGCATGCACACACATTTGTTTGTTTATCCTGGCTGGCTGGCGGGCGAGAAATCGGCAAAGGCGTGATGGTGGGTCGGAGGGCAAAAAGAATAAATGGATGGGTTTGGTTTCATTGGGTTGAGTTGAGTTGGGTGGGTTTGGTTAAAAAGGAGTATAGGTATTGGACGGTATAGGATGGTAATTATGGTTTGAGTGTTTGAGTCTGGTGTTTTTTTGTGTTTTTTTGTGGTGTGGTATGCGTTTTGTGGAGGGGTGTGTGGTGGTTGATTGGGATGGAGTGTGTGTATGTGTGTGTAAGTGTGTGATCTGGACGCGGCGTGCAGTATAGATGTGTCTGTGTCTATCTATCTTGCAATTCACGCCGCCACCCTCCAAGTCGTCTAGCAAGATAGACAGGCTTATAGCTATACATCCCAGATTACTCCGGCCTACATATATATATATATATATATACCTGATATACCATGCTTCCATGAGTCAGTCCCTACGGAGTAGGAGTAAATACGAGTGAAAGGACATACTGCGCACACATTATTTATTTATACTGTTTATATATCTTGACCAGATTCCGCGTCTCCTTCACACACAAGCATCGTTAGGTAGATGGTGAATGACGGACGCGAACCGCATTGGTCAATTCATCAGTCTGTTTTTGGCACCGACGCACGTGGTGGGGCGGAAGAAGGGCGGGCGAAGACGGCTCCCGCCGGCGCGCCCAATTCCTGTTCTGTCTGTCACTCTGTCCACTTGGATTGAAACTACTTACTTGCATTTACGACGTGCAACCACACCCGCATTCACTGCTCCCGCACTCGCTCGCTCGCTTTCGCGTGCTTGCCTACGGTACTGAAACACACGCTCGCACGAGAGCGTCATCGCTACCTGGGTGCTTACCTACTTACACCGCAACGACTGCGACTGCGACGGACTTTGCGGCTTCAACGAACGCACGCTCGTACCGCTCTCAACTTTCACACTACACGCACTACTCGCGCCGCTCGCAAGCTCGCTACATCCGCACCGCTCGCCCCGCACGAGCACAAGCCCCAGCCGTGGCGTCCTCAGTAGCAGTGCGCGACTACATCAAGCAGTACCTCTCCGGCGCCCACGGCAGCGACAAGGGACACCAGCAGGAAACGACAGCGGTGCAGCAGCTCGGTCGCTGGTTGAGTGCGAACGGCCTCCCGCTGCCCAGGGCTGTGTTCGGATACCCCGACGCGCGCTCGTCTGATATTGTTGGGAGGGGCTGGTCTGCCGACGTCGTAAGGAAGGCTGCTGGTCTTTTCGAGGGCCCTGTCAAAAAAGTCGTTTCCGCATCGGGCCTCGTTTCCACCTCCGGCTCGGACTTCGATACAGTCTCGGCGACTGTCCTCGTTTTCACCCTCATCCTAGGCGTCCTCATCGGCATCCTCGGCGTCCGCACAATGTCTAGCTGGTCGTCGCGCTTCGGCTCATGGAGCGGCAAGTTCAGCCCCTTTGGCCGGGGCGACAGCAGCACGGCGCCCGTCACCGACGCCGACTTCAGCTACATCACAGCCGAAGATCTGGCCGCGTCACAGAAGAACCTCGCAGCCGGCAGCAGCAGCGGCGACACGGACGCGCTGGTCCTCAAGCACAAGCGCGTCAGCTACCCGGTGCACTTTGCGCGTGGGGCCATCGCCTCGGGCGCGCTGGGCGTGCGCGACGTCCGCGCCGCCGCGGCCCGCCAGCTCGGCGTCGACGACGCTTCCCGCGTCAAGCTGTTCCATAAAGGCCGCCAGCTGAAGGACGGGATCCCCGCGCGCGCCGCCGGCCTCGCCCCCGGCATGGACGCCGAGATCCTGTGCGTCGTGGCCGAGGGCGCGCCGTTCGGGGCGGGCATGACGAGCGCGGAGCGCGCGGGGCTGGGCCACGGCGGCGGCAGCGGCGACGACGACGACGATGACGACGACGACGGAGACGAAGACGGCAGCGCCGCGCCCGGCGGCGCATCCAAGAAGAAAAAGAAGCGCAGCAACCGCCGCGGCGGCAAGAAGAGCCGCAAGGCAGCCGGCGGCGGCGGCGCAGACTCATCCGGCACCGCGACGCCCAACGGCGGCGGCGTGTACAGCACGGGCGGCGCGGGCGCAGAGTTCCTGGGCGGCGCAGGCATGGCGGGCCCGATCCCGCCAGCACACAAGCCCGCGCCGGCGCCCGCGGCGCGCCCAGCGCCCCTGTCCCCGCTCGCCCAGCTCGACGCCATCGAGGCCTCGTTCCGCGAGAACTTGGAGCCGCTGTGCGAGGCGTTTATGCGCGCGCCGCCGGCCGACCCTGCGAAGCGCGATTTCGAACATAAGAAGCTTAGCGAGACGGTGCTGGCGCAGGTGCTGCTGAAGTTGGATGCGGTGGATACGGCTGGGGAGGAGGAGGCGAGGGCTCGGAGGAAGGAGCTGGTCCGCTTGTGTAATCGCGTGTTGGGGGGGCTGGATGAGGTCGTTAAGTCTTAGGGGTGGGGATGGTTTGGAGTGGGTGATTTGGGGGAAGGGGGTGGTTTATGGGTTTATGGGTTTGGGTTTGGGGGTTATAGCGGGGGGGCGGGTAAAGGGCTTGTTACGATAGATGTGCGTGGTTATGTAGGCATTGAGCGAGTGATTTGGTTCAATTCAGTTCAGTTCAGTTCGGTTCGGTTCGGTTCTGGATGGATAGGTAGGTAGGTAGACAAACAACAGACAACAGACAGAACGAATGCATGGGTAGTTAAGCAGTTCGTACGCTCTCGTCGCATCGTCGTCTCCCCTACTACTATCTCCGTCCCGCACAGAGCCATCCCATCCCATGCTGTGCACACCTAGCTACCTACCTAGACAGACGCACGCAGACGAACGCAGCTAACAGAAGGGATGGAAGGTCGAGCGGCGCTGTCTGCGCTGGTGCTGGTGCTGGTGTTTGCGTTTGCGGCTGCGGCTGCGGCTGCGGCTTTAGGCTAAGATGGTATGGTGTGGTGTGGTGTGCTGTGGTATTTATGGTTGTGAGTGGAGATGCGAAGGGCGCTGGTTGGTGCTGGTGCTGCCTGCGCGTGTGAGAGTGTGAGAGTGTGAGAGGGTGTGTGTGTGTGTGTGTGTGTGTGTGTGTGTGTGTGTGTGTGGCGGTTGTATTAGTCTTCGTCGTGTGCTATTGTTGTACCACTATCACTACACTATCAACACGCACGCTGCCTGTTATACCTGACTACACTAGCACTATCAACTCTTCTTCTTCTTCTCCTACTTCCTCACACTATTCTTCTTTCCGCCATTCTCCCCGTCATTCCTTCCTACGCTCATGCGCGTGCGTGCGTTGAAAGAATGCGGAATAAATCCTTAGTACCTTAGGAGGGAATAAGGTAGGACGTAGTTTCGCTAAGAGGTGGCGTTATTGTGCAGAGTGGCGTGAAAGGGTTAGAGGTTTAGAGGGTGTAGGGGGTATTAGTGTTAGTGTTGGTGTGTGTGGTATGCTAACTATTACTACCTAATTTAACAACGTATACGTAAACCCACTCTCTTTTTCGTTTTCGTTTTCCTCTCCCCTTAAACTATATATATACATAAGCATACGCACAATACAGTAGTTAAAAAAAAGAAAGAAAATCCCGCTCGACAATAGTAGGCTAAGCTAAACTAAGCTAAGCCAAGCTAAAATATCTTTAAGGGCTTTCGTACTAAGCTATATATATATATACATGTATATATAAAAGGAAGGAAGCGAGTAAGTATAAGTAAATAAGTACGTATATACACCAGCATTCGTCTATCTACTACAATAAGTATCCCATATCTCCCTCTTCTCTTCTCTTCTCTTATCTCTACAAGACATGCCATACCATACCCTAGTCCATAGCATGCCCTACCATGCCCTAACGTACCAACATGACCAACATGACCAACACCAAACCACATCCACGTCACCACCCCCGTCTTAACTCAATACACTAAGCAGTAAGCACAAAGAACACGCTCGGCATAGCAGATCTAAATTCACAAACTACTCAGCATTCCTCTCTATCCCTTTCCAATCCAAGCAACCCAACGCAATTCAGTCCATTTCAGTTTCTTCCCTCGCTAGTCCACACCCCACACCCCACTCCCTAGTCCCTACTTGGCACTAGGTAGGTACCACTACCTACCGCCTCCTACACGCGCAGAGAGACTGTCCAAACGGCGTGGACCTATAGCGCCTACTGCCTAGCGCGTAGCTACTACCAGCACCAACATCACAGATCTAGGCTAGGTCGAGTATATCAGAGCCAAGAGAGAGAAAAGAGGGAGAGAGGGAGAGAGTAACGCCGTGTCCTTAGGCTAAAGCGGCACTCCCTCTACTTCTATGCCATGCCACGGCAGCCCAGTCCAGTCAAGCCACCAACTACATCGCAAGCCAGTCAGTCCACGCCACGCCACCACCTCCAGCGACCTAGACCAAACCAGACCAAACCAAAACAGAAAAGGAGTACTACGACGAAGAGTGCGAAGAAAGAGAAGAAGCCAACCAAACGCACCAAACACAAACACAACCCGCGCCAAACCCACGCCAAACACCACCCCCCAAACACAACTCCCACACCCACAAAAAAAAAAAAAAAAGCATCATCAACAAGAAAGCTCAAGACGCAAAACCACACAACACCACGCAACTGCACAAAAGCTCGAAAAGAATAAAAATAAACATAAAGATAAAATAAAAAAAGGAAACTAAAAATTCCACGGGGTATCTCGTCGAACGAAGCCTAGGGTAGCCAGAGGCAGACGCAGTAGGTAGGCAGATAAACGACGCAGAACAGACAGGGCACAACACCGCACCGCACCGCATGGCATGGCCACATCTCCACACACAACACCATCTACATCCACACCAAGCCAAGCCATGCCACACCACGCACCACACCACCGCGCCGCGCCGTGCCCCATCTATCCCGCATCACCCACCCATCCACCCATCACAGCCATCTACTCCATTATACATTGCCATTGCCACTGCCATTGCCATGCGACCAAATGCGCAACAAGCCAAACCAAACCAAATCAAACCTGCAGAGCCGGTCCGCGGTAACGGGAAGCAACACGACACGCACAACATAAGACGGCACGAGGCGTGCAGAGGCGCACCGCACCCTTCCTGTTCATGTGTGTAGTCGTCTTGTTTCCCAAACAAACACCTAGTCAAGCCGAACCCGGTTCGGCCTTCGGCCCGCCGCCTTATGCTGTATGTATGTATGTATGTATGTGCCCATGCGTCCAGTATACGCGTTGGGGCGCTCTCGTTGAGTGCTTTCCTTCTTCTTCTTCTTCTGAATATTGGTTGGGGAGGGGGGTTCGTGATTGTGCTCGCGGCTGGCGCGAGATTCCTTTTTGTTTTGTTTTTTTGCTTTTGGCTCCGTTTTCTCTCTCTCTGTCCTCAGTTAAGGGGAAGAAAGAAGATACGGAGCCGTGACGTGTTGTTGTTGTTCGTTGTTGTGTCTTGTCATTGCTTGTTGTTGTTTTTGAACCCTGTTGTTTTTGCTCCTTGCTGCTGCTCCAGCTCCATTGATTGATTGATTGATTGAGTCATAGAGTGATTCCTTCTCCGGCGGCGCCCGGCGTCGCGCGTGGGGTTGGGGTTGGGGGGAAGGTCGTCGTCGTTGCTTATTTCTTTAACTTCACTGCTTCGTTGCTGATGGTTGTTCTTCTGAGGTCCGGCCGAGAATTTTTGTCTGAGGGAAAGGAAGAATGGGTAAAAAGCAAAAGACAAGAAAAAAAAAAAAAAAAAACAAGAAAAATGGAAAAAAGAAAGAAAAAAAAAAAAAAAAGAAAAAAAAGAGAAAAACGAGAAACAAGAAACGAAGTGAGAGAAATCAAAAAGGGAGGGGCTGCGAGGCTGGCTCGCTCGCCCGCTCTCGCTCGTCGTTCTAATGCGTTCCGCCGCATCGGGCAGCCGCAGCGGCGGAGAATCTTCTCCGGCCTCCAAGGCCTGGCACACGCCCATACGGAACCTCTCTCTCGGCATGACCCCGCGTCCTGCGCGCTCGCGTGTTGCCCCGAACGTCGCATCTGACGGGCCCGAGGCCCCCTTGCGCTTACCGGAACGGAAACCCCATTCCCTGCCCCATGCCCATGCCGCTGCCTTGGTCCGCGAACATGCTGGCCCACTCCTCGCTCGTCAGCAGCTCGTCAAGATCCATGTTGCCGGTGACGCCGCCGCCCGTCATGCCTATGCTGACCTGGCCTCCCACACCGCCGCCGCCGCCGCTGCCCTGGCCCATGTCTTGCCGCTGCTGCGCGCCGTGTAAGCCAAACATCGGCGCTCCCGCTCCGGCGTTGCCGTGGAGGTGTTGCTGCTGCTGCTGCTGCTGCTGCTGCTGCTGCGCGGCTGACATGCCCCCGTGCAGGCCGCCAAAGCTGCCGTGCGGCGCGAAGATGAAGGGCCCAGAGTTGTACAGCTCGACGTCAACGCTCCCCCCATGCGGGTCGTGAGGCGTGGCGTTGGGAGGGAGGGCGAAGATGCCGCCTCTGTTACGCGAGCTGGTGCCCGTCATGGCGGGAGTTCCCGTACCGGTGCCGAAGCCGAAGTTCGCGCCAGTCATCAAATTGGCGCCACTGTTGCTAGCGTCGGGAGCGGCGTCGCCCTTGTTGATGTTGCTGAAGCCACTTTTTTCGAATGTCGTCATCGGTTGGTTTGGATAGGCGAGCGGGTCGGCCGAGGGGAACATCATAGCGTTGAGGTCCGGGATCGACGGATTGATCCCACTGACGCGGTCAGCGAAGTTGTTCTGCACCGGTGAAAAGCCAAATTGCGGGTTGGGAAAGAGGTTCGACGAGGCAGCTACCGGGGACGGTGCAAGCCCAGCTGTCACGCCAGGATAGATGTTCCTGAGGGGAACGGTGGCTTGAAAAGGCGACTCGGGAGTGCTGCCATACTGCGGCGACGGTGTGAGGTCAACGGGCTGTGGGAAGCTCGCACGGAAGGGACCGCCGCGTTTGGTGTCTTCAGGAGTACTGTTTTTCGGAAACGTGTTCGCGCGACGGGGCCCGGCGGGTTGGATGTCGTGCAAGTCTGGCTCCGAAAGGCCAGACATTGACTTCGATTCGGGGTTGGGCGACGGTGCTTGTCTGCGCTTGCGGCTTGCGGCGGCCATGGCCATGTCCCGGCCGCGTTGGATGCGTTCTGGCAGCTTGTCGAAGACGGCCTGCAACTGTTAGCAGCGAATTGGCCCGGCAGTGTTCGTCTGACGTACCTTCAGAGTGATTGTGCATCTATCAGCCGCCATGCTTCTCTTAGCTAGAGCCTCCAGCACCTCCTTTCCTTCGTGTGCCTCCTTCAGAATATCTTTGCTCGTCTGCGTCTCCGGGTTCTCCAAAGCAAAGAAGACCAGCGTCATGATGGCGAAGAAGGTTGTGTACATTGTGAACCAGTATGCGCCATTGAGCATTCCCTTCCGTTTCATTTCGACCGCGATATGAATGATGTTTCGAGAGACGCTCACACAGGCAGAGGCACAGGCGTAGGCGCGTTTGTCGAGAGTATGACAGTTGGACGATTTGGACACGTAGTGTATGAAGGGTCGGTAGAGCATCATCTGAGTGTGTGCGTATGCCATTCGTAGGAGTTGCCGTACCCTAGATGCGTGTTAGCTGAAGCCAACCCAGAGGTGGATGGTTGTACCGCGACTTACTTGACGATGAGCGGACTCTGCTCGCCGCCAGGCTTCAACTCCATCGGCAACTCTTCCATCCACTCTTGGAGATCATGTTCAATGTCCCGAATGTCGGCATACGAGACGGTGTATGACTTGATCTTCTGGCCGTGCAAAACGTGCGTTTTGCCTTTGATGGGGTAGACGACACGGACGATTTTCGAAAGAAGCATCGTGAGCTTAGTGTGGGCGTTACACGCGGCCATGAGTGGGACTTGGTCCGGCGGCTGGGTGCCGTATTCCGTCTCGGTTATGTATTCGTCGTCGATCTCCATCGGATAATCTTGATCGATCTCATCACCACTCATAGTGTGAGGCAGTCCCAGCATGGCGCCGACGTAGACGTCCATTTTGCGGACCACCCAGAAGATCCGCTTGCGGGTCTCGTTTTCGATCGGATTGAATCGCTCGTCCATGGATCGATGCAGGCCCATTCTCAGGGCCGAACGAAGTGCGACACCAATGTATGCGTAACAGGTAGACAGCTTGGCCGAAGATTGGAGGAAGAGTATCATGAAAACGACTGCCTGCAGAGCGTTCAGGTCGCGACAGACTGCAATGTCAAGTATGCTACGGGCGGCTTTGAAGTATTGTACCCTGCGCGGTCTGTCAGTGGGATGGGACGAGATGGGAGAAGGAGAGGTTTTCAATCTCACCCTTCGTTAATTGCATTCTCGTAGTTCGATTCGTCGTCCACGTTCTGGCTTCGTGAGAACAGCATGCCCTGGGCGAGGACCATGTAGAGCAAGGGCAGAAAGCTGTGCTCCTTGGAAGTGTAGTCATCGAACGACTTGTTGTACATCTCGTCGACGTTCTTGTAAAACGTCGGGAGGTGAACGACGCGTAGCAGGGCGCACGCATCGTTCAAGGCGATCTCGCAGATTTCCAGCGCCTGTTCTTTCGGAGGCAACTCGACGAAGCCAGGGGAAGGAGTGTTGTCCGTTTGGCCAGGTGAATCCTGCACTGACCGAGGGGACTCGAAGACGTGTGCCATGGGTCGCGACGAGAGGACACTAAAGGGCGTGGACTCGCCCTCTCCGCGGCCCATGATGTCGAATCTCTCGCGCATGCGGCGGACGAAGCTCAAGCCGGAGGAGTGACCATGGTAGTCCCAGTAACCATGCTCGTCCAGATCCAGCTGGCCGGTGGCTCGCACCATTGACTCGAGCTGGGCCTCTTCCGTGGGACCCGCAGCGAAGGACGGGGGCGGAAACGGCCTGGGCTGGGGCAAAGGGGGCAGTTGGCCCTCCTCGAGGCCGGCCACGAGGGAAGGGTCGTCGAGATTGAGGTTGGGCAGAACTGCGGCCAGCAGCGCCTCGGCCCGCTTCATCCGGTTCTCGAGGGCCTCGACGTACTGAGGCGCAGCATTGCGCCGGCGGTTCGAGGGCTGGTCGTAAGTGCATTCTGTGTGGGGTGGGGTTAGGACGGCACGATGACACTAGGCGGCGTGGACCAATTCGCGCGCGCGCAATTCTTTTCGACTAACCATAGCTATAGACGGTACAATGGGTGCAAGGCTGCTTGCCGTCACACTTGATCTTCTTGCGGCGGCACTCATCGCAGGCACGAGTGACACGGCGACGCTTCTGCATGGGCACCGAGGGCCGCGGGGCGGCAGCAGAGGTGGTCGTGGTGGACTCGGAGGCATTGTCTGGCGACGAGGGCACGTCGTCCGCGGCGAGGGCGTTGGAACGGTCGTCCGAAGACATGTTTTTTTTGGGTATTGCGGATGGGTAGTCTCTCCGGGGGACCTGCCCAGGTTTTAACGCGACCGGGGCATATGGCAGTCCGACGTGACTGTGGAGACGGGAGGTCGCCAAGGGCTGCGCGGTGGCGGTGATCGCAGGGCGCAGAGCCCGAGACGCGGCTTGTCAGCGTAGGGCTGTAACGATAAAGCCAAAAGGGAAGGGCTGCGAGGCGGCTCTCCCTCGGCTACGTAATGGGCAGAGGCTAAGCTTTGCTGGCGCGCATTTCCCGCCTGCCGCCGGCCCAATCGCACCCTGCTGCAACACAAATCCCACCCACCAGCCCCCCCTGCGCGGTCTCTGCCGCGCTGCCGGCGCCCTTTCTCCACCGAACGCCGTGCCGATGCTTCCAGAACGAGGTTCCGGCCTACGCACGTATCATTTTATTTCTTACACACCTACCTTTCCTTTCGTTTTGCCCAGCGGAGCGCTGTCCGCCCCAAGTGGAAATAAGCCGCAGGCGAGTCATGACCTCATCCCGTCAGCGACGCGAGGAATCTCTTGGCGATAAGCATGGGGGGTGGGCAGCACTGATCAATACATTAGACGGGCTCGCTTGGCGCCCAGCCCAGACGAGTCCTGCGAATGCGAGCCCCAAGCAGGCATTATCGACCAGCTGGGCGTCATGTGCCAGCCCGCCCCGTCCAATCGACAGGCGACCTGCCCCAATCGCAACTCTTGGCCCTGGCCCTCCGCTGCGTCCGGAGCGGCGCCAGATAAATTTGGAACACTCGTATGAGCCGACACCCCGTTCCCCGCCGCTAGCCCGCAAACCAGATCTCCAGATGCACCACGCCGGAAATGATGCCACCCAAAAGGCCTCTCCGGCACCAATGCGGCCTCCATGGGGGGCTGCCATGAAATTGCGCCTGAGGCCCAGCCGTCTCACTTCATGCGCCGGCGGGGCCTGCCGACTGGAAGGGCATAGCTTGCATGTCCTGTGCGCCTGTGTCGTGAGCCAACGTGTCGTTTTGCCTGCTCGTCGTCGGCTGCCCGTTGCGGTAGATGCCATCCCAGCATCTCGACACTCAGCTCCTGCCTTGACCGGTCAGCCCTCGGAGACGCCGCCACTGCGATCTTCGTGCCAGAACCCAGAACCCGAATTGCGGGTCATGCGGTGGACCGAACTTACAGCGGCCTGTTGTGACTGTTCGTTGCAAGCGCACTGCAACCGGACTTGAGCGGTACCGGATGTGACACGGAGCGACTAACGGCTTTGTGTTGCTATTAGTGTGAACTATGAGTCGGAGCGCGTTTTCGGCAGAAATCGTAAGTTGCAGGGGCTTGACAAGGGTGCCTTCCTAGGTATTATCGTAGTGAGTGAACGAATACGCCATGTGGGCGGCCAGTGGTTGCAAGCCCCCCAGACCCATGGGCGATTGTGGACCGCGGCCGAAGGCGCAGGATTTCGTGACTGGTTGACGTGAGTGGGATGCTGATGCGGTCATCAGGCCTGCCTGACCGAGGAGATGCTTGCCGTCTTCGTCGATGCTCGGTCGTCCGATTTACGAGCGTCGTCGTCAAGGCCGTGGGTGAAAATTACAGGAGACGTGCGATGAACGCGGCCGTTGTCTCTTGAGCCGGTAGAGACGTTTTGTCTTGCGCGTTTCCGGGCGAAAGGATTTCAGACTAAGAAGCGGGCTCTTTCCACCTGCGGACGCGCAGATGTGTTGCCAGGGCCAAACCTCAGTACAACCGCAGCTCTTGCAAGTCAAAGCGCCACTGGCGGAAACGGGACAAGGTGAAGCATCTTCCTAGCCGGACTGCTGGCCCTCTGCTCGAGCGGATCGATGGCTTTTGGCCCAGCGACGCTGTCGGCCAGGTTCTTCGCGTAGCCTGGTGTGCGCGCCGTAGCCGAGCTGGACGTGGTCAAAGCGCCTACTCCAAGGTCCCAGTGATGTAGAGAGAGCTGAACTGTGTACTACACCTCTTATACAGGGGTTAAATCCCGTCCAAGCGTTGGAGAATCGAATCCATCGTAAGAGGAGGCATGAGATGTCGTCGGAATAGTGGCTCAGCAGCAAGGCTTAGCTGTGGACGCTTAGCCAGGGCCCAAGGGGGCTGTGCAAGAAGCCTGCCCGTGCGTGAACAGTTCCCCAGATGCACAGCCTCCCTTAGCGCATTCCAAGACCAGGGTGCGCAACGCACCTCGTTTTATTTCCGCGGCCAGCTGTCGCCGACTGCAATGAGCGTGGCGTCGAGAGAAACCTCCGTGGGAGAAGGGCGCTTTTTTTCGCAGCATGCCTGCCCTGCCAGCAGCGCCTCTCCCGCAGCTGCCTGGCCTCAACACCACGCCCGGCCAGCGCGCTAACGCTCGGATGCGATCCGCAGATTGCCTCGCGGTCGGTTAATTCCCACACGGCTGTTTTCTGGAAACATGCGGGTCATCATCCGAAATGTCATCTCACCCAAATGATAGGCTGGCAATTCCGGATCCTCCAGCGAGCTGTACATCATATCCGGTCTCAGACTTGGGCTCCTGGGTGAGATCCGCGAAGCGAAACGCGGGGACGGGACGCTACTGGCCCGGTCCTAGATGAAAATCCTTCTAAGAACCTTAACTTTCGCACCGCTGGCCGCTTTGAACCCGGCCGGCGATCTCACGGCAGAGGCCACCCCCTAGCCTGAAAGCAACCCGTAGCGGCTTCTATATAGCTACGGTATACGAGGATCGGCGGCAAGGCGCAGAGCCGCTGGGACGGGCCGCGTCGCGTGGCTCGTCAATCTCACTATCGTCCCGGTGCCAACCAGTCAGTCAGTGTCGTGTCAAGAGCTAGGGTCGAGTGCAGGAGCCTGAGGCCGTCATGAGGCAATATATCACCCATTCCATCTCGCGTCGCGCCGGAATCTTCGCCACTTCGTCTCTGGACACCCTCGTGACATTGGACGGGCAGGGTTTCCGAATGTGAGCCGAAGGTCGTACACTGACGGAGGGCGATCTCCACCGACCGTGGCTTCTCACACCCGCACCAAAGCTATCTCGAAATTCTCGCCTTGCTGCGAATATGAGTATCACTCCTTCTCACGGCCATTGCTGTTTCGTGAATGTTTGTTTTCCAGTAGGCTGAGCGACATTGTGGTGGCATTGTCCTTCCTCATGTTTTGGGTGGGTCAACCATGTATTGGGGATGAGATTGCTTCTGTTCGTAGCCACGAGCATAGCAGCTGGCATGACGACAAAAAGTTCACTCTGCACTTCTGCAATGTGACGATGAGTAGCATCTGAGTGTTCAGAAATGCCACAAATCGGTACAGTCGCAGGAAGTTCCACAGAAAGGGGCTGCTCTAGATGGTTTCGGACACTGACCAGGTCGCGCCCTCGGGCACTCAACAGGCATGGGCGCCTTGACAAATTCGCGAAACCTCAATCCTTGTAAGCACAGCCTCACAGCAGGTGTACTCGCTTCCGATTTCGAAATAGGCACTGGAATGGCAGCTTAGATTGGCACTTCTCAACCCAAAAATGGAAAAGTTCTCCTTGATGCAAAGCCGGGCTGATGTTAAAGGTGTCTTTCGTCGTGCTGTAATCTCTTATTTGGCTGGTTTATACAATAACATTGGACTTTATTGCAATGTGAATTCAAGATGAGAGCTGAGATTTGTTTAAAATTCCGGCCTTCACCTCCCCGGTTTGTTGCAACAGACGCTGATGTAGTTCCCATTTGGTGAATTGAATTCAAAACCATAGGAGCAAGGCTTGTGACACCTCGAAGGTCATCCAAAAGCCTTCCAGCCTGAGGCGGATGGAGGCCATGCTCGGTCAATCTGAAGATGGGAGTTCCAATGTAAAAAGCCCAGTATGTCGACCGGACAGTCCACGAAGGTGGCGAATGCGTTAACGCAACCTGAGTTGTGAGTGTGGATATCGACTGTTGCATTGTTGGGTACCACATCACATCGGCTGAGAAGCGTTGAGACACTGAAAATTTATTCTTGATTGAGAGATGTATAAGAACGGCTTGTCGGCAAAGATTAAATGTAGCTTGCTAACGGAAGACGATCGAGCATCGCGTATCATGATACCGAAGAAACCGTGATTTTTACAGAGTCAAGTCATAAAGTTTTGACGATGGTTGAAAAAGGTGAGATGTGACTTTTAGAAAGTTAGTGCAACGTAGTTTTAGTGTTCTCTCTTCGTATAGCTGAGCCGAACGCTGGATGAGGTCCTGAATGCATATAGCAGGGCGTATTTGGCTGACCTCAGTTCGGTAGGTAGTGTTTGCCGATGATGGCAGGAAATATGAAACAAAATCGTTGATCGACGCACTGAGCACTTTGGGTTTAACCGTAACGACGAGTGCAGTCCCATCTCTTTGTAGCATTGATTGGTTATAACGTCACTCTCCCCATAATGGCCAAGGTGTGCAAGCATCCACGCAAAACCTAGCCATATATACCGATAAGCACTTGTTTAATGGTCGGAATTTGTTGACCAGCTCGAATATGGTAACCATTCTTGATTGTATGATGAGCTGGGAAAGACAGCAGTTGATGTTTCGTCTTGCTCATTGGTAAAGGCTGAAATGGCGGAGCGCTGCCACAGCTGAAATAGCGTTCCATTGTTTCCGGTCTGAATGCCTGATGCTAACACTCGAGGCTCAACGTTCAAGGGCTGGAGAGAGTAAAGAAAGAATGATGATAAACATGACAAGTAGCGGATAGCTTGCACTGAAGACATGTGCATGGTACTGAGCATTTTATGTCAAAACACTCAACAGGAAATACTTGCCGTCAGTACACATTCAACTCACGTTTGCCGGGCACAAGTTTTGGCCTAGAGAGTGAGCTGTGTTTCTGACCTGTGAAGTCGTAGACGCGACCGGGAACGACAGTGCGCGTTGAAGCGAGCCCTGCAGCGCAATGTCTCAGAGTCGTAGTTCAGAGACGCCGACGCAGACCAGCACGCATGGAGCGCATTTTAAATCAGTGTGCACAAGACGCAGTAGGACAAAGAAGAGGATGACAAGGCGATAAGAGGGCAACAGACGCGGCGAGCAGATCGGAGAGGCGCGACTTGGCCGATTGCACGCGTCCGGAGGTGGGTTTTTCCGGACCCGCACTTCGCTTGCGAAAGGCACTTGGAAAATCGACCTTGAAGCACACCGAGACGCCAACGCCAAACGACAATCCCCAACTAACCCACCACCCACCGACAGCGAAACAGCACGATGTCGACCTTCGAGCCAGTGGTTGTCATCGACGGCAAGGGCCACCTTCTCGGTCGCCTGGCGTCCACCGTCGCCAAGCAGCTCCTCAACGGCCAGAAGGTCGTTGTCGTCCGCTGCGAGGCCCTCAACATCTCCGGAGAGTTCTTCCGCGCGAAGCGTACGTCCACCACCCGCGACCGGATTCTGGCAATGGCAGGCGGAGGGATCCGGAAGCATTCCGAGCAATTTAAGGAATTATGGGCTTCGGGGCATGTGGCTGACTCCGATATCAAACAGTGAACTACTCGGCCTTCCTGCGCAAGCAGACCCGTTACAACCCCACCCGCGGCGGTCAGTAAACCCTCCCCGAACATCCTGAACAGCGGCGATTGCGGCGACACAGGATTACGCTTGCCCGGCGGTGATACTAATGGGATATCCAGGTCCCTTCCACTTCCGCGCTCCCTCCAAGATGTTCTGGCGCACTGTCCGGGGCATGGTTCCCCACAAGACTGCCCGTGGCGCCGCTGCCATGGAGCGCCTCAAGACCTTCGACGGTGTTCCCCCTCCCTACGACCACCAGAAGCGCATGGTCGTTCCCCAGGCCCTCCGTGTCCTTAGGTTGAAGCCCGGCCGCAAGTACTGCACCGTCGGTCGTCTGGGTCACGAGTTCGGCTGGAAGTACCAGGATGTCGTCTCCAGGTTCGTACACCCGCGCCCGGCTGCGAAAAATGGAGTGGTAGGACTGACAGGATTCCCACAGGCTCGAGGAGAGGAGGAAGGTCAAGAGCGCCGCCTACTACGAGCGCAAGAAGGTTGCCAGGAGGCAGCTCCAGGAGGCGTCGAAGAACGCGAAGGTGGACGAGAAGGTCAAGACCCAGCTCGCCGAGTACGGCTACTAGATTCGTTGAGCCAACAACGGTGGCACGGTTTCGACTGCGAGGGTAGTGGACATGGTCTGGCGCGGGTACCTGGGAATTGGGAGATGGTTTTAAGAAAAGAAAACTCCTTGTTCTCCAAGTTTCGACTATGCCGGCACGAAAAAATCCGACGACTTCAAGTGGGAGGCATCGTATGGGTTTATTCACACACACAATCCAAATGGCTTCTCATACCACAAAGTACTTTGTTTTTTATATTGCCTTGCGCTGCTTATGGGATTGTAGTAAGATTTCGACTAAACGGGTAGAAACAGCCCTTTTTCAGCGTGTGCGACGTGTACGATCAACCATTGATTGACATGAATCCACCCAGGGCAAGCCCACAAGCCGTGCGCGGCGCAGGCACCTACATAGGTAGCTACCTGAAAGCAACCCTACCCCACAATACGCACGCAGTACCTGGGTAGTAGGTAGCAGTTGGGGTAAGGCCGCCACGGCCCCGGTCTGCTGGTCTGCACGACACCCGCTCGGCCGACGGCGACGAGTCACGACCTCCGCCCTGCGTCGCGCTGTCCTACCGTTGTGGGCGAGGCTTCGATCGAGGTACACACGCCAGCAGGTAGGGTTGGGCTAGACCAGAGCGTGCATGCATGTTATGCCCTGCCATGCCAATGCCATGCCATCCATCCATCCGTCCATCCTGTACTCGTAGTTGGCACTGCATCAAGCAAGCAAGCAAGCAGGCAGGCAGGCGGGTAGGCAAAAGAACCCCCACGCCAACGCTAGCGCCATCCCCATACACCACAGCACAGCGCAGTGCGTACTGCGTGCATGTGGACACCCAGATACTGTACTGTACTGTACGTGGTAGCAGCACTGCCTAGGGAGCAGATAGTCAGTAGTCAGTCCCACTAGCGGCACTGCCATCCCACGCGCCCTAGCACGCCCTGCCTTGCTCTGCCCTGTAGTGAAGTCGCAAATAGCTCTCCCACTCTCTTTCTCTCTCCACCTCCCCGCAACTAGGTAGATAACCGCGCCCATATTGTACATACACACGCCGCAAGATGCTGCTCCGCGCGGCGCAGAGCGCTCACCGCGTTCCATTGTCCATCCGAGAGAGAGAGAGAGAGAGGGCAAGGGCATCGTTCGCCGACAGTCACTAACTTTCGCTCGCTCGCTCGGCCGGACCCCTCTGACTCGCCGCGCGCCCGCCAGCCCGCCAGCCCGCCTCGCTTCCCCACATTCCCCATCCCGCACCGGCGCTGCCCCTCCTGCCTGACGTGACCGTCGCTGCTCGCCGCTTTCTAACCTCGGGAACGCCAGAGGCTTTGCGGCGTTGCCCTCTTCCGCTGCGGAGAAGTCGCGTGTGTTGGCCATGTACGTGGTAACTACGTATGTACCTCTCGTGCTGGGGCGGCGGAGACGCGCGCACGTGGGCTGCGTTGTAGGTTACGCCTTTTTTTTCTTTCTTCTGCTGCTGCTGCTGTTCGTACTCACCTTTGCTTTCTAAGGTTAGGTTTGGGTTTCATTTGCTCGCGGACGCTTCTTGCTTTCTGTCTTTCTTCCTTCTTTGTTTTCTCTTTCCTGGGGTGTCGCATTTTGCTGGCGAGCTGATCCCGCGCTTCTTTGGGTCTGTGGTACTTGCTGGTGAGTGAGAACTTACGAGTGTGCGGGGTCTCTCTCCTTCTCCCGCTTGCCCGCCCACTTTCCGCTGCCACCACCGCTGCTACATACCTACTTCCTCCCGTCTTCGCTTGCGCACTGAGGAGCGCTGCGTAACTCGCCACCACGAAGACGACAACGGCGCTCACAATTCCCACAGCTGCCGCTATTTAAGCAACCATCATGTCTGGCGCAAAAACCCGCCTGCAGAGCCTCGCGGCGCACTTCCTCCCTTCGTCGCATTCCGATGAGGCACATGCGCAACAGCAACAGGGCGCTTTCACGCATCGCTACAACTACCACTCCCTCTCGCCCACAAGCTTCCTGCCGCGTGCCGCGGCCATAGAACCAGATGTAAGGGCCCAATGTCTTAGCAAAAACTGCACGGGCCTGCCGGCCGGCGAACGCGCAAAGTCCACATCTCTCCGCGACCTACCTTAGCAGACGCATCAGGCTGACCAGTGCGCCATAATGGATAGGCCGAAGCTATATACCACGTCACGGCGAACGGACGAGTTTTGCGCCGCTCGTACGATGAAGCGGCGGACCGAGCGCGCGGATTTGCTTACTTCCTCAAGAAGCACGGCTACAAGCGTGTGGGCATTTTGTGCCCGAATACACCTGCGTTCCTCGAGAGCTTGTTCGGCATCGCGGCTGCAGGCGCAGTGAGTGTCGGTATGGATCCTTCTGGCGCCTTGCGCGCGCACCGCCGTTTCTTCAGCTCTGTGGTGGAACATTAAATGCTGATCCTGTTGGTGCAATCTTCCTAGGTGTCAATTATCGGCTGAAGAAGGACGACATATCGTACATCCTGCAGCATTCGGACGCCGAAATTGTCATCGTTGATGCGGAGTTTCAATCGCTTTTGGACGGCTACCGCGATTTGGCGCCCAATGTTCCTATAATAGTGGATACAGACACTGACGTGACTGAAGGAGAGCTGAGTGGACAGTTCGACGAGGCTGTGCTGGAGGGTCTGCAATACGACACGGCCCAGGGCGGCAAAGGTTGGGCGGATCTTGAAGCGCAGGCACAAAGCGAGGATGATTTGCTTGCGCTGGCGTATACGAGTGGAACGACTGCTCGCCCGAAAGGCGTGGAGTATACCCACCGAGGCGCCTACCTCGCTACCCTGGCAAACGTGATCGAGTCCGGGTTGAATTTTCACACGGGACGGTGTCGATATCTGTGGACGTTACCAATGTTCCACGCGACAGGTGCGCGCAGTCAGGTTACGCGAAAAAGGGCTGACGCAGCTGACGTTGAGATTTGAAATAGGGTGGACTTTCCCATGGGCCGTCACCGCCGTGCGAGGGACGCACTATTGCTTGAGGAAAATTGACTATCCCCAGATTTGGCGGATGCTAAAAGAGGAGCGCATTACTCACTTTAATGCCGCACCTACAGTAAACACGCTTCTCTGCGCTGCCGAGGAAGCAGAACGGCTGCCACAGCCGGTGCGAGTGACGGTTGCCGCGAGTCCGCCGACGGCGCACCTGTTCGAGACAATGACGAATTTGAATCTGTACCCCGTTCACGTGTACGGTCTGACGGAGACGTACGGCCCCATCACCAAGGGATACCACCTGCCGGCGTGGCAAGAGCTGCCTGACAAAGAAAGGTACGCGAGAATGGCGCGCCAAGGCCACGGTTTCTTGACAAGCTTGCCGGTTCGAGTGATAAAACTCGACCAGCCGGGCGGCGCAGTCGTCGATGCGGCGAAAGACGGCAAAGAAATCGGCGAGATAGTCTTCACGGGCAACATCTGCGCGAGGGGTTATTACAAAGACCCCGAGGCGACGAAGAAGCTGTTTGCTGGCGGTGTTTCGCATTCCGGCGACCTTGCCGTGTGGCATCCGGACGGCGCGGTGCAAATCCTCGATCGCGCAAAGGACATCATCATCAGCGGTGAGTTTTGGCAGCATGGCGTACGCGGGCGGCGGAGCTGACGGACTTTGGACAGGCGGCGAGAACATATCGTCGGTCGCGCTGGAGAGCATGCTGGTGACTCATCCGGAGGTGCTGGAAGCGGGCGTGGTGGCCGTTGCCGACTCGCACTGGGGGGAGCGACCCAAGGCGTTTGTGACGGTGAAGGCGGGCAGGCAGGTCAGCGGGGCGGAGGTGATAGAGTGGGCGAAGCACCAGAGCCAGATCAGCAAGTTCATGGTGCCGCGCGAGGTCGAGGTGGTAGGGGAGTTGCCCAAGACGTCGACGGGCAAGGTGAAGAAGAATGTGCTGCGCGAATGGGCCAAGGGCGCAGACAGGCACGCGGTGAAATGATTAGATTGCGGGGGAGGAGGCAGCGATGGATGGTGGTGTGTGCGGCTGGAGTGATTGCCTGGGGCGCGACACACAAGGCTGAGCCGGGGATGTGCCAGGTGGCCTCTGAGAAGGGGCAGAAGGGGTTTGGGGTCGAGAGAAGAGAGAGCGAGAGAGGGAGGGAGAGACACGCAGCACGCGGCACGGGGTCCAAGGCACACAGAGACACAAAGGGAGGCGCGGTAGAGAGAGACAGCGAGAGTTGAGGCAAGAGAGAGCGCAAAGAACAGAGAAAAAAAAAAAAAAGGCCGACGTTGGCCATCGCAAAAAAAAAACGCCCAAAAGTCTTGCGGGAGAGAAGGCGTGCTAAGGCCGGAAGCGGGCTAGCGCGGTTCAAAGCTCGGACGGTGCAGGGGTGCTCAGCGCACACGCAGCGAGCTTATAACAAGAGGTCGCGCGCTCCGTCAGAGAGAGCGAATGTCACGTCCGCACCAACACCAAAACCGCCGCCTCTTTTTTCCGGCTTTGTTCCCGTTTCGGCCCAGCCTTCGAACCACCCAGTGATGATCCGCACCCCGACCGCGCGCCCGCCTCGATTCGCCCCCGCCGCCGCCGTCAGCTGCTGCTGCATCTCCCTCTGCTCGACCTAGCCCGCGTCGCGACTCTCCCGCTGTTGTTTTGTCGTGCCCAGGAGGCGTAAGTTATGGCGTCCCGGTAAGTCGCTACCAGCCAATCACATGACGATCTTCATTTCCTGCATCGCCCGCCCGGTCGGACGGGCCTCTTGGCGCGCCCCGCGCCCTGCAATCATGGTGGATCCGAGGCTAACGCGTCCTGTTTTGGTCCAGCTTGGACCGCTTAGTCACGTAAGTATCGCTCCATACGTCCACCTTTGCTGTGCTGACCGCGTCGCTTGTCTCTCAGCCTTCTGGAAACGGGCAGCACCCAGCTCATCCGGAATACCGCCGCCCAGCAGCTCGCCGACATCCAGAAGGCCCATCCGGAGGAGCTGTTCAATCTCCTCACCCGCGTTATCCCATACCTTCGTTCCAAGTCATGGGACACGCGCACCGCTGCCGCCAAGGCCATCGGCGGCATCGTCGAGAACGCCGAGAAATTCGACCCCAACGCCGACGATGAGCCACCCGTCAAGTCTGAAACCAACGGCCATGCTTCCAACGGCGTCGCAATCAAATGGGAGCAGCTTGAGCTGCCTCCCCTCTCCGAAGATGCTCTCCAGCTTGGCACCCTGGACATCCCCATGATCCTCAAGAACGGAAAGCACCTGCTCGGCAGCGCCGGCAGAGAGTATGACTTTAAGCTCGCAGCCATGGACCCGGCAGAACGCCTGGCCTATCAGAAAAAGAGCCTTAAGGCGCGTCTGGGATTCGGCGGAGAGTATTTTGATGAGGACATTGTCACCCAGGAAGACATTGTACCCACGGCGTCGAGATCTAGCATGCCTCCACCAACTCCCGGCATGCACCGAATTGACACGAACGTGCCGCGCAACAACAGCATATCCTCCCCAGGCCATAACCCTGCGTCGTCGCCGACCGAAAACACGGCCCAGACCCCGATCGACGAGAACGGCCATGCTCTCAGCAAGAGGCAGCTCAATGCGCTGAAGCGCAAGAACAAGATGCACCTGAAAGGTCAAGCCAACAAGGTTCGTGTCATCGATCTCTCCACGCGCAGAGGCAGCACAGACTACCCGCAGACACCCGCCGAGCCGACGCCGCATCCCGTCAAAACCGAGGTCAAAGCAGAAGAGTCAGAGAGCACCAACAAAATTGGGGATTACTTTTCGATAGAACGCCAAGGTGGCGATGACGAGACCAAGGTCGTGTCGGAGTTCAAGGGCGCGCCCGTGCCAGAAAAGTCTACCTTCCAAACTGAAGCGGAAGAGGAGGGCTTGGAATGGCCTTACGACAAGTTGTGCGAAATCCTTACCGTCGATCTTTTCGACCCCAACTGGGAGATAAGGCACGGCGCTGCGATGGGTCTCAGAGAAGTGGTTCGAGTACACGGTGCCGGAGCTGGCCGTTCACGCGGTAAGACTCGCGCGCAGAATGACCTTCTCAATCAGAGATGGCTGGACGACATGTCGTGCCGCATCTGCTGTGTCTTCATGTTGGACCGCTTCGGCGATTATGTATCAGATAATGTCGTTGCACCCATCCGGGAGACTGCGGGTCAGACTCTCGGCGCTGTACTTCAATACCTTTCACCTGACCTGGTCCGGGCCGTATACATGGTCCTTTACCGCTTGGTGATGCAAGACGAGTTCAACGAGAAGCGCGTCTGGCAAGCTTGCCACGGAGGCATGATCGGCATGAGGTATCTGGTCGCTGTCCGTAACGACCTGCTCTTGACGGATTCTTCTCTCATGGACGGCGTTCTCAACGCCGTCATGCGGGGCCTCGGCGATTTTGACGACGATGTCCGGGCGGTCTCCGCTGCCACATTGATCCCAGTCGCCAAGGAATTCGTCAACCTCCGTCCAGCTGCCTTGAATAGTCTCATCCACATCGTTTGGGACTGTTTGTCTAACCTTAGCGACGACCTTAGCGCCAGTACGGGATCCGTCATGGATCTGCTGGCCAAACTCTGTAGTTTCACGGAAGTTTTGGACGCCATGAAACTCAATGCCGCCAAGGACTCTGAGCAGTCGTTCACTCATCTGGTTCCTCGTCTCTTTCCTTTCCTACGCCACACGATTACGAGCGTACGCTCTGCTGTACTACGCGCATTGCTTACCTTTTTGGCCATTGAGGGCGAAGGCACCAAGGGTTGGATCAACGGCAAGGCTCTCAGGCTGGTCTATCAGAACCTTCTTGTGGAGCGCAACGAAGCTGTCCTAAAACTTTCAATTCAGGTGTGGGACGCGCTTCTGGACGTCCTCGCCGCTCAAGGCCCGGAAGCCTTTGCCACTGAGTTCCAACCCCACATTGAACCTCTTGTCACTCTTACTGCTCACCCGATAGGCGTGTCTCGTCATCCCATACCGATGGACACAACTCTCTTCATCCGACCTTCTGGCCAGTCGTACGCGCCAAGCGGCCATGCTTCTCGCCGAATCTCTCCTGTGTCTTCCGCAGCGGAGCCAGCACCGAGAAAACGCCGGAGGATTGAAAAGCCAAAGGAGAAGGATACGCCGCCGCCCTCCGCGCACAACATTGACGCTCCCATGATGGAAGGCGATGTTGACCTCGTCGGCACTGATACCATCATCCGGTCGAAGATTTACGCCGCAACGGCCTTAGGCAAAGCCATCGCATTCTGGCCTGCCGCGTCGCGGCAAGCCGTTTTTGCGCCAAAGCTTCTGCCGTACCTGCGCTCTATTTACTCGACGACGCAACTAACGACGTGCATGATTGCCGAAGAATATGCCAGGTCTTCGGGCGTGAAAGACGATTTATCACATGACTTGGCAAAAGCTCTCCGTGTCATGGTAGAAGGGGACAGGCCAGCCTGCTATGGGGATCTCACCAGCTATCTTACCATCGTCCGTGCACAGTGCCAGTCGTTACTCAACACCTTCCGCGATCTTGGACATATCCCGCCTGCCAAGCTGCCTCAACTTGCCGTCATTGTACAAGGCGAGCCGGATGCCAGCCAATACGCCTTTTCGATCACGGATGGAGAAAAGATCATCGGTACTGATTTTGAGCGGCTAAGAAAGGCCCTGACTCCTGCAAGCCGCGTGGCTGCTCTCCAACAGCTCCTTGCCGCTCAGTCCGATGCACAAAACGCGATAGAAGAGGCCAAGGATGTCAAGCAAGAGCGCGATGTCCGCATCAAGGCCGCCGCGGCAGGCGCCATTGTTGCGTTGGACGAGATTCCGAAGAAGCCTGCCTTGACTATTAAGGGCATGATGGACAGCGTCAAGAATGAGGAAAATGTCGAGCTTCAGAAGCGCTCTGCGGCATCTGTCGCTGTCCTCGTCGAGCACGTTGCTACCAACGGCAAGCGTGTCATCGTAGAAAAGGTCGTCGGAAACCTCGTCAAGTTCTGCTGCATGGAGACTGCGGAAACGCCAGAATTCCATGTCAATGCCGACGTGGAAATTGGCATTCTGTCTCTTAAGAAGGAAGAGGATATCCGCGACCATCCGGATGCTGCTCGCTTCGAGAAGGAGGCCAGAGCAGCGCGCATCACTAGGCGCGGTGCAAAGGAAGCTTTGGAGCAAATGGTTATCAATTTCGGCGCCGGACTGTTCCAAAAGATTCCTATCCTACGCACTCTGATCGAATCCCCTATCAAGAAGACCTTTGAGAGAGAAGACCTCCCCGCCGACATCAGGGACCCGGAAAGCACTCTTGGCCAGGAAGTTGTGGATGGCCTTTCGACCCTGCGTGCATTAGTGGGCAAGTTCCACCCGGATCTGCACGCGTTCGTTCTCGAATTACTGCCCTTGATCGCGCAAGCGTTGAAGTCAAAGCTCTCCGTCCTTCGGTATGCTGCGGCGAAGTGCTTCGCTACTATCTGCAGCATCATGACCGTTCAAGGCATCACTATGCTCGTCACCAAAGTCCTGCCAAACATCAGCAATCCCGTCGACGTCCACTACCGCCAGGGAGCTATCGAGTGCATCTATCACCTTATCCATGTTATGGAGGATGGAATATTGCCTTATGTTATCTTCCTCATCGTACCGGTGTTGGGCCGTATGAGCGACTCCGACAACGACGTCCGCCTCATTGCCACCACGACCTTTGCAACGCTCGTCAAGCTGGTGCCGCTCGAAGCGGGCATCCCCGACCCCCCTGGACTTCCTCAGGAGCTGTTGGAGGGCAGGGACCGTGAGCGCGAGTTCATCGCTCAAATGCTTGATGCAAAGAAGGTCGAGCAATTCGATATCCCAGTCGCCATCAAGGCCGACCTCCGCTCGTACCAGCAAGAAGGCGTCAACTGGCTTGCTTTCCTGAATCGTTACCACCTCCACGGCATTCTTTGCGATGACATGGGTCTGGGTAAGACGTTGCAGACTATCTGCATCGTGGCGAGCGACCACCACAACCGTGCAGAGGAATTTGCCAAGTCTGGCGCGCCAGATGTGCGTCGCTTGCCTTCGCTGATAGTCTGTCCCCCTACTTTGTCTGGCCATTGGCAACAGGAGATCCGCACCTACGCTCCGTTCCTCAACCCCGTCGCGTACGTCGGTCCGCCTGGTGAACGCGCCAAGGTCAAGAGCCAGCTCGATACTGCTGACATTGTCATCACGTCCTATGACATCTGCCGTAACGACATTGATGTTCTAGCACCGATGAACTGGAACTACTGCGTATTGGACGAGGGCCACTTGATCAAGAACAGCAAGACGAAGACCACTATTGCTGTCAAGCGTCTCCTCTCTAACCACCGTCTCATCCTTACTGGCACGCCTATTCAGAACAACGTCCTTGAGCTCTGGTCATTGTTCGACTTCCTCATGCCCGGGTTCCTGGGAACAGAGAAGGTCTTCCAAGACCGCTTCGCCAAGCCCATTGCTGCATCTCGTTTCTCCAAATCATCCTCAAAGGAGCAGGAAGCGGGAGCATTGGCTATTGAAGCCCTTCACAAGCAGGTCTTGCCATTCTTGTTGCGTCGTCTCAAGGAGGAAGTCCTGGACGACTTGCCGCCCAAGATTTTGCAGAACTATTACTGCGATCTTTCAGATCTGCAGAAGAGGCTGTTCGAAGACTTCACGAAGAAGGAGGGCAAGACGCTCGCCGAAAAGGCCTCAAACAACGACAAGGAGAGCAAGCAGCACATCTTCCAGGCCCTTCAGTACATGCGCAAGCTTTGCAATTCGCCCGCACTGGTGATGAAGCCGGAGCACAAGCAATATGCCGCGATTGAGCAGTATCTCTCTAAGTCTGGCAGCAGCCTTCGCGACGCTGCACACGCACCCAAGCTTACCGCTTTGCGCGATCTGTTGGTCGACTGCGGCATCGGCGCCACACCTGCCGATGGTGCTCACGGAGACATGCCGCCCACTGCCGCCGAGGCCGTCTCGCCGCATCGGGCGCTAATCTTCTGCCAGATGAAGGAGATGCTTGACATGGTGCAGGATACGGTGCTGAAGAAGATGCTGCCGAGCGTACAGTTCATGCGTATGGATGGCAGCGTCGAAGCGAACAAGCGCCAGGACATAGTGAACAAGTTCAACAGCGACCCGAGTTATGACGTGCTGCTGCTGACGACGAGCGTGGGTGGCCTGGGGCTCAACCTCACGGGCGCCGACACGGTCATCTTCGTCGAGCACGACTGGAACCCACAGAAGGACATGCAGGCCATGGACCGCGCGCACCGCATCGGCCAGAAGAAGGTCGTCAACGTGTACCGCATCGTGACGCGCGGGACCCTGGAGGAGAAAATCTTGAGGTAAGCCGCAGTCCCGACTAACAAAACAAGCATCAATCGCTGACATAACATCACAGCCTCCAACGCTTCAAAATCGACGTGGCCAGCACGGTGGTGAACCAGCAGAACGCGGGCCTGGGCACTATGGAGACGGACCAGATCCTAGACTTGTTCAACCTGTCGACAGACTCGAGCGAGCCGCCCGGCGGCGCCGGGGGCGCGGGCGCAGGCGACAATATCAACGAGGACGACGCGGTCGACGCGACGGGCGAGGTGCGCGAGAAGGGCAAGCGCGGCTTCTTGGATGAGCTGGGCGAGCTGTGGGATGAGCGGCAGTACCAGGAGGAGTTTGACCTGGACAATTTCTTGGCGACGATGAAGGGATAGGGTAGCGGTGGTTTTAGATAGGATAGGAATGATGGACGGGATTATGGGATGATGGAGTTGCGGGATGGTTTGGTGCTTGAGCCTGCTTGGCTCTTTTGGGGGGAGGGGCTTTCGGGTTTGTTGCTTGTATCTTTATTTTCCTTTTTGCTTTCTCTTTGTTCCCCCCCTCTCTTCTGTCGTCGTCTTTTCTTCTTCTTCTTTTCCGTTTTAGGTTTCTTCCCCATGGGTCGGGAGAAGAAGGGGATTCTTGGAGTGATACTCTTTAGGGCTGGCTTGGTTGATATTGATCTCGGGGTTGATGGAGTGATGGATTGGTTGGACGGGACGGGATGGGACGGAATAGGACGCAATGGAATAGAATGGGGTTGAGGCTTGCGCTTGCAATGGGTCGGATGGGATGGGATGGATAGGACAGGATGAATAGGCTAGGCTAGGTTAGCATAGGATGGGTTGAATGAATTGGGATGGGTGGGTGGGATGGGCTTCGGGATGGAAGTAGGGAATCAGGCTCAGGCTCTCCCTCTCTCTCTCTCTCTGTCTCTGTCTCTCTGTCTGTCTCTCTGTCTCTCTATATCTCTATATCTCTCTATATCTCTATATCTCTCTATATCTCTATATCTCTCTCGCTCTCTCTCTCTCTCGCTCCCATACCCTCTCACTCTCACACTCTCACACACACGCACTCATATACACATACGCAGAAGGAAGGGTTTCTTTGCCGCTTTGATGAATGGCTGTATGTGCATAGTTGGGGAATCGGATCGGATCGGCACGCATGGATTGGCTGGGTCTGGCTGGGTTTGGCGGGGTTTGGCTGGGTTGGGGTTAAGGTTGGAGTGAAGAACGGGATGGCATGGGTTTGCTGCTATGTTATGTACGTTTCTACGTTTCCACTGTTGACGGTGGGTGCGTGGGGTGGGTTTGGCTGGCTGGCTGGCTGGCTGGCTGGCTGGCTGGCTGTGTCTATGTAAGTCTTTTGTCGGCTCAGCTGGGTAGATGAGAGGAGTGCGCTGTTGACTGGATGGATGGATTGGCAAGTCGTGTTAGCGTGTACAATGTATGTTTTTTGCTGTGCGTGCGTGTGTGTGTGTGTGTGTGTGTGTGTGTGTGTGTGTGTGTGTGTGTGTGTGTGTGTGTAGTTTGGTTGTTTGGCAAGGTGTTGATACGTGACGAATCTGCTGTCTGTGGGTTTTCAATGGGTTCTTCTGCTTTGTTTGTTGTATTTCGTTTTTTCTGTCTTCTCTTTCTCTGTTTTTTTCTTTTGAGGTTGCTGTTGCTTTGCCAGCGGGTGGGATGAGATGGTAGTACTGTAGGTTCTTGTCTTCTTCTTTCTTTCTTTCTTTCTTCTTCAAGGCTTGGGTGGTTTTGTTGTGTACTCGTGTATGCTTGCTTTTGGTTCTGAGCTTCCGTTCATGTTGACGTTTAGGGACTATTACTCGTGATTGCTGCAAAGTAGGTTACTAGAATAGGCGATAATAGTTAGCAACGCATTGCAAGCCACAGCTCGGCAGCGCGGAGCTAGACGCCTAGAGCCAAAATCCGAAGAAACGCAATCACGATGAGATCAGACGAAGACGGCCTGCAGCAAGGCAGACACAGCAAGCACTCGTAGCCCAAGGCGCGCACAGATACTACGCGTAGCAAAAGCCACAGCGTCAACCTCTCTGACATATGTGGAGCCCAGCATCGGAGCGTTACGGGACGGCCAACGGTCGTTCGTAGTCGCTCGCTGCGTCTCTGCTCTGCTGCCCTCCTCCAGTAGTTCCCTAACCCCTACATGCTATGTAGCAAGCTAGCCGCCCCCTGCCGCGAGGCGAGGTACGGAGTACCTTGTCCGTAAGGTTTCGTTTCTTTCCCCACCGTCTCCACTGCCCCCCTCTCACCCCACCACCTCCTCTTAGGCACCTCTGCGCCACCGTATCCGGCGAGTGCTGGGCTGCGCCGAAACATGGCCCCGTCCGACGTACGACCTGCTTACGCTGCGCTGCCCGACTCTGCCCGATCCCTCCGATCTCCCCGACCCCCGGTTCGCCGACTTATTACCGACCGCCGCTTGCGCTCGTGCGTAGGTTCTGTCTGCTCCTACTCGTACTAACTACTTACTTAAGCTTTGGCTAAGTGTCTCCTAGGACTTGGTTGCAAGCTCATACTTTCGTTTTTCTTTTTTGTTCTGCTCCCCGGATCTGACGTTTGCTGCGCTGGAGTGTTGGCCGCTCTTTCGAACTGTTTGTTCTCCGACTACCGAGCTCCGACCCCGACGTCCGACCCCGACGCCGATGCCTGCTCGGTGTTTTTTGCACTGGCCGACGTTGGGAAATGTTGGCTGGCTGCTTATGCAGTGGTTAAGTGATGGCGCATTTAAAGTATAGGAAACGAATTATTTGCCGTGTGTACTTAGGAGTTTGTAATGATAAATATATAGTCGAGGCGACAGTCGGAGATAGTTGGAAAGAATGTTTATAACTGCTGGATAGTCATGCTTCATAAGCTTTGAATCCACTCGGTCAAGCACTAGTGTAGATGCAGTAGTAGTAGTATTAATAAACCAAAACATTTAGTATAGCAGATTTTAAAATGCCAGGGTTCAAGCTCTACAAACCTAACCCTGCGTTTTACAAGGCAAATTTCTCCAGCTTTATGCTATGATCCGCTTTTGGTGGCCGAGCAACCTTGGAGCGAAAAGCTGAAGATCTTGTAAGGTTACTGGTTACCCAGCGTCTGAAATAATAGGCTAAAGACCCTTTTACGATAGGTTTGTACGCTGGGTAAAGGCTAATGTTTATAATTGTATCCCTTTTTAGGAAATTTAAACTGTAGTATAGTGCGAAGATGCTACTATCTCCGCTAACATGTCCCCGATGTATGGAAAATTACGTTTGTTTAGAAGCCTGATCTCAGTGGAATTCGCTGCAACTACTTCTTCCCTTATGTATGTTTTTCAGGTTATCTGCTTTTACTACTATTCGATCTATGGTTGTAATTTATATAGGGGTAACGAGCTTTCATCTATTGAAAAATGAGGATGTGGAGCTATATCTGGAGTTATTTATTACCGTTATTAAATATAAGGTGACACAGAGCCTGAGTACAGTGCGCACTAACTGGGGTAATAGTTGTGGATTTCGGCTACCATTCCTGTACGCGAGGTAAGGCGCTTCTTTGAGTGTTCTGCTCTCGAGCCTGGTAGCTTTTTGAGTGTAGAGCTTGCAGTAAGCTTCCGGTCCGGTAACGGTACTTTACCGGTCTTTGTTAGCTTCCGCGACTCCTACAGCTCCCGCGGCTCCCGCGGCTCCCGCGGACGTGTAAGTGATGGTGATAGTAAGGGAGCTATCATGCGTTAGTCATAGAAGAGAGTTGAATGCATAGAGAGGCATCTTAATTTGGTATAGATTCCCCCCTGCACACCGCGGCGGAGTTATAAATCTTTCTTAAAGGCCTTTCTTCTGTACAAAATGTGGTATATGCATTTTATAGACTTACTGCTGTTTTTTGTGTGCGTTTCTCTTACAATGTTCCATATTTATACACTTATACGTTGCAAAACATGGCAGACGGCTGTTACCACACCAAGCCATATTCATAAGAGAAAGACTTTCTCCGAATAATAATACAGATCCTTTGGCCCTTCCTGCGGAGATATACCTGATTTGCCCGCTTAATAGGACGATGGAAATCTTCCGGAATTTAAGAGTGATAACAAATAGCAGGATGGAAGCTCTTTTACTAGCCAACATTAGTATCAACAGTAGCGCACGCTACGAGTCACCTTACTAGTAAAACATGCCACTGTTTTTACAGGTAGCATCCCCCATCTTCTCCATTCTCCTACCTTCAAAGGTTCAGACACGCCTTACAATGCTTCCGAAGCCTTCACTGTCTGTGGCTTTAAATTGACCTTACCCGACCGGCTCCGCCGAGGCTGCCTTACAGGTAAATTGTATAGTATGCGCAGACCGGCTACGGCCGAACGCACAGCTAGGTAGCCTGAATATTTACACAACAACAAAAAGAATCTGGAATTCGCGTAGCTGAATGAAACACGTCCTGTGGAAGAAAGCAATATGGCGCTAAAGAATGTTAGTGTCCGTATAAATCATTTTGTACTACGTGGCTCTATCAATCAACAACAGCAACACGACAAGAAACAGCATGCAAGCATAACGTCCGATGACTGATGAAAATAATTCCTTCAGAACCTGAAGGGTTGTCACTGACGCTACAATGACCAAAAAAGACGAGCCTAGAGGTCTCGAAAAAAAAGTACATAGCTTACAAACGAGGGACCTACTTTCTATATTCCCCAGGCTTACAGCGTAATGATGGTGCACGTCAGCTTTCAGTAGTGATGAAGGCCACCTAATTTAAGTGATGTACGATTTCACCGTCTCCTTCGCCGTTGGCCCCTTCGGTTTTTAGTTTCTACAATGTCAGTTTGCGCTGCCCACTGGCTGTGGCACCGGACCCATATTAAAGATCATCGTTTTAGTGTCCAGTACCCATTGTGCCCAACCAAGGCTGTTTTTTGTGGAGATGCTGATGGGTTGGAGCGTGTGCTTGTGTAGGAATATGGCTTATAAGGACAAAACATCGCACTTCAAAGAAATCCTGTAGCCACTGACTGACGAGTTGTTCGTTTCGTGTTCGGTGATTCTGCTGTGGGGTTGTGGAGGAGCTTTAAACTCTACTGAACTGAACAAGCCAAAAGAGTATAAGTTTCTTTAATTTGTCCTTGTGCCACAGACCTACAGGAGACTTTTCGCTGACTCTTTGATTGGAATGCTCATAACCAGATCCGTCGATAGCACTATAAGCATGAGGTCACAGCCCGCCACATTCTCAACCTCTTCTAAGATACCGAGATCCCATCTCCGGTATGTTACAATTCCGTCCTATCCCACGCAGTACTAAGCCCAATGCACTCCATTTGCCAGCGCTAAAAGCCACTGCAAAATCATTTATGAACAAAAAGCAGTACATCTAACCCATTCCTTAACCCAAAAGCAAGAGTCAGCGTCATTAGTTTAGTAGTTTAAACCATTAGACATACTATACGCCACCGCAAATTAGGCAGCGTTCGATTCCTGGATTAGTCTTAGTGACTTTCCTATATCGTTGAACAGAAAGATCGCTTAGAAGTGCTGAACGGGTCCTAGTTTTTATGACCAGGTGGGAACTAATACTGTTAGTTTTCGCGTTGAACTTTGTTTTCTTTTATCATTTGGACCTGGCGTCTGTAGAGCGTATTACGAAAATACAGTAACATGCTCCTCGTAATCACAGGCGCATATCGTTTCGAAAACGGCGGCAGTGAAGCCGTACCCGCCTTCACTAAAGCGCTCAAGCCCTTATACCCCACCCCTAACTGGGCTGCTCTTGGGTAGTACAAGAAACCGTTCTCCCGCCCAACGTAACCCTCATATGCAGCCTGCACCATGCTCCTAGCTCACCGTCTTGCGCGTCATCTTCCCCAACGAGACGTACTGCGCAACGACTGGCTAGCATCCACTGCTGCCGCGCCCGCGTCCACACAGTCCAGACTTTGATGGTATTGTTGGGGTAGCGTATAGCGCGAGCGGAGGCAGGAGAGCCGTTTCCTAGCTTTCTAGCGGCTATTCGAGGGCGAGAGCAAGCCTGAGTCTGAACCTGAGGCTGAATCTAAAGCTGAACCAGAGCCGGAGCCGGAGGCCGACCTGGCGGCCCCTTATATGTAGCCGCCTATCCTGGGATTTGCCGCGGCCTAGGGCCAAGACGAGAGCGAGGGCTAGGACGACCTCCGTCGAACCTCGGCGGCTTCTTACATGTTGCCGCCGATTGCCGGGTATGCTGCGGCTTAGGGCCAAGACGAGAGCGAAGGCGAGGGCGAGGACGAGGGCGAGGACGAGAACGACCTCCGTCGAACCTCTTCAGCAGCATTTTAGATACTGGATGCGCATGCGCTGCAGGCGAAGGAGTTGGTGATCGTCGGTGAGGGTTTTCGTTTGCTTCTGCCTTTGTGGGGGGATTCGATGTCGTTGTTTGTCCGGACAATCGGCGCGAGGATGCGGCGCTTCTCGGGGTGAAGGGACGAGTGTACAACTATGTGTGGATGGAGTAGTTGGTTTGTAACTGTTGATGTTTACAGAATAGCAGAAGTCGGTGAGGCTGTCCACGGAGGTCAGGTACCCGATCCGTGCGATGTCGTTGAGAGTTGGTCGACTTGGACGACCATTCAGGGCCATGTTTTCAAGTGGTGGCGGCAGGTTGAAAGACGCACTCTAAGTGCTTCTCCATTTTGAGAGGTGGGTTGTTAGGGCTAGCTTTATTTGACACCCACCGCGGAGACGAGATCTACGTCTTGTTTAACGGTAGAGTCCCTTTGAAAACTGCCCCCGCCGGGCAAAAAGACTAAGGTAAAGAACTTGAAATTAGCCCTCTGTTGAGAGGTAGTTCGTAATTTTTTTTGCCAGTGGTATTGCAGACGGTGAAGCAATAAGGGTTTCAACGAAAGAATGCTTTGTATCTTTGAGGTGATCTACTTACTGAATCAACTTTTATATTATAATATACTTTCAGGATTATATCCCATGCATTTCCTTCTGCATTAGAATCCAGACAAGGAATCTGAAACTCGCTCAAAGTAAGTACTTTCTCAGTACATAGGCGGTACATACTCAGTGCTTTCTGCAGTTTGCCGTGAGAAGAAGATAGATCAATTTATAAAATCAAAAGGGTTGATTCTGTGAACGCAAACGGCTTGATCAAGAGGCTAATAAAGGGAAAGACAAGAGAAACAGACAGCAATAAGCGACGAAACGAATTCTTTCAAACAAAGTGATATTGAACAGACACTGGTGTAGTTGCCGTTCAACGTTGTAGCATTTCGGGCCGGTTAGCTTGAACCGCGTTTTGCCGCGCCGTTCCAGCACCAGGACGCACGGGACAAGGGCAAAAAATTAGACGGCAAAAATATGGAAGTAAGAGCGAAAAAAATATCGGATGCGCGACTTGAACGCGCGACCTTCAGTGCTCGCAGGATAGATCCTGTTAGACTGACGTGATAACCAACTACACCAACCCGACATGGGATTCGATGAAAGACACTGTGCAAGTATAATAAATATACTAATCAAAAATGAAAATCGCCGTGTGCACCAAAGGATAGTTCGTTGACATTTGGCAGCGAAAAGTGATTGGGCCGTAGTGGAGAATTTTTTTACGACAAAGCAAAAAGCAGAAACAAAGTGACTGAAGTATGCAAAGAGAGCCTAGATCGATATAGACAGTCCACCCGGCAGCGAATGATGGACAGCTGGCATCTTGCTGAGGGCGATCAGTCGGCATGGCTGTAGCTCCCGAATTGCGGGGTTCATTGCCAGGGTGCTGCGGCTTGAAAGACGGGCATTTCCACGCTGGGGTATGCAGCGCAGCTAAAGAGAGGTCGGGCACCAGGGTAAATTCCAAATAGCAGAGTCGCAGACGGCTTTTGTCAGTTGTGAAGGCAAGACTGGCGGACAGGTTGGTAAGCATGGCCGGGCAGGCAGGGTCCGTCGGATCGGGAAAACAAACGCCGCGGCGTCCGTCCAAAAGTCATCGCGTCACCTAAGCTGAGTCGCCATCTAACCCGCCTAGTCACGCCCTCACGACGCCCTTGGATGGTGAATTGTTGAGGCGCATCTCCCTCATCACCACCTCCTCCCGCATTCTCCTCTCCCGCATCGGACAATGACGACCCTTGCCTTGCGGTCAGGCACTCTCGCGCGCTTTTCGAGAAGCGGCATCGAATCCATAGCGCGACGCGCCGCCTATCGCCCTCGCTGCCCGTCTTCACTCCCCAGAGCAGTATTTGCGCACCAGCGCATAAGGCTGTATGCCAGCAATCAGCCCGGCGATCCGAAGGACCAAAAGGACCGCAGTGGTGGCAACAATGCGGCCAAAGGAGAGAACAAGGCGGAGTCGGGGAAGAGCGCCACAGATGGCAAGGGAGCCAACACCGAATCCAATGCCTCGAAACTTACGCCGGAGGAAGAGCAGGAGCTTGACAAGTTAGCGGAACAAGTAAAACGCGGCCTGCCCGGGCCACTGAAGAGAGAGGTTGACAAAGCGTTCGACTCGTTGAAGAAAGAAGGCTTGCCGGAGGAGATGCGCGACATTATGAAGAATGTCGCGGGTGGCGCACCGTTGGATATGTCGACGGTCACGAGGCTGATCAAGCTTACAACCGAGTTGGCTCGCAAAGCCGCCCACCGCAGCGTCTACGGAGAGGAAAAGAAGGATGAGAAACCCAGCAACAAATCCGTGAACTTCGAACAGGAGACACCCGAGCAAAAGGCTGGCGCTCACGACCCTGGCCCAAAGCAACATGAGAAGAAGTCGAAGGAGGGCGGCAAGAAGCCGCCACCTGGAGATCCCTGGAACATGGGAAGTGTGGATCTTGGCACCATAATCGCGACGACATTCTTTTCATGGCTTCTCTACCGCCTCCTCGTACCCGGTGAGAGCTCTAGGGAGATCTCATGGCAAGAGTTCAGGACGACGTTCCTCGACAAGGGTTTGGTGGAAAAGATTGTGGTTGTGGGTGGCACAAGAGCACGCGTCTACCTGCACACAGATGCTGTCGCATCAATGTATCCTGATTCTCCTGCTGCCAACGCCAACTTCCACTACTACTTCACCCTCGGCTCCATCGAGTCCTTTGAGCGCAGGGTAGACAAGGCACAGGATGAGCTTGGCATCCCCAGCTCCGAACGCATTCCGGTCTCCTATTCTGATGATGGCCCCTGGCTAGCTACCCTGCTCTCGTTCGGTCCCACGCTCCTGTTTATTAGCGTGATATTTTTCCTGTCCAGGAAGGCTGGCGGTGGTGCGGGCGGCTCGAGCGGTATCTTCGGCATGGGCAGGAGTCGCGCCAAGAAGTTCAACCACGAGACGGACATCAAGGTCAAGTTCGCGGATGTCGCCGGTATGGATGAAGCCAAGACGGAAATCATGGAGTTCGTCAGCTTCCTGAAGGAGCCCAGTATTTACCAGAAACTTGGTGCTAAGATCCCCCGCGGCGCGATTCTGTCCGGTCCTCCTGGTACTGGTAAGACCCTTCTGGCCAAAGCCACTGCTGGTGAATCGCGGGTGCCCTTCTTCAGTGTCAGTGGTTCTGAATTCGTCGAGATGTTTGTCGGTGTTGGCCCTTCAAGAGTCCGTGATCTGTTCGCCAACGCTCGCAAGAACACGCCCTGCATCATCTTCATCGATGAAATCGATGCAATCGGAAAGTCAAGAGCCAAGCAGAGCTTCGGTGGTGGCAATGACGAGAGAGAAAGCACGCTCAACCAGATTCTGACCGAAATGGACGGCTTCAACACCTCGGAGCAGGTTGTTGTCCTCGCGGGTACTAACAGGCCGGACGTTCTTGACAAGGCGCTCATGCGTCCTGGTCGTTTCGATAGGCATATTGCCATTGACAGGCCGACGATGGAGGGCCGGAAGCAGATTTTCAATGTCCACCTGAAGAAGATTGTCACAAAGGAAGACATTGAGTTCTTGACTGGACGCCTTGCTGCGCTGACTCCCGGCTTCGCTGGTGCCGACATTGCCAACTGTGTCAACGAAGCTGCTCTCATTGGTGAGTTCATTACAATTTCAACATTATGAGAGTAACGTGTGCTAACGCAATCACAGCTGCTCGCCACCAGGCCGAGACCGTTGCGATGACACACTTCGAGCAAGCCATCGAGCGTGTCATTGGCGGTCTGGAAAAGAAGTCCATGGTCCTGTCTCCTGAAGACAAAAAGACCGTCGCATACCACGAAGCCGGTCACGCCATCTGCGGTTGGTACTTCAAGTACGCCGATCCGCTGCTGAAGGTCAGCATCATCCCGCGTGGCAGCGGCGCGCTCGGATATGCGCAGTACCTGCCGTCGGGCGACACGTACCTGATGAACGTGAACCAGCTGGTGGACCGGATGGCGATGGCGCTGGGCGGGCGCGTAAGCGAAGAACTGCACTTTGAGACGGTGACGTCAGGCGCGTCGGACGACTTCAACAAAGTCACGCGCATGGCAACAGCCATGGTGACGAAGTGGGGCATGAGCCGCAAGATCGGCTACATCTACTACGAGGACGACGGGCAGCAGCAGCTGCACAAGCCGTTCTCGGAGGAGACGGCCAAGAACATCGACGCCGAGGTGCGGCGCATTGTCGAGGAGGCGCACAAGCAGTGCCGCGACCTGCTGACGGCGCGCAAGAAGGAGGTCGGCATCGTGGCCGAGGAGCTGCTGCGCAAGGAGATGCTGACGCGCGACGACTTGGAGCGCTTGCTCGGCAAGCGTCCGTTTGACGACCCCAAGGACTTCACCAAGTACTTTGGCGGGCGCGGCGACCGCGAGGGCGCTGGCAGCGGTATGCCGAACCCTTCTGGCCCTGGCAAGCTGCCTGATGATATCCCCGACCCGGGCACCCCGACCCCGCCTGGTGGCGCTGTTGTATAGATAGGTTGGTGTCTGTCTGGTTTTTCTAGATAGGCAGGTGATGGTGCGCGGATGAGAGAGATGGGCGACCCGCTACCCAACCAGCCAATCTAGCTGCTAGCCTGCCGTGTAGCGGACAGATAAGGGTATTTTGTCGCTGTGGTGGTGGTGGTGGTGGTGGTGGTGGTGGTGGTGTCGTCATAATTCCGCTGTTTAGTGTGCGCCGTCGCATTTCTGGTGCCGTTTTCTCCGTTGTTGTTGTTGTTGTTTTTGTTTTCCAAAAAATCACCATTGGGGGACAAATATCAAGAATCATACATCATTCCACTCTTCCTCTTCTTCTTTTTCTTCTTCTTCTTCTTCTTCTTTTGTTTCTTTGGGCTTGGTCGGTTGCATTTTTGGTGCTTGGTGTGGTTGGTGTGGTGTAGACAGATGGGCTGCTGCTGCTGAGCGCTGTAGTGTATGTAGGTTTGTATAAATAGTATGGCTTGTCGTCGGCTTTGTGTTATGTGGAATATGGTGTTGGTGAGTGGGCTGAAGAGGAGGGTGGCGATGGTGTTTTAGAAGGAGATGGAGTTGCTGCTGTTGTTCCTGTAAGCTTCCCGGTTTCGTGTCTCTGTTATAAGGCACTGACTAGTAACTGCACAGCTCTATTCATCCTTCTCAGTACTCCCTGAGTGGTCCGCATGCCGCAGGGAGACGACTACCAGACTGATGCGTTGGCTCCTTCCAACCAACATTATGCATCCTGGCGTTTCGCGGCAGAGCTGCTTTAAGAACAGTGCTGCTGTTTCAACATTGCCATCAAATTGTCAATATTATGCTGATATGCTGCTCAAGACGGATGTATACTAATGGGATTGGTCTTTTTGATGAAGAGATGGTAATCGTCGTCACATCACTGCTGACTTGGATGAATTTTTGAAACGTGCTTGGAGTACCAGGTAAGCAAGCGTCTAAACAGTAGGCTTTATCGACTATTTAAAGGTATATCATTATTCTTTGGCCCCGGATAGTTTGCCCACCCCTTAACTAAGACCATTACGCCACGGCTAGTGGGTACTATATAATTATATAAAAGTAAAAATATACGAGTACTAGAGTATACTACGAAGGTATAGACATACACGATTATTAGAGTATCTACGAGGGTATAAAAACAAAATATTCAAAGGGTACAAATATACTCACAATAAGGGTATAAAGACCTAAGTATATAAAGAGTAGAAAACACATCATATAATTCTATAGATACTATCACGTAGGGCGGGCAAAAATCTAGAGGGGGTATGTAGGCAAACTATCCGGTACTAAAACGTGCCACTACAACCCCGCAGCTCTATGCTGAGTGTCACTTTATGTATAGACTACCAGCCGCAAGCAAGCGGCAGCATAAATACCCGTCTCAGCGACGGGCCACGAATCCATCCAGACACCGCTAATTAAGACTAACCACTGCGCCTCCACCTATGAGTACATAGTACTCGAGCGCACCATATATCTCAGCCGCTGAACCAACCTGAACTACAGCCCCAGCACAGACAGATTCAACATCCTAGTTACCTCCCTTTGATACGCAAACACACCACACCCCCCTTCATCCCAGCACACGCACTAGCGCCAAGCATAGCACAGCGCTCGCGTGCGCACCATGCACGCCAAGCCACGCACGCACGCACGCACGCACGCACGCATAAGCGGCACTTAAGTGCATCGTGCAGCGCAGGTGGTGTGGTGTGGTGTGTCAAGACGAGGCACACACGGCACGGCACAGGACGCCACGTCGGCGGCGGAGAGTGCGCCGCCGACGTGGGCGGGGTACCGGTGCTTGTGCCGGTGGTGGTGCTTGCGTGCGTGTGTGGTCGGGTGTGTGTCCGGGCGGGGGTGTGTGTGTATAAGTAGGTCGTGTGCTGTGTTGTGGTGCTGGAGAGGGAGTGGGTGTGTAGTGCTGCAATTGTTGTACCTACTGGTGAGGGTAGACGAAGAAGGAGAAGGGCAAGAGCAAGGGCAAGGGCAGAGACAAGGGCAGGGAAAGGCATTGCAGGCAGGCGAGCACGTGGTATGCGGTAGCCGTGTCAGGAGCGAGCGACAACACCAGAATACCATCCTACACATAAGGCGCAAGGATCGAGACGTGCAGGGGTATCGGATCAGTCTTAATCACCTATTATAATAACACAACCATATGGCAAGGGCGAGTCCGGACGGAAGTGAGTGAGTGCGTGAACATTCGAACGACAAGCCCAAGTAATCAGCAATCGCCCAGACCAGACCAGGCAGACGAGAAAACGGCACGGCGGTCGCTAACCACATACTGCCAAGAGCGTACTTCGTACATGTACATTAAGTTACAATTACATGCATCGTACACACATACAGGCATACATATTGGTGGCGTCGCATCGTGTCGGCAGAGTCATCACAGGTACATACATCCATACATCCATCCATCCAACACGCCGATACCACCATCAGCAGCATCCATACATACGGCACCACATCAGCACACACACACACACACACACACACACACACACACTCAGCGGCACCGCAACAATGCCCACCTCGCCAACCTCAGCACCCCACACCCACGCCCATGCCCGACCGCATCCTCAGTCTCCCTGGTTCTCTCTCGTTCTCATTCATTCGCGCCTTAGGTCTTCTCATCTGCTGCGCTGCTCCAGCTATGTATGTACAGACTCCATCCCATCCGGCCACATTAGTAGACAAGTAGCAAAACAAGAAAGCAATCCCAGCACCCACTCCATCCCCACCCCATCTCATCCGTTTGTTTGTTTGACCATCCCATCCGTCCATGCCATTGTCATGGCGTCCCATGTCAAGCGTCTCCGTCATTATCCCAACCATCCGCGCAAGCACCAACCAACCAACCAACCAGTAAGCTCCCAACCCATCCCACCCTATCCCATTCAATTCATTCCGCGACTCTGACCGGACCAAACCGACCGACCGACCCATGCCCTACCAGACCCAGGTATTGTGCATACCCTGCCCAAAGAAATGAACCAAACTCCATCAAAGTCTCCGTATCGTAATGAACTGGACCGAACCGAACCAAAGCGGGCCCCCTACAAGAGAAAGAGAAAGAAGAAGAAGAAGAAGAAGAAGAAGAAGAAGAAGAAGCGAAAAGCAAGAGAGAGAAGAGCTGGAAAGTTCAGAAGAAGCACGCACACACGCACGCACGCAGCGCAGAGGCGAGACAGCTCCATCCGCCCACCCGCCGTGCCCGTTCCCTTCGCAGTCCAGTGCCGTCCAGTCCGTTACACACGCGCCACGCATCCTACTCAAACCCGTAGTTTGTTTTTTCCAGCGCAACACGACGCGACGCGACCCAAAGTCCGTCCCGAAGCACCCACAGCCAGGACCAGGATCAGAACAAGAAGCGGCACAGCGCGGATCGCGTATCGCGGTTCGAGTAGAAAGGCGAGGCGAGGAGAAGCAGGTACCTAGACGAGTACGACGGCAATGCGGGCGGCAATCGGTACCATCGTAGCGAAACCGGGCGTGAGGGGAAGTAGCCGTGGCGGTGGTGGCGACAGAGGTATCCAGCGGAGTGTGCGTGATGCGCGACGCAAGAAACAGAACGAATAGTCAAAAGAGAAAAAAAGCAAGAGACAACCAAAGCCTCGATGCAAGTAAGTAGTGAGTGATCACTCTCTCGCGCCTCGCGTATGTAATAAGTAGCGTAGTGTGGTTATAAAAAGTGACCGACTAGACAATATCTTTTTTGAAAAAAGAAGGCGAAGGACTTTAAAGAATGAGAGTGTGATACGGAATACGTAGCAGCAGCGAGAAAGAGGTGTGTTATGAAAGAGAGACATCAACCGCGGAGGAAGACGGCCGTCCTTCGGTTTAGGGTATCTCGACATCCAAGCACGCGGGCGAGGAAAAAGGAATAAGTAAGAGACAACAAAAGGCGCCATGTCAGATGACGACGAAAAAGAAGTAGAAGAGGGATAAAAAACAGAATCGAGTCCGGCGTTTCGTTTCGCTCCCCCTCTTGCTCTCGTCCCATGCTCTGGCAGAAGACGCAGCGCTTTTTTTAGTTGGTGCAGCAAAATAGACAAATACAACAGGTAGGTAGGTATTGGTCCCCCACGGCCGTGGCGCATACCCGCCGGTCCAAAACGGCCGCCCCATAAAAAACAGAGAGAGGGCAAACACTCAAAAAAAAAGAAACAGGTCGTTACACGTCTTCCGTAAAACGCGATCCTCGTGATCCGTCGTGCGACGGATGGCTGCGTCCTAGCGTTCCCCTCGGCGTTGATGAATGTGAGCCCGGTCGTCGCGGCGAATCCGGCGGTATCGATAGCGTCTCGCCTGGCCCCCACAGCATGCTCGTGTGCCCGCCAGGGCCCTGATGCACCACGGGTGTGCGCGCAGGGCTCGGGCGCATGTTCTCCTCCTCCGGGTGGTGATTTGAGCTGGACGCGCCGTGCAGCGCTGTTGCTGCTGCAGTAATGGGCGACATTGGCGGTGTTCCCGCGCCGCCGTGGTTGCCGTAAAAGCCGTGGCTGTCGCGGTTGAAGGAGCCGGAGAAGGTGTGCTCGGTCGCGTCGTCGTCGAAGGGGTCGCGGAAAGGGTCTTCCGAGGACATGCCTGGGCTGAAAGCCGATGGCAGCTTGCGCCCTGATATCCGCTGGAACCCTCGCTCTTCGGCCAGCGGCGGCGGGGGTGCAATTTCTTTGTTCCCTCCACCTAATCTGCCAAGGAATCCTGCAGCGGGGAAAAAGCTGCCGCGCTGCTCCATGGCGCGATTTCCATCACCAGCACCGACGGGATCAGCGAATGGATCTTGAGGGCGATCCTGTCCGTTTCCTCCTGTCAATGCTGCAGTTCCCTTTTGCTTCCGCTTGTACCATTTAAGGAGGAGCAGAATAAGGGTAAGTAGCAGCGCCAGCCCGGCAAGACCGCCGAGCACTCCACCGACTATCCGTGGGGTGAGATTACTGTTGCCCCCGTCACCATTGCTCGCTGTATTACCCAGCGCAGCTGTCGAAGAACTCCCACTCGCACTAGTAGTAGCTGCTCCATCAATGGCACCGGATCCGCTATCAGTGGAAAAGGCTCCCGCTGACGAAGGTACGGTAGTGGAGGATCGTGGGGATGTCGAAGACGTATACGATGAGGCGAGCGTAGTAGATTGAGCAGCCGTAGCCGTCGAGGAATCATCCGAAGATTTTGAAGAATCGACAGATGTCGCCGATTCAGCTGATGATGCCGCTGAATCGGCCGAGGTGGTAGAATCTTCCGAAGATGTCGCAGATGCTGCGGCGGAACTCGGCGCTGACGTCGCAGTGGACGCGGTCAACGAGCCTGTGTCTGATGTTGCAATCGCTGACGTCGCAGTGGCGTCTGTCGGGGTCAGTGCTGTTGTCTCGCTTGGAGAGCTAGAATCGGAATCGGAATCGACAGTCATGGCCACCACCGAAGCTTCGGTTACGGAAGTAGGGGGTTCAGTAGTCACGACGCTCGAAATCAATAACGCTGCACAGAAACAAAAATTAACACGCGCAAAAAATAAACCTGAACATCGAACTTACAACTCGCGGTGTCCGAGGGCGTCGGCGATGCCGCCACACCTGTCGGGTTGTCGGTATTCGAAGGGCTTGAAGAGGCGTCGGTCTGTGAGCTCTCTTCGGACGGGTTAGCAGTCGTCGCAAATGGAGAGCTCGCCGCGGCAGAGGGAGATGGCGAAGAGAATGCGAGTTGTGAGCTCTCGCTCTCTGACTGCGCTGACACATCGCCACTGGACCCCGATGAAATTGACGCTGAAGCAGAAGTAGACGGAGTAGCCGCGAATGGAAACGTATTAAAAGGATATGGTACGACGGCCGGAACGGTGAGGTCGCTGGGAAATGCTGGGACAGAAGGCACACCCCAGGCAGAATGGGAAGCAGTGGAAGAGGTGGTTGAGGACGAAGTGATTAAGGACGAGCTACTTGAGGACGAGGTGGTGGAGGAGGATTCCAGGGAGGATGACATACGGCTAGTCGACGTGGTCGTGGTCGTTGGGGTCGGATCTGGGGAGTGCAATGCCTCAGCAGAGCTGCCTTTCAGCGTAGGGCCCATGGTCCTGAGTCCGATGGTATGACCTTCCTGGTCGACCTGTTGGATGACGGTGACAATGGTGATGCCCTGGCGTTCCTTCTCGTCCACCTCTTGCTGATGCTCCAACCTATGCCTCAATCCCAACTTCCTCGAATCCCGCCTCTGCTCCCGGACCAACAACGGCTCGATAAACGTCGGTAGCGGGGATTGCGACGTCGAGACCAACGTCTCCCTCCGGATCTGCATCTTCCCAAAGGCGCCCGCGGCGCCATCATCGTCGGGACGAAGCTTGTTTTGGCCCCGGGATATTTTTCTGCGTTTCGCCGGACTCTCCATGGTGGGCGACCGGGGACGCAGGTATTATGTGGTTCCAAAGCGGCGGCAGGATGAGCGGCGGCTAAAAAAAAATCCAAGTTTTATTTGCGAGGCGGATGAGCGAGCGAGGGTGTGACGAAAGCGACACTATCAATCAAGGCAAAAGAAGGGACGTTGACTTCGCTGAAGGCCACGTGAAGAAACCAGTCGATGGGAAAGCGGTATGTACGAAGCGGGTTGGGAATTTTGAACGAATGGACGCCGGCCACCGGGTGTGACTGGCTGCGAGTAGTGCTCCTGTGACGGAGGGGGGGAGGATTAGGGTACTTGGATCAGCAGGATCGATGGGAGATCGGCGCAGCGCACCTTGCGATTACTTCAACGAAGCTGCATCCGCTCTTATGTACGGGGGGCAAAGGAAGTCGCTGGAGACGGCGGGGCGGATGTTTGATTTGGCTGCTGTGCGACGGGGAAAAGTGGACTGAGGTGCCGCTGCGGGCGAGGGCAGAGAGGACTTTGGGTTCGTGTCTCAGCGGTGCGTCGTCGCAGGACCTCCAGGCCGCGCACGGGGAGGAGCGGGAATTGTCGACGATGGGGCGCGGGCGGGCCTCTCGCGGGAGGGTGAGTATGGGAAGGGTTCGGCGGGCGAGAAGTCGCAGAGGCGAGGGCTCTCGCGCGCTCGTCTCACGTTGCGGAGGACGGAGCTTGGCTTGGAGGCGGAGCTAACGTAACTCGGCATGCAATATAATCACCCCTGCGGCCAGACAATATTGACGCGCCAATGCGAGGCTATGAATAGCGGCACACAGAAACGGCCGTATGCAGCTGGTGTGGGATACATGTCGCCTTGTTCGTATCGGGCCATGGCTTGGCTCGACTGTGCCCAAAATAGCACCATCATCCTCTGCCGACCGACGGGCCGGCTCCGTCTCTAGTTTCCCACAAGTCGTCGTTCCGTGGAAGAATGGGAAAGAGGGAAAAGGGAAAGGGTAAAAAAAAAAAAAAGGAGCCGCAGGGCGAGAAGCTTTTGTGGCCTCGCGGCGTGAAACAGCCACCCGTGCGCTTGGCTGGCTAATTGCCCGGGGCGTTCATGCGGAACACGAGACAGCTCTCTCGTTGAGAGAGCCTCAAACCTACTAGTTCCATCGAATCCATCCATCGTCGCGTCGCTGCAGCCAGACGTCATCGTCGCCCGCCATCGTCTCTTTCTCTCTGCCCTGCGTCCCGCTGTGGAGCCCGCCACTAGCTTGTAGTAGTAGTAGGTAGCTGCATCTTCTCCTCATCAACACCATCTGGCATCGGTTGTCCCCTCTAAGACACGAGGCGCCAGTTTCGTCATCCCGCTCCGCCGCCCTGAAATTGCGCCTCCCCAATGTCAGGCACCGGGCCCAAGGGCGCCCCGCCGCCGCCGCCGCTGCCTCCGCGCGCTCCCTATCTAGACACGCCTCCACCCTACACGGAAATCGACCATCAGGGCAGCGGGCATCCGCTGCACGCCCTGAGTTCTCGCGATCCACGCTCCTCGTCCACCCAGTCGCTCACGCCAGCCACTCGCCATGGTCGTCGCAAGCTGCTGCTCATCTACATCCATGGCTTCATGGGCAACGAGACTAGCTTCCAGAGCTTCCCCGCACACGTCCACAATGTGCTCACCGTGACCTTACGTGAGACTCACGTCGTACATACCAAGATCTACCCACGCTACCGCTCCAAGAATTCCATCCACCTTGCAAGTGAAGCTTTTTCCACATGGTACCTGCTTTCCGTGATCTTCTTTGAATTGATCAAAGACTGACTCTCGCGTCAGGCTTGCCCCCCACGTCGGCCATGACACCGACACCATCCTCTTGGGCCATTCCATGGGCGGCCTCTTGTCCGCAGAAGTCGTCTTGCTTCCACCACGCAACCCTATGCAGGGAAATGTCTTTCGCCATAGGATCCTTGGCACCATCAACTTCGATGTTCCCTTTCTAGGTATGCATCCGGGCGTCATCGCCAGCGGCCTAGGAAGCATTTTCAAACCTGCCGACGATAAGTCGCCGGACAAGAGCCAGGAAACTAGCCATTCGAATGGCTCATCGGACTACTTTACATCTAACAATGGCAGTGCAAGTACGCCTCCCAGTAGGATGGATACGCTGTTTAACCCCCCCACCCCGGATCCGAACTACAACCCAGCTTTCCCGAATGATGTGATTCTCCCTGTCCGTAAGGGATGGGGCAGTGCTCTGCACTTTATCAACAAGCATTCCGATGGCCTCATTCAGGCCTCCAAGCAGCTTGTCAAATCGCACCTTGAGTTTGGAGGCGCAATGGCCGACTACCCCAGTCTTAGAACCAGGTATGCGCGCATCCGCGCTTTAGAGGAAGACGACGAGACAAAAAGAAGGGCTGCAGTACAGGGCGGCTGGCAGACGCCACCAAGAGTACGGTTTGTAAATTACTACACGGCGAGCACAGGGCGACCGAAGAAGCCAAAGAGCCCCAGCGTAACGCCTAATGCACACACACCCGATGCGGACACGAGAGGTGTTCCGGCCGATAACAGACTGTCGACGTCGAGTTTCAACTCAACCACAACACCCTCGCAGAATCGCCAACTCACAGAGAGTCGCTCGTATTCATTAAGCACAGAAACCTCCGTGTCAGAAGGCCACGAACAGACAACCGCGCCAAAAATACCAGAAGGGCCGGAACATGGCAGTCCACTTTCGGCCCCTTCATCTTCCTCAGACGCCGACTCAACGGTACACGAGCCCGACATGCAACATCTGGACCCCATGCCCATGGAAGAACCCGAAGAACACATTGCTGCGCCAACTGCCGAGCCGTCCGCCGACCGGCCCCAAGACGTCCCGACAGAGCCGCCCCTCCCACCTGAGCCGGCCGAACCGGCACCGCTGACTATCCCGCCGGACGCGTCCAAGGACGAGCGGAAAGCTGCGGAAAAGGAACACGAACGCGTCGTCAAAGCGTACAAGCGCGCCGTCAAAGAGCGCGAGCACGCACTTAAAGAACGCAAGAAGGCGGAAGAAAAGCGCGTAAAAGAAGCGCGGAAAGAGGAAGAGAAACGCGCAAAGGAGCAGCGGAAGGCGGAGGAACGGGCGGCGAAGGAGGAGGCGCGGAAAGCCAAGGAGGCGGAGAAGGCAGCGGGGCAAAGCGGCGGCGGCGCGGAGGGCCCGGCGGAGGGCCCGGCGGGGGAGACGCGCGCCGACGCGGAGAAAGAGGAGGTGCTCACGGGCGAAGCGCTGCGGCTCGAGAAAGAGCGGCAGCGCATGCGCGCCGAGGAGCGACGGATGGCGCAGGCGGAGAAAGAGCGCTTGCGCACGCAGCGCCGCATGCTAGGCTTGCCGCCAGAAGACGACGACGACGATGACGGCAGCAACGGCGAGAAGGCTGTTTCAGCAGCACGCGACGCTGACGACGCCGTTCGGCTGGACCGCGGAGGCGGCGGCGCGCCAGTTTCAGCACCAGCACCAGCACCAGCACCAGCACCAGCGCCAGCGCCAACGCCAACACCGGCGCGGACCTCGACGCCGAGCGCTTCGGCGACGGCGGCGGCTACGGCCCCGCCTCCGGCTTCGCGCTCCCCGCAGCATGCAGCATCAGCGTCAGCAGCAACGGCCTCATCCCCAGCTCCCACAGCAGCGGCAACGCGCACACACTCCGCGCCCAGCACAGCCGCGCCGTCCATCCGCAGCACCACGCCCAGCACCGCGACCACGGCCGGCAGCACCAAACCCCCCAAAGACCGCAAGTTCTGCATGCTGCCGTGGTCGGCTGTCTCGGCGGCCGGGTTCGGCGGCGGCGGCGGCGGCAACGCGAGCGCAAAGCAAGCGCCCGACCCGGCGTGGGTGCGCGTGTACATGCCGGGCGTGGACGAGGTGGGCGCGCACTGTGGGCTTTTCTTCGTGGATGCGCGCTATGAGCGCTTGGTGGGGGATGTGGCGGAGAGGATTGAGCGGTGGGTGGGGGAGGAGGTGGGGGGGAGGGTGGCGCTGGAGATGGAGATGGAGGGGGGTGGAGGTGGGGATGGGGGGAAGGGGTAGGTTGGTTGGTGGGGAAGGTTGTGGTTTGGTTGTGGTTGGAGTGTTTGTGGGTGGCTACTGGCTAGATGGCTACAGTAGACAAGCATGCATGCTAAACGCCTTGCTCGTTCTCCCATTCCCCCCCACCATCATCTCCTTCTCCCTTCCCCACCCCACACCAACAAACAAACAAACACCCCCTCCACCAACCACCCCACCCCCGCTTACAACCGCTCACTCAACCCAACACCATATCCCACCACCGCCAAAAAGCCCACCAAATTCGCCAGCGAGGACACGCCATGCAAGATGCCAAAGCGGCGATTCAAACGCACCATCTCGGGGCTCTGGGGCCCAGCATCGTAGGCGCGCACGCCGTCGCGCGTCTCCTGGTGCTTGCGCTCGCGCATCGTGCGCGTCGTCGCGGGGCCCACGAGCGTCAGGTTGGCGAGCGACGTGATGAAGATAAGACCTAACTGGACGAGGGCTGCGCGGTTGGTGGGCTGGAGGAGGCCGGAAAAGCCGCCAGTGCTAGTGGAAGCGAGGTGCTGGTGGGGCAAGGCGCCAACGGGAATGGTGGACGCGGTCAGTGGCGAGCGGGGCGCGGGGAACGTCAGGGCCAGGATGAAGGACAGCGACGTCTGCAGGATGAAGTACACGGGGAAGACGCTCGATTGCAGCGTTGCGAATTGGGGGCGCGGGAGGGCGCGGAAGGCTAGCGGCCCGGCGATGAAGGATTGGAAGAGCGTGCTTCCGAGGAGGGTGCCGTAGCTGTTTGTTTGTGGGGGTTAGTTGGAGGTTGCGGAATGCGGGATTGTAGGTACTGTACCTGAGGAGGTGGTAGGGCGCGCCTGTTTTGAGGCTGGCGAGGAGCGGCATCGTGCCCGTTGTAGCTAGCTGTGTACACCGGCTACTCCGTGGCTGCCCGGTTGGTGGGGTGGGATGGGAGTGCGCGCGCGCAGTGGTGAAGTGGGGATTGAGGATTGAAGAAGTATGTAGAGGTTAGGTTAGAGAGGGGCGAGAGTTGAGAGTGACGGATGACAGATAACCAAGTGCCAAGTGCGGAGAAGGCGACGACAACCGGCCGGCAGATGTGCCTTCCACCTGCAGTGGGGTGAGTGATGATGCACACCATCTCGCACGAGTCATGTGCGCGAAAACGTGACCGCGCGTTGGCCGTGTCGCACGTGTTTCGGGACGAGCTGCTGCCTTCGCCGCGTCGGTCCATCAAATGCATTCGTCTGACCAACTCTGTCCGCTGCACTGAACTTTTCGAATTAAAGATATCATGGCCGACAAAGAGGCGACCGTGTACATTGTCGATGTCGGCAAGAGCATGGCCGAGACCAACCATGGTCGCGACGAGTCGGACCTCGATTGGTGCATGCAGTATGTCTGGGACAAGATCACGACTACGGTACGCCTTTGCTTGCGGTGGATGCTGTGTGTTTTGGGATGAAGCTCTGATCGTGCGGATAGGTCGCTACGGGCCGCAAGACCATGTTTGTTGGCGTCGTTGGTCTGAGGACGGACAGTGAGTGCTTTACCGCGCTGCGTTTACTTTGGCTTGCGGGAGACGGGATTCTGACTCTGTGGAAGAGACCCATAATGAGATGGAGGGCGAGGAGGCTTATGATCACATCTCCGTCCTTCAGCCTCTGGAACAGTATGTCGTTCTGGATTTCTGCGTTGGACGGCCGCTCACAGCTGGTCAGGATCTTGATGCCTCAAATCCGGAGCCTGCGGGAACAGATCAAGCCCAGCAAGACTGAAAAAGGCGATGGTGAGTCGGGCGCTGTCTGCTCTGTGGACATTGCTGACGTGTAACAAAGCCATTTCCGCACTGGTCATTGCAATCCAGATGATCGCCGCGCACTGCAGGCATCTCAAGTACAAACGGAGAATCATCTTGGTTACTAACGGAAAGGGCGTGCTGGACACCGAAGACCTGAAGAGCATTGCACTCAAGATCAGACAGGACAGTATCGACCTTGTCATCATCGGCTCCGATTTCGATGACGCAGAGTATGGCTTCAAGGAAGAGAACAAACCTCGGACCAAGCTCGAGAATGAGCGCATCCTGCAGTCGCTGGCTGATGACTGTGGTGGCGTCTACGGCACAATGGCCCAGGCCATCGAAGAAATGGCGATACCGCGGGTCAAGCCCGTGAAGCCAACACCCTCTTACAAAGGCATTCTTACCCTGGGAGACCCCGAGAAGTACGACACCGCACTGTCTATCCATGTTGACAGGTACCCTCGCATCATGCAAGCAAAGCCCCCTTCGGCCAGCTCGTTCGTCGTCAGGGCGGATCTTGCACCAGGAGAATCACAGGCGCCGTCAGCTACGGCGACGGATGGTGAATGTCTTCCGGATCAGGATGACCTTACCGCTGTGAAGAACTCCAGAACGTACCATGTCCTGGATCCGGATGCGCCCGAGGGCAAGCGTGATGTGGACCTGGAAGATCTGGCAAAAGGCTACGAGTACGGTCGTACGGCCGTGCACATGGGCGAGTCGGAGTACAACACCATCACAAAGTTTGAGTCTCCCGCCTGCATGGACATCATCGGCTTTGTGCCCGCCGACAAGGTAATTTGTTTGCGTTGTTTCTGATCAAGCCCGCTGACGCTCTCAGTTCGAACGGTACATGGAAATGTCGAGAACGAACATCATCATTCCGCAAAAGACCAACGAAAAGGCCGCCATGGCTCTATCGTCTTTCATCCACGCGCTCTTCGAGCTCGAGACCTACGCCGTTGCACGCTTCGTCGCGAAGGATGACAAGGATCCATTAATCTTACTTTTGGCCCCGTCGATCGAGACAGACTACGAGTGTCTCATCGACACCGAGTTGCCCTTTGCGGAAGACATGCGCGGCTACCGCTTCCCGCCGCTCGACCGCATAGTGACAGTCGGAGGCAAGACGCTGCACCAGCACCGGAACCTGCCTAGCGACGAGCTTACACAGGCGATGAGCGACTACGTGGACAACATGGACCTATCCACGTTGGGGAAAGATGATGAAGGGTAACCACCACGCAATCAAGAAACCAAACAAATAAACGAATGCTGACAACACCCTCAGCAACCCCGCCGAGTACGCCCCCCTCGGGGACACGTATTCGCCCGTCCTCCACCGCGTCAACCAAGCCATCCGGCACCGAGCCGTCAACCCCGACAGCCCCATCCCCAGCGCCCCAGAAATCCTAACACAGTACTCTCAGGCGCCCACCGCACTCCTGCAGCGCGCGCAACAGCAGCTCGACGCGCTCAGCCGCGCCGCGGACGTGAAGCGCGTGCCGCCCCGGCAAAAAGGGCTCAAGCGGACGCGCGAATTCGAAAAGCCGCTCTCAGGCCTCAACGTCGAGGAGCTGCTCGGCCGGCAAAAGCGCACCAAGCTCAGCGCCGCAAACGCAGTGCCCGAGTTCAAGCAGGCGATGCGCGCGGCCGGGGACGTGGCCGCCACGCGCGAGGTCGCGCGCCAGCTGGGCGCGATTATCGAGGGCTATGTCAGGCATAGCGTTGGGGACAGCGGGTACGGACGCGCGATCGAGGCGCTGCGCGTCCTTAAGGAGGAGTGCCTGGAGCTCGAGGAGCCGGCGCTGTATAATGAGTTTTTGAAGCAGCTGAAGGAGAAGCTCCTCAAGGGCGACCTGGGCGGTGAGCGGAGGGAGCTGTGGTGGTTGGTTAGGGTTAATCGGCTCGGGCTGATTGAGAAGCGGCTTTGTGGCGTGTCCAAGGTTACGGAGGAGGAGGCGAGGGAGGTGAGTTTAACTGCTGCTGCTTCTGCTACTGTTGAGAGGATTGCTGACACGATCTGCGCAGTTCTTGAAATCGAAATAGGAGCGGGGCGCCCTTGTCCGTGGGAGAGTGGAGCGGCTTGCTCGCTTGCATGCATGCAAGCATGCGAGCCTAGTTATGTGGTTTAATGCTATGTCCAGCACACAACCCCGAAGCAGCTGTATATCCCTGGTTCTTCCGTACTTGTGGAATTCCTGCAACACGCACTGTAGGTACTATACAGTACGAAGCAAACAAACAATGCAAAACAGCACTCACTGCTGCTAGCAGAGGTCCTGTGCTTCCTGGCCTTGTGAGTGTGTTCGGGACTAGACAGATGGTGACGTGCTGGGTGTGTGGGTGGTGCTTGCTTGCTTAGGTATTTACTTGGTTGTGACACTCGCGCTGCTACGGCTGCTGTGTCCGCATGACGCCTTGCCCTGGCGCTGGGCCCTGTGGAAACTGTCCGGGCTCTGAAGCTGCCAGTGCGCTTTCGAGACTGGTGCGCTGTCTGAACGGGTGTTGGGATGGAGCTTATAGCGCGAACTGCAAGTGGAGGGACCACGCCAGGGTGTGTGGCGCTAGGCAGAGGTGGAGATATGGTGGGTATGGCTGGTGCTGTGGGTGATGGTGCTGTGCGGTGCTGTTGTGTGGGGGTGGGGATGGTTATGCTTCCCCGACGGCAGCTTCTACTTCTTAGTTCGTCCGCGTTCGGAATAATCACTTTAGTTGCAACCTCAAAGTTGTCCACCACCTCGACTTCTTTCTCTGTCGCTACCTGCTTCAGCTCGTCAACTGTGGTCGGTCTTTTTTGCTTGGCTGACTCCCTTGTGGTTGGCCTTGGCTTTGTCTTCTGCCTGTGTCCTTGGTTACTATAACTCTTGGTACTCTACTCGCGGTTCCAATGCCGGGTTGTCGTTTAGTTAGGTTTTTCGTTGGGGCGTGGGTACATGATACTGCGCCGATTCTGCTCAGTGCTTTAGTCGTGCTGGTTGAACGTGAGCACTGAGAGCTAGCTGTGAGGCTGCACTATAGTCACTGCTGTCATTACCCTACTTTGGGGGCTTTGTGTGACTTGCGTGTTAAGAAGCATGGCGTGTGAGAGTTTCCTGTGTGAAGGATGGGTTCCTTTATTGCACTTTGTGATCAAAGAAAGCCCACTCCACGCGCATCCTCTGACAACAACATCTTTGCTCGTTCACTCATAAAGCTGAACGCTTCAGTGCATAAGAACCTTTGCGCATAGCGTCATCACCGAAGATCCAGCACACAGCAAGCACACAGCAAGCGCACAAGCACGCAAACCGTACACACATACAGCAACCGCCACGAACCCTACCCGCAACCATGCCCTCCGGTACCGCCAACACCGCCAACACTGCCCCCAAAGACAAGAAGCCGGCCCCCAAGAAGAAGTCCGGCTTCCTCTATCTCCTGGGCAAGTACTTGGCCGTTGCGCCCGCGAACCCAGAGCTCCGGCAGAGGAAGCGGCGCCGGCTCACGAAGAAGAAGAAGAAGAAGAAGGGCTAGACCGGCCAGACGAACCGGGACATCGGTGCTAGTGAGAGAAAACGGTCGATGGCGTGGCTGAGAAATGAAGTGTAAGTGATGTGTTATGCGAGTTCTGTGCGGAGTTGACTTGACTCTTTGCTAGGTCATGTTTCCTTCTAGGGATATATGCGTATTGCCGTGGCCTGGTTGGAAACTACTAGGTGCGGTGTGAGAGCTGGAAAGAGAAAACATAAAAGGTTAAAATCAGGTAGGAAAAATTGCAGAGGCAAAAAATGGGTTATAAACAAAGTGTAAATTCAAAGTGGATGTGTGAATGTGTGATAGGATTTGAGTAACGGAGAGGTTCTATGAAAAGTACCGGGCGAAAATGGTGATATTTGTCAGTTCTGTGAAATGGAGAGCTGTGCTATCAGTGCATTTTGTCGACGGTCACCGATAAAGATTACTGCGGCCTCCGTGGTTTCGTAGTGTGCATCTCTCTATGAGGTCGTCGAAGACGTCAAAATACTTGTGATCCCCGTTGGCTTGCATATTTTCAGTCAAGGTTGCGACATGATCGAAGGCGTTGTGTATGTCGTGGCCGGTCTTCTCATCGTTCGAGTAGGGATACTAAGATCGTAGTTTATTTAAGGGATTTTAGCTCGATTAAAGGAGGTCGCAGGTGCAAGTAGGCAGCTTAGACACGGAATCGAATAGCAACTGCACCCAAGTGCCGTCCAACAACGAAGAAGAAGCTACAAGTCAAAAGAGAAAGGAAGAACCCACCCACCCAGGCTTCCGAGCAGCCTTGACTCTTAGAATGAGACGAACAAACAAAGACACAAAGCCGCTAAGGGCATGGCGTAGCAATAGCCGCTGCGCATTTCGAAGTGATTACTTACATCGCGCCGTAGCAAACAGTGTATCGACCCGCCAAATATGCGCGGAAAGACCGAAGCCTAGCCGTCAGAGCATATTTTTGAAGTAATGCCCTCCTGGGAACGGACCAGTCGACACTCTATGGACCGGAATTCCGTCTCATGGTGACCTCGAGGACCGGAATGCGTTGGATCCCTACCCCTATGGTTGCCAGGACCATACTTGTCACGATCCTCGTAAACCTCCAGGCTAGAAGCCTCGAATGAAGACGGGGAAATTCAGTGTCCGTGTACGGTATTCCTAAGCGGAATTTTTGAATAGCGGTGACGGATAGCAGCGTTCAGTACCAGTGATGATTAGCAGTATTCACCCTGTGGAACACTCCTGTTTCGCTTCTCACCTATGCCTATGCCGTGCTGCCCAGCTTTCAGATGTTTCCCGCATCTTCCAGGGAGTCGAACAAAGCTGCTTCCAGTACAGCTTTGCCTGCGGTAGGACAACTTGCAGACACTTGATGAGCTTCCTAAATGGAAGCATTTTGAAGCCGAGTAGAGCGACGGAAGCCAAGTCACTTGTGTCTCCGGGCCCTTCGGCGAAGATTGTCGGTCAATCACCAGGCAGTGCCCCCCAATAGGCTGAGAACTACTTGATGACTGCAGCTGCTGTTGCGCGAGCTTGACATGGAGAGAATTACTTAAATATCTTGTAGCTGTTCCGCCTACTGCCCTACAGACCCAACAGCACTGTCTTTAACCGTATTGTTGTGAAATCTTCCAAGTACTCCCCCGCGTATTTAATACTGACCAGCCTCGCCGAAGCCGTAGGCTTTATGACCTTACCTTTAAACTCTATTTGTTAAGCGGTAAAAGACGACAACAGTGGCCGAAATACTGGAAATTTTAGGACTTCGTTGGGTTTATAGGCCTTGGTGATTTGGGGTTTAAAATAAACTGATTTGGCTACTATCTTTCTGTAAAATCTTCCCGCTCATGTGAGTGGAGATTATAGAATTAAATATTGAGAGGAAAATGGGGGATGCTTACCATACTGCTCTAAGGCTAAAGCTATGTATCTAGAGCTCCATCAAACTATTCGCGCATGAATGACTGTTTAACCTTGGAGCAGGAAAAAATTAATTAGCTAAAGAGCTACCTAGCTACTGAATAGCGCTGGTTTTATAGCTGAAGACAGCGCTAGTGGCAAAGAAACAAGTAAATCTAACGAATGTTTGCGTTTGTTGTTTGATAAGTAAAAACTAACAAATGTTTGTGTTTGCCTGCAGCTTGAGGCTTGTAGAGACTTCTAGTAGCGCAGCGAACAATGACCGAAAAAATCTCTCGTATAAAAAGCCTACTACATCAAGTCGACGACGTCCTGCCCAAAGCGAATAAGCGGCAACTCAGCGAGTGCAGGCAATATTCTCATGGGGTTTTTCCCCACCTACGGGACTTTTTCCCATATATAATCCTTCACATGAACCAATTCTTTCGTCGACCTTTATACGCAAACAAAGCCACTCCTCAACCCAGAACACACACTAAACACAACCAAATTCTCTAATAACACTGCCTTACCTGTGTACTCACAAAGCCGTTACCTCATATATATAAACCGTTCACTCAGGCGCTCTCACTAAAAACCCACCATACAGCGAGCAAGCTACCGCGCTACCAACACAGCAAGCACGCACGCTCACGAAGTGAACCCTCAACTCTACAATCTACACGCAGCACTAGCTAAGCAAAAACTTGCCTGACCAGACTCCCACCTCCGAGGCCCCGGCGAAGAAGGCGGCCTCCAAGTCTAGCTTGCTCTTCCTCTTCGGGAAGTACCTCCGCGTCCCCCCCGTGCAGCCGCAGATCCGGCCTCGCGCGCCCCAGAAGGAGACGAAGAGCGAGGACGCTAACGAGAAGAAGGACAAGCCGAGCATGATGTTGCTGTTCGGCAAGTGGCTGGGTATCCGCCCTGAAACGCCTCAGGTCCGCCGCAAGTTGCCCAAGAACGGCGAGCGTGGCGAGAACGACGAGGCTGCAGCTAGTGACGATGCTGCGGCTAGCGACGACGCTGCGGCTAGCGACGACGCTGCGGCTGTGGAGAGGGAGTGGCGGGAGGCGGCTGAGGCGAAGGAGAGAATGTGGAAGGACGCTGCCGAGGCCAAGAAGGACCAGTAGGTTCTGGCTTCTTCTTGGGATACGAGTCTTCTCTGCGCTGCTTCTGCGATGAATCTGGGTGGGTTGCGATTGTGGCTTCTGTGAAAATGAAAAAAAAAAAACCGAAAAAACCGAAAAACCGAAAAACGAAAAGTAAACAAAAAAACGTAGAAACTAGGTAAGAAAAATGCGGAGGCAAAAAATGGGGTTATAAAATATTTTGATGTGCGCTGTGCTATGTGAGTGAGTGTGTTTAAGTGAGCGAGTGGATGACGGTGGCTTTATCTTGTGCATAAATCGTAAATAGTGAAATCCCCGTAGGGAGATATAACTTTATCCCCTATAAGATACACCCGCAGCATTAAAGCGTAGTAGAATAAAGGCAGAGAGCAATAATCGAGGCTATAAACCTAAAGAATAGATACGTCAAGGGGTTCGTAAGTTTTTATAATATATACGCACCTAAGCATATATCCAGTATCTACTTAACTCACTAACCTATACCGTACTAAACCCTACCCCCTTACACCGCACCCTCGCCCCTATTTCAATATACTAATAAGTTAATAACCCACAGCAGCATCCATTAGCAATGATAAACAACTACACTACAGTAACTCACACCATCAACACCTTTAAGCCTTACAATCTCATCCTATCCCTAATCTTTCCAATACCGATCCGTCTACACTCTACAGTCCACCGTACAGAAACAGTCGACAGGGAGCGATAGAAAGGCAGTCAGTCAGTCTATATAAGCTAGAAATATATCTGTAATAGATATATATAGCATCACCGCTCCCACCGCTAGTATAGACAGATAGATACACAGACATAGTAACTATCCACGCAAACAGCGTATATAAGCAAGTAAGATAGACTAAGCTCGGCTTTAACTTCTCTCTTCTCTTCTCTTCTTATCTTATTAACATCTCCCTTCTTAACCCTCCCCCTAAAACCCCCTACCTACTAAATCCCCACAAGCCACAACCTATACAATAACCGCCCCCTCCCTCCTCTTCCTCCTTCTCCGCCACACCCGCAATATAAACAGCACACCACCACACGCACAACAGAAATCAACATCAAACCAAAAAACAGCATAGTATAGCAGCAACAACAGTAATATTATAGCAGCATACGACATAACATCTCAGCGTAACGTCCAAAGCCTCCCTTCTCTCCTCTATTCTCTCCTTCAACCCCTCAATAAAAAGTCCTCCTCCCCTCTCTTTGTCGTCGTGTGTGTATGTGTGTGTATGTGTGTATGTTTCGTTCACTCACCCATTTAATTAGCTACCCCAAATGACCAACCAACCAACCAATCAATCAACAATGCGCCGCTGCTACCATCCTCATCAAGCGCGCAATGCTACGTACGTAAGCACGTAAGCATAACACATATACTTTCCAACAACCACAACCACCAAGCACAGCCACCACAAACAAACAAACAACAACAAACTAAGCAGCAGTCAAGCAGACAAGCAACGACCAAACACGTACGTACGTAGTACACATAACCCGACAAGACCAAAGTTAAAGCCTCCCCTCCTCCCTCCTCTCCCCTCCAAAAAACTAAAGACTAAAAGAAGGACCATGCTGCGCGTAAAGGCCAAAGCAACGCAAAGCAAAGCAATCAAGCAAGCAAGCAAGACCAAGCAAGCAACAACAACGACAGAAACCCCAGCAAGGCGCCGCGCTTTTTCAGCAATAGTATGAGTAGCAGTAGAGGAGCGTGTATTCAGCGTGCAAGCATGAGTGACGTATAGAGCAGCGAGAGAGAGAGAGAGAGAGAGAGCAACAGAGCAACAGAGAGAGCGCGCAAGAGTAAAAAAACGTCCAAAAACAAACGCAGCAGCAGCACCAAGCATAGCAGGCTCCCAAGGCCCTTTCCCCCCTCCAAAAAAGAGGCAAGCCCCCGCTCCGCCCCCCGCTGGAACCAACCAAGTAGGCAGGCCAAACGCCCGAAGGAGGCGTCTATGTGTCAAGCATCAACAGGAAGAAAATGTCCAAAACGAGAGAGAAAGACAGACAGACAGACAAACAGTCAGACAGACAGAGTCAAGGAGAGACGTTGCCAGGTCGGCGTAGTAGTGGTGTGGTGGTATAGGCCGTGCATGCCCCTGCCTGCGCTTTTACGCCACAGGCAGGCGAAACAACAATTCAAAAACTAAAGGAAAGGTGGTCCGTCGTGGTGGTATAGTAGTGAGAGGTTGTGGTACACAAGGAGACTCGTGACGTCAAAAAAGAAAGCAAGACGGTCGGGTGTAGTAGTGGTGGTCGTAAAAGCGAGGCTAGGCTCGACAAAGAGGGAGAGACAGACTAAGGAAAAAGCGGTGCCGACGGGCGGTGTGGGGGGCAGAGTGGTGGTTGTGGGGGTGGGTCGACGAGAGACGGCGACGCATGGTGGCGCGGACTGCGGGGGGGAAGAGACGATGATGCGCGCGATGATGCCGCTGCAACCCCGAGCGTAACGCATGGGGAGAGACCGGGAAACCTTTTAAGCATGTCGTCATGCCCGTTCGCCGGAAATGCAAGGCTATGCTCTGAAAAACTCCGTAACACAGGGGAATCTAGGTACGCAGTAGGAAAAAGCGGTCGAGTGGAAAGAGATGTTATCGTGCCTGTTGGCGGTGCGTCTTGCGACAAAGAGGCCGAGAAATCTTTAAAAGAAAAAAGGTGTGGGGTATCACTGGGTCTTGATGGCAGTGGTAGTAGACAGCCTGCTAGGTGTTTTGGTGGAGACGGCGGGACAGGCTGCCCGTGCGGCTGATGCCGGCCGCGCTGCGCGGGCTCGAGACGTAGCTCGAGTTGCCGCCGGTGAGGGCCGCGATGCGCTGCCGCCGCTCCTCGCTCGAGGACATGGAGTTTTCCTGCGAAGTGGTCGGGCTGGGGTAGGCGGGCGGCGTCGAGCGGTCGAGGTATCGGCGGCTGCCGTCGCGGAGGAGCGAGGCCGACAAAGGCGGCGCTTGTTCGGAGGTCGGGGTGACGCCGTTGGTGCGCCGCAGGGAGCCCGAGTGCTGGAGCATGGCGACCGGCGGGTGGTCGGGCAGAGGGACCTGCGAAGTGTACTCGCGCGAGAGGCGGTTGCTACGCTTCTGCTGCGAGTAGTCGGTCATGGCGCGGGAGGGCACGCGGAGCGTCTGGTCGTCCTCGCCCTCCTGGTCGTCGTTGTTAATGGTGGCGCGGCGGGGCCGCGAGGAGAGCAGGCTGGAGCCGTTCCTCGAGTACCTGCCCGTGGGCGTGGTGCGCTCGCGGTCGGGCGGCTCGCGCGGGCTGTTCCCCGCGCTGCTCATGCCGCCGTGCATGCTGATGCGGCGGGCTTCGATGCGATTGAGCGCGCGGCTCGGGCTGTTTCTGGCGCCGTCGTCTGGCTCGGCGCTTGCGCCGCGCGGCGGCTGCTGCTGCTGGTAGTCGCCATTGGTGTGAATGCTGCTGCGTCTGGGAACAGGCGCGAGGGCGGGCGACACGAGCGAGGGCGTCGTCGGGTTCGTCGGGCTGGGCACGCCTTCGCAAAGGGCGATGCACAGTTCGGTCAAGCTGCGGCACATGCTGTCCGCCTTCCTTCTCAGCTGACGCTCCGTCACGGCTGCTCCGTTGGCGGCCGAGTTGCTGCCGGACCCCGAATTGCCCGTCATGGCGGAGAGATCGAGCGCGTCCGAGGCCGTCGTCTCCAAGACGCGGAAGAGGCCGGGCGCAACCTGGACCCTGCACTTGGCCAGCGCCGAGTGCAGGAGAGGGTGGCTGGCGCCTTTTTCCGTGGCGGACACGGCCGTCTCGGGCGGGGAGATGCTCTGCTTGCGATGGTGCTTCGGCGAGGCGATTACGCTGGTTGCTTGCGTGGTTGCCGTCCGCGGACGCTCGCCCAGAGACACGGCGGCTCCAGAAGTCGGCGGCAGCTTTCCCGTAAGCTCGAGCTTCTTGATGCGAGATTTGAGTTCGTCTAGCTCGTCCCAAACGGTCGAGGGGGCATTAGTAGAGTCCATGGATTCCGAGCCGTCTCTGCCAGACTGCTGCTCTGCGGTGCGGCCCGAAGTTATTTCGGGCGAAGTTTCCAGGGGCGTGGTCGGCAGGTTGTTGCTTCGCGGCGTGCTCGTGCTCGTGAGGTTCGAAGGGCGATATCTAAGCTCGCGGCCTCCTTCGGTTCGGCGGGTGGAATCGGTGACGGAAAAACGCCGGTTCTGGGATTGCGCGTCGTCCTCGCCGCCTCTGCTCTTGGGCAGGGGGAACGAGCTGTGGACGGACATGCCGAATCGGCTCCTTTGGCCTTCTACTGCCAAAGCGGCGCTCAGCGACTGGTCACGGCCCGCTGAAGTGTAGGACGGAGAGGGCAATTGAGACACGCGCCGGTAGTGAGACCCACCGATTCTGCCTTCGGCGGCGCCCGACTTGACCGGGATGCTCGTGGACGTCTTTATGGGCGAGGACAAGGAATTGACGGGCATGGACTGGCGGGAGGCGCGGGCGATTCGAGACTGCGGTGGAGTTAGTCGAGCGGCCCAGGAACCAACCGTGTAGAATATGAGAGGGCAGACACAAGATTGCTCCGAAACTAAGTGTGTTGCGCATGAGATCGAACTAGAGAGACCTGCGATCCAAGCTCAAGCTTGGGCACATGAGAAGCAGGCGAAATGACCGCGGCAGCTCGAGAGAGAGGGGGAGCATTGCGTGAAAAGTGAAATGGACCATGAATCCCACTTACCCTTCTGCGCTCGAGTCGCGCCGTGTCCTCGTCGCCGTCCTGCCGCTGCGGGCCATCCTGTGCAATGTTGAGGAACAGGTCTTCATTGCTCGCGTTTTTCAGGTCGAGCCGGGGCCCGGCTCCGTTGGTCTTGGTTGCGCCTCGGTGGGAGTAGGCAAAGTCGTAGTCGGACTGGTCGTCCGAAGCCATTGCGCTGTCCCGACTGCTGCTTCTGCTCCTTCGACCAGTGTTTTTGTCGTGGGAAGCGGGGAGACTCCTGGTGCGGGAGTGACGGACGTCGTCGGCGTACGGCGGTCGGGGGGTGGATTCGGTGGGGGTAGTCGGGTATTGGGCGAAATCGTAGTGCGCAAAGGTTGGGGTGCGCGCGGCGTCTGAATGGCTAGGTCTTGGTCGCGTTATGAGGGCGAAAGGCGGGCCATTCGACGTCTCGAGGTGTGCGGGTGGCTTTCTCGTGGCGGGTGATGGAGCATCTGCGCCTGAGCCGGTGGATCTAGGAGTGAAGTAGGAGCCCGTGGATGAGAGGCTGTTTGGAGTGGGCCTTGTCGCGGTAGATGAGGAGCTCAGACGCCTGGCACGGCCGTTGCTAAGGGCGGGCGTCCCTGGGGCAATTGGAGAAGTCGGGGCGCGTCGCGGTGGAGTGTGCAGCAGCTTCTGATCAGACGCACTGTTCGCGTCTGGTGAGTGGAGCGGGGAGGTTGCGAGTGGCTTTCGCGGGGGAGTGGTGGTGACGGAGGCGGCGGGATGGGATGGGAGTTGTTCGAACGACCGGTGAGGAGGACTGGGCCTGTAGGTCATGGCCCCGGTCGTCTAACGCGGGACTGGCGAAAGCTGCTACCAGAGAGTGGAGTCGGGGAGGGCTACCGCGCCGAGTAAGGGAGCATAGCAGTGGGGCGTGAGATTCGAGAAGGGAGAGAAGAGATGATGGAAAGCAACTTCGAGTTAACTAACTAGTTATCACGAGGAGGAGGAGGCTGGCTAGCCGGCTGCCTGGCTGGGCTGGCTGACTGGGCTGGCTGGCGAGAGAGAGTTAACAAGCCCACGCGCACCCACGCCGCACACACGCACACACACACACTCATGCACACAAACATGGCAGCACAAACACGCACACACAAACCCAAGCACAGACAGGCACACCCGCTCCTAGCGCCGCCGCCGTTGTTCACGCACCCAGCCCAGCCCACAGACACACACACACACGCACACACAAGATGCAGCGAACCAAACAAAAAAGCCAGCGAATTTTGTCCCTCTCCCCTTTCCGCAAACCGCCTAGCCGTTTCACATCTGAAGCGGCTCGCTTGGCACCAAGGGAGGCTGAGATACAGAACCGCGTTCTGTAAATTAGCCCTCCCTATCATGCCCCATGTACCTGAGGAGCGCGAGGTCCTCGAGATGGATCTGCCTGCGCCGGATCCGAAATTTTGCAAGGCCGCTATGGCCGACGACTGCACTGATGAGCTGCAAAGATCCGCTCTGCCCTTGGCCTTCTCCTGCACGTCAGGCACGCGACGCCGGGCCGGAAAAGAAACGAGCCTGAAATAGGTAGTGCGACGACGACGACGACAAATAATTCATGAGGCTGAAAAGGCAAGTTCCATCGGTGGCCGGGTGGCAGGGGTTCCATTGCGGGGGCCGGCGAAACGTCTGGCCGCGCGCTGTCAACCCGACCGTCTTCTTCGGGCATGGCCTCTTCGACTGCCTTCACCACGTCACCAACCACCCGCCAGTCTTTACCTCTCCAGGTCGCTGCCCAAGTCCAAGCAGTAGCACTCGGACGTATGGCAAACCCAAGACTCCGCCGAAAGTACGAGTCCGGGCGGCCTTAACCTGGTGGTGCTGGTGGAGTGTTATTCCCGACAATCTAAGTATTGTAATGGTGCCAAATACCCAAAATACCGTTGCGGAAGGCTGTAAACTCTGGTTTCGTCTGGCTTGAGCTTAACTTTAGCTTTGCTTCGCAGGCAACAGGTGCAAGTTGCCCACTAACCTCTCAGTCCAAGCATGCACATTGAATAAAAAAACGAAGAAAAATATTTCTAGCACGCGCGCACTGCGACGTTGGTGATTGGGAGCTAGCTTTGAGGCGGCGGTGATTGGACAGACAAGCAGCCGAGGAACGGCGTTCTGGACCCTGGATATCCCCGCGGGAAGCGTCATCGACGGCTCTTTCAATTCCATCTTCCACCTCCACCTACCGCGCTACTCCAGTCCAATCGCATCGACAGACGAAGCCTCTACCATAACAACGACAAACACGCGACTACGACCAGCCATGAGCGTCCCCACCCCCACCACTACAGCCGCCACCAACACCAGCGACGCGCCCAACCCCAACTCCACTCTCTCGCACGCAGCTGCCGTCTCCACCTCACCCGACTCCTCCGCCAACGATCCCGCAGCCGCCGTCCCCGCCTCCAACACCAACACCACACCCACCCCACCCCCCCCCCCCCCCCAACCGCCGCCTCCCCCCCCCCCCCCCCCCTCGACCTCGCAGCCAAGCTCTTCGCCCACGCGCGCACCGGCGCCACCAGCGTCCTGCACACCTACCTAGCCGCGGGGATCCCGCCCAACCTCACCAACCACGCCGGCGACACGCTCCTAATGCTGGCCGCGTACCACGGGCACGCAGACACAGTGCGCATGCTGCTCTCTCACCACGCGGACCCGAATGCCACGAATGCCCGCGGCCAGAGCCCCCTTGCTGGCGCTGTGTTTAAGGGGTACCGGGATGTGGTGAGCGTGCTGGTGGAGGGGGGCGCGGATCCTGAGGCGGGTCAACCGTGTGCGAGGGATGCGGCGGTCATGTTTGGTAGGAGGGAGATTTGGGAAATATTGGGGGTGGAGGAGGGGAGGTGGGTGCCTGGGTTGGTTAAGGGGGGTAAGGCGGACGTGGGGGAGGGGGGTGGGTGTCCGGTTTAGGTTCTAGAGGGGGTGGGGAGTGAGGTCTAAGTGATAACGAGGTACTGTTCCGGCTAGCTAGCTGGATCACTGGCTTGGATGGATAGTGCTGGCGATGTACTCCTACCCTCTGTCTGTCCTGCCTGTCGGCAGTACTTCCTTCTCACGCTGCGGGCGGGCGAGAGAGTGGGAGTGAGTGGGTGAGAAGGGGGAAAGAAAGAGAGAGAGGCAGCGCCTCTCCCACCAACCCCATAAACAGGAAAGCCAATCGTACAATCACACAAGCGTTCAGCACAGCCAAGGGTTCAGTGCTTCTACCTACCCACCTTTGTGGCTGTGCTGCGAAAGTACTATAAGCGTTTCAAGTTCTTGGTCTCTAAGCTCCAGGCGCGTGAGGTGAGGCCAGGCTCTCGCTGCCTATAATTGATATATATATTGCTGCTATTACTGCTGCTGCGGCACGGCACAGCATAGCCACCGGGCGTGCCGTGGCAGTGTAGTGAAAATAGCAAGATGTCGCCTGTCTGTCGGTCGGTTAGTCGGTCGGTGGGTGCTGTAACATAGTTAGCCGAGACGATGAAGCAGTTACGAGGGTGCTGAGACGGGTTATAGCACTTGCCACAGGCACGGGCACTGCTACTGTTATTAACGCTACTGTTAACGCTATTGTTATTAATGGCTACTGTTAATGGCTATTATTGACGCTACTGTGTGACATTGATACTGTGTGTGATGTTGCTGCTGGGATGGACAGTGCTGGTGAATATAGCTTATGGGGGCTGGGGTGGGTGGAAAGGGGCGTGTTGTTGGGGGTTATGGATTGTGGATTCTAGGTTTGGATAGGTTAAGAGGTGGAAAAGACGTGTGTTAGTAATAGTAAGTAAGGGTAAGTAAGGATAAGTAGTAGATAGTCTTTTAGACGTATTTAGTATATAGTAATAGTTTATTTAAATAGTTTAACTAAGCTAGTATTAGTAATAAGTAATAAGTATAGTTGCGTAGGTAGATACGTAGATGGATGGAGGGGGTATAGGGTACTAGGGCTGATTTAGATAGGTTATAACTATTAAATATATATACGGACAAATATTATAAATCGAGCTAAACCTTCCTATTAGAATATCGAAACCCCTATACAAATATATAACTATAAATATAAAGTAAACCCCTCAACCTAAGTACAGTTACAACAAAAAGCAGATAGACAGCAAAAACCCAACATCAAAACAACAACATAATAACCCTCTATAACAGCGCCATCGAGTTTAGTAGCTAGTTGATCCTAGTTACATACTCATTCATCACAACATCCCCCAAGAACATCGAGAAACCGACGCCACGCCCACCCCGAAGAAGAAAAGAAACACCAGCTTGCTATCAGTTGTCCAAGAGGCGCAAAACGCAATTAGCTATACACTTACTTGCTTGTTTACTTACCTCCTCTGCACCCTATCTACAGTCTACACCCTCATCCAGACCAACCCGACCCAAACATCAGAAGAACAGTACGCCGAATTATCCATAGAGCCTACACACGCATTGTACAGCGCAAGCACCAGCGCACAAAACCACCAGCCCACCTACCTACCTATCTAAGCCAACCCAGCCTCAAAGCCCTAAAGAAAACAGCGTGCTCTTATCTGCTCTGTGCACGGGTAAGCAGGCAAGAGAAGAAGAAGTGCCGTGCCGTGCCGTAAGCCTGGCGACTACTGAGAGCAACGACGACGACGATGACACACCTTCTTCGTTACCCACCCACCAGCCAAAGCGGAAGGACGTCGCGCGAGTATCAGCCAAACACAACAAGATCTGCGACTGTGCAGCGTAGCACGGCCACGCACCCAGCTCGGCGACCTCCGTATGTACGTACTATGTAAGCCGCGCCTAGGTCGTTATCTAGGAAGGTAGGACCAGGACCAGAGAGCCAAGGCGCTGACAGACAGACTGACAAGGCGTCTGCATTCCAGCCACGCGGTTCGAAACACTGCACTCAAAACAGTCACACAACACACAACACGTATGCAAACAAGCAAGCTAGACAGAGAGCCGGTAGTCCATCCATTTTTCGAACTACTTTCAGCTAGCCACGGAAAACCCCCCAGAGGAGGCCCCCCATTAATCAAGATGATCATGGAATCAAAAACAACAGCAAAGGTCCCGAACCGCACATTTTTCCCATTCAAAAAACCCACCACACAGAGCGCGCGCGCACTGCGCTTAGTTCTCGTGGAAGGTGGAGGTGAACTCCTGGGCGGGCTTGGGCGCCTTGGGCTGCTCGACCTTGGACTGGCCCAGCTTGTCGGCCGCAAACTGCTTGGCGTAGGGGTTGAGGCGGAGCAGGACCTGCTTGTTGTTGAGCGGGTTCTTCTTCTGCACAACCGTGCGCTTGGTGATGGCACCGCCCTTGGTGGGGCGCAGCACCGACTGGATTTCCGACGAGTTGATCAGCTTGGAGATGTCGGCCTGCTTGACGACGGCGCTGGGCAGGAGGAAGTCCTTCTTCAGCGCAGACGCCTCGGTCGTGGTGCCGTAGATCTTGTCCAGGGCCTGGAAGGCGGACGAGGTCCAGACGATGAAGCGGCCGAGGTGACCACCGGGGGCGAGCTGAAGCAGGTTCAGGGCGTAGACGGAGGAAGACTCGACGCCGGGGATGTTGCGGAAGGCACGGACGAGGTCCTTGCCGTCGCTCTCGGGGTCGTAGACGACGAGAGGACCGCGGCGCTGGCGGTGGCGGCGGCCACGGAGCTTACCCTTACCGGCGCGGAGCTTGCGGGAGCCCTTGACCTTCTCGAGGTCGGGGCCGGCACCAACGGCCTTCAGCAGCGCAATGGCGGCAGAGGTCTTGGCGATGGCGGCGTCCGCGAAGGCGGTCGAGGAGACGACGAGGGGAACCTCGGGGACGGTGGAGACGTGGTGACCACGGGCCATCAGCAGAGCAGCGTTGGAAGAAGCAGCCAGGGCGGAAGCGGTAGCGAAGCGCCTAAACTCATCAGAAACGCGTCCAAAACTGGCGTGCACACCTGCACAATCACCGCCGCGCGCCACACTCACTTCTGGTTGACGTTGATCTTCTGGTGCCACTTCCTCCAGACCTTGGTGGGAGCGAACATGCGGCCAGAGCGGCACATGTTACCGAAGGCAGCCTGACCGGCACGGTGGGTACCGCCACCAGAGACACGGGGGATACGGGCGACAGCGCGACCTGGAGGATTCTACCGTCAGTCTGCGGCCATGGTGTCTTTGGTGTTTTTTCATTTTTTCGCAATCTCGAATCGAGGGATCAAAATTTTGTCTGGGGAATCACTAACCGGTACCCCAGGACTCGGCAGAGGTCTGGTGACCGGCCTTCTCGCTCACAGCGTACGGCTGCCTCTTGTTCTTGGCCATGCCAGTGTGAACCGTCCTGCTCGCTGGTCAGCGCCCATGTCGTGGCTGACAAGTTGTTCTGTCGTCTTCTTACTGGACAATGTCCGGGCGGATCGGGGCCTTGAAGACCTCGGGGAGAGGGTGCGTGGCCTCGCTGGCGGAGCCATCGGCGGAGATGATGGAAACAACAGGCCGGCTCGTCATCTTGACTGCTGTGATGGGGGGGTTAGTTTAGACCGTGGTGTTGCGACGAAAATTGCTGCAGTCTACATGGACATTGTGTGAGAGTCGCTTAGGCGAGAGGCTAGTAGTGGCGCTTGGCCGGATGAGGCTTAGCCGAAACGCCCGGGGGGCGCGCATCTCTGTGAGTGCCAACCAAGCACGCAGGACGCAGGAATCGGTCTCGTCACGCGACTGCCGGCGCATAAGGTCGACCTTTTTCTCCTCGTCAGCTCGGCCGTCGGGGTCACCAGACGCCACGACACGAAATGAGGGGAGCACAGATGGCAAATGTTGACGTCTTCGCCGTGGTACGCTCCCTGATACAGCGTCGCGTCTCATGGCCCCGTTTCAGATGGCGATCCTTTGAGCCTTCGCCCAGACGGACATCTCGGGCGTTGCCCAAGTGGGCAGATCTGGCAGCGCTGGAGATTGGCCGGGTGGACGAATGTCGAATGGGCGCGGCGCCTCACTTTACCAGTATCCTTACGCGCCTGACTAAGGCTGTCCAGTGGTCTCTGCGCCAAAAATAGACGGGACCGTGCCTCCTTAGCCGCCCCGTTGGAATCTCCATTCGCATTCGACGACTTGACGCCTGCTTCTCTTGCAACCCACTCTGCGACCACCAACCACTCCCGCGCCCCCCTCCGCCCCTCCACCACTTCGCCTGCTCCTCGACCGTCGTGGATGCCGCACGCCTCCGCCCCCGCGAGCACGCCGTGCACCTAGGTCGTCGAACCCTCCCACCGTCTCTGCGAGACTGGTCAATTCCGCCCAACCTCGACGAGCTCGGTCCTGTTCATCTTCGCATCGCGCGAACGCCCACACGCCCTCCGCGCCCCGGACCCAGTCATTCCTTTGAGCGCTTAAGTGAGATCCGGCATCTCGTTTCAAGCCATTCAACCCCAAGGCCACTTCCATCCTGCCTGTATGTATATTCCCATTCCCATGCGGTGGGGTCGCTGCCCTCGCCCTTCCCTCCTGCCGCCGTCTGCGTTTCAAAAGTCCGCCTTGAGCCTCACGGCATGTTGGCTGCGTTGCCGCAAGGGCGCTCGCCGTCTGCATCGCTACCTGCCGTCGCCTTTCCTTTCATCTGTTGTCCGTATGCCGGCCGCTGCAATGCTCCCACGCTGACACCCCGCCTTTAAAAAGGTCCTTTAGTCCTGATATAGCGCATAATTTCTCATCGCTCTCCAAAAAAGTTTGAGCTTGCGCCGCAACGCTCCACATTTAATCGTCCTCGACGCTCTGCATTCCCCTACGCCACCGACGCCGTGGTCTGCCATCCGCCTCCGAGCAGACCTCAGGCATGCCAGTTCAGACGACATCACGATCGTACGCTCCTCCCATGCCCTCCTTCATGGCGGTCTTTGGCGAGGAGGCGAAGAAAAAGAGAGCGGTGCCCGAGTACTCGGATAGAAATGTGCTCCCGGTGCGCAACGACATCCCGTTGAAACGCCCCGCGACGAGCAGTGCCGTCCTGTACAACCCAAACACAAACTTTGCCTATCACCAGCATCGAGGCAGCACTTCCACCTCGTCAGACTCAACCGATTCCTCTCCCACGACCACCATCTCGACAATGGACGGCTCTTCCATGACCGAGCCATCCCCCGGCCCGTCCCCGGCATCGCCTGCCTCCAAGACACCGCAATCGTCTTGCGTCCCGGATCTCCGGTCAAGAGCCGCCGTCGCCAATGAAAAGGCAAAGTCGGGCTCGCAAGAGCCCCAGTTTTTCGAGTTGCAGCGTCCGACGACTCCTGCAAAGAAGCCCCGCAACTTGAAGGGCTTGGCCGTCAACACCTCCAGTTCCTTGGGCTTGACCCGCCCCGCAAATACCGCTGCTTTGCCGGTCGCCGCGCCAAACCCCGGCCCTTCGACCTCTTCAGCGCCCACCTCGCCTTCGTTCGTGAAGCCGCCGACGCCACCGAGGCGCAGACCGACAAACCTCACTTTGACGCTTCAGACCGGCAGTGGGGGCGGCCTCCCGACGCTTTCCATTCCTCCGACTCCCTCGGTGAAGCGACCCAACACTCTTCGCCACTTCCAGTCATCGCCCTCGCTCCCACTATGCTCTCCGAGCGTGGCGCCTGCCGGTGGCATGCAGCTTCCGCCACCGCAGCAGCAGAAAGCCAGCAAGCCACCCCCGCAGGGCTTCGCAGAGGTTCCGATGGAGTACGAAGAGGAGGAGCAGGAGCCCAACTTTGACGTTCCTCAGTCGCGAGAGGAGAAGCCGCAGGCTTACCCCAATGGCCCCATTTGCATCTACGAATCTGGCGTGTACCTGTACTTTGAGCCAACGGCTGAACAGGCATCCTGGTACGACGTTGTTCTTAATGTGGCTAGCGAGGTGGCCAACCCCTTCGATCCTCCTGCCGAATCAAAGGAGAAGTCGGGTGCTGTTTCAAACGGCAACCCGACCCTGAAGCTTACGCAGCCCGCCGACCGTTCTTCGGTCGGTTCTGACTCGACAACCACCGAAATCGCCGTGGATCCCGAAGGCTCGCCAACCACTCCAAAGGCCACCCCTGTCTTCAAAGGTAAATTGGACCTGCCGCCAAAGCGGCCAGAGTATATACATGTACCTTGGGAGCACAACACCGACATTGTTCCCGATCTCTACAACCTGGTAAGGCTCATCGATGATCGCGTGCAACAAAAGAAGCGGATTTTGGTCCACTGCCAATGCGGTGTCAGCCGTTCGGCCAGTCTTATTGTCGCGTACGGCCTGTACAAAAACCCTGGCATTAGCGTGCAGGAGGCCTACGATGCGGTCAAGAAGCGGAGTAAATGGATTGGGCCCAACATGAACCTGATCATGCAGTTGCAAGAGTTCAGAAACGGTCTGCTCCGCGCCAACGGTCACAGCCAAGGCTACAGAGGTGGTATTCCGAGAAGGTTGTCGCCAAACCCTGGCCCTGCCACAAGCGGGGAACGTCGCACAAATCCCTTCGACGTGGATCCACAATCTGGCTCCCGCACCCCGCAGACGGCTCCGCTGCCTCCAGACTATGGGCCCGACCCGGTGCCGCAAAGGGCAAGCACGGGTAACATGATCCCGATTTCGCCCGGGCCGACCTCTGCTCCATCTGGCTTGGCATGGGCCTCTCCCGGTTTCCGTCGGACATGGGACTCGTCCCAGGCGCCTGTCGAGATGCCCGTGGAGCAGCCTTTTGTCGATCCCAAGGGTCACATCATCCCAGTGATCACTATTCAGCACCAGCGCCCCTCCTTTGAGCGGGAGAGGTCTTTTGAACGCGAAAGGTCTTACGAACAGGAGAGACCTTGGGAACAAGAGAAATCTTGGGAGCAAAGAACGCTGGAGGCGCTGGACAAGGGCAGGTCTGACAGTACAGCAAGCACAGCGACGATTCGTGCAGTTCCCAACTTTTCCCGTCAATTGTCCGCCCAACAAAAGGACAAGCCCGACGCTCCGCCAGCAGTTTTAGGTGTTCAAAAGCCACACCGACCCCAGGCGATTAATTTGGAGAAGGCGCAGCAAGCCGATTCTAGCAAACAGTTGCCCTTGAGACTCAACAGCCAGTCCGGCGAGCAGACACCGCTCGACAAGCCACGAAAGTCGAGTTTGTTCGAGAGACGTCAAAACAAGCCCGATTCGTTTGGTGCGCCTCCTACGCCGCGGACGACGGGGTTCAATTTGACTTCTCTCAGGCCAAGTAGTGGCCACAAGGATGCTTCGGCATTTTTGACTCCAAGTGTCGCACACTTTGCGTTTAACGACCAGCCGAAAGCAGACCGCCAGAACGATTCCGTCATTTCCATGTCAGATCGCCATGTCCAAAGATCCTCTTTGTCCGAAGCAAACGACGTGGACGAGCCCACCGCCTCTCCTAGATCTGCAGAGTTCCACATGACTCCGCTCAAACAGGAAAACGGCACCGAAAACGACTACGGAGTGCTTTCCCCCACGAGGTTTGAGTTTCCTAAGAACCCGTGGGAGAAGAACACCCGCGCTGCGGACAAACAGGAATCCCCTCCAAAGCCTCGGATGCATGCCATTCTGCCTCCTATCGCACAGTCGCCGCCGGCTGAGACGCAATTCCAGAGCTTTGGCTTCCTGTCAAGCACGCAGCCGCACACTCCTCCAGGCTCGACCAAACTGAACCCGTTTGAGTACACTCCGTCCAACGAGCCAAGTCCGATGGCAGGCAGCCGTAATCATGTGGACAGGGAGAGTTTGCCGCCCTCGCTCCAAATTGGAGTCGCGCCGCGCCAGGATCAGGACAAACGGCAAGGAGCAGGTCTGCGCCCGAAGTTTTCCAATCCTGACATTCAGTCACAGATCCGTCTTCAGGCCCTTCAGAAGAACATCGAGTCTCAGCTGCAAAACCACTCTGACCAGCACACGGCGGATGAGCTAGCTGCGCTCTTGTCTCCCCGCGCCTCGGAGTTTACTCAAAATCCCTTTCATGTCAAGCTCGATGCAGCTCTCATTCCTACCCCAGCCCGCAACGGCAAGGACCTCGAAGCGGACCGAGAGTATCTGGGATCGGACGTCGAACCAGAGCTGTACAAGGAACCTTCCACGCCCCACACGACTGACGTCGATCCACGGAGCCCCCCTCACGCAGGGGCTAGCCCTATCACGAGAAACATCTGGGATGTCTTGTGAGCGGCTGGCCTTGTTTGCCGTCTACCCTGGAGCGCTCCCGGTGTCAGAGCGCTGTGATGGCTGAGCTTCGACTGAGCCTCTAGTTGCGCCGCACACTGTATGGTTCCTGCGCATCTGCAGTGCGTCTTTCAAAGCCACCAAACGCCTGTGCCGAGCATCATCCGTTCTCGACCCGTGCCTCCTGACGGAAGGCTTAGCGCAAAAGCCACGATACGCCGCCCAGGCGCTCGAGCGCTGCGCCACCAGCCGACTCCCCTTGGCTCGCAAATGAGCAGTCTAGACCGCTGGCGGCTGGACATCATCCAGCATCGCCACGGCTAGCAATTAGCGGATCGTGAGCCGATGGTTGCGGCGGCCGTGCGTCGACTGCGCCCCCCCTTTCCTGGATCGAGGCGACGTAGGTGCAATACTAAGGCGAGGCCGATCGCAATATTGCACAAGTGCTGTTTTGAAACGGACAGTGGCTTTTTCTTTTCTCCTTGCGTATTTTCCTTGGGTGTTGCGTCATTGATTTGAACCTGCTTTCCATCCCGCTTCTCGAAACAACCCTCTTCACACTGACCCTCGTTATGGATCATCCGTTCACTTCCTTATGTCCGATTCTGGTTTGCGTTTTTCCTTTTTGGGGGTTTTCGGCTCTGCAATCGGCGTGCAGCTGCACCAGTGCCAGGGGCCCACGGCGTTGGGGGAAACAGTAACGATGCGCTTCGCTGAATATCCAATCCGTATGAAAGGGCTACGAGCTTCTAGCACCTAGTTTTTGGCTCGCTCTGGTTTTTTCTCCGCTGCTGCTGCTTTTATCCCCCGGGTTTCCTTTGAGCAACATCTGAGAGATTTTCCTCGTTTTGTTTATGTTTTTTCTTTTTGTTGTTCCTGCGTTTTCTTTTTCATGGCATGACGAAATTCAAGTACCATATCAGCAAAGGCGCGCTTGGGGGTGGTGTTGGCGCGCATTGCATACGGTGCGCCTCTTCTCGCGCGCGCATGTTGTTACCACCTCGTTGGTGGAGGACAAGAAGCACCTAAGCACCTAGCGTTTTTGGCGAGATGGGCGGATGGACGGGAAGAATACACAATGGTAGACGGAGGGAAACAATCATCATCATGGGCCGGCCAGCGCGAGAGAGAGGATTAGGAGAGCTGGGCTGGACAAGCATCGGTTTGTCCGCTCGGGCAGAGGGGAGGAAAAGAAGCAGTATGAAGCTTTTTCTTTTCCTCGCCCTCTCTCTCTCTCTCTCTCTCTCTGGTTCTTTGCATAGGGGTTCTTTGGAGCTGGAATGGATTGCACACTGAATTGGGATGGGATGGGATGGGGTAGGATGGGATTGGGCAGGCTTGGGCAGGGCAGGGCTGGCATTGGGATTGATTGATTGTTTTGGGAGTGGAGTACAACTAGCTAGCTAGCTACTTGGCAGTACAGCAGCAAACAGATAGGTGCAATAGGACGTGTGGTTTAAACATTAGTTACAGTTACAGTAAGTACTGCGAAGGTACATTTTGCTTTTGTGGTCTTGGTTTTAGTGTTGGGTTTGTTTCGGCTGCCGGGCCTTCGCATTGGTCGTGTGTTTAGCGCTGGGGTGGGATGGGCCGGCGCGCCGGCTGAAGAGGGAAGAGAGGCGTTCATGCGTGCGTGCGTGCATGCGTCGGTGCAAGGCGGCGCTTGCTTTGCGTTGCGTGCTCTGGGTTGGTTGGTGGTTTGCCGAGCGCGGTTTATGCACGCGTGCATGTGCGCTTGCGCGCGCTCTCTGTCTCTCTCTGTCTGTCTCTCTCTGCCTCTTCATTCACTTTTTCTGGCTCTTTCTTTCTCGCTTCTCGGACCTGGCTAGGTGTCTATTTGATATCTTATCCGTCTGTCCGTCTGTCCATCTATCTATCTATCTCAGGCACGCCCGAGCCGCGGGCCTCGTTAGTGTCTTCGTATCTATGTATAGGTACCGCCCGGGTATGTATGTATGGCCGGCCTACATAAGTTGTCTTCCTTCCTATATACGGATACGTACTCTGCCCCGCCGGACCTCGGCTATGCCTCCGTGCATATGTCTCAGTCAATCAGTCAGTCAGCACCACCACATCACGACGAGACGAACGGCTTCCGCGGACGCGGGTTCGGCGCCGTACGCGGCGGTGCGGTAAGGTGCGGACGCATGGGCGCGGAGGCGTGCTCGTGTGCTTGTGTGTGTGTGTGCTGTAGGTACGGATGTATGTACGGATGTATGTAGGTACGGCTAGATGACTGAGCAAGCGAGCGCGGACGATCGGGCGCAGGCTCATGCTCATGCTCATGCCTTCCGCTGCGGCGGGCACGAGGCGCGTGCGCGTGCGAGTTTGTGTGCGCGTGTTTATGAGCGCGGGTTTGTGAGTGTATTACGGGAAGACTGCAAAGTAGGACAGGGCAAGGTACGAGCAATTTAGTTGCTCCGTCTCCGTCCACACACACACCTCTCCAACTATACCTAGTAACGTCACCGGCAGCTCCAACAGCTTTGACGCTCACTAAGTCATCCCTGCCAGAGCCGTCACCTGTGTTGTATAGTCATGTGTACATATGTAGCCCGCGACGCAGACGGCAGGTGGCGATGTCGGTGTCGGTGTTCGGGCCTCGGCCGAGGGCGCCCGTATCTACATATGTAGAGTAAGTAATGCGTGCGTGGGTAGGCGGGTGAAGCGGGGGAAGCGGGGGTGTAAGGGCAGGGGGGTGGTGAAAGACTAGGGAAGAGGCCAAGAGAGGAAGGATACGCGCGCGGGACGGTACGGTGCCATAATGCCTGCCTGCGGTTACGGTGCGGGTGCTGCGTGCGGATCGAGTGGAGTAAGCGCTGGGGTTTGAGGTAGAGTAGAGCGGGGAGTGGCCGTTTTGGTGGGGGGTTTCGGCACTGCGGGTGCGGGGGCGGAGAGGAGTTGTGGGTGGGTGAGGGTGGGGTTGGCGGCTGACTGCTAACCTTATTGCGGGGGTGAGATGAGAAGGGATACTGTAGGGATTCGTTTGGTGTTTGGGGGTGTTTGTTGCTACATTTTATGTACTATAATTCTTTTTTTCTATATGATTTTTTCTATGGTTGGCACTAAATGTTGATCTGAAATGCTGAGGCTGAGTGTAGACTTTTTATTTTTTGGTCGGGGCCGAAGACGGTGGCGGCGTCTTTTGGGTGTTGATATGTGGTAGAGCCTGGTATACCTATTTTGGGTAGTTTGATTTGTTAGTTGTCCCAACCTTTCGTTGTTTAGACCAAATTCCTAACGTCACTCCTTCTTTTTATCTTTATTGCATGCTTTCATTTGATTTAAATCCCACCCATCTGGATACGTTTCAGATGAAGTAAATAACCAGTAAGAAGCCAAGATATAAAGCACAAAGAAAATATCGGGGAAGCTATCGGAGTTGCAGTAGATACGAAGCACGCTGAAAAAGCCGTCACTGACGAAAGCGGAGTGGAAGAAAGGGATGTCCCCTAAAAATAGGTTCTGAGAACGGAGATGGCAAATGATCGCTATTCTTTGTTCGACATTTGCATACCAGTGGCTAAAAATACACCAGTGACGTCTTCTAAGGGCGCACAAAACGTCGTAAGTTATGATAATGGCTTGTTTTTATCAGTAATTAAAACAGAGAGGCGTTGATGGTTCTAGCCGTTTTTAGCTACGGTGTCTTGAACGATGCCTAGCCATAAGCGGATGAGAAAGTGGACGGGAGAGTAAACAGGGTGGTGTAACGTTAAGTTTGGATTACTAGAGACTGCATCGGACTGCGATATACATCAAAGTACTGAATAGTACTTAGGCCACAACAGTGAGAAAACTTAAGGACGTGATAAATAGGATCGCTATATTATTCGACGATATCTAATAACCTTTTACAAACCTCCAAATGGATAGCTAGATTAAAGTTCATTTGCCCGCCTATTTGTATGCGACTTGACTATTAACTAGATCAACTAGATCTTAAATACAACATGTTCCAACATCAGAGTTCGTGAGAAGTTAGTTAGACAAAGCCCTTTAGCAAGATTATATAGCGTTTTTTGCGTTACAGTTTCTCTATATAAACGTCCTTAGAGGAGTGCAACTTGCAGTAAAAGACAATATAAAGTCCATCAAGGGACAACTCCGTTTTCCCGGCATCTCAGCAAGCAATCTGTACCTGGGTCGATTACAGTTACGGTATACAATGAATTCATGGACGTTGGGGGCGAGCGAACTTATACTTATTCTCTTCGCCTTACACACCACCCACCAGTACCAACCATAAGCTCAATTCCGCACTACTACAGTATCTATCACTAACACAGCACCTTGCCACTCTTCAACACTACCCCAACCCGACACCCAACTCCACTACCACGAGATGCCGAAGGCCCGAAGACTAGTGCCGGCGTAGAGCTCATTTAAAGCCTGAACAGGCACGGAGTCCTCCCTCCATGTCCCAGGCACGTGCGATCACCATAGCTCGAGCTAGGCTCATCTGGATCAGATACGACAACCCCTCTTGGTAGTCGGTCCAGCATCAATTGCAATGAGGACCAACGAGGGACTTCTCTCGGCTTTAGACCATTCTAGCAAACAAACAAACTCCCATTTTGGCTTTAGACCACTCTAGCAAACAAACAAACAAACACCCCAAACCCACCACCGCGCCACGCAGTATCCTCCACGCACCCATCCATACATCCATTCATCCATCCCATCGCATCCCATCGCATCATAACCAAGCAAGCCCAATCCCACGCCACGCCACGCTGCCGGTCCAACCCCCCAAATCCAGTTTCCAATTTCCAATTTCCAAATTCACGTCCACAGCCGCCTCGTCGCCACCAACGATGCCATTGAACACCCGTATGTACGAACCTACGCACATACATGCACACGCGCACGCGCTCCCATCTCACGCGTCGAGCTGACGTGATGCCAGCCAGCTACCAAACGTACTGACCCTCGCGAGCTGACCTGAACCGAGCTGAGCAGAGGCAAAAGCCTTGCTGGTCGGATTTCAGCTGACTTGACTCGAGCTAAGCTTGACGCGAAAAAGAAAACACGAAGCTAAGAAGAAAGCGGAAAGAAGCAGAAAAGACAAGAGAGGGAGAAGTGGTGGGGCTAGGTGGATGAGGTGAAAATGAAAAGCGAAGGAAGAGAAAAGAAAAGAAAAAGGAAGAGAAGAGAAGAGAACAAGAGAGTAAAGACACCGAAAAAAGATGACCGAAAAGAGAAAGAAAGCAGCATCGCCATCGCCATTATCCATAACATCATTCGCCAATACATAGGTGCCCCCACGACATCTACCCAGCCATCCATTTAACTAAGAACCCGCCGCAAGCACCACAGCACGCGCGCTCATGACCAATGAACAAGGGAAAACCGAAACCGGAACACTAGCTAGCGCCTCTGCAACCGCACTCGCCGGGTAGAGCATCTCGTTTTGATTACGGACCAAAGCCGAAGCAGGGACGCGGTAGAGGAGGAGAGGAGAAGAGGAGAAGAGGAGGAGAGAATCCCAAACGAAGAAAAAAGAAAAGTGAAAAGAAGTGGCAAAAGAGAAAAGAAAAGAAAAAAGAAGATATCAAAAAGAGAAAAGAAGCACATCCACACCCCGCGCCACTCCCAAATTATCGTCCACCCCACCTCATCACGACCCTCTCCGCTGCCCATTCTCATGCTCCTGCGACCCATGCCTCGACCTATCATGCCCACTTCCATTCGTGCTCGTATGATCCATCGGCTCCGTCAACACGCCGCTAATCCCTATCCCGTCATCTAAGCCCCCATACCCCGTCATATCTGCCCAGTCCCACTCCAGTGTCATGGGCATCTGCCACAAATCCTGCGGTACAAAAGGCTGTGGGAACGAGCTGGACAGGCTCACAGGGTCGATGCCTGCACCGCTGTGGCCGCCGCCGTTGTTGAGCGCCGTGGGACCGTGCGCGCCTTCGGCCGTGGGCGCAAGCGTGTGCCCTGCTGTCGTGAAGGGCGGCATCCCTGCGTGTGTGCTGTAGTTTGTGTGGGAGAGCATGGACGAGGCGGGGGGTGGGGAAGAGAGATCGGGGAGCCAGGCGCCTTGTTGGAGGTTGGCGTGCGGCATGGAGGGGGAGAAGTTGAAGGTCTAGCGGTGCATCAGCATTGATGGATATTGAAAGTTGGAAAGGGTCACATACCGGGTCCGCGAAATTGGACGTGAAAGTGGGCGTGAATGGGTTGTTTGGGTTTGAGCTCGTACGCGAGGCATGCCGCTGGTTCTGGCTCTGACGTGACTGCTCAGAGTTTTGTTGTTGTGATTCATTCGTCGAGTTCCCGCGCTCTTCTTGTTGCTTGCGTTTGCGCCGGGAGGAAGACTCTTTGTCTGCCTTTTCCAAGACCACTCTCGCAATGCGCTCAAACTCTGAGCAGATGCTCAGCATCCGACGGACGCTCCCGTTCTCTTCATCAGAGCATAGCATAGATAAGAAGTTGACGACAAGATTCATGAGTTTAAGGTCAGAGCGGGCCCGTGTGTCCTGCGGGTTTTGGAGTATGTTTGCGAAGAGTGTGACGAGGGAAGAGACGGGGTAATAAAGAACCAACCTAAATATCGTTAGATTGACGGTCTGAATGATTAAACTTGTGACCTACCAAACACATGCGTAATCGCCTTGGGGAATATATTTGATCAAATTGATCGATGCTCGAGCCGCTTGCACGCACAGCGCTGCTGAAGAAAAAACCCTAGGGTTGAGCGGCCGGGCATTCAAGCCTTGAATGGCAAAACTCGACAACCTGTTTGTCCAGTATCCGTGGTGTACGGACATTCGATGTATTGTCGTCAAACAGTTGTAGTAAGCAAAGTGGAGAACTACAATATGCAGAATAAGAGGTGTATGTGAAGCCTTGATCTCGTGCTCGGGCCGGAAGTCGACCGGTATGCCGTCTTTCCATTCCTCAAGCTCTCTGTCAAGCTCGCCAATGGTGTTCAGAAGTTCACCGTCGGATTGCTTTGACGCTTTCACCGAGTAAAGCTGCTTGTACACTTTGCTCTCAATTATGGCAAAGGTACACATTAACCTGAAAAGGTTGACTTTGCCTTTGCCTTCAGCGAGAGGAATGTTTCCAACATTGTCTGGGGGGTTGTCGCTTGGCAACTCCACGTTCATGTCGTCATCATCTTGGATGGGAGGACGCCCGGAGCGCAAGCAAATGCTACAATGCGTTAGTATACGCAAGTCCCACGGACTTGAAACTTACTCTCTATCAAGCATGTAAGCAATCCAAAACACTCGTTTTCGCTGCTCGATCTCTGCAGGGTTGAGGTTGAAGCCTGAGCCGCGCTTGTGGAGACCAATGCTGTGCGACAGCCGGATAGCAGCTGCCACGAGGAAGAACGAGGGTTGCGGGTTCGGTGTTCCCTGAAGGAACAAGGCCATGCCTAAAAGGGCCTGGACGCTCAGGAGGTCCGTATTCCGTATAGTCAATTCGGTCTGCACCGCGAGAGCGTTCTTGAGGTAACCCCAAGCCTTTTGGTCCTCCTCTTGTGGCACGAGATTGCTCATTACCCGCAATCTATGTGCAATGGCGAGTGCAACGTTCAAACTAGCCCACCAACCGGAGCCCTCGTACGGATCCCGGGAATAATGTTTATCGACTAGGTGCATGAATGTCGGTTCATGGAATAGCGGGAACATGCAGTTGAAATTTGCGAAGTAGTCTTTGAGGAGAGAAAGTGCTTCCTCCTTTGGAGGTAGAGGCTTGAATACGCGCCGCGAGAATATGTCGCGGAAAATGTCCGGTTTCCAATGTATCCATTTGTTGTCGTCGACCGCCGCGGTCGAGATCATGTCCTGGAAGGAGGTGTCGCCAGTTTTTTCGTTCACCCATTGTATGCCTTTTGGCGAGAATATTGAGAAACCGGAGGATGACCCTAGTCATTATCAGCATGCCGCTAGCTGCCCTGCCACCATGATGCGCACCTATGTATCTGGTTTCGCCGCAGTTGTTCGTGACCAGCGAACACATCATATCCGACAGCGCCTCGACTTCCTCTTCGTTCCTTGGCGGCTCTTGCGGTTGCGCTCTGCGCGGGGGTGCCGGGGACGGCTCAACGCTGGCCGGACTCTGCAATTCCGTATGTGGTATCTGCGGTGTGTTTTGTTGTGGTGGAGTGGCCTCGTGGCGCTGATTGGACCCGCTGCCATCTGACGCTCTCGAAGAGGTTGTGCCACCGTTGCTCGCTGCGCGTTTATGGGCCAGCCGTCGCTCCAGCGTCCCCAAGTCTGTTCGGCCGTCGTCGTCTTCCGAAAGTAGCCCTGACAGCCTCAGGAGGGACTCCATGCGGCCAAGGCGATTCTCAAGTCCCTCGATGTATTTTGCCCTGGACCCTGTCAACCTCGTGCTCGAGAGCAGCCTCCAAACGCTTACCCCTTGGGCGGATTGCGCTTCTTTTCCACCTGGGTGAAGATGCATTCCGTCTTGTAGTTCTGGCAGTGGGTGCAGGCGGGCATCTTGCCGTCGCACTTGATCTTCTTCTTGCGGCACATGTCGCAAGCCTGTGTCGGGCGCGTCAGCTCCAGCCATCACGGTCGCGGCGCGCAGCGTACCCTTGCTATACGCCTCCTCTTGGGATCGCCCTGGCCGTCGTTGTCGTCGGGGCCCATGGCCAGCTGGGCGTCGTCGAACAGCGGGCCGTTCATCTGCGGCTGGACGGGCGAGCCGTCAGGGTTGTAGTTGCCGAAGATCTGGGGCGGCTGGTTCACAAGCGGCGGCGCCTGCGGCAGGAAATTGTGCGGGGAGTGGTCCATGGCGGGCTAAGGTCGGTGCGGGAAAGTTGCGCGAGTGACGTACTCGCGAAGCTGGGATCGCTGGACAGCTGGAGAGGGGTCCGGGGGTGTGGTCAGGGAGGGCAGGTCGTCGCTCGCGGACATGGCAAGGCGGAAGCTTGGAGCGAGGAGAGAGCCGGCGAGGCGGCGGGAGAGGGTAGGGTCGGAGTCGGAAAGAAAGAAAAGAAGAATAGGCAGTCTTTGGGGGAACGTCAGCCCCCGGGATTGCTAGTAGGGAATCTCGAATCACTAGTGGCCCCAGGATCGTCAATTGGTCAGCAACAAGCAAGGTTCGGTCCGCAGTAACTTGCAGCCTCTCATCGCTCGGGGCTTTGGCTTGTCCGCTGTAGTATATAACCCTTAACCCCGACCGGGCTTCGGCGAGAAGGACATTGCTCTACACCAAAGCTCCGTCGCCGTGCTTTGCCCGTCGGAACTCCTCCCTTCCGACCCGCCGACCGACTAGAGAACTCCCCCCCTCAGCCACCTCCGTGGCCACGCACTCTCTTCCTTCGACTTCCCGCGACCATGTATGCGTTGCTCACGATCGGCGCCTCAGCCGCATGCATCACAGTGCTGACGGCATTAGGTCCTCCCAATCCCCGCCCCGCCCCATGACCGCTGCAGAGGTCGAAAAGCATCCCGAATTTCCCTACGTGACCTGGGATCTGAAGCCCGAGAAGAAGGGCAAGCTTGCCGTCGCTGCCGGTCGAGGCGGGCCCTTGAACATTGCTTATGAAATTCATGGTCATGGGCCTTGTCATATTGTTGTAAGTTTGTTGTTTCCTTCGGTCCGCTTCCATAGAAGTCGGAGGAATTCATCTCTCCGTTTTGGACGCTGCTCGTACTCGCCCTCGTACTCGCCCTCGTACGCTACTCGCTTAGCTGCGCCTCTGACTGGTCAACCTCGATCATCATGTCTTGCTGTTCTATTTTTTCCATTTGACAGATGCTCCTTCCAATCTCTTTGAAGATATACACCGCAATCTCGTTGCTAACACCGCCATGAATCATAGTGGATAATGGGCCTAGGCGGTCTGAAGTCAGCTTGGCAACGTCAGACCAAAGATTTCTCACATACTCAGGCCGACAGATACACGTCGCTGATCATCGACAACCGGGGCGTGGGTGAGTCAGACAAGCCACTGATGCGATACTCGACGTCAGAAATGACCAAAGACATTGTCGAGCTACTTGACCACCTAGAATGGACGCAAAAACGACAACTCAATGCCGTCGGCATCAGCATGGGCGGCATGATTGCCCAAGAGCTGGGCCTGCTGATCCCAGACCGTATCGCGACGCTGTCGCTCGTCTCCACCGCCGCCGGTCTGTTCAACACAGTCGGCTTCATCGAGAATCTGCGCAACCGCATCAACCTTTTCATTCCCCGCAGCATCGACTCCCAGCTAGCCCACGTCAAGCACAACCTGTACAGCGCGGCGTGGCTGGACAAGCCCGACGAGCTCGAGCCCACTGTCCAGGCTTTCCCGACAAACGGCGACCGCTTCGCTGCCGCAGAGGTGAGCAAGCGCCAGCACCCGGAGCTGTTTAACAAGACGGGCTTTATGGCGCAGGCTGTCGCAGCTGGCTGGCACTTCAAGAGCCCGTTGCAGCTTAAGGAGCTAGCAGATAAGGTGGGCCGCCATCGCATTATGGTTGTGCATGGCAGTGAGGACCGCATGATTACGTTTCCGCATGCTAAGGTGCTGGTTGAGGGACTAGAAATGATGGGCGTGCCGGACGGTGAGGTCGAGAAGCATTTCATGGACGGTCAGGGCCATGTCATTCCGATTGAGATGCGTAAGGACTTTAATGGCTGGTTAGAGGCGCTTTTTGCCAAAGGAGAGATTCTAAACCAGGTCGAGGCATAGTGCATGGGGTAGGACGTACTGTTGATCGCTTGTTAGCGAGCACTAGAGTACATAGATTGTTCACGAAGTTATGCTCATTTTTTTTATTTTATTTTTTTTTTTATTTTTTATTTTTATTTTTTTTTTATTTTTATTTTTATTTTTATTTTTATTTTTTTTTTCCCACCAAAGCATTGATGGCGAGCCGCAGCCTTAAATCGGCGCGAAAACAGCAGTCTTTATGATAGTCTGGCGGTAATAACCCCGACTCTTCACCTCTGCCTGTAGGATCCTTCGGGCAATTGTTCGTCAGAGCAAATTCGCTGATGTACGACAACATGCCGTGAAGCTTGCATACATATATGTCACACGATACTGTCGGGTAGCATTAAGCAGCATTGACGCAGTGCCCTTACGAGTAACACTCTCAAGCAACTCTGCCGTTCCATGTCCCAAAAGTCGGATGGGTGCACCGGCAAAGACCGTGCTTGTTGTTGATCGATGCAGTGATTGTCCTAAATGGAACCTGTTGCGAAATGGAAGACAGATCAATGGATTTGAGAGAGAAAAGAATCAATAATGAAATTGCTGTTATAAACCAACACACTGATGCCTATAACGATGAGCCTATAGTATCGGAACAAGAAGGCGGAGACGTAGCAATTCTTTCTAGCGATCAGTTTTGATCGAGTGTCGCCCGCTTCCCTAGGGCCGAAAGTGATGTTTGCAGGTCGGGTTGAAGCCTGCCACGAAATTCGGCAGATGGTACATTCTTTCATGGCAGAGTTGACAAGTTCATGATCATGTCCAAGCAGGATGATCTGTAACGGGTGTGAGTGATGTAACTACCTAGATGATGTCGAGGGCCGGCTTGCCCGAAAGAACTCCTTCGGGCCTAGCGTGCACGTGACCCGAATTGATCCGACAGCTCTTCGAAGACGTCGGGGAAAGATACCAACGACCAGACTGATACCCGCAACAACACCATCTCCCGCCATCTTCGGACGACACGCATCCGACTCAATTGTACGTGAGCAGCAAGCCAGCCAACGCAGCCAGACACGCGCAAGCGACACAGGGCGCCCTCAGCCGCCCTTTTTTTCGCAGCCCGCATCCCCGCCCTCACCCGCCCGCCGCCCAAACATCTTGCGATCTGTTTTCTGACCGTTTGCCGCTCCCAGCAGGGCTTCCACCATGTCTGCTTCCCGCATGCTTCGCCCCTTCGCCCGCGCTCTCCAGCGCCAGGCCTTTGCTGCCCCTGCGCCCGTCCGCACCGCCGCCAAGGTCGCGCCCTTCACGCCCTCCTACAACGGCAAGCAGCTGTCCTTTGGCCAGAAGGCTGACGCCCAGATGGTACGCTCCCCGCCCGGTCCCGTGCGCAAAGCGCAATTGCCCCGTCTACAGAAGTTGAAAGGAAAAAAAGAACCACCGCGGCTGCGTGTGTGCGACTTGTGTAATGGATCCAGCTGCTAATGCATCGGTGCGTGTGTCCAGGCCGTCGTCTACGCTGGCATGCCCCAGCTCGTCCCCTTCTTCTGGGTCAACGAGGCTACCTACGCTTTCATCGCCCTGCCCACCCTCATCTACCTCTTCTCCAAGTACCTGCTCCCCCAGGACGTCCGCCGGATGTGCGCCCGTCTCTTCATCTCCAAGCTCTAGATGCGCCCCGGATACACTCTGACGGAAGATGCAATGGGTTCGTGTGGTGGAGGTCGCTCGGCTGGAGATTACCCTAGGGTTCGGGTGTGTAGATAAGAGCACTGTGAATCTAGAATCTCGGGTCGTTTGATCATGTTCGTCTGCTGCTGTTTTGGCGCCCGACGTGTTGCTGCGTCTGCTGCGCCTTTTGTCGTTGGGTGATTGTCTCTGCTGCGCATCATTGGTCTCGTGCGTCGGTTGTCTTGCTGCTGCACTGAGCATTTTCTCGGCGAATGCTGTTCCGTTCAACCGATTGCTTTTGCCATTGGGTTGAGGTTAATTGATGGACCTCATGACGGATTTCCGACATGTCTCCCAATGTCCCGGCTTGTTAATTTACAGTGATTGTCCTTTTTTGCTTGGATTAGCTGAACCGTAAGACCTCTGTCTTCCCTTCTTCAATTGTCCACCTCTACAGGGTGTAGGTACATCGGAGTTGAATTTGGCGTCTGTGCCGCAGCTTTGGAGTCGATATTCATTGCATTTACAGGTCCAGAAACCTGGGCTACCTTCGGGGCAACGAGATTTCTCATTCTATGGCTCCGTTCCACTCTCATGCGCCTACACCCTATACATTGTCTTTATGAATTCTATCCATATCGGCTTGTCCTCACCTCACGCTGTCCGCTCTAACAATTGCTACCAAGCAGGTACAAGCTACCACTCTCATAGTCTATTTAGTCGCAATGCTGAAATAAAAAATATAGCTTCTAAAAAGATAAAAAGAAAGCAGCTATCAGAGACCATAGGGCGGGTATGCGGGCATGTACTTACAATCGTGAATACCCGCCGTGAGGTAGGACACGATCCCCCGAACACACTTCATGAACACTTCCTCCCAGTTTGATCTCTAATCGGGAGCGGTCGCAATGGCGACCGCCGGGAAGAAGAATTCGGAGCGGCGGCATGAGCGAGGGGATAGGAAGCCGTCGGGGGCGTCGCTAGAAGTCCCGTCCAGCAACCTATAGGTACACCCAGGTTAGCTAACCCAGGTGCAGGTCTCCATGGTGACTTGAGGTGAGGGCCAGATTAATATCAGGTTTGCCCTAAGGATGGAAACTATATAAAGAACGGTTAGTCAGGGATTCGAACACAGGGTTTGGCTGGATTGGGTTGCTGATGGTCTCTGATAGCTGCGAGCGTGTGATGACTGGTACGCCATACGCGCTTTGGTTGAGGATGAGTTGGCGGTGTTGGTATATTAACCTGGGCGGACAGACTTCACTTCGTGACTGCGAAGGACTACCTAGCCGGACTCGGTATTCGCTGAGTTCTTGGCCGCCCTTTTGTTTCTCTGCTATGTGTAAGATGCTCTAGCTAATGTGCGTGCAACAGCGAAGTAGCTTGTCTCTAGATATAGTTGCGAGTAAGTAAAGAGACCGCTCAAGCGCCCTGCTATAGTATTTCTCTTCTCCGCTTATCCACTGTGACTTTCCTCTTCTTCAGTGGCGTTTTGCGCCGCATTCCTGCATCGCCAGGTGGTTCAAGCATCTATCCGCTTCAGCTTTCGACGTCTTTACCTCTAGTTTTCAAACGCTGTTAATTTCAACCGTCGTAAGGTTCGATCTCTATCCACGCGACCTCGGCACAAGGTGCGTCAAAATCCCGCGCATCATCTGTTTTCGGAAGTATCTGAATTAACTCTTTTCACCGCGCTGCGGCGCCACGCCGGGGAATGAAGTTGTTCTTTATACTCACCACTGTTGGGACTTGCTAAACCTCTCTACTACCGCCGATACAGCTCAACAAAGCACTGATCCGTCAGGACGGGCATGTTCTTGACACGTTAAGGTTTGGACGAAGCCTTGGGGTTCGCTGGCGCCTCGTCCAGCCCGTTCAGTCCCAGCACACTCATGATAGATGCTGTCGCAAGCTGTTGACATGGCTCTTCCGAGATAGATATAAAGCACACCACAATAGTTCTCCATCTTTTTCTTTACCTCTACCATCCTTTCAAGCAAATAGTATATTATAAAAGGCAAGGTCATCCACTCCGACCAGAAGACATAAGAGCACGAACGCTACAATTTAGCTAACCCTGTGCCCTAGTAAAGAGAGGCTCTAGCGCCTCTTGCATGTCCCATGCACGTGCGATCACCATTGCTCTCGCCAAGCTTACCCGCGTGCGGGTCCCCCTCTTTGTTGTTGGAAGCCGTACATGAACGTCGAAGCCAACGAGCTTGTGCTGGCATTCTTTACCCTTCACACTAACCACTTAAGTGAAGGGTCCCTCCACAGCTCGTGCAACGGCGTGAAGCCGAAGGAGGAGTTTCTGGACGCGATCGATGCCGGTGTATGCCGTTACAGCCACAGATCCAGACCCAGTCCGTTTGTTTATGATACTATCTCTAAAGTGGAGGTGTCCTATAATCGACTAACTTGTTGTGCTGACCGCGCATTTTGTATCCGGCACTATATGGCTCTTTAAATAGCTAGAGATGCAGAGACTCTCCGCCGGATCCGTAGGCTTCGGGACCTTGTTTGATTGTTGTTCTTGGCGTTCGGCTGGTCTCTTCCTCGGATTAGAGGGAGGTTAGATTTCCGGGAATGGTGAAGATGACGGTTCTCTGTTAATACCGCTATTGTTGCGTAGTCCACTATTAACAGGGCCTGAGTTTTTCACACCAGTATATGGCTGAGGCAATACCCTGCTAAGAGGACCTAAAAAGATATTTTTATCGTCCCCGTAGTATCTCGCCATGGCGCTAAGTTATTTTCGTGGGAACTTTTATTCCGCGCGTGTGTAGAAGCGTTATGCTGCTTGTAATATTCTTTGCCGGGTTCAACGTCCGTCGCCGTGAAGCGAGATTTACCGTGAAGCGAGATGGTGATACGTGTACGGAGTAGAAGAAGAGACCTAGTTAAGGTGTATAGAGGCTCTGTACGGAGGAGAAGAAGAGTCCTAGTTAAGATGTGTCGAGCCTCTGTGTGCTCTAAGAGTTTTTCATCTATATCTAAGACTCGGGCTAGGAGCTAGGCAAGAAGTACTCTGTAGGGACTGCTTGTATTATCCCCTGTTTCGTTAGACGGTAGATCTTGATTCGCGGTGACGGACGTCGTATTATGTCGCGACGTCTTTGGTCGTTAGTGCAAGTTTAAGCTGGGAGATAGGTAAGGAGTACTCTGTAGGGACGAGAAGAGGAAGCACTGGCCACTGTCCTTGTTGGCAAGAGGACCCGGGTTAACGGCACAAGGAGCGGAGGACTGAGAGAGAATATCTTTCGGGATCTCGACCGTCGCAAATGTGTCTTCCGATGCATAGTGGAACGCTGGGAAAGTCTTACACAAGGCTCTGTGAACGGTAGATAGCCGATGATTCGGCAGCGTCGGCAGTAGGTATCTGAAGAGCTGGTCTATTTGCAATGGTTGCAATGTCCTCCATCCATCAGGTCGGACAAAGCTCTCAGGTTGCCAGAGAATTTTCTGAGAGAGTAGAGAGTCGTCTCCAGTCATACTTTTGGCAAAGAAGTCAACATCGGAACTCGAGAACCATGAGCGCTTGGCGGATCCTAGAGATGCTAGCATCCCACAGTATTACGTCACGATAATGACCCAGCATGTCCCGGATCGAGATAGACACAAGTGGCACACAGAACCTAGAACTGGTTGCTGGAAATTCTGTATCAACTAGCCATACATTTTCCGGTGCTTGAAGACATAGATGGTAAAGCCAGTCAAGGCGTTCGATCAATTCACTCCTTCGTCGGATTGGGAGCGCAAACCCAACAGATGCTGTCGTGAGGGTACGTGTCCGTTTGATACGGGTTAGAGTAGTACGCAAAACTGCCAAGTGGTGGCTGCAGTACAAAGTACCACCGCAGGGTCTGAGCTTGTAATCGGCGTACATAATGCAGGTAGGGTAACCATCTACCGGCCCGCTGAAATGAACGATGTCACGAGCGTGTTCAGAGAGACCAAGGCCAAGGGATGTCCCGGAGTAATGGTGATTGCCTCTGAATAGCCCGAATTCGGCAAGATAGACGGCTTGGAATGTTGTGAGGGTGGTCTAATAAGACAATGGACGTTGTCGGCTGTTTCGAGCACCCGAGATGCCAACGAAGAAAGGGAGCTGAAGCGTTCGTTCCCCAGAATAGTTGACCATGAGCCGCCTTTCGGGACGACCTCCCGAAAACCACCAGTTGGTATTCCGTTCATGGTTAGGAGCCAAGTACCAACGTGTCGGCGCGGAAAATCTCCGAGGTGAGTAAAGGAGTTCTGCTTGTTTACACCTAGGGCTTGACTATCCTTGTGCTTTTTGCCGGGGAAAAACACTTCCTGGCCTGCCTGACACACCACCAGCGACGCAGCTTTGCCATTGCCCGCGTCGTTATTGTGGGACTGCCTGTGTTTGCCTTGCTGCTGCAGGCGCGAGCTTTGCAGAGGGGCTACTACTGCTGTGCCAGCCTGGGAGTCGGGCAAGCGCGGCGCTTGAGCTTGGGGTTGGGGCGAAGCTGCCCCTAAGACCTTCCAGTGTGAAGGATTCAATAACCAGGTACAGTCAGGAGAAGGTGAGGGGTGTTAGTCCTGGTGGTGATGTAAGCCGCGTAATTGCGATGGGTGGAAGCACGAATCCGAATTGGATTGTTGTCTGATTTGATTTCAAGGGCAGAACACCAGTGTTCTACTACTGACAACCTTGTTGAAGCCGGTAGGTGTAGCATCGCTGGTAGCGGCGGTCGTGGTGAGCGGTATACCTGAATGTCGTCATTACCTTTAGATACTATAGAGAAGGCTGCGGAGACAGCTCGGGCGTAAGAACAAAAGAAACTTCTGATGTACTATGTTAGCACTTCGTTGATAGAGTTTTGATAGTAACGTACATAGGCCGATGAGTTTAGGAGAGCCTGGCAGATAAACCCAATGCATGCGTCGCGATCCCTCAGTGTTGTACTAGTACCAGTCGATGAATACGCGGTGTACAGTCGTCTATTTAAGTCCGCAATGGAATTATTAGGGACTTGCTGCTCAAGTATGCCAGATTGCAGCAAATCCCGCTTCTTGTAGTTGTCTCTATGTTCGAAGAGTGGCAACGGATCGAAAAAAAGCGTGGTGTCTGGAATTCCGACATGGGGGCGGCCATCGGCGCGTATGAGATCCATTAAGGATGAGGTGGACAAACCCATGTAGACAACGTCCGTCACCGTGATGCAAGATTCGCCGTCTTGCGAGATGGTGATGCCTGTACAGAGTGGAAGAAGAGACCCAGGTAAGATATGCGGAGACTGTGTGTGCTCTAAGACCTTTTCATCCATACCCAGGACTCGGGCTGGGAGCCAAGCAAGGAGTACTCTGTAGGGACTGCTTGCATCATCTCTTGTCTCGCTAGACGGCGGATCTCGGTTCGCGGCGACGGGCGTTACAATGCTCTGGTCGTCATTTTCAACGGTGGCGATGCCCCTTGCGCGTTCAAACATGACGTTACTTGCTCTCATTTCTTCTACCACCATGCTTAAATCCTCTGTATCTTCGACAACCGCGGGAGAGATGATGGGATGGTTGTCAATCGGAGTTATAGCGACGAATTTACTAGGATGGCTTAAGTCATCGTGGGGAGTGACTAGAGTCTTTCGTTTGGAAGTTGCGTCGGCAACCTCGGGGATGATAGCTGCGTGCTGGGGCTTCCGAATCGTGATAGGAACGTCGCCGACATGATTAGGGCGCGTGATAGCTGTGCATGGTCAGGAAGATCTCCATTCGTAATCGTGGGCTCTTAGGAGCTAACCAAGCCTCTGCGCCGCTGTAGTTCTCTGTGCACCCTTTTGTTTAGGTCTTGTCGAAGGTCGGACGATATTGACCTGAATTCTGGGCATCGTTCTTTGAGCAAAGCGAAAGAAGCGTGGACGAAGATGAAGCGCTGAAACCTTCAGGCAGGTACCTCCCACCCACAAGCTGCCTCCTTCCCTTTTCTTCCACACCGGTCATTAATCTTTCACCACTTCCCACCACCACCTCACCCTAGGTCACAGAACCATTCCAGTCGCGAGCTCACGTCTGCTGACAGGCGGCGACACTGGCGAGCCTGACCTACTGGCGCAAGTGAGAACCAACATAGAGGAATGCCGGCGCGTCGAAGCCGAGGTGCAGAATGGTTGAAGCGAGTCGCAAACAAACCACCTCTTCACCCTCCAGTGTATCAAGAAGAGATGCGGTGCGAATCAGTTTGAGATGGCATTGTTAACTTGACGTGTGGCTGCATCGATGAACCGTGACAAGGCGAGAAAAAGCAGATGGACAGCCTGACATCTCGGCTGTGGGTGGTGGTTGCCTCTTTCAGAAGCGCGTCGGCAAACATATAAGCCAGCGCGCTTAGGTAATTAAAAAAAAAAATTATAGAAATAAAAACCAAAAGAAATTTATTTTAAAAGATAAAAAGCAAAAGAAAATGGTCACTATGGGGGTCGAACCCACGACCTTGGCGTTGATAATGATCATCATCGAAGATGTGAATATTAGCACCACGCTCTAACCAACTGAGCTAAGCGACCTATTTGGTTGTTGATGAAAAGCGTTCCGTCGTCTGACATTATATTTTGAGACCATCCATAGCTTCCGCCGTTGCTCTCACCACACCGGTACTACCGGCATCACCAGAATTTATGCTCCTATGGTGTTTGAATGGCTGCAGCGAAAGTATCGTTGACGATATCTAAGTCATGGGACCTGTCGCTCCAGCCTGCGCTGACATGTGACTGCGGTCCCTGACGCGGCATAGCGCTTGCTTCTTTAGTTCGCGAAGCTTAGTCAACACTGCCGAAGCACCTTCTGCGTCTTCCATGACGTCTCAACCAACTTTGCTTCACAAGACGTCGCAGCTGCCCAGAGTTTATCTCAACCGCCCCTTTTAGATACCAACCAAACCACGCGTTCTACAGATTGGCCCTGGAGAATTTGTGCCTCCATCACTCAGTTGGAAAGCCTTGCACGAGCCAGAAAGGCTGCAGAGCCCTGCATGTGTGCAGAAATGTCAGACAGAGGGACGGGCCATGCACCGGTCGTGGGAAGATTTGTCCCCAGCCGAAGGGCCGTCGCACTTTGCACGTCTATTGGCATCTGCTGCGGTCGGAGGGGAGATGTTGTCGCATTCCACATACCCTTGTGAGGGATGTAGTTAGCTGCAAATGCAAGCTCTAGGTCTCTGTAAGAAGTGATGCATAAGGAGAGTTCTCTTCTGTTTCCAGGAGCTTGTGGTTATGAATAAAGAATCTTTGATATCTAAATTCAAAGCGCTTTGACATACTTTCTCTTTCACGAAGTTCCGCTTACCGTGGGAATACAAACTGTAACGCCTTCCCTTCCACCGCAGTCAGAAAACGGCACAATTCTTGCAACAGCTGCATCTAGAATGCCGATACAGATATGCGCCATGCTTGATACAAAAAGTTGTTATCGCGCGGGCAGGGCTGACTTACCTTAAGCGCTTTCCTCATATAGCTAGTCCGATAAGTCAGCAGCGCTGCTCCTTCTCTCGCAGCAGCGTTCGTTGCTTGAACAACAACCAACTCTCTCTTCTGCCTTGTTGCGCTCAACACATGCACTGACCGACTGTGGCACCAAGATCCGAACACCGGATACCTGCGGCAAACAGTCCTCCACGTGCAGTTCTATTGCTTAACGATATTCACAAGCAAAGGAATAGGATTTCACAGAAACGGCCAAAGGCTGCAGAGCCCTCCATGTGTGCAGACACGTCAGACGAAGGATGCATCCTGCAATGGAAAGTTATGACACCATAACCAGAGTGTGGAGTACCTACGCAAAGTTGTCGTCCGTGTTCAGTTCTCTTGTCTCACCATCCTTACTGGAGAGGGGGTGGAGAAGTGTCGCGGTGGGAGGACCGGAGTCTGTGACCGGGCACATGACAATGTGTAGTTGAGGATGGAGAAGGAGGCGGAATAGCGCCGTGTGTCATCTCTTAACCGGGCGTTAGACTTTACCATCCCGAAGTCATCTCCGCTCTTAAGAATGGAAGCAGAGATAAGGGAGAAGACGGTAGAGTACCTAACGTCGGAAGCATCAGAGAACCGCGCTCTCGACTTCAGTACTCGACTTTATTACCCCGGAAGTAACCAGTGATCTTAAGCAGGAAGGAGGAGAGAGAAGGTACAATAATACCGTCAGTGGCATCTCAAAACCGGGCGGTGGACTTCCGAGCGCTCAACTTCAGTTCTTTCTCGACCTCATGACCACGTAAGTTATGGTGCGCTGAAATAGGGAAGGAGAAGGTGGCGGAGGTCCGAAGTGTGACATCAATCCCAGAGCCACGCTCTCAACTTCAGCTCAAGACCTTACCATCGCCAAAGTCATAGATGCGCTGAAGTACTAACGAGAGAAAAGGTGGCGAAATACCCATTAGTGGCATCGCAGAGCCGCGCGCTCAACATCATCCCCTGACTTCGGCTCTCGACCTCACCATCGCCAATGTCATAGACGCGCTGAAGCAGCCGTCCAGCCTGCTAGAGCTTGCAATCACCCCACGTCCAACCTCAAGCACCAAGCATCAAGCACGAAACACGCAAACAGCCAAAGCGGTGACAATTAAAAGCACTTACCACAGGTCTCTCTACCACCGCGCGCTAACCCGGAGACCACAGAAACAGCAGCACCGATCCATCTTCCTACCCTTACCTCTTCAACCAACACCCACAGCAAGCCGATCCCGTAGCTCTACGTACGCACTACCTAGGCCAAAGCCCCACTCGATGCACTACACACTACACGCGGAAGCGGAAGCGGGCAGCGGGCAGCGGCACGCTCCCGGTCCCGGAACCCGGGAACGCAAAGCAAACTCGGCTCTCGGCGATCATCCGGCGCCGAAGGCTGCGCTAGACGGGAGCTAGGTGTGTGTGTAGGATTGCGTGGGAGGCCTGATGTGATGATGGTGGTGGTGAGGGATGAGGATTGTTGTGGGTTGTTGTGGTGGCGAGTGGTGCGTGGTGGTGTGAGAGGGGGGTGCCGGGTAGGTGGGCTGTGGCTAGGGCTCGGGCCTGTTGGCTGCATGCAGTGAGTTCAATTGGAGCATTCATATTGAATAAGCTGCTGCTGCTGCTGCTGCTGCTTTGTAGGATATCGCGCGGACGTCAAGCTCATCTGGCACCCTGGACGGTTAACGGACCCGGGGCCCCGACAGAAAGCAAACAATAAAATATCGCCAACAAGTCTGAACAGCTTAAATCTAGATTCTATTATCTTGAATATCGACAGGCCGGCACACGCCTAGTTCTTGATAGGCTGCGATACGGCCGCCGAGATCTGCATGATGGAGGCAAAGTCCTCGGGCGGCGTCCTGCCCATGCCGCACTCGGTCGCGACGCCAAACGCGCCCACGACATCCGACGCCGTCTTGATGCGACGGCGCGTGCCGTCCTCGTCGTGGGCGTGCACGACGCCCAGATACAGCTCCGTGCCCCAGAGCATGTGGCACTGCTTCAAGGGGGCAAAGTAAGCGGCGTCCTCGCGGTCCTTGGGCACTGGCATATGCAGCCACTGCACGCGGCGATGGATGCCTCTGAACAGCTCGCCGGCAATCTCAACCAGCAGGCTCAGGTCCTTGGGCTCCTTGAAGTGGCGGTGGCCCAAGTCGCCGTAGCACAGATGGAAGCCCATTTCGACGGCGGGGTCGACGGCGTTGCCCAGCCGGTGCATGGCCCCGACAAAGTGCTCCTTGACGTTCGCGACGTAGGGCTTGAAGTGCGGCCACTCGGCGCCCTCCTCGAGGTATGCGATTTCGGAGGCGACGTCCCACTGGACGGCGAGATCGTGCTTGGGGATTTCGGTGGTGAGGCGCTCGAGGTCGCGCAGAATGGCGCGCTCGTAGACGGGCTCGAGGGCGGCTTGGAAGGGCTCCGCGATCAGGCACATGACGTTGGCCGGGGTGGGCAGCGAGACCTGGAACTTGACGTGCGAGTCGATCTTGCCCTGCTTGCGCAGATTCGAAAAGATCTGGTACGAGTTGATGGCGGCGTCGTCGTAGCCAGTGTGCAGCTCGCCCAAGCTCTTGACGACCTTGTCGACCTCCTCGGCGCTGATGGGCTCGGCAGGCAGCGAGTTGAACTTGTCGTCGTACTTGCGCAGCACCACGGGCGCGTTGGCGAATATGCTCTGCTGGAACATGGTGAAGTTCCGGCGGTGTTGGGGCTCGCCATCGGGGATGCGGCGCAGGCGGCCTGGCAGCAGGGCGGAGCAGTGGATGAAGGTCTCCTCCTCGGAGGGGAGGCAGACGCTGCCGACAAGGTGGACGCCGCGGTGCATGGTCGAGGTGAAGGGTGGGGGTATAAGAGGTCGTGGGGTCAGGGCGATGGCAGAAGTGCTAAGAGACGGGTTCGCGGGAGCGGGGTAGAGGCGTCTTTTGACGCCACGGCATGCTCAGGGGGATTTGCCGTCTCTTGCAGACGGTCTTGCGCAATGGCGGATCCTGCAACTGGGTCCATTGGTCCAAGTTGGTGGGGAGCTGCCAGCGGTGTCGCAGACCGGAACTTGGGAAGATCGCCAGGTCGGCGCGCAAGGGGGCGTCAGCCCGCAGTAGAGGCGCTCGTCGAACAGGCAATAAACAGCGAAAACGAAGCTGGCGTTGTCCTGGAGGCGTCCAATCGGCCTTGAGAGCGTCCTCTACCAAGCTGGTCGCGCGTCGCGTCTCGCGTTTCGGAACGCCTCGGAGGCCGGAGAGACCCCGCTCGTTTGCTGCTGCCAAGCTGCCCTTCATCTCACATCTCACTGCCCGCGTGACGTACGTACCTTGCCGTAAACTCCGCAATTCCCGCCCATCTTCAACTTCTACCTCGTACCTACACACCCGCCATGGCCTCCGCTTCCCTCCCCGACCCCCCGCGCGACCTCGAGTCCATCGCCGCCGTCGAGTCCTCCCTCGTTTTCCCCTCCTTCACCGCCGACACGGCCTGGGAGCTGGGCAACGCGCTGCGCACGCGACTGCTGGCCTTCCCCGCCCCCGCCGTCGTCAACATCACCCTGGCCAACGCGAACCAGCTGCTCTTCCACACGGCGACGCGCTCCGGCACCCAGCCCGACAACGACCTGTGGGTCGCCCGCAAGCGCACCACCGTCCTGCGCTGGGGCTTCTCTTCCTGGTACATGCACAACAAGCTTGGCGGTGATGAGGCCCGCTTCGCTGCCAAGTATATGCTGGGTGATCGCGCTGGCGACTATGCCATCCATGGTGGCGGGTTCCCTGTCCGTGTCAAGGGCGTCGAGGGTATCGTTGGTGTCATTGTCGTTAGCGGGTTGAAGCAAGAGTGGGACCACCAGGTCATTGTCGAGACGATCGAGCAGTACTTGAAGAAGCAGGGTGCGTGAGGATATAAAATTCGTTGGTAAGAAGTGTTGTTTTGGGGGATGATGGGCCGTTTCGGGAAAGGTGCGTTGCATGAATGCTCGCAACTGCCCTTTCTAACCCTCTCTAGAGACCTGACACCCAGTCACGACTGTACAGAAGCTTGTCCATATCATGTTTATATGAATCGATGCTGGCACGTAAAAAGTTCTCGCTATTGAAATTCACCACCTACCCTACCTACATTTTCTTCATTTAACCGCTCTCTCCGGACACATCAGTCTACCATTGGCGATGCATTATCTGTGCGGGCTTCTACGTTTAGAATCCTTGGATAATATTGGGAGGGAATTTTTCTTGCCGCCTTTCTGATGACGACTTGCTACAGCGGTCCTTTGCTCCAGTGGTATGATTGTAGCCTCAGTGGTGTCCGAACGTAAAGCGGTGAGAAGCGGTCGACGGAAAGTGAAGACCGCAAGTTTTATCGGCACACGTTTGGTGTTGTTGAGAAGTGCTTCGAGAATGCGCAGAAAGAGCAGGCTCCGAGATATGTCGCTGGATGCAGGACTCAGCAACTCCAGATCGACGACTATGAAAAGCTCTGGGAGCCCTGTCAGGCTTTCTTGCAGTATTTGGAGCCAATCGGATTCTGTCACCGCACTCTCTATCCTGGCTGCGTTGAAGTTGTTTGACACATGCCTTGTCGCTTCTTCGTTGTTCATCTGGAATGTTTGACCGCATAGATGCTTCAAGGCATGAACAGAATCCTCTTCACTTGGATTTATGGCCGCTCTTCCTTTGAACGCCCATACGGTAGGTTTCTGCGCTTCTTTTAACAAGTCAACAAGTTCAGTAGCGAGGTTTTTGGTCTGCAGCTTCTTTGGCGCAGAACCCTCCACGATGATAAATGATGATCCCGGTCCTTCTGCCCAAGCTTTTAATGCCGGCGTAAGATGGGAGTAATCCAGCCGTAGCCGGCTTTGACGTTGGCGCCGAACGGCTTGGCAGTAACGGAGTGATTCCAAGTGGCTTCCCAAAGGTGTGTTCTTCGTGGTTGACAGCATCATTGCAACTTGGATTTGCTTGGTATCCTGACCGATGAATTTCAGGTGATGGATCGATTCGGAATGGTTTTCTTCCTGGTATTAGCCACGTCGATTTGTCCAGGCCAGTTCAACTCACGAGCCATTTTCGTCACCATTTCAACCATTCCAAATTCAATTCTCCTCAAAGCCTCTGCTGAAGACTTCGCAACATTGTCGCTTTCTTTAAGGGCAGCTGACAACTCTTGGATCTGGCGATACATCTGGACCAATTTTGCCTGCGCCAGAGTGTTGGCAATCTTATCGACGCGACGAGCATGCCTATTGACACGGTCTCTGAAATCCTCGAATCGGAGCTTGTACGGTGCAGTGAAAGCATTCAAAGCATGCTTCCATCGGCTCTGCTCATACCATTTGAGTGTCCGAAGTAGAAAGTTTATTATTTCGGCATAGAGGCTTTCAACGGCAGCACGGAGAGACTTCTCTGCGTCAAATATCTCAAGCTGGATCTCAACACGAGGAAGAACATCGGCTATCTCGGACATGGCTTTGGAGAGCTCCGTGATCATCTCTTCATGGTTCAACACTAGCTTGTGTCACGTCAGTGATGTAGCCCGACCCATCTCTTCGGCCAAACTCACAATGAACGCAAACTTCATTGTACCCCAACCCAGGGAAACCCATTCAGGATGGTGTTGCGATAGAGTATCCAGAATTTGTCCGTAATATACGACCTGCGATGAGAAGTATGACAGCCACTTCCGTGCCTTCGAGTTTTTCGTTCGCTGACCGTACGCCTCCTTAGCTGCTTCTACTGTATCTAGGACATCTTCGATTTTGTAGGTTCCTTTGAGTTTGGCAAGCTTGGCCCCACCGCTTGGATGAGCCTTGTTGCACAATTCGACAGCCTTGTCGAATGCATCTTTTGCCGCATCGAGCCTGGAAAATTAGCTACTGGATTTTCCGTTTATTGACAATGCAGCTCACTTTGGTGTCGCCATATATAATGAAGTTCTCAGGCAAATAGAGCATCGAGATTGGAGATGAGGGAGTGAGTAAAAGTGAGGCTGAGCAGTGCCAAGATGCTGTGTAACCTTGCAGGGTTCTCATTTTTCCTCGTCAGCTTCCCCTCTTTCCAGCCTTCTCAACGATAGATCCCCTCGCTACTTTGTTCAGACTGCTGCTCTGTAGCAAATGGATCCTACGATCTCGCAGGATCAGACAGCCGGAAAAGAAGCGCGCGACCACAAAAACCTTTCTTCTTTCGGTAGATCACAGAAAGATACAACCAGAACAGGATCGTCTCAATCCCGTCTATTGTTATCCGAGGGAAATAGGGATAGCGACGAAGATCCATGGAGTGAGGTGGTAAGTTTTAAAGATATTGTGGTCATAAGAGGGCTAGAAATTCTATGCTAACCTGCCTCTAAGGGGCCCGCGTCAAAAACAAAATCCCTTGCCTGGGGCATCCAAGAGCCTCCCACTCCAAGCCAAGGCAACAAACCTAATCCCAGCTATCAAGAACCAATTTTGCCTCAGCTACCACGTCAAGTTGTGCCCAATAAATCCAAGCAATATTATAGGACTAGGAGCAGCACTCGTAGAGAAGAAATGAATTCTTCTGATAGTGACAGCTTTACTGCTCTAGATAATACTTCTGGAGATGTCAATGGCAAAAGTAAGTCATAATGTAACTTTAACAAAACACAGAAGTAATTTAATAGAATTTTCAACAGCTCCTCAAGAACAGCCGTTCTTACCGATTCCACTGTTTGAGCCGTTGAGCAGCCCTCGGAATTCTCCTAAATACTTGCATGTACATAAAGCCCTTCTATCTTCCCTAGGTGTCAACTACCCAAAGACACGGCATTCAACTGACTGAATATAAGACATCCATGCAGAGTCCTGACCATAATCATTCTACTGGGCAACATACATGCCATGTTGATTTGTCTTTGGCAATGGTGTCCGGTGCTTCCGAACGGAGGAGCCTACAATCCTTCGCTACAGAATCTAAGCCCAGGCCAGTTCCTGAGCCCACACTGATAGACCTTGAAGTCGGAGATTCTATTGGATTTGACAAACCGCATATCTGTTCCCCAACATTAGAACCGAAGCGAATCCAAGACTCAGGCCTGTCGCAGGTCTTACAGTCGGAAAGAGCCAAAGATACCGGCCTTATATATGCCAATTCACGCTTACGGAGACAAACATTGGCTGACAGACAAGAAATCGAACGCCTCAAACACCAAAACTTGGAACTCCAAAAACTTTTGGATCAGGATATTACTCGGCCAAGATCTCTCCTACATGTTACCCTTTACAGGGTGAACCGTGGTGATGAAGTTGAGCTCTATCTTGATCGACCACGCTGGTACAGAGACTCGGATGGCGTACCGCTTTTTTGTGGCAAGAGCCCTCTAAATAACCTCGAAACGTTTGAGGAGTGGCAAAAAAGAGCTGGAATCGACTTTTTGGTCTTCGAAACCTTTGGAAAGGGCCAAAGAGAGTTGCTGAGTTCACAGAATCACTCGTTGCCTATCACCGACAGAGATGCAGAAGTCTCCATCCGTCTTCTATCGCCAATCCTTCAAAAACAATTTCAGACCCTACTGGACAACGACCATACCCTGGGCCAGTATTACCCTTATCGGAGAGATGAACTTCGCGACATCGATTTGTTAGTCTATCATTTTGCTTCACCGCTAGAGACAGCTGCCAGAAATTTCAGCACAGGAGAACAAGACGCGTTTCAGAATTTCCTTCAGTTCATGAAAAAAAGATTCAAGTCTTCGTGGGAGAATGCTAAAACTCTTTTCCGCAAAGGATTGGTCGATATCTACACGATGAGATATCTATTTACTCCAGGGCAAGTCTTGGTACGGCATGAGGAAAATCAGCCAACAACCGGAGTTGTTTTACGGTCTTTCGTGAAAATCTTACACGAGGATGGCCAGAGCAAGGCAAAGGCCTCTGTGCAATCATGGAATTTTAATGGGAGGTTCTACAAAGGTGAGAACTTTCTAATCGCGGACTTGGATATATCACATGCAAACAGCATCAAAATCAACGGCCTAAAATTTTATCCTCTTGAATACGCCCAGGAAGAAACCAGAGAGTTCCTTCGGATCCGAGGAGAAAAATTCTGGAGCTGTCGTCACCACAAATACGTGACATATAATGGGCCAAATGTGACACAAGACACTTCCTATGTAAGTAAAGCGCATACTTATGGAAGTCGTAGACCACTAACTGATATCATAAAGTCTGATGCCCGTTTTCTCGTCGATGTCGCGACTTACTGGAAAATGCACCGTACTGTAAAGGATGATAACAGTGACATAGATCGCCAATGGTTCGATAAAGGCCGGCAAAAAGATGATCTGGGCCCAGGGGCCATGGCTTCTGAGCAACCACCTTTGAAACTCGAATATTTGTTTCCAGCAAATATCTTCGGTTTCGACATGATGGAGAAAAAATGGGGTAAGAATCAACCAGCTTGCACGCATTCTCTGACCACTTAATGCTAAGAATTTATACATAGTCAACTTGCGGGTGGACTGTATTTCACCCATAACCTGGAACAAAACATCCTTCGAGACGCTTGAGCTGAAGTTCGAGAAAAAGATGCTCATAAAGGCTCTCGTGAGCAACAAGATTGCATCCGACAGAGCTACAGATGTAGTTGCTGGAAAAGGCACCGGACTTATCCTCCTTCTCCATGGCGGGCCTGGAACCGGGAAGACGCTCACAGCCGAAAGCGTTGCTGAAATTGCAGAGAAGCCACTATACCGCGTAACTTGCGGAGACATTGGAATCGACCCACGTCAGGTTGAAAAATACCTCGAAACGGTATTCTACCTCGGAAAGATCTGGGATTGCGTCGTACTACTTGACGAAGCAGACGTATTCCTAGAGCAACGTTCTCTCGACGACCTTCCTCGGAACGCACTCGTATCCGTGTTTTTAAGGACGTTGGAATACTACAGTGGTATTCTCATCCTCACAAGTAATCGAGTCGGAACATTTGACGAAGCCTTCAAGTCACGCATCCAGCTCGCCCTGCACTACAAAAGTCTCGACAAGAAACAGCGCAAGCAGATCTGGACCAACTTCATCAAGCGACTTCAAGATATGGACGAAAGCATGGATTTTGATGGCATAATGGCGAAGATCGAGCAACTGGCGACCTACGAGATGAACGGACGTCAGATCCGCAACGCCATTACGACAGCGCGTCAGCTTGCTCTTTACAATGAGGAACCGCTGAATATGGATCACTTGAATCATTCTATCGCTGTGTCGGGAGAGTTCGACGAGTATATCCTGAAGCTCAACGACGATGTCAAAGACGACGAGTTGGCGCGTGAGCGTGGGGATCGGCTGCCTTGAAGAGCTGTACAATTCAGTGGTTCATTGTTGTCATTCACTGATTCTTTCATGAATTTCACGATATGACGGAGTCTTCGGAGTCTATTGGTTTGTCACGGGCCTTCGCAATTACAATAATTTTACAATTATTTATGTACTTTCAGTACGCAAAGAATCTACCATTGTGCGCCTTCCTGGTATCCTAACCGCAGTGTCAGACACTAAGAATCGAACAAAAAATGCGGCTTAATTTAGTAAGTTGTACTAACAGAACACCAAGCTAGATGAATGGCACCATAGTATCAACAGAATACTTCATGGTGATAAAACAAGCTTGGTCTCAGCCCTTTCCCGAGCGATATGCCAAAATGGCAAAGACTTTATTCCACGCCAGTGAATTCATCATGGCCAAATCGCAGCAAATTTCATTGCCTTCGGTCCAAAACCAGCCATTTCACACCAGGAAGGACTTACACCAACAAGGTCTCTCAACCGGAAAACTTACCTGCAAACAGCGCCACCCAAGTAAAATGCCCAAGCCCTTCCATCCCCGCAACCACCAACCCCAATTCAAAATCCATCCCAACCCACAAACAACCGCCACCGTTGTATATTTCAAATACTCGCTAGAACACCCACTCTAGCTCAACGGTGCCCACCCGCCCCGGCAGTAGCCGCGCCGTTGCGATGATCGATGCGGCCCGCCTGTCCGGCCTGCTGGTGTGTGGGCGAGACCCTTCGATTCCAGGACGGAACCCTGCAGCCAGCATGACGTATGACGTATGCGCGCAACGTCGCAGAGCAGGCACCCGGCACACGCACACACGCGCGTCATGCGGCGCCGGGGGGGTCGCGTGGACCTGTTTTTTGGGCGCGCGACGTGGTGCTGGGTTGGGAGGGTATTTTAGGGGTGCTGCTGTCGTGGTGGTGAATTTGCTGGTAACTACAGTAACTGACGCTTTTGCTGTTTGATTTGTATGTCGCTGTTTGTTTGCGTTGTGTACGTTTTGCGTTTTGCTGACGGATTTAGTGAACATTCCGAATCAAACGACCGCGATTTATCTATAACATCCAGCTGCGTTCTTTGCGACGGGGTTTGAGATTACCTATCTATCGACGGAGACTCCATCGCGACGACACGAGACGAGGGTCACAAGGACCACGACTGATCTGATAGGAAGAGACAGAGAGGTGAGATGACCACCTAGGCCAGCTTAAGCCCATCCGCGTGCCTTGTGTTTGCACGCTGTACAGCACTCCCCTCCCCCGCTATCCTTCCACTCCTATCTCCCAAACCACACACCCACACACCCACAGCCCTCTCACAACTCTCATTTACCCCCCTCGCACAACCGCACCCCCCACAGCAGCCAGCACCACTAACGTCCCGCGCCCATGGCATCGCAGCTCAAGCACCACCTCGCCAGCATCATGGAGTGGACCAAGCAGCAATACAACAAGCAGTACGACGCGTGGGTGCCCTGGCTCGAGGACCAATACCTCAAGTACTTCACCAAAGACAACAAGGCGAGCTACACGGCCAAAGGTGCGTGTGCTTTACCCCCCCTCAATCACCACCTCAACCCCTCCCACATCTCATCTCATCTTAACCTAACAAAACAACCCCGCAGACAACCTCGCCAAAACCAAACTCGCCAGCAGCAACGAGAACCTCAACACAGCGCAAGACGCGGTGCACGGCACCGCAGCAGACCAGCTCGGGCAGGAGGGCCTGGCGCGCCCCGTCGGAGACGCCGTGTCCAAGGAGGGGATTAACCGCGCCGAGCGCGGGGGGCGCGACGAGCAGGGTGATGTGGCGCCGGGAGCTGTGGGGGAGGCGGCGCAGGGGGGGAAGAAGGCTGCGGGGTGGGTTGGGGGGCTGTGGGGCGGTGGTGGTGGGGAGAAGAAGGAGGGCGGGAAGTGAGGTGAGGTGTAGGAGTGGAGGGTTTGAGGGGGGACGGGCTGGGTTGGGCGGTGCGTAATGCGCTGAGCTGGTGGACTGGTTTTGTTGGGTTCAGATTAATTGATTGATCGGGAGGGTCGAGGAATGTTTGGACTTGCTTGCTTGCTTGCTGGCTGGGAGGATGGTGGCAGATAGATAGGTAGTATAGGTAGTGTTTTTTCTTTTTTAATGATTATGCTGTTGAGTATTTTTAAGCCGTGATTTCGGGGCAGTCGTGGCCGATGGGGTATGTATGTAGACGCGCTTGGTGGAGGAGCGTGGAAGAATCCGAAGTACCGTCTGTAGGCGTGTCGAGGTGCCGTTTTCGCTGGAGTAGAGAGGAACCGTCATACCGCACGCCACCGCCCTCCCACTCCTACGCGTACAAGCACTATTTCCGCCCCTCAACCATAATAATATGATAGCCCTCTCCCGTCTTGACCTCGCCTATCTTCGGATTCCCCGTCGAGCTGGGCTCAAGCTCATACGCGACTTTTTCGAAATCGGCCAGCAGGCTGCCGCGCGTCTTCCAGCCTAGGGAACCGCCTGTTTTACACACATACATTAGCCCAATCCCATGGCACCAAAAACACCCAAGGTCGCTTTTGCAGGAGAAAGGGTATGTGTAAGCACACTTACCCTGCCTCGCCTTATCCTCGCTCATCTCTCGCGCCACATCGTCGAACTTGGCCCCCGCGCGCAGCTTCGCCAGCGCCTCCTCCTTCTTGCCGTGTTTCTCGCACAGGATGTGGCGCACGTTGATGCTGGTGGCGGGCTTGAGCTTGCTTTTGTCTGCTGCGCCGGCGCCTTTGCCGGCGTCTTTGCTGCCGCCGGATTTGCTTTTCGGGGGCATTGTTGGAGCGAGGGGGTGGGTGGTGTGGTGGGAGTGCGAGTGGTGGGTGGGGCGTGAAGATGGTGGTCGTGGTGGGGTAGGCGGGGTTTTTGACGCGCGCGGTCGAGGTTCTTGCTCCGACAGACAACAACCTTACGCGCCCCGCTGCCACGGCTGCGGATAAGCTGCTTTGCCCAGCCCGGGCACTCGCTCGCTAACTACCGCCGGTCATGACGCTTGCGAGTGACACGAGCGGCTACGTCTCTACGCGCTCACACTTTCGATACTGACGACAGACTTTCGACGACGACTGCCACTCATGGAGCAGCAGTACGACGCCGGCTTCGTGGCCGCGCATCGCCTGCACTCGCTGCCGGAGTCTATGTACTACTTCCCCGACTTCATCACAGCGAGCGAGGAGCAGCAGGTTCTACAAAAGGTATCTCTGTGCTTCACCCATGCTCCCACCAACCACCTCACTCACCTCACTACAGCTCCCCCCAAACCGCTGGACGCACCTCGCGCACCGCCGTCTCCAAGCCCACCCTAGCGCGCTGTCCGCCCGCGGCGCCCTCCTCGCTGCCCCCCTCCCGCCGTACCTCGCCGCCGCCCCGCCTATACTCCCCCGCCTGGAGGCGCTGGGCCCGTTTGCCGGGACGAATGGATTCGTGGCTACGCCGCATGGCAGGCCGAACCATTGCCTTGTCAACGAGTATCGTGCGGGCGAGGGCATCATGATGCACGAGGACGGCGGGGCATACGCGCCGGTGGTCGCGACGGTCAGTCTGGGCGGGGCGGTGGTGCTGGACGTGGTGGTGAAGGCGCAGGAAGGTGAGGGCAAGGCAGAGGACGAAGCACAACAACGGCAGCGCATCCTGTGCGAGCCGCGCTCGCTGCTCGTGACGACGGGCCGCGCCTACGTCGACGCGCTGCACGGCGTGCCTGCGGTCGCGGCCGACGAGGACTTGGGCGCTGCCACGGTGGCGAACTGGGCGCTGCTGGGGAGCCCGGCGCGGTATGCTGATGCGGGCGGCAGGAACGAGCGCGCGACCCGGGTCAGCTTGACGTATCGCGATGTGCTGCGGGTGTCTTGGGCCGGGGGCCTGGGACGGATGCTGGGGGGAGGCGGCGGTGGTGGTACGTAGACGAGGGCCAGGAATGCGAGAGTCAGGCAATTTGGTTACGAATTCGTGATTGTACTTTGGTGCGAAAGGCGTGTCCGGCTCGGGCTGGTTGCGCCGTTGCACAAACGGGCGAGTGATCGGCCCTTACACCACGTGGTCCGGGCTCGATAGCTGGCGATAAGAAAGGAATCCATGTCGATGCGGGGGGGGATGGAGGGATGGAGATGGAGATGATGGAGATATTCTTCTTTCTCTCTCTCTCTCCCCCTCCTGGTCCATCTGCTCCCTTTCATACCTCATACCTTCTGCCCTCGGTCGCACATCAGCCCTCTCGTACTCTCGTCCTGTCGTCCCTGCGTCGCCCGCCTGGGCCCTAGTAGCCGAAGCTTACTCACAAACTAAAGGCACCAAGCCCCGCCTGCTTCGCCCCAGATCCTCCGCGCCGTCCGTCCTGCCGTCCCTTCTTCACACATGAAAGCATAGAAAGCCTCGTCTCTTCTCCCATCAAATCCCCGCGTTCCCCCCCTCGTTCATTTCCCCTCGCGGCTGGCTTCCGTTCCCTACTGACACTACCACACCTCGACTTTGACCTTCGCTAGAACCAACCACACCACTAAGACGAAGATCCTCCCCAAGCGACAGCGATCATGGAGCAGGACTCAATCACCGCCGTCGCCCATGCCATCCCCGGCGACGTCACCCCGACGAACCCGCACACTCCCACCATAAAGCTAAAGGGCCGCCAGAGGCTGCTGAAAGGCTTCCAGCGCATGTCGTCGTCGCCGTCGCTGGCCAAGGCGGGCAGGACGACGGGCTCCGGCTACCGCACCGGCGGGAAAGCCTCCATCTCGTGCGTGTCGCTGTCGTCGGGCGGCTCGCCCTACGTCTACTCGTACGGCAGCTCGTGGTCCTCGGAGCTGTCCAACGGCTACTCGACGGCGCCCACGTCGGCCATGAGCACCCCCGGGGCAGACACCCCCTTCTTCGACCCCAAGGCCCGCATTCGCCTGCTCGAGGGCAATGTGCCGACGCCGACGTCATGCCCGTTGCCCTCGGAGCTGCGGCCCTCCGCGTCGCGCCCCGGCCTCGATGACGACTATTTTTCGCGGCCCGTCCGGGCCAAGAAGCCGGTGCAGCGCCGGCCCAACTTCAACTTCTGGGCCGACATGCCCGCCGAGCTGCGCACAGAGGTGCTGAGCTACCTGCGGCCCAAGGAGCTGGTGCGCTGCTCGGCCGTCTCCAAGCAGTGGCACCGCATGTGCTTTGACGGGCAGCTGTGGGCCAACCTCGACACATCGCTGTACTACAAGGACATTCCGGCCGAGGCGCTGGTGAACATTATTACCGCCGCCGGCCCGTTTGTGCGCGACCTGAACCTGCGAGGCTGCGTGCAGCTGCGCGACGCGTGGGGCTCCAAGGGGCTGGCCGAGGCGTGTCGCAACCTGGAGAACTTTTCGCTGCAAGGGTGCCGCATCGACCGCAGCTCGATCCATTGTTTCCTGCTGCAGAACAGCCGGCTGGTGCACATCAACCTGTCGGCGCTGGCCGGGGCGACCAACGCGGCCATGAAGATCATCGCGCAGCACTGCCCCAAGGTCGAGCACCTGAACGTGTCGTGGTGCAACAACGTCGACACGCGCGGCCTGCGCCACGTCGTCGAGGGGTGTGCGCGGCTGAAGGACCTGCGCGCGGGCGAGGTGCGCGGCTGGGACGACGTCGACTTTATGCGCGAGCTGTTCGAGCGCAACACGCTGGAGCGGCTGATGCTGACGCACTGCGACAGCGTCAACGACGACTCGCTGGCGGCGCTGCTCGAGGGCGTCGACAGCGAAGTGGACATATTGACGGGGCGGGCCGTGGTGCCCCCGCGCCGGTTCAAACACCTCGACCTGACGCAGTGCCGCGGCCTGACGGACAAGGGCATCGCGAAGCTGGCGCACCGCGTCCCGGAGCTGGAGGGCCTGCAGCTCTCAAAATGCTCAACGCTGACGGACGAGGCGCTGACGGCGGTGCTGCCGACGCTGCCGCGCCTCACGCACCTGGACCTCGAGGAGCTGGACCAGCTGACGAACGCATCCCTCGTCGCGCTGGCGGCCGCCCCGTCCAAGCCCGTCCTCGCCCATCTGGGCATCAGCTACTGCGAGCTGCTGGGCGACGCGGGCATGCTGCCTGTCCTGAAGGCGTGCACGCACCTGCGCTCCCTCGACATGGACAACACGCGCGTGTCGGACCTAGTGCTGGCCGAGGCAGCGGCGCTGGTGCGCACCCGCAACAAGGGCGCGCGTCCGCTGGCAGCGGGGGAGCGGCCCCGTGTCGGGCTGCGCGTCGTGGCGTACGACTGCGCCAACGTGACGTGGACGGGGGTGCGGGAGGTGCTGTCGCGGAACGTGGAAGCGTGTTCGTCGTCTTTGTCTTCAACTGCAAGCAGCGGCGGCGAAGTCATCCAGCTCAAGTGCTTCTACAACTGGCAGCCCACGGTCGAGGAGCACACGCGGCGCGTGCTGCGCGGTGATGGCGCCGCTGCGGCACGACTAGAGCGCAAATGGGCGGAGTGGATGATGCTGAATGAGGAGGTGGGCGCTGCGACTGGTGGGGGCGGGGGACATGGTGGTCGCAGGCGCAGGCGTCGCGCTAGGGAGGCGCAGGCACTGCATGCGGATGAGGAGGGCGTGGATGGGGGAACTGGTGCGGGGGGCGTGGGGAGGAGGAGGAGGGCGCGGAGTGGGCCGGGGGGTTGTGTGGTTATGTAGGTGATGCGTGTGGGGGCGTGGGATGGGTGGGCGGGTGTTTGTGGGGTTTGCTTGGGTTTCTTGGGTTGGGTCTGGATGGGTCACTACTGCTTACTTACATTACTTACGTTATGCTCGCACACAGGCATGAGAGTTTTAGATTCTGGCGGCTCTGGTTTGGTGCGTAGGTATATACATGAATGCTATGCTATGATGATGATGCTTTTATTCTTTCTCCCTCTCTCTCCTCTCTTTTCGTTCTTCTATCTGGATTGAGTATACTACCTCGGCCTACTAGATCGGTAAATACGTACGTATGCACACAAGATAGTATAAACCCCTCTCACTGCTCACTGCTCACTGCTCACTGGCACGAACGACCAAACGGGCAGGCACTAACATACATATCCCGCAGTAAGCACGACCAGCGCACGCACCTCGCTTCTCGCCTCCCTCTTCGTGGTTAACTAGGTTGTTAGGTGTCGCGACCTGCTCAGTTCTACCTCTTGTTGTTGTGTTGTGCGGATAGGAGGGGTCCTAACGGTTCAGTTCGGTTCTGTTCTGTTCTGTTCGGTTCGGTTCCTGGAGCGGGGCCTGTAGGTACTTGGCTGTGTCGCGAATGGGTGAGCAGATGGACCTCTACGTTAAACGCAAAAAACTATTGGTCCTCTACCTGCTGCCGCCACAGCTATAGTATTGACAACATCAGAAAATAGCGCCCTGCTGCCGTGTGCGTCGTTGCCTACTTATGTATGTATGTAGCGGTTGGGCGTGGGCGGGGGGAGCGTGTTTGCTGTTTTGATTGGTGGGGTTTGGCTTGTGCGATCTGTGAAGGACGGACAGTTTAATTTGCTGACATTCGTGGAGACGACATGCCTTATATATGGGTTGGTGGTATGTGAGCATCCACTTCCTTCGAAGATTCATGCCAGCGAGATTCACTTTTATGAAAGATGTAGTAGTTATCTCATACCGAAGTGCGAGGCCAGCATGTTAGGGAATATACGACTACTCAACCTCGTTTCATTCACTTGGCACCCATGCTTGTTCAGAGCATTATCGAGAAGCAGTTTGCTTTTTTTTTATTGACAAATACTATGAGAAATCAAAAAGGTAGAGCTCAGCGTCGCAACTACCGTAAATTCGAAAGAAAAATGCTCCCATTTTACACCGCTACGAGTCTTACTTCGCTACGCGTCTTGCTTCGCTACGCGTCTTGCTTCTTTGGCTCAATGGCCTCGTGGCTTGACACGACGATGCTGGACTCGCGGTCCGTGCTGCGCTTGCGCTCGTACAGCGGCTTCAGCCCCGGAAGCGAGACTGCCATGATTGCAACCACGAGCTCGAGCATGCTCAGGAGGTCTGGGAGGTGTTAGTGATGGACGGAGAAGAGGACAGCAGTTGACTTACAAACAATGTTGGGCTCGCCGCTGGTCGTGTTGAGGACGATGAACCGGATGATGCAAACCCATACGGCGAGGAAACCGAGAGAGAAGGCCGAGATGACACCAAGGCCGAGCTTCAGCGTCGAACCTAGGAGAGCGAGCGGGAGGGCATAAACTGTTCATGTTAGCCTCTGACCTGACCGTCGCTCTCTTACTATCGTAGACTTACTGAAGATGTAGCACGACAGGTTGAGTGAAAAGTTAACCTGGAACGGGATGTCGGCGTAGTAGACATTGCACGCGCCCTCCTCCTGCGACCACTGCACGCTAACATGGCGACCACAGTAGAAGGTATCCAGCCAGAGGATAGTCATGTAGGCCGCGCACACATACGCAGCGACGACATACAGGGCCTTGCGGAGGTTCGGCCTGGACGCCGGGAAAAAGTCCCAATAGAAAGCGAGCATGCTCAGCTTGGGCACGCCCATGCCAAAGTCGTAAAAGTAGTTGGAGCTGAACGAGATCTTGGACAGCTTCACCGACCCGTCCGCGCCGTCCATGGCCCCGATCTCGTACGTCAGCGTGTCGCACACGATCAGGCCCAGCCCGTCGATCGCGCTCAGGATCAGGATGATGTCGGCCCATGAGAGCCGCTCGCGCAGCTTGAACAGCCGCACGTACACGCGCAGCGCGACGAATGCCCAGGCTACAACTAGCAGAATCCATTCTGCGATCTAGTCGAGGGTTTATGTCAGCGGTGATCGGCTCTGCGGGGTAGGTAGCTGCGGAAGATAAGAAGGATGAAAGCCCAACTTACCATATCACTTTTGCCGTCGATAATCATCTTGGCTTCAGTAGGGACCTTCTTCAAACGAGCGAGGGAGTGAGGGCGAACGGCTCAACGAGGACTGGAGGCGGAGCCGAGAGATTAGGCAGGCACGCAGATTTGTACTCCGCCGCAAGAAAGAGACTTTAGCCTTGCATAGTGGCCGCCGAACGTCAGCCGGTGAAACGAAGAGGCACAGCAACGGCATAAGCGACGACGACGGAAATGAAGGCGCAAGAGGAAGGCGGCAGAGGCGGTGGTGATTTGCGCGGCCCGTCCATGGTCGTTCGCTCGTGGCCGGGTAATGCTGGCCCACGCTGCCCCGTCCCAAGCGTCCCGCCCACAAGGCTCCGGCTAAACAAATGCAGTCATGATCACCGACGAATCGCCACAGCTCACGAGGAAATTTAAATCCCTCGAACCCTCGCCGCGTTTCACGTCGCCTACCTACTCTATCACAGACTCACAACTTGACTGTTTTGGTTGAGCGATGGCCCGCCGTGGAGCTCTTCGCCCGTGGGTGCAGATACGATCACCACAACCCACAAAAATCCCCCGGGCACAGGCCGCATGCCAGTCAGTGAATGATCTAAAGCCATAACTGTGCCTCTCGGTCACATATCCGATCTCAAACCAACTTGCTTTTTTTGCTTCACAATCCCGGCCTCTTACGAACCCATCCAGACCTCGCCCTGGTGACCTAGACTCTTCCGCGTCGACCCACTCGGCACCGGCTCCGACTTCACCCACACCTGGTCGACCTTGTAGATGACATCTACTCTGTCCATACGACTTAGCTCCACTTCGCTGCCAGTGTCGTCGTCGTCGTCTCTAGGGTGACAGCGAGCATGGCTGCCTGCAGACTGACCGACATGCACCGCTCCTGATCCTGACCTGTTGTACTGATGAGTCCGCGAACTGTACCCCGCGGACCCGGAACGCAGCCCCGTGAGCAGGCCGCGCAGCGACGGCAGCGAGACCACCATGATCGCAATCGACATCTCGACCATCGACCACACGTCTGCGCTCTCCGTCAGCTTCGGATCCACTCTCCCGGAAGCGAGATAAGCGGCGCAAGCACCAAATCACTTACAGACGTTGTTCCACGAGTGAATGACCTGGATCGTAGCGAACCGCGCCACGCTTGCAGCCATGGTAAGTGCGCCTAACGCAAAGGTGACGGTCAAGCCGGCCAACTGGCGCTGCCGAAGTTGCAGCTTGCGGATGAGGGGGAAGGGGAGGCAGAAGACTGCAGGTATCAGCTCAGCCCTGGCTTGGCTGTTGGTTGTTTGTTGGTACTCACCCAATATGTCCGAGGTAATGTTCATTACCCAGTCTATCTGGAAGACCCGCTTCGATCCGAAAGACGAGCATGTCGAATCTTCGGCCCAGTTTATCGATACATCGCTGCCGCACCAGAACGTGTCCAGGAAGCAGGTGCATATCATGCAGCACACTGTGAAACCGGTGACACAGCAGAGCATTTTTCTGAGCCTTGGCATCGTTTGAGGAAATAGCTTGAAGTAAAATGTCAAGAGAGCGATTTTGGGGAAGTACATCCTAGGAATATTAGTTCGAGCTGATGTGCATAACGGAGTGTAGACATACCCAGAGTCGTAGAAATAATTGGAACTGAAAGAAATCTTTCAAAGGTTAGCAAAGATCTTTGACAATGCGGTTGGCTTCATACTTTGTTCAAAGCGACTTCTTTTGCCGGGTCGTCTGCGGACAGGGAATCGTCCGCTCCCATTGCGCCCAGTTTGTACGTTGCAGTGTCGCACACAATGAGAGCCATTGCGTCAATCGCAGAAATAACCAGAAAATAATCCGACAGCAGCAACGACCGGCGTTGCACAAGAAGCCTCACACAAAGCCGCGCAATCACCAAGGTGTACGCGACCATGAGCAAGGTCCATTCGATGGCCTAGGTAGAGAGCGTCCGTCAGTCAAATGCATCCCCAATTACGCCCCGCATGAAGCCGTTACTCACCATGACGCCTTCTCCAGACAGATCTGCAGCCATGATGATCTCGAGGAGCGGGACGGACAAGCCATGGCCCAAGTGCGGAGCAAGAGACAGGACTGATATACGACGGGCACGGCGGCGGAGCGCAGCGGCGGGGCGTCATGGGCTGGAGAGGAGGGATCGCCGAGCCGTCACCAACCAGTGCGGCGTCGCATCGAGGGCTAGAATTAGCTGTCGCCGTGGATGCCGTGATTCGGGGCGGCGCAAGCCGACGCCCTAGGAACGTTCCCTTTTCATCCCTGATGCCTGCGCCCGGATAATTCACGCCTAATAATCCAAAGCATTCCGCCCGTTGCTTTTGTGATCCAGCTTCTGCAGGGATCCGTCGCGCCGACGGCATCAGTCTCACCCCCCGGCCTGAGTCTCAGCGCTTATTTGTCCACCCCACCCCGCCTCACCTCTGCCCTCTTGATCGTTTGTTTGTTCGTGCTTCCTCGCCCTTCCTGTTCGTTTTGTTGCGCGGAACGTGCGTCCGTCTATAACCCACTGCAGAATAAAAAGAAACCATTTAGGATGGTCAAATCTCGCCTCGCCCCACTGTCCTCCTTGCCCTATAGCAGCGAATAGGAAGCCTGTCCTTCTGAAACTTGAGCGGTCCGACACTCCTAAATGCTGGAGCTGACAAATTTTCGACCATCGAGATCGCGACCGCGAAGGCGGAATTTCGAATTCGAGCTCTCTGAAAAAGCATTCAACAGCGGGTCGCGGTGTGAAGTTGACGACGTGGAGCCGAGCACTTTTCATTTCTGAGAGACTGACCCACTTCTTTCGCCGCTGGATGGTTGGTTTTGGGGGCGGCGTGTTTATTCATAGCTCAGCCAACCTGGTTCCGAGTGTAACTGCGTGGCCACTGGCAAGTGTGATGAAAACTGAAGGATAAGCTGGTCGACAGGGCAGGCTGTTGGAAGAATGCGAGTGCAGACAAACGTAATCCCTACCCGAACGGGTAGGAGTCAACGCAGCACTCTGCGCAAGGCTGCATGAGTGACCAGTCACCATTGACTTTTCCTGAGATTTGCGTCTCCGATGCAACCTCAATGGCTTGAACCATTCACGCAAAATATGCAAGAATGATGCACCACTTTATGTTTGATACCGGCTTTCAAAGCCAACGGATCCCACTGATATCTTCCAGCACCTTCGTAGCTGTCAGTACAAGCTCATGCATCCACAATGCGCACGGGTACCTGCAGCGTTTCCGCAGGCTTAGGCACACTGACGTCTGTGTACGTCCAATATGCAGCATACATGACCATGGATGGGTAGCGCGAGGAGTACCGTGCCCCCACTTACGTGCAACCTGAATAGGCTATTTGGACCTCAGTTTCTGATCGACAATCACCTAAGGAATGATGGGATTTTGCAAGATGTTTCTAAAAGTTGAAAAACCTTGGTAGAATTATCGAAAGCGAGCGAGAAACAAAGCCGGATGACCTTGTCTCGCATTTCTTTCAAACACTGATAAATTGAGACAGATCAACGATTCATGATGGCTCGCCAAGGCAAACAACTATGCACAGTGCTTCTTTCATGAGAATAAAGAGGAGTTGTCGGTGATATGAAACAGACAATTGAGGATTGGATGAGTGTTGAACTTTCCATTGTTTGGCTAACTATGAGTGCGCAGTGAGCTATGGAATGTAGCACTCCCAAGTTGAGCACGGAGATCTTTCGAAAGTGCTCGTAATAACCACCAAGAAACCTATAGTTCTCTTATCTTCACCAATCGGAAGAGTTCCCAAAGCCAGTTATAGCCACCCATGTCACGATAACCGTCGGACATAAGTGTACTGCACCCACCAACCCTGTCGAGTCCAAATGGTAGCCCGCATGGCCACACGACCAAGCTCTCTGAGTCCCTAACACCAGGAATAGTATTCGTTGTTGAGCCATTCCGGCGCCGGTCCCGCTCCGCCGTTCTCGTCATACCAAAGTCCGCTGGCAATGTTTTCCTTTTCCCGCTCAACAAAGCAATGCTCAAGTCCAGTCTGCACCACCATGTCACGGACCTGAGGCGAAGAACAGAGTGCGGAATAGTCCAGTTCGACCCCAGGGGTCGTTTGGGCTGCAGAAATCGAACCTAGTTAGGCACGATCAGTCTCGTCTAGTCAGGGGGGGATGAATGGGTCACAGTCGGGTCGTAGTCCACTGTTTCACGAGCCTTGGCATGGTGTTGAGCGAATATATGCTGAATTGAAGCCAAAAATGCGATATCTCGTCCACCCCCGCATACCCGCGTCCCCGCGCGCTCGCCCGCCAGCCTTGGAGGGTCGATTTTAGGTGTAAAACAGGCCCTCCACGGCTCAGCTAGGAGCTTCGCTGGACGCGCTACAGCGTGCTAAACAGCGAGCGCTTGTAGGTGCTTGTTCATTCGTGAATATTCGCTCGCCCGCACCCACCAGCGCTCGCACGTCGTTCAGCACGTTGTTCAGCACGCAATAGCGCGTCCAGCGAAGCTCCGCGAGCAGAAGAAAATGGCCGTTTTCCCACCTAAATCAGCCGTGTTAGTTCCTTCGCATAAGTCGTGTGTGACTCCATGGATACTCACTGATCAATATCATGCCGAATCGTGCCAGTGACGTCTCCCGCGGCCATGGAGATGTCTTGGCATGGTGTTGAGGTGGTTATTCGTCCATCTCCTCCATCAACCAACCCTCCGCGTCCACCCACCCGGCCTTCAGCCAGCTGCGGAGACACTCCATAGCCTCTGCCGTGTCCCCATGGCCCACCCTGTCGTTGAGAATGTCCTCTCACAGTCAGATGACATGGCCGGGCACGCCAGCAGATCAAGCGCCATTTTGGATAGTTGAGGATACTGCTTTTGGTGTTGTACCCACCACATCAGTAGGTTCATCACCTCTCCTTTCGGTAGCTGAACAGGGGGCTCTGTAAGGAACCTATCCAGCTCGTCGTCTATAGTGTTGTTGTTGTCAAAAATGAAGCTATTTATATCCTCCTCCCACTGCTCGTCCCTCCACCGTGTAATTGGGACTGATTCAGCTTACGAATCGATGATGACTTGCGAGTCTACAGGCCGAGGCGCTGCTTAGCGTGTTTGTGGTATTTTATACTGCTCCTCCCACAGCTTCTTAGCGGCCTGGTGTGCTGAATCAACCCACTCTAGCCGGTGGCTCTACACGCCCCTGAAGAAGGACATTTTTATACACGGGTGGAGGATAACTGCGGCCTTGTAGGCGGGTAAATCGTTAGTGAGGGTGTAATACTTATTGAGGACTTTCCAGGCTATATTAACAGAGGCCTGTAAGTGCTCAGCGTCGTCCTACTCTATGTATTTTACCTTCGCCTCCTCGAGGCTCCGCAGTATGGCCTCTATGCTATAAAGTACCTCCTAAAGCGCACCGTTGCGGCCCTTAGTAGGGCGTCCTTTAAGCTGATTAGTATAGCGCTTTATGGGTTGTAGTAGCACGCGTAACTCGGCGAGCTCCTGCTAGTCCTCTGTAGTTAATATATCCTTAGAGAGGTCTCTCTACCCAAGGTAGTAGTCGTTAATTGCTAAGCGGAGGTCTCCGGCCCGTGTAATTATATTATACGTGCTGTTCCAGCGAATGCCTCTATTTAGTATAAGACGCTTTGGTGGATTAGTACTATATTGCCTCTAGATGGCTTCGAATATAAGGCGCCTCTGCGGACTACTATAAATATAAATAACGATATTATGTAGCTTACCGATTGGGCTATGTTTTCGCTAAGTAACTACCTCCTACTGGGTATCTTCAGCAGTAGTAGTAGCAGTATCAAGCTCTCTAGTAGTTGTAATATCTTTGAAGGACTCTACGTTAGTACCGAATAGTAGGGCCTTCGCTACGAGGTTAATAATATACCCGGCGTACCGTAGGCGGGCGTATTTATCGTTAAAGCCAAGCTCTACTGCGAGGGTCCTTATAGCCGTGTTGGTGTTAGCAGCGTTATTAATTATAAAGTAGCCGAGTCTGTTCTGCAGGCTATACTGCTTTAGCACGCCTGCTAGCGCTCTAGCGATATTCTCTCCTGTATATTTACCTTTAACTACCGGCAGGCTAATCAGGGGTGATTAATAATTACCCCCTAAATTAATAAAGTATGTGTGTATTACGAGTATAGGTTGATCTTAGCTAGAGGTCTATATATCGAAGCTGATACTAATCCTAGAGAGAGACTACTGAAGCTGATTGGCCAGGCGGGCCCGAGTATACTAAAATAGCTCGAATATAAGGTTCCGAAGCGTTTTATCGGATATCGTGGGTACCGTAACGTCCCCTGTAACCGACTATAGTAGCGCCTATTAGCTATTATTAACTGCGCCTCTGAACGTCTGATTCGTCGAGATAACCTATTTAATAAATCTTGCTTTGTAGCGCGCCTCGTCGATTACACGGAGTACGTAGTATAGAGTAGGTGGCGCTATAATAGGTGTAGTAGGCGTAGGTAGAGCTCCGTCCTCCTCCTTAATACCGATTCGGTGCTTGCGGAGGTGCTTCGTAGCGTGGCTTGTAGTTGAAGTTTGAAAGGCGACGTGCCGGGTAGTAGTATGGTATAATTTATAGATCTAGTGCTTCTTCTGAGTAGCTCGTTTAACCGCTAAGAAGCTATATTCCTATATATGACTGCGGAGCTTCGGGCGAAGATGTAGTAGTAGCTTAATTATACGGAAGCCCTTTGTAATATCGGGGTTAAATATGGTGCCGTCGACGTCCCGCGGGCGAGGTACCTAGGTAGACTATAGATCGCTAGTAGTATGAATTGTAGTAAGGTCGTTAGGCTCGCTTGTAAGAGAGGATATCGTTGCCGGGGCGGGATGTGTAGGTATAGTAGTAGGTTCCGGTGTTCTAATCGGCAGAGCCATCCTAGTAGCCAAAATGTAAGGTAGAAGGGCTGGGAAATTTGTAGATGCTGAAGAAGGTGCTGTAGAACGAATGTATAGAGCTAGGAGCGGGTGCAGGCTTTATAGCGAGGGTGGTATTAGCAAACGTGGTTATATGTAGGCAGTAATGAGGCACGAGATGTATCGGCAGTGTGCCGTAAGCGCGTGCTAAGACTCCTTATTAGGCAAGCGCTAACCCTATTTAAGTAAAACGCCGCTTACTAAACGCCTCTCCATCCTCAACACCATGGGCGAGCGATATACCCCACGCCTACCCACGGATATCAGGCCACATTTCAGGCCACCTTTCAGCCCGGCTAAGCCCATTCAGCCTGGATCGGGTCGTGCCGCTTTAGGCACGACCCGACCCAGGCGACGACGACCCGCCTGAACCCATGGGCGGACTGTAACTTTAGTCGGGTCGTTCCGCACTCTGGCGAAGAAACCCACATCTCGACGCGATCAAGTCTCCATTGGCTAGCCTCCGCCCGAGCACTCTGAAGCACGGCTTCCAGATAACCAGCCTGCTCCTCACGGATCGCTGCATGTTGCTCCTTCTCCGCAGCAGTGAGAGTCTTGCTTGCGGTTTCGTTTTCAATGACAAGTCGCAGAATGTGAAGGACGTTGTTCGACGCTTTCGCAGCCGGATATCCGCAATAGCGATGCGTCCAAATCGCCCAGACCTGCCTTCCCGGCGCCCCAGCAATCGCGCCCTTCCGACGCGGGACCTGGCCGAAGATCAACCTGGTGGTGAAGGCCTCTCGCGCAATGTGCCAGAGCATGTGGTCGAGGTCCGGGATGACAGTTACGCGCTCCTGGGCGTCCGCCGGCGCCGCCATCGCCTTCCGAATCAGCGCTTCGTCTCTCCCGCAGAGCTCGACCAAATCCCACGCCGGCTGTCCCGCGTCGCGGACGGGTTGCGCATCCTCCTCCGTTGGCGCGAACACGACGTGCGTGTTGCTGCGGTTGGGACCCCAGCCCAGGCTCGCGTAATATGTCTTTCCTATGTCGCTGTACAGAATGCTGCCCACGCATCTGAGCGTCCCGGTCTGCCAGCCGTGAAGCGCCGTCGCCATTTCTCGCATCAGACGCGCCGCGTAGCCCCGCCGGCGGTACTCGGGGAAGCAGAAGACGCCGGAGATGCTGTGCACGATGGTGTCTTCGACATTGTCCTCCGCGTCGCTGGTCAGCGAGCGCTTGCGCAGCGTCTCGCATGACGAAAGAATCGGCCGCTGATTGGGCGCGAGGTTCTTGTCCACGAGGATCCAGAACGTCAGTCCGTTGTCTTTTGCCAGAGCGACGGTCGTCAGGTACTCCGACTCTCTGAGGTAGACCGGCACCGATAGTGAGTCCTTCCAGTAGACTGAGTTGCTGGTCCAGATCTTGTGGCGTTCCTCTCGGGTGGGGTGGCTGAGGTGAAGATTGGGTGAGGTTGAATCGGGTAGGCCATCTTGTCTGACTGGAGTATCTATCGCCATGATCGTGTTGATCGGCAAGAAGCATCCGCGAGTTGAAAGAGTGAGAGAGTAATGGAAACAATGTCTTTAAAAAGAAGTAGGAGGTGATGGTTGAGGCAAACGAGGGCTGGTTGGACCAGAATGAGCTCCAAGTTTCGAAGACAATGACAACTGGGCTAGCTGAGGCTACTCGCATCTAGTGTCTACGGATATCAGTAGGAAAGTACTGAAATGACGCAATCTGCTGGAAGTGAATAGGTAGGCTTATAGGATTCGTGAGTATGAATTTTTAACATCTCCACCATCATTTCATTTAACTATCCGTCACCGTCTAAATGAGGAAGTCGCTTCCCTGGACACTTCTGTATCCACCACTATCCAATGGCCACACAAACGCTGCTCATACAGTCTCACAAGCATCCATTGTCTTCGCAGTGTCTTGAACGATACAACATCACTTCGTCCCCTAACAAGTAGCTTCCCGACTTTCACATCAAAGACATTGCAAGACGAACCAAGAGATCCAAGACCATTCTACCACGACTTGCCTGCCGAAACACCCTCCCGAGCGCCTCACCGTCAGGGCCGTGCGACAAACCACCCAGATAAGAGGTTCCTTATCGCGCGCTGACTAACCCCCCGCGCGCCCGCACCCAGACGTTCAACGTTGGAGTCTGATTGCCGTATCGGGCTAGGGCCTGCCAACTTACATAACCCCCCGCGCGCTGCTGCGTAGACGTTCGATGTTGGTCCTTGGTTGCCGCTTTAGGCTCTGCTGACAAAGCCCCCGCGCGCCTGCACCTAGACGTTCGTTGTTAGAGCAGCGGTTACCGCTTTGGGCATCCCCTTGGTCAGTGGTTATGCTTGGGCCGAACACGAGCTCCCGGGACCAGCAAAGTTGGTGCTCTCATTGCAGCTTCTCGGAGTGGCACTGTGCTGGGCTGCGGGATCGTTTTCTTGAAAACTTGAAGATTGTGCGCAGAATCTGCGGCAAGTATGGGGCCTTGTTCAATGTTGATTTTATTGGTTGGTTTGTTGGAACTAGATAGCACCCGCCTTCACCATATCCGAAATCGTCTTCTCAACTCTGGCAGGTAAGACGTGACCTTAGCTCCCTCTCCACGTCTCACAGCAAGGTACACCGTAACCAAAACCTCTTTCAAGTCGCCAGCTGGGTACTGAAACAGACGCTTGACGGAATCTTGAGCCATCCATTCAACAACTAAGCACAGCCGATTTTGATGTCCTTGCCACCACTTTTCCAATAATCTCGACGGTCTCCTTCAGAGACACTCCCCGCGGCTTGGATAGCAGAGGAGTCCCGTTGACGTGGGGGAATGAGCGAGGGTCCTTCATGTATTTGGCGATGAGGTGCGCGGTGACTTCGTCAAGACCGTCGTGCTTAGCTTGTACGGCTTCAATTAAAGGTTACTCGGATCCACTACATCTGTCGCAGAATTGAGTGTTGTTGCGGGCTTAATCTGTATTGGGAGAGTTGCGGACGCTTCCGAATTCTCAGCCACTACTATAGAGGGTGAAAGGTCAGCAATGGTATAGGGCTATATAGATCTGGAGGGCTTTACAGTCCTGTGTGATTACCGCTTCATGATGAGAACCCGAGGCACTCGCGGTACGTTTGAGAGTGATGAGGATTACTATAAGTATATGAATAAGCTGTATTATATACGGAGGCTGAACGGTAAAGATGGTGTTGGTATGGGCAAAAGAGCTAAATATTGGGCACTGATGATTCAGTTGTGCTGGTTTCTTTTATGAGAAGACTTTAAATATTCCCAGCTCTGTTGCACAAAGCCCCTTTCCCTATAGCAATCGGGGCGTCGTTGCTGGGAACGAAAATGTATGTATCAACGTGCATGCACAGCACACGCATCATATGCGGGTGAGAAGTTTAATCTTCACAGATAAACTGGGTCTGGCTTCTGTGTGGTTGAGTATTAGGCACCTGCGACAATGTTCATTGAGAAAGATGGATCTTCGGCGGGGTTTGCCTTTCTCGGTGTCGACCGGTTAGCTCAAATCTCATTCCCAGCCATATAGGAGGCTAATCAACCCTGTCACTAAAATGCTATCAATAGCTACCCTAGTTATCACCCTTGTCATGAACGTGCCGTTTGACCTAAGCGGCACTGGATCCAAATTCGCGGCTGTACGCCAAGTAGTAGTAGTTGGAAGAACACGTGCTAGGCAGCATCAGCAAGTCTATTCAATGCGCTTAATATGCCCTGCATAGCAAACTGAACTAGTGCTTTCAAACTATATCTAGTAAATCCTAAACGGCTTGTAAAGCTATCTGAAGTTACTATAGAATATCCTTTTCCCAAATTCTCTACTTTATTATTTAAGCGGAGAGACTGAAATAAAGCCTACAGTTTTCGCCCTTATATCTTCTTAGAATTTTACTGAACAAATTCTCTCCTTGATAAACTTGGTCCCTTGAATAGACTTTCATATATCATCTTCTGTATCAACAGCTTATGCAATTATTGACCTGATACGCTCAGACAACTTGAAATGACAAAAAGGCTAACCATTTGTGAAGCTGGGCGCGAGGAATTGGACGCCGCTTGTCCTCCTAAATTACTACTACCTATGGAGGTATATATGCTGCTATCTTAAAGAACACGGTTTCCCTTTGAGATCATTGCTTCCTTGCAGTAGATAAATGAGTAGTGCAGGGGGTAAGGCTGTTGTGTAACAACTGACTGTAATGAGGCTGGAAAAAACGAGAGTTATCGGAGTGATCCTGGCTGACACCATTTGTCTTTCCTGCTGTTTATTTTCTAAGAGATTACGGGACTTTTGAATTGCCAGGTTGTGGTGCAAAAAGTCGACTTGGTTTTGGAAACGTAGAGTCCGTATTCCTGAGGCATAACTGATCGAATTAAGTTTTGCCTGTATGAATTCACTTTTGATAATGTGTGTAAATAGTCAAATAAGGCTAGAAGAGTGAGGTACTCCATTTCAGTGTTCTTTTCTTGTCGCTAATAGTCGAAAATGATTGTGACAAAATAATCGGAGATTACTTCCAAGTTTTACCGACACGTTTAGCAATATACTCTATACCCAATGATGGATGCATCCTGTTATATCTGAGATCCCGGTTAATAAGTTGTGTTTAGATGAATTTGGCTATTTCTATGCTCGGCGCTTAAAAGATGTCATCTGTTCTGTTTTGTAAAGGCTTCAATAGCTAGAAAACCACACAACTGACTCTAGCATCAAACAAGGCCTCGGAAAATATCTGAGAAGCTTTGTCTTTCATAGATTCAACGCTGAATAACCATGGTGAAAGCAACACAAAAGCGACCCACCCGCAGTAAAACCATCCCCGCCGACTACCCGGCGCGCCACGACCAAGTAACTCGCCTATTCGGCGCAGCCACCTCGTCATCCCCAACTGCGCTTGCGCAAGCATCTCCACGCCTATTCTCCGCCTCCGTTTGGCTCACTCGAAAGCTCCGATGGGTCCTGATTCATTATGCACCGCTCGGCGCTGAATCAGTGAGATTTTAGCCTATCCAATCCACCCAGCCTGCTCATTACTCCACCAATAGGACTGGTCGCTTCCAAAGAAGCAATAAACAAAGCCAACTCACCTATATTACGGACAGACGGGCCGGCCTGATATTGTCATCTGCCAGCGACAATACCCTGTCTGCCGCTGCGCATTTTGCGGGGAAGATGCTGGTCAGGTTGATGCTTAAAAGCGCGGCGTCCTCGCTGGTCAATTCTTCTTCAAGTGCCTTCTCTCCAGAAACCAATCAGTCTGAGCAAAGCGCATTGACAAAATGGTTCACCTCCCGGCCCACAAAGTGCTGCTGCTCGTAGCGGTTGCATCCGCTGCGCCGTCGGGCTCCGCAACGGAGAAGAAAGCCAGCATGGTCAAGCGCGCCACGCCCACCGTCTACCTGGCCGGCGACTCGACCATGGCCGAGAACGGCGGGAGCAGCGGCACCGAAGGTTCGTAATCTGCACCTGCGCAACTTTTGTCTGTCGCTAACAATGCAATCCAGGCTGGGGCCACTACCTACAATACTCGCTGGACATACCCGTGGTCAACGAAGCCATTGGCGGCCGCTCGGCGCGCAGCTACTCGGTCGAAGGCCGCTTCTCAGACATCGAGGATGTGCTGCAGAGCGGCGACTTCGTCGTCATTGAATTCGGCCACAACGACGGGGGCTCGCTCTCGTCGAGCGACAACGGCCGCACCGACTGTCCCGGCGAGGGCGACGAGACGTGCGAGTCGACGTACAACGGCGAGGCCGTCACCGTCCACACCTACAACTGGTACCTGCTGGAGGCCGCGCGCTCCTTCCTTGACAAGGGCGCCCAGGTCATCATTTCCTCGCAAACGCCCAACAACCCGTGGGAGTCTGGCTCGTTTGCCTACTCTGGTAGCCGGTTTGTTGGCTATGCTAGCAATGTGGCCGACACGCTGGCGAGCGACGATGTGGCGTACGTCGACCATGGCCAGTACACGGCCAACATTTTCGAGAGCTTGGGCAAGGACACTGTCAACTCGTACTTTACGCTGGACCACACGCACACGCAGCCGGAGGGAGCCGATACCGTTGCCAAGGCGTTCGTCAAGGGTTTGGCGTGCGGTGGGAGTGCGCTTGCTTCTCATGTCACGAACGCGACGGACAGCATTGAAGGAAGCTGTATCTAGCTAGGAGGCTTGGCTTGTTTATGGATGGACTGAGCTGATACTCGGCCTTTTTGGATGCTGGCAGGAGTGGCAAGATTGGATAGTCTTTGATGTTGTGTTAAAGTTCGCTCGATACGAATGATTAGCACATCTGCTTTCCCTTTCGGTAAAAAGATAAACGAGCGGGAGTGATTCGTTCCGAGAGTGGGAGAAGCTCTCACTCTAAGTGAAAATCGAAGGTCTTAGACAATACAATGCAACTTACACAAAAGGTTTTCTTGATGAAGTATCTTTGTTTCGGTGTGACCTGCAATGGTTATGGGTTTCTGGGTTCGTATGAGGTGGCCAACGAATTGATTTAAGCGGTTGACCATGAACAGTTAGCAAAGCATCTTAAGTGAGAAGCTCGATCGTAAAACCGACTTCTGCAATCCAAAACAAAAGAATACCTCTTAAGGGTCAAATAAATCTTGCAACAGATAGAGCTCACATGCTTTGCCACGTCGACAGAACACTGCCACTCCCTACCTCTCTCCCTCTCTAGCCACTCGCTCGCACTCTATTAGCCAACACCCACCTCAAAGCCGAACAAGCACGCAATGCCCGAGTGATGCGTTGCTGCACTGTACATCCGTCTGCCGCGCCGCACCCCGCAGTCCGCACCCCGCACACCACGGCCCGCTTCCGAGCAACGGGCCGCTTCCGACGGCGCCACTACCAGCACGAGCACCACCCAGCAGCATACATAAATTCCCACCACACCACCTACACTCGCCCACCTCCTCCCATCCTTACAACACAGCCAACCTCTCCCTCCCTCCCTCCCTCACACAAAAACAATGCACGGCAAAATCGCCCTCGAAGAAGCCTTCGCCCTCCCCCGCCTCGACGCGCAATCCCGCCGCTGGGCCTCCCTCTTCAGCACCGATGTCGACAAGCACGTCGCCGAAATCACAGACATAAACGCGACGCGCCTGCGCTACGCCGACGCGCACGGCGTCGGCTTCCAGATCCTCTCGTACACGGCACCGGGCGTGCAGGACATCTACGACCGCGAAGAGGCGGATGCGCTCGCCCGCGAGATCAACGAGTATATCGCTGCGCGGGTGCGGGAGGCGCCCGAGGGACGGCTGGGCGCCTTCGCGTGAGTGCTTTTTTGTCCGAGTCCGAGTCTTGGTGGTGCCGCTGACATGGTACAAACAGCACGCTCTCGATGCACGACCCGGCGACCGCGGCCGCCGAGCTGCGCCGCTGCGTCTTCGAGCACGGCTTCCTCGGCGCCCTCGTCAACGACACGCAGCGCTCTGGCCCCGCCGGCGACGACCTCGTCTTCTACGACCGCCCCGAATGGGACGGCTTCTGGGCCACCTGCACCGAGCTGCGCGTCCCGCTGTACCTGCACCCGCGCAACCCGACCGGCGTCGTCTTCGACAAGCTCTGGAAAGACCGTTCCTGGCTGATTGGACCGCCCCTCAGCTTCGCGCACGGCGTCAGTCTGCATCTGCTGGGCATGGTGACCAACGGCGTCTTTGACCGGCACCCCGACCTGCAGGTCATTGTAGGGCATTTGGGCGAGCATGTCCCGTTTGATATGTGGCGGATAAATCACTGGTTCGAGGACCGCAAGAAGCTGCTTGGGCTGGCCGAGACGTGCAAGAAGACGATCCGCGAGTACTTTGCCCAGAATATCTGGATTACCACTAGCGGACACTTTTCGACTACGACGCTGAATTTCTGCTTGGCCGAGGTGGGCGCCGACCGCATTTTGTTCTCGATTGATTATCCGTTTGAATCGTTTGAGGATGCGTGTGGCTGGTTTGATGGCGTGCCGTTGAATGTGACTGATAAGTTGAAGATTGGCCGCGAGAATGCGAAGAAGCTGTTTAGGTTAGGCGAGTACAAGGATTCCGATACGCCGTTGACGAAGGATGGGTAGATGGAAGATTTTAGTGGTAGATTTGGAACTCCAATCTTTGGTTTGGTGTAAAGTGTACAATCGGACGAGAGGGATTGATGAACGTAATGAAGAATATGAAATTTTTACCAAACGTTGATGGTATATGCAAGAAGGTCAGATGCTAGAAATCGACAGAAAGGAAAATTTGCAAAGACAGCCGAAGAAAGATTCGACGAATGGGGTAATCGCAACGAAGCACCAATCAACACAACACCACCCACCTACAACGGATGCTTCCCCCGCCACTCGGCCGGCAACTCGCGGTAATCCTCCGGCCCATACGGCTCAAAGACATCCCGCACCCAGTTCCCCTTCCGATGGTTCTCAAGTCCTACATCTCTTAACAGCATATCCACATACGGCACCGCGTCGAACACAAAGTCCGGCAGTCGCGCACCATAACCACAAGGATACCGCCACTTTCCAAATTGCGAGTGTATGACCGTCGTATGGCGCGCCTCCACCTCGTCCGCCGGCGCGCGGTCCAGCCGCCCGTCCAGGTAAGCCGAGATCCACAGACCTTGCGCTTGCGCGCACATGGCCGTCGTAATGGTCGAAATCATGCCCGCGAAGGCAATGTTGCGCTCGTTAATCGTGGCCGCCGGCACCATGAACTTGAACAGGCGGAACGGTTGGTTCGGCACCTCACCCGTGGCGGCGTCGGGCCGTTCCGAGCGCGGCACCACCGGCTGGTCCTTGAGGCGCGGGAAGAGCGTCAGGATCCCCTGATCGGCTACCTGCGCGAGGCTGTCGGGCGAGGACGAGTAGTGCGGCATGCCGAGACGGGCGTCGCTGCCCTCCGGAAGGAACTTGATGGGCGGAGTGGACTTCCAGCCCGTCGCGCAGAGCAAGGCGTCGGTCTTGAGCTCTTCGCTGTTGGACAGGTGGATAGTCTTCTCCGACAGGCGCTCGACGTCGGCAACGTGCACGCGAATCTGGCCGTTGCGCACAAACTCAAAGAAGTCGGTAGGGAAATTGAGGATGCTGAGTCCGCTGCCGACCCAGAAGGCGTCGTTCCACGGCTTGAGCTTGGCCATTTCCGGGTGCTTGTCAAAACCGACAAGCGAGATAACATCGTTGCCCAGCACGCCCCAGAATGCGTCGACCAGCTTGCGTCCTAGCCAGCTGCCGTGCAGGAAGCCGCGGATGCCACCGTATCCATCCTCGTCGCCCCAGATACACGGGCTGAACCACGTGAGCAGTCGCGTGTGCACCAGCTTCTCCAGCCACTTCTTCAGCGGCGTCACGTACGGCGGCGCCATCCACACGGGGCCGCGACCAGACTTGCGGATGATGAGGTTGACGGGCACGCCCGACGACGCGTACGCGTAGGCGGCGTCCCACGCCGACTTTGCGCCGCCCAGCACCGACACGCTGCGTGCCATCTCCAGCGTGTTGGCGTGCTCCAGAAAGTCCTTGGAGTGGAAGATGGGGGCGCCGAACAAGTCATGGCCCTTGAACTCGGGCAGAAATGCCTCGGACGTCAAGCCCGTCGCCACGATCAGCTTCCTGGTATGCAATTGTCCCTTGCTCTCGCCCGTGCATGCATGCGCAGTCGCGATACTCCAGCCGCCGTCCTCGGTGGGCTCGGCGGACACGACCTTGGTGTTGAAGCGAATGCGCTCGTAGACGCCAAAGTGCTGGGCGTAGTTGGAGAGGTAGCGATGGATGGTTTGGCCGGGAATGTGCTCGCCGGGCTTGACGCCGTAGGTGGGCGTGTCCATTGGGAAGTCGCTGTACTCGTAGGTGCCCAGCATGTTGTTGGACTTGAGGCCTGGGTACAGGCGGTGCTGGGCCCAGGTTCCGCCGGCGCTGGAGGCGGCTTCGAGGACTTGGACATTGTGGTCGGGGTGCAGCTCGATGTAAGTTTTTGCGGCAGCCAGGCCGTACCAGCCTGCGAAGTCAGTCAGTCAATTGGAGGAGTTGAAGGTGATGGGATTGGAGTGCGTACCGGCTCCAATGACTAGGCAGTCGAAAGTAGTGTCCATTGTCTCTTCACCACCAGGGACAGAGACTTCTTTTTGAGCGACATGGCCATGTTTTGCGATGGGTCTGGCGCACTGGGCAACTGCAAGAGCGGAGATGGACAGGGTTGCCAGAGCTTCCTTCGCTCCCGTTTGGTCGCTTTTGGTGCGGCGTTGGCGGAGACGCGTGGGGCAGACGGACACGGGCCTCCGCCATTTCCACCCGAAGACGTCGCGCCAAAAAGATCCCCCGCCCGCCGTCCCGCCCTTCCGCGCCTCGCACCTGCAGGAACAAGCTAACGAGCTAACTATAGGCACTCCTCCAACAGCCACCACTTTTACCCCTTGCCTGCTGCTCGACGCCCTGCTTGCCCTAGCGTCACACCGAGGTGTTTCTTCTCTCTCTCGTCATGTCTCGGCTATACATTTGTCACTTTCCATCCTGCACGTCCGCCACCATACGCAATCTGAGAATCTTCCGGTCGATCGAAATAGGACAATAGGACGCTCTGGCCGCCCGGCTGCTCGACGCCGCTCATGGCCCCTCTCTACGCCATTGACGGCAGGTCGCCTGAAGGATTGCATCTGAACCACCGACGCTACGGCTCGCTGCCGCACAATGAGGCCGCGAATCGACCAGTTCGCGCGTCGCAACTGCGATAGCCGACAATCCGTACAGGCTTTGGTGTAGTTTGCAAGAGAAGGCATCGTGGGATTTTGCCCCTCAAGCCCCACCCTGTTCATCTATCCCAGCCGCGACTCCCGGTTCGCCTCTAACCTACTGGTCCCGTCTCCTTTTGCCGCCATGCCTCGGCCCTCGTGGCCGAATTGCAAGGCTGCCAGGGAAACGCCTCGACTCCCCGCAAAAAACCCTGGGCGAGGTTATCTTGCCATGCACCCCACCCCCGGTCCCATGTCTCGCCATATTCTTTTCTTTCCTCGGTACCGGTACCCACTCATTCTTTTGCCTTGTCGACATGGCCGACTCTTTCACCACCGAGGCCTTTACGCTCTTGAGTGTTGGCATTGTCGTTATTGCCCTGAGGACCACTGCGCGGATCACCTCGGTTGGCGTGAGAGGTTTCCACTTAGATGACTACCTTATATTGGTTGCAGCAGTAAGCTTTTGCGTAACCCTCGTTACCGTTACGCCTTCTAACAAATCTCCCAAGGTCGTCTATGGTCTCGAGACCGCCGCCGCATACATAGTCGGCGCCTGGTGGTTCGGTCTCGCGAACAATGGCATGACGGACGCAGAGCGGAAAGCTCTCGATCCCAACTCCCACGAGTACTACCTAAGAGTCGGCGGGTCCAAGACTCAACTGGTGGGCTGGAGCTTGTATACTCTTCTGTTATGGCTTCTGAAGCTCTGCATGTGTATTTTCTATTCCCGCTTGACGTAAGCAGTACACACAGTGATTGTTTTCCATATGTTCGCTAACGCATATCTCAGTGCCGGGCTGTACCTCACGCGCATCCGAGCCGGCTACATCGCCATCGGCCTCACCTATTTCGCGACCGAGCTCTCCATCCTGCTCGGCTGCCGGCCCTTCCAGCGCAACTGGCAAATCTACCCCGACCCCGGCAACTACTGCCAGCCTGCCATCTCCAAGATCGACCTCTACGTCACTGTCGTCCTCAACGTCGTCACCGACATGTACCTCATGTCGATCCCGCTGCCGATGCTGTGGAAGGCGAACTTGCCGCTGCGCCGCAAGATCTCGCTGCTCGTCATCTTCAGCGGGGCCCTCTTCGTCATGATGGCTGGTGTTTTGCGCTGTGCGCTCATCATCAAGGTAAGCTCACTTACCATCTCAATCAAAGATTTAACCACCAACACGTGTACAGGACCCCATCAACGGCGCACAAGCCGCGGGCAGCTGGGCCTGCCGCGAGACCTTCGTCGCCGTCGTCATCGGCAACGTGCCAATGATCTACCCGCTCTTCCGCCGCGTCGCGGAGCGTGTCACCACCAACAACAGCCTCCTCTCGCGCTACTACGGAAAGCAGCTCCTCGACGAGGAAAACAACAGCTTCCCGATGAAGAGCAGCACGGGCCTGCGCCGCGCACGACGCCGCTCGCTGCACCACATCGGCACGACGCTGAACGAGTCGGCGTGGGAGGAGGAGGCGGACCTCGAGCGTGGCGGTCATGGTCACGAGAGCAGCGGCGGCCGGTGGGGCGGCGTCGGCGAGAAGTGGCGCCGGCGGAGCAGCTTCAGGGCCGAGATGGGCATGCTACCCCGCGTGATGAGCATCACGGTGACAAAGGAGGCGGTGGTGCGGACGGAGGAGCGGGCCGAGTCGAGTGCGGGTGGCGGGTTTGGTCATCATGGGGAGGATGGGGATGGCGGGTCTGAGAAGAGGTTGAAGTTGCGGGAATCGATGGAGGGGGATTATAGTTGTTCGATTGAGAGGGGGTGCCCGCTTCCGCTTCCGAAGTGAGGTTGTTTTTGAGTATTTGGTTTGGTTTGGTTTGGTTGTTTTATTTTATGTTGAATACCCTGGTTGGTAGGCGGACGGTACCTAGGCGCTGGTGTTTCTGGATACCGTGCATGCATGCATGCATGCAATTTTTTTGTGTTCTACAGTAGTTCCTCTTCTGTTCATTGTTGTTGTTGTTCTTGTTTCAGATTTTGAAAGTGGACGGATGTGAAACGAAGGGGTTTAAGCTTATCCGCCGGAAGCTTTTTTATTTTTATTTTTGTTCGTTTCACTACATACATCTCTGGCCGGCGATCAGGGTCTGCGGAAAGGGTATCGGGTATTGAGTTTGCGCTAAGCTGGGCAGGTGCAGTGGGGTGGGGTCTAGCGCGTGTGGTCGTGGTTTCTGATAGATAGGTAGGTGGTTACGGATTAGGTATTTGAAACGAAGGGGGGATGCGGTGTGTGAGTGCTATGTAGGTAGGTGTCTATTTGCTAATGCCTTACTGCGCTGTAAGAGCTAACTCATCCTCACGGTCCCAACAAGCTGCCTCGCCTCGTCCGCGAGCTTGAAACTGAAATGCCTGCCTGTGACAGCAGCAACGACACAAAATCCGTTATACTCAAGTGTAGCAACGCTAACCAGCCTCACCGCCATACTACCCGTGTTATAATTTATCTTTTGATTCTCTTATACTTCTTATTCTTAAGGTAAACTGTGAAGCTGGGCGCGAGGAATTGGACGCCGCTTGTCCTCCTAAATTACTACTACTTATAGAGGTATGTATGCTGCTATCTAAAAGAACACGTTTTCTCTTTAAGATCCTTATTCCCTTACAGTAGATAAACGTGTGGTGTAAGGGGTAAGGCTGTAGTGTAATAACTAACTATAATAAGGCTAAAAAAATCGAGAGTTATCGGAGTAATCCTAGCTAATATAAATCCTTCGAGCTAGGTAGTTTTAATACCTAGGCTAAAGAGGACTCGTTATAACTTATACCTAGGACTTTACTATATATATATATATTATATATAGTAAGTCGATACTTAATACTACGTAATCTTTAAGGTTTAACGTCCGTTACCGCGAACTAAGATCCACCGTATAGTGAGACAGGGGACGATACGAATAGTCCCTACAGAGTACTCCTTGTCTAGCTCTTAGCCCGAGCCCCCGGTATAGATAAAAAGGTCTTAGAGCACGCAGAGGCTCTACACATCCTAACTGGTACTCTTCTTCTCCTCTGTACCCTTATCACCATCTCGCTTTACGGTGAATCTAGCTACACGGTGCCGGACGTTAACAAGGATATAAAAGATTAATTACTAGTTTCTAACGTCCCTAACGCATGAACGAACCTGTTCGTTTAGCGAGCGCACTAATTAGAACGCATCTTCATGCGGTGGCTGACCCTCTCGCTGACATTAAAACACGTAAATCTCCGCCAATTCACTGCCTTTAGGGAGCCTATCCGATTGGTACGCTCGCTAATGGATTAGGTTCGCTCCTACGTCTAGGACGTTACTCTAGACTTTAATATTTACTTAGTTTTCTTAATCCTACTTCACGTGCTTCTACAAAATAGATGATACTATAATTCATTTTTATCTACGAAGTAGGATATGACGGTCCTATTTAAATTACGTTAGTAGGGTACCCCTCGAGACGGGATAGAGATAATCATACCAAAAGTTGGATGGGTGAGCAAACCAGGCTCATGTATATCTACTACTCTCGAATCAAGCCACTGGGTAAACTTGTCCCAATTAACGCACTCGTGAGTCTGCACCCACGTCGGCGCTGGAGTTCTTGTAAAGTTATTCCAGTGATAAGGAAAAATGGTCGTGTCCGCGCGGCACATCGCTGTCTGCCTTAGCGCGTCGACGCAATGTTCTGTTCTGTGTCAGTAGACTCCAGCGTGTGTTTGGCCAAGGAGCTTCTTTATCCATACCGGCGTGGCCAGCGAGTATCCTCTTTTGTTTCTCGCTCTTCCCACGGCCATAGTAGTCAAGATGCAGCGCTTCGCGCACAAGCTTCTATGGTTCATTTAGTCGTGCACATGCCAACAACCCTATGAAGCCACACTTACTAGACAGTGGAGCTCGTGGTAGACGCCTAGCATACCAAGGTATCCTCCGCCATGCCCAAGCGAAATTGAACTCTGATTAATACCACGCAAGTCGTCGTCGGTTAAGCGAATATTGTGGTCTGAAAAAGACATTAGCTCCCTAGGATTCACGCTCGTCCAAATGTGACTAACGGCGAAGAAGCTGATACCAGGCATTATCAAGCTCTGGACTTGATTCCATTCCAACATAACGACTTGTTCCAACGTCCTCGGGGCTGTCCGGGATTGTTTGCGCAATATATTCCAGCGAGTTTCCCACAGGAGCTAGAAAACAAACTTGTTAGCTAGAGCAGCCAGGCACAAGTAGTACAACCTACTGTATACAATATTGAGTCTCTGTGGAGGCTTGTTTTTTATGAAGGCAATGGTAAGGACAATGTACACGAAGATCATTATTGTATGGAAGAGAATAGCACTAAGCTTTACACTTCCGATTCGAGCCGACCGCTTGGGCACGAAAGAGTGTTTGTCCTGGCTCTCATCGAAGAAATCATCATTGCGTTCGGTGTCTGAAAGGAAGGGCGTATGCGAAGATGAAGACGACATTTTGGGCTTTCGTGGCAAATACACGCGGATGAAAACGTGCTTAAGAAAAGTTGTGAATGCAAGCATACATTATCACGTTCTATGGGATCATTTTCTCTGAGACATCGCATGCAGCAAGGTGGATTAAAGAGTCGTAGCAAACATGCATGCATGGTCACCATCATGCAGGACCAGGGTGGCATTGACCAATGACCCCCACCTTTGGCTATAATGCTGCACGGTCATCCTCTAGACCATCGCAGATCTTTACTCCTGGCTCTAGCCAGATCCCATTAGTGCGAGATGCAATGTCAGCCTCTTCCAATTGACGTTATCCAATGCCTACAGATAGAAATCTCCTCCGGATCAGGAAGGTAAACAACACTTACCGATTTCGGCACTTGCAAGTTGCAAAGCGCTACGCGGATGGATCGTTGACACTACAGCGAGTACAGTCAGTGAACAACACATCAAGAGAATTGCGAAACTCACTGCATCGCTCTCACAGTCTTGAAGCACGGAAATCTATAAAGCTTCGCGCTGTGTCTTGATTTCTTGTTTCACCAAAGCAAGTAAGGAGCAGCATTCACTCCCAAAGAAAAAAAAGAAAAAAAAAAACATCGCTATCACTTCGTCACAACCTCTCTGCACAACATCACTGTTCACAATGCATTTCTCCAAGTTCCTACCTCTCCTCGCCGTCGTCGCCTCGGCTGCTCCTGCGATTGACAGGCGCTCCGATGCTGATGCCGCGACGAACTACATTGCCGACAAGCGCTCCGACGCTGACGCGGCAACCAACTACATTGCGGACAAACGCTCCGACGCTGATGCCGCGACGAACTACATTGCCGACAAGCGCTCCGACGCTGATGCTGCGACGAACTACATTGCCGACAAGCGTTCGGACGCAGATGCTGCTACAAACTACATCGCGGACAAACGCTCTGATGCCGACGCAGCTACCAACTACATTGCCGACAAGAGAAGTGATGCAGACACTGCGACCAACTACATCGCGGACAAGCGCTCTGATGCCGACGCGGCTACCAACTACATTGCCGACAAGAGGAGCGATGCAGACACCGCGACCAACTACATTGCGGACAAGAAGCGATCTGACGCTGATGCCGCAACAAACTACATCGCTGACAAGAGGAGCGATGCCGACAGCGCCACCAACTACATCGCCGACAAGCTCTAAGCGATTCGCGAACGTTCTCCCTATAGGCACTTGCGTGCTGCCACAGCACCTTGTTGATGTATCTGGATGCATCCGCAGGAAGTGATGCGCGGTGTCCACCAAGCTTCGATTCTGCATCCAATTCCACGGCAATGAAACTTTGGAGGATCAGGCTCAGAAGCCGGTGGTCTTGTACTTAGGGAGTTCGTATGGTAGCGGCATCAGCAAACCGCAAAATGCTGTTTGCTCGCTAGTTTGCTTGCTTACTTGCTTCGTTTCTCCTTTCTGTCCCCCTAACTTTCCGTCTCTCATTTAGTGGAATATTTGCGACATAGGGCCTTGGGCTCCACGGAGGGCGTTGCAGCTTTCTGGGTGGAAACTGCGCGAAGAAAAGAAGGCGGTCCTTAAAGCTCCGGACTAAAGTGTAGCAAAGGCTTTCAACATACCTAGCTTAGTCTTTGTGTTTTAGTTGACAATAAAATCATGCTTTACGCTGTCATTTTTTTCTTTCTTGATAACCTAAGGTACACGAGATTATGTTGCTTTGCTTTTTAGTAAGGGTATAAACAGTCAGTGACTCATTTTGTACCTACTTGCTTCACAACCCGATGATCCTTCCTTTATCGCGGAAGGTGAAATCTTGTTCTTATTGTATAATATTGGGTTTGTTATAAGCTTTTATATAGCATAGTAGTCACGTACTAAGTGCACTTACATCGCCGAAAATCTATTCAATCAGATTCCCGTCATCCTCTATCTACTCATACGCTATTTACCAACTGCCACTGGGGCCCTCTATATCACCATTAAATCTACACCAAACTGCATAGAGTACAGCATAACCAGCGTACGGAACCGTCCAGCCTCATCATCGTCGGTCTAAACAAATAGACGGTACGCTAACGGACGGTAACGACCGTCTCCGTAGCGTCGCGCCAAGAACGGTCTCGTCCCGACGGAGCTTAGTTTAGGGGGACAGTAGTAGACGGTAGTTATATATTTTCGCTAGTAGTAAGGGGCAAACGCCACCCTGCGTTACCTAATTAGGCTTAGAGATAGAGTATCGGCGGGTCGGTATACTCGAGTATAATCTCATATCTCCGACGCCATATAAATTTCACAACACCATACTAAATCTTATAATATCGGTCCAACTAAACGAGACGGCTTACTTTATCGTCTAATTAAATGAATAGACGGTAGGGACGGCAGGCGGTTCGTCCCGCCCACCGTCTGGCGCCGACGGGACGGTTGAACACGCTGAGCATAACTTAGCACATACCCGCCGGACAGCCCCAGGTAGTTCCATACAGATCTCCCGAAAGACCCATTACGTGAATAACCGCAGACAGCACACCGCCGATGCCCTCGCCAGCCATCATCCCCGCAGCAACGCTGTGCGCAAACTCTGCATGGGAAGCAGGCGACCTTCTGGCCCAAAGCGCGGCAGCACAAGCGCCCACAGCCATAGCTGACCCAACGACGGTAGTCGGAATGACAAACGGTAGCGCCACAACCATCATGTTAGGATGCCACGCACGCAACCAAGCGCGGGAGCCCGTCCACGCGAACTGGCGCACCAATGTCGAGGTGCAACCAAAAGCGGCCAGGGCGACGCTGAAGCGCGCGCTCGATGCCGGGATGGCGAAGGCCGGGTCGGTGACGGCGACGGCGACTGCCCGCCACGCGGCCACTGATGGTGCGTGGAAGGCGCAGTTGTCGGCCGTGGCATGGATGCAAGGGTAGGCTGTGGCGAAGAGAATGTAGATGGCGGGCGCGAGCAGGACCGCCACGGCCGTCCCGAGGCTCTGTGCCAGCCATTGCGTTTTGGGGGCCGTGCGGAGGAGAAATCCGACTCTGAAATCTCCGACGAGGTCTTTGTGGTCAGGGTCTGTTAGTGGACGGAGCATGGCCGGTTGGTGTGTGGCGCGAACTCACCCGCGGCTTGATTGGCGCCGATATTTGCGAGTGCTCCTCCGAGCAGGTTCACGTGTTGGGCTTGCTGCATGGTCAGTCCTTGCCCTTTTGTGTCCGCACCTATGATGATCTGAGAAGCTTTCGTTACAGCCGTCAGGGGAGTAACATCTGTTTGGAATTTTTCTCAGCAACCCGGGAACTTAGGGAAAGTAGGCGGCAGCTGTGGTACTCACCAGTGGCACCACTGGCCTGGATGGCAATAAACGAGAATATTGACGAGAGGAAAAGTGCAAGTAGTGTCTGTCCGATCTCGACGCCAAACTGTTTCTGCATTACAATGCATGTGAGGACGACGGTAAGCAAAAGCCCTGGAGCCCACATGGAGGCTTCCAAAACTTCTTCCTCTTGTAAATAGTTTTCTTTCTTTGGAGCAACCTCCTTTTCCTCTACTGAGCCAGGAATCCTAGTCCACCCCTTTAGATGAGGCAGTAGCTTGGGATAGCTGACACGCGAAGCCAGTGATCGGTACATGGCATGTCCAGTGAGCCAAAAGGTTCGCCATTGGCAGAGCAGGTCTGCAATCCAGTGTCAGTTTTAATTTAGGACCTTTGCAAGACCACATACCTGTACATGCAACCGCTATCATACATGAGACGCCTGGCCAAAGCAGCCAGTACCGCGGACTCGGGTGATCGGCGGTAGTAAAATCTTCAGAGAGCATGCCATACGACACGTATCCGGACCAGCGTGGGTCCGATGACTGGGCAACGCCGAACCCAATACCCCGAGCTACAAGAAGAGGTCCTATAATACCCCTGTTTCGATCAGCTATCTTGCAGACGAAAGCGTATTGTGTAAGCATACCATGCTATAACGGTTCCGAGAAGGTATGAAAAGGCGACGTTGCAGCCAACGAGCATCCCAGAGCCGATAAATGCAGGCGACCATTCTAGAAACCAACCCCAAGATTCAAGCGCCAAAGTGAACTCTTTGCTCAACCCAGATTCAAAAAGCCATGTTGATATATGCCAGTCCTGTAAGATGTGAGTGTTTAAGTTTTTGCAATAAGGTATAAATATATCGAAGTACATACCCAGAGTATCCCTATCGCATATTCAGACACTACCCTCAGGCCAGCGGAAACACTGAATACTACTGCTAGTACCCTAGTCTTACGTTTCGCAGCCACTTGGCCAGTAGACCCCATGTGCATGCCCCTGATCGTCGCCGCAGTCGCAGAGGAGGAGGGAAACACAAGCCCCAGCTCACGCCCAACTGACTTGATAAAAAAAGCCCGCACTTGCAGTTTGCCAGGTTGGTAATTGTCTTGAAAACTAGATTTTTGGGCATGAGCACTTACAAGGAGTAGCCAAAAAGAGGCCAAAGTAACCTCCTACAGCGGTTAATGAAGCAATTCGCCAGTAATCTTGTTGTGGAGATTCAAGGAGCCCCAGCTGGTACATTGCTGGAAAAGCAGATATGAAAACGTTGCTCATGCCACCGGCTGCAGTTGCCGCTGTTTGGACAATGTTGTTTTCTCGGGGCCCGAATGGGCTGCCGATGAGGGCAATGGGGGAGAGATGCTTTGAGCAGAACTTCAGCACCGTAAAACCCACGATACTCTGCTCGAAAGTCAGCGGCCAGCCGAAAGCTTATGACAGGATATGCTCACAGCAAATATGTTTGCAGAAGCTGTCCAGCCGGATTTCAGACCGACGTAGATGTTTGAGGCATTGATCAAAGCACCGCACGCGATGCCCACGAGGACTGCGCGCACAGTCAACACGTTGTCCGGCTCGTCGGCCAAATCTTCAAATGGAGTGAATTGGGCGTTCTGCTCCTGGGCCGCCCGCGAGCGCGGAGGCGACAGACTCGACGGCCGAGACGGCAACTGAGTGGAAAGATTCGCCATGTGCAGATAGCTGCTTGGACAGAGACGGGATGGTATACCAAGCGGGACCAAAGCTTCGCAATGCTTCCCGCTATAAGCACGCAAGAGCGGGGTAGGGCGAAGCTGTTCGAGTTACCGAGAGCGGCACAGCGGTTAGAAACAGAGATACTCGGAGGATTCGCAACCCTGCCACAGTAGGAGTGGCTGCGCCACCTTCTCCACTTAGAGCTGCAGGTGCCGCTGGACCTATGTTCCCATCAAATACCGGTGGCGAGATTCCGATTGGTATATTTTTCAGCATATGCCCTTTTAGTTCGTCTGCACCAGATACGAATGGTTCTGAGCGAAGCCGAGCTATTAGCTTACACCATGCTTGGTTTCAGCCCCCATATTTTAAATAGGACATGGTCTTGCGAGCCCCCACAAGCAGCCAAGTTTCTCTTAGCCATGGCCCAAAGCTTCGCGCACGACAATCAATTGATCTTTGTACCTAACGCCGAAGACGGAAGAAAACGCCGTAATCGCCTTTCGCAGAGGAAACATCGAGCCAGTAAGTTCCCGATCTCCGAACCGCAGCCTTCACCGAGACCAACACAGTTGACCGGATGCTTGCAGAATCAAATGCGAGAATCAACGAGCCACCTGCTTCGTTGACTCAACAGCAGCCTGTTTTTGGGGTTGCGCCGCCACTCTCTGTGGTTAACTGCTTCCCCTCCTTGACATCACCAGTCGACATCCCCTCCCAGCAATATACGCATCTGAACGATGCACCCCAGCATTATGAATCAAGTTCCTGGCCTTCAGATGAGTTGCTGTTGGACGAATACCACGCGCAGAGCATAATTTCCCAGCAGCACGGCAAGGACGGGCTCACTGCCCAACCACAGAACGGAACTGAAGCGCCTAGCGGTCATCTCGGCCACATTGAAACTCAAATTTTGCTTCATCCCTTAGACATTGCCAGCGCTCCTTTCTCCTCTGATTGCGCTTCGGGAGCTGAGTTTGATGCAATGATGACTACGGCCGAGATGCCACCGTTTTCAACCAACGGCGGGGGATTCCACAACGAGACCTCCGACGCCGCATGCCCAACTCCCAAAAGTGACAGCATGGAGGGAAACGGCGCCAGCAGTCTCGAGGCCAGGATGGAGCGCATGCTGGAAGTGATAGAAGAGCTGGGATTCGAGAACATTGACGTTATGACCTCGACTTACTACACAGCAGACTTTCAGCGGGGCACACTGGCGCACCTGGCGCAGGCCGCCAGCCGGCGGCGGCGTCTGCGCAAGGTCATCGCTACGCTGCACAGTAGCTCGCAGGGCTGGGGTAGGAGCGAGGCGCAGGGCTACCACGACGCGATGCTGCGATCGGCGGAGCACCATTACACGCAGGAGCTGTTACGCCACTCGGACAAAAAGCCGACCAGAGACCTGGGCGATCAGGTCGGTGGCGCTGGAGAAAGCGGCCTCTCGGACAGTATCCAGCGGCTGTGTTTGGATGAGCCGGCGAAACGGAAGCTTAAAAGGGACAAGATTTATCTTCGAGAACAGGCGAGTCTCCGACTTCTCGTTTTTCCTTTACATACTCTCTGCCTTCGCGACGGGAGCTAACCAGAGCAAAGATCCCGGATACATGGTCTTTACTGTCCAGCTTGGCAAGCAGCGCTAACGTGCAGGAGCCGCAGAGCTCTCGAGCTATATGTATCTTTTTACATCTTTTGGGGTTCAATCAGCGCTTAAAGTCGTTCAGTCCCGCCCGGACGGAGCCATAGCTTGGCGGCCTACCGCAGTCTGTAGGCACACGTAGTTCAATTAATAAAATGGACTGAGGATGGTTGTTGGCCTATAGCCTAGCTGTTTCATGATGTATTACGAAGAGATATCAATATCCTCTACTACCATTTAAAGTAGTATCTAGAGGGACTCGTATATTAAATTAAAAGAAATTTATTTGAATAGCTTACTAAAGTAACCAACAAAGAAACTACAAACATCCTGATGGCTCTTTACCAGACGCCTTAGAGAACATACCATGGCCGTTGCTCACGGAACTGGTTTTGTAGGGCGAGCGACTTGACTTTCGGAAACCACTACTCGCAATTAACAACAATGTTTATCTTGACGGAAAAAATTCAAGTCGAAACAAAAAATCCACTTACAGGAGTACCAAAGCCACTAGCGGCATCCCAACCCGGCTTCGCAGGAAACCCGCTCGTGTTGCAGCCCTTGTTTGATCCGTCTACGATATCCGTAAAAGCCTGAAACCCCCGCGAATACAGCCACGGATTCAGAAACCCCATAGGTGGGTTTCCGCTAGCGAGCAGCGCATCGTTCACCAAAGCGACGACAGCTGCGAAGGTGGGAGCCGAAGCGCTCGTACCGTCGACCAGCTCGGTGGTAGCATTCCAGACAGTAACAAAGCGATACCTGTTTGACAGCGCATCAGTGACGCGATCGCGGTTCACATCCAAACAACATACCCCTGCGCGGCAACGTCCGGATAGCCACGTCCTCCCCGATTGAACAACCCATCATGCAGGCCCTCAAGCCCCTTCACGTACGCCCCAACAGCCTCGTCCTGCCACCTCGGGCGGGAAAAATAGCGGCTAAAACCACCGCCTGTGACGAAGCCGTTGTTGTTGTTGTACGCGACGACTTCGGGCCCGACGCCGCGCGTCGCCCCCACCGAAGTCCCATACGGACACGCCTCGGGGAATACGGACAAGAACTCGCGCCGGCCGGAACCGTCGTTTGCGGTGCACGCGCCCGCGCGGCCGACGCCCGAGTCGCCGGCGCCGAAGATGACGCTGACGCCGCGCGCGCCGAGTTGGGCGAAGGAGCGGCATACTCGTGTCGCGTAGGCTGAGAGCGGCGGTACCATGATTAGATCCACTGAACTTTTTCTCGAGAGGAACGTTGTGAAATGAAACATGGAAGGGAAACTTACCGCGAGGCACTGTTTGCTCAATGTCGCCATAGCTGATGCTGATGACCTGCGGTAACGGATCCGGTTGGGCCAGTAGGTACTGCAGCCACGTCAAGAACGGCTCGTTGGTGTTTGCCGGCGTGAAGGTGTCCGGATCGAACGGTGGCTGGACATCGCCTGTGGTGTATGTGACAAGAGGCGTCGGGAACCCGATCCCCAGCATAACTTGAGCGTCGAGGTTTCCCTCGCGACCTTTTCGATCTGTAGCTGGCTCCTGGCTATTCTCTCCGCCGGCGACTGCTTCGTCTTTGAATCTATATGCTTCATCTACGGCGTCGGGCCGGTGTGCTTGTAGGAAGAGTTTCGTGTCTGAACGGTTGTTGGTTTCGCCGTGGAAGTTTGTTAGAGCCATGCGGTTCCCCGGGGGCTTTTGGGGCTCGTAGTCGTTGGTTCCGTAGAGCGTACGTAAACATTGGGGGGTGATCGCGCTCGAATTGCAAACTTGGCTGACTGCGTCAGGCTCAGTGCTGTCGTCTCGGGATACTAATGATGGTTCATCAAAGATGCCATTAGCGAAAGGTGTGGATTCCTGCCGCGGGAGAGCACGGAAGAAGGATGTTGTTGGCTGAATGTCGTCCACGAACTCTGCCAGGCTCTGCGGAAGAGACCAATCAGGCGCTCGTACTACGGTTTTGCCGCCTTTATGCTGATACACGGAGTATTCTGTTTGGAGAAGACGTTCTGCTTCGTGGATAGGAAGCATCACTGAAATCCAATCACGGGCAGGGCTGTAGGACAGCTTTCTCATTTCAATCCCATAACTACCAAGCCACTCTTGTACTGCAGCGACGGCATTTTCTGAAGGTCGAACCAGGTCATGGACTTCACTTGCGGTCAAATGCTGGCCATATCGACCATGTGTTGGATCCGAAACTGCAACATTATGCTCAGCAAAATGATACGACGGACGGTTAGATTACAAAATTAGGTAGACGTACCCTGTAACAGATGTTCTTCGAGCTCGTTGAATCGGCTTTGCCTCAGTGCAATGTGCAAGTTGATGGCGATGTCGCGAGGCGAACGCCCGACACGTGACCACAAATTTGATGGCTCTGGGAACGAGGAGGCAACTGAGCGCAGTAACACTACCAAAAGCAGAATGCTTCGAGCGAACATGGTCGGCGTGGCGTCGTTGGGGGCCAGAGTATTCAACAAATGATAAATGTGAAGTTGCTGTAGATCAAAAGACCTGTTTTCCGGATTGGGATTCGGGCACGCCGCCGTGCGCCAGGGCGGGAGAGACATAGCCCCACTCCGCAGATGCACTGTCAGATAATGCAATGTCAACCACCGGCTCCAGTTTTGCGCTAATCCTTGCCTTCGACCGAGCCGCGCCCCCGAAGGACTAACGCCCGCGTAAGTGAAACCCGGAGCAGCATACATATTTTTCCCCATACGTCGTCGCCGTCGAATCCCACACGACTAACACAATCAATCTCCGAGAATGTCAGCTCTTTTCGACAAAGTCAAGTCCAGAATGTCGTCGTCACTGCCGTTGGCCTATCCGCAGACGCTCTACAGTCGTGCGGATGGGTCTGAGGATCAGCTGGATGGCTCGGCAACCGATGACGAAGTGCAAAGCGGCCTTCTTGGCGAAAAAGCAGCATTTCGACGTGGCCGCTCCGTCTGGAGCAGGTATCGTAACCTGATCATCGCGCACATCGTTTTGTTCTTCGTTTACGCCGCTGTTTTGGTATCAGTGGCCTCACGGCGATCGAAAAGTCCGCGGGACAGCGGCTTACCGTTTTGTGAGAAACTCCAATGCATTTCGTATCAGCTTGGGCGGACGCTAATGCTCTATTCCAGCTCCTGCTATCGAAGCGCTGGAGTTTGAGGAACACAAATTCTCTCTCGAAGACAGAATCCAAGAACGTGGCTCGTTTTCGGGGAAACCAAGCCCGCAACTCGACCAGGCGTGGCATGATCTTCTCAACTGTGATCTTTACGATCCAATGCGGACACCATATGTACATTGAGCGCTGACATTTCGCAGACGAGAACATCAAGCTCGAGCCAGAAGTGATGAAGCACTACGAGCGAGAGGACATTGGGGTGGCGTTGCCAGAGGGGGGTGGATACATCGGCACGTTGAACGTGTACCACGAGCTGCATTGCCTAAAGCGGCTGCACCAGTACATGTACCAGGAGTACTATTGGCCGGACTTGGACGCGAATCAGCTGGAGATGAACCGGCTGCACAACGGTGGGCCTTGAGCCGCCCCGACTGCAGAAGAAAGGAGCTGACAGCAGAACGCGCAGAGCACTGCATCGACTTCCTGCGCCAATCGGCCATGTGCCATGGCGACATCGGACTCATCACCTTCGAGTGGAAGGAAAGCAGCCGCATCCCTGTCGCCAACGCGACGACGCACCAGTGCGTCAATTGGGACAAGCTGGATCGGTGGACGCGGGCGCGCTCGGTGGACATGATGAGGCCCGGGTGGCTGGTCCATCCCACACTTGGTAGGTGAAGATAGATAGGTACGGCGCAGTAGCGCTTGCGCTGACATGTTTCGCAGGCCTGGCCTACCCAAAAGGAGAAGGCGACAAAATTGGGGCGTTGCAGGTTGGGGACCATCATGACCACTAGATGCGTAGGTAGGGATGGGAACGCGTGGAGGCAGAAGCGCAGGAATAAAACAGGCGCATATGCATGATTATCAGATTTTCTTCGCGTAGAACCTTGCACCTGATAAGACGGCGTGACGTGAAAGGAAGCATTGCCGATGGTTACACCATGTTTGCTATTCTTCTTAAGCGACGCGCCTGCCGTCCGCCTTCGTCGGCACTACACCAAAATGCAGCAACAGCAGCAGCAGCAGCAGCGGGATCCCAACGAGAAGCACAGCGCCGCTCCCGACGAGCCCAGCTTCTTAGTGACGTGGGACGGGCCCGATGATCCGCTCAACCCCAAGAACTGGCCGGCGTGGCGGAAGTGGGCGGCCGCCATTCTGACCTCGCTGGGCGGGCTGGTGACGCTGATGTCCGGAGCCATGATGGCGCCCGCGCTGGGAGACATTAGCGCGTCACTGCACATTGGCGAGGAGGAGGCCAACCTCGCCCTCTCCATCTTCATCCTGGCTTTCGCTTTCGGCCCTCTCGTCCTCGCCCCATGCTCCGAAGTCTTTGGCCGCAAGCGCGTCTGGCTGGCCAGCAGCCTCTGGTACACGCTCTGGAATCTCATCTGCGGCTTTGCGAACACAAAGGGCGTCATGATTGCCGGGCGGTTTTTTGCCGGGTTGGGCGCCAGTTCGCAGTTTGCTGTGAGTATGCGATTGCACTTTGTCCCATTGCTGGAATGCTAACACATGAAACTTCCAGATCTCGCTGCCGGTGCTGAGTGACTGTTGGAAGTCCGAGGAACGCGGCAAGTCGTTTGCGCTGGCAACGTTCATCCCGCTGCTGGGCCCGGCGCTGGGCCCGATACTCGGTGGCATCATCGCCGAAGCCGTCGGGTGGCGCTGGCTCTTCTGGGTGCTGTCCGCTTTTGACGCCCTGCTCATGTTCCTCACCTTGTTCCTCTTCCGGGAGACGCACGCGCCGACAATCCTGGCCCGGAAAGCCAACACTCTAACTAAACACACCGGCCACCCGCACTACACCGACTTCGAAGCGGACCAGGTGTCGCTTCTGCATCGTCTCAAGGTCGGCCTCACTCGCCCGTACCGCCTGCTCGTCACGCAACCCATCCTGCAGCTCATGTCGCTGTTCCTGGCCTATAACTTCGGCATCCTCTACATCGTGCTGGCGACGTTTGCCACTATGTGGATCGATGTATACCACGAGGCCGTTAACATCAGCGGCATCAACTACCTCGGCCTCGTCATAGGCTACACCATTGCCGCGCAGGTCGGCGGCCCCGCCACCGACCGCATCTGGAAGCATCTGCAAGCCAAACACGGCGGAAACACTGCCCCCGAGTACCGCGTCCCGCTCATGCTGCCCAGCATCGTGCTCATCCCCACTGGCTTGTTCTGGTACGGCTGGTCCGTCCACGCGCACCTGCACTGGGCCATGACGGACGTGGGCATTGGCATCTTCGGCTGCGGCATCATCCTCGGCACCCAGAGCATGCAGGCGTACGTCATGGACGCGTTCCCGCACCATACGGCGTCGGCGTCGGCCGCGTCGCAGTTCCTCCGAAACGTCTTCGCTTTTGCCTTCCCCATTTTCGCGCCCAAGATGTACAAAAACCTGGGATACGGCTGGGGGAACAGCCTCCTTGCCTTTTTGTTCCTGGCCTTTGGAGTCCCGGCTCCGCTGGTCCTGTGGAAGTATGGGGCCAAGTTGAGGGCCTTGGGCAAGCCGCAGCAGTGAGTGAGAAGGGTGCAGACGGGTTCGAATAGAAGATACGCAGAGGCGCAGCGTTGCTAGCTATCTAATAATGAATGGAAGTGCTTTGTTGTCTGTCGTTCATTCTCCGTCCGAGTCCTGGCTACAGGATAGACAATCAACCATCGCCATAATACCATGGACGCCGCTGCTCTCTCAGCTCAAAAGCAAGTTCCTTCAGTCTTGGAAACCACTGCAGCATATCATCAGTCAGCCATGGCCAGCAATCACCACCATCTCGCGTACTCACAGGCGTGCCAAATCCAGATGCCGCGTCCCACCCTGGCGCTGCAGGGAAGCCATCGGTGCCGCATCCCGTCGCGTTCCCGTGGACAATGTCAGTGAAGCCGCGCCATCCCTTGTCGTACAGCCAAGGGTTCAAAAACCCGAGAGGCGCGTGGCCGGCGGCCAGCAGAGCGTCGTTGACGAGGGCCACAATGGCGGCAACAGTAGGGGCCGAGGCGCTCGTCCCGTCGGTCAGCCTCGCCGTCCCGTTCCACATGATGGTGTAGTGGTATCCGGCGGCGGCGATGTCCGGGACGGCCCTCCCGCGCGGGTTCCACATGCCGGCGTGTTTGTCCGGGCCCAAGACGGTGTCGACGTACGGGAGCACGGCAGCGTCCTGGTAGGCGGGCCGGGCAAAGTAGTTGCTGAAGCCGGCGCCGGAGACGAAGCCGGTGCGGGCGTCGAAGGCGACGAGCTCCGGGTCGACGTGGCGGGTGGCGCCGACGGCGGTGACGTAGGGACACGAGGCGGGGAAGGTGGGCAGGAAGGCAGGGCGGCCGTCTTGGGTGGCGGAGCAGTTGCCGGCGTGGCCGACGCCCTCGTCGCCGCTGCTCACGAGCACCGTGACGCCGCGGGCGCCCAGCTGGGCAAAGGCATTGCACACGCGGCGAGCGTACGAGGGCGGCACCGTCTGCTCCTCGTCGGCGTACGAGATGGACATGACGAGCGGCAGGGTCGACGGCGGCTGGGCCAGAACATGGTGCAGCCAGGCGAGGTATGGCTCGTTGCGGTTGCGCGGGGTGAAGGCCGACTCACGGAAGGGCGGCGGGCGCGCGCCCACGTTGTACGCCACCAGCGGCGTGGGATGGCCAACGCCCAGAGCGGCTTGGGCGTCCAGGGCGCCCTCGTAGCCGAGGTCGGGGTTGGGCTTCTGGTCGTCGAGGCCGCCGGCGACCGTCTCGGTGGTGAAGCGGTAGGCGGCCTTGTCGCGGGCGGCGTCTTTGCGGTAGGCGCGCAAGAAGAGGTCGACGTCGGAGCGGTTGTTGACCTCGTCGAGGAAGTTGACTATGGCGAAGCTGTTGCCGACGGCGGGGGCCGGAGGGCGGTAGCCAAGGGAGCCGTACAGGGCGCGCAGGCACAGCGGCGACACGGCCAGCGGGTTGCACGCCTGGGCGGGCGAGGGCGCGTCGGGCAGGTCGGCCTGGTCGGGCACGGGAATATGGCCCAGCTCTTGCACGTCGGCTTGGGCGAGGTCGGCGTGCGACGGGGGCGCGCGGGCCTGTCGTCGCAGGAAGACGGTCGTCGGCTGCACCGTGTCGACGTGGGGAGCGACGTTGGCGGGCAGCGACCAGACGGGCGCGCGCACCAGCTCGTCGCCATCGCCCTCGTGGCGGTAGACGTGGTACTCGGTGCCCAGCAGCCGCTCGGCCGTGTCGACGCGCACCCGCGCCGTCAGCCAATCGCGCGCCGACGAAGCGTACGTGTAGTCGACAACGCCGTGCTGGGCCAGCCACTGCTCCACCGCCCAAAACGCCTCAGCCGACGGCCGCACCAGCTCGTCCGTCTCGTCCTTGGAAAGGATGCTGCTGCTGCGCGCCAGGTGCCGCTCGAGGGCCGCAGAGTTGGCCTGCCGCAGACCGATGTGCAGCACCAGTTGGTCGTGCGCCGGCGCCGGGCCCACCCTCGTCCACTCGCGCGGGACGGGCTGCCTCTCTTGCACCACGAGCGCCGCCGTGGAAGTGAGCAGGAGCAACAACGCCAACATGACTGTGACTGTGACCGTGACCGTGACTGTGACTGTGACGCTTTATCTTGTCATCTTGTCATCTTGTGTTGACCGTGCAGCTGCAATGTCAACCCACCCCTGCCACTTGCCCATCTGAAAACGACGCCCACTGACGGACTGCAAACCCAAGCCACCGCCGCCCACCATGTCTTTGTCATTTCTCCTCGGCTCTCTCGCCCTCATCGTCGTCCTCGCCCAAGCCGAGCCCGTCCAGTTCTGCAAACATGCCGACCCCGCCACTGACGTCAACTTCTGCGTTGCCATGACGACGCACCGCAACGCCTCAACCCGCGCTCACGACCTCTACCTCACCTTCACCACGACGCGCCACAACGCCTCGGCCCGCGGCTGGACTGCCGTCGGCCCCGGCACCACCATGGCCGACGCCCTCATGTTTATCGTTTACGGCGACCCGCTGGGCGACGCCGCGCCCATCGTAAGCGTTCGTACGAGCCCCGAGGGCCATCATCAGCCCGAGCTGGTGCGACCACCTTCCCCGTCATCCGCCGCCGACCTGCGCGTCGTGCGCGCCGACTGGCTGCCCGCCACGACCGGCTTCACGCCCGACATGCCCGTCTACGACGCCGCCGTCGCCCTTGTCTGCTACGCGTGCGGCGCGTGGCCCGGCATTGCCCTCGACGCGACGGCCGCCTCGCAGCCGTGGATCTGGGCCTGGAACCCGGTGCAGCATTTCGCCGTCTACACCTACGACGCGCACCTGCGCATGCACGCCCACCACCATGGCAACGGCGGCTGGGGCCGCTTCTACCTCGACGCCGCGCGCTCGCTCAGCCGCGCCCCGGGCCTGCCGTCGCTCCCGGTCGTGCGCGCGGGCGTCGACGCTGTCGGTGCCGCCGAGGCGCCCCTCGTGCTTCTTTCGTCCGATTCGCTGCTTGCGGCGGCAACGAGCCCGCGCTTGCACGCCCACGCCCTGTTCATGGGCGTTGCCTTCTGCCTCCTCTTCCCCCTCGGCACCGTCTTGATCCGCTCGGGCGCCGCGGCGGCGTTCACGCGGCACTGGATGGCGCAGGCGGCGGGCAGCGTGCTGGTGGCCCTCGGCCTCGTAGCGGGCCTTCTCCTGCGGCCCCGCGTCGACACGCTGCACCAGAGCGTGGGTATAGCCGTGGTCGGCGTGCTGGCGGCCCAGGCCCTGCTGGGCTGGCTGCACCATGTGCGCTTCGTGGCCCTGGGGCGACGGACGTGGGTGTCGGACGCGCACGTGTGGGTCGGGCGGGCCGTCGTGCCCGTGGCATGTGCGAACCTGGTGCTCGGGCTGGCGCTGGCGGGGTGGCCGCGCGGGCATATCGTCGCGGCGGGGGTGCTGGTTGGGCTGCTGCTCTCGGGGCTGGGCGCGCTGGTGTGGTGGCTGAAGCGGAGGCAGCGTCGGCGAATAAGCGGAGAGACGGCCGCGGGGGAGGAGGGGCGCGGGTATTTCGCCGTGGCGGGGAGTGATGACGATGATGACGATGATGACGAGGATGAGCAAGTAGGGGAGGGGAAAGGAGGCGAGGACGGCGGGGGGGAAGCAGGGAAATAAGGATTCATGTCACATACATTTACTGCAAGTATGACATACAAACCAGGGAAATTTCATAAAAGACTCTGGTAATTGATAACCATTCAGCAAGGCAAAGCTACTCAGTACTCATCCTCCTCAACAACAGTAACCACTCCAGCGGTAGGCTCAACCACAACATCATCGAGATACCAAAAATTCGGCGAGTTGAACGGCGGGCCCGAATCACCGCAGTTCACCTGGATCAAAATGGTCTCAGCAGCCACAGTCGCAGTAAACGACGTCTGCAGCATGTTCCAGTCGTTGCCGGCAGGGAACGGCGTCTGCAATACGGCCCTGCCGCTCCCCGTCAGGAAGACAAGCACGCCGCATTTGTCGACCGTGTTGCTGGTCACGATGCGCTGCAGCCAGAAACTCAGCGCGTACGCCTTCCCCGGCGTGATGGTGACGGACTGCTGCGCGCCGACGGAACTGACGCCCCCGCCCGTGCGCCACTCGATTTGCAGCGCGCTGCCTCCGCTGTGCGCGTGCGCTGCGTCGGAGACGCCGGAGCTGGTTGGGTAGCCTTTGATTGTCCATGGAGACATTGAGCCTTCGAAGCCGGGGTTCTGAATCAGGACGTCGGTTGGCTCGGGGAGAGCGGTGCTGGTGGCTGTAGTGGTTGCAGCGGTGGATGTTTCGGCCACGGAAGTTGGTGCGTCTGTAGATGACGCAATGGTTGCTCTCTCAGTCGCAGTAGGCGTTTCCGTTGCAGAGGCTTCAGCAGTAGAGGCGTCGGTAGCAGTTGTCTCTGCAGCAGAGGTTTCAACAATAGAAGCTTCTGTGGTGGTAGGTGTTTGAGCATCCGATGTTTCGGTCGAAGTGATTGCCGGCGTAGTGGAAGCCTCGGAAGTAGATGCTTCAGTAGTAGAAACCTCTGTAGTGGACGCATCGGCAATAGTAGAAGTTGCTGTAGAAGATTCGGTTGAGGTAGTGATGGTAGAAGAGCCTATGGCAGTAGAAATTTCAGAAGTGGAAGTCTCCGTAGCAGAAGCCTGAGTCGAGCTGGTGGTTCTAGTAGAAGTAGATGTCTCGGTACTAGCCGAGGTCTCTGCAGTGGGAGTTTCCGTGGAGGTAGACGTTCCAGTCGTGGTGCTCTCAGTTGTAGCAGCAGACTCAGAGGCAGTAGATGTGCCAGTGAGGGTAGAGCCCGAAGGTGTAGAAGACGACGCCAAGGTAACCGTCGTAAGCTCAGTACCAGAGACAGTGATCGTAGAAGCAGGAACTTCGACAGTGCTGGTAAGCGTTGTGGAAGGCAGAGTAACAGTAGTCAAGACCGTAGATCCAGGCACTGTAATAATGGAAGGAGAACCAGAGATAGTGACAACGGAAACAGAAGGAGAGTCAGTGACAGTAGTCAGTGAGCCCAGCGCTCCCGAGCCCGTAGAGGTCGATGCTTGGGCTGCAGTGACAGTTGAAAGCTCAGCCGTAAGTGTCTCCGTAGTGAAAGGTAAAGTGACGGTGGTCAAAGACACCGAACCCACAGCAGCAGGGCTCGACTGTTCCCGAGAAAAAGTAACAGTCTTCGTCTCTGCAGGCAAAGTAACCGTCTTAACCTCCGCAGGCACAGTCACAGTTCGGACCTGTGCCGGGAGAGTGACAGTCGCCGCAGCAGCACCTCCGGGTACCGTTACAGTGGTTACTGCCGCAACGCCCGGGAGGCTGATAGTCGTGACCGCACCACCGATTGTCACTGTCGCCTCTCCGCCCACTGTAACCGTTTGCGCCGGAAACTGTTGTGCGGGAACTGTGATAGTGCGTCCCTCACCCGGGAGTGTCAGAGTCGTAGACGCTTGTTGGCCATTGCTTTGGCTTTGGGCTGGTAGCGTAACGGTGATGGGCAGAGCGGGCAATGTCAGCGTCTGCGTTGCTGGAAGGAGCCGAATGGTCGACGTGCCTGTGTCGTAATATTAGCAGGGTTCTAGAATTTCCGTTGTTTCTCCTTGCTTGCTGTCTGTTTGTCTTCGGCCAAAGGATTTACTTACTGACAAACGTCACCGTGCTTGTCTCAACGAGCTTCTCTGTGACAGTTTGAGGCTGTACTTGTGTCACAGTCACGGCACTATTTCGAAAAGCACTTTAGTACCAATTTTATGAAATGCACGCGTGATCGGTTAAAAGAAATACTTACCTCGGCGAAGGGCACTCGTTGCGCTGAACGAGGGCGCCGGGTAGTGCGACAGCGGCAGCGGTCCAGAGACCCAGCGTCGCGAGAGTGGCCGTCTTCATACTCTGTCTGCTCCGAAAACGAACGTATTTGTTTAAAAGAAGGAGAATTTATTGATGTGGTCGCGCATTTATCGCGCAGAAAAAGAGCGACGAGCAAAGAATGAGGGCGAACAACGGCGAGAAAATAAAGGCAATTCACAAGTCATTGTTAAATACAAGAGCAATTGTATAGTGTCTTGGCGGATCAGGAGATGAAGTGAGCTGGGCTTAATGGTGGCATACACGATTCATTGGTGGCGTGTGGCTGAGTTAGTTTTCAGCTGAAAATCTGATGACACGCAGGTGTATAGGGGCAACAGATACTAATAGAGGCAATGCAACAGGTGCAACGCCTACAGCAAACAATATACCCTTCATTTTGACCTTATCTGATCTTTAGTGATAGAAGATATGCGGTGGTGGTAGTTGTGGTTTTAAGGGTCTGGTGTGTGCAGGGCCCCAACGGCAGCCTCGTGACGCTAGCAGCGGAGATGTCCGAAGGACTGATACAGCCCCAACGCCCAAATCCCTTGCGTACATTTTGAGAAATAACGTGGCGTCGAGGAAGACACAGCTACCTGAGCTTGAAAAACATCTAGTTTGTTAAATGGAAATTGCTGAATCAAAAGAAACAATTTCCAAACTTTCCTGAAAAGAATTCTTTCTTTCTGGTTATGCAGGCGTTAATTATATAATGGAGCTTTGTGTAATGCCTTTATTACTAGATGGAGCGGCCCTATGAGTTTCATATTATTCTGTTATACATGAGTTTCCTAGAAAATAATTCATGAATCAAACATCAAACACACCTAATATATTATACTCATTTACACTACGGACCGCTGCACCACTCTCCAACATGATAGGTAAACCAGACCTAACCTCCATCATTTCCGGGGCGAATCACGACCACCTCCAGGGAGCTCATGCACGGACTCTTCAGGCAGCTCCTGCAAGCCGTTGCTGTCCAACTCTCTTGGTGCAGGAGCCGGAGGCGGAGCCTCCCTCATAGGAGCGTATTCCTGATGCAACCCCGGCGGCGGCATGTTATAAGCTGGTGCTTCTTTAGGTAGGGGCTGCTGAGGTAGGTTTTCTTCGGGGCCTCGCTTGCGTCGCCGGAGCAGCAGCCATGCCGCACCGAGCAGCAGGATGCCTCCCACCGCGGCGCCGACTCCGATCCCCGCCTTCGCACCTGTGGATAAGCCTCCGTGATCTTCGTCAGGCGAACCTCTGCTGCTATTGGTCGTCTTGCGTAATGGGGTTAAGACTCCCTCCCACGTTGTGTTCCAGGGCTGCATCTTTTGTGCTGCTGCCAGAGTCGTTGTCTCGGGATCGATGGCATGTACGTCTTCTGGTGAAAAGCTGGGGCCTGGTGCCTGAGAAAGCCATGATGTTTTGGAATCCCAATTGTGTGCGAGAAAGGCGCCTTGAAGAAATGCTCGGCCGAGTATGGTGTTTGGACCAGTATTTTTTGAGGGATCGAAAGGGCGGCAGGGGAAGTAGGGCGTCTCCGAAGCCACTAGAGGATATGTAAGGTTGAGGCTGAGCAATGCGAACGGGATTTGAATTGAGGCCATGGAGCCAGCTCTGCCATCGGTGTAGAAGGAGAACGAAATGTAATGAGGTGATTGAATCAAAGGTCTGTACAATGGAGATGTAGTATCCCAAAAGTATAAATCAAACGAGGAATTATATCTGACCGGGATATAGGCAGCGATGGCGTCACAGGTTTCTCTAGGAAGGTAGATGTACGGTACTCCGGGATCAGGCCTTGCTGATATTGGTAAGCTTGCGTTGCTTTTTAATAGGCCTTTGAGCGAACGTGCTGTTGAGTTTACAAACGCGGAGCCACCATCGGCGACTCCCAGAGAAATATCGCCAAGGTATAGGTACTGGTCTGAGCTGGCAGTGATAGGCGTGCCAATACACCGCGACCTATCGTAGCCACCGAGGGTCAAGCTCCCGGACACGTTTTGCGAGACGGAGCCGACATGGAGGCCGTAACTAGTTGATGATATCGCTTCTCGGAGTTTTGCTAAAGGAACCGTGGTGTTTGATTGAATACTGGTACCGTTATTCGACTCCCAATTGACAGTACTGTTCTGTCCGTATAGAGAAAACTGGGCTAATCAGCGAGCTGGTAACATCTCTGAGGAGGGATTTTCAAACTCACAAAGCCGACGTCCATCATGTAAGAGTGGCCTCCAGGATAGTTAACCGAGATGCTGTCAGATACGGCAGCTGCAGCGCCATCTAGGTAACTACTAGGCCGTCCAGGTGCCTGCAGCGTAAAGCGCGTTACAATGTAATGCATGCTCCCCTTTAAGCCCATGATTTCTGTCATGTACATCCCAGCCTCATCGGTCCACTCCGAAGGCATGGTCCCTAAGCTGTTTTTCCAGGCTATCAAGTTTTGAGAGCCCGAGCCCGTCCACATGCCGGGCTTAGGGAGTGGGCAACTGGCTTCCAGGTTTTGTTCGCATGCCGATGCGTTGATGAGCATAGATGTTTGGAAGAGCGACGGGTGGACTACGACATCCTGTGAAAGATTAGAGATTGCTCGTGGTTATAAACAGTAAATTGATGAACGTGGCACATACTCTTGCTGGATACTCAATGCTGAAGTCTGATTTATGTCAGCGCAGTCGCAAGCTGTGATGCGGGTGTTTCTCACTGATGGCATTCCATGGTCCATCAGGCCCGACTTTGGTGCTGGTCAGTAGGTAATTAATCAACTGCTATAAATACCAGCACACTTACCTTTAACATTATAGTACAACGACCAGGGTCCAGCTGCGTGCGAAAAAGGAAGCAGAATTAAACCGATACAGAGGGCCATGAAGTGCATCTCGCTGGGTGAACAGGAGCTGTGTCGGAAAGATACTCCGTAGTGTAGGAAAAAGGCAACAGGCTCGAAATACATATTTAGCTGCCGATACGCTACGCGGAAATAGCGGGAGGGCGATGCAGGGGCCCAAGGGAATGACGAAAATAATCCATGCCTCTGCAGTGTCAGATGGGTTCCAGCTGACCGGATGTTACACATGTTACACCGTGTAATCTTGGCAATGCATTTGTACTCCGTAAGCGACATCTTGTAATCTAAAATTGTTTGGATAGTAGGTAAGGCTTTCTTGAAAGTGAGGCTTAGTCGAGCTTCTTGAACCTGGCTTATCCAGAGATGCGAACTCTTTTGGACATTAGAAGTGTTGCGCCGGCCCTTGCGTTTCCATATTTACAAAGTAGGCGAACGATTAAGGCTGAGATTTAGCTGCCCGTACATACACGGTCTCTGGTTCTAATTGGATGGCTGATCAGCTACGGCGTACCCGCAGCCTTAGGCTCTCGGAAGCACCTGAAAAGTCGGACAGCGGATTGGGTTTCAGCTTACGACACCAACATAAGCTCAGCTTCACCGGTGTGAGTTCCCAGTACACCTAAATTCTCCAGGTGGAATATTAATCTGTGATTGTGTTCCAAATCCAGTATAGATCATTGTCACCATACAGCCCACTCGACAGCGTATCCCACTCAACGGGCGTGCTCGCTGTCGCAAGCCCGCTCTGAAAATCGGCAGAGCCATGATTCTGACCGTTGAAAGAGGTATCCTGTGGCAAAGCGTGATCGAGAATTTCTGTTCCTTTGCCAGTGTGCGCTACTGCATATTAGATATGTTTCAGCCCAGCTACTCGCGAGCAGTCACGAGCGAAGACAGTGGCTTACCTCTTTGCCTCGGCGCGCGACTGTTGTTCGACCTACAGCTCCCTTCACATCCCGCATCGAAGCCATGACCCGCAGTAGAAAAATATGGCGCCGTGTCCCTAGGCACGCTTAATGGCAGCCTCAACGTGTCCTCCACAGACGGATGTCCCGGCTGCACCACCGGATTGGAACCATCAGCCCCATTGCTCGAAACACGCGCAGGCGCGACAATCGGCGCAAGCATGGCCTCCGCCACCCGGTTCAGTAAGAGGCGGATAACGTCTTGCAGCACGACGCTGCTCTGCATCGAGAGTTTCGATCGTCGTCCCACGAGTTCCTGCAGCCGGTAGATGCGCGTGATAGTGCGTTTGGCCTCCTGCGCGCGGTCTGAGAGCGGGTCCGACAGCGCGCAGACGACCATGACAATGGCAGAGTTGAAGAGGTTGATGGCTAGGAAGGCGACGAGATGCGTGTCGGTGGCGAGCTGTGCGAGGTGTGGGAGCTCCGTCACACGCGACGTCTGCACCGCTGCATTCCACCAGAGCTCTGAGCTCGACATGCCGGAGCCAACCGGGTACTGTGGGACTGCTGATGCGGTGGATGTGGAGAGTGGTTCGGGCCTGGAGTCTGTGAGTGCTTTAAAAAGGTCGTCTACTTGCTGGGCGAGGAATGGCCGATGAAGAACGACGACGATGTTGTCGTATGTTAGCTGCAAGGACAAGGACTGGAGACGATGCGCCTTCACTTGCGCTGGTGGATCCAACTGGCAGTCCTTGTTGAGGTTGAACACAAGATGCGAAGGAAGTTGCTGACGCCATTGTGTCAATTGCTCGTGAATGCGATCGATGAGAGCAGAGTGGTGGGCCATGGCTGCCGCATCCAACGACCCAGAGGTTCGTATGCCGAATATGGTCTCGAGCATCGGTGATGCAATGAGATAAAGCATATTGAGCTCTCTTTGATAAGCGGAATAGCAAATCGGGGTCTCAGCTTTCTCCCGATCGAACCTGCAATTCTCCACAAATTCAGCGGGCATCGAAACATTGCAGTCCTTGTCATTTATACCCAGTGGTTTCCCATATGTGATTGAAGCAAACCTATGCACCGTCAGGATGACTGAACTTCTATTTCTTATCGTAATACTTGCCTGTCCCAAGTGTATATCGTCCACCATACCCTTTTTCTCTCTTCGCGATCGTGAACCTCTCCTCGAGAAGTCTCCCGGTGTAGGCCCAAGGCCTGACCTGTCTTGATTGCTGCCCCAAGGAGAGCAAATGATGAACTAGGCTTGCCGTGGTAGAGCCCGTACGAGCCCAAGAGAATGCAGGTTTGGACGGAAACTAGGGAAGCTTCAGTAATGATCTCATACATTTGAGATTCAGTATGCCGCAGAAGCTCTGAGCTCCATTGTTTCATGTCTTCAGTATCCTGCGATTGCCCGTCTATGCCTTTTTGTGAGAGATACCAGGCAGCAATGCCCAGCACGGTGGTCAATAAAATAAGAAACCCCTTTTGGTCCGGACAGCCAAAGCCATCGGCAACACTCTCATACTGCTTTCGGAAAATGGGTTCATGGATGACCAGGGAAAACCAATGAACGCTGTCGAAATATTCTTCCAGAAGCATTTCCGTGACTTGTCGCGATGGAAGGCTGTAACTGAGAATGGCAGAAATTGGACGTTTTTGTAGGGAGGCCTGGTTCGGCGAAGATCCGCAAGGCACGACTTCGCCATCGGGGATAGCGGATATGGCTCTGTTGTCAATGGTGCGCCTTCCGAGTTGGAATATCTGCGCCGTCGAATGGTAAGCCCGTGATTTCCGGGTATACTCAAGGTGCTTCCACCTTCCGAGTTATGCCCATTGTGGATTCAGCTTCGCCATAGTCAACGTTGGACGAGCTTCTCCCGAATTGCGGAGTCTGTGTGCCATTGCTCTCGTAGACGGATGGCTGTCTGGCGTTGGCGCAGGCCGGGGTTGGCGACCTGACGCGTGATTGTTCGTGGGTAGCTTCATCCACTCTTCTTCTTCTGCCCGAGCTGTGAGCAGATATCATTGCCGTGCGGAGCCACATTGAACGCACTTTGTAGATGCATGGGTTTCGCCGTGTGACGCGGATACACATTCCACGTCGGCTCGCACGCAAAGAGTGCATGGTCGGAACAGGTCACACTTTCGCAAGGGTCAGCGGTGAGTAGACCAGGTGGAGATGCGTAGAAAAGATGTCGACGGACTCTGCTCTTGTGACGGCGGCATCGTTGGCACGCGCTATTGACTTTGGCGGACAGGGCATTGCCCCGACGAGCGGGGGAAGGGCGGTCCATTGGAAAGCGTGGGGAAGCAGAGGGAGCCGGCGGAGACAAGAGATTTCCGGCGGAGGAAGAGAGACTGGGGCTCCGTCGTCGCTTCCGCCGGAGCCCGGAAGCCGAGGATCGACCGCACGCACGCGCGTCTCCACCACACCACAATTGCAACATCAAACATCACTGAATCATTGTCATCATTCAACATTGTCTGTCTATACAGTCCCCGCATTTCAATCCCATGCCCTCCGGATCTCATGCGCTTGAGCCGGCAGCGGCGCGATGCTTGGCATGTCTGTCTTCGTTCGCCGACATGATCTTCAGCGCAAACTTTGACCGCGCCCTTATCTCCGGCCCGTAGAAGTAGAAGATGTAGATCGGTATCGTAACCAGCACGGCAAGGCAGCCCAAGATGGTCGATGCGTACGGCAGATGCCTGTTGCTCGGCCCAACATTCGAGTACACTGCCGCGGGATTAGTCCGACCGTCTCTCTTCGCATCTATTCGCATCTCTGGAACTACTACTTACGAGGTGTCGCGTACAAAGCGGCAATACCGGCCAAGAAATCTCTGGCGAACCCGTTGCCACCGGTTGCCGATGCTGCGTACGGCCCGTAGATGGAGACCATGTAATCAATGGTAGCCATGTAGATGGCGTACTGCAAGAGGACAATGTCAGCCACCGAAACTTTAGGTCGTACAATGTTACTCACGTTTGCAATGCCGACGAGCCCGGAAAACAGCAACGGAGCAATCCAAGGAATGCCGTGCGAGGGACCGAGACTCGTCCAGGCGAATCCAAACAAGCCAATGGCCTCCAGCGGTGCAGCTGACAAAAAGCATTAGCATCATGAGTCCCAATGTGGCCGATTGTGGAATCCTTACTGTACAACAGCCAGTACAAACGATATTCGGGCTGGAAATCTCCGCTCTTCATCTTCTGCTTCTGCCTGATGAACCAAGGCATGAAAGAAAACCAAGCAATGAAGTAACCGACGACGAGTCTGGAGAGGCGTCAATACTAAACGCTAGATACTTTGTACCACCGTTTTACTTACGGTATGAAAGCAAGGCCGACCGCAATCTTGCTAAAATTCCACTGTTTGAAGACAGGGCTGTACGACTCCAGAAAAGTGAAGATGAGGGCATCGCTAAAGCCGCTCAGGAGGGAGAGGAAGAGCACAATCGGTTCAGTGCAGAACATCTTGAACGGGCGAATCCAGATCGTAAGAATTTCTTTGACGGGGAGACCGGCGATGGTGAAGATTCTTTCCGCCTTGATATGCTGTTTTTTGATCTGGTCCGCGGTCCATGCTTTCGGGTTCTCACCTACTCATGTCAGTAAGCCGGAAGGCAAAGGGAACAGTGTAATTCTTACCTGTTTTCCGCAGTCTGTCTGCCTCCTTATTCATGAGAACAGTCGAGCGGGTTTCGACGACCGTCAGGAGATGCAAAAGTTGCGTAAAGCCTCCAAACATAAGCTGCAGCCAGAAGACCCACCGCCAGTGCAGGAAAGTTTCGGAAAACCCTCCCACGATTGGACCGAGCACGGCACTTCCAACCGAGGAAAACACCACGAACGCGACGGCAAACTGTTGGTCTTCCGGTTCCCACATGTCCGCCACCATTCCCAGGGTGACTGAACCACCGGCCGAGGACAAACCGCCAAGGAACCTGCAGACGACGATGGTGCCAAAGTTTTGTGCAAGCGCACAAGGGATTTGCCAGATGTTTACCAAAAACAAACTGAGCTGCAGGATGGGTTTCCGCCCCAACTCCTCACTCCACGGTGCCCAAAGCTCGCATCCAAAGGCGTAGGTGACAAGGAAAACAAGTTGGCCAACCCTTGCTGCTTGGGCACTGATGCTGAACTCCTCCTGCAACCCTTCAATAGCGTTGGAGTAGATGCTGGTGTTGAAGTTCATGGAGCATTGGACGACGAAAATCACCGACAGAATGTACCATTTCTTCAAGGTCGGAAAGCTGAAACCAAGCTTCTTGTAGACTTCAGGGTCGCTCTCGGTAATGGTGGCCTCCAGAGTAACATCGCCGATGGAAAATGTCTCGCTATCGTCTCGTTTTTCGTTGCTAAGGAAAGCCTCAGGGCCAGAGGTGACCTTTTCGATTTGCTGAAATCCCGTCGCAGTGTTGAGCCTCTTCTCGGGATCACTACCCGTCATGGAACCAGGGCTCGCCTCCTCGATACGTTCGGGCTGGTTGGTATCCTTTTTCGGTGACATGTCGAAAGATGAGACGAAGAAACAAGGTTGGAGGGCCAACAATGAGATAGACGGTCATATTTATATCACCACCTGGTTACATTGGCAATGTGCCTTCCCTTGGCTATGCGGGCGTTACAACTGAACCGGCACACCGGACAGACTCGGCCGGACTCGTGGCTATGACGTAGGTCATAAACGGGGTTGTAAGCTCGACCCACTTCTCATACGGAGGTTGGGGGTTGAAGCGGGGACGCAGAGGTCTTTTTCTTCTCCGTGCTCAAGATCCTGCGGGGGTGGAATGCCCGAATGCTGTCCAAAGCCACTGACGAGTGACCCCATACCATCGCTTTATTGGCTAAAACAACTGAATCTCATAGCATCCGTTTACTCTCTTTTCATCAAAACAGTACTTTTCAGATATCTATAATTTTGTTAAGGGTTTAAATGCTAAGGCATGTTGCCACAGAGACAGGCCAAGGCGCGGCGCTTCAACGGCGCCTTACCCCATACGCTACAAGTCCGTGGACACGTAGAGTCAGGTACAGTGAATCGCCGAAGGCCTGAGACCGCTCCTTACACCCCAATCTCGAGTTTGGCCTAGCATCGGGCATCAAACCAAGTTTTGCCTACCATTCTGAGCCGTTCCGCGTCATCCGACTAGAAAACAACGACATTCTGCCTCCAGAATCCGGAGGACCTGGGATATGGCACGTACGTCTCCCGTCGATGCCGGCTTAGCCCACACGTCTATACTCCGTAAGCGCCCGGTCAATGCTCGGCCCACACCCTTCTCACTGCAACGGGTCTGCCCGAGCCTGATATCTAAATCTGGTAATCCGTAGCATCTTGGCGTCACTGGCTCAACACTGTAAGCTTCAACACAATCACATGCTTGGAATTAGGTGATTGATCAGAAGTTCCTGCAGATCTTAACGCTCTGTACCAATTTTGGTTGGAAAGCTTGTCTATAGATTATCTTGACCACAACAGTGAAACCACGGGTCTCAGGCCGCGCTTACAGACAGGCGTGGATCGACTTGGGCCCCCGTATTATGCACTTGATGCCTTCCCGCTTGGTAACCGTCTGAAAAGCGACTTCAGCCTCCTCGAAAGAGAACCTGTGGGTGACAAGCTCCTTAACGCTGACAGCACCCTTCCGTACGAGCTCGATCGCGAGGCCATAGTCACCTGGACCGTACCGAAAGCTTCCCTTGAAGGTTGCTTCCTTGTCGCATATCAATCCAACTGGAAAACTAATCGAGGACGATCCAAGTCCAGCTTGTATAAATGTTCCACCACGGTTCAAAACAGCCACTCCGTCTTGTGTACACGCCTCGACACCAGTTGCCTCGATGATTATGTCGAAACCATCAGGAAGATCGAGCTGCGACGGTAGCTCCTCTGCCAGACTTGACTTTCCGGGCTTGATGAGATAGGTGTGCGTCGCAGCGTACTTCTTTGCGAACGCAAGACGAGACTCCACAATATCAGCAACCACGATCGTGGAGGCGCCAAACGCTCTCGCGACAGCACAGACAAGAAGTCCGATAGGGCCAGCCCCAGTAACCAAAACAGAAGCACCTTGTGTGATGGCAGCAAGCTTGCAGCAGTGTACAGCAACACTCAGGGGCTCGATAAGGGCGCCCTCTTCGAAGGACATATTCTCCGGGAGACGGAAACAGCACTCCTCAGGGAGGTTGTAGTAAGTCGCCAATGTGCCATCAAAGGGAGGTGTGGCCGCAAACTTCATCGACTTGCAGAGATTGTATTTTCCGCTCCGACAGTGCTTGCAGGTATTGCACGAGGCGCCGGGCTCGAGCGCGACTCTGTCGCCGACGGAAAGATTCTTCACGTCCGGGCCGCAGGCTTCGACGATGCCCGAAGATTCATGACCGAGGATTATGGGTTTCGTGACTTCGTAAGGCCCGACGCGGCCGTGTTGCCAATAATGGACCTACTGCCCGTTAGATTCAGCGTAGTGTGTGGTGTGGTATAGTAGGCTGCCAACATCTGATCCGCAGATTCCCGTTGCAATGACTTTGACTTGAACATCCCTTCCTGAGAGGGATGTCGATACAGTTCGATCCTCATAAACGAATGATCTGTCCGGAAGCAAAACGAATGCACGGTTGGGCTAATGGATAAGGTAGGAAACGTCAGTGTAAACGTTTTTAGGTGGTGCTGCTTGTACCGACGAACCTTCTCGCTCACGGGAGCGCTGCCGTTTGAGGCCATATTTTCCAGTCAGGATTCTAGTGTCCAATTGTATACTCGAAGGGCCAAGTTAAGTGATTGGAGCAGTGCCCTTCTCAGGGTTGCGTTTAAACATTGCTGTTCGTTAACGCAAAGACTTCCGCCGGAGTGGATTTAAGTGGGACCCTGCTCCGGCGGAGGGCAGATTGACAGCTAAACAATTGACGTGTCGCTAGGACCAACTCCATCGACGGAACAGACGAAAACGACATAGTTTAAGCGCACTGTTAAATCATAACATCGTAAAGGGTAGACGGTACTGTGTTATCCCCCCGCAAACCAAACGACTAAATTCAGCTCTAACTAGCGAACTGTTGCGGGCTGCTCTATAATATTTTTAGGCTTAGAAAGCTACCTCCTACAGTACTCAATCTATCGAGCCTAAGAAAGTTGCGCACCTCCGGCGGTCAAAGAAAAGCCCTCCGCCGGAAGGAACGTTGGCCAAGCTATTCGGACCGAGCCTAGTGGGAGCCACCCAACATCCACGCTGCGCCGTAGCCGGGTGGCCGGCAAGCCACGCTATTGTAACCCTACGTAGTATGCGATCCTCAGTAGATGACTTGAACGGCGGCCTTGCACTTTTTGTGTGAACTCGCTTGCCAAAAAAAAAAAAAGTTAGTGCTGGCAACTCGCTATTAACGCGTAGTTGACGCCAAATTGTTGACGAAAACACAACGCCTTCAGCTTATTGTATAGATCACGGTCGCTGTTAAGCAGCTGCGGACTTTCAAGTTCAAATTTAAATACTGTGAGAATAGCCGCTATATTTGACCCGGTTACGCCTTGACTGTAGTGGCATCTTAGGCTCTTTATTTTGCCTAATACCTTTTTCGCAGGTATTCTACAAACGCGTGCTTTTGCTGAGATGCGCTAGAGCAATACGACCAACAGAGCGGCGTAGCAGGACGTAAACTCGCTGCATGATGGATTCCGGCAACTCCTATGCTACCTACGCTCGTGCCACCCTTCTCCGGCTTTGCTGGGGGCCATCACCAGTCGTGTCATGCAGGCGGATTTTCAGTAGGCCAATAGAGATTTAGCAAAACAAGACCATGGTTCTTCATCCGCGAAGAGTTTCGTCTCTAAACACTTGAGTTTCAAAAATATTTGATGACGTCTTTCCATGCGATTTGTGCTATCTTGAGATTGGTTTGGTCTGGGTCTGCGAGACCGGGTCGGTTCGCGACCCTTCGCCCTGCAGCAACCTCACCTCATCACCTACTTAGAAAAATACCTCTGCATAGAAGCAAGCTACAATTACCGCAGGGCACTCGCACTCTTAGTTCCTATAAGAAACAGTAATTGTTTTATTGCCAGTTTCAAATATTAGACAGCGAACGAGATAATTTTCGGATGCCGCTAATGTTTAAACCTTAGCAAAATCTCCTCCATCTCGATACCGTTCGCTTTATAGACAGCCTCTTCCTTTTTACCAAGAAGGCTGTAGCAGCACTGGCCTTAGTAAGCCAAATGTAAGGCTAGTAAGAAGTTAAAGCGAATATATTTAGATTTAAAGAAGATCTTGGCTATCCTCATCCTCGAAAATCAAGGTAGAAGCTAAGAATAGTGTTAGAGAGGACGGCAAAATATACAAGGTGTCTATAGCGCCATGACCGGACCAGACTGGCTTGTGTTCTTGGCCGGCCCAGTCAATTTCTACAGCGATCGTTATCAGCTGGTTAGTCATTTCCAATCGGAACCATTTCCCGTATTAGTCATTGGCGCTACTCAGAGGCCCTACTGCGCCTATATAGGCTATTTACACTGCAACTCAAAGCTCTTTTCTTAAAACACCATCCGCCTCCCATCTCCAAAGCATTACCGTTTGTTTTCTACATCTCGACACGCCTATACAAGAAAGATGGCCAAAATATCGGAATACCGTGTCCTTTCCTTCGATGTCTACGGAACTCTTATTGATTGGGAATCTGGAGTACTTGCAGCTCTGCAGCCCCTCCTGGACGCCAACAATGCCAAATTCTCTCGTGAGCATCTTCTTGAGACTTACCACGATCTGGAACAAGCCCTACAAGCCAAGGAGCCGGATCTGAAGTACGCTCAGTTGCTCACCGAAATTCACCCGCAAATAGCCGCACGTCTGGGCCTGCCTGAACCAAATACACCACAAAATGAGGCGTTTGGTCAGTCTGTAGGCAAATGGCCTGCTTTTTCCGATACGGTTGATGCACTGTGGCGTCTCGGTAAGCACTACAAGCTGGTAGTGCTGTCGAACGTGGATCACGAGTCTTTCGTGGGGACGAACGCTGGACCACTGCAGGGGACACCGTTTAACCTGGTGATTACAGCGCAAGACGTTGGCAGCTACAAGCCGGACCAGCGGAATTTTGAGCATATGTTGCGCGAAGTCAAAGAAAAGCTAGGAGTGGAAAAGGAGCAGGTGCTCCAAACGGCACAGAGCCAGTTTCATGACCATCATCCTGCTAAGATCATTGGGATCAAGTCGAGCTGGATTGTGAGGCCGGGTGCCGTTATGGGCAATCGAGAGAAGGAGACTTTCGACTGGAAGTTCGATACTCTGGGTGAAATGGCGGATGCCGTGGAAAAAGAGTTAAATGAAGTGTAGGGAAGCTGGAAGCCGGAATGGTTCAATAGAGCTCTTTGATTTCCAGGCTTTACGTACATGGTTGAGTTGAGTTGAGTTGAGTTGAGTTGAGTTGAGTTGAATTCATTTACCCTGACCCATCGCCCTGAGCGATATGCAGGCTACAGACTATTCAAAGGAATACGCTAGGGATTTACATTGGTGATTTAATCTGAGAGTATAAGGAGAAAGCGGAAACAGAGATAGGACAAAGGAAAGGTAGAAGAATGGGAATAAGATAGGGTTTTACTAGTTGATGTCGTCTCTACTCTGGAACCTTTTTGTTTGTTGAGCGAATTCAAGTACCCTTTTAAGTTGTGCGGCCGAAATTGTCCATTTCATCTTTTCCGTATGCGGCTGGTTCTTGTCTATTGGTTTACCGCCTAGGAGGCTAGAGAGGCAGTTTCTCTGGAGTCCGGTTTCTTGATATATTTTTTACCGATTTTCCTAGAGTAGCAAATAGTCTAGTAATATATGGGATATTGATTCAATATCCCCGTATTTATATTTATCGTTGTTTATCTGTCCTATTCGTTTTCGGTGCTGGTTGAGCTAGTAGTGGCTAGTTCTTAACTGGGCTAGTAGCCCTGCTAGGTTACGTGGGAGTTTGTCGTAGAGGTGCCTTACGTGTGGTCTAGGAATCGCTGTATCTACGTTGCGGAGGTGTTAGCCTTTCTCTGACGCTCTCTATTCTTTATTCTATTGCTTATATACTACTTCGAGAGTTGTTTTAACTTGTAGCGGTATTAAGGGTAGGAAGTTGTGTTCTCTAAGACGTGTTGTGGCTTGTTTAGCTAGCTTGTCTGCTTCCTTATTTCCTTGGATACTATAGTGGCTTGGGATCTACTGGATCGTGAAACTTATTTGAAGACTTTTATGGAGAGATTGGGCTGTACTGAGGATAGACCGTACGATGCTTTAGCCTGATCTCTTTTTATATCTCCTAGTTAGAGCTTGGAGGGCGGCTTTGGAGTCGCTGTAGATAACGTATTCGGTTAGGCTATAGGGTCCCTCTTGTAGGTGTTTTTTAGCTGCTAGCTCTATCCCCGTTAGAATAGTAATTAGTTCGGCTGCTTGTACTGTGTAGAAATTACTAGATCTAACTCCTTTAAGCGTACTGTATCGGGCGTTCCCGGCTTGGTCTAGAATGACTGCT